TTAATCTACCTAAAACTTTAAATTCTTTTGTGAGAGTTATTTATTACACCAAATAAAATCCACGTGAACTTGTTAAAATATACCAGCTAGGGTTGTTACCTTATTGAAAAATTAACAAATTACAACATTTAATGAGACAGCAAACTTATTGTTAGGTAAATTCCCTATTGTACTTTATAGAGAACTAAGAGAAGCATTATGAAACTGTTATGAATACTTTCCACCAAAGAACATATTAGAAATTAAGGTTTGCTGCGCGAAGAAAGACGATACAAAAAACGAGCACAAAGCTGTGCTAATCAGAGGCGGACTATCCGTTCCGGCTCGTTTTAAGCTGATAAAAAATCTCCATAATTGGATCACTACTCGAGTAGCCCACCAGATCGAAGCCCCTTGCCGACTGTTACAAGAGTGACGGAAATGAACACCTATTGAAATGCAAGCGCCATGATTAACAAAATCAACAATGAATCCCCAATGACGTTCTTTCTCTTCCGGAGCCGACCAAAAAATTCTCTGTTTCACAATCAACTGGCCCAAATTAATTCACACATATCTCAGCGCGCTTTCTATGTGTACTCGCGAGGAATTAAGCGGTTCGGCTTTGTTTTCTAAAGTACGATATATCGGTATAACAAAAAGTAGTAAAAACACATTTCGCAAATATAATTTTCGAACCAAATAAAGAATGAAATGATCTATGAAGTCCCGTACTCTTGTTTTTCAAAACTTTAAGCGCGTTATGATAACGCATCGTCCGGTGGTGCAACTGGTGTTAATGAACTGCACTGAACGTAAGTAATCGCATAATTATTTAACAATAAGTGATACTGAAGTACACAATTTTACTATCCGCCATAATACAGCAAGTAAAAAATTCTGATGCAGTAAATGAAGAGCCGTATCACTATATTTCTATTTCTATAGGGTTCATTTTGCCATATGTTTACAAAAACAACAAGATCAGCTGCACGCCAGCACAGCAGCGACAAGTGGTGGAAAGAACTGTTTTCCGCTACAGTGTAAGTGATATTGCCGTGGGCCGTTTGACTGCAAACCTCTTCTACATATTTCATCCATTACTTACCGAATAGGCATCCTTAATGTTTATTGACTGTTTGGTTTCCGCGACCGATCCAACAATTCCTTTGCCGAAGGGCACAATCACTTCCGTCTCCTTGGACTTGATGATTTCGGCGGCCGTCGATTCGGCGGTGACATCTAATTAGCCCATACAGAGAGAGACTTGTACACTTCTTTTACAATGTCTTAATACGATTTTTCCACCCAACGATTAAGTAAGCTGTGCGACAGATAATAAATTTACACCGCACTTACAGCAGGGTATTCATCAATCTCTTACCGAACAGTTTGCTGACAAGTAATTTCAAGCCGCCTTCCTTGCGGGTGAGGAATAAACTGCCCCGGTCCGCGCCCACCAGGGTCACCACATTTGTCATGACTTTAAAACATAACACTTCCATGTCCAGCTCGTTAGCTGCAACCAGGCAGAAAATGCGTCAGCATGAGGATTATATTACATAATAAATAGTTTCGTTTATTTGTCTTATAACGCTAGATGGCCATGTCGTAGGGAACGTGGTGAGAGGGATGAAAACTGTCACGAATTTGGTAATTCGTACGCGTAAGATAAAACTTTAGAGAGCAACTCGATCGTTTTATACGTTTTGCATCTGCAAATATACGGTCATACTTCATGTTTTCATTTACTGTTAAAAACGAAATGAAAATCCGTTGCATCATAATTTTTTATTGTACTGTGCAATACCAAATATTACAAAAATGCGATAATGATATTTTAGTAAAGTCAAAATTCTGTTTTATATTGGCGAATGTCAACACTTACTTTCCAAAGAAAGCAGAACCGCTTTTTTTCAAATAAAATATGATGTTTCAATAAGAAAAACAAGTTCACTGCACTGTTAACAATTCGAGTTTCATTTTCACGAAGTTTGTGCACGAGTGTTCCCACTTTTCATGACGTTTTTATAACACATCATCGGGACAAAAAAATGGATCTGGACTCTTTTCACAACAGAGCGTCGACACGGTATATGATCAGCCTAGCGGCAAATGCCTCAATGGAATCAATCATGTGGATTGAACTTTGCTACTCCCATGTATCACCAAGCCGTAACAACAGCCAGCACACATAGCTCCAGTAAGACGAGATCATGATCGTCAAGTATCCCAACACTACTCAGTGCGAGAACATCAAAAGTGCTTCTAAGAAACCCCAGACGTTTTCGCCTTGCCTTGCTCAATATCTTTCTTGGATAAATCGAAAAACTAGCCGTCTGGTCGAACACTGATTTTCTTTTTATGCCGTGAACAAGCTATATGTTAACTTGAGAAAGACATACAACACCCTGACAGCACATCTCCACTAAAAACCGGAAGTAGCCAAATGCCGGTACATCGCCATTCTAATCTTGGATACAAAACAGCCACTTACTCCACACTGAAAAAAGAAAAAATTATCTTGTGTACATACTCGTACTTATATACCATTACAGAACACAAGATCGTAAATTCCCGACAAAAATATTTCTAAGGTCACCACAGTAGGACTATTTCTTATATTATATTATTTTTCATAGCAATAACATTTTATTTCTCAGTCGTGAAAAAATAAAATTTTCAATAAAACAGCGTTCCTGAGTGGCTTATGTGAAACGTTCGTGCGTCACGCGCATACATTTTACAACGAGTGTTTGCTGGTTTGGGAACAGAGATAAATTTTGCAGTTGTGTCCCAAACGACAGTCGCAGGCATGATACAGCATTCCCACCCGTTACGACTGCAATCCCCTAAATCCAGGCTGGTTAAGCCCTATAAGTCGCTCCGCGTGTGCCTGGACTGTCTCGCTGGATTGTAGCGTAATCACTTTAATGCACCGTTAACACTTTTAGTCCTTAATGGTCGACTGCAACACAACGTGACATTGAACTTCCGCTAGTACATGCACCAAAGTAAAATCGCTACAAATAATGCATGGTGCATGTTGCTTATCAATGCACCACATGAATGAATTATAAGATTTGTCTTCGAAAAAAACTTTTATGTACTGCGTGAAATCTTGGAACGCAGCTTGCGCAGTTGTGCTAATTCTCGTCTCTTGCTTTACATTATCGCTCTATGACAAAATTATCATTTTATCATTTAGTCTACATCCGCAATTAGGGTATTCAATAAAATTTATCGAATGCAGATTGTCTGAGTTTAAGACAATCTAAAAAGGATAGAAAAGTTATCGATGTATAAAACGGAAGGAAACTAGCTCTACTAGAAGCTTCAAACTGCAGACCGACTTTATCTTGCGGTCACTATAAAGACATCTAGATCTATTCTGTTTGGGATCTCATTGGCTTATACCAACTAACAGCCGGAATTGCTGCAAGGTATAGCACATAATTACAATAATCGGGAAATCGGTAGCTGTTACTTCCGTTAGCCTGTACATGCCTGCACGATGTCTTTTCATCTTTGCTACCAGATCCTACTACGTCTACCGTATGATTTTGCATATGTGCTGTAAATAATTTCGCTGCTGCACAGATGTGAAATATTACCTTCATAAAATAGGTCAGCGTCTACGGTAATATTTAAGCCGGTATTTGTTAGGAAAGTACGTAACTGCAGAAATCTTACAAGCAACGAACAGGAGGGCAGTTAAAACTGGATCAGCGCTAGCTTACTATCCTGTATTTTATGTGTGTAGCCGTACTAATACAATAATTGTTATAAAATGATTGTTATAGAAGTTTACTTTAAAGTCCTGTTCCAAATAGGTTATCGAAGTTCAGCAATTACGTAAATTAAGAAACTAATTGTGAGTGTTTTCTGTTAGTTAGGATTATGAACAATATGCATCCATGCAGCAAAAACTGCACATGAGGTTGCAGAATTAAACTAATTACCCGCAAAACAGAAATTTCTTGTGATTGCTGCTGACAACATGAAGCAACGTTGTTGCTAATTTTAAGCACGTCAGAGACAATAATTTCACGTAATGCAGTAATCGCATAATATGCTTCGTAGTTCGTACGCATATCAATAATATCACATGATTAGAAAAACATAACAGCCAAAACACAAACAACCAATACAACCATCTTCAAGAAAACCTGTCCTCTTCGTTTTGTCACTATGTCAAGGTTGCTAACTGTCAAATTTACGGTCGGAAAACAGCTGGCCAAAAATTTCCCGGCAGCATAATACAAACTATCTGAATTCTTTGGCCAAAAAATTACCTCTCTATAAGACAGCGTACTAAAATTCAATTGCAATTCTGTAAATGTCATAAGCAGCATCGCATGCAAAGGAAAATGACAATTGTCTACGAAAAGCATGTCGTCAGAGCAGGTGATAAAAATTTCTCAATCCGATAAATGCTGATGATGGGCCATCATTTTTCACATTAGCACAACTCACGCAATGTATCAAAAGCCGAAATTGTTTTGCGCACTGAAAGGCCGGTTCCATTTACCTATCTGCATTATTGAACACTGACAGAAATATATTTTTGTTATTAAAACTGGGGAAATAATCTTCGTAATCCTTAACAATGCGGGCTCGCATGTTTATCAGGTTTAGCCAATTTTACGGTGTGCATTTTTGATTGATATCCACGGCAGTGTTTGCACACTCTCGCGGCTGGGAGACGCTAAGAATTATCCGCCGCATATGAAGATGACTGTTTACTAACATACGCTTGCGTGCTATATTTGGTATCGGATTATAAAAGATCTCCAGGCGAATGACACATTAAAGGCATAATAAAGTGATATGGCACTTGATCACAACTCGATTCTTAAACACGAGACACGACGCAACCGAGACACACACATCTTCCGCCCACAAGTCGATCGTGGGAAATTCACTGTATACTGTCTCACATTACACGCCTGACGCTACAGCGATCGCATCGAGCCATGCGCTATTAACCTCTTGCAAAAAGTTTGCACCGAAAACTTTTCCGCTGTAAGCAAAACGTCATTTGCAGGATGGCCAGTCAACAAAATGGCCAATATTTTCCCCATCACTTAACCGTAGGGAAAAAAGCAGCCTGCACTTACCGACATCACGGATAAGCTCCATGAACAGCTCATTCTCGTCCAGCGCGGCCACTTCGGCCAGATACTGCTGGTGTTCCTTCAGTTTGGCATCCAGGTTGCGGTTGGTGTTGGTCTTATTGGACCAGGTAGAAGCCAAGGTGGGATCGTAATTAATCAGATTATTCTTCTTCCTGACAATCTCCTGCGCTACACTGCGTATATTCTCCAGTGCATCCTCCCCGTCGTCATCCGCAATTTCCCCATCTTCATCATCATCCACGGCAGTTGCTTCGTCAGCGGCTGTTGCTGGTGCGACTGTACTACCACTATTACTACTGCCTGTCAACTGCTGTACACTGGATGATGATGCTGACGACTGAGCCTGAGCGCCGGCGGAGCTCTCGTTACCCGTCAACGTGCCATTTACGAGACCGCTGGCGTTGCTGGGTAAACTTGTGCCTGATTGGCGTCGCTGCTTGTTGCCTTTACTGCCAGTCGTTGATTTCCCGCTACGAAAGATCCGCAGTAGTTTGGCGGCGGAATTGGGATGCTCAATCAGAAACTCTTTAATCAGTGCTTCCGATACTTCGGGATGGGTCTTGAGAAAATGCCGTACCAGCTGATTCTGGTCGACGGCAGGTGAGAAACGACTGGACATGGTCGTTGTAGCGGACAAACTGCCGAGCAGTCGCTCACGCTCGTCGGCGTGTGGCGATGAAGAGATAAATGTATCGGCTAAACCGGTTTCCGTCAGCTGCTGTAGACTGTTAGCGGCACTGTTGACTGGATAGGCCGATGAAGAAACTTGCTGCTGGTGCTGCAGTAAATCACGATGAATCGTACCAATGTACACCAGAACACACGAATTGGGCTTCTCGCGTTGATTAGTGCGCGAGGATTGTGCGGCGGCGGCTGGCACGCTGGAATGGCGCGATACGGGAAGATTAAACTTTACACTTGCCGTCCCGCCGCTCTTAGGATATTGGGACATAATGTTTTTCTAGTGTTTGTAGTGTTTGCTCGGAGCGGGCTTAGCATGGGATAGTGGGCAATAGAGAATTCCATACAAAACGCATGGAAATACAATGGTGGGGGATAACAAATGGTACGGTACAGCTTCGTCGTTCGTCACTGTCGGCACACACACACACACGTAGACCGGTCGCGGCGCCGCGTTCTCTTTGTAATGCCAACCATCTGCGCTCACATACAGCAGTTTATAACGGATTAGTAGCGATTTTATTGAACGCCATATAGCCGCATAATACCACACACCCAATATCCCCCTAACACATACACACAACACGCGGGCGATCAGGCGGTGTATAGACTGTGTGTGTGTATTAAGCAGGCAGCTGTGCACCCAATTCGGGCCGCGACGTCGATTCCGGTTGCCAGCGCCAATCCAAGTAGCCTCGTCAATCCAACTTTCTGGTATTGATCTTTTTCTCCCCTGGTTTGTACTTTGGAGGCTTAGTTGGAAATTAGCTAACTCAAACCATCCATTTCTTCGACCAAAAGCAGGCATAGATCTATGGAATTCGAATGGCCGGGAGTTTTGTTGATGTTTGCTGTTTGATTCAGAAAGTTTGATCAAAGATCAATGATTACAAGACAATGAATTTGGATAGTTTGGTTTAAAACCATTGATTTTCAAATCAGTGATTTTCAGTCAATGATTATGAATCAATGATTTTCGGACACCATGATTTGAAATCAGTGATTTTTAGTGATTATGAATCAATAATTTTCGGACACCATGATTTGAAATCAGTGATTTTCAGATCAGTGATTTTCAGCCAATGATTACGAATCTATGATCTTCGAAAACCATGAATTTGAAATCAGTGATTTTCAGATCAGTGACTGTAAATGACTGACTTAAATGGCTTGATTTTGGGTTAGTGAATACATTTCACAGGCGATTGAATTAAAATCAATGGTTCATTAAAGACTGATTTGCAATCATTGATTGCCCTGCACTGACCTGCCATCAGTGATTTTCAATACGCAACCGTCGCCGCGTGCACTGGATGCCGCTATTCGGACTTGGAAAACACGAAAATGTTTGGTATCCAGTGCACCGTAGACTCTGCGGCACAAGAAAACCGTCTTAAAACGGCTGCGCACTCCTGTTCACTACCACCCAACCAATCCGAATTGCGCACAGCTACTCAATACTGAGTCCAGATAACTAATTGCTAGTGCAGCTTTAATTCTAGCATAATAATGATGTATTACTTGTGACATTCAACTAAAATAATATCGAAATAATACATTTTCTTCTGGATAAGAACTTGACATTTCATTAGCAAAGATGAAATAACAACCACCATTGCTTTTACATCTTCCATTAACTGGCAAACTGAAAATCGACGAGAAGCAATATGTATATCAATTGAACATCTTAACTTAGAAAGCTTATTAATCCTTTTGTAGTAATGTACATAAAAATGATAACAATGCGTGCACATAGATTTTTACTTACTTTTCGAAAACAAAAAAACTCCGTTCAGTATATATGGATAAATTTTGTAATGCTCTGCAAGAAAATTTGACAACATTCTAAACAAATACGAAAGCAACACATGTATCTGAATCATAGAAAGCAAACATTTTACAACAGGTCGTACATTGAGATGTACTGCTGGCTGTACGATAAATAATGCTAATGGTATTGCTAAATTGAACTTGGTGCTCTACAGGTTAGACTGCAGGGCATGCACTAGGTTGCACTCCGGGCTGTGCTGCAGGTTGTACTACAGGAACATTAGGCAAACAAGCGAGGCAAACCAGCACGCCGGGGTCGGCCGCACTATAGCCATATGGCACAAGATATCAGCTAAGCATCTTGAATATTTTTCTTAATTGTATTTTATCACATCAGAAAAACAAATATAGCGTAATAGCACACAGAATTTAGGATAATAAAAAAATTTAGGCAGCCCATCGCAATGATTGTTGATTTGTTTAACGTAATGCATCTGAATTCTTAAATACTTTTCTGAGCGCAATATAAGTCACCCTATTAACACTTTTTTGCAAAAAAACTAAAGACAAAAGTGTTTTTTTCTGAAAGCTGCAGATTGTCCGCGTCTCTGGTTTTATGAATTTGTTAATTCGGCTCGATGCAGTGCTAAAATTCATTAATAATTGTGTCTTCATGTATCAAATATATATCCATGCTTCCAGTTTACCGGTTTCAATTTTACGCCTCAAATTATTTCTAATGTGATTAAGTATAATTACAAAAAATATTCAATATGCTTAACTAATATCTTCTGCATTTTAACTATACTCCGGCGTGTACAGAACTTGTTTGCCTAATGTACCGCCTGTAGTACAGCTCGTAGTATAGCCCGTAGTATGACCTTGTGTAAGGCCTGTAGTTCAACCTGTGCTGCACTAACAAGCAAAATATTTCCATTGAGTTATTCTCACACATACCAGACGCCTATCGCTTTATAGAAAAAAATTTTTTGTAGTGGGTTGGTTTCTATTTTTATCGTTTAAAAAACATGTAAATTAAGTATGGCATTTCGTCCCAGACGTGTCGTCTGTGCACTTCAAAGATGCCGCCCATCACGCATCGGAGATACCGATCTTCTGCAGCGCTGATTGCGGGCATGCTGCATCGCGTGGTTATTAGCTTGGCTGATCATATCCGGATTTAGCTGAAGCTGGCACAAAGTACGCTGTAGATTCTGAGCACTAAACACTTGAACGCGGTGTAATTTTTGTTTGTGTTCTAAAAATTCCAAATCTAATTTCGACGATTTTGAACCTTAAATGCACATGAAAATATCAACAATCTATTTTGTGAACTCTTTGTAAACTCAAAACTAAAGCAAATAAAAGACTCTTTATTGCCAACGCAGATGTCGTACAGGCGGGCCAGCGCTCAGTTTTCACCGAATTTCAGTATTTCGGATGCGTAATGGGTGGCGTCTTTGAAGTGCGCACAGACGCGTCATTGGACGATTTGCAATACTAACTTCACATTTTTTTAAACGATAAGAATAAAGACCACCCCGCTATAAAAAAACACTGCTTGACAAAGCTAATTTTTCTCCATAAAACGATATGCGTCTGGCATGTGTGCGAATAACTCAATGGAACTATTTAGCTCGTAAGTTTAGTTAGTGGGAAAGCCTGCAGTACAGCTTAATGTTCAGCTATCACTGGTCAGTCTTACTTAATGTACATCCTGGAGTACCCGTTAATGTCCTGCCTGGAGTAAAGCTTTATGTTTTTCGTGACCGGATCACTGAACACTTATATTATCTCGCTTGCATAGAATGCCATCCTTTTCTTCTTTTACAGTATAACAGAATTTATGGTGATATACAGAACTTCGTTTTAACTTGTTTTTCGCATTTTTCATCAAATAATTAAAAATGTGAAGCACTGCAACATATCATTATTTGTGTGTATCACTCTGAATGATTTCTAAACCTTTTACTGGAGTAAATTTATTGGAATCGGTAGATAGGAATCGGAACTTGTAAAGCGTGAAAACTTTTCCAAGTCTGAATATGGTTTCCATTGCACGCGGCGACGGTTACGTATTGAAAATCACTGATGGCAAGCTAATGAATGGCAATCAATGATTGCAGGTCTGTCTTTAATGAATCATTGATTTAATACAATCACCAGTGAATCACCAGTTAATTGTATTCAGTGATCCAAAATCAAAATATTTAAGTCAGTCATTTTCAATCACCGATCTGAAAATCACTGATTTCAAATCATGGTGTTCGAAAATCATTGATTCTTAATCATTGACTGAAAATCACTGATCTGAAAATCACTGATTTAAAATCATGGTGTTCGAAAATCATTGATTCATAATCATTGACTGAAAATCACTGATCTGAAAATCAATGGTTTTAAATCAAACCATCCAAATTCATTGTCTTGTAATCATTGATCTTTGATCAAACTTTCTAAATCAAACAGCAAACATCAACAAAACTCCCGGCCATTCGGAACGCATAGATCCCCGCAACTACAACAAAAATGGATTGCCGAAGCGGTTAACGCGAGCGCTCTGGCATATATACGAGAATCAAGTGGCAACCGTATATCGGCTTTTTGCGATCGGTGATGATGCAGGAGCGTTGCATAAATTAATAAGTGGATCTCGTGTACAATGCCATATAACCACCACTGGCCAAATGGCCGCGACAGCAGCTCTTCTCGCAATCTAATGAGGATGGCACTTTATTGACTATTCCGTTTTATCATTAATCGAATTCCCGACTTCCATTACCGTCGAATTACGCACCAATCCTCCCGTCCATCCGTTTTTATCGCTAACGGTCCATACGGCTAAAACGCTGTGGCTGCAAAGTGCAAAATAAAGTTGATCGTTTTTCGTGGATAGCGATGGACATATTGCTGCTGATGTGCCAATACTGCATTGCATACAGGCGGTATATATACGTAATACGGTCTGAATTTTATCGTATCAATGCGCTATTGTGCCGGTAATAATTTTCAGGAAAAATGTAATAAATCGGCTTTGCAATTGTGCGGTACATTTCGCAGACACTGCTGTGTGGTGTGTTATGTGTGTGTACAATATTATACGCTTTGCAGAACTGGATACTTCCCGGCTCCGGGAATGCAGGGGAAGGATGCATTCACTGGGGAAAGAAAGACATTACAAACAAATTTCTAATGTGTAAAAATACATTTGCAATCGATATCGTCGCTGGATGCATACTGCCGCAAGCGGAAATCAACGCTTCCGGGGTGGAATGAAAACCATCCTCATTTAATGCAGACGTGAACAACCAAAAATCACACCAAGTCCTGTTAAATTGTAATCGCGCACTGCTTGATACCACCAACTGCAAACCCTGCAATCGTCAATGTCGTCATATATACTCGTATTAGCATAATTATCTAATTCTGCAAACCGAACCTTTGTGGTACGAATTACGGTAATAACACTGCTATACACTACAGTAATTTACGAAAGTTAGTACGGAATTAAGCGAAAAACAGGCGTTGATAAACGCCGGCAATATGTGGATCATGTCGTTCAAGCGCGCGGGCACTGTTGCCGGTGCGGCAGCGAAATATTACGCACTGCACACAAAGCATTTTACCAATAGCCCGCGCATTTTCTTCCCGGCTTTTCCCCGTATCACGAATCTGATTCAGGATTAAACTTCAATAGCGCGGTAACGCTAACTATGTATGAGCAACCTTACATGTTTGATGTCTGCAGCTCAAAAGCACACCAAAATACAACTGATCCCATGCAGGATATAGGATCTCACAGCACAATTGCAAATTAAAAAGGCAAAACATTTCATTGCATTTCGCAGTGCTCATGTGTGTACCATAGAATGTGAAATACATAATTCTTTCAAACTTGCGTAGAGAATTAAATATCAAGATTCAAGACTGTCACTGATCCTGCATGTAGCCGATCTAATTAACGAAGCACTTTGCAAAACGCATCGCAAGAAACTCATACCGTTAGTTACAATTGTGTTGTACAATACATCGTAACACTGTTTAATAATCTTCGGTATACCTATATGTAGTATTTGTACTTTGTACGTGAAAACATGAGGCAAACATTGCTTAAAATATCGGGTGCCAAATAAAAGTGTGTAAATAAATCGTACTCTGTATATTGGTAAATAGTCAAAGGCACATATAGTATGCACGATTGCACGTATCAGTATAAATTTATCTGTCCAATGTCCACTATAATTCTGATCTCCAACGTGAAACTCGCTGGCGACCGAATGCCATAAGCAAGAAAATACTTGTACGAATACTACTGGTAAAACATTTTGACTGAATTTCTAAACTGCTTTCGACACGAATTCTAAATTAACGAAGGAAGTAACTGAATTGCATAACTGAATTGCAAGTGACTTGGCACTGTGCGCCTGCGTGCTATGATGCTCTCGTATTCCATGTTATCGTATTCCATGACCTTTCTCTTAATACTGTTTGCGCACCGGTTGTATTTTGTATTATAGCAAATAACAAATACAGTTTACTACGCAGCCAGGAAAGTGCTTAGCGCAATCTAAGAGTAAGTATTTATTGTACTGTATAACTGCAAAGAGAAGTTAATTAAATGGTAGTCAATAGTCATAAAATACCTCGTCAGTGTCCCAAATCGAAATATCTGCAGGGAATGAATTTCCAGCGGGTAACAAAATCCAAAAAGCGCAATATCCAAATATCCTCACACAACAACAGTAATCCCACTCATAAAGGAACAGTATCCCATTTTGGTGAGTCGATCTCTGTCACTCACAGGGATAACAGAAAACCTTACACGTCGGTAATCGCCGATCGGCTTGGAGTGCAAAAACTAAATTGGAAATCATCTGACAAAGCGTTTGCGCTAATTTGTACGGCACACTGCTGTCGGGAAAACAGGGTCTGGTGACGTTATGGTGCTTTCTCTTCGCGACGGTTAGAAACGATCGCTTATCGCTCTCTTGATGGTTGAAATTATTTCCCACTTAATGGGCAATATGTTGCTATTACATCGCTGCGAACTCATCCGATCGTCCCGGCCATTGTCGTATCCATAAGTGCTCCATCGTCGAAAATTCTCTGTTCCAGTCACGGATACTCAAACACTCCACGCCGGAAATAGATTAAGTTGCGATTAAACAGTTCAACGCCACCTGATATGCATATGCATACAAAAAAGTGCGAAAATCATGAATCTCGAGGGATTTTGTAATCGCTAGATGAAAACTAAATTTAGTACCCCACTCGCAGGAAACGTCAGTATTTTATTCTCCAAACAATAAACAACAAGGTCCAACGACAATTTCTCGAGAACAGTATGTGAGATGCACATAATGCTTTTTACATATGAATATCAATCAATGAATAAAATTTCGGACCAAGACTTCGGACCTGCTAGGCCGGTTATAGTAAAGGCTATACAGACAGCGGAATAAAGGAACAATAAGAGAAAACGTACTTTGGCAACGGTAAGGAGATCTAATACTCAATCGTCATCCTTCTTTGCGTCCACGATACCGCCAACATCAATGGCAAATTTCGCTTCGGCTTCCGGTAAACACGGGGAATCATATACCTTGCAGATGCGATTTTCTCCTTTCCCTTTCTTCATCATTAGCCGTGTGGTGGAGGCATGAGCAATGATGTTTCCGCCGATGGGCTTCTTAGTTTCTCCACCACAAGCCATGGCGTCCACTTGAGCAACCACCTAGAGTAAGAAAATACGGCTACAGCGCGACTGGCATCGGAAACGGCATAAAGGCTTTTGCGCAACTAACACCTTCCCAAATTAACAGTACTAAATAATGTGAATAAAGGTTACGCAGGCGCAAAATCAATATCAATTCACCATAACATAACTGACTGTGAGATCGTTTCAACGAGACTTGTAGCAATAAACGACCAACCAGTAACAGAGAATCCGTAAAGTCAAGACTGTCAGTTATCTATGTATATTTAACTTTTGATCTATCTGCACTTTATCTGTACTTTATCTATCCTGAGAAAAGCAGATTTAAAAAAAACAACTACTTCCATCTACACAATCATCGCAGTACGTCATCATTAATCATGAAATGGGTATAATCCACGTTCAAAAACATCTACAACAATTTCACAAACCTGATTCGTAATAACCACAGCAACTCCAAACTCATCGGCCAGTCGCATTAAGAAGCGCAGAAATTTAGCCAGGTGCATTTGGCGAGCTGCCAGTTCTCCGCGGCCCGAATAGTCCGTCCGGTACAGTGCAGTAGCGGAGTCTACCACCAGGAGGGCGAAACGGGATTCGGCCAGCATGGCGGCAGCCATCTGGAGAAGTGTCAACTGGTGGTCGGTGTTGTAAGCTCTGGCGTACGCGACGTTCTCCAATGCGTCAGTAGAATTCATTCCATAACGTTCCGCAATGGCGATCAAACGCTCAGGTCTAAAACAATCAGCCTCTAAGTAATAAAATAAACTAATTTTGCCAGGGTACCTAATACACATTAACATTACGATAAAAAACAAAAAGACTTTCGAAAATCGGACAGTGCAAAAAGATAAAGTGATGAATAAACGCAGCTTACCGAAAAGTCCCTTCCGTATCGATGTACAGACACTTTCCTTCACCACCCTGCAAAATTGTTAAAAATTACAAGATCCGCTTTTCGGACAATAAATCACAAAGAATCGAAATTAGCCGTACACCCATATCCACGGGTAACTGGCACGTGATGGCCAAAGTGTGGCACAGCTGCGTCTTCCCTGTCCGAAATTCCCCAAACATCTCGGTAATGGATCCGGTTTCCACGCCACCATTTAGCAGTTTATCCAACTCCACCGAGCCCGTTTTGATCTGGATGATCTCCTGGCGTTTGGCGTGCATTTCCGTGGCCGTCATGAAACCCATCGGCACCATCTGGACGGCTTCATCGTGTAACTTTCCAGCTTTGGATTCTCCAATGCCTGCAATCCCGTACAAAAAATCAAATTAACATTATGTTTAAAAATAATTTATTAGTTTTAATATGTAGATCTTTCATAGTAAACACATTATTTCAGGGTATCACAAACCCCAACTGCGTGCGTCCCTGTTTCACCGAACTTTTACGGTAGATGTATTGTATACAGTACTGGCAAGTTGCAGTGTCAGTAACGTGTTTGAACGTGAATTTGGCTCGTAGCTGTCTTAGCATTGGGAGACAGCAGGATCAGCACGAGTACAGCTGCGTTAATGAATTTCAATTTAAAAACATCCTATTAAGTGATAATGACTTAACTCATAATTTTTTATATATCAAAATCAAAGAAACCAGGAGTTTGGGAAGATTACTAAACTCATCAACAAGTCACGAGACGACCGTTCCATAACCAACCACGTACCTTTGACAGTCAGTAGATGTTTTAGAGGAGCAAAGGCAACAGATTCAACAGTGCTGAAACCAGCAGCTACTAAAGCTCTGATATCCTTTTCTCCCAGATTTACGCGAGATTTCAGCACAGAAATATGTTGCGAAGTTCCATCTCCGGATTCTTCTTCCTGTTGTTGTGGCTGCTGTTCAACGATTTCCAGGCTCGCGTCTGCATCTTGGGCTTTCTGCTTATTCTTTTGTCGAGACATCTTCGCTAACGTTAACACAAACCACAAATACCGAGCACAAATACAAATCACAAAAACAAAGAAAAAATGGTAGAAACTCTATCCTAATGCGTAAAAGATCCAGTAAGAATACGGGAATATCTCGGAAATAAAAAGTTTAAGTAGCTTTGAACAGTGCAAACCGCGAAGTCTGTTCAAAAGCAGAATCAACGTCCTCGGTGGTGACTCACAACAACAACCAGCGCGTAAGTATCAGAAAGTGGTATAGCTGCCGCTTCCAGGAGGTCACGCTAACGACACATGGCTGCTGATTAGAGCCGGCTGCCGGAAATGGGAGATCTGATGCTTCCTGATTCCGGGATAACCGTGTCAGCTTGAAATTTTCTGGAGTATGTAATAATAATAATTTATTAATCTCAAAACAGTTTGTATAACAGATAGGTATGTTTTTCGGCAGAAGGTCTGTTGTAAATCTTCTACGGTTATACTCTTTAGTCTGTACTACGGAAAATACAGAGTATGCTGTGCAGAATATTACAATACACACAACACGCGGGCGATCAGGCGGTGTATACTGTATAGACTGTGTTTTGATTTTATGGTTTTTACGTATCTATCCTTTTCACTGCAGCATAGAAGTATTATGATATTTTGTGATTGGTTTTGCAGTGGCGTAAATTAAACCGGATGAAACGTGAATTTGCAGTTGGAATTTAGAAGATAAATAAACCGATAAACCTATCCTTTCTGAGTGATTTCCCGGAATTTGAGTTCACCGATACCCGTGCTAATTTGAGTACGGCTACGGCATTACACTATTACAGAAACACTTTCCCCTCTGCCGTCTTGATTTGGGTAATCACACCTTGTGGCCTGCAAATGCAGAACCGCTGTCCGGAAAGGATATTAGGGAGTGACCACTTGCCACTCTTGGCCCTTTCTTCCCCTCGCTCACAGCACCAGTAACATATCTGTCGAGCGATAGAAAGCGGCTTCGTACTGGCCACACCGTTCTCGCAACACGGTGCGGTCAGGCAGCTGCACTATGAGAGGAAGGCAGGGCCGAAATAGTTGATTTACAAGGTGCATACGGCATGGCGCGTAGTCGCGTACCGTTCTCTGTATGCAGGCAGCACAGCAGTTGTACTTTGGAATGTCAAGAGCACAAGACGCGATATTATGGCAAAGTTAACTTGATGTTGCATTAAATATGCCAAATAACGCCATCATGCCTGGTTTAACTCACGTCTGAACAATTTAAAACCAACATTTCACCCAGTGTGCGGCTATATTGATCGTGAGAAGCAGCCCAGCGCGGAGGCTGGAAACATGATTATGGACTCCTCGACTCCATTAAGCAATGGATTCTTATCGGATCATGATGCGGCAGCAACAGCCGATATGATGGCGTCCACGTCCAGCGCGCCAACTGGCCACAGCTGGTCCACTGTCAATGGATCCGCGTCGTCCTTTCAGCATGTTGATCTGCTGGCCGTGCTGGATGTGCTAGTGCGAAATGGGACGCTGAGCTCGTCCGAGCAACAGGTTGTGTTACAGGAGATGACGGAAGAGAAACGGTGGCAAGCGATTTTACAGATGGTGTATGCGAAAGGATTCACGGCCATGGAGAGCTTTTTCAGGTTGACCGCCATGCAGCAGCCCATAAATAGCCAAACAGGAAGTGGCATGCGAGCTAATTTTGGATTCCTGCCTAATAGCGGTTTGAACATGATGGGTGGAGGTAAGCGGACATCGGTCAATGTATAGCAAACTGCATTTTCCATTACCATTCACGCTTTTGATTTGGTTTTATTAATTGTGGGCGACGGACCGCGGTTTAAAATTGTAAGCCTTAAATGTTTTCTCTGCCGCAGACATTCAAAAAGTAAAATGGTTTTTAATTCGTATGCAGTGGAAGTTAAATTTAGATTGGGCTAATAACAATTTAGATTGGGCCAATAACATGCTTAAAAAATCGAAGTTAGATCGTTCTTGTGAATGCTACGTAATTTATTTACAGTGAAGTAATATTCTTACACAGGTGTTTCTGCTCCAATTTACATTTTTATATGCGGTGTTTGCCAGACAAATATACTCGGTTTTTCTACCTGTCTAAGCAAGTTTTCGAGGGGTCTACCGTTTTTATGTCTAGACTTGAATATGCGATTATTATTATTATAAAAACGTTGCTCTAGAAAAAGTTGAGGTTGGGTATAAATCTGACCAAATTCAAACAGTCAGCCGATCTGCGTTTAACCATATTTTACTTGTCGATCTCGTGTTTGATTTACGCTTGGCCAATTGAATGTGACCGAAGCGCTTTGTCGACTTGACATAATTTGGAGGAAGTAATGCTTATCTGATGTAGGAGAGATTGTAGCCTTCATATTTATATTTTCCCTTCGGTCTTATCAAGCACTCTTTATGGTGAATTCGAGCGTTTTTCTTTCTTCGCGGTTTTACTTTCGTCACCCTGCACGTTTCGTGTCAGGTCTGGCGTGACATGTCCACCGAATATAAAAAATATGAACTGATTACAACATGCCTGAATGTTCAGGGTTGGAGATACTCCACAATTTGTATGTTCAAAAGGCAGCGAAACTGTAGAGCAGACTTTTAGTAGCATATTTATTAAGTTTTTGAAAATAAATTTAATTTAAAGCTTGCAATTTAGTTCAGCAAATTTTGCTGTTAATACAACCTCTTTGTGGTAAATTCACAAAAGTGAATGCATTGGTATTTCTTGCGGTTAGTCACATGCGAATCGGTATTTATTAGTTTTTTTTAGGTACGGTTTTTTTGTATGTATGTGTCAGCCGGAAAGTGTTTTGTCTAAATGACTAAATCGTAAATTCGTAAAGCGAATTTTGCCTTTCTGATTTTATGGAGAAACGCCATAAGTGTGTGTTAAGTGTAAGGATTTGGATTTTGCTGTTTTTTGAACTTTTGTAACGCTCTCTCGCAGCAGTAAGGCTATTTTTGTTATTGTACATGTACAGGTACTTGTACTAGAGTATTAACGTGCACTGTTAATTGTAACTTGTAAGGCATGAACTTTATACCATCATGCATGTTATAAATCGGTCATAAATTTGATGTTTGTAATTTCCACACGAATTTCCATATTTTAGCGCCCGATAACGTGTAAACATCGCGTTCGACTGCGCTTTGCTAAGACAAATCTCCTGCAGTACTTGTCCTATCATACTTTCAGTTTCTGTTTTCCAGATTCTATACCGTTTCCGGCATAATTTATAACTACAACGTCATAAAAATTCAATATCACGTTTCGATTTGTTTTATGGTCGCGTTGGCGTGTGAGAAATCGCAGCAGCGCGAAAACACTTTCCAGTTGATTATTGGTTAGGTATCCTCAAAATCCAGTTTTTTGGATGTTACTTGCTTGTGAACCAAACAGAACAATGCCAGCTGTTAGAGTGTTAACCAGCCATCTGCCAACTGACGTGTAATTATAATTAATATTTTTCCTTGTCTATACTTTTTCACCGAACGACAAGCGGCAAACGTTACCTTTAGGCATGATTTATCTTCTTTGACTGCAGATGATCGCTTAATGGAAAATGGCTGTGTGCAACCATCAGCAGCCTTCGCTTTACACATAACTGCCATGTGAGATTAGTTTTTTTGAATGCGCTATTAGTTTTTCACTTAGCATTTTGGCTGGGAGGTTTATACCGCTATAAGTTACTTTTTGATAATGGATTGTGTAAAAGAGATGTGTGAAAAGGCGGAAAGCAACGGCATGGATACATATAATAAACACTTATTACTTTTTTAATGCCGTGACGAATAGCGTTTTGTTTGGAGATGCCACTTAAATGGTTAATGAGCCGCTTGTAAATTCTGTTATAACTTGTAACTGAAAAAAGCTAGAAATAAACAAACGGCGTAATTAATTGAGTCACTTATCAGAGCCGCTTTGACGGGACCCCGCTTACTCATGAATAATAATGAACAAAATTTTAACCATTATGTATTAAGTAATCGAAGTGGACAGATCTGTTAGTACGTATGGCTTCAGCCATGCAGGCAAATAACGAAATATATGCTGTAACTTGTCCACAGACGGCTTACAAATTTTGAGATTCTCGTTTTTTGTCGTTAACGCTCGTTTCTACTCGTTCCAGAGGTTATTTATGGAGGTTGGGAAGTAATCATTCATTCGTCGACATTTTCTTAAAACACATATTTTATCTAATTCGCTTGAAGCGAGATCACTAATTACGCCTATCTTTGATTTATCTTTATACGCGGCAGGCAATTTAGTGTCGCATGTCCCGCTGTGTTCGGCTATGCTTTCCCGCTGTTTCATGACCGAAGTTTGAGGATTTTGTAAAAGATCAGCCTTCATCGAGATTTTTGTTAGTACACCTTTTAGGCAAAGCATCAAATCACAATCTGCGCGAGAAAAGTTAAAGTAGCATCCATTTATCAGTGTACTTGGTTGTTGTTGCATGTTGACGGACATGGAATATTACATGAGGTCGAGTTGAACAAATGGCTGCTAAGTGCCGCTACGAACACGACGCTTGAGAAACGAATCTTGTTATGGCTGGGATCAAATGCATTGACCGCTAAAAAAGTAGTTGATCTGAAACGGTTTTTGTATCGATATTTGTTCGTGGCTGGGCAAAAATGTGTATATTTGTGTAAAAGGAATAAGGCAGTTCGATTATCTCCACCGTCGAATGAATATCAATCCGCTCGATATACCGCTTAAAGCTGTTTGCACGAGCTAAAAATTGTCAACGATAATGTTTGTAACGGGAGCAGATTATCCTCCAAATTCATTTTGATTATGAAGCTTAACCTCAAGAAGATTACGCTGTCGTAACCGAAAAAATTGAAAACGATTGTCAGAACATTGGAAGGTTGTAATAAAAGCTTCATGACCACAAAGTACGAAACCGCGTTAAAAGTGTATACCGGTATATGAAAGTAGCCCAACCGCAATACACAGTGGTAAAAGCAGTGCAACAAATCAGATACGAAAATTTCAAAGTAGACAGGGTTAGTTTACTAGTCAGGTATACTTCTATGCATTAAAAAAGGGAATTACTTTATTTGTTGGGGTTGATTATTTTCTCCAAAAATATATTTAAATCTGATATTTCGATGTTTTCGTACTATTTACTGCCAACCAAAAAGCTTACGGTTAGCTGCACTTATATACAGGACTGTGCTGTCTTTTAATAGTTGAAATAGTTACAACATTGTCAGGGCTTCAGGTTAATGTTTTTCGGAATACACGAGCGCTAATTGGTGTGGCGTATTATTATTACTGTAATAGCATCGTAAATTTGGACTTTATCAGGTATTAATGGTCTGCAAACTTTAGAATCCAGATTGGCATCCATTGAGCCAGTAAAACTGGAAATATCCATTTAGAATTGTTAATGCGTGCTCGGATTGTCTGTCCCATATTGAAGGCTCAGTGCAGACATCCTCGTAAAATGAAATCCGAGTGCGCTTTTGGCAAAGCGAAATTTTCGAGATCTTAATTGTGATCGGAATTTCCATTTCCATTCTGGAATTATGGGTGGTCAAAGGCGCCGAGCTGGAAGTGAAGCCTAACCGGTTTTTACTGAATTCTTGAACTTCCTACGAATAGTGGATTTGTATATTCGTCTCGATGTTGGATCGCTATATTGTTTTGTTTACGTCTTTTTACCGGTGTTTTCGAAAGAAAAATTTTGGCTTAATTTGTGCATACATTTACTAGATAGCCTGCCGAATCTTGTATGATTCTGTAAGCTGTTTTCGTTTTTATAAAATTGCGGCAGCAAATTTATTCTTGAAATTATGACTGTGTCTTTCTCACTCAAGATGTTACGTACGATAGATCAAACTGACATGCGACTTCGAAATCACAAATGAATATTTTTTGCAATGACAACAGCATTGATGCACAGTTTGTTACTAAACTGTGCCGCAATATTTTATTCGATCCACCGACGAAAAGCTGTCAAGTTATTGATTGCGGCGTTTGTTTGCAAACGTTTGAACGACTTAATTTAATGACGCTCAATACGGCAGCATCTTTTGTTATTGTACGCTAAAATGCTCTGATCATATATGCCGGATCATGTACGACTGATATTTTTCGTGTCAAGTTCTACACTACATGCGCGAACATTTACAGTCACATCGTTGGCGACTTTTGCACTCGTTTGTTTGCCACTGCTGTCATGATGCTGCTTGCAAAAGCCCCAAATTAAATGTTTTGAGGTGTGACAGCAGAAGCTAATTTTGAGAAATTTTTTCCGCGTGTGTGACAATAATGCGCAAAACAGAACTTGTAATTTATACCCAATTTGTTTTGTGAACACGCATATTTTTGACCGCCGACGTCGGGCCGTTTTTTTTTCGATAGCACCATTGTTCTGGGCATTATTTAATATTTTTTTTGAAAGATTTAGAGCTTTTAGATCTGTTTCCTATGTAGCATCACACGGTGTGAAATTGACTGATTGTCACAATTTTTCGATCTATTTGTTTGCAACAATCTGATCGGCGATGAAGATAATGCATTTTAATCTGTCGAAAACCGCAACCCCATCCGCCCCGTTCACTACAAGCTGATTAAATTTTGCCCTAATTAAACAGCTGCTTGTGTGATTAATGTAGTGACCGGAAGCGGCGTGGCTAATCAGCGGGATCAGCCGTCGTCCTCCTCCTCCACCATCGACACGCTGACCCACAGCTCAACCGGATCGGACCACAGTCCAGTGCAGTCCACAGCGCAGCACCATCGCAGCTCATCCTCATCAGGATTTCATGAGCACACTGTGCCCGCGGCGGAGCCGGGACTGCAGGAGGAAATCAGTAAGGCCATGGAGGAGCGATACGGTACCAACAACATGCTATTACGTCCCCATGACACAGTGGATACCATGGTTGGACCCAAAACAACCTTACCGACCATTCCGGAATCCCTGACGGCTGTGGATGTCAATGGATACGCGCTCAAGTCACCCAAGACATCCAACCGGTAAGGCCGTCGATTTAACGGTGGATAGGGTGTAGGATTTCACTCCGTGGTGTCTGGTTCGACATGGACCGTGCGAGTTTATGTTTGACGTGGTTGGCGCTCGGTGAGAAAGGGGCTCTCCACTTTGGTAAATTGCTCGCGCACTAATTGTCAGGTTAGACGAGCTGGGGTATTGGGTAATGTTTAGGTTTGTGCGTTTCAAGTGGCAGGCCTTTCCTTTTGTCTACCTTGATTTATGCGGAGTTTTTGTTAGACTGACCCCAGATAATCTATGCGGTTCTCACCGGTTTTCACCGCAGATTCGCATACCGTCTATCTCTCATCGTAAACAGCGAAGGTTAGTGTACGTCTAATGTTTATGTAAATTCTGTCGTCGTGCATGATACGAAAAATAAACAGATTATAGTATCAGTTATTTGGTCAGCTTAGAACGAAGAATTTTTAGGTACAGTAACAGTGGTGGACCGGTGGTCCTGATACCGTAGCTGAATTTTCTTTTGTAATTTTGGTTTCTGAAATAACCGAGACTGCATTCCTGTTATTAGCTGTACTTGTAAATGAGCTGTAGCCATCTATAAATGTTATGCATGCATTGTGTAAATTTTCATTTAGAACAGTGTTGCTGTTAGTCGAACCGGTACGTTGCGCAGATACTTGATGAATCTTTGAAGGTTACAGTTCACCTGCTGGTAAGTTTAACCTATTGTACGAAATGTTTCATTCTTAAATCTTCTGTGATTCATGTGATGAGTCTTAGCTATGATTATTTTTCAGCGTTACGCATAGCGCATAGTAATTTAACTTTTTGCCGAACTTTTTCAGTTTTCATCATGGATAAGTTCAGTCTGGTACAGTACTAGCATTAAGATTTCCTTCTTAAAGCAAACTTTTATCTCTCCATCATGGGTGAGCAGTGAATTTAATGCGCGGCGTACGCGGTATATGCCCGTGAAGTCTGTTCGTGACTTTGTGGAACAAAATTTGGATGATGCTGGTAATTTTGCTATCGAAATGCTGTTTTCGTGAATGTGCGACCGTGGACTTGCTGTTAGTTTGCAAGTCTGCACACGTGCAAGTTAAGAATATAATGGCAAAATGTCATATGTTAATACAGCGTTTTTGAAAGTCTTGTTCCATGCTGGCTTGCTGTTTTTGATATTTTACTTCAGAGCATAAGTTCGTAGAAAACGCATGATATTTTCTGGAGCATTCGAATATTTTGATTAGAGCTTGATATTCATGTGCTCGTTTAACGTAGAGAAGCTGGTCCTCCGGTAAAAAAGAACTTCTCGTAAACCGTAGCACAGATATTAAATCTGCAGTTAATATTGGTGGGAAGTTAAACCAGTAACACAAAACCTCTATATTTACTTGCTGCGTTTGCACATGTGTACGCTGCTATACGTGTGTTCGGAGCACTTCTCGATGTATTGTGCCGGAGTCGAAGAACTTCTTTTGTTTTTTGGTTTATTAACTCATATAAGGCTGCAGATTTGGCGCCCAACTAGCTGGTGTTAGGTGAGAAAATTTCTAGGCTATTTATGGTGAGTGATTGCTCACTATAAAAGCACGCATTAAATAAATAAAAGCACGTATATCGCACATAAAACACAACTATAATAGCAGCGCAGCATTCATCGTATTTATTTAATCTCGCCTTAGCGTCTATTAATCTAAGCCACGATTCCGTTTAATGCCAAAAAACGATCCAATGATCGGCTCAGGTAGTCTTCAACTCCGGTGTAAAGTTATCACTAATACGACGATAATCGGGGGCAACTGCGTAATATTTAGCGTATTAACGATTTACTGCACATTGATTGTGCCAAAACACATCTTCCCGTTCAATATTTAATTTGGCCAGCGTAATCCGCTGCTAATTGTGTTGGTATTGCTGCTGATAAATTGTGTTGTAGTAATCTGGACCACGCATCATCATCGCTGGCCGGAAACAGTATGGTCGCTCAGCTGCTGGCACTGTCCACGTCCAAATCGTCAAATTACGTTAACGCCGGTCCATCCATGGATTCGGCTGGCCAGGACACTATCGATTCAGTGGGAATGATGCCGGGCGGCACAGGGGCATCCACGGGACTGGTAAGTGAAGTTGAGCGTGAAAAATGCGGCAGATATAGAGCCACTTGGTGTTGCCTAGTGCGGCGGCATCGATTAGCTACTCGTAATCCACTAAGCAGGCACTTCCTGCAGTATTTCCTTACTTGTTCACTTGTTTGTCCTGCTGAACAATTTATTAGTGCATTTGGAATGTACGGTTTGTCAAATGGAGGGGCGCTTTTTATTCATGAGGTTGGCTAGACAAGGGTGACCCTTTCGCAGCTCTGGGTCATCCTCTTTAATGTCTGATAGTGCTGCGGTAGAGCTGCGTACGAAACATTGTGAAGTATTTTCATTAATGGAAAGATTTTCAGATTTATACGAATTTTTTCAAGACGTACTTTGGCTGAATATCACTACCATGTACGTAGATACCACATGTTATTCGATATTGCTGCTTTGTTATGGTGTACGTTCTCGTCTGCTCGTATTTGTGTAAATAATTTGTTTCGCAGATATTTTCTTGAATTTGTAATCAGAACTTTTGAAAACATTTAAGTGGAACCTCTGCAAATATACTTCGATATAGCCTTTCTTATTAGTGCCAGCCCATTCGCGGATTTACTTTGCACATCTTCGATGCGGGGAAATTGGCGATAAATTAGAGTTATCAATGCCTGATTGAACGGCATTATTGCCTTCTTTTTTGCACTTATCTAATTTACTCCAGCCTGGTTTGTCTTATTCTCAGTCGCGCACTTGAAGTTTTAACTCAATATGCGAATGAATTCTTAAGTGAATGTCATTTCTCGATGAAAATCAATATGTAATCTCCCACAGAATAAGTTGTTCTCAATGATTAGTGCCCGCGAGATAGACCAGTCTGAGCGGGGATGAGCAAATTTATTTTTTTCCTCCAATAATCTAATTTGCATTGTTGCTTATTGTCCAGCCGCGCATTTAGAATCGTCGTTAAATGCCGTTAAAGTCGCGTTCTCCGTTTATTGATTTCACTCTCCGTCCTGCTTAATTGGTTATCCACTCTAGAAAAAACACAATCACCATGTTTGACTGTGTGTATTTTTCAAGTGATATCTAGTCACTTGAGTCGACTGCTTGTGACGGAAGCGCCAGGACTGATGCATTCGACAATTGAGTGGCCGATTGTCGGATGGTTGTCGTATGGGGTTGTGGAGATGGGATCTTATTTGTACAGTCCTATGGGATTGCAGGGAGGGTCTTTGTTCTTGTTACTTGGGCCAGTGTTGGCGCTTTCTGTTGCCGCTCCGCTACATACATCTTCCGTTTCCTTATCTCTGACGGCTGGGATGTGACGTCCAATCTGGCTGGCTGTTGGCTGGATATTGCCGGCTGACTGGTTTGTTCACTAGCCGGAAGAACGGGAACCGGGATAAAGGCCGGCAGCGCATACACTGGCTTACTGCTCGTTTGATCGTTGGATTTGACCCGTTATGTTATGAAGGAAGGAAAAACGCCTGCAGACCATTACAACATCTTATGGAGGCCGATATAAACAAGCCGAACAATTTGCCGGTTTAGCGAACCCAGTCGAATCAAAGCGCAGCTGGTGTGAATGCAATTTTAATAACTTCGACAAAAACTCAGGAATAGACACCACACATCAGAATTGTGTAATAAAAACAGTTCAAGTATTAACATGGCTAATCTAATTTGAACCATTTCCTTTGCGGAAAGATGTGAAAGCGCTTTCAGGCAAATTATGGTGGCAGATGACCAGTCGGCATTAGCATGCAACATGTCATATTCATCGAGCCAATTAGTACATCATCCAGGATAACTTCCTAATGCACTATCGACAAAGGAGTATCCGAGCTGCACTTGGAGCAACTGTGGATGAACCAGTGAGGAAACCGATTGCAATCGGTTTTCATCGGTTCCGGCCTAACTTGTAGGCTGGACGGAAGTGAATCCTGCACAGTGCGTTTGTACAGCCAGTACAAGCCATTGCTGGCGGGCATAGAGCAGGCTAACCCATCACTCTTCCCGTTTACGTGCGAGCGTTTTGTCGGCTGCTAAGTCAATGTACTTATAAGAAGCATTCCAGTAAGCTATACCCGATCGTGTTAATTTCACGTCTCATCCCACCTTTTCGATTCATTGTCTTCGCGCTTGCTGGTGGTCTGTCAAATCGTTTTTCACTGAACGATTACCTTACCAAGGACTATCCACCGCCCAGCATGGGCTTTATTCGGACTGTCTTCTGGATTTGAATCGCACTGGTCATTGCGCAATCATGGCCAGTCCGCAAGCTCATCAGGGAACAGTAAACGCGCTGCCGGGTTATTCCGTGCCTGTTCGGAGGTCTTGTAAACTCGGGCCATATCCCTTTTTACGACACTGAGGCGCTCCACTTGTCCAGTCCATGAACCTTTCGTAAGAGTCAATCCCAAAGTTTTTTGTTGTGAAGTTGTATTAACATTCCTCGAGTGATCTGGTATGATGCGGAGCAGTAAATTCGTGCTTTTGTACAAGAGATGTATATGTAAATTTTCTGTTTTTAGTCACTTTAAACGTCTTATGGAAGTTTTTTGCTTATGTTTCGACATATCCAAGAGAATGCCTGGAAAGTGCTTCGTTAATGGCATAAATTGCGTTTCACACTTGTGTTTTTTTAATGCTGTTTGCCGCATGCTGACTAGAAGAATGTTTACATTCTTTGCTGCTCGCGTTTTTTTTGTAAATGGCATTATCGTGTGGTTTTCTCAAATTTGGGTAATTTCGGTTGCGATATGTGTGCATGAGCAGCATCGACTGAAAATGAGGCTGATGAATATTCGCGTCAGCTGTGAATCGCCTACTGCTAAGAATTCTCTTGATTACGATACGATGGGAATGGGCTTTACTCATTTAGGTTAATGCTAGCGGCGTTCCATGGCGATCAGCTGTGGATTATTTGACATCCATTCGGACTTCCATTTATCGGTTTTGACCATTTGTGTTGATGTTTTATCACAAATCTTAAAGGATTTCTAAATCGTTTGGAAATTTATGAGACGTTTGTCGGTTGAGTTTAGTATTCAGCTTGCTTACCCACTATGGAGCAAGCACGATCCGTGCCGCAGTTATGTGCTGTACTTATCTGTATGTATCGGTATACCAGTTTTTTTTACTTGTAGCAGAACAAAGTGTAAATTATTAAACAAAACAAATTCACTCAACTTATGAAAACATAATGTTTAAAAAGACTGTAATTTTGTGCACTGTTCATCAACGCTTTAACAAGTTGTTGCTACAGTATATTCTGTATGTGCAGCTCGGTTTGTAAAAATCTGTAAACCTAATTTTTCAAGCTATGACGTAATGAGTAATAACGAGTATTTCTGTAAAAGTGTACTCATTTATTTGGTTGTTTTCACGGTTTACATTTGGATATCGAAATACCCGGCACTTTTTTAACAACACAGTTTTCTTTTATTCGAAGATCAATGCATTGATGTTTGATGGTTCCGTCGGTATCATTATTGCATGATAAAAGTGAAATATGATTTTTTACACTCCAGCGCTTGTTCGAAAGAAGATGCTGGCATACTAGTCCATCGGCGATTCAAAAAGTTATCTCTGGGCGAAAATCGAATTAGGTCACACAAAGTGGCAGTGATTTGAAAAGGGCGTAGTTGGCCGGTTTTGCGCTATGATTCCCGCGTTTGGATTTTATATTCATTTTACTGGGCCGACGCGTACGCAGCATATCCGCCGTGCAGCACAGTCTTCCCTTCCGGCGATGCCGGGCTGTGATTTGCTGCAATTGTTTTTTCTCCTAACAAATAATTTCCTTCTTAACTATTAATTTGCTATTGTCATGCATGGAGGTGTTGTCAGATTGTGTTGTGATCGGTGCATCATTTGTCACGATCGCCGTGTGTCACTTACTGTTTATTGTTTATGTTCCGAAGCTTTTTCAGGTCGTTAAGGGTTTAATTGCCGTACACGGCGGAGGCCAGTATCGACGCCCACTGAGCATTGATTTTTGGAAGATTCTGCACAGACTTGCGTGGTGTTTGTTTTTTACGAGGCCAGTCGTAAACATTGCGCGATTTAAGTGTGGGTAACGATTTATTGATTTATGTTTATAATTGTGTGTACTTTATAATCGCCTACTTGTTACCTTCGTGCTGTATAATCGTACTGTTGGTATAATAATGCACCGCACTATGATCGATGGTTAACATAAACCATAATGGTTATCCCACTTATACATAATACGTCCTTTATGTAAACATTTCGCACTGGAAACGGCTCGGAATTATTTCGAAACTTCTTAAAACTGGTCGATTAGAACGTTCACCTATGCATCGCACCCTTGCTGCTTTAGTGAAAAATTCAGTCAGGAGAATTGTTTTATTGGTACAAACTTGGGAATTGCTAACCAAAGGGAGCAGATCGCAACATTTATTTCTAAGAAACTGAAATAACTTCCTGGGAAATAAAATATTCTTTATAGAAGTTGCTACAAATTTGGTAATTTAATTATTATTTGATGCTTTCCAGTGTGTAATATCTAGAGACAGTGTGTTATACATTGAAGCTCTTTATTATTTCGTGGAAGTTTCTTTACTCTTTGAGCAGCAAATAGGTAGTAGCATTATAGCATACGTATTTACATTCTGAAGCAGTTATTGGGCACAAGCTGCATGTAACTGGTAGGCACTGGGCAGTATTAATTTCGGAAAGTTCATCTCTAGAGATTAAATTAAAAGTGAACGAATTCCGTTGCGCGGACGAAACTGCAGGAAATTTGAAAATTTAATAGCTGATGTGATTGCAATATCGTTTTGATTTACGACAGTAATTCGGAACTGACCACAACCTTTTGCAGTAGTGGACAAAGAGCGCGCACGCTTTTTTCATGATACAGTGCAACCCCATGAACTTCCGTGTGTGTGCACGGAATTACGGGGGCGCTGGTCACGATCAGGAGGCGTGTACAACTGTACATGCAGTTTTGCAGGGCTATGGAAAAATGATCGGTCTTCTCTCAACAGAAATGTTCTAGTTGAATAAACAATTTAAGCAGTGATATTGTGGTCTTTAAAACAGATGTGAACCTCTCGTTAGTGAGCCGTGAACAGAGTTGCGCGTCGACGCTGAGCGGACATAACGCGCTAAACGCCGCATCGGATGCGAGATGCAGTATATTAGTGGACATTGTTCTTTGTTGGATTAGGATAGCATAATGACAATGACATCATGCATTTAATGAGTGGAGAGAGCTGTGCTTGAGATTGACAGTTGTAGAGTAGAAAAGTAAATGAGAAAGAGTTATATTTAAGAACTCCAAACAGACAGAGAAGCCTATGTCATCGTCGACACGCCCATTGTGTTCACTGTGCGGTCCGCGTCGCCACGGATATTGTTGTCCGTTGGGTAAATTTAGTTTTGCTTATGCCGGCGACGGATGGTGGTTTGCTTTTTAATACGTTATCAGTCCCCTTACCTGGGCTTTTATCGAAGTCTGACTCATTTTTGCTGCATGCTTAAGCATGCTGGAAATTTCATCTAACATTTGCGCCGGATGTTGTTGTGGAATTACTTTCTAATTGCGGAATATTGGTATTTTTTCTGATCAGAATGCGAGTCAAGAAAAATGTAAGTTTGGCCTGCATTTTGTAGGTTTTTTTTTTAGGTAATTTCCCGTTTTTACGCAGCTTTAGCATTTACAGACACTTACTTAAATCAACTAACAGCCAGAGTAAAATTAATTTGATATGTATTTAAAATTGCTGTATATACTCGAGAAACAATATATTTGCGCATTATCTTTAATGAAAATGAGGGAAAATGAGGAAGAATGCTTGTGCTTGTCGGTTTTGCATTAAATTATTGGCTGAAAAACTGGTTGCATCAGAAAGATGTAGTTGATTAGAACTGCTGTGGATGTACCGGATTTTAGCGTTAGGTTAATTACTGCTTAACTTTTAAAAGTGTGAAATTGCTAGGTAGTTGTTGCTTGATTTTGGTAGTTCCTTCTGTTTTTTGCATTTCTGTGCTTGTATTTTAGCGTGTGGTTTTAAGTACATGCTTGCAACATTCATTTGCAATTTTATTGCCAGATTTTTCATTGCCTTTTTGCATGCTTTCTGGGAAACAGCAAATTCAGCATGTACTCTATTTACAATTATAATCCACTACACAAAAACGTTTATAGCTTCCAGTTGACATTGATGAAGTGCTTGTCTGTTATGTTAAATTATTGCAAATGATTTCAAGAACCTGTTGAAACCAATACGAGTATTATGAAATACCGGTAATGGACACCTTTTCGTTTCCAGATCTTCCGTATTAATGTGTTGCGAATATTATTATCGGTGGATAGCCCGGCAACCTACGTTGCTAATTGCTTAGATTAGCAATTAATGTTTTCGATGTTTCGGAAAAAATTGTGGCAGACATCCATTACAGATTTTTCACAAAAGACCCATTTCATGACCGTTCGTGTTTACAGAACGAAGAGAATGACCAGTGGGAGCTAACGGAGATCACCCTGTCCAAGGTGAGTCATCCAGGATCTTTGTAATAGATTTGCTTTGGCTATTGTGCTGATAAGAATAGTGATAATGATGACAGTTGAATGGGCTATCGTTGTTGCGCCATCTATAAGTAGACACTTGGTGTAATGCTTTTCTCATTGCAGCTGCCACCCTATGGATTTGGGATAGCGGTCAGCGGTGGTCGGGATAACCCGCATTTTGCCAATGGTGACCCGTCCATCGCCGTCTCCGATGTATTGAAGGCTGGGCCGGCGGAAGGCAGACTATTGTAAGCGGAAGACATGATTTTGGTGATTGCGATATATGCTTTTTACTGATAAATTTTTCTTTTTCAGTATTAATGATCGCATTATCCGTGTTAACGGCATCAGTCTGGAGAATGTGGATTATTCTTATGCTGTTAACATCCTGAAGGTAAAGATATTTACAGGCAGACAGGCTAAACAGATATTCCCAAGAATGTTATGAATTATTTTTGTTTGAATTTGTTAATAATTGATACAGTTCGACAACTAAGAGAAACCTTTGGTGATTTAAACCAGATGTATGCAATATGCAGTAGAATGTATGCAATATGCGCCGATGGTTTGTTTGAAAGTGATTGACTTATTTATTTGCAACTGTATTTTGTTTTCTCGTTAATCCGTTTATGTAATGTTTGGGTTGACGAAATGATTTGATACGATTTCATGCAAGTACAATAATGCGCATGACATGAATTTGAATTTATATTGGCAGCATTATGTTGGTTTTACTAACTGGCAGGAGCGGCCATTTGTGTGAGCTCGGTGTTTTAATTAGCAACATACCTGCGCAGTTGGCGTTACATAAAACGTATTTTTTGATAGGACTCTCCTCCGACCGTTTGCCTCTTGATCAAACGCCGTGTGGCCCTTCCCACACCCACAACTCCTTCGCGCTACGCACCCACTTCCTACGCGGTCACTCTCAACAAACCGCAGTCGAGCAGCAAGAAGAAAGACGACTACAATGGCCTCGTCCTGGGCTGCATCCTCTACGTTAAGGACATCACCAACCGGTCGTTGGCCGATGCTCACGGTATCCAGATCGGCGATACGGTGCTGCGGATCGGCACAACACCTGTTGATCATCTGACGTTCCATGAAGTGAAGAAAGTGCTGGAGAAACGCCAGAAGGACCGTTTGACCATGGTGTTTCAGCGACCACGGGGCACGCGCTCGGTACTGGGGCATAATGCTCTGATGGCCTCGTCGTCCAGCAATCCCAATACGCCGCCGATTAGCCAGCACCGTCGGCAGAGCAGTCAGAATGTTTATACGGAATTACCCACCAAAACCGATAATCATGTCAGGCAGAAGTCCGTCGATTCGATGGATGGCAAGCTGGTTAATGCGGTTAATAGGTGAGAAAAAAAGCTGGTGGGGACTGGTCAAGTGGGATTATGACACTTGCTGATCAAGTGGACAACAACAACAGCTTAAGCATAATTTCGCCGTAATGTCTGAGGAAGTCATGTGAAAATTTCGGTAGCACTGATTTTAAAGTAACTTTAATAAGCATTCGATTTGTTAACTAGAGTGGTGTTCGTACAATAGTTTAATGATTACTTTCAGAACTTTTATTCATGATTTTTAATTCGGTAAAATAAACTTATAAGTTTTAAACCCTAATAGTTTCATAGTTGGTTTTCATAGTTTCTTTAGTCTTATTTAAAGACCTGCATGCGCGTTTTAAAAGCAGTATCCATAAGTATGCATTATTTGCGGCCAGAAATTTGATGAAATCTTGGCTTTTATAGAAAATCAAATCTTGGTTTTGTAGTGGTATTGTGGCTGTTGTGTATTACACGTACCTATACGGTTAAAAGATATTCAACCACTTGTCAAATTGCCCTTACCGGCATAGTTTATGTTTATGGCCATGTCAGTATCGACCGTTAACCGCGCTTTTGTAGAAGCCACTTGATTCTCTATGTGTAATTGTTTCCGACAGTGAAATGTCATGTTTTCATCGCCTAATTATTTGATTTGCTGCATGGACTCAAGTGTATTTAGTAATTAATTACGGGCTTAATACACAGTGCGACCACAGCGTACCGTTCTTCGACCAAGTTACTCCATCTTATTCACAATAATTGGGTTTTGATAAATGTCGCTTCTGTTGATATTCAGCAGTAGAATGAGGATATCGAATCTCATTACACTGATTATCGGTTTTTGATGAGTCTTGTTGATTGTGAGCTCGATCATACGCCTTACTCTTATGAGAAATAATCCATTTCTGGTCCGTTTGTCGCACATTTTTTTTCAAAACAATGGCGTAGACAATATAGATACAAATTGTCGAAGTTTCAAATTTGACAGCTGTTATTAAATTTGTTATTACTGATATAATTTCGGAACAATAGAAGTGAAAATATGTGAAACATGTCAAAAATTAATCCTAGATATCTGGCTTTCATTTCCAAAAATGGTTATTTTGCATCCATGTAGCTGTCTGAATATTTTGACACATTTTGTACTTTTTGCAGAGGCGAACGTTCTCACCATGCTGTTCGTTCAGCGTCAATGAATTTGAACCTAAATAAGACGGAAATTTCATCTCCGCTGGCCGTGCAGCGAGTAGCCATTCCCGTATTGCCACCGAAAGCGCTTCCGGATGGACCAACCTCGTCCGGAAACCGCTCAGAAGGCAGCGGTTTTCCAATTACGTCGCCTTATACGCATACACAATTTTCCAACAAACGTGAGTGTTCGCCTAGTATGGTTGACCGACCATCATATACCACGCGTAAATATACGACTGAAAATTTAAGCAAAATAATGTGATAACCCAGCCTCGACCTAATGGTAAATCCTCGAAATTTGCCAGTGAAATGGGCTTCGTTGTATTGATAGAATGTTTTACATTTTCAGCGACTACGGAAAGCCCACACGATGCTATTTCGCTGTCGTCTGACTGGCGCTTTCCTGATCCGCGATTTGTCTCCTTCCGGAAGGACAGCAGCGTTGGAGTGGGGCTTCGCTTAACGGGTGGGAACGATGCAGGCATCTTTGTGGCGGCTTCTTCACCAGGCAGCCCGGCAGCCATGGCAGGCCTGATTCCCGGCGATAAAATTCTTAAGGTACCAAAGATGGCGTTAGTCTCTTCATAATTGTAAGGTACATTGTATTTATAGAGTAAAAGATTACAGCGCGGCACTGCGTTAACACAGCGTGACGTATGCTGCAGATTGCATATATATATATATATATATATTATTATTTATTATGAGAGGAATGTGCAAATGGTAACAAATTCGAAAATAATACGTTTAAATGATTATGTTATTCTTATATTTCTGAAATATATAAAAAATGCTTACGACTGCATAACTTTACAATAAAATGTGTCAACATTATAAGCCGATTAGGAAATGTAGTGGTGTCATGTTATGTTCCGGTCGGTTAGCGGCGTTTAATTTTTGCGGTCATTAGACGATAGACGCCGGTTGCAGGTGAACGATAAGGACATGAAAGGTGTGACGCGTGAAGAAGCGGTGCTGTTCCTGCTGCACTTGAGTGAGCAAATTGAAATGGTTGTGCAACATCGGAAACAGGAGTTTGATTACATAATCGCCAATCAAATAGGCGATTCGTTCTATATCAGGTACGAGTAGCCACTGCGACGCGCGCTAATCGGTGCGCTTTGCCGTTTGCCGCAAATGTCCATCAAAGCGTAGAGGACAGCAGCGACGGCTGTTTGTTTGTTGTGTTCGCGGTCGAGCTTGTTATCCCCTGGTGCTTAGCATATTTTATTGATTGGGGCTGTTGTCTTTGTTTAGAACTCATTTTATATATGATCCGGATAATAAGAATGATCTGTCTTTTCAACCGGGAGATGTCTTTCGTGTTTTGGACACCCTGCACACCGGCAGTGTCGGCACGTGGTTTGTGGCCAAATTGTCGGCCAACAAAGTGGAATCGGTGAAAGGCAGCGTGCCAAATGCTGTGCGGGCTGAGGAGCTGTCCAAAATTGTGCGAAGTAAGCCAGATTTTCGATTGTTGATTGGCAAATAGATTATGTGAATTGCAAATTGTTTTGTTCTATCGCATTAGCATATTATTAGAATTAGCAATCCGTGATCTCTTGTATTCCCCCGGGCTAAAGTTTGAATTTGTGATTAAAGTTTCCGTTTATGTATTAGCAGCTGACGCAGTTGCAGTGTCTTTCTGTGAATATCTTTTATTTACTGTAATTCCGTCTTATAAATTATGTTGTTTTCAGATGAATTTTTCTCTCGCTTTTTTACTTTGTTATAATTACACTAAAATAAAAAGTTTAGATAACTGAACATAACGGGCTAAAATTATTTTCAGATGGACCAAAATCATCAAAACCCTACACAAATACATTGGCTGACCGTATCCGTCGGCGGAGTCGACGAGCGAAATCACTGACTAAAGACCAGTGGGAAGAAGTAGCTTTTGCCGGTGTCGAGACGAAATTCCCCGCGTATGAACGTATCGTGTTGAAGATGCCGCACTTCCAGCGACCAGTGGTCTTTTACGGCCCGCTAGCCGATATTGCTCGAGAAAAATTAGTCCAAGAATTTCCAGAACGTTATGCTGCTCCTCGTACGTCCTGCTTCTTATTTCTCTGTATACTGTTAAAGTAAAGTGTGAAATTTCTCATGATTTTAGAACTCGATGCAGGCAACGGTGAAGATAAACCCGGCATTATCCGGCTGAGTGTCATTCGGCAAACCATGTCACTGGTATTACAACCTTATCTAAAATAGTGGCATTGCCAGTTTTCGAATTTACGTAATTTTGAAATGTTTTATGTGCTGTTTGCGTATATATACAGTCTTTGCGGCATTTTGCTTGAATTTCAGAACAAGCACTGCGTTGTCGATTTGACCTGCCAGGCTGTCGATCGATTGAACTTTGCTCAAATGTATCCCATTGTGATATTTATGAAGGCCGACAGTAAGGACGTGGTTAAAGAAATTCGCTCATCGGTTGATCTCAAGCGAAAAAGCACAAAAAAGCTCATTATCGAAGCTCAGAAGCTGGAGAAACAAGCCGCATTCCTTTTACTGGTAGGAATGTATTCCATTAAATCACTTAAAGTATTATTAAAATTATTAAGCATAGAATTGTATCACCATTACTCACCGCAAGACTTTCCAATAAGTAGCATCTGAATGTCTTCTTTTATTATTAGGTGTTGTTCCTATCAAAAACAAGAACAGTTGGTTCCGCAGTGTGTGCGAGATGATCGAGCAGCAACAGCAGACACCAATCTGGATGACAGAAAAGCCGGTAATTTGAATTTTGATTGTGTTTCTCTTATCATGATTCTAGTGTCATTCATTGTGTTGCACGCGGTTTACGCTACTTGCCGGCTAATACGTTAGGCGTACTGTGAGAGTGTGCTGAAGTGTCATGTAATTCGTTTTCTAACGCAGCCGGAGAACGCCCTGGCAGACGACTTCCTTTTCCCTATGGCTTCCTCATCACTGTACAGCTGCGCATCGTCTGGACCGGAAAGTGACGCGGAGACACTGTACGATGCGGCGCCGCCGCCTCCACCGCGGAGGATATCCCGCGATGACGGGATGACAGGCTCGACGCTGACGCATGGTCGCTCGTCGGGATTAGCGTCCAGTCGGTCCGTTCATGCTGGGGTTAACGGATTCAGTGAACCTTTGTACAAGGGCGCTCCCGTCAATGACTCCAAGGAAAACCGTCCAATGCTTCCCAGTTATCAGATGTCTCCGCGAATTGTAAGCCCTGTCGACGTAAACGTATTTAATAATATCACACACTCTGTGGAATTCATGCACTTCGTTAACTAAAGACTGAAAAATTCTACGAGCACATGCCTTAGTTTTGTTTCTGTTTACTGTTCCAAACATGAAACTTATTTTTTTCGTGGAAACGAAGTTTTTCGCTGTATAAGGGTCTGTTCCGAATTTTGTTACCGTATGTATGCACTATGCAGTAGTTTTGTTTTTTATTGTAGGATACTAATGATCCTAATAGCAGTGTCAATATCTTCGCAACGCTCCGCATTCCGAAACCACCGATGGCACCAGGATCCAATTTCTCACGTCGACCACGACCACCTCCCATTACCATGCCGCCACAAATCGGCGACAGTTTCGATCGGAAACCAATTTCCAGTATTAGCTTGGCCGATCTTTCAAATGGCACCAGTACAACCAGTAAGTGGCCAGTCCGGCTTTCCAAAATTGTAGATAAGTTCAGATTTCACTAATTCCGTATCTTTTATTTTAGCAGCCGTTTGTTTTCTAAGTTTTGCTGTTGTATTGGGTCTAAAATCGGTGACTTCTTACAGATGGCACACCGTCCACTTCCGGCACATACGAAGATCCGAAACACTACGATCCGTATCGTATTTGTCGACCGACAACGCGCGGGCACTCCTTCACTTCTACCACATTAGACCGGCATTCACGTGCTGTTCATAATCAGGCTTCCTTTACTACGCCCGACCCACGGATATCTCCCAGTGCTGCCTCCACCAGCCCGAGTAAGAACAGCAGTGCCACGCAGTCTTCCGCCACCAGCAATAACGGCTATATCAACGCCTCGGACATTTACGTCCGGCATCCGTCCATTAAAGAGGAGCAGGCGCCGCCATTGCCTCCTAAACCTAAGTATCTGACGAACGGTCGGCTGAAGATGGCACAGAATGGACACGCCGAGAATATGTACGCAGAAACTGGATTCGGTCATGGCAGCAATGCGGCCAATGGAACATACGGAAAATTGCCGGCACGACCTGTTGCACAACGTGAGTGAAGCAAAATTAAAGAGTAGTAAAAAGCGATGATTAAATACTGAGCGTCAAAATAATTATAAAATAAAATCAATAATAATAGTGATGAAATAATGTATAATGGAACTTTACACGCAGGTTGCACTGCACGGCCAATATATGTGGATCAAACGGACACGTTGACGCATCAGAAAACCAACGGCCACCGTCAGCATGATCTCATGAATTTCCCCTTTGTGGACGATGAACGCGGAATGTCCCCCAGTCAGATGAACTTTCCTCCGCCACCCGATGATTTCCTCAGCTCACCCAAGAAACTGCATGCTCCGGATGTGATTGATGAAGTTCGCGGTTTCTTTGACCACAACGGTGAGCGGAAGCGTGTTTGGATAACGTACCAGTATGTTATATTGTATGAATTTTAATGTGCATTTCAGGAGGTATGTTGGTATCGGAAGAGACTGGCGTCAGTCTAATCATCCCACCGGGAGCACTGGCTCATGGTGTCCGACAGGAAATCTATTTCAAAGTTTGCCGGGAAGAAAATGTGATATCAACACTGAACAAGGAAAAGGGTAGGTGACCCTTGGCATCTGGTGTTGGTGGATCTTGGTTTACAGCTGTACTAATGCTGCTTACTTTAGGCGAACGACTCCTTTCTCCGTGTGTTCTGTGTGGACCAAAAGGGATATCCTTTTTGAAGCCGCTGGAACTGAAACTGCCACATTCCGGCAATAACAGTCCCGTCAGTGGGCACTACGGCGTAAAAAGTCCATCCGCTCGATCGAACGGTAGTTGTGCTTGTAATTATTTGATAGCTCTGATATTAGCAGTGCTATAGTAATCGTAATCTGATAGCTAGAGAAGGCGATATCGAAGTAAAACTGACTAGTTCTGTATGGAGCATAACTGCGAACCTATTGTTAATATTATCTATGTTACCGGATACCAGTTTCAAACAATTAATTATGTAATTTTGACAAATTCTGTTTCACAGTTTCTGACTCTTTATTAGGCATTCTAATGGATCGCAGTCAAAATCTGCAGACGAAGCCGAACAGTCCTAAGTTCGCCGGTGCACAGGGAAGTGTGTCGGTGTATGTGGATCGGTTCTGATTGTGAACAGCCACCGGCGTCCATTCCGTTGCTTGTTTCCGCATAGCATAGCTTTAGATGTATACATGGTTGGGTTTTTGTTTGCCTTTGCATGGGTAGGTCCTTGTCTTTTCTGGTTGTTGAGAGCCTTAAAAAGGTTGCGAACCGGATTGGTTTGTTAAGCATTGTGCAAAGCGCAGCTAACACATAAGCTTGTTATTTCCTTCTGAAAACCTTTGTTAGAAAACGTTATTGCTCGTTGTACGAGTATAATTGAGCCGAAGCGAAGCGTACACTATAAAAGTCAGTTGCATACCCAAACAGACTTTTGGATGGTCTTCAGTTATTTCTTGGTACTAGGAACGTTTGGTCGGTTAAATTCACGTTAACAGGAGTAGCAAATACAAGCAAATAAACTTAAAACAGTACCGTTGTATGAACATGCTCCTGGTGCACCATCGCACTCGTAATTTTTCCGACACGACACCTTCTGGTCACTTCGTTGTAAGGTATTTCTATTGAAGAGGAAGGTTCATGGAAAATCAGGTTCGTTTCTGGATTTCTCGATACTGTTTCTTGTATCGAGCTCTGTCATTTCTCCAGTAAGTGGGACATATTGCTCTTGTCAGATCCTAGAGTGAATTTTTAAGGCGTACTGAAATTCTCATACAGCCGAAGCATGATACGTGGAATTATAAGGTAAAACCGTAAAATACTCTGTACAAGAAAACGTAAAGAAAATATAAAATACTAGTAGTTTCTCATGGCCCTCGTTCTCTGTCTGGGATGGTTCGTGTGGTTTATAGTGTCATCACTGTGATATGTGGGCTGTCAGTAAGCAGCACAGTTTAGAAGACTTGCTCACTCACTTATCCATTTCTTTTCGCAGACTTCGTGTTACAAAAGTCGTGCCAGCTCTCGGTGGTGCTGAGAGTGTTCGCGGAACTAAAACAGAAGCTAGCTCCCTGTGGAACTTCTTCGCAGGGATAAGCGCATGATATTTAAGCCAACCGGCTTCTGTAAGCCACCGTTTCGACGGAAGGAAAATGAAGATATCTGGTGGCGTTTGATAAGAATTAACATAAAGGTTTCTGTTAGTGCCTAACAAACTCTTGCTTTGTCCTCGAGTTAGCGATAGCGATTGTAACGGAGTTGAGTCAAACAGTCCAAGCATAGCTATTCTAAACAGGTTCAGCCTGTTCAGGTGCTTCTAAATGTTATTTAGGGCTTGTGTGTTGACCTGTTTTATTTCAGGCGGATATTTCTCCTGGAAAAGCTGATTTACGATTAATCACGTGAGTGCGATGTAGAATCCATATTTTTTGAAAGCGAGCAGGTCACTTTGTCTTCACTCAAATCTTCTTTCTCTTCCTTGTACCTGTACGTATCGGTGTACCTATGATTTTAGTGGCTCGTTTTAAATTTAAATTTTTAAATGCACGTAATAATTATATTACGTTGCCAATATATCTGTACATGCAGTCATTCGTAATCTCTTGTTTCGCATTAGCTCTGGGATGGCATTGTTATGGTTTGTGACTGACTACTGTTGTTTAGAATTCCACAAGGACATGATATTACTATATAAAATTCGTTACAGAAAAAAGTGAGGAATACAATGGAAACAGCCACGTAAGCTTTCATATTCCCATACAAACAGATGCTACAGTTGTACAAGCGAATTGCAAAATAGGTACTACCAAGATGTTGGTTTTATTTCCTTAAATTTGCGATTGTGCTTGTAGTGTACAAAACGATTAGAATCCACAACAAATTATACAAGGAATAACAGTCTCGTACAAAATGTACCAGGACAGATATTGCACGTTTTCGGAAGACTTGTGAAGACTGTGAACAAAGTAACAACGTGAGTATAAATTGTTGAAATTCTGGTGTGGTCACAAATTAATAATTTTAGAGTTCCACTGTGGCGGTGATTTTTTTTCAAACATAGCCAAAACATCGCTGAAACTTCTCATTTGCATTTCTTTTCAAACATCTCGAGTACTCACCCGGCCGGCTTCCTGGATCGAGCAGTACCAGCGCAGATGACCTCAAAGTATTTACCAACAGTGGTGATGGTGCATGACCTTTCTACCATTGTTGTTTAAATTTTCATGAGACTGCGCTGGCGGTAGTAGGAAAAACGAACTAAAAAACATTGCGATTTGCAAAGAATTATTCTCTTGAGTTCCGACTATAAATAGCTCGTAGCGTCGTAGGGAAAGCGTACGGGTTCCGGATCGCAACCGTCCTCTCCAAGTGCAAGTAACTCAGTAAGGCGTAGTCGTGTCTCATGTAGAGTGCCGAGGCGCATGGACTAAAGGCCTTCCGTTTTCTGACCGTTTTCTGAGATGGAGAAAAAGTTTCGCGAGGAGACGGTGTTGACAAGCTTCCGAGGTCGCAGAGGTCCGACGACACTGTCACTTCGACTGCCCGTCCCGTCGTGGTGATCGAAACGTGTATTGCCCTTTTGAAAGGATCGAATGGCCAGCAGAAAATCGCTTTATCCTGTTATCTGGGCACTTTATATTCGTCGTATATTTGCTTTCGTGTACTTGCAAATACATTTCTTACTGTCACGTAATGAAATGATAAAAAAACTACAACACCGCACCTTACAGATTTATTACAGATTCAGACTTAAGACAATCTTAGTTTTTATCGGTGCAACCGTACAGCATAAGAAAGCGCCTCTGATAAAAAAGAGCCACATTTCCTGCAGCTTGTCACCTTGTGCGCACAGATGGTTCTGGTGTGGAGACTGAATTTTAATTCGTTTTCATTGTACTCTGATTTAAGTTGTAAACTGGTAAGTTGTATCTTTCTGTTTTCGACTACATATTTTCTCGACCGCTCAGAGATGTTTTGATTTTTCCTTTTAGCGAAATATAGACTTGCAAAAACATACTTACTGTTTTGAAAGCAGATCTGTACAGTTCCGTGGCTGACACTTAATTTTCGCCCAATTTTTCTCTGATTTGGGCTTTCCCACTGACTTCCCCAGGGACCCCAACCAACGCATTGTTATAGTTCCTAGAGGACTCCTTGGGAGATCTAGACTCCCAAAACGAAAACATGATGCGTGGAATTCGAAGGTGAAATAATCTGATGACTTGGAAAGATACAGCGGTCAAGGCGGGTAGATAAGTACATAGTGGCTGAACGAAAACAAAGTTACGGTTGTTTACAGTACCATAAACTATAAAGCAAGCGTCACCGATTTTCTGTTTTGCCTCTGATGAATTCAATTGATTAGTCGGGGAGCGCTCTGGTTTCCACTATGCATCTACCCGCCTTATAGATAATCCAGACTCCAGAGAGATGGTGGTTTGCGAAAGCTTTGCAGAATAGTTCGGAACAGCTTATTTTGACTGGTATGATTTCAGCTTCAGCAAATGTCATGTTGTGAAAGCAGCGGCAGCTTTCTGCACTGCTGTGGATGTGCGCGGAACTGAAAAAACGGCTTTGGAGTGTTTGGGTAACGATCGACGGTTGATATTCACGCCAACGAGCTCCTCGCGTCCACCATTTCAGCGGAAAGAAGATGAAGCTATCTGGCGACGTCAAGTAAGGGTTTCAACTAGACCGTTTAAAATGGGTACTGAGTCATATGAGTGCAATGCTCGGTACTCACGAAGGGAAGTGTTGTCCTCCAGTTAGCATCAGTATATTGATTGTGAGTTTATTCCACATCGTTGCAAGAGTTTTATTAGGATGTTATATATATTTCCCTGTGAATACCAGTGAATGATCTATCCGGTCGAAAGTTCTCATACTAGTTTGAGCTTTAATTTTTAGGCGGATGTTTCTCTGGGAAAAACTGATCTGATTACGTGAGTATGGTCAGGCTTCCATGCCTTTTGACCGTTTTGGGGTTTTTTATTTTGTCTAATGCCCACTTGCAGTTAAGTGTCAGTACATACGTGAAAATATTAGGTTTATTATTTGAACAGTATGTAAATGTGGTACTCTACTATTACAAAATACAGCGAGCGGAGCGAAATGCTTGTTACCGGCTTTCTAAATTGAGTGCTTTAATGTGACGGACATTCGTCTTACGAAATCGTGTAAGGTTAATTTCGATGTTGTGATCACCCAGTCTGATTCACATCCGCTCAGTACAAAGAATATCGGCGACAGCAGGTTTAATTTATTACAAACTACCAGTATAATAGTAGTGGCTACATAGCACAAATTTCCGTTGAATGTCTAATGTTCGTGTCACTTTTTTAAGGTATCTGAAAAAAGCCCCATGGAGTGGAATTGTCACCCCGGACATTCGGGAATCGATCGATTGTCACATGGGAGGAACGTGGATCGCTGCTAACTACCTGGTTGGATGGAGCGGAATTTTGCGCCATTTGCTTCCACAGTTCTGTGGCTACACTTTGCAATGGGAAATCCTGAAACGTCAAGGGATGGGGTTATTTTTCGACCACTTGACCGTTTCGAAAAAGGACCGCATTGGGAAGCAGCGGGTTGTGTTGGTTCTCGTCGCTCATGCACTGATCGAAGATTATGGTGAGGAAGATTTCAAAACCTACACCGATTTCAAAATGTCCTTCATGCGTGGTGCGATTGGTGAGCGCGTTGAACTCTTGGCGGCAGCGGGACGAACGGGTCATCGCGTGCACTGGATCGGTGCGTTTGGATGGCAGTTTGTTGTTGGAGTGAAAAATGAAACTGGTGATGTTATGCAGACGACTAAGAATTGGTATGACGTTTTTCAGGCGTCGTCTAAAGGTGTTCTCCTGAAACTTGTCAAAAGTATTGACGAACTGATCTTGTGAACAGACGATCGTAAACTTTTCTTACTGTTTTTCGTACTACTTAGTTCGCACCAGTGTTGCTGTTACTTTTATAAATCTGTAACGTATATTCCAGTACATAACAATGTAAAAAGCGATTAAAGCCTATTTACTGAATCCATTAAGAGCAAATAATACTGCTGCAAATATGGGTTTAGCCTTGCTCCTTTTCTTGAACTGCTCTTGTGGTTAAAAATGCCGTGACTTTCTGTTGTTGTGTTTGATCGCTTGGGATGAACCAGTGTCATCCCATTCGGAGCCACGATACGAACTGGTAAAGACGCTGTTGTTGGACGGAGGTGTCGCGGTTTCCACCACCCGTTTGGAGTACTCATTTAGAATGTCCTCGGAATCGTCCGCTTCCGGTGGTACATGCGGCAGTTTCGGTCGCCCGGAGGGAGTTTTCGGGATGGCCAACAGCTGCGCAACGATGGGCGGAACATTTGGAATATCGGGATTTAAGCTTTGGTCATTTCCCTCTTCCGCTTCGCGAGTGGCAATCACGGCGTTCAGCTTATTTGCTGACTCTTCCGGAACGAAACGAAGAGGTCGATTGCTTAAGCAAATATTCGCTGTGTATTTTTCTACCGTATATATGCAGTATATGTATCTTACTGCAGGATACCAGCGATCCTAATAGCAATGTCAATAGACTCAATACCTTTGCAAAGCTTCGCATTCCGAAACCGCTGCTGGCACCGGGATCCTGTTTCTCACGTCGCGACGACCACCATGTGCAGTGTGCACGCACATATTACCGTGCTGGTGGCACGAGTACAACCAGTAAGCGGCCAATTTAATTACTGTATTGACTCGTCATTCCGATCAAATCTAGGTTTCGAGAGATGAAGAATTTTTAATTTGAAAGCCGTAAATTTATAAGTTGTTATACTGGATCTAAAATTAGTGAGCTACTGCAGTCTGCAGATGACACACCGTCCACTTCCGGCACTTATCAGGATCCAAAACATGGTGATCTATACATACCGTACTTGTCGGCCGACAACGCGCGGTCACTCCTTCACATCCAAGACATAAGACCGGCTTTCCCGCGTGCTGTTCATTACCAGGCTTCCTTTGCTGCGCCCAAACCAGTGATATCTCACAGTGGCTGTCTCCACCAGTCCGAGTAAGAATAGCAGTGCCACAGTCTTCCGTCACCTGTACCAACGGCTACCTCAACGAGTCGGACATCTACGTCCGGTATCCGTCCGTTAAAGGAGCAGGCGTCGCCATCGTCTCCTAAGCCCAAATATCTGACGAACGGTCGGCTGAAGATGGCGCAGAATGGACACGCCGAGAGCTTTAAAGGGAAACGGGATTCGGTCATGGCAGCAATGCGGCCAGTGGCGCGACCTGTTGCGCAACGTGCGCAAAAATGTTTTAGAGAGTAGCAAGAGCTTGCAATAAAGTTAACAGTGAACGAAGTGTAATGGTTCAGTTTTTACATAGGATGCATAGCGTACCCGATTTATGTAGATCGAACGGACACCCTGACGCATCCCAAAACCGACGGCCACCGTCAGCATGATCTCATGAATTTCCCCTTTGTGGACGATGAACGCGGAATATCCTCCAGTCAGATGAACTTCCCACCGCCACCTGATGATTTCCTCAGCTCACCCAAGAAACTGCATGCTCCGGATGTGATGGATGAAGTTCGCGTGTTCTTTGACCACAACGGTATCTCGGGAAATTGACTTCGATAGAATACCGGTGATTTGTATTGTATTGTATTGTATGTATTTAATGTGTATTTCTGGAGGTATGCTGGTGTCGGAAGAGACTGGTGTCAGTCTCATTATCCCACCTGGAGCACTGACTCATGGTGTCCGACAGAAAATCTATTCACAAGTATGCCGGGAAGAAAAAGTGATATCAACACTGAGTCACTGACTTAATGAAAAGGGTGGGTGAAATGGCATCTGTTGCTGGTCTACAGCCCAGATAGTCTTGCTTACTTTAGGTGAATGACTCTTTTCTCCATATATTCTGTATAGCTGACCGAAAGGTATATCCTCATGAAGCCGCAAGAATTGAAGCTGCCGCATTCCGGCAGTAATAGTCCCGTCAGTGGGCATTACGGCGTAAAAAGTCTGTTCGCTCGATTAAACGGTAATTTACAAAATTGTGCTTGTAGTTCTTTGATAGGTTCGATGGTACCAGTTTATTACTGTAATTCGTTAATTAGAATAACCAGTTATATTAAAGGATCGTCAAATGCAAGCTGATGAAAAAATGTTGTATGAATATGCCAGGCTGCGCCGTCCACACGCTCGTGATTTTTTCCGGCTCGGCAACGTCCGGTCATTTCTCTTGAAAACCTCAAAATATATAAGATCTACAATTTTATTAATAAAGCTAAAAATGAACATAGCAGAGACATCAAAACAAAAATTACTTGGGACAAACACTACAAATTTTCGGAAGGCTCTTAAATCTGAACAAGTACTGCACTATGCAATTTGTTATTATCAAGGATTAAGGAACAAGAACTATAATATACAGTAACTACAAATAAGATGAGATATCGAGATCGGAAAAACCAGAACTTGATCCAAAAACGGTAAACGCCATTAGATTCAGCATGTTCAGAAATCGTGTCAAGTGCGTTTTATTTCTTAAAAGAATTACAGTATTTAAACCCGTCTCACCGATGCCGGTTCCGGCAAAACTGGCTTCGGTAAAGCTTTCAAGGTGACCTTTGAGAATAATAGCAGCGCAAGTTGCTCAGAACATTTATTAAAGGTGACTGCTATGCGCCCCGAGCAACCGGGGGCATAGAATTTGGCTATGCGCCCCGATGTCCGGGCGCACAGAATCTGGCTTTGCGCCCCGAATTTCCAGGCGCAGAAATTTCGGCGATTTGTGTTTTTTCGAAAGTTTTTTATATTTTATTTGGCTCCTTTTATTTATTTAACCAATCATCTGTCCTGTTGTATTGTCGAACACGCTAGGTTGCTTGAGGAGGTAAGATACCAAAATGCGCCCCCATACCCAAACTTTAGGTACAGTAATATGCGCTTTCCGTAAAAAATCTGAAGAAGCAATAGGAAAGTTGCCAACTTTATCGTGTCTGACCTGAAGTAGCAGTTCAGTTCCAACCTTTACATCCGTAAAGGTTGTAACGCGCATGAAAGCAGGACAGCTTACATATGCCTCAACCTGGAACTTTATTAGCGTTGGCACAGACTACGGCAGCAACAGCGACGAAGCGTAGTGATTAAGCTTTATCGGTTCTTGAGAATTGGGTGAAGACACTAGCACCGAAACACGGGTCACCGGCGCAACCGTCACCGTCGTCCTTGCTAAAATACCCCCCCCCTCCTTGTGTCCTCGCAAAAGAAAGTAGGCAGGAGGGAAGAGCGACTTGATACATGTAACTCAACTCTACTTCGACACAATAGTAACTAAAATGTACTAAACACAGTTGTGCATGCGCTATGCGCCATCGTCAGTCGGAGTTGCATTACTTGTCCGGTATCGGGATGTACATCCCAACGACACACCCTAATGCCTTCTCTCGGCTGGACACTGGTCAACCAAGTCGTCTAGCCTTGCAACTTCCTCCACTGGGTTAACCCGAATTAGCTTTGCTTATTCTATTTTGCTACAGTTTTCTGCATGGAGTGAACTTCCGTGCCGCTCTAGATGACCTATAACAACTGTTTCTGACAGAACTTGATAAACCAGCGTTATTAGCTTGCTGTAAAGTTGAAAATCAGGATCTCTCAGACTGCGTCCGTGATGTTCTGAACAACCTTTCCAATAAACCAGGCGATAAAAAGGGGATAAACGAAACAAAAATTTAGCTATTAGGGGCAGCTCTCAAATTCTTCAATTCTGTCTTAGCTTCTGCTCCCCTGCAACCTTAAGGATAAATCGAGTAAAACAAATTAAGTAAAAACATTTAACTGCCGGAAAAACATGAAAATTTTTGATATTTCTGCGCCCGGATGTTCGGGGCGCAAAGCCAAATTCTGTGCGCCCGAACACTCAGGGCGCACAGCTAAATTCTGTGCGCCCGGTTTGTCGGGGCGCTCAGCCATTTCGTTTATTCAAATATTAAGTATGTACTATAATAAATTTGTAATTATTTTATTTGCACGCATGCTGAATTTTAGTAGCCAGATTGCTGTAAATCAAATTACAATGTTCAAAACGTATAAAAAGAAACGTCTGATTTCCGACCATGTTTGAATTAGCCCACGTTTCGAAGGGAACACAATCCAGTGAACAAAATTGCTAGGCGAGTGAGTGACCGAGCTGCCACCACTGTCCAGAAACGAAATCGTTAGGTGACCAAGCTAGACTCCCTGCCTGAGAAGTTTTACAACAACTGCTAACTGCTAAGGCAGTTAGTGAATTTATTAACCAATAGAGAGAATTATTTGTTTATAGCGGCCGTGGATCACAAGAAACGCGGAGGCGAAGCCGCAAGTGTTTCTTGAAGCTATAATATACGAGTACAGTACATATAACGAACAAATATTTGACAGTCAAGAGCTTGAGAGTTAAAAATTGCAGAAGTTGATGCAGGAAACGGCTAAATTCGATTGGGCATAAATTCCATTGGGTGTGAATAACAGTCATAGACTCATAGTATCAGTGAAGGCGCGCTTTAATACAGAGTATGGTATAACTATTACCAAGTACTTACTATAGTGTGAGGAGGACTGGTAACCTACCGTTTGACGTCATCACTCTCGCATACACGGGAGGGCGGCTGCCATGGTGACAGATGCGCGTTTTTTACGGTTTTGTCAGTTTTCTCAGCATATTTCTTTTCTCTTCCAATTTCTAGCCCCTCATCTTGGGGTTTCTAAATTCAATAGGATCTGTTAAAATATCAGAAAGCTTTAGAGGAGAAAGGAACTGAGAATATCTTTAAAAAGGGACAATAAAATCTGTGGGCCTATGGTAAGCAATAGCACACCAGTGCATTCTGTATGCGACAGTGATGACGTAGTCGACCGTTGCAGAGTCGCTTCCCAGTCCTCTACCTATAGTAAGTTCTTGCTATTACAAAAGACTCCCAGTAATAATACTATTAATTTTAATACTATTCTCCAGACTAATAGTGAGTCGTACGAACAGCCCAAGTTGAAAACGTTTCCTTTTTTCTATCGGAAATTGGGTGGTTATTTGTTTCGTTTTCAAACTTCGCGGTTTCATCCTAAAAATAATACACTATTCAATGCAATACAATACAATACCAAACAATGCAATACACAGTACAATATAATACTTTTCATTGTCTGGCGTAGGTGTTAAGGTCGGTATGGCCAAAACTGTACCGAGACTACCGACGCAAACGGTATCTATCACACCATCATTCTACCACTGTGTGATCGGCTGGTACTCCGTCCAGCCGGAACCGACCGTAGGCTGATACTTCCGCTGCGGACGCTGACTAATGTTCTGGAAATCCAGTCTTTGGGTTCGCGATTTCCGTCAAGAACCTTTATTTTGCTGCTCGCTACAAGTATTCATTTCGGGGATGCGAAAGTTTGTTTTGTTTAAATCGTTTTTTCATTTGTGACAATAATTTAAAGCACTAATAAGAACAATACGATCAGTACCAAAACATGTTTAAGAATGTCCTAAGGTACGATACCTGTTGCGTCGCTCCGGCGGTTCAGTTAATAATGTGTACACCCGCACTTCATGAACGATTTTGAGGAATTGTTTCTCTGCTTACTTGAAGTACTCAATGATGATTCTAACGATGATTCATAGGACATCGTCTGTGCGGGCAGCTGTCAGTGCCCGCACCAGGCATCTGCGGGAAGCCCGTCGCTTGCAATCCCACAACTGTCTGACAGGTAGCAAGAACGACGGGCGAGCCAGGTTCGTGTCGATTATTTTGTGCTGTGACATGCGAATTATGGGGGTAGCGTAGATAATTATTGCTTGACCGCATTTTCCTGTTTTTCTTCTATTTTGTGTTCAGGATCACATCCGCCGATTTGGACATTCTTTGCGGACCATTAAGCATGGTGGGTGGCCGATCGACTGCGCTATGTGCGAACGAGGTCAGAAATGTATTCTGCATGTTTTCCGCTCGTTTTTGGTTTCGGGGTATTTTTGTTTCTTTATCCGGCTCTCTTCCGAAAACAATTTGGTGTTACATAAGTTAATCCTGATAAAAAATTTCGATCCGCAGTTAAAGAGTAGAGCAATTACTCACCTTTATTGTGAAACTGCATCGAACAAATCTTGAGAGTGCCTGTAATCACCTGTACGTCCTGGCCATTAATTACTGGAGTAGGGTAGCAGACGCTCTTTGTAGTTGTGATTGAATTGGTTGGTAGACACGGGCTGTTTAACGCACCGACTGACCTGCTGTTTGTAGCTGGACCTGTTAATACTGTTTTTTTTACAGTTTTGGTTAGTATTAACGTTGTGTCATGCTTTTGTTTAGCCCTTGGAGGTTCGAAAAGAGACCAGCAAGGCCAGAAGCATTGACGTATAATAGTAATCGTAGTATTATTAGATGGCTTAGAAATAACAAAGCTTCGTTTTCTAATAATGCAATCGTGGATGCAGGTGTACGCCCTCGCCGGATGTTTTAACTGTGATTACACTCCCTCCTGCCGATATGAACAAAGCCTTAACAGGTATGAAACGGGAATATGGATAAGATTTATCAAGGGTTGTTAAATGATACTGCTTTTCTAGAGCCATTAATGCCGATGCACGCAACCTGCTGGTCTACATCGACGTCGATGGGAGTCTGCACAACTGCCCCGTGAACGGTCAGGCTGAGATGGTCAGTGTTCTAGGTGCCATGTTTTGGGTGCCATGTGTGCTAGTTGTAAGTGGGAAGTATTGGAACTTTAACCTAATATATTAAATTGTGGTATTCTAAAATTGTTCCCTCTAACCATACATTTATTTCTGATTAGCCCTTGCAGATTTGCGAAGCGGAAGGCAAGAAGGCCACCGAGGCTGACCGCACCGTTTTCCGTATGGCCAGCACCAATTACACGCCCGGACCGAATGTCGAGCGGCTGGCAGATGCTCTGAAAACTGGACGGTGAGCCATGTGTTTTTGCTGATATTGTGCTTTTGATCTTTTTTGGATTGTTTTCGTGATCTTGCGTTATCCTTTTCTGATCTCATAGGTTTAGGTTTTATTGTTTAACATCTGCATGTAATGAAACTCTTTTTATAATTAAAATATTATAGCTGCATGGACGGGTAACACGGGCCCGTTGGTTGCGTACTCAGGTGACCTTTTCGGGGCCGCACGGGTGCTGGTTGCGTGCATAGGAAGTCGTCAAACATTTACGATTAGATATTTTTTCTATCTATAATTTCGTACTCGTAGCCTGGTAGCCTTTTTCGTACTCACATCGTTTTTCACTTTTTTTGCGATTAGTTTTGTAAGCCGTTCATGAGACATTTTTTTGTGGTATGCCTAATCCCGGAAAGGAGTCCAAGTATATGGCCTTGAATGCGACCTTCCGATAACCTTTGCATCCTTTCCGGTTCTAGTCAAGCCCGCAACAAATGCAGCGGCCTTTGGGATAGCGTAGTGCATCCGTATTTAACGCTTCTCTGTTTTTAGCAGCGTTCCATGACCAGTATCCTTCTCTTTTGTCACTCGTAAACTTTCATTCGATAACACATCAGCGGCTCCGTTTCCGTCGTAATACTCCAAAACTGGGTTTCAAAAACATTTTTTCAAATTTTAAGCGGTTTTAAAGAAAGAAGTAATCCGGACACGCAACAGAAACATCTTTCCGAACTCTGTTCACGAAGCCAGCGTTCGTAGTTTCCTGCCCACGCAGCATTGACCTTGTATTATACCTTATATGGTATACTGGGTACAAAATTCAAATACAAGGAATTCTTATATCATTCTCGAAACAGTAGATTTATACTGAGCACCAAGACCGAGTTCACTGCCGACGGGCGCAACCTAAGCCAGTATGGCGCCTTCATCGTGGTCTGCAAGAAAGGTACCGGGGATCAGCCTGCCTTGCCGCGATTCGAGCCCGTCAACGCGGTCATCAGGAATATCACCGAGGTTTGTCGCTTTTGTTAAAAAATGTAATAAAAAATTGCTACTCTACTAGTGTACTAGTGTGCTTCTTGCCCCGATTAATCCATCATAATGTGCATTTTTAAATTGTGGATCCCCGTTATCTGATCTGATTAGAATGTTGCCTTCTGTGTATTATTTTGTAAAATAAAAGATTCTGCTCAGCTGGTGTTTACGATGGGAGTGGATGTGACACCGCACACTACCGGATGTTTTTATTTAAGTACTGGTACTGACAGAAGGTTTTGTTAATTTCCGCATTTTTATGTATCAGTAATTCATAGTGCCGTAGTATGATGTTAGAACCAAGTGATTGGGATATTTTATTATAAAAATATTTTCCACACAGTGTATGAAATGCTTGTGTGCATAGAAGTATTCTAAATCAATTAGGTATCTGTGAATCTTTAGGTGGACTCTGCAGCTGTCAAATGCTCAGCAGTGATTCGCCTTCCGGAAGGAAACGATTTGGGTGGGAAGCGTCTGGTGAGGACGACTAGTTATATTAAACCCGAATCGCTAAGTCTGCGCCAAAAGTACGTATTAAACTGTTGATTTTACGTTTTTTCGTTTTCTAGTAGTTATATTTCGTATGTCTTTGGTGTGTTGCTTTTGATTTTCTTGCTGGTTACAATTTCGGCGTTTGGATTGATTTATTTGTCTTCGAATCGGGTTCTTTTGGGTCTGGAATATGTGCGCGTTTATTAAATCACATGTAAAAATTACAAGTAATTATTAAACTAAAAGTAATACATGTAAAAATGTAGGATCAGTGATGCTGATATATCTTATGTTTTTAATAAATGGCACAAGAAAACCAGGGCTTGTTTTTCTAACAGGTATATGATCCGACCGGACCTCTTAACCGTGATTACGATGACGCTCGCCGATGTGAGGAAGCGGCTTTCGAAGTCGTTGACCGGTACCACACTTCGATAAAAATATTGAAAAAACATCGATAAGTACTTTTAACACATGACAGGGGTTATAAATTTATATATGTTAAATTTTGTGGCAGGGCCATTGCTCCTGGTGAATGCAATGCGTTCGTCTATATCGAGGACGACGAGAACCTGGACAGTTGTCCCGTGTACGGTCAGGCTGTGTTGGTCACCCTTCTGGGTGTTGCGCGAGCCCTCGGCGTTGTAAGTAATAAGTAACTAAAGGCTACAGTTTGAGTATTTCATTATCGGGGTACGTTTTTGTATTTTATAATTGCCCTTACAAGCGGTACTGTATAATCATTTTTAACCCGATGAATCGTTTTCAGATAATTAAAAAAATTCCTGATCAATGTAGGAAATGTTATGAGTGTTTTTTCAGTTATCTGTGAATTATCAGGTGGACTCTGCTGCTCACGAATGCCCGGTAGTGACTCCGGACGGAAATAACTTGGGTGTGAAGCGTCTGGTGAGTGGTCGACTATGCTACGCTTAGGAATTAAATCGCTAATTTTGCAGCAGTAGTAGGGATTAAGCTAAGGATTTTACGTTTTTTGCCAGCAGCTTTATTTTACTTGGGTTTGCTGGATTTGAAGGATACATTTGTAGCTTATTTGGAATACTTAGATATACGCAACTTCATTTGAACGATGCAGGATCATTGCTGCTGATATGCTTAATAGTTTCATTAAATTCATTAAGAATAAATAAGCATCCTTAAAAAAACGATGTAATCGTTGACGCAGGTGTACGCTCCGACCGGACCTATTAGCCGTGATTACGACGACGCCCGCCCCTATGAAGCTGCTTTTGAAGGCGTTAAGCGGTACAGCATCGTTGATTTTAACACCTGACACGGGTTGCATGATACAATTTTTTACAGAGCCATTGCTGCTGGTGCACGCAACCCTTTCGTGTACATCGACGTCGACGAGAAGCTGAACAGCTGCCCCGTGTACGGTCAGGCGGAGCTGGTCAGTGTTCTGGGTGCTATGCGAGCCCTCTACGTTGTAAGTGAAAGTTACTGAAGCGTATTTTTGGGACGTTTTCCTATCGGGTCCCGATAATGTGTTGTTCCATTTCAGCCCTTGGAAATCTGCGAAACGGAAGGCAAGAAGGCCACCAAGGCCGACCGCATCGCCTTCCATATGGGCAATACCAACCGCATGGCTGGACCGAACGTCGAGAAGCTGGCCCATGCTCTGGAAGCTGGGCGGTGAGCTCACTTGATTTTTTTTGTTTTTCGCGTTCAGTCATTTTTAGAGTATTTCCGTGGTTTTGTTTTAATCGTTCTGATCTGTGTTTATTATTTTTTCGTTCGTTTACAGCATCGTCACCCGTGACATCGGTGGCTCCGATCCCGAGCGCATGGCCTCTCCTTGCGTTGCGGAATACGTTAAAGAGACCTTCTCCGGGGTCAAAGAGATCAAGATCGAGTACATCACCGATCAGAAGAAGCTGGAGGAGTTCCCGTTGTTAGGCGCCGTTAATCACGCTGCTTCCGGTAAGTGCCGACAGTGTGCAGAAGGTTTCCGTCACGACAATGTACACCTGCTTTTCAGTGATTGACCGATATCACATCAAAGTCATGATCCTGGCATATGTCGGTGAAGGCGAAATTACCGAGAACGTTTTCTTAGTCGGAAAGGTTAGTATTCTTAGTCGGAAAGGTTGGTACGTATCTAACTTTTAGTTTTGCGAGCCTAATTTTGTTACCGTCTTGATCAGTGTGGGGTTTCCAGCCTGCAGTGATTGCTGTTGAATCTATAATTTTCCTGGCGGTTAATCCTGTCGTTCGTAATCGCTTTTTATTTTGTTTTTTTTTGCAGGGTATTGCTTATGACAGTGGTGGAGCCGATATGAAAGCGGACGGTGTCATGGCTAGAATGCACCAGGACAAATGCGAAGTGGCGGCTGCATCTGGCTTTTTCAAGGTGCGTATTAATTTTCATGTGCGCGTTCCATGTTGCATCGAATTTATTTTGCCTTTAGTTCGGTTTTTGTACGGTATTCTTTCCAGAATCTCTCCATCCTTAGACCGATCGAGGAGTATGTCGACGAAGGCGAAATTACCGAAAATGTTTTCTTAGTCGGAAAAGTTAGTCATATGCTGTAATATAGAGTAGCGTATTAACTTCTACTTTACGATGCTAATTTTATTACTGTACTAAAATATTGATAAATAATATGTTTTTCTCTTACAATTATTTCTACGATTAGTTTGCCCGTTTGTCATTCCTTTTTGTTTTGTTTTTGGCAGAACACTGATGGAGTGGATGTAAAACCGGGCAGTGTCGCGGCTAGAATCCACCGTGACAAATGTGGAGCGGCTACCGTAACCGCCTTTTTTAAGGTTCGATTCTGTACTTTCACACTTTTTTAACCAGATCAGTTTCCAGACTTTTCTATATTTTAAAGATTTAACACTCGTTGCATTTTCGCCAAATTACAGTGGTTGTTATTGTATACAAAATGCAATCGTTTGCACCGTGACTTGGAACTTGAGAGCACTCCACTCTGTTGAGTCTGTTGACAGTACTGACTGTAGCGTAGTAATATAAGTACTGTCGGTGGATAATATATTTTTATAGTCTAATTTAATAGTCTCCATGTGTGATCTCCCAGCACTTGCTGCGTTTGGCCAATCCCCACATCTCCTCACCATGCATTCGTGTAATGAGATGTTTCCATTCCGCCGGCGCCAGCCTTAATGCTGCGAAAAAACAGACAGTATTGCAAAAGTTGCTAGCTTCTCTTCAGAATGCGCACTTAAAAACAGCAAGTGCGCAAGTAAAAAGACCAGGTGAGCGCATGATAACTTTTTCACTTCTTGAATAAATTTGCACTAACTTGTCACAATGTTGTACAAACTGGTACGTTGTTTTCTGCGCTGTCGAATGTTGTGCCCGTTTTCATCATATCAGAGTTTCCTAATAATATTGGACAAACCAGATAAAAGGCATATAAACCAACCCACCCGGTGTACAGATGATGTGCATTTGTCTGTTCCGGGCCTAGATACTAATAATATTTTGAACTGCACCTAGAACAGATTCTACAGCTTCCGCATTTTCTTGCTATAAAGGTGTTTTTAATTTTCAGGTCTTGTGGACGCTGCGGAAGAAGTTTTAGAGAAGTTCCTTAAGTTTTCGGATTCCGGTTTCTCCAGATATGTCCAATTTGAATATCGTGCTGCGCTCAACGCGGGATTTAAATACGAATCGTATATGCACGGCCCAGTGCATAACCTTCTGGCGGAAGTGTTTCCATTGAAGGAGCTATATCACATTGAACCCCAGAGGAGACACTATTACGATGAAACCTTGTTTGTTATACCCGACTATATGATGGCGTTCAAATCATGTAAATATTCTGTCTACGGCCCAGTATGGAACAACGAATACGTCCTAATAGTGGAGTTAAAACTTAGCGTTGGCAATGTGGTTGACCAGCTGACGGCTTACGCTTTGTCCGTGTTCGAGTCCGACCGGAGTCGACATGAAGAGCTGTACATTATCCACATGCTGCCGGACAAATGGATGTATTATCATGCTCTGAAAGATCCCGTATCGCCGCTTCCAGTACTTCGGGCATGCTCTCCTTGGATTTTTGACCCGTTAAGCAAAGAGTCTTTTGACACTTTAACTGAACTTAAGGCAAAGATTGAGGCACTTCGTCCCTCAATGCATGCCACTATTCGCAAACACCTAAATTGATATTCTCACCGTATAGCTTTGTACTGGCAGTGCTGAGAATCGGCTCCGTCTGAATAGACTAGTTCAGACACTTTTGACCATTGATTAAATTGTGTGGATCACTGGGCTGTTTAATTCCAGAGATAAGGTACAACCATGCAGCATCTGTTATTTTGCACCGCCGAGAAAACTGCAATTTTAGTTTTAAGTAACGAAAAATTCAGCTTACTGTGGAGTTATTACTGTTCGCAGTTATTTTACAAGTTATGTACGATATTTGGAATGCCGAAAATATTCGGGCAGGCTGGAGAAGGGTTAAAGGGTATAAGTTATGACCCCACAAACGTTGTGGACAAACGTTCAAGATCAGCCGTCACAAAAAGGAGAGCCCCTTGCAGTTAATGATTAAAATCAATTTTTTTTCCATAAAATAATTCCTTTCGGCTCAACGCATATGTACACTGCAGAGAAGATTCCTTGAGAAAAATGCCCGCGTTCCTTTCGATTATGAGCATCCGGAAAATAGTATCTCTCGTGCGAATCCGAAAACCACTCATCGTCGCGAAATAATCAGTTTACTGATGGGCAGTGGGGTCACTAGTCAGGTCTCGCCCTGATCATTCAGTGCTTTAGCGTGTATTGCCGTGTGACTCTTCCGCTTTCGGATATCAAAAAATTCCTAAAAGATGAAAGGTTTTCCCAAATGACAGCCGGCAGTGGAGTCAAAAATCACGATTACGATTTTGAGCCTGATCCAGATGACGGCAGTCAACCATGGCGAGAAAGCGGAAACTGACACGGCCACTGTCCCCGATCAAAACAGGCCACCGCCATTTGGATTGAAAAAAGAGAGCTGCGGGCTTTGTACCAAGACGTCGCAAGCAAAGAACTGAGGTGTGATCCCATTCACCCACCAGAAGAACGCCTGCCGAGTTACATACAAAAATCTTAGGTATTAGTTGTAAGCTTCTAAGTAGCTACGGTGTACGTAAAAGCCCATAACTATTCAGTTTATGGTAAAAATCTTTTCCTTATGGTTAGGGGTATCGCTGCTACTCGGGCTGATTATCTGAAAATGCGAAATCCAAAGTCTTCTCGAAAAACGAAAGGTCGCTTCGGTAGCCAGGCCAGTTTGCCGTCCATGTTCTTTGATCTTTCGCTCCCAGCTGATGTCTGATCTGGATGATGTACAGTCTCGTGTCGTGTCAGTCGTGATATTCACATTTTGAGCGAATCACTTTGTTATTACTGCTTAGAAGTTAGTACTTGACCAATGTGTACGAAGTAGCAACCCTCTTCTTATATTCACACAACGCGGTTCTCTAGGGGCTGTATTGTATGTATTTTCATACTGCAAAAGTATTGTATTTTCACTGCAAAAGTGCGACAAGTATTGTATTTTCACTGTATACAATACAGTGAAGACCCTTGAGTAGGGCAGTGATTCACATTATTGAAAGCTTAATTAGTTTTTAAGCATTAGTTGTATTATCTGGCAACAACTTTTTAGTGTTTTGAAATTGCGTGTACGGTACTTGTATTTCTGCTCAGGCGGCATCAGTCACATCTGCATCGACTGTAACCTCGCAAGATGTATGCACTTGGAGACCTACCGAACGAGTGTTAATGCTGTCTTGTAAACCGGATATCAACATTATCTGTCAACCGGAAAAGGATCCAGTGGTTTTTCAGCAGCTTTATCCACTGGAAATCATCCCCCTTACGAACTACAGTTGCCGATTTATACTAGAAAAAACGAGGTTTGACATAATACTGTAATATGTATATTGCGTGATGTACTATTTTTAACATCAGCTTTAAAAAAATTTTTCTATGTATTTTTAGTAGTGTTTAGTATAGTTTACTCGTAGTTATTTAGTATGCCTTGTATTTTCCAATCGTTAGCAGCCAGTTAGAACAGCACGATGTCATGCGTAAAATAGTATTCTGTTGGCAGTGTTTGACTTGTGTGATACCTTTCAGATACGTACTGACAATGAGATTTTTGTGTAACCGAAGGGTTACCGTCATTTGTGGCTCTACTGGAACGGGTAAAGCTATTCATGTACCGCTCTTGGTTCTGGACGATCGAATGTGCCGCCACAGATAAACCGTGCAACATCATTGTAACTCAACCTCGAACAATTGCTCCTACCAGTATTGCCAAAACTGGAAGAGTGTGACAGTTGTTTCTGAATATATTTCCGGTTTAGGTTGGCTTGGATAGACAGACCACATAGTCCACAAGGATGACTTACTGCACTATCGGGGTTTTCCTAGAGAAAATCATACCCATGATGAATTTGAATATATACACGCATATACACGCAGGTGCGGTTGTTTGGGTTTTTATAAGGATAAACACATCGATTTTAAATTACGGTGTACCCTATGCCGCTGTGTGTTCTATCTAGTTTACTTAATATATCTTATCTAATGCATCTCTAAATTTATTTGGTTGTTTATTGCGTTGTGGGTCGTATTTTCTGTAATGCTCGCTCTGTGTTTGTGGGTGCATTTGTTATAGTACCAGCACCCCATAAATTTTAAAATTTTGAGCCAACCCTGATTTAGGTTCATGAGCGGCATCAGTACACCGATTTGGCTCTGATGCTAGTGCGACAGATGGTGCGCAAAAATTCTTTAAATCAGGTAAGGTTATTTCGGACTGCAGGTGCAATGCCGTCTCGTCAGGAAATATCTATAATTTTCATCATTATCGTTTAGGCCATTTTCATGTCCGCTACATTATCCGCTACATTAGAAGTTCAAAAAATGAGCAAATACTTCAAGGAAAAAACCACATCAAGCCCTGAACGCGAAATAGAAGAAGTTGGAAATGCTAACTCACAAACAGCATTCGCGATCAAGGAGTTGTACTTGGAGGAATTCGCCGCAGATTACGACACATCGGTACAGTTTTGCTACTAATACTGTTTTGTTATAAATTTTGCATCGGTGTTGCTGGCTAGTCGACGTCCATGCATCCAGTGAAATGCAATATGACACGAAGTTGTAAAGTGCGACAAGTTTTTGCTGATTTTTGTGTGATGATCAGAGCGGGATAATTAACATGTACAATACTGTGTAAACAATTTGTGGCATTTTTTGCCTGCATCGTCAGGGGCTGCATCAGTTTACCTTTGGGCTTTGAATTATGTTGAACTTGTATGCCGTAACTTGCCGTTATGTAAAGGGTTTTGAACTAAATCATCCTCGATTGTCTTCGAAGTTGCTGGAGCCATCCATAATCGACAATTTAATTCCACTTCCTGGTTCAAATGCAGTTGAATTTGTCAAATCTGTTCTCATGTTTCTTCCTGGTACTGTACTGGTGTACAGTGTACAGTGTACACCCTTGAATTCGTGTGCCGAAAATTTTGAACATAACAAAGTTTGTTCGAACTGGCAGGTCTGGAACACATCCTATAAATGGAGGCTTTGCTCAAAAGAACAAAGGGTACATCATCTTTGTACTTCCTTTCGTGTAGTATTTTACTGTTCAGGCCGGGCTTGCGAGACTCATAATCCCGGTTATGTACAGAAGTCAATCGTTGGAAGTATGGTTCTTCATTCATTACTGAAAAAACCACATTCAAATGAAACATCTGTCCAGTTGGCGTGGGAAGGGATCGTGTTATTATTCGTATAGAAGTAACAGAAGTTATAAAACACACTCATGGCATTACCGCCTGCCGTGAGTGTGCTATACGGTATATGGTAACTAAATTTCCGCTGTTTTATTTACGGTCGGTACTGATGGTGAGCGGTAATTTACCACGCATGGCATTAATTTTGACTTAAACGTTGATACAATAAACAAGTTTAACTACCCTCGCCCGTCCTAATGTACAATTTTTTACCAATATTATTTAACAGTAATCGAACTACAGACCTGCTACGCCAAGTTCGGGAACTCTTTCCCAAAATTACCACAGATCACTCGTTAAGAACTTCAAGGCTAATCAATTTTGATGCTCTTTTGGTAGGTGTCTTGCATCTTTTCCGCTTAATTTATCCTCGCTTTATGCGTTTTCGAATTGTAGTAAACTTAAAACTAAAACGGATATGCTTGACAATGTTGACCCACGTACAATGATAGCCTCCCTTGTATTCAAATTTGCTTAAAAATTCCATGACGTTCTTATCCATACACTCCAAGTTGGTTGTGTCTGCCATTCAATGTTTTACGAAATATGTCAAGTATCGTGCAGTTCCAACTAACTTACGTGACCTTCGCAATGTAACTGTTGGCATGGTCAAAGTTGGGGATGATCCCATTTACATGCTTGGTGTAGAACCGCGTGATGTTGTCGTCGACACGTTTTATTTTATTTTATTTGCATTTTATTTGCAATGCACTGGGCGTATAATCGTATATTTAGATTTTACGTTAGATGCTTGATTCGCACAATAAGCCACAGATATTCCGTTTTATTCGAAATCGCTTCAGTATATGGGTCCGCCATCGTGTCTCTGCACGTTAATCGGTCCGGTCTAGAAAGTTCGCGAAGTTCTTTAAGTACGTAACTTTGCCGATTCTTGCAGTATTGTGTTCTAAATTTAAGTATTAAGTATTCAAGTATTTTTTTAATTTTTAATTTATTTTGTATTTTGTTTGGTAATCTTGCTGTACGTGTATTGTCGACAATGTCGAGTACGTGCACAATTACTGTACTCTTTATGCAATTGTAGTGGCAGTACTAGCCCGCTGCCTTGAGGAGGTTGACTTCGTTAAGGCAGCGGGTAGTTGACGATCGTATAAACTGGGCATCTCTCTACCACCGAAATCAGTTAACTTGAGATTTAAGCCATTTAAGGTTTTTAACTTTCCAAAAACGTTCGAGACTGGGTTCTTCATCGACCCACAAACGCAGCTATATATTTCATTCCATAGAAGGCCTATCTATAGTTTCCATAAAACGGAAGCATGATACGCGGAATTCTGAGGTAAAACATTGTAACAACTTGGGAATCTAACTTATGACTGTCGTTGAAGCAGAGAGATAAAGTACTTGTGTCGCTTCGAAAACTTCGGTGCAAGCTGCAAGCAGCAAATTATAACTCGACGTTCTCCAAGTGATTCTTATCTTCAGCACGTCTGGAATTATAAAAGCAGCAGCTTTTCGCACTCCTGTAAATGTGCGCGGAATTGGAACAGTGGCTGTACAGACTGTGCTGGATTTTTTTGGCAAGGATCAGCGCTTGATTTTCACGCCATCGAGCTCTTCGCGTCCGCCATTTGAACGGAAAGAAGATGAAACTGTCTGGCGACATCAAGTATGACAAGAAACAAATTTGAATATTTCCAGTGGGCACTCAGGAGTTATTATTTGATAAGTTAACATTTTACCTAACAGGTATAGGCCGCAGTGGCCGCGCATCATCTTAGAATCTTTTACTATCTGTGTGGTAAACCGTAAAGAGTGCTCCGTAGAGCGTTCTGTTACCAGTTCGCTCTTTCTATAATATTAGCATCTGTAGACATCGTGACAAATTGGAACGCAGTATTTCTAAGTTTGTTATTTTAACTTGTAGGCGGATGTTTCACTGGGAAAAACTGATTTAACGACGTGAGTACTGTACTTACTGCATGGTTTTGGTTCGATGCTTTGGGATTTTTGGTGCTTGTTCGCTTGCCCGATCTAACTTATAAAAATAATAAAAATCATCAGTAGAATTGAAAATACTATTATGACCAGCGGAGCGTAATGCGGTGTATTATCCCGGCTTTCTGTACTTTGAGTTTACCATCGTGTAAGGGTAATTTCGTCGCTTTTGTTATTATATAATTGTGTGATCTCACCCAATGTAACATGCGCGCAGTCACGCAGTATAAAGAATATCGGCGGCAATGCCGCGGCATCAAGTTTAAGTATTTACATAATTTACGTTTGAATCACTTTCAAGGCATCTGACGAAAGCCCCATGGAGTGAAATCGTCACGCCGGACATTCAGGAATCCATTCAGTGTCACATTGAAGGAACGTGGATCGCTGCTAACTACCTGGTTGGATGGAGCGGAATTTTGCGCCATTTGCTTCCACAGTCCTGTGGCTACACTTTGCAGTGGGAAAGCCTCAAACGTCAAGGGATGGGGTTATTTTTCGACCACTTGACCGTTTCGAAAAAGGACCGCAGCGGAAAGCAGCGGGTTGTGCTGGTTCTCGCAGCTCATGCACCCATCAAAGATTATGGTGATGATGATCTGAAAACCCACGCCGATAGGAAGATGACCTTCATGCGCAGCACGGTGGGCGCACGAATTGATCTCTTGGCTGCAGCGGGAAGAACGGGCCATCGAGTGCACTGGATCGGTGCGTTCGGATGTCAGTTTGTTGTTGGAGTGAAAAATGAATCTGGTGATATTATGCAGACGACTAAGAACTGGCACGATGTTTTTCAGGCGTCGTCTAAAGGTGTTCTCCTGAAACTTGTCAAAAGTATTGACGAATTGATCTTGTAAATAGTCGTAAGCTTTTCTCACTGTTTTTCATACTCTTATTTGCTGTTTCCGGCCAGTGCTGCTGTTGCTTTAGTAAATGTGCAATGTACATTCCAATGCATAACGTTATAAAAAACGATTAAAACACCACGATCAAACCACAGCGACTTATTTACTGAATGCATTAAGCACGTACAAAAAATACTGCTGCAGATATTGCAAGTTTTCGGAAGACCTGTAAAACCATAAAACAATTACTGAAGTTTATCGAGCCAACGAATTAAGACCTTCAGAATTCCACTGTAGCGGTGATTCGTCCTTCAAGCAGCGGCAACGTATCGTTGTCATTCTTTACTTCATTCCATACGGTTCCAGTACCCGGCACGGCTTCCCGGAAATAATACCTACATACATAACCGCTGAGTGTCGGTATCAATCATAACGATTTTACAACTCGTACTGTAATGGTACTATATAGATTTTTACATACTTTAAAGCACACTGCACAGTATTAGCATTTCTTCTATAATTTCCGTTTAAGTATTAATCATTCTGTTAACAGGTTAACCTGCAGTCAGTGTTCAAGCTTCAGACTTACCTAGTCGCCGGTCCAATATTCATATTCGCGGGCAATACATTTTTGAAATTCTTTAAACAGTTCCGTCCTGTCATTTTAGTCATAAAAAAGTCCCCGGTCTGGCCCGTTCTCCACACCACCGTGAAGCCTTCTTCTTCTTTAACACTGCTCTTCAAACCGTTGCCAGACCGACCCGTTCCCGTATTCCGAGATCGCTGATGGCGCGACATCATGCCCGGTGACGCCGCTCCTTGGTTCTGATTATGCTTCAACTGCAGCTGATGCCCTTCGTTATCTTTCCGCGGCGGGATAGTTGGTCCACGCGACGACAACTTCGGGGGTTGAGCGCCCCGTCCCTCTCCGGATGACGGTATCAAGAGGAACGGATGCGGTGGCTGAATGGGCGCCAGTGTGGAACCCTCTCCCAATCCCGAATCCGTGCTGATGTCCCGCAAATTCATATGGGTAAACTGCCGGTTAACCTCGCGCGGATTGACCGTCATCGCCGGTTTAAAGTCGAACTGCGCCGGCACAGCAGGACGCCGATGCTCTTTGACGACAGGCTTGGGCGGCAGGACCTGTGTCGGACGGCCGAACTGTCCCGGTGGATCCCAGGATGTACCGTGCCGGCGACCCCCCTCACTGGTCGCACAAACGGTCGACGCTTTGGAATACGCTGATGCCGGTTCGCGCAAACGTGGATACGGGCTGGTACAGACGCTGTTGTTGGACGGAGGTGTCGCGGTTTCCCCCACCCGCTTGGAGTGCTCATTTAGAATGTCCTCGGAATCGTCTGCTTCCGGGGGGACATGCGGCAGTTTCGGTCGACCGGAGGGAGTTTTTGGGATGGCCAAAAGCTGCGCAACGATGGGCGGAACAGTTGGTGGATCGGGTTTTACGCTTTGGTTATTTCGCTCTGCTGCTTCGCGGTTGGCGATCACGGCGTTTAGCTTACTTGCTAACTCTTCCGGAACGAAACGAAAAGGTCCGTTCTTACGCGGATCTCGGCTTTTCGGATCCAGTGTACCCATTGCGCGCTGTAATTAATACGAATTTCATTCAGAGGAGTTGGTGCATAATGTTATACGAATATTAGAATCTAAATTCGCAAAAGCATCTCGAAAACTGCGGTGAAGGTATCATCAGAAATGACTGATTAAGAGAACCAATCCTTTTAAATCCAGCTAAAACCTATTGAGCCAAGTATATTTAAAGAACAATGTAATAAAGAAACTCTGTGCATAATACCATAATATTATGTAGTAACGGGCAACCGCTTTGAAATGCACCGCCACCATCGTTCCTCACAATCAATCTAGAATACACACCTGATGTTCGGTAAACGGCAGCGGAATACTGTCCGTGTGAGCACTGGAATTTAGCTTCGCCATGTGTTTGGCTGCCTCAAAATCCAGCGCATCTCGGCGCGAGTTGCTAGTTTGTTGAGCGAGGCCGGAGCTGCGGGCAGCGGAAACGGCGCTCCTTCGCGTCAGACTGACTTGACTCAAACTGTCCAATTCGCTTTCCTGTGCTGACGGCATACAGAACTGGGCATACTTAACATAAGCTTGTCCAGGTTCTCCACCTCCCCTACAAAATATTTTTGCATTTCAGGAAATAGTATAACGAAGAATAACGAAGAACAGCATTTAGTAGTATTTCAGGAAAAAGTATAACGATTTCAGGAAATAGTTAGCACATCAGGGCTCGCTAAACGCATTAATCTGGCCTGCATCCCAAATTCAAATATTAAACAATCACATAATAAGTCAACAATAAATTTATATACGGCATGTCCGAAAATTAGGCAAGCGGACAGATTTGTACAAACTGTACAGCATTACCACATTATGCAGCATTGCAAAAAATTATTGCATTACCACATTTTATCCGTCGCCGTCTGATTAGGGGCACTCCGCATTCCGATACTGTTTTGCAGAGCCTCTCGCGTCAGTCCTGTGGAATGGGGAAGCGGCTTACTCAAGACGGATGTCCGTGGCGGTATCGCCGGAGCACCACCTGCGAGACGATCTTTTTCCGGGAAATTCTGCCGAGTTTGGCTAAATGTGTGCCCAGCAGGTCTGTTTGGCCATTCTGGCGGCATAATCAGCGGCGGAGGTGGGGTGGGCGGTGGACGTGAAGGAAAAGGGCGAGTTTCCGTTTGCGGGGTCAAGTCCAAGCCAGAATCCAAAGGCTGCTGGTAGGGATATATTCGGGACACCATTTGCGAAGCATCCATGGAGAACATATTGGGTTCAGGAGATGGAGGTGAACTCGAAGTCTGGCTGGCACCGTCCAAGCCATAGCGCTCTTCCTGCAATTCAAAAGCAAAATAACTACTACCCTACTGTAGTATTACTTCGGCATATGGCGAATACACATAAAATAATTCAGCTGCATAAAATAAACAACATAAAAAAACTAGTCCACCTGTTTATGTTCCATATAAGTAAGTACAAGACGATAATCCGCTGGTAAAATTAAGAAAAGCAGAAAGAAGGCAATCAAAATTCTAAAGTATGACAGACAAATAGTGGAAAATTAAGACAAATACTGATCATGATGGCAGAAAGCGCGAGCAGCCAAAAGAATAACAACAGAAAATAATACGAATATCTAAATCTCTGTTAAATACATAACCATGAAATGATGAAAATCACTAAAAAAATAACTTTCGCTAACCTGTTCGTTGATATACTGGCTATATTTCTGCGACTGCATAAAATTCGGATACAGCTGTTCCTCCAGCACTTTCCACGCTTCGTCTTGTGCCGTCTCAAAGAGGCTCATTTTTTCGGCAAAGCGCAAATCCCCACTGCTGCGGAACACCTGGTCGAAGCGGTTGCGAGTTTCAGGCAACAACCACAATCCACCGTCGGCCTGGATGAATTTGACATACATGGAATTGACCAGGCGCACGTGGTTCTGCTGTGACTGTTTCTTCAGCCCATCACAGGCCAAATATAGATACAGCACATTATCGGCGCCTTCTTTCTGCAAATAATCAAAGAAGACATCCATCCCTGTCGGATCGTCCATGAGATTCTGCAGCTTCTGCGACCATTTGCGCCACGGTGGCGTGCTACCGTTCTCCAGCCACGAATCATCCCCGTAATCCGTCCCACTGTATGAGCACTCGGAGCCCGTGATGGAGCCCTGATGGGAGCCAGCGGGGGAGCGCGGTGGCTCGGTGGTCAGGGAAGAATCTCTATGTGGTGAATGCGAGGCAAATGCTTCGCCACCATCGTCATCGTAATACTGCTCCGAAAAATCATGATTGTGCCGTTCTCCCATCATTTTAGTACAGTACACTGTACAACTAACAATAACGCAGCGATTCAAGGCACCATTCAGAAAGGATCAGCAAAGCCACACGATGCAGTAGATTAACGGCAAAACATAATACAGATAATTTGCTGCAAAACCAGGCAAATAAAACTATTGTAAAACTTATAAAAATGAAATCGTCTTCGATCGGGGCTCAAAATATTGCAGACGATGGATGCGCAAATGCGTAAGTGGCACTGTGACAGGTATGCTGCGATGCCAACAGGTAGTGGCAGATAGATCCGCTGAATTACAAACGCAGAAATCTGTAAACCACAAAATTATCCTCGGGTTAACTTAAACAAAAAAACTGATTAAAAATATAAAATAGTAAAAATAACTTATTGATTAAATAAGAAAAAAACTTATGTAAAAGAGATGTTGAGCAAACAAAGATCCCGCACAAAAAGTCGATCGCTAAAGAAAGCTGTGAAAGAGGTTCAGCTGGTGGTTCGCACTTCACAGCTAGAGCGACAGACAGGCAGACAACAGTAGTAAGCAACGGACATCGGTATCCAGTCGCTGGAAGGATTCGCTACTGAATCTTTAAACTGCAAAAAATGCCAGGTACTCCTTGCTTGGAATAAAACGTAAAACACAGCGAAAAGTATTGGAACATCGCTGTTATTTTTTCATAAGCCGAACGTTACGGTCTGATTATAAAATTTTAGAAACAGTAAGTACTAATAAATTTTTTCGCTGTTTATTGCAGCTGCATAGCAGTGTGCAATGTGCATACTACTGACATGCGGAAGTGAACGTACGAGTACATACACCTCGTAAATGAGCATGCAGATTTCCAGTGGCAATATCCGTACAAGATTAGGCACCATGCAAGATCGCCTTCACGTGTGCCATTTTAAAGCCTGTTATTTTAAAGAAAAGCGTTCTTCATTTTATTTTTGTAACTCTGTTTACCTCTCAAAACAAAAGTTAACCTCTTATGCTCTGGTACCTTCAGTGATTTTATTTTTTTTTGAAATGCTCTCGCTGTGTAGCCACTCTAGTGTACCAATGATGCCTTCGTTCAGCAAACGCATTCTCAATTGTGAATTGTTATCTGTGCGGTTCTCCCGCCAGGACTAAATCGTTTATACCTGTCATGTTAATTTTCCTGCTGATCTTCTCCACCATGCACGATGGCTGATGGCGAGAACAGCAGTTCCTCCGCGTCGGAAGAGTATTGCGGAGCTGACGGTGATCACGGGAGTTTTGCTACTCCCTCCCCCAGTAAACGGCCTCCGTCCAGTGTTCCCCACTCCAATCGCAGCTCTGCGTCACCTGCCCGTCGTCCTTGGGAGGTGCAGCAGCAGCGCGAGGAGGCTCTCGTGGATGATGTGCATCGGCGGATGGACGGGAAGCCGTCCGTGCGTCGTGGCAGTAAGGGCATAACCAAAGACACCTATGCGAAGAGCACCAAACAGTGCGTGCGCAATATCCGCAAGCAAAGTCGCCTGGGTATGCTCAGCGGCACAAACTCCAAGATGACGTCGCCCGAGCATGACGGCCCGGAGAATCCCTTCCAGTTTCCGCACAGTGTCTCCAGTATGGCCGTGGGGACGCCGGGCAGTGCCGCGAAACCCGTGACGACGCATCTGTCGCATCGGAATAAGCGCACTAAAAAACGCAACAAGGATCGCTCCTACGATCGCGATTTGAAGTTATTGGGTGCTGGTGAGTTTTATTTGTACTATTCAGTGTTTTATTTCGCTGATAAGACTGCTATATAATTTTCTCACATAAAGATTTGCACGGTATGGGAACGAGTGTGATTGCATCATCTTTCAGTCTGCGAAACTACATATGTTTTCGTAACTTTAAACTGGCAGATTCACTTGATTAGACTTAAAGTGATAGCAGGCACTGTATTCTTCGCAGCAGCTGGAATTGTTGTTGTTGTTTTTCAAATGGCTTGTGACCATGATCACGTTTTTCAGAATCTTCCAGATTGCCTTTCGATTTTATGAAAATTTTCTTGTTTCTAATTATGCTTGTTATTCTCGCGTTTCTGACGTTTCATAATACCTGTTTCCATGAAAAACGAGGTCGCAGTACATAGTATAATCAGTTTTTGAATGGGTGTAAGCGTAATTATCAGTGTGTGCTGCCGGAAACGCTCACTTGATAGACAGCTATTATCGTTCTGTGTACCGTGCATGATGTGTCTCGTGCTGTTACGGCAGTAAACTTTCCCGGAAAGGGAGGAAATTGCATTTAAATTTAGTTTGAAATTGCGCGTAAATTCAGTTTGACTTTTACGGACGTGTTGCTTTTCACCTCGCGATTTAACCAGCGTAACGTGAGTATGAGGATCGTTGAACCAAACAAGGGAGCGTATTCTGCCTTTTCGGTTTGTCAGCGTGGGTGCGTAGGACCGGATGATGTTATCATGTTATCGCGTTTCATTCTTAACGGTCTCCATCGCGTGTTGTGCCGCGTGTTAGGCTAATTTTATCTGTTGATGGGTTGTTTTTGGGATGGTATACAATCCTTTGGAGTAAGCGTAATGACAAACGCAATGATTAAGAGTAATGCTCCAGGCGGGTTTTTTATTACCCCTTTTATGACCTAAATCACTGCTGAGTGTGTGGGTGTTATCGTTGTAATCAGGAGACATAAAGCATTCATAACGTAATAGCGGTATCGCTTTGCAGATTACGATCACGGCGGCCGCGTGACGCTCAGCCAGTCTAATGGCCCGCTGCTGGAAGTGGAAACCAGCAGTCAGTTTATGAGTTTGGCGTCGCGCCGTGTGGATAAGGAGAAAGAAAACAACGAAAAAGAGGAGCGCAGCGTGGGATTCCGGCGTCACAGTCTGTCGCGGTCAGCGTCCAGGTGGCCCAATTGTCCGCGTGAGCGCATTAGGTTTTATGAACATTTCGCCGTACTGATCGAGCTGGGCTCGAAAGCTAAACGGAAACGGGAGGAGCAGCTGCGGAAAGGCGCCACCCCGCAGGCGCCGGAGGCCTTCCGCAATGAACTGAAAGATGTACTGTGGTTGGAGCTGCAGGCCTGGATGCACAACCTGGATCTGCATCACCAGGATACCCGGCTAATGCAGGAGCGCGAAAAGATTGACGGGATACTGCGCGGTATCCAGGTCTTTCGTATCGATGATCCCGATCTGGCGTCGCCGTGTTTCATCGGTGGACATGATTTGGATACCAAGTACATTTGGAAGCTGCATATGGCTTTCAAGCAGGTGCACACCGTCCACAAGCAGCTGGAGGATGTGGAGCATCTGTATCCCTGCACCAAAAATATCGGGCTTTCGCATCCTGTCTACGAAAATCGCCAGTTTCAGGATAAAGTGCGAGCGCTGAATATGTGGTCCAATTTCTACATGCAGCTCAGCTATCGGCTGCAATCGGTTGCCGGCATCGTTTGTGGACGGAAGAACAATGATGCGTTTCCGAAACTGTTCACAAGCACCGGAGATTGCATTCCTGAAGTGGAAGAGTGCAGTGGGTAAGTAAATGGATTAATCGATTTTATCTGTGAAATGAACAAGCCGAGGTAAACATTTTTACAGTAAACATGCGTGATACTGAACCTAATTTTTCTGAAACGGTTTTCTTTGAACCTTGTGATAATTCTGGTATGCCGCGGATATGAGGCGATAATCAAACGATTTTAATTCTGACCAAAGTGCGAAGTGCGATTAAAGTCACTTTCGTAAGTAAAGTCCAAACCTCATCAATTTTTTTTATTGCAGTATTGGTTTCGATTGTATACGAAAAGCACTGAAGTGCACACATACGCGTGTGTTTATTCCGAAGCAAAATACACTTTTTGGAAAATTTGCACTTTTTTAGGGATGTCCTTGATGGACTGGGACCATTTGGAGATGGAGAAGGGAGTCGATCGGGGCTGTCGTCGCGGTGCAGCAGCTATTACGATATGCGGGATTTGGACCAGGACGATGTGGAGGCCAATGCCAAGTCGATGAAGATCGCTCTGCGTGCATTCCTGGAAAAAGGAATGCGGAAAAGAGGTCTGGAGAAGACCATCAGTCAGATAAAAAATCTGATATTTCCGACGCTGCGGCATATACTGAAGAACTTAGAACAGCCTGTAACCAGCGCAGTGACATTTCAGCGTCAGTCATCTGCTCCAGAAGGACGTAAGTGTGTATAACATAATGAATAGTTGAATATTTGATAAATTTGGGTATTGCTGACTTGGGTACAAATATGGTAATTTACTGTCTTGGGTAATATGTGACAGTTGTTGATAATACTCGTAATAATTTGGAATCGAATCTCCGTAAACGGTAATATTGATCGGTTATGATCCGTTTGTGCGTAATGGCATTTTCCGGTTGTGGATGATCCAAGTGTAAATATTTACGGAATAATATCGATTTCGTGATTTGGCTATTTTTATATGACTATTACACAGTTTTTGTGAGAAACATGAACATATTTCTCACAAAGATTCATGTTTCGATGAATGGCGAATTTTGCGTACAAATTTCTGATGGTCGTCTGTGAATTGTACTTAGCAAGTCAGAGCGAAAATCCTAGTACATGGACATTTTCCTTGCACTAATGGCCATTGTTCAAAACTAATTGTGATCGTAAGCTGATGTACTTGGAGGCATATAAGTAGAAATGCGTTTATTTAGTTGGATCACGGTACCCGATCAGTATTTGTCTGTAGAAATATGTACAGTAATCCTTCGTGTAGTTGAATAGACACTTAACATAATTTGGTTCTGGTTGGTCTAGGTACTGAAATTGACGTGGTCAAACTCTGGTGCGATTTGCACAAAGAGTCCAATCTCCCTTGCCTGGATCGTGTATTCATCCATCTGCTCCGATTACCGATACGCACACTGCGAGAAGGTATTGCGCTGCGCCTTGAACAGCGCCCGGAAGGCGATCCCGATGTGGCCAGTTTGAATCAGCTTATTCACGAGTGCAAAGACACCCTGATCCTGGCCATTTCCATCCGGAAAGACTACATTGAGCTGGGCAGCACCATCCGCCACCACGAAGTCCTGCACGATGATATCCGTCAGTTGGATGAACTGATGAAGAAACTCCTCGAGCTGTACTTGGAATATTTACAGCAGTGGATCCTAACCCTGCAGAAGGAGATCCGTGCCAGCCGTTTGCAGAAGACCGTGTTGGAGGATGAGTGGCAGAATATGACGCAGCTGTGCGGTGGGATTGACGATGCCGAACTGGAGCTTCCACAAAAGTTCTGTGCCATCGTGCAGGGCTTGTTGAGCGGGATTGGGACGCTGCTGGATTCCGGGTTGGATGATTTTATCTCGTCGTTGTATCAGGCTGAAGAGGGACTGGGTTTATCGCCGACCAAAGATATGTTCCGACAGTTCTTCCGTGATTGCAAGATTGTGTTTATTGAAGCGAAAGAACGGTGTTTCAAATTGTTGGAGTTTACGAAGCTGTTGCACAAAGACTTGGAGATTGCGGCCATCTACGAGATGATGGTCAGTATGCCCACATTCCTGTCGATGCTGGTGGAGACCAATCATTACTATGTGGATTTGGCGGCAGCGGACACTGACCAGAATGGGCTGAAATATCGATTTTTCGTGTCGCAGAATATCGGTAATAACGGCATGCAGGTGGCACGCCTGCTGAATGCGACGCTAGGTGGACGGGAGACAGAAAACGATATGGAAGGATACCTGTTGATTGTACCGGCAACGAACGACAAGTGGACTGGAAGGGTGGTGAAGAGCAATATTGGCGCGCTGACAGCGATACGGCACAGTCATATTGATTTTGATGCCGGCAATGTCATGTTAGTGGCGTTGAAAAACGGAGTGCTTGCACTGCAGTCGAAGCAGTTTGAGAAGCGCTTACCGAAGGATTATGTGAAGCCGTCCATTCCGCAGACAACCTGCCATCAGATTATTTCTCAAGCATTGGAAGATATTAAAGGTATTTTTAAATAAAGTTTGAATTTCGCAAAATGTACTAGCCATGTATATTATGAATTATCTCGTTTCTTGTGGTTTAGGAGGAATCGCTTGAACTGGGCAAAAAGATTTGCTCTGTTATATTGAGATTCCAGGAGGAAATTAGGATGAACCAGTTTCCGGAAATTACCGAACAGGATCGATCCTTCTTCACGAAATCTTTCCGCGATTTATTGCACATGAGCTATAATTTCTCCATGGAATATCATCGGGAGCTGGCTCGGTTGAATTTCAGTGATGAAGAAGCCTTAGCTACGCAACTGTTTGATTTAGCGCGGCAGTGGATGGATTTTGTGGTGGACAAATGCGAACGAGGTCATGGCACGCGGCCGCGCTGGAGCACGCCGGGTCTGGATTACCTGAGTAAGATGGAAACATGTGAACTTTGTTTATATTTTCGCAGTTCATGTTTTACGAGTATATCTATATGAATCATCAATTTAGTTACAGTATTAACTTTTTATCAAAAATTTGGTCTTTCTTCTGCATTCGCGTATGGCACAGCTACGCGTTAAACGGGTTTTTCTATTATTTTCGTATTTCGTATCACCACTACATGAATCCATGGTGCATTGTAATAGTTATGTAGTTTTTGGTATACAGTGTATATCTTTGGTGTGGTGTTTTTAGATATCTTAGTATTTTTCGCTGAGCGCTCTAATAACCGAACAGTGTTTTTGTATTTTGCAGCGGTAGCTGTCCGTCCAAACTACACCAAATACATGACCGAGGAGTTATTCCAGAGTTTTAAAACGCAGATCGACACCTGTGTGACTCACGTGATCGGCGATCCTCCCCAACCCGGTCAGAACAAGACACCGGTAGAGAGTCCCACCACCTTTTACCTCAGTCCACCACAGAGCAGTATTGCGTTGGCTCCGCACCGTTCTTCTCTGTCCTTGTCCGAGGGCTCGTCGGTCGTTCTCGGCAGCTACATCTCGCGGCTGTCGTCGAAGAGCGACACGGCGTATGAATCGTCCGAGGAAGATGATTCGGAGATGCATGAACTGCATCACCGCGTCGAAGATGCCGTTGACAAATTGGACAAGAAGAGGAACGATTACCTGATGAAGCACAAGTTGGTGGGCATGGTTGTCCCCACGGAAAGTACGTATTATACTTTTAATAGTTCTTGTAAGCTGATGTAGCAAGCTGCGGAAATATTGCGAAATGATCGTGGTAAATATGCATGAAAACAGAATTTCAGACTGATATTACAGACAAAATTTTGTCTTCGGTTATCGTTCGAAATTTGATGGTGTGAAGTGAAATGCATATGTAGTACTACGTTTCTAGCACAGCATTACCTGTAGCAGTTACTGATAATGGTTATTGTGCTTTTTTATTCCTCACAAACAGCAGTGGTGCACTGCCTTTGTAAATGCCTATTTGCTAGTCGTTACAGTATAATTTTACAAAACATTTTGCGCCGGGTCGTTAGTATGAATGAATGTATCGTTAGTTCATTAAAATAGCCATAATTATGACCTTTGTACTTTTGATTTCCAAAAAACTGCTGGTATAGACGTATAGTTGTCATGGTATGAAAAGTTTTGTACGTACGTACAGCATACCTACTGAGTAATCGATATAAATTTTCTTAATTTGCAGTACCAGTGTAGAGTTTACCGCACCAAAAATAGGTCGCACGTGATGCATTAGAAATGCAGCAGTTTATTCCCTATTAAATCGCATTCGTCTTGCCAGTTCGAATTTCGTGGCGTTGAGGAACTCTTGGGCTTTGACAAAATTCGTTTGCAAGATACTCTCAGACGCAATCATTCGGTTTGCGTCTGAGAGTACTGAAATTTTCAGATAAATTGTTCGATTAGTGTAGAGAAAAATTTTACTTTCAGTTCTTTCAGCGAGGTTGTTCATTGTAGGCACTAAAAACATTAATCATTTGAAATCTCGAAAAGTGGATTTCCGCTGGCGATTGTGCAACAAACTTGGATCTGGCCGACATGCAGATGTCTACAAAGTGATGAATCTCGACACGGGAGGACTGCTGGCGGTGAAGAAATTCTCCGTCAACCAGAGCAACAAGTCCTCATGGATCAACAAGCTGGCCACGGAGATTGAGTGGCTAGCTGGCCTGAAGCATCCCAATGTTGTGCAGTATTTTGGAGTAGAAATCCATCGCGAGGAGCTTCTTCTCTTCATGGAATATTGCGATGGTATGGGACGCAGTTTGGCGTTCGATTTTCATTTCGGGTTAAAAAACGTTTGTTCGATCTCAAAATTTAACTTTCTATGAGGGTTTTCTTCACACTATCAAAATTTCATTCGCATCCGTTTTGTTTCAGTTTCTTCCATAGACTTTCGACTGGCTGATATTATGTATTTTAAGACAAATCTGATGAAGTTTTCGTTGTGTGCGCTGTCTGTAAAGATATTCTTTATTCGTACTTCGTGTTTAGATATCTCTTCCAGTTCGTAAGTGCTTGCCCTCATTTTCTTTTGATGTAAATTTATTGTTGTAGGGGGAACCTTGAGCGATGTTGCACGGCAGGGCCTGGACATTATCATGGTGCGCGTGTACGCCAAGCAGCTGCTGATGGGCATTCACTACCTCCACGACAACGCCATTTGTCACTTGGACATCAAGGGACAGAACGTCTTCCTGACCTCCGAGGGCTGCGTGAAGTTGGGCGACTTCAGTGAGATGGTTAAGCTGGAATCTGGAGATACACGATCGCGCGATGTCCAGAACAACACCGGCACACCGCGTTTCATGTCGCCCGAGATGATCCGCGGGGACGACAGCAACGGGATTGGACGCGCTACGGATATTTGGTCTTACGGGTGTGTGGTGGTGGAGATGATCACTGGGAAGACGCCCAAGTTCGACAAGATTGCTGATGATAATGAGTAAGTATTTCAGTGGGGGTAGAATTATTTAGATCGTGTGCCGAATTGGTATTCATCAGCCACTGCAATACAATATTCGTAGATTAGTGGCTCTTACATAATTACGGTGCGCTTCAGTGTGTACATTTAGCCATCATGATAACTGTTTGGGCGTTTGGCATTTTTTAAAGTTTATTTTATAAATTATTACAAATAAATTCATGTGTGTTATTACTTTTTACAGGTATGCGATTATGTTTCACGTTGGGGCGGGAGGCCGTCCCAAGATTCCAGACACGTTGAGTCCGGATGGTAAGGATTTCCTGGACCATTGCTTCGAAAAGAACCCCGATGATCGCTGGCGCGCTGATCGTCTGCTGAAGCATCCCTTTGTAACGATTGATATTGGAGGGGATTTGTGAAAATCGTGATATATCGGTTTTTTGTTGATACTGGAATGCTGAATTTGTTGGAAGATCTCTGCGATTGATCGAAATGAACGAATTATGAAATTGCCTGACAGAAAATTTTGTTGGATACTAATTTATTGTTTTCGGATGTGATGCTGAGAGAATTGATTTGCGGCTATGCTTTCCTTGCTTGTTGGCGAAAGTATTGGCCGTGTTGTGGTTTTATCTATTTTTTATCCAGTGTAAGATGTTTTCTCTGTATTATGTCATAGTTTTTCGCTGCTATGTTTTTGTCCCGGTGGCGGCTTATCGGCTTCTTTGTAGGCCTGTTTTCTGCATTTTATCCGTACTGGTTCTGCCACATGATGTCTTTTCATTATTGCTTTTTTTGAGTTCCATGCAGAAAATTTATCATGTTCTCAAAATAGTTGTATCGACGAAATGATGTTAGAATTTACGAAAGCGAAAAAAAATAATAAAAAAATCAGCTGGAAACATTCTTTCCGTTTTAGCATTTGTAAGCACACGATTTTAACTGCATAAACAACTGTAAGTACAGTTGTTTACGTGCGTACGGTACGTGTACAGAATCTACAAAATACAGATACGACTATGCGCAATTGGTCAATGGCGTGAACTAATTACCGGTGCGTTGCGTAATACTGCGTTCAGTTCAAAACAGCACCAAAATTACTTATTCGAAAAAATCACAGAGCTACAGACTCTGTTCTTCGTACGCAGTAGAATTTTCTGTCCAACGTTCGGAACCGGTTTCAACCATTGCGATGCAGTTACTACGCTCTACCGCTGCCACTAGTCTCGCAAAGAACATGTGAACAAAATTTGAAGTGTTACGCCATAGAATGACCTAGTATTTCCATTTATTGATCCTCCACATATTGTAGTTCTAGAGTAGGATCTCTTGGCTTTTATTTCAGTGGTTCATTCATATCATCAGTTTCTGTTAACTTGGAAATACTAATATTTTCGATTTCGCAGGTACAATGGCTCGAAGTATCACGCCCTTCTTTTACTATCGAAAACATTAACTGTGAAGATTAGTTTTTGGATGTTTCCTCGATCTTCCGCGTGTGTATTTTGTCTTTTAAGGAAAGGCTCTTTGTTTAATTCATCTGTTCATGTGAAAATCTCGGAGATGCTGAACTACACATAATGCCATACGTGACCACATCGGAAGAATTGTTGCGGAATTCGAAGCATTCGGTCGGAAGCCATGCAGATAATCTGTTCACTCTGTATACTTGCGTTATCATTTCAGTCTCTGGTTGCTGACGCCATAGCAGCCAACTCGTCGGATTTATCCGCTGCATATGTTCTGCAGGCTTCCTTCAATACTCGCGGGATAAGGGGCACTCGTGACCTTTACGGAGACGACGAATGTTGCACCGAGCGACGCTACTGAATCACGATCGGGATCCGCGACGACGATTTCCGTAGAGTACTTTTTGGAAAATCCGCAATGGGCTGCCACATCCTCACGGCCTTCCTCCAAAGATGAACTGTTTATTACCATCCGGGAGTTTCCGGTTATCTTCGGGATGACAGGCGATCAGTGCTCCGACGAGGCGCTGGGCAAACAGTAAGCAACAGGTGGCGCAAGCACGCCGATAACACAAAAAGTGGATAAAACCCACTCAGTATTATAAAGGCGCTAGAAAAACTGTAAGCAAGAGAAACCTAGAGGCAAGAAATAAAAGCAAGCATATTTATTCGTTTTTGTCTCAAGCTTTATTTTTATCGCAGTTTACACTGAATAAAGTTGATTGAATATGATGATAAGGCGCCATCGCACTACAATTTCACCACTTCAATCAGAGCACCAAACTTCAATGAAAGGATTAATAATTTACTTACCGTGAGAGAGCCACTAAAATACCAGTACTTTGCAAAGTATATATTTATAAAAGTATTTATACAACAACACTTAGTAATCTGTACTTCTAGAGGTGTATATAAAGCAGGCTTGCATAAATCCTTCTATTTTCAGATTGCACAGTCGGACCTTCCAGATCGGGCCGCTCCGTCTGAACTCTACACTCTCCGGCCGCCTCCCCGCGGTGGACGTCCCTCTCCACTCCCACCAAAGCATCCTCGGCCGCTCCATCCTCGTCATCAGCACCAAAGGTAAACGCGCCTGCGCCACCATCACCACCACACAGCCTTTCACCAGTCGACTGGCTATCGCCCGCATCCGGGGCTCCATTGCCGGCGATGTGTACTTCCGGCAGTACGCGGCGGCCACCATCCATACCACCATCTTCGTTGACCTTTACAAACTCATCCCGGATGGGATGGCCAAGAATGTCACCTATAAGTGGCTGCTGATGACCACGGGACCGTTGGATCGCAGCCGCCCCGAGGATGAAGTTTCCTGTCGCAATATGCGCGTGCTGTATGACCCGGATTTCCGGGATGAGGCCGGTTGTAGCCGGGACGCGCCGCAGTCTTGTAAAATTGGGAATTACGAGCAGAAGTTTGGCGGATTGTTGATCGGGTGGGTGGGTGCACCGCAGAAGGCCTTTTACACGGACACGCAATTCTCCCCGTCCGGGACGACGGCCGGCAGACGGATTTATGTGGCGGTATTCTCTCCGTTGAATCCGCTGGTTAGTGTGGCGTGTGGGGAAATTCGGATGCTGCCGCCCAAGGTAGCCGAGGCATCCTTCAGTCAGGATGGTGTTAAAGGTCAGTACAACTCTAGCCAGTTACCATTTTTTCATACTCAAAACGTGCTAACACTTCTACCGGTATCGATATACTAATTTCGCAGGGTTACTTTTAAGATGCAATACTTTGTTTTCAAACAATTTCGATAGAGGTACGTATATATCACTCGTGCAGCTCATCTTATCAGTCTTAACTATTATCATTACGTGTTGACGAAACGTTTTAAACAGATTTTTTTTTATTTTATAATGACAGTTTCAAGAAAAGTAGTTTCTGTTACAGAATTTAACATTTTTCCGTTCTTATCTTTAGACTAGAATTGCCGTGCTTAATACAACGTATTAAACAGCCAGTTATTAAACAGAAAATAATACTGGAAACCATATTATCGTATTTTAAGTGTTCCGTGGAGTTACACATTAGACACATGACATCCAGTATATGCCGAAATACCATTATTAATACTGCAGAACTGCAGTGTATTTGGAACTACGTAAGCAAAAGTTAACGTTTTTTTCCAACGGTCCGATTGTATGGAGTATAGTCAGTATACACTCCCTGCAGTTCGTGATTTCGCACGTAAGACTAAAATATGCTTATATTTTTATTTTGTACATTACCGATTCGTCCGCATGATTGTGCATGAACACGATGAACCGACTGCCTTTGTGCAACTCTACAGGTTTGCTGAAATTTGTGCAAGTGTCCCCGCTGGATCCAACGGAAGTGTATATAAATTTAACCGGCTTGGCTTCCCGCGCCAACTCCTACCAGCTCCACCAATTTCCCCGCCGGCAGCGCATCAAGCGCAACGAAGATCTCTGTGTTGCAGCTCACATTGGCAATCTCTACGACCCCTTTAGAGCTGCATACAATCTCGGTTTGACCGTCAACGTCAGTACCGTGGACCAGTGGCCAGTGGGTGACCTAAGCGGACGGCACGGCAATCTCAGCGGTGTTGACAGTTATGATGCGGCATACGTTGACGAGAATTTACCATTGTTTGGATCACTGAGTATCATTGGCAGGACATTGGTCATTTACAATAACAGCGTTAACGGATCCAGATGGATGTGCAGCAGTGTGTGGTCGCGAGGGGAAACTGTAACAGCGAGAGTACGCTTCTTTTATACTGTCGGTAAGGGAGAATAACTTAAACACCACCGTTTGCCGTTATAACAGAAACGGGTGATTATCAGCTAACAATAACAACTCAGATACATGTACATATATCAACTCTGTATTACAGTATTGTGCGATTAAATGTTTGTTGAAACTTGATCGCCCAGATATTATAAAGTGTAGTTTGTAGTATTGTTAATTTTGCATTCATAAATTGATGTCAAAAAGCGAAAATGTTTGTCTATACTTTTATTCACAATAATTCAGTATTGTTCGTACTACGACTTCGCTCGTAGATTGGTCAAACCTACTATACGGGACAGTACTTTGATCGCCCACGTATTATGATTTTTCAATATCAATGAGGTTTTAAAAAGTTCGTTTCTATCCCTTTCACGTATTCAACTTTTTTTCTCTTTGCCAAGACACAGTATACGCTATGATAGTCACCGTTCTAGTTACCATTACTTGTATAACCAGTAATAACCAGCATGATCACCAATCGAACAAACTTCATACTCAGTTCATAGAAACCTCGGCATATCGCTTATTTCTACCTTACGTCGGACTTTCGGTTTATTCATTATCACTTGAAATGCAATTATAAAAATTAAAAGTGTAAGTGCAACACACGATATCGGATAACAGAACATGTAACACGCCGCATGAGGGGCTGGTGATCAATGTACTGACTCGTACAGTAGGTTTGACCAATCTGCGAGCGAAGTCGTAGTATATACTGTACAATTGTTAGTGTATACAATATTGTTAGTCTGTATGTTTTGTGTAACTTGTATTATATTTATATGTACATATTTATAAATGCGTACATATTTCAGAAATGACGAGTTCTTCTGTCTTTGCGTTCAGGTTTTATATGAATGTCGAGTTTTGTTCGGCTTCGGTTTTAGGTGGGGAAATATTTTTGCGTCAGGCTGCGGACGATTGGAGAAGTGAGACTACCATATTCGGCAACCTGTTTTACACAAACGGTGTACCGCCGAACTTCACCAGCAACCATCCGTGGCGTGTCCATTCCGGCATTGTAGAGCGGGATGCGTTTTCCTTTGATGACCGGTGCATTAACGCGCTGGATGTGTACAATCCTTTGGATATGGATATACGAAAAAACTACGCAACGGAGTGCCTTCCATCCCGGCCACTGCGCTGCCGCTTGGGTGACCTTTCTTTAAAACTGCAAAATCTGGTGGTGGCCCTAAAGGGTTCCATTGGAAACGGGCGCTTTCTGTTTACGGATTCCTTCTTGCCGCTCACCGGGCCCATGAGTGTTGTGGGCCGGTCAATTGTAATTTACACTAAAGAACAGGGAACTGATCGGCTAGCCTGTGGCAACATCCAGAAGGTACACCAAAAATGTAAACTAAGTGTCGGATCCGTAGTATTGTACATGTAGAAGAAAAGTTACAAAATGCTGTTGTAGGGGAAATTGGTTTAATCTTTTAACATATATTTTGATTTGCACTGTTGAAACGGTTTGTCATGAGAAAAATTCGATCTGATGATTGCAGGTTTATCCAGTGAAAGCGACGGCAAAGACCTGGGTAGGTAAAACCAACATCAAAGGTTACATCACCGCATCACAGCCTACTAGCTTCCAAGACACGGAAGTGATTATTAGACTGCAAGAGCTAGACCGCGCCGCGACATCCCTGACGGTTCATGTGGGTCCGGTGGAGAACGACTTGGTTATTCCCTGCACTGAAGAATCCCTTGGAAGTACGAAAACTTTATACGATTATACTGTATACACAGGATATACGAATATCCTGTGTAGTGCATTTAGTACAGGGTCACTCTTGACCTTTGACACCGCAGACAATATTGCAATAATTATAAGATACAGTTGTGCCGTGGCATTACGCGCATGTTCGAAACTTTTATATCTCTAATTTTAGCAATGTACGAGTGCAGCATCCATGTGTTCACAATCTGGAAAAAATTTTTCGTATTTTATTTTAAAGTTGTAACACTAACTAAACTAATATTTTCAGAGGACTATAATCCTTTGAATACGTCAAACGCACCGTCGCAGAACACATCATTGTCGGCTGAAGTGTCAACAGACGATTTATATGCCGTTGGTGACCTTAGGTAATACATATACAAAAGAAAAACGCAGTGTGCGGACTTTGTACACTTTTACAATTTCGTTGTCTCCTGTTGTATACAGCGGTAAATACGGATCTCTGTCTGGATTAAGCTCTTATGACCGGCAAGCTTTCGATGAGAATCTTCCGTTGGCCGGTCTGAACAGTGTTGTGGGCCGCTCTGTGGGAGTAAGACAGAGCCTGGAGAGCCGCAGTTTAGCCTGTGCGGATATCGTCCACGATATTGACGAGCAGGATATCAAAATCAAAATCGTACACGCTATTGCCGAATTTCCTGGACCTTTCTTGTGGGGCTACATGCGTATGGTAGGAAAATCAGAAAGATTAAATTTTCTATGTGGAAATACGCAGCAGGCGTTGACTTTGCACATTGTTGTTCGCATATTTAATTTTCGACTTTTACATTTATTAAAGAAGTCTTGTTTTAAATGAACCTTTCCGCCATAAATAAGCGACAAAAAAACTTGTCTCACGGTTTCTGCAGGCCATTTCGATTAATAAACTTAAGTGAAAATTAACGTGGATTTTTGTACAGTTCCAGGTAGTATACGCCGACGGAAGTACATCACCGTTGACCATTCAGTCCCGTCTGGCGCATATGGTCAATAACACCATCGACTACCTGAGACCAACTTCCGAGTACCGATGGTCAGTGTGCCAGTTGCCGGTTGCTACGGATGCCGCAATTATTTACGAAGATTTCCGCTGCATCACCGCGGGCTTGGTATGCGTGTAGACTTGCTTCACCCAATTTTCTGCGGGCTCAATACATAAATTACTCACTGTACTGTATTTTTAATGCATGCATACGTAATGTGTCTGCCTGTTTAGTACATACAAATATATAGATATTTCGTATTTTAATATCAGATAAAATCCTAAAGTAAAAGAATAGGCGCGAGTGCCCTTTGTTATTTTCTGTAACTTTCTTACTAAATAATTATTCTGATAACTAAAACTGTGTACATATATTGAATTTATAAATTTCTTCGTGTTTTTGTAGACCGATAATTACTTTAACACCTTTGTGGAAGGGCAAGAGTACCGTGATGAGTGTTGGGCCGGTAATCCAACACGGTGCTCATATGGGGACGTGACGCGCCGTTTAGGAAAAGTTCGCATTTCTTTCGACGAACGCCAAGTCTTCACCGACGATATCTTGCAACTGCAAGGAAACATTTCCCTTATCGGACGGTCAATTGTGGTTTTCGATACAAGAGAAGGCGATCAAAGGGAAATTCGGTTGGCGTGTGCAAATATTCTGGAGGAAGAACACGCACAAGTGACAATTAATCTGCAGCATGCCGGCATTTTTGACATGTAAGTAACTTCGGAGCAAAATACTAAAAAACGTAACTAAATGAGTCATATTTATAAATCGCGAACAATTACGCTTAATCATACATAACAATTACAATTTAGCAGTTAAGCCATCTATAAGTTAAATCTGTACTGCGTTTATTGTAACGTGTAACGTTGTAACGTGACCTTTGCATTATAGCGTGGGATTTGAAGAGCACGTGGTGCGAGTGTCCAATCTGTCCCAATGGAACGTGCAGATTGATTTCGGCAATGTCAAACGCATGTACCAGGACTCTTGCGTGGTGGTGGACGTCCATTTCAGGGCACCCAAAGCCCTTAGCGTCATGCGGGCATTTACCAATCTGATCGATCTGGACCAGTTCTCGTTTCTCGGATATCAAAACTGTGATAAGAAGAAGTACCGCAAATTATTAGCCATGCTGACGGGAGCAGTGACCGTCTCTTCTTCCGATCGGGAAGCGGAAGACGATCACGATGGAGCTGTACGACTGTTAAGCGGCGGCGGCATATATCACGTTGCTTTGTTAATTCTCGCATTTTTTGCATCAAAATTTTTGATGATATGATTTCTATTAAGATTTCATGTTTACCAATTGCGGCAGAAATTGTTCCTGGCGCAAAAACCTTTACCTGAAAAAATTGTGATATAAACCGATATAAAACTGTTTGGTGTGTTCACCTTTTGGTTAATTTTACTAACCGTTTTTTTTCTCGCAGCAGGAGTATGTACACCACAAAACACTGTTTCTAAGTACGTTCATGGTAACCGTACACCTGACCGGTGTCCGATCGATTTTCTATTTGCGCAATCGAGCAAAACTGAACGGGCGAACGGAGGTCAGCAATCACTGTACCGCTCGTTACCGGCTAAGCAACAAAATTCACCGGAAGTTCGTAAAATTATTGCACTATATCGTTGCGGCCACTTAGATCCGCATCCATTAAGAACCCAATACGCGTACAGTATTAACCTTTTTCTTTAACAAGAAATTTTGTGAAGATACGTTGTAGGTGATACTGAACGTTTGTTTTTATTTACAATCTAATTTACAAGGAAAATACCTATATATCTTCATTATTGGTTGTTATCGATTTACCATTAGTTTGATCATAACAACAATGCAACAACAGTCTTACAGCGTGGTATGGTGTGTTATCATGTGCCTTGTGGAAAATTCTTTCTGTGCACTGGTAAGCCAAACATGTGGTTATGTCTTATAATAAACTGCTGTCTTGCCGACCGGCGACGTATCTGTATCACAGACATGCATAACAGGCTGAAGGTTCACCTCCCCAGTTTGCTGTAAAAAAGCCTGAGTTCTCCGTCTGCGCACCGGATTTTTCTGGACGCGTAGGAGCGACGGATGCCGATGGAGATAAAATTTTCTACAGTCTCGTTAGCAGCTCACCGTCAGCGCTCGACTACGTCGTAGATGCCGGCACTGGCACTATAAAATCCTTCCGGTAATGCCCTAATTTATTAATATGAACCGGTAATTTTTTCATTAACAACAGGTTTCTTGCTACTTCGAAGTAAAAATAGTAGTTTCAGATTGTTATCCACTTTTAATTTCGTAGTCCGTTCAATGCCAACGAAAAATCCGTTTTCTCTGTGCAAGCTACCGACGCAACCGGACTTTCTTCGATTATAACGGTCACAGTTATCTATCAAGAATGCGGGTAAGCCGTAAGCTGTAACCACTTCCATAAAAAAATTAATCATGATTTCCGGTTACATGAACATGGTTACTTGAATTCTGTTAGGTACCGCCGTACCGGTACACACCGTTAAAACAAAGTAGTCAACTGAATTTCTGTTGTTGGCTAATTACTCCGCTGCCATGCAATGTTTATCTTTGCGGATGCGTGTATAGAGTATAACTTGTAATTTATGCTTGCAATTGGGCGCAAAAGTAAAATTATACAATTGTACCCGAATTCTAACATAATTAACAACAAACTGCAAACATGTACATTTTCATTAAAACGTTGTACGCTAATAAACTATCCAAGCCACATTATACTATTTATCCTACGTATAGTAGTACTGTCACACTGTATTTATTTTTATGCTTTCTGCGTTTTGTAGGAGCCGTTTAGTTGAACCTGACCAACCGTCCTCCGCCGGAAGCGCCCGCTTTTTGGAGCCGTTCGCACCTCGCAATGCATCTATTGGAGGGATTGTTAACATTTCTAGGATAATTGAACGTGAACCATAGAAATGTATTACGAAATTTTTACAAAAGTTTTCTTATTTAACTTTGTACGTTGTAATTATTGCGTAATGACACTGCGTATGTAGCACCGTATTTAATTTTCCCGGGCCTTGCGCATCAGTTTTATATTAATAACTGACGAATGTATTTAAATTTTGGATTATTTGAAACGACAAAAATTGTTTGAGTGCCTAACTGCCTATCAGTAATTTATATGAGCACCTTTTTATCCGCATAGGACCTGCAATTTGAACACATAACAGAAAAACCACACAAAATACAGTATGCCAGTTTACGAAATTGCATTATGTGTTAACCCAACATGAACAAACATTTGTAATAACTTTTTTTGCAATTGTTATTTTCTCCCGATGGTGCACCTCGCACGGAAGCCGCATGACCCATGCACAATAAGGCATACATAATTATGGAGACATTCAACTTCAAGAAGAATCTGAATGCAGGCAATAGAAGTTTTATCATTATTTTCAAATATTTACAAATTAAAAATTTTCTGCGACAACCTTTGTCGCAGCTTGTTGTTTGACTAGACTATGCAGAAGTTATGGCAATAGCGCTCTTCATTTTGATTTCCTTAGATTATTATTGATTACCGTATTGTTAGCAAGATTCGTAAAAACAAAACACAAGCCTGAAGCATCCACGTATTTTGGCAAATTATATGGTGCGGTCATCGAGCAGCAAGCCGGCAGCATACGTCACGCATCAAGTACAATACGTCCATCAGATGATTCACTACCGGTCAGTTTAAATATACTATACAGGTCGACTGACGTGAGTCACGACGTGAGAGCCTATGGGTGTTCCTTTACTACAGCCGACAGCGTGAAAATCGTGCCTTCGCAAATCGCAAAATCAGAGCAGTGTTCAGTCTGTGACTTTGCAAACTTTTAAACAGCCATTTTCCTCGTTGCACTTTGTGACTTTTCTCGATAAAGCATCCCTTCAATGATTCGAAAATTTGCTTTCCTTTTATTGTTCAGGAAAGGATAATAATTTCTTCGGTGCATCGGTTTGCAGGTGGTTTTGGGATTCCCCAATTCCGTATTGGCTTGACTTGCAGAAAACGGTAAGAGTGCGTCTGCGACCTGTGAGTGTGAAAGCTATCTGCTTTAGTAGGTTTTCGTGCAGTTGTCCGGTTTCCGGGTTCTGAAATTTGATGGTTTTGCATGGAATTTAGGAAAACATCCTGATGTATTTATGAGTGCATAGCTGATCTTGTAAATAATTTAGAAGAACTGTGACTACAACATTTGCTTGGGTTTTCGAGCGCAGCATCTGGAAATTCTGGTTCGATAACAGTAAATAACAGGGAATTTGTGAGTTGCTTCGGTGTATTTATCTCCTGAAGAAGTTTCAACTTTAAAGTGATTCGTGATCGTTGAGTTTTTGTGGTTTCTTAAGATTTAGTGTGTAATTTGGTTACGTACATAATCGTGTGCCAGGATTGTAGATGTTGCTTGAAAAGTGCTAACGTTGTCGTTTACGCGTTGGCAAGCCACTACAGCACGTCTTTTGTGATTACGTAAACCGCGTAAACCAATGCTCGCTAGTTATAACTGATTACATATTGCGCTTTGGGTATTCGACTCTAGTTTATGAGTTGGTCAGTTACATCAGTCCGTGCGACAAAAAGTAAATTCTGTCTCGGTTGAGGCACGTTTTCGTTCAAAAATTAAACGAAAGAGAACTGTAGAGTGTGAAATGCTGGCAGAATGAGATGGAGGCTTTTTGAGTAGAGCATGCCGTTTCCGGTTTTCAGCGATTTTTTGGGGGTTCGTTACAGGGAAGACTGAATTTGAGCTATAAATAATAAGATATGATTTACCCGTTATTGAACCACATTTCCGCTTGTTTCCCTGTCGGGTAAACTTTATGCAGAATCACCGTCAAAGTGAGTGGTGCGGGACCGGACCTGTACTGACCATGAGTAGCGGTTCAATACGGTTCGAAAAATGTGCAACCTCATTACGTACTCTTGAGGCAGGAGGGAAATCCGAATTTTTGTACACCCTGTGAAGTTGTAACTTTTTCTAAATGCAAAATTGTGAGAAAGATGTATAATGTATTTATCAAACTGATAGGTTTACGGCAAACATTACTAATTTTTGTTTCTGTAATAAATTCCAGTTGGTAGTCGTACAGGTTTTAATTTCCTTTTCCGTGGAAATTGTCGCTGATCGGTTAATTACTTAATTCGAAGTGTCTTCTTTACCGTGTATTACAAGTTTGTCGGAAAAAAAATTTAAAATACTTCTATAGTTCTATAGAATTACGGTCAATTTCTGAACGATATTAAATCTGTTATTATGCAGGTTATTCTCGGAATGCGGTTACTGACTTGATCACGGAATATTCTAAAGTTAAATTATGGTTTCTGTCACCAATTAAGTCTATCGTTGTTTTAGTCTGCTTGCAGTTAAGTAATGCAGCTGTTCTTTAAATTTTTTTTCGAGCCGGTATCGAAGTTTCTTCACAAGGTAAATACGTGGAAGAAACTTTTTGGCAAGATGTGGGATGTGAAAACGGTTGAACTTGGTAATCAGGTTGGCCTAAATGAAAAGTTGGCTGAAAAGTAAACGACCAAGTTTAAATACATTTGCACATGTGACAAGTACGCCGAAGAGTGTAGCGAGTTGCGTGATCAGATGTAAAACTGGTCCATTTCGAGACGCTTCCTCTGATGAGGACTGAAACGGAAGTCATACGCACTGTAACGCACTGCGTCAGCAGTGGCACTGCAGAACGTGCCTGTATTTGTGGTGATACGCCGTACGACTGAACATTTAATTGGAAAACTGGGGCTCATCTGTCGCGGTATGGCCATCACACAGCGGCTGCGTGGTCCACGTTTGACTTGCTACTTTGTCTTGTGATCCATCTGGGTTGGTTCTGTAAAAGGCCCAGCGTAATAACAGTGCTGTGTTATCGCGACTGTTCTGCGCGCAGATCATGTTTGCGTATTTGTTCGATAGAGACACGGCGGACGAACGAAAGCGCTAATCGTTTATAGACATCGTGGCGTGTACGGTTTACATACACTTTTCATGGCATGTGTGCAGCATTCTAATCTAGTTTCGAATTTTTATTCGAGCCCGAGTGCTTAACAGGCTTGCTTTGATTTTCGTACTACCCGGGTAGCGAGGGAACTATTAATCGGATTCTTGGAGTGTTTTCAGTGCGACGTATGGAATAGAATTGTGATTTGTGTGTGAGTCGGGAAATTTCGGCATGAGTGTGCGATAGTTAATCCAGTTCGATATTTATTTTTAACTGCCCTTGAAAGAAGGAAGTTTTGATTGGGGTGAGTAGCGATCTGAAAGCTTTGTGATTCATAGCGATGGTCTACGAATCGGGTTTTAAGTGCATAGTCTGATAATCTGCTACTCCATTTTTTTGCCGAGATAATAGTAGTGCTACGCGAAATATGATTATTGTTGATAACTTGATATAATCCGCAGGTTAGTTTTAAGTCATCAATTATCAGGCATATGAAATTTTCCTTTGTTAAAACAATCAGAAAATCCGTTTCAAACGTATTCGATAGATCGTGGTTTTCTGTGCAAATTTTGAAAGTAATGGATTATTGGAATTCAGCGGAGTGATAAATACATATGGCTAGACTAGTGGCTGTTATATGCAAGGTTCATTGATCTGGGAATTTGATGATTTTTCCTCCCAGTGTGTAAAAGTGATACTGGGCGCTTGCGCTCACTACTTTCCCCTGCTGACGGCTTGCTCATGCTGGGTGCGATTGATTGCTTCGGAGTCCGATGGTACCCGTTTTCACGTTTATCGACCTTTAATACCCAATTGTCAGTGCTGCGGACCTGTTTTGTGTGCTGCTGGCGTATGGTGGCTATTTCTCGACGACCAGCCTATCCGTTTGTCATAATGGCAGGGGCGGTGCACTTGGAATTTTTAATCAATTACCTTAATGGGATTTAAAATTGCTGATAATCTTGTTGTGTTTCTGTATTTATCAGCCTGTTTGCCGAGTTTTTTAGCCTTTTTGCACAGTTTTCCAAAAGATTTTAAAGTGGCGGATAGTGAGGTAGTTCAGAATTTGCAAATGTCGCTGATAGAGAATTCTCGATATCTGTTGGGTTGTATAATTATCGATTTCCTTCAGCTCCCAATTTTGAATGTTGAGTTAGATATAGTGCGTCACTGCGTACAGTAGGTGTTCAAATTTTACAAAACGGACAATAAGTTCTGGAACCACGGGGAATAATGTATTGACTATTTACATCAGTGGTAATTTAGTTTGATTAATAATTTTCTTAATGCTTGCCAAAAGAAAGATCGCGATTCATGATACGAGTGTAGAAGACAACTTGATTCAACCGAGTCATGATCATATGATGACGCCAGCGGACGGCATCGTCTGATGGTGGCGCGTACGAGTACACTTTGTGTGTCAGCTTTCTTTTGAAACGCTTACTTCCTTTAAAAGTGCTCGATGTACGCTGATAGTGTCGGTGCCAAGCCAGCTGCTGCTGTACAGGAAAGGCGTGTGTTTTGTGCGTTTCACGATCACCGTGTTGTGTCTTGTGCGGCTGAAAACCGGTTCGCTTTTCGCCAGTGGAGCAGTTCAGTTTACAGCCCAGTAGTGTTGTGTATGGCATGTGTGTGTTGAGCCGAAAATGGAAAACATCTGACAATAGTAGTAGAATAGTTGAGAGCAGGTTTCGTATTGCTGCTGCGTGATTTTTTGTCAAGTTAAGATTATGTTCAGGCCCTTTGGAAACGATTAAAGAAAGGGACTGGTGTTTTTGCTGACGTGCGTCTTTTTTCGTGGTAGTTATTGGAAGATTACTCTGGTAATTGCTGCGAAGTTTACACGAGAAGGAGGCGTTCCATCGTTAAACTGTTTTTGTGTTTTGCAGATTATTTGGCTGATTTCTGCAAAACTACTGACAGGGACGTGATTCCTGGAAGGTTTTTTCTTTCATCGTACTTCGATTTGTGGTCAATTGGGTGTTAGTCTCGTCAGTGTGTGTGGAGGACTCGGCGCCGTCGACGTCAGACTCTGGTCTACCCTCTCTTTCTCTCTGTCTGCGTCTTTCTCCCCCTTGCCCTCAGCGGATCGATCCGATCTATAGAATGGAACAGCAGACCAATTCGAACACCAATCAGCCTACCTTGTGTCGTTCGGGATGCGGTTTCTATGGCAGTTCCTCCATGGACGGCATGTGCTCCAAATGCTACAAGGATGCCCTGAACCGCAAGATGCAGCCGCCACCCAGCAGCAGCTCCCCGGCGGTGAACATCAGCAGTCCCTCCCCGGCCTCCATGGCCTCATCCGGGACCGCGTCCACCAACAGTTCGTTCCTTGATCTCTCCACATCGCCCATTGGTATCGCGGGGGGCGGTGGTGTGGCCAGCCCCTTCTCATCCAGTGTGCCAACCCATCTCACTGCTCATTTGGTAAGGTGCTGTCTCTATGCTATGTTGTGCGGCGCTAGTGTTTACATGCGAGAAGAATAACGGAAATAGATTTGATTTGGTAATGGGCATCGTGTGTGGGAATGCGTGCGGCCTGGTGAAGGGCGCCGTGACTATTTTCATCAGCGAGTGAAGTTGCGTAATTGGGGGTGTTTTAATTTGAGCTGACAGGTTTACTGCGCGATGACGTTGCTCAGGGTCAGAAGTGAAAAGTAGTTCGTTCTGGGAGTGGTTTTTTCTCCTTTTCAGCAGCCAAATAGGTACTTAACTGTTTCCTAACATTGTTTCCCCTTTCTTGCGCTTCAGCCGTAATTGTGGTAATTGCGGTAATATGGGTACAAAGGTGTTTTTTCCAGTGAGCAGTTTGGTCAACAGGAAAAATTGCTGTTTAATGACATCTGATTTGATATGTTTTTGTTGATGTTTGAACGGAACTTGTTAATAAGAGATAATGCTGGCGGAATATGGGTGCAGTGTGCTCACTAATCACCCACACTGGATCGATGCGCTTTGCTTTGGCCCACACACGATTAGTCGTATGACTAAATATGTATCCGGAAGGTGAATGTAATGCAGGCAGAATGTGAATTGGTCTCTTACTCTGGCCGATGTATGCATGGCCGTGGCGCTTCTAAGGGAAGGTCGGCTAGTTTGTGTAAACACCGCTGTGAACCTGTGAAACATATGATCGGAAAGCTGGCGCGCCGTCAACACGTCACTAGCCGAAAAAAATCACGTTCTAATACTTGGGTTCGGAGTATATATATATTTTTGATAAGGTTGCTGACGTGGGTTGCTTCTTCCTTGACTTGATCTTGATTAATTTATACATAACGGTGATGCCGTAAGTAACTGTTGTTTGGTGTGTTGCAGCCTCATCCTTCCAGTAGCATTAATCTACCACATATTGCCACTGCATCCGGATCAGGCGCTTCCCTATCGTCTGATTATGCCCTTTCAAATTCCCCCTCCTCCACCAGCCTTCCGGGCAGTTTCACGGACCCCACCTCGCCCATGAGCGAAGCGGCCAAGAAGAAGAACCGTTGTGCCGAATGTAATAAGAAGGTCGGATTGACAGGTACGTTGTGTTGATCGTGTTTGGAGTTTGCGTTGTATCACGGGAACATCAAAACATCCCTGGCAGGGGGGTTCCAGCCCGCCTTTGATCGTGCTGGAATTTGCGTTGTTTCTTGGAACATCAATGATGAAGTTACGAAGTAAATTACTTACCATTTAAATTGATTTTGCGAAATTTTCTTTTTGGTACTTACTGGAATGAATATTTTCTGTTAGACATTTACGGGTTTTCCACTGGTTTTCGACGTATATTTAATGAGCATTTGATGGACAATCGATTTTTGATTACGCCGATAGTGATAGTTCCCCCCATAGTAGCAATCGTGTACACTTGTGTTAATCGGATTGTGTTAATCGGATATTACGTAAGGACGCCGTTTAGAGCAGTTATATTGGTGTGGTTATGTAAGGCTTTCTTACGCGTGGTAATGTGAAACATTTTTAAGCAGTTGTGAAATACACCGCATGTAATGGTGTATTTCTCCAAGCACCTGCATCACTTGCCATAATCGTTGTCGGTGACGATTATATAGCTGTGGCTTGCAGAATAACAGCCGTTTTTGGCTGATTGTGCGTAAGCAGTTAAATGTTTTGGGAAATCGATAGCCGTCGATGACGAGCACGCGAACCACGTAAAGTGAAATTTTATCCAACTCTGGTATTAAAAATTTTGTTCCTTTTAAAAATACATTTAGTACGCGAGTGTGCGGGAATCATCTTTGATAGTACTTATTGATTTACAAATTGGTTTTGTAAGTCGATTTAAACGTAGCTCAGAAATACACCTAATCCGGAGAAATGTACGTAATCATTTAATCCGGTAATCCATAATGGAGAAATGCGTCTTTATTCCAGGTTTCGAATGCCGCTGCGGTGGGACCTTCTGCCCCGTGCACCGCTACTCCGACATGCACAAATGCAGCTTTGATTACAAGCAGATGGGTGCGGATGAGATCAGAAAGAATAATCCGGCGGTCCGTGGGGAGAAAGTGCAGAAATTATAAAAGAAGCGCAAAAACGAGAGAAAGGGAGATTATTTTGATTATATCGCGGGCGCGCACGCGGGTGTTGCTTGGCCGACAGTGTTTTTTTCATTTTTAACGATTTAGTTGTTCTGCGCTGTGGAAACCTTCACTTCGGAATAACGGACAGCCATATTAGTTGGTGGGGACAGACAACCGTGGGGAAGAAACGGGGTTGGAACCAGGCGCGCGGACACACCCAGCCTGAACGGGAAACTTGCGTTTGCTTTGATATGTTGTGCATAGTTGGAGCTCTTTTCGGGGGGATATTCTTTGTGTCTCCATTTTGGCGTAACGGTGTGACTGTTTCGGGACGGACAGATATTGGCGGATGTTTGGCTACGCCGTTATTTCTGTTTCTGTCCGATTCTGTCGTGGCTTGTCTGCGGGTGGAAGTTCGAGGGTTTTCATATCTCTGTGTTTTCATTGTAAATTGACCTTTATCTTTCGATGATGAAATGTAGTCGGTTGGAATGATTCGTGTTACCTGCTTTTGGTTCTTCTTCCTTTTCCCATGTGTTTGTCCGCGTCTGTTGTCGGCGGAGCGGATGCTGGCTTATCATTTTGACCTGCGTTGGAATTAAAATTTGTTTTGTTCTACGCTTTCATTCATCAGTTTCATTACAAAGCTCTGTGTTACAAAAAACAATTGCTGCATAAATAGGAAAAACATTAGACAATATTCACTCCAGTAAAAACTTGATTATTATTTCAACTCTTGTGATACTTCAACGCTTGGAGAAAGGGCATATATTTTCAGAAAATCAATTACTATTTGTGAGCACTACGACGCGGTTGACATTCTGGATCCGTAGAATTTCTTGTTACAGTTTACAGGTTTCCCGGCATTTATGATTTTAATACAACTGCGTATGTGATGCGCAATAGCTTGCAATTTAAAACGCACAATCAAAGTTAACATAGCAGAAGCAAATCTTCAGAATAGCAGTTCAATAAAGTGCACACTGCATACGAAACAAAGTCTGAAATCTTAAATTTAAAGGCCACACCAAACGGTATCATTTTTCATCGTGTTGCTGGAGAAATTCAGTTTATACTCTGTAGTCTGTAGGTTTAGACATAGTCGAAATGCAGTCCTTGCAATTCCTTGCTAGCAAGACTGTTAGCAATCCATTCGTCAACAATCTCGTTTTGTGCCACGGTAAAATGGTTTTTCCAGGAGCCGATTTTTCCTAAACAGATGATAGTAGTTATATATGCCATCTACTAGGGTAGGGTAGGCATCTACAGAAATATCCGGCTGCTTGCCGATGCGTAGTATCGAGAATTTTGATGGCACAGTAAGTATAAAAATGAAATTTTAATATATTAATAAAGCTGCATATTGTACAGATAGTGAGTACTTATTTGAGCCGCCCACGCGGTAGCTACACAAGTACATATCAGCGCTCGTTCAGGCAAGAGGAACCGTTTGAGCCTAGCGCCGATACATTACAATTTTCTTAATTCGAACTGATAGCATTAGTAATGTAGTTTAATACCGCAAGGTAATTTTTTAGAAGAAATATTTATCAAGTCTTCTCATTTTCGAGGCCGATCAGAACTCTCGCCACAAAACAGTTTTGCTTTAGAATTCTTAGTTTGCAGGCAACATATATACAGACTCTGTCCATATATTTGACTGTACCTGATCGGAAAAACGGAGCAATGTTGAAATCGATAATGCCATTTTTGTGAGTCTGCGAATAGTTGACGCAGTCGTTATTCTTCATTTCGTCAAAAGTGGTATAGTGAACAATGTGTTCGGCTTGCTCCTTCGTTAGTGACCGTCCCAAGAATTCGCCCACTTGTTGCACTTCCTTAACCGGATCCTATGTAAAGAAAAATAGCATAGTATTACAGTTATCGTAACAAAACCTACTATGACATAAAACTATGTTTTGTACTAATTTAATTTTAAATCGTTGTGAGCAGTAATAATTGCCGCCGGTTGATATTTGCCGAAATGGCATTCCTTGCATAACCGGCACCTTGTGGAGTTTTTCGTAGGTCGTGAAATGGACGTTATCGTGGTTGCGCAGTGTCCAGTAGCTGGCCACATTGCCAAAGTACGGACAGTAGACGACTTCGTCCCTTAAAAACAATCGCACAAAATCCTCGAAGTCTCCACGGTAATCCAGAACGCGATGAGATTTCATAAAGTAATACATGGACACGATGGTATCTTTCGGGTTCCGTGCTACGTAAATTATCTAGAAAGAAAATAATTAATTGATTATTTGCGTAGTCTCATTAAGGCAACCTTCGTTGTCATTTATAACCGCCGCAGTCATATTTTCAAAATTTCAGCAAAACAAATTCAACACGCGTTTAGTGCTGGAAAGATTTGTTTAGCCATATATTTTGTCAAAATTAACGTTTCGAACCTAGTAGAAATTCAAATTCTTTGTTTAAGGTACTTTGTATAATTGACTTGTGATTGTTTATAATTAATTTGTTACATTATAATAACATTACATTACTTTCGGTTGATTACTGTACTTATTTTGCCGAAATTAAAGTAATCGAAGTTGTGAACCAAGTTTAGGAGTTCCACATTTCTTTAGCATCCGAGTGTTAAGGTTAATCAAGCGCATGTGACCCGAGGGTATACTTTTTCGCTAGCAGATTCTTACACGACTTTTGGCTTGGTGTGCCGAATCAGGTAGTGCCTGCCATGCCAGATGCGTTTTCAGCGTGCGAGGTCGCGGCATGCTCAGCGCACAATCTAGATGCCGGCCATTCTGCACCTTCTTCCCGCTTTCCAGGTACGGCCACTTCTCCTCCAGCAGGCCGTTATGCAGGCAGCTGGGATCGCCTTTATTCAGAATTAAGGTCACGATGGCTTGCATCCAGGTGGTGCCTGTTAAATTGACCAGTTACACATACATATGTATTAACGAAATGAAACTCATATGCGTAATAGAATCTACATAGATGCCGAACTAACTGAAGCTAACGCAGTTGCAGTCAAGCATAGTTATTAAGGACTTATAAATATTTATGCACCGTTAATGTATGAATTGTTATACAGCTTGTGGATAATAGCGAAAGGCCGCATTTTTTCCGCACGAGTTAAATTTGTGATTTAACAAATGTCTTCCTTACCGGATTTGGGAAACGTAGCCACTATGATGTCGTCGGGAAAGGCTTCGAATTTCTCCAGATCAGGCATAAGGTCATAGTTACGCTGGATGAGTTGAACTCCCCGGTACAATTTCATTGGACTGTTGAAACCAGTACACCCAGTATACGGCTATGTCTTATGACTATCAGATTAATTCTACAATATTTGGCTACAATTTCGCTACATAGGTCACTGAGAAACATGAGCATAAAAAGCTGGCTTAATTGGTGATAGTGTATTGATAATTCGCATTTATGGTGGTTAGTGGTTAAGTAATTCAACTTCGTTTTTTATACATACTGACCTGGCGAAAGGTCCTTCTCGTTTGCGGGCAACGGCTGCCGGACTGCCGCCGTTCTCCCGTTTACCATTCTCCTCCATGGGAAGATTTGCAACAACTTGAGCCATATCCAATCTCGGTGGTTATGTCGCTACCGAAGAGCCTGCTTTCTTCACTCTACAACCAGCTAACTGCAACCGAATGCTTCTGTTCGGCGTCTCGTCTTGATAAATCTAGATTATTGTAAAACTAGCGCATTTCAGCATAAAATGCCTGGAAGCCATACCGGTAAAGGTAGCAGACTTGGCCTGCGTTTCCGATGACTGGTGCTTCCTCCGGCATTTTGTCACCGTCGTCAAAAATTATTCACTACGTACTCACGTAGTCATTCTACTGCAAAAATAATACACAGTATGATGTGAAATAGTTATTTTAAACAGAAAAAGAAAAATATCTTTTCAGGTTCCACAGAATTATGTAGATTTTTTTTAAGAATACAAAATTGCGCAGCAAAAATAAGTACTGCTTATCAAAATAAGGATATTAAGCTACTAGTAGAAACTGTGGGTGGTCATTCCATAAAGCTTATACGATGGTGATCAAGCAATTATTATTTTTACATTATTTCATTAATTCTCAATCAAACAAGTCTTGTATTACTTATTGTCACTAGTATCAGATTTTTATACATACTTGATATAAACAGTGTTGTTAAAAATGTGTACAGTAGCTTATCGTCCAGCTATGTTCAGTTTGCGACATTTGTAGAGCGCACTCAACATCCCGGATGCTGATGACTTCGGAAGCGGTTTCGTTACTGCAGCACCGAATGCGAAACATAAATGAGGTAGACGAAGTCTAATAAAGGTCATACTAAAACTGGTCATTCATCACGTTAAGACTGGCCTTAATAAACATTGTAAATTTTGAGTAAACAAAGCATTGCTGATAACGAAGGGATGCAGCCGTTGGTGTTTATAAACAAAGAATTAGCGAAATTACTGCTTTTCGCTTATTTACACAGGTGTGAGCGTTAGTGTGCAGTGTGCACAAATATCAAATCGAAGTCCTGGTTTCGTTGATTTGCAGCGATGTGTCAGTAGTTAATAATTAACAACGTCCAAGTATTGCACTTATTTATTGCTTTATAGTTCCAGCATACCCGTTTTGCACAGTTCATTCCATGTTTTCTGATAGCGATTACAGACATGAGTTAATAATTAATTCAGCAGTTCTGCAAAAAAGTCAACCAATTAAACTTTCTACCAGCAACTCATATAGAGTATTTGTTTGCATTATATTGTTTGCATTGCTATTTTAATTATGGCATATAAAATTTAATAGACAGCAGCAGCACAATTTAATAGATGCAGCACAAGAAATTACTTATGTATCTGTACAGCGTTGTCTTGCTGCATGCGAAGTACTATAAAAAGCCGCTACAATACGGTGTATTAACAGTGCGCAGTCGCGGTCACTTTGATTTATCAAACGACTTATGGCTTTTGAGTTGGCATTGTCCATCTAAAAAAGCAGAATTCGTTAACAACTTTAATGCATATTTTTCCATGTTTTCCATGATCTTCTTCTGGTCTTACAATTAAAAATAAAAATTTGCCGGCCTACAATATAATTGTACTCCCGGTGATGCTTTTTATTAATTCAGAATTTGGCTCATCTGTTTCTACACACCGATTAACGCTTATATACGCTTATCGTTAATTAGACAAGAAAAATTGATCCAATGTGTGTCGCCTTGGCCGTAAACAAAAAATTTCACATACGTTTCTTTTGTTATGAAGAATTAATTATATATAAGGTGGGATGTTTCGGTTTTATATTTGTAGTATTCTGTTCTGCCGGCACCACACGCCAGTTGGACACCACGTATATTTTTTTGGTATTAAAAAGTGTAGTTCAGTTTCTGAGAAAAATTCCTGCCGATACGGCATAGTTGGCATAATGCTGTTTGCTTTATCTTACGCAAGTTATCCGGAAAAAAGGTGTTTGTGAAATTTGCTTTCGGACACATGCACCATCCAGATACAGATTGTCCATACACTTGACAGTAAAACCTTTGGTTCAAAACACAACTACTGTTGCCGGTATACAGCTACCTCGGAAGGATATAAAATTATAGGAAAAGAAGCGCTGTACATTGCAGTAAGTACTTCACTGCTCAGAAGCAGCGAGTAGGAAAAGGATGAAAACGATGTTAGAACAGCAATTTACCAGCCAGCTTCAGTGATTCTTGATATGATATTCATGTGTTACAGATAATTTACATATAACTTCATCTTTCAGTTATGTATTCGGTATCTCAAAAGCTACCTAGGCACATCAGTTTACTGCACTCGTCGCAAATTACGACTTTAAGTCACAACTGTAGCATTCGGTAAGGTCCCTCCTAATTGCTGCGTCGGCAGAAACAGCGATGCAGACTGCAGTACCGAATGGATTAAGTCTCCAAGACGCTTCCGGTTTCTGAGATGCAAGTAATCCCAGAAAACCCGAGAAGCTAAGCAGCTAAAACTCCCCACAGCGTAAGAGATTTTTCCATAAGAGAACAGTTCATTTTACTGTAAATCTGCTGGTAACTAACGAATACAAGTCATTTAGCAATTCACACTATTTACAATGTAAATAAAACTGATATTAATTCGAATTAAGCTGGAAGACATCTCTGTATTACAATGACTTTTCGTGAGTCTTGTATCATTTTCGTGCGATCTCCAGATGAAACGAATTCGGCAACACTGCTGTATCTGTAAGTAGATCTTTATGCACTTCCAGTTTCAGATGATGATTGTAATTTATAATGTGCGTCCTGCTCATAGTATAATGTGCAATTCAACGATTAATAAAATTAATTGTAAATATTATTATGACTCCTTCTTTGCATCGCATATCAACACGGGCTTTGTAGCATTATAGCAATACCGCCAATTTGCTATACATGGTACGATTCAATAAAGTTTGGCTTTTTGGTTTTGTGATCGTGCGCTTTACCTACCTAAATGCAAACCTATCCCTATAAGCTGTGCCTGCAAATACTCGTATAATACCAGTTTTGAATTCCGCCTGTGAATTATTAAGTACAAGATCTATACTACGCGCGGCGCCCCATAGTTTTGAGATCTCTATAACCATAAAACTTCTGGAAAAACGGACAACGCCATTAGATCCGGGATAGTTCAGAAGTGGCCGGCAAGTGCTTTTTTATGAAAATATCGAGCCGGCATCAAGCCGGCATCAAGACCAGATTGATCCAACCCATCTTAAAGGTCACCTTGAAACTTAGAAATATTTGCCTAGATACAATACAAAATACCAATTGACATAATTATCACACTAATTAAACCGAAAAATAAATAAATTATTGTACTTATTCAAACACTCGCGTTATTCAAACATTGCTGCCGGAGTTGCCGAGCTCGAAACACCTTTAAAATTAACCGATATAAAATGTAAAAATATCAAATATAAAATCAATACGAAAAATCACTGGACGAGTGAGTGACCGAAACACTATCACCGACCACTGAGCGGAATTTCTAGGTGAGTGAGTCATCGAGCGGGCTTTGCTCTTGCTCACCTAACGGGCTCTGTGCACTGGACAGTAGTTGTAGCAGGGTCACATCCTCACCTAGCGATTTTTCTCTCCTTACCTAGCGATATTTCTTACTGGACAGGTTGAGCTCGGTTAGTCACTCACCTAGTGATTGAGTGCGTCAAAAAATCGCTAGGTGAGTATACGTGACCGAGCTACCACCACTGTCCAGTGCCCAGAACCCGTTAGGTGAAAGAGTACCGAGATACCACTACTGTCCAGTGCACGAACTCCGTTAAGTGATCTAGTGACCGAGCTACCACTACTGTCCAGTGCATAGATCCCGTTAGGTAGATGGGTGACCGAGCTACCAATACTGTCCAGTGCATAGGTCCCGTTAGGTAGATGGGTGACCAAGCTACCAATACTGTCCAGTGCACAGAGCCCGTTAGGTGAACGCATGACCGAGCTACCACTACTGTCCAGTGCACGAACTCCGTTAAAGTGATCTAGTGACCGAGGTACCACTACTGTCCTTTGCATAGATCCCGTTAGGTAGGTGGGTGACCGAGCTACCAAAGCTATCCAGTGCACAGAGCCCGTTAGGTGAACGTATGACCAAACTGCAATATTACTGAGCAAAATAGAGCAGGGCCTGCTAAGTTCTTAATGGGTGACCTATCTAGCACCACTGTCCAGTCTTATAGCGTCCTTTTAGTTTGTAATGTGATACTCTCGTGGGTGATTAGATTCGGATGGTTTTTCACTAAAAAAATTTAACAAAAAATGATCTGTAAAGTCAAAATAATTGCGTTCGACTGCACGAAACCAAAACATCCATTTTTTATAAAATTTTTTGTTATCGGGCTCTTCGGATTTATCCGTTCTAAGTTAACAATCCGTAAACCGGCCAAGGAGTTTAGAACCCAAGAAACGCGGAGGCGAAGCCGAGGCTGTTTCTTGTATGTATATAATATACACTGCAGCTTTATACAAGCAATATACGGAAGCTCTCGTGCATGACCTTTGGTTACAAACTGTAAGGCCTATTGCTTTTACAAATCGTTTCTGTAAAACCGAGCTTTTAAAACTCTGCATGCGAAGCGTACATACGTATTGTACATTTATATTTATATGTCAGTAATAGTTGTTTATTTTTAAGCTGAAACAAGTTGTCATGTAATTGCGTTTTAGGCTAGCAAATAATTAGAGATTTTACCGCCGGAATTCGAAGGTATAGGACTACAGTTTTTTCAAGAGAAGATTTTTGTGCATCTCAACATGTTTTACAAAAACAAATATGGTGTGCGCGATTCTTTATTACAACGTTACGTTAGAAGCATAAACGCATTAGGGTTCAATTTAAATAGCAAGTAAACAAGGAACTCATTGCCAACCTAAAGTGTGTCAAAAGCTTTGATGCTACACTTGCAATCGATTAAACTGATAAAGTGGGATATTTGTTACTGCTGTGCATACGAAAAACAACTTAACAGCAGCGTGTTAGGCTACGAAAGAGCCATTTGTCAAGGAAATTAAAGCTTTCCGCGCGCTGAAAAACCAGCTATAATTTAGCATCCGGGATGGATATCCGCAACTTCCGCAGTTAAAACCACTTTAAGATGTCCAGCCGGGAAATGTTACGAGATGTCGATTCCACCGGATTGCATTTGCGATGAACCTTGCGCAAACTAGCATATATAGTTAGAGGAACTGTGAGCAGTGCTGTAATTACATGTGCACGATCGTTTACTATTTCTAATGTAATAATTACTGACTCTGTATCCATAAGTTTACGTACCCGAGTAAAACAGATTGTAAGAAAAATCGTTAGTTTAACGTGTAACTACCGCTAGGTGAACGAAATGTGTCAGCCGTTTAATAACGTTTAGCTGTTTGCAAGTTGTTTTACTTGGGGTACCGCTTTATGTTTGTGTTGGTCTGTAAAGGTGCTAACTTATTAAATTTTGTAGCAGATCATCAGTTTAATTTTACTGCAATATCCTCTAGGATGGCGGCACTGGCTTACGCCCAGTTCCATTCAATACTAGTATTAAATTTCTAACGTACTAAGATTCAATCAAAAACTCTTAGTGGTGTAACACTGGTGTTACGTCGCTTTGATTGTCGTATGTAAAGTAAATGCAGAATACAGTCTTTTACTGATCCTTACTATCATCACGCCTGCGTTTGAAACTTAAAAAAATTATGTAATGTGAAGTTGGAAGAACGGGTTTGGATAAATGTCGTTACACTACAGTAAATCGCTCATTCTTAATGAGGATTAATTTTATATCTGTCGTCTGTCGATGATAATCACAAGATCATGATATTATTATAAAGCGACGCATAATTTCCCAGTACCAGCAAGATTACACGTACACGAACATTCAGAACAACTATGCATTATTACTCGTACCTTTTGATAACGGATTTTAATGAATAAAATGTTAAAAAAATTTAATTCTAAGAACTTGTCAATGTTAGGTTTAACAAAATGAAAACTGCACCTAGCGTTTTGTTTTTCCTGCCGAATCATTCGGTGCTAACTGTTTCAATAATATTTAACGAACGTTCAACGCGCACAGAAAAATGTCATACGACATGATGATCCGGCATCGCGCCGGATTCCTTAGCTGATAATTTCCGGTCCTATTACACAACCGCCAGCGCTACCGTTGTGGCATTACAGGTCTCTTGTGCCGGCCAACAACGTGCAACGTTAACGGGATAATGTACATCCACATTTTGCGGCACAATACGCTGACGTCCTGCATTATCGTATTACCAATAACGACGTTTCCGCCAGATAAATCGATAAGCTCCATATATGGATCATATCGCTGTCGCTGTCTGTTACGAATGTGTACGCAAGTATATATATAAGCAAAGCTCCACTGCTGTGATTCCGCCGAAAATGATGTGTGTTTGGGATATTTGCCAGCCGTTCCTGTTTCCCTTTGCGACGACCGGGTTGGCATATCAAAAAACCGTTCGCGCACTGTCCCAAGTGGTCAATTATGTATGACCATAGCGGAAACGGATATTAAGCGTCTTTTATCTATAGGCATTCTCAGGCTGGTACGAATTTTATATATCTATATACATGTATATATATGTCCATACAGTACAGATGCTTGATTAATTGTCAGCAGCTACTGTTTATCACGTTTCCGGCGCAGTCGTGACGGTACCGGTGTACATAAGTTTGACTGTAAATTATGTATCATGGACGGCATGCGGGGATTTGCATTACCTGTTTGATCGACATTTGCGAGCATACTTCTCCTGTGAATGGTACTTGGTATTCCATCATCGACAAATGCCATGACCATATGGGATCAATGGGCAACACAATTTTCTTTTCGCCTGGTTTCTTTTGTTCACTGCTTTGTGCATTGACAAGCCTGGTACAAGTGTTTTAAATTTGCCATGTAACCTGTCATTCGTCGTTGAATGTGCCATGCAAGGATAATATTACGCTCGTACTATGGAATCATAGCTTGGAACTTGGACCACCGATTCTGGAATCCAGAGCGAGGAGAAAATATAAGAGTTTATTGTGCGCAACCTATTTTTATATACTTAAATTCATTTTTTTATATGAAGTTATGCTTGGATATGCTTTTATCCAGATTATGCAAGAAATATTAAAGGATTCGTGCGCTTTTTACGTGATTTCGTCATAATTATTAAAATGCAGATGAACGTGGACGGAAGAAGTGCGCAATCGGCAATGTGATCTGGGTGATAATTCAAATTTCAGCATTAGTTTTGCAAATTCGCAATATTTTGTTGATTGGTGATTTTTTATATTCGGGTATTGCATGGTGATTGAAGTTACTTTTTGTGTTAACTACGTACAACTTGCAATGCAAGAGATGTTGCCACAAGTGTACACAAGTTTAGCTGTTTGGATATTCTTTTTTGGAGTGTTGCTGTTTTTCGTGTTGGTCAAAAAAGGAATAATAAAACCACGATGGCAAAACATTCAGATGATCAAATATTTGCACCAATAGCTGCACCTAAGGCTTATCAATACCGTATCTGTATCCAAAAATTTTCTTGATTATTGTTTTCTTGAATTTTTTTAGCTAGGTGCTGCATTATATTTGCATTGCAACAATTTGTGCGCAGTGACAATGATTGGTTTAACCCGTGAATATTTATACAATATTTGTGCAACAACAACTTTCTATTGAAGTAGGAGCATTTTCTTTATAACGCAATTCTTTTCCTAAATGGTATAACTGTAAAGCATGAATTCCACCAGTTAATTTGTGATGAGCTGTGAACAAATATTTAAGGCCAAGTAATACAGACTGTAATTACGAGATTTCCAGCAAAAATTGTGAGCCAGTTCAGAATCGGTGTAATTAAAAATTATGCTACAAAATAAGCTTTGTTTTTACGACAATAACCTCCAAAACGTTCAATTTACAGAAAACTTCCTAAATTTCCGGAAGCGCCTTAGTGGTAATATTAGGAATACGTCTCCTGCTATTAAGCGCCGCTGTTTGCGGTAAATCTGCATTTCCTTTGACTCACCATTAATTTAGTGTTCGTAAGCGGCGTTAACAGGTTGGTTTGCTGTCGTGTTTTACAAAATACTGAAAGAAATAATGGCAGCTTAAAAGAGTTACCCGCAGGCAAAGAGTCTATAAATACCGTCATACGACACGGGCGCAAATTATCTCGACTGAATTACACTAATTACGGCTGACATTTTCTAATTGAAATGTCAGAATGAATATCCATCCAGCGGGTCATATTTTCTGTCTCTCGTTCGGCATATTCAAGAAAAACCATTGTATTTGTACAGAGGTTACGTGCTAAAACCCTAATGTGGTACCCGTGGTTAAGGCCAAAACTGATGGAAAATACTTAAGTAGTATTAATGTATCCATTCGGAATTACATCCGGTACGAAAATAAGTCACGGCAATCATATTTTGGCATTACACAGCCAGGTACATCAGCAAAACAATGATGTTTTTACAAAAGTACACATCAACAGTTAAACTTTCGATATTTATTCGTTTATACGTAAACAGAAAATACGAGAAACAAGGCACTACGGATTGTATTCTAGTCTGTAGTTCCACAAAAATTGTTAAACTTTAACATAAAAGTATGCACTTACTTTACTACACATTTTTTAAAAAGATTTTGTTAATTTACTTCATTGATTCATTTACCAGCAGACTGCAATATTGGCATATTTTCTGAATATCAGATACCATATGTATAATACAGCTGCATTGTTCCACGAGCAAGTGAACAACAATATGGAAGATCGGCAACAAAAAGGGGCTAAACACCGGATTTGTAAATACAGCAGGTTCAACAATTTAAGAGGCACTGATAGGGCATAATACATACACTTGTGTGCATTCAGGTAGAAATAAATATTTTCCATTTCTCTATATGCAGACTTGATGGCCGCAAAAGCCGGCTTGCCGGCCGAAAAATATGTACCTATCATATCATAAATCGATCAATAGGGCAAGGAATAGCGCTTGAAAGAAAGCCGTCTCCTGGGACTGAGCTCGAATGCTTCGCCGTTGAAGGAAAGATCCACATCTTTGTCATCTCCCAATTGGTTCATAGGTTCGTTAATTGGATTTCCTTCTTCCATCGTGCGCGCCTGCATGTCCTCGTGGTCCAGGAGTTTACCTCCGCTTAACAGCAGCGCCACACCCCCGATCGGAGCGAAAAATATTATAGCCAACACGGCGCAGTTCAGTGTCTGCAACAGAGGTCAACAATGTTCAAGAATGCACTTCAGTATTATTAAACACTTTACACAGCAGGTAAAACTTATCATTAAATAACCTATCTGTACTGGCAATACTAAATAGTACAGATCTTTGTGGAGTGATATTTTGATGTACATACAAGTTGGGGTAACCACCAGCTAGCTATAGGCCGGTGTTATGTACCAGAAAATGTTAGATTTTAAAGCCTGAAACATATATTATCCGCCCTAGAGTAGATTATGTACTCGTTTTATTTACGTTACACAATTTCTATAATATGCAAAACAAACAGTGAAATTAGTTATTTAGACACAGCATGTTAAGAAACATTGCTGGTAAAATTGTCAGTACAGATAGTGCCAGTACCAACCTTCCCCAATACAACCTAATATTTTTTAAAGATTTTATTACCTATCATCTTTATTTCACTTACATCTCGGCCCAAATCTATAAACTCTTTGCCCATGTGGTTTTTCGTGGCGATATCCAGCGCGGTAGACCCAATGGCGGCCTGAATTGTGGCTTTAGGGAGGAAACTTAGACAGAGGAATAATGTTTCTTTCCAGGAGAAACCAAAAAAGCCCACAGCTAACCACGTTGCCAGCAGTTGCACGGCATGTGCGGCAAACAACAGACCAATCATTAATCCTATAATTAGCAGTTTCAATCAAAATGTACTTAAACGCTTTGTATAACTGCTTACAAGTACCCTACTTCAGCTATTATAAGCTGTGAGATGTTTATAGTCACGCCGACTCATGCGAAATCTTGACCATGAGCACAGCCATTGTTGTCGTTCGTGACCTTAAGCAATCTGCACATTAATTAACCGTTTTTTACGTTTCTAATTTTAATTAATCGATTGTATATGGAAACAATACAGGTCTCTGTACCCTCGAATTTAGCCGATTATGTAGCACCCACGAGGAAATCGGAAACGAAATGAAGAAATCAAATCGTTTAAACTGGAACAACTGCAATCGTAAACCGTGGCTATCATGTGTTCGATTGACGCAAACGAGACACTGGGATATCCGGGACGGCGAAGTGATTGACAGCCAAAAAACGTGCTCTGTATGTTCACCTTTCCTTTTTCCAGGCTTGACAATAACAAATACGCGGGACAAATGGTTTGCACTCTTCCTTTATGCTCAACACAGACCACGTTACCTAAAGTTTTTTTTGTCATGCGCCATGGAGCCGGAGGGATATGCACAGTCGTTTTTTAGACACTTTTTAAATTAAAAACTGAATGCCTAGCTGGAAAAAAGCGAGAGAAGTTTCTTTTTATCAGAACCTGATTAAACGGCGAATGTGTTGCCACTACTGGTAATACTTTCCATTGTTTGTATGTCGAACAATGCACCCACGGCAGAAAACGAGACGAAAAGACACGTCTTAATTGCCCTTTCGGCTTCCGTGACCTTTGCAGAAAAAATCCACCTACATGTATTTCCACCTTATTTTGCCTTAAAGAACTCTTCAAAGCAGTGCCGTTACGTGTGACCTTTAAAACAGACTTGAAAGATGGACCACGTACGCATCTAACAACTTACCAACTCTTTCCGGTATGAGTGTGGCAAAGTCTACTGAAGCTCCGATAAGACCAAAGAGAAGCGGTTGGAAGATATACCAGGCATACTTCAGCGCCACGGAGATGGCCGTGACACTGTTACCCCATCCGCGCTTCCGCCATCCGTATGCTGCCGTCAGGGGAATTGTCAAGGCGCCCAGCGCTCCAGCTCCCGAAATATTGGCGACTTTGGAGGCAAAAATGCAGAACACTCCGCCACAGCATAGTAAAATAAACCGGAATATTGTAGCCGAGTCCTAAAATTAACGTAAAATCAAATTACTTTGGCTAGTACAGATAGGTGTGGTTTTTCAGTAAAGCGTGAAAGACAGCAAAAAATAAAACCATTATAATAAGTTTTACATCGTCTCCACTCGGGAAGTACCACAGGCAAACGCCGGCAAACAACCCAAATCCGATTCCCACAACAATGGACAGCGGAGCGGCAATGATATTAAAGGTCAAGCTCCCTACAAGAAACAGCCAGTGTATTCGAATTAGTATATCACAACATGTTTTCGTAATTTCAGTATCGTATTTCTAACGGCGGTTTGCAGTTGTGTTAAGATTGACAAGCAATTAACAAAATTATTACGCAAATTGACAACACCATAGCCATCGATCATAGATAGGCACGGTTGGTTAAGAACGCCGCTGCACACAATAGCAAAATGCGAAAGCGGCACAAAATCCGCTTAACTGGTTAGGTAGATGGATTTGATTATAATAGAACACTATGCAGAAAAGTAACCAATTCGACCACCGAAATCTCGACAAAAACCTTTTTACACCTATTCCACGTAGAAAGAAGAAAATTGGACATTTGCCACTAAGCAGCTTTTTATACACGGTGTTCTTCCCTCTTTTGTTAAAGTAGGAAAAATGCACGCCGACTTTTCCGTGTAACGTCAGCGTATTTGATGAAGAAACGGCATTGAACGGCATTGCAGTAAAAGGTGATCATTGGATTAACTCAGCAGCCTGCGGATAAACAGCGAGTTTTTTCTCAGTGTTATTGCTACAGGACAAAAAGGATAGATGCGCTTCACTAAGCTCTTTTTGTCAGTTTGTCCACTGGTGCATTTTATTAGGCATTTTCTTAACCACAAGCGATAATGGTCTGTCAAACTTATTGGCACACTGTTTGAATCCCCGTGTTAATTTGTGCAATACCGATATTGTATGTATTAATGTACGGTATGATGCACTTTTATTTATTACCGCCATTTAATTCTCGCTAACTGTCTGTAACAACAGCCTGTAATTATTTCATCTGAGGAATTAATTGCGATCTAAGTGCTCTGAACCAAGAAAAGGCAGTCAAGACCCGTACTATTAACTACATAATTATACTATCATATTGTACGATAAAACCTAACCCAATCTTAAACTACCGTATATACTACAAAGCGTTGCAGAATGCCTTTCAGGATAACTTGCGTTTTCGTGAGAGAGGTTTAGGATAATTTTCCTTATATGATTGTCCAACCGATATACGTTTGCGTATTTTCACCATGGCCATTCATCGATTTGGAAATCATTTCAGAAATGTGTGCCAGGCGGCACAATATATAAAACTGATATACGGTAATGCACTCGAGCTTACGGTTAGGAACCTACAGCATTCATTCACTAATTTTGTTAAAAGTGGCAACAACCAACAATTTTGACAGTTCATTGTTTACCTAGCCATATTTAGTTGCGACTACTGATTGTGAACTGACAGGAACTGACGGAACTGTGAAATTAGAACAAAATCGACACCATGAATGACCTCAGATTCAGTTTAACGCCTGCAGGAGTACGGGCAAGAAGAATTTTAGTTTTTCTTGTCTGCATATTTGTAGTTTGAAGCAGCACAACTTGCCCCAAATTTCGATTCTGTAGCTCAAACTTGGAATAAAATGATGTACAACACTTAGTTTTAAAAAAAATTACGAAAAAAATAATCCAATTTTTTCGGAACGGTATGCGGCATGCTGTCACCATTAAAAAAGAAGCGCGAGACGAGAAAAAGTTTTATACTTACCATGCATGGTTAGCATCAAAACGTTTACGGTACATTTTACTGTGCATAAGCGCTACGTAAACTGATCAAGCCAGCTAAGTCCCAGGTATTCAGTTAGAGTATCATCATAATTATTTATGCTAGATGTCGGCACACTAAAAACAGACCAATCATGTACAGTACATGTTGTAAAAATCAGGCAGCAGAATTTCCAAACGGTATTATGGTTAAAAAGATACGAAATGTAAGTATTCTTGTCAAACCGAGCAAAACTTCGAAAATTAATTCTGCCGATTCTGTACAGGCTGCCATTTGTTTACTAGTATTAATACGAAGGACATTCGCTGCTCTACAAATGTATTAAGTCAAGCGTACGGAAACAAAGTACACTGATTAAAAAAATATTGTGATAATATTCTGTGTAGCTGTAGAATTATTTTAAAGGTTTACCGGAAGAGAGAGCAATCCCCAAGCAAATGCTGTTGCCACAAATGGCGATCACATCACAGATGGTGGCCGCGGCAATAATCAACGACGGCAGTCCCTTTACTGTGCCAATCCTCTGTTCTTGGAAGTACAACATAATAGGAACGATGACCGCGGGCGAAACGGCACTGATGAGAAACCTGTAAAGCACAAAAATCACACACAGGTATGGATCACATGACCTTCGGATTGTTAGCATGGTGGTACTTCCGGCTGTCATCGGGTTCTCTCATTCATAAGCATACACAAGTGGTCAGCCGAGACACTCACCCGAGGGCACCGCTCATCAGCCAGGGGAAGTCGATCATGTAGTGAGCGACGATTAAGATGAAGATGGTGATGCTGACGGTTGGCACGGAGCACAAACTGACCACCACCCAGAAGCGCTGTTTTATGGCATTAATATCCAGTCCCAAACCGGCTCGCGTTAATATGACGGAGAGTGCAATGTTTCTGTATAGAAGCATAAAAAACGCATTACTGGTTTTTTATGGTTTGTTTACGCATTAATACAGGAAGTTTTAATCGGCGCTCTACTCGCTCCGGAAAGGTGCATGATTAATTTGTGTTGAATTACTTTCGACAGTTTTATAGTGCTGATGGAAGATTTAGTTGTCCATATAATGATTGGGTAAATTTATTACTTAATGTGTTTTCTTATAAGAAGCTTTATTTGAGCCTATATCGGAAATGTTAAGATAAGTACAGTATTCACTTAAAAAGGTACGAGTACTTAAGAAGCTCGCAAATACATCAAAATCATTTTAATTACTTGTATAAGATGAAATGTTTCGAGGGAAATATGTACAACGTACAGCAGCCGAATGCAGATGTTTAAGGCATTTACAGTAGCTCAGCTTTAAGCAAACAATAACTTTAATTGACCTGTAATCGCTTATTCAGCGTAAACCGAAACCTACAATTAAAATCCCGTTACAAAAGCCTAACACTATGATTGATAACAACGATTCTTTCGATCGTTTTAAGACTGTCAAAAGCGGCAGAACACTCTGTCATGCAAAATTTTCAAAGCAATAATTATCTTGTTAAGCACATGATTAACGACAAATGTGTCTGCGATATAATATCCAGTAAACTTATGGCATTTTGCTTTGATTGTCCTAAAAACTGTAAGATTATCTGAAAAAATGTCCTAATTAATATCAATCAGCAGCAGTTCCATAAGAATTGATAATTACATATCGGATACTAAAACGCGCACTTCTGAGTCCTAACAACTTATTAACACAAATTAACGACAAACGACACAAAACCAAGTCTTGTCTAATTACATAAATCATCTAATCATCTACTTTCATAAATGTCGAGTGTATATAGGTACGTAAGCATTGTGTATACTTCAAGTAGTGTATGTATAGTGCATACACTGCATCGTGTAAGTACGCATAAGGCTGGCCCTAATAAACGATACTTCAATCGTACTATTGATTAATAACATAAAATAACTATTGAGTGTCGCTCCCCTCACAAGAAACCGATTGTGGGAAATAGTTAAAGTATTACGGAAATATCCGATCAAAAGGATTATCCGATTAAACTTAGAAACTGTAACAGTAACGTTAAAATTAACAGAAAACACAACGACAAATCACAAATATCTACATGCAATTCTATAAGTGCATATTTATATAACTACATAATAATTATGTGTACTTTCATACTTCCGGATCCTTACGTAGTGCAACTTATTGGATACTAGTCCGATTTTTACCGTAGCGAGCTGCTCCATGTTCCATCGATATATTTTGCATAATTAATCGGTATCACATTGCGCAGTATACAGCCGATAATCAACATCCCCAGGAGCGGGGCCAGCCGGGCCTGCTCCACCAGGAAGCCGGCCAGCAGAGCGAAAACCACCATAATGTACAGTCCGAACATATTCCCATACGGCAACATATCGTTTTTAGCACCGACCACATGGCCGCCCACACCATCAGCGCAATGAGGACAACGGTCACGGTACGGCCGACCACTCCGGACGGCGGCAGGAGGAGGTTCCAGTACAGATGCGAGTACCATTTTGCACCGGCCAGCGGGGCTTTGTCGGGCGATTTCATTATGGGCGCAAAGGCGCTGCGCAGGGCGTCCTTGACGCGCCGCTTAAACCTGTAAGCCCATTTGTTATTTTGCTGGTATATAGGGTCATCGATGAGACCGTGCAGACTGGAGGCCACCGTCTGCGACGGGGTCATCTGCTCGGGAATGGGCGGAAGTGGTTTATTCATGACCATACTATAATTAATTAAAATAAAAAAACAAATTTTAATGTAGTTAACGATTACGCCAGATTATACGACTGACTGCCTAATGTGGGAGAAGAAGGACAATCTATGAATGAAGGTGTCAGCGGTGTTGAGTGGCGACAAAAGATGTATGGTGATAAATGTTGCGACTTGCATGTTATATGCAATTTGTGTTGTGGACAAAAAAATGTTATTCGCTCCGCTGGATAAAAGGCGTAAACTGGTATTGGTCGCGGTGATTGTGTGCACGTGCATGTGATACATATAAGCGCTTAAGGTAGCGCGTATGATTTCTGACAAAAAACGAGTATATGAGACGGTCGAGTTTTCCGGGGATTTATTTTGTCTGCGCGACAATGTCTTATCATAACCAACAACCACAATTGATCGAGCTTACGTAGTACTACCTATTGTTATGGAGTATCCGATGTTTTTAGACATCTTATGAACGAGAAATGCCACAGAACTGCAGCGCTGGCATTGTGCATTTTAATCTGCACTGTATGAGTGCTTATTAAATTTATGTGTGCAATATACGAGTATTGCAGCACAAAAAAATTTCCGAAAGTTGTATATATCGGTGAAGTTAGTATATAAAACGTGCCAAGTAGCTATGTTTATGCGCATGATATACGCACAAAACCGTATAAAAATTTTATGTCGTTCGCGGATATAGCAAATTTGTTGAAATCGCATTTTGGAAATTTACATATTAATTGTGTATATTATACTGTCTCTCACGTACTCGTCTACTCTGTAGTCAGGTACGGAGAGCCAGATTAATTATTAAAGTGCTCCCTATAAGGCAAAATGCTAAACTTGACCGAATGGTACAAGAGGCAATTCCACAGAGAGTACAACACTACATTACTAACCAGGAAAGCTGTTTCTTTGCTGAAAATTGTTAAATTCATTGTTTTCCATGCAGTTTACTCCGAATATGCCCTTTTATCGCTATGCGGCCTATGCATATAAGAAACAATGCGTACCATAAATGCTAACTTTGGATGGATCTACTACTGGTATAACATTTCTGTAATTAAGATTATCGAAAAGCTGTGCATGGCCGATTTAAATGGAGCACAGCTATTTGTGCATAAATACTCTTGTGATGGCATTAGAGGAAAACAGATTGTTATCTGTAGTGCCAGAGTTTCTACGTTTTTGTGAGCAAAACCTGAAAACGTAAAATCATTTTCCAGTAAATGAATTTGTAATTGCGCAATTAGATAGAAACTGATCATTAGCAAATGAAATTTGCTAAACTGCATCGTAAGAATACCAAAAGCAGTTTTAGCAGGGTCAGATTAATTAAATAACATACTGAGTCCACATTAATCTATCTAATATTGAGGCGCAACGGCTCGTGTTTGGTTTCTGAAAAGGTCAAGATTGAAAAACCAGAACAACCGGGATATCAGTCACTGCATTTCGTGACCGCCCGGTTAAGCACAAAACCCCATATTATTGCAAGGTATCTGCACATGATGCACAATTTCAGGCCGAACAAAAGCATTTATATGTATGTGATCACAACTATTAACAAAAGATGTGTTGCAGCATTCATCGGCCACTGCACGCACGCAGGGAATACGATTAGCGCGTTGATATGACGTTTGTTACAAAAATATTTTCAAATGAGTTGCAAATAGAAGATGATCGGTTATTAAGGCATAGAAAAAGCTATCTCCATACGAAGTAATTCTTTTAACGTTCCATTAGGAAACTTTTTATGTGGAAAATTGGAAATCAAGAGCACATATGCAAGTGATGCAACAGAATGAAACGAATGAATGATTTGTAGATGCGTTAATTAAGCAGCGTTAATATAGCGCATATTTCACCTTCCGTTGAATACTTAAAACTCATACAGTAACCATGTGCGATTACTGTAGATTGTGACAGGGGCGATGACTAACGGTATATCTCAATAAAAATTACTTTGTTTCAATCAATTAGATATCGTATACACAGAACCTGTACAAGCTGCAAAGCTGATATGCCGCACTAATAAAATTTTACGTTAGTAGTTCTCATTATTGACTAATTTTCCAGCACTGAAGTTGTGCTTTACAACCGCACGTTGCATGCAAGATTTGTTTACCAATTGTCGAGAAAATGTAAATTCTATAAGCATACCCTCTTGACGCCGCCGTTGTTGCAAGCACTTCGTATGGCACCCGATCATCAACAACCTGCTCCATCTTCGTTCGTTCCACCAGGTGCTCTTTTTCAGCAATCGCAAGATCAGGATGATCAATATCGTTAGCCTTCAGCACAGGCTGTTTAGCAAGAATATTCTGGGCAACAAGTTCATTATTATATGAACTCATTTTGCTTGTCAATCCGTCTTCGGTACTCGAAATTATGATGATTAAGTTGTTTAATTAACCAAGAGCACAGTGCATATATTTATGAGTACACATTAGCAAAAACGGTAGACACCATACATAATTCACTTCAAAGAAAAGTAATGGCATCAATGAAAAATTTACCTACAATAAAACTGTATCGACTTCGCCGACAAAATCCTTATATAGTTAAACTGTCTCGGAAAGTAATAAATAATTACGAAATGGTCATAAAAATTTCTTAGATGAGAATGTGGTTTTTCGCCGGCCTTTCGATATTGTGGTGCACTTATTTTTCCATAAAAACTGATTTATGATCCTGTTGCGCTTCTGTCTTATAAGTGAAAGTCAACCTGCCGGTTTTCTGTTGATCATGTTGTACTGCTTATGCCAGCTTGGGCCATCTTCATTGTACAGATCTGTAAGCAAACGGTTTTTCTTCGATCGACAGACATGATTTATTTATAAATTATGTTCCAGAGGTAATTAATTTTAGTGCTTGCAGTACTCCGTCCGGTACTATACATTACTGATTCAATTTGCCAACGCCAGTTTTAACAAATATATTAAGTCTCGAAGCGCCCTGGTATGCTACGGCGCACTATTTGACAAACTGATCAGAGATAACCGTAAAAAATGGGTTCCAAAACTTTTACGAATAGTGAAATAACGAGCTCAGGGGCTTAAAGCTAAAGGGCGTAAAGCATTGAATCTAATAAGACTGCTGAAATGTTGCAAGAACATAATATTAAAGGTCAGGATCGAGTTTTACTTTTTTCCCGATACCATTTATTTCATTGTGAGATACGGTTTATGCTGATGGAATAACTGTGAGCCTTTAAATACCAATTTGTGAAAATAGTGTATGTTCGTTGCTCCTTGTGATTTATATGTACAGTACAGGTCTAGGTGTGCAGAATGCTGAGAAAACCATGATGCTCCGGCAATTAAACTGTTATACGCACGTTGAAAATAACTGGTAGGAATAACCTTTATTACTGCACTAATTAGAAGAAACCGGAATGTTAATTTCTTGCTGTACTTTGTTAGTTTTGTATTTGCAGTTTATTTTGCATTTTGCAGTCATAGCATGTTTGTGGCAGATCAGCTGTTTTTATTACAGATACGTACGTATAGTCTATGCGGCGAAAAAAGTAACAACACCGGGATGTCGTTTCCTAAACGAAACGGCCACCGATTGCTTATAAAGGCAACGAACTGATTCACTCAGGCTAAAAAACGTGTCTATCTAGGATTCGTTTCATGGAACGAATCCTAGACACGTTTTTTAGCCTGAGTCGCATTACGATTGCGATTCTGCACCACCCTTCCCTAACCACTGCAAACGAATTTATTTGCTGTTACTGTCATAAGTGATAAACAAACAGATGTTGCGATACAGTTAATACTCTGTAATAGGAGTACAATACTATCATGAGATTCAATAGCGTGATAACAATATCCTTGATCTAATTACGGTCAAACGAAACAACATTCTCGACGGTCCCCATTACTGAAGCAGCATTACCGTTGAATTGCTAAAGAGATGTTCTGTTTCAAAAACTCCAGACTACGAATCTCGCCGGTTTCAGCAAAATCTCTTCCCAATCTCGTTAACAAATCCTTTGGCAGATGTACCAAAACTGCCGAATGTTTCAAAACCAACAGCCCAAATTCGTATCGCCCCGAAAGAAGCTGTACTTTCTTGCTTTCTCGGCTTCGGCATGGTCTGCGCTCCGTATCACACTGGTCTGGTCCAAATACGAACGAGCGACAGTGTCAACACAGGTAACATCCACTTGCCAAACCTGATCCCCTTGTCCATGGGAAAGTGGTGATGCCATCGGGACGTGTTTCGTTCTCATGGTGCATGCCTCTAGGTTCAGTCCTTGCGGGTATGCCTGCTGCTCCAAGAGCCCGTCGCAAGATGTCGTCGTCGCAGTCGTGTCTAGGGCGTCTTCCAGCTGAGAATTTGCAGCTCAAGCCATGGTGACCGTCTGCAGCAACGTCACTTCCACATTTGCACTGGTGATCTGGATGAAGCGGTGCGCCAAGTCGAATTGCGACGGCAATCCGAAAGCCTCATCATCCAAAAAGGTTTCCGATTGGGGACGATGGAAGTGCGTGTGTCCAGGCGCCTGACTCCGGAGTTGAAACGGCTAACAGCCGAGCTTTGCTAGCGAGATCTAAAGCCTCGTGTAACATGGTTGTCTGCACCGCTAAACAGTACGGAGTATCCCATGCGCGTTGTAGGTGTCGGCTTTCGGATGAAGGAGGTGAAGCATCGTCGGACAGGTACTCAAAGAACCCCACGTGATCCGTCACGGCAACTCTACGAATGCAGCGTGGTCGGCAAACCAGGCCTTGGGTAGCGTGAATCGAGGCCAAATAGGCCGTAAAGATAATTCTTCTACCCGTCGGATCCCGAGCCCACCACAGCAGCGCACTGGTAAGGAAGCTTGACATACCTAGGTGCATCCATGCGTACGTTGCAGATTGATTGCAACGACTGCCTCAAGACGTCGTCAAATTCGCATTCTCTCGTGCTGAAGGTTGGGCGTAACGTAAAGGTGAATGACCTTTGGCGCTGAGACTGCAATTCAGTAGGAAGTACGCTTGGTGTTTGGGTAAGAGATTGAGACGATTGTAATTAGGCGCATAACTTCTGTTTTTTCTGTACAGCATGGCTGACGATACCGTTTTCGTCAGTGGAGCACCCAGGCAAAGGTTTTCTGGGGCAGCGACTGAAACAGTTGGAAAACGGTCCAGGAAAGTTTTCACAGCTGCTTCCCGTTCAACGCAGGACCCTCCACAGACAAAATCTCACACTTGGACATGTTGACGCTCAGTCCAGATGCATGTGCTGTATGTCGATGACAGTCTGAAGTCCGTGACAAATCTCGATAGACCCTCCATGTACCGTCATCGAGAAACCACGCATTGAAGGTTGCCTTGAGCTTGGATGTAAATAGAAGAATGCCCAGAGAAAATAAAAGCGGACCTAGTGGATCGCCTTGGTGGATGCCGCTCTGCGATGACTTATCATGAGTACTATACAGAAAATTTTTTGTGACCTCTAGCAAGTGTGTTCTACGGAATCATATACATAATTATGTTGTCATACGCCCGTCGCCCGTTACGCCTTTCACAACTCGCTGCCTTTGATGTTAAGTAAAAACAATTTTAAGTAAGTATTTTATTTAAAAGTTTAAGTTCATTCGGGATTGCTTATAGGTGCGGATATCAAATTTTAGTGTTTTCTTCCAATTCTACGCGTACGTAGGCTCTGCTTGTCAGATTAAGCCAAGCACCCAGAGTGGCGGCTGCAATACCCGCATTTCTGCAACATTTGGAACGTCAGCATGTTTTTGACTCGATATGCAGCTCCGCGGTTTGTCCATCGATCTATGTACAGTACTTGCAGAAAATTCAAAATTTTAATGGCAACCATGAGATAGGATTATCAAATCTAAACGATAAAATCTATTTTCAACCTCTCTTCTTCAGTTTTTTCGTGTTTCCTTATTTGATATCTCCTTTCATTTTTTCTTGTTGTTCCCGTTTTCTCCACATCTTCGTATGGTGGTCTGGAAGACACTGCGCGGCAAGGCCTGGAGTGAATTCGAGCGATCGATTTTGTTGGCTTCTGCTGTTTTGCACGGTTAAGGTCCACAGCGTACTCTGTAGTCAGTGTTGTGATAAGAATTTCAAGTGCGATAATATATTTGGATATTGGACATTTATCATATTAAGCGACACCGTTGATAAGCAGCCTATGCACAGTCCTAGTGCACCGAGGCGAAATGATGCAACGTTTATACTGACAACCTACTGAATAATCTGTGAAATACTCCCGTTCGAGCTTTGCGCAAGCCATCGAGTGAGGTGCGTTCCATAAACACCAGGTCTTTGCGTGTGTGTTTGCATGTAGGGTAGCTAATTTTTCTTAAGGTTCCTGTCAGGAAAATGCTGCGTTTGTTGTTCCACGGGGCCTCGGCCGCAGTATTCTGCGGCACACTGTGGTATGACATACACTACATCGATCTCGGCGCCGGAACGGGATGGGACGTGTAAGTTAGTGCGTTCGAATTGTGCAATATCACATGCAGCAGATATCAGCGACATCATTCTTGCAGCTACGGAGGAAAGTTAAGATTCCTGACATTCATTAATCTGGTAAGTAATCATAAATTCCAAAAACTATCGTGAAATTTCTAGTATGCAATTCGCGGTTTTTTACAGTATGAATAATTTGTATGCAATTTTACTTGAATTGTTTTTTATCGAAATTATTTTACAGTTTTATTTTTTTTGCAGTGCGTGCATGCATTGTTTTACGTGGTTTGCACGCTGTACGATGTGGCGCGCCTGGCTCGATTTTCTCCGAAACAGCTGATATCGGTGCGCTCGCTGAAGGACCATTTGTTTACGGTTTTGGTGTTCCCGGTCGGAGCGGTAGGTAAATTTCCCCATTTACCTGCCTGTTGGATTACATCGTGTGTTGATTTGCAGTTTGTTGTTCTGATGTTCTGGGGTATTTACGCCGTCGACCGCGAACTCGTACGTCCATGGAAAATTAATATTTTGCTCATGCATAATTATTCGCTGATTTTGCACTGCTTGCAGATCTTCCCGCAATTTTTAGATCAACTGTTTCCTGCATGGGCAAACCATGTTATGGTAAGTGTTTAATGTTTCTCAGTGCCAAATTCTGCAAATTACTATTTACATTCACCGTAATCCTGTAATGGTGCTTTTTCTTGTAGCACACAGTAATTTTGCCGGTTAATTTGTTGGAGATGGCGTTAGATTATCACACGCATCCCGTTCCGCGATGGTCTGGGCTCAAGCATCTTGTTGGATTCTCCTTGGCCTATCAGGCCTGGTAAGGAGGCGGTGCATTTTTGTATACTGTTAAGTTTTTGTTGGTTTATGGTTGTTATTTATTGTTTAGTTCAGTTTATTTGTGATGATTTTGATTTGTTTTCTTTCGCTAGCTAAGTATTATCGATCGCGTGCAGAGTAGAACCAATTTATAGAGTCGACAAATCATGCGTATTTGATTTTGGTTTTCTTGAATTTATTGCAGCCAGTTAAATGTGCATAATTTATACATAGAAGTAGTAATAACAGTAGATGAATACGTAAGTAACTTGCATTTTTTTTACAGGACGCTTTGGGTGTACTTTAAAACGTCCAGTTGGATTTATCCCATTTTCAACGCACTGAACGGCTGGCAGAAAGTTGCTTTTTTGCAAGGCGCTACTTTAATGATTATTCTTTTGTACTTCGTCGGAGAATTTCTGCAACAAAAAGTATTCAAAGGTAAAGCGTAAGCGTTGTTCAACCCAAAATAACAAGTGAATCACTTGAAATTCCTCATTTTATAGCCAAGAAAGCGGTTATGGGCGACATTCGGCCTCCATCCCCAAAAAAGTCTACTAGTCCTGTAAATAATTCAGCCAAGAAACCTGTGGCGAAAGATACGGTAAAGAAGGCAGCGTCGAACGATGGAGCGAAGAAATCTCCTTCCAAAAACTCGGTGAAGAAAACAGCGTGATCCTGGGTGTTGTTGAAGTGATTTTTCCGGTTCGAATTTTTTCGTTTAGAGGTGCCGCACAAACTGTGGCTGCTGTGGTTATAAAAGTTTATGGGTGTTCCCCCCATCTGGTCAAATTTTGTTGTTAGTTAAATTATTATTTTCTTGGGAATAGCAGTCAAACGATATTGGGTCAGATTGTTGTTTTGCGATTTTTCCCGTCTCCCTTAAATTCTGTTTGTTGTTTTTTTCGTTTTTGCGGATGTAACCTTTGTAAAAGTCGAAGCTTTTGTTCAAATTACAGAAAGTAAATGCCATTTTCAAGCATTACAATAATCTTATAACTCGTACGGTATTCGTAGAATTTTTGATGAACTTAAGGTTAGCTTTGCAGCTTGTGATTTATTTTGGTCAGTTGAACCACACAAATACTACTTTAAGCGCAATAGTTTAATTTCTGGAACAGCTGAAATCGAATCTTTTTCCCCAGCCCTCCTTAATGATAATGAGGATCAATTGAAGATTTGCAGGGCTCAGTAGAAGATAATGAGGGCATGAATGATTGTGCTAGTGTAGAAAAGAATAAATTTAATTCGATGAAGCGAGAGCAGGCAATAAATACTAAATACCATCGTTAACTGTTCTTGGATGAAGAGTTAAGGAATCAACATTCGCAAATTAACCAGACAACAGAGACAATAAAGACGTCATTCAAGTAAGTAAGATAAGTACTAGTACATACATATTTTTAGTAGATGTCCGATTCGTTTAGTCTGCCACCGCTGTCGCCGGTTTAAAGAAATCCAGGACGTTAAGCAATTCACCAGGAAAGGTCCAGGATCACCACTCAGAGCAGCTGATTACGTTTTCCTTGCAGGCTCACAGACAGCGGTCGAGTTTTACCAGTTGTTGTTGGTAGTGTTGTCCAGGTCTGTCCCGATTTTGTAATACTGTACTCGTGGAATATTTTGTGGCAATTGTAAATGAAACTAGTAATTCCTAAGAGTTATCCGAATGGTCGAATGCAATATCAATTTTTCTGATGTTTCCGTCGAACATACTGTAGATCAAAATAGCAGTTAATTCGATAACTGAAAGCGCTGAGGTTCAAGTTGGCCAAGTGCCATATGCCGGGACAGGCGGCGGTTGCTGTGTGGGAATTTCCAGCCATCCACACAACGCATACAGGGAACAAATTAAATGCTGGCGAGATTATTTACAGTTTACATGCACCGGCGATAATAAGTACCAAGCGGGAATAGGAGCCCTGGAATTTTCTATAAAAAATGACGACTGCATCTGGAACGTAAAATTTCAATTATAGAGACTGGTAAACTGCATCATTAGAAGTGAAACATAAAACTGCTTATCAATAATTTCCGGATTTCTTAAGACGCAGGCATTTCATGAGTCACATCACACATGCCGTGCCGCTCTGTGCGTCGTAGTTTGAGAACCCAACACTCTATCTCGACTCTCTGTACATTCCGTTGTGAAGTTGCGAATGAAACGCGTACTACGAGTACGTACGCTCTGCGTCTCTCTGATCTGTCTGAACTTGGTTCAAGACTTGTACACGTACACACGTCTACAACTTTTCAGCAGTCTGGTTTGCGGATGTTTAAACGATAGCCCGCCGTCGTAAATAGCAACATATCGCCAATTTTAGGAGTTCTTTTTCGTTCTTACATTTGGTATGGTTTTTGAGTTTAATCAACGAAATACTTATAGTTCTGTGAATCCTGTGTTAAAACACTTACCTTCATCTGATTTCTTGGCATTTCCCCCTGTTGGATTGGACAGGGTGTTTGAAAACCACGAAAGGGAGTTAGCGCAGCCTTGCCTGCATCCTCTTGGCACAATTAACAGCCGACTGCAGTTAACGGATCTTCTTGTTATTCTCTGCGTTATTTGTTCCTATTGGATCAGTATCGTGTGGATTAAATCAGGAATACATCCCGTCCTGGACAAAATGGTGACCGATTCCAAGGTTCATTGTCATTAATAAACCTAACCTTGTTGTTGTGATGTTCTGCATGCTTGCCCCGTGTTGATACCGAAACGTTCACGATTGCATCATGCGTTTTTATTGCCCATTGCAGAGTCAGAACATCCTGGGCTCGCTAAGGCTGTCGGATAGCCAATTACGGGAATGTATGCGGCTGTTATTAGTGGAGATGAAGAAAGGGCCTGGGGAAGGATACCAATCCGGCGGCCACCATCAAAATGCTGCCCACCTACGTCCGAGCGGTGCCCAAAGGGACCGAACAGGGCAAATTTCTGGCATTGGATCTGGGCGGGACGAACTTCCGTGTACTACTCATTGATCTACACGGCAAGCACGTCAAGATGAGCAGCAAAATCTTCAATGTCCCCCAGGAAGTGATGACGGGGACTGGAGAAGGAGTAAGTGGGAAATCAGGACCGATTACGCGGTCTGATAGCCTTATCTGGCGATGGCGTAACGGTGCGCATGGCCTTAACCAACTGTACTGGAGGTGTGTCAGGTTCTTACATTATAGCGAAACAGGGATGTGCTGCGTTACTGTTAGCGTTTCGGAGATGAAAATAATGTCATTATGTTCCTCACACGGAAGTTGCATTTGTTAAGCACGTATCACTAGTGCACTTGTTAATATTTTTTTGCGGAAGCGATTGCTGTTGACACTGTAGTGTTGAGACAGTTGAGCTACTTAAGCTTTAACCTGCAGCTTCGACCCTCGAATGCCTTTCTAAAATTTTTAATTTAAAATTGGCACGCAATTTTCTTATGATTAACAATCGGTAGTTGTTGCTTTAGGGCTGCCATCAACAATACGTTCGAAGAAAGTTATACAGTGAAAGAATAATCATAATAAGAATTAATAAACTTCATTAGGGTAAGTTGATTGCATGCTGGCGCATTTGGCAATTGAGGCACCTTCATAGCTCCCAATAATTTGCGTTTTTGTGTTATTCGGTTTTTAATTGTTTGCTCTGGAAACATGATATTCTTGGGGTTTTTCTTGCCAGATGATTGGGTAGTGGGTACCAGTTAACCAAGCACTGGTATGTCAAGTTGTCAACTGAACAGGATTATCAACAGTTGCTAGAGCCATTTGCTTACCATCAAAGTTTTTTTGAATTACAGATTTTTGCCATATTAGCTTGCTTGATGAATGCGATTATGCGAGTACAGAATATTTACATAAAGTTTTGCAAAATTTTGCTGTTATCATTACAGATTTTTCGGCTGCAAAATTTATCGTGGTACAGCTCCTAAAAAATCATAATTGCAAGCAGAATTGCATTTTGTAATGTGGTTCTAACCAGTTATTCGAAATAAATTGAGCATGCCATTGAATAAACCGTTTCTTCTCTCAGTTTGTAAGCGTGACTCATCATGCGAAAAGGTTTAGCCAAGAAATATTGATTTCTTGCCTGCAGCATGTCTGTTCACAGCCCTTTTGCGAATAGTTTTTGGTGCAGATTGTCTTTAACCGGATAATTAATTCCTGTACTGGTAGTAATTTGTGTTGTATCATTGAACCTTATTTATTAGCTAATGTCTGGATTTTGCAGCTCTTCGACCATATTGCGGAGTGTATGCACCGCTTTATGACCGCCGAGGGAATCGTCGATCAAGTACTCCCCCTGGGCTTTACCTTCTCCTTTCCCTGCCGACAACTGGGACTGGCCTCGGCCATTCTGCTCAAGTGGACGAAGGGCTTCAAGGCCTCTGGTGTGGAGGGCCAGGATGTGGCCCAACTGTTACGCGATGCGGTGAAACGGCACGGTGTAAGCTGATGAACGACGCACTTTGACCCGGCGATGCGGGTATTATCGGGCATGGACATTGGACTGTATTTTCTGGCTGCTGGTTGCAGGGTTTCAGTGTGGATATTGTGGCGGTTGTGAATGACACTACCGGAACCCTCATGTCCTGTGCACACTCCACTCCTTCGTGTTATATGGGCCTGATTATCGGTAAGAAAGTCCGGGTAATGGGTTTTTTGTAGATTTCGGGGTTGTGATTATGGCGAAATCACACGACACATAAACAAATGCCGTAGCTTCTATAACATTTTACGATCATAGTTTATAGCTGCTGGTCAAACGATTGAACGATTTGGAGGTTCAAGTGAAAGTCGGATTTTCGGTTTTTCCCAAATGCTTTGATTGTACCGGAATGTTTCCGGAAAGCCAAGAGAAATGCTATGGGCTATTATTTCGATACATTGCATGAGAGGGACAGAAACAGCTGTTTACATTTCGCAAAATGTTGTTAATTGACCGGAAAAGTACGCTAATTGCACTTAATGAATGGCGTTATCGGTTTTCCAACGAAATTCTGCATTGTTGAGCAATAGTTATCGCGATTCTCGTGGTGGTCATGAGTGGGGTAGTGAAGTTGCAGCGATAGGGGTTTTGCTTTACCGCGAGATGTGTACTCGTATGGATGACAGCAGCAAAGTTAAATGGTTCGCGTATAAATATGTGCATGGTCATGAACTTACGAGGGAATTCTCGTGACATGGCATGACGTAGTTTTTAACGGAGCGGTAAATATGGCAGAATGGTCCGCTTTTAATTTATGAATGTCTGATTAAGGAGAGAAGTGCCTCGCGATCGGTTAGCTGGTTGGCGAATATGTACCGGTTTGCTTGCATATATCAGCAGAATAATGCGTGTTGCATAGAGCAGATTTAATATACTCTTACGTTTTAACTGAAATTTTGCTGTTATAATCGTCGTTGCTGTCGCAGATTTCACAGAAATATTTATTTTTGGAGTCAGATTTATTTTATCTTGCAGTACTGTGGATTTCCGTGTAATTGATAGTGTTATTTCAGCGTAATTAAAAGTGCTGTTGGGAAGTCTATTAATTCTCGTCAGAAGTGAGAAATGTGACAAACTCCAGGGTGTTTCATTTGTTACACGAGATCAGTGAATGTTGCAGTTTCTGGTTAAACTGAATTTGATTAAATTTTGTGGCTTTGGTTAGGCATTAATGAAACCCTGCGGCAGGTTTGACGTTTAAGCATGTTGTTATCACATTATTATTTCATGGGAAAACCTCACATTTATTTCGAAGATGCTCTGCTTTTTATGTTGTGTCGCCAGTAAACGAAATTTACACGAATATTAGTTATGTACAGGTGGAAATGACGTAGGATATGGTAGTAGTATCTTGACGTTCGTCTTTTGTTTCTGAGTAAAAAGGCCAGGGGCACTCTAATAATTCTGCTTATACTTTTTTAAAGTTTGTTTCTAATGTCCAGGTTTATAAAGTACCGAGAATCTTCTTGTGCTTATGTCGTCAGAAAGATGAAAATTGAATTAAGTTTTTGGAACTTGTCTCTCAGTTATCACGCGGGCGCTAATCCGATGTAAAAACTGACATATGATGGTTAAGTTGTTCTGATAATCTTCGAAATGACGTTGTGGACTTTTATGTCACAGTTAGGGATATTTTTAACATTGAAGCGTGTTTTTCTCGCTGTGCGCAGGGGGATGATTCTAGTGACGAAACTATACACTCCTCCTTTTCTCACGCTTGACTAATGCCTGGTGGCGGAAGGATTTAATCCTTAATAAAAATACATACGTGTTCCGCGTATACGCCACATCAGCTGATTTGCAGTATTTTTTAGTTTGTCGAGCAAATACATTTCTGTTTGTCTTTCGTGCATGGAACTTGACATGGTCGTCCCCAACCTGGTTGCTTACGTGAACGCTAGTAAACGGATTGGATGTATTTATCGCTAATTCCGTGACCGAAATTTTTATCAGCAGACAGGGCTGTTTGTTGTTGTATGAAAAGAAAAAAGTATGACAAACGTTTGTTGCCGACAAGGCGGCATTTACTAATCGTGCGTGTGCCTTCCAGTAATAATTCTCGATAGCGTAAACTTGTTGACTGAATAAAGACTTTGAAAGCTTCGTAAAATGCCCTTCCGTTGCGTTTTTTATGCCGGCAGAGAACTATAATGGTGTGGACATTACTTAATGATTTGAAGGGTTTAGAAGAACCAGTAATTTTTATAGAATACAATCATCGATAACAAAACCAAAATATATGAAAGTATATGAATAAGTTCGGCTAGATGCTGGCAACACGTGCTTATCTGAATCAATCGTATGCGATATTCCGCCTTGCTGTGCAATTACGATGGCGAAGATTGATGGCACAGTGTGGAACTGCGATCAAGTTGGCGCATAGTTGTCTTCTTTAATGGCTGCATTAATTAATTTGATTTTGAATATCACTGGCATGTTTCACTGTTTACATGTCGCAGTGTTTTCATCTTCCATCTGTTTTAAACAAAATAAACAGTGCAAAATATTATTAATTAACAGTGCCACCCTGATCATTTTCACACCTTGGTGGTACAAATTGTTGAATGATTGTGCAGAAATGCAGTCAGTGCTATTACATTAATAGGAAGACTGTGAGAATTTGTACATGCTGACTTGCACGTATTAGTATAGCTGGCTGATAAAGAAACAATAATTCGGCGGTATTTTATCGGTAATCGTTAGGCTTAATTTGGTAGATAAGCTTATCGTATAAGAAATACCTCACTGATTGCTAACTGTTTGTGTATTCAATTACAGGCACCGGGTGCAATGCCTGCTACATGGAGCGAATAGAGAATGTGGAGCTGTGGGATGGTGACAATGATGAACCACGGGAAGTGATTATCAACATGGAATGGGGCGCTTTTGGCGACAACGGTGTACTGGAATTTATCCGCACAGAGTTTGATCGGACCCTCGACGAACAGTCCATCAATCCGGGCAATCAGCTGTAAGTACCTTGGAGCACGTGGATGTCGGTGTGAAGACGTTAATCAAACGCTTTATGGGCGATTTTATCGGTCGCACCGTGTGGCAATGAATAATAAAGACGGAAAATTTTTCAGATATGAGAAAATGATGTCTGGCATGTATCTCGGCGAACTGGTACGCCTGGTGCTAGTCAAATTGTGTGAGAACGGTGCACTGTTTGGAGGGAAACTACCGAACATTCTCAAGAAGAAGGATGCCTTCTATACGAAATATGTATCCGAAATAGAAGGGTAAGAATATCGATTCACTGGTTATTACCGCATGAATGCTAGTTTACTTGCTTTTTGTCTTATGCAGTCTGATTTGTACTTCAGAACAATGGTTTTCGATAAGTAGTTCGTTTTTGGATATTATGCGCACATCAGTTTTTGCAAAGTTCTGTTTCGGTAATGTCATTGATTTCCGGCCAACCATGCGTATTGTTATGTGTGATATAGGCTGTAGCGAAATAATGGTAGTGCAGATATTGTGGATTTTCTATACAGCTTTTATTGATTGTTTTTCAGGGAGCGAGAGGAGCACTATACGAAATGCATGAAGATCGTCAGGGATGAACTGGGTATTCCTAATGCTTCGCAGGAAGATCTCAACCTGATCCGAGATGCCTGTGCTGCAGTATCGTCACGAGCCGCTTATTTGGCTGGAATAGGTATATTTATAACGACATGCGTGATGCCAGCTTATTTAATAATATTGAGTATTATATTTCGAGACGCCATACTTTTGTTAATTTTGAAACTGAAACAGCAAAATCGATATACGTATTTGATGGCACGGAGGTTTATACGCAGTCTTTTCGAGTCTGCACTGTACGAGTACAGATTTTCTTGAATTTTATCGTGATTTCGTAGGTGTTTCTTCTGTTAACACGGATGTCGCAAGTTTTCGCGTTAATAGTTGAATATTTGATTTTTTGTCATAGGTTGTGCAACTGTGATAAACCACATGCAACGCGACAAATGCACAGTAGGAGTGGATGGTTCAGTATACAAGTATCATCCGAAATTCCATAATTTAATGGTGGAGTGCATGAAGCAGTATGTGGATAAGCGGATAGAGGTAAGAAAAAAACATTCTCCCATGCTGTTTACGAATAATTTAAGCTTTGCGTCTGTGCTTGTGTTGTGTGAACTAACCAGCCATTGTTCTGGGCGAACCTTTTTAGGCTAAGCTTGCACGACCCATCAGAAAATTCGGCCCGGATGAATTGTACAATGTAAATTGCTTTGCATTTAGCATTTTGCTCTCTGTACCAAGTAACGTGTGGTTTTACAAAAGCTTAAACTTAGGCTGCTTAGCTAACAGCTGGAGCTGCTTGTTTGTTTTGCTTTTCACAGAAACGTTTTACGTTGACAATTTGCTAATGGAAAAGTTTTAGTATTTAAAATATAAAAAAAACATATTTTACAGCATACATTGCGTTTGTTTTACATCTACGATATTGTACCATGAAAGTTTGATTTCGACGTTAAAGTTTGCTTACCGCGGGTGTTTTTGCTTTTCTCTATCTAGTTCAATCTTATGCTTTCGGAAGACGGCAGTGGAAAAGGTGCGGCATTAGTGGCGGCCGTCGCATCGCATCTGGCATCCTGATTTCGGCCGGATTGGTGGCATTAAACATTGTTAATTTTAATTTAATAATATATTCCCGTGTGTTGCAACTGGATGATTGATGGATGGATGGGCTTTGTATCGGAGACGAAGTTGTGTATATTTTTCTTCTACATTAATCCTGGTTCATCGCGGCTGGGAAATGCCGTGGCGCCTTCATACACAGAGCAGAAGCACTATTATAGCGGTTTTTGTTTGTTCTTCACCGTGAATCTCGCCGATTAACCCAAGGTCATCCTGGAATCCTGGCGATTTTTGCCTGCACACCACTTCTGAATATTTTCACGTCGAAAGCGAGAAGAATGGAGAGTTTGCTCAAAGAGCCCCTTGATTGTCCCCTTTGGCACAGTTGGATAATTTAATATTGAAGTGTTCAGCTTTGTACATGCATGGGTTGTATTGATTGTGCAAAAATTTTTGTCTGATTTTGGTTCTGCATTGCATGGAGTTTAGTTTGGTAAAACGTTAACTATTGTTTTTTTACTGCGAGGCAATGCATTACTACTCGTTTCCGCTTTGCTTTCTGGTGTAAAATGCTCTTTTCCGCGAAATGAAGTGTAATTTACGAATCAAGAACCACACGCTTCGGGTTTTGTTAGTGTATGGTACAGGCTACAAAAACAGATGTCTTTGAAAGTGCTGCTAGTTATAGTCAGAAACTGTTTCACAAATTAGAATTATTCAGCGAGGGGACTGGCTGATTGCTACAGTTTTCAGTAAATTACTTAGTAATTTCTACTATGGTAACCGGCGTACTACTGGATCATGGGTGCAATCCACTGAATCCAGCAAACGAAGCGCAGTACACGCACGCAGCACAAATAGCATTATAGCACCCATTTTTTAGTACTTCGTTCTTGAAGTTGCAGTTATTGAAAAATGCTCGATTGTAATGCGATCATTTATTTATAAACCCAAAAAAAACATGCATGCCTGAACAGTTAAATACCTATCCTAACTCAAAAAACAATAAAAAAAAACAGAAAACGTGCATATCAAGGGAACTGGAAAACCGAATCACACTGAAATAACGAAGTAAAAGTCACTAAAAAAATCATTGGAAGCATTTTTGGGAAACAGGCTTCAGCATCCTGCTGACGGTTCGTGTATAACTTAGAACAGATGGGGCAGGATGTGGCGCATAGCCAAGGCCAACAACGGTGTGCCGGTGGGGACACCCGGGAAGGGGCCGCTGGATCCGGCAATGTCGATGTGCGTGTAGGGAATGGGCGCCTGGGAGTCGATGCCGTGCTTGTCCAACCCAGCTGCCAGGATCATGAATGCCGCCGGCGACTGGTGACCGCGAGGAGTGCGCGACGACGGCAGGTTGTTGCACTGCAGAACGTCTTCGTACTCCGATTTGCCCTTGTGGAATTCGTAGTCCTCACGACGGATGCTGGACAGTTCCACAGGCTCAGCAATACGGCCACCCAGGTCAAAGAGGGTGCGTGAAGCGCCGGCTAGGCGAGCTGGTCCGTTGTCCAAAACAGCCTGCAAAATATCAGGCTTCAAACATCTCTAACGTCTTAAACACGATAAAATACCACTACTGTAGTCTTATTATTTTCAATCAAAATTTCCTTAAGAAATCGTGTATGAAAAAGATTTCGCGAGACTTAATCACACAGAACATCAGAAAAACATTTAACATCAAGATCATTTATACATAGTAAGGAAAGCGTTCAGTGACGCTAAAGTTTACCCTGAAATTTTCAGGTAAATAATACTGCGGAGTATTTCTAATTCACGTTGGTGCAATTTTGTTACAGATTTAATTGTGTTGCATTTAATGTTCAAGTGAAAGTTTTACAAGAGAGAAAAAGAGAGAGCTCATCTCATCGCTCATCGCTGCCGAAGTTTAATACACTTCACACTTGTACTTACAGAGTACTGCGGTCCCATAGCCAACACGGCATGTCCGGTCAATGTGGCAATGGTGTAAATCTGAGAGTTCTTGTGGATGTTCTCCTTGATGATGCGTTCCTTCATGTAGCACAGCAGATCAGCCATCACCATGCGACCTTCGGCGTCGGTGTTGCCGACACGGACACGTACACCGGCACGGGACGTGATAATTTCATCAGCCACATAGCAGTCTATAAATTAATACGCGACCCGTCATGATAACAGCCCAGGTAATCAAAGAACACGGTGGTCTATCTATCGCCATGATTAGGCAATCAACAAAAGCATCCGGGCACTCGAGCGCCTTATCATTCAAAGACCAAAAATAAATGCTACGTGGATCGCCGGCCGGAATGTTCTCCTCTTTCACTAGTCGTATGATCGAATAGCACTTACTTTCACCGATGCTGTTGCGCACCATCGACATACTTCCGACAACGCGGATTCCTTTCGGTTTAAGGATCGACAGGGTCTATGGAAAATACACAAAACTGAACAAAAAGCGAAAAGGAATTCGATGCAACATTACGCACCTTGAAAAAAGCCAGCTACGGCAGCCGCTCCACATTTGTCACGGTGCATTCCAGCCATGACACCGCCCGCTTTCACATCAGCTCCACCAGTGTCATAAGTAATACCCTGCAAAATACAAAACAAAAAATAATTCACCAGCGACGGATTGACTAACAGAAAATTATCAACTCAATAGCAAATAATTATAAGCACAAGGCCCCACATTTAACAAGATTGCAGTAACAAAATTACGCTAGCAAAATCAGAAGTTAAAACACTACAGTACTGCCATATTAATACATGACTTACCTTTCCGACCAAGAAAACGTTTTCGGTAATTTCGCCTTCGCCGACATACTCCAGGATCATGACATTGGCGTGATGTCGGTCAATCACTGAAAAGCAGCAGGTGTACATTGTCGTGATCAAACCATCCTGCACACTGTCGACACTCACCGGAAGCAGCGCGATTAACAGCGCCCAACAACGGGAACTCTTTGTCCAGCTTCTTCTGATCGGTGATGTATTCGATCTTGATCTCCTTGACCCCGGAGAAGGTCTCTTTGACGTACTCCGCCACACGGGGAGAGGCCATGCGCTCGGGATCGGAGCCACCGATATCACGGGTGACGATGCTGTAAGCGTACGCAAAATTCATAAACAGATATCAGAACGATTATAACAAAATCACGGAAAACACTCAAAAAAATGACTGAACGCGAAAAATATAAAAAACCACGTGAGCTCACCGTCCAGCTTCCAGAGCATGGGCCAGCTTCTCGACGTTCGGTCCGGCCATGCGGTTGGTATTGCCCATATGGAAGGCGATGCGGTCGGCCTTGGTGGCCTTCTTGCCTTCCGTTTCGCGGATTTCCAAGGGCTGAAATGGAAAAACACATGACTCGGATCCGATAGCAAAAAGTCCTAAAATTAGGCTTCAATAACTTTCAACTTACAACGTAGAGGGCTCGCATGGCACCCAGAACACTGACCAACTCAGCCTGACCGTAAACGGGGCAGCTGTTCAGCTTCTCGTCGACGTCGATGTACACGAACGGATTGCGTGCACCAGCAGCAATGGCTCTGCATAAAAAGTTTATCATGCAACCCATGTCAGATAATAAAAGAAACGGTGCTTAAGTTCAGTACCGCTTAACGCCTTCAAAGGCAGCTTCTTCATATCGGCGGGCGTCGTCGTAATCACGGTTAAGAGGTCCGGTCGGGGCGTACACCTGTGATTGATTATTAAAATAGGAAGTTATTCGGTTTAAGCCTTTTTATTCCTAGAAATTTATAAAACTTTAAAAATCACGTCAAAAATTCTGCATCATTCATGATGCTGTAATATTAATTAAAAACTTATATAACATATTCCACATATGCCATACACCATACAATCATGTGCCCCGCTAGAATACTTACATATAACCGTTACCAGCTAGCATACGCTAGAATACATATAAGTACATAACCAGCCAACTAAAGCCAAACCGTAAGATAACATCATAACACTAACAATAAAGTACCATAGGAAAAAATGTAAAATTAAAAAAATGTAAAAAAGGCAAATCTCCAGCGTAACCGCTACTAATGCTGCAGAATCAGCGATTTTAGTCCCTTAGCACAGCACTATCGACCACTCACCAGACGCTTCACACCCAAGTCATTTCCGTCCGGAAGGCGAATCACCACCGGGCATTTGTCAGCAGCAGAGTCCACCTGAAGATTCACAGATATAAACTGAATAAATACACATACATAAACATTTCCTGCATTGCTTGGGGAAATTTTTTATTTATCCGAATAAGAGTCATCTGGTTTCAAAAGCATACTACAGTAAAATGCACGAATCAAAAAAAAACTACATCACTACTAGTACTCAGCGCAAAAATAATCAGGTTGTTTAATGTGCACATCCACCCCCGTCGCAAAGCTGCAGTTCAGCGAACCTTCTGCACAAGAATATGCAAAAGCCAACACTCTTATCAAACCAGATAACGGGGTTCCGCGATTTACAGCTGGCATGAATATTAATATTATTATGCATGGTACCAGAGCAAAGTAACTACTAATATTACTGGCTCAAATTTCTCGGAAAACACTAAAACAGGGAAATACGGAATCTCAAAACAAGTAACAAGTGACAAACCTCGGTGATATTCCGGATGGCCGTGTTGACGGACTGGAATCGCGGCAGCGCGCGCTGATCCCCGACACCTTTCTCGCCGACCACGATGAGGGCGTCATACTCGCTCAGATTGCGCCCGTCGGCAATGAACTCGGTCTTGGTGCTCAGGAAGGATCTGACGAAAAATGCATCGAGTTAATCACAGTGCACATTTACTGCAGCAGCCATCGCATTGGACGTTTACCCTGGTTCCAGGCGAAGACTGGCCATGGTGCAGGTAGCCAAACTGCTGAAATGGGTTGAAAAGGGAGTTAAACGAACTCGCAAGCAGGATTTTGCCAATGCGAGCATGTACAGAGATCACTAGCGGATTTTATACCCAACTAGTGCAATTTTACACGTCAGCGACTTTCCAAGATTAGCCACGGTATGTTGTGATAAGCAGATTTGAGAAATTTTGGGAATTTGAACAACAACATTACAGAAGCAGATGAACGGCACTGTAATTTTCGCCCGTGTGGGGTTACCATTGAGACGGCTGGTTGCGATTGGCGAAATGCGATACACTATTATGAGAAAACAACTCGACAAGCCGAATGAAGCAATTTCGCAATTTTTGGAGGGAAATTTTATTTTCTACGGAGCATTCAAGTTATTCAACATCTCTGATAAGTCATAATTCGTTAAATTTAATTACTTATTTTGAAACAAACCTCTTGTGTAACAGAATACAAGTGCCCAACTACAGCTAAACCAGGGAACGGTGAATATTTCATCGATGACGTAAAAACGAAAACTTGGACTGACATCCGATGGTTTGTAATTACATTTACATTTATGTGACACTCGATCGGTATTGATTGCATTAATTACAACTCAATGGTTTGTGCCATGCAGTGCGTTTTATATCCAGAGTAAAGACCGAAAATGGCTCGTTGTTCGACGTAAAGAACAGGATAATCTATATTTATAACACATGATTTACAGGTACACAAAGTATGAAACATGACCTTTCAACAGTATAAAGTAATTGCTAAACTGTAACGCAAAAGCCTGTAATTCTGAATACGTATTTCTCTTTTAGTAGTAAAGCACAGGAAAAAGCAGTCGCGGAACAATAAAGCATGACAATTTCTGAAAATTTGATAGAAATTACGTACATGTGGTCGCATTGTGATTTACATTATAACAGACGTACCTGTAATTACTGTAGAATATACCTGCACCATCTGCGCTAAAAGCTGCAACTGTACTCGTACATGTGAAAGATAGTTAAATACCTTTGCCAATACGATGCAGCTTACCTTAATAAACAAGATCCAAAAAACAAAATCATTTTATTTAATTAACGCTTAATATGAGATATGGTAAGAATCTTCATCATTCTGTCTACAGACACCGTGCTTATTTTGAATCTCCAATCTACAGTCACCAAAAGCGAGCTAAGAACTCTGCAGCTTACACAAAATAAATTTAATAAACCTGGGCTGGATCTAGCATGAGCGCTTAAAACAAAAGTTGCATTAACGTGTACGTGTTCCTACTGGCACACTGCTAACAGTGTTATAGTTTCCTTCAGTCAATTGTTAATTGATCTTACGTCCATCGCAGCTCCACATGATCTTAACATTATGTTGTCTCCACTAGAAGCCTTCGCATATAAAGCCGTTAGAACTATACTAAGAAAATAAATACCGGAAAAATAAATATATGCATGAGCGTAATAATTCGCGACTAAAAATATCCGTAACTGCGCGGTTAAGAGGCGAATATCGCGTGTCATTAAGTATTTCTGATCGCCGCGAAACTGCTTCGTCCGCCGTTTTTGGCGCTATAAATAAGCACATAAATTTAATACACGTAATGCTACCCTTCACTTGGTTCTGTGTAGCTTGATTATTATTATTATTGCGCTTTTCTGGGAAATTTGAGGTTATAGTGGAAGACTGAATTACTATATATATGTGCTGGCTTTAAATCAATTATTCTTTTGGAAAATAAAATAGTTAGAATCATGAAATTCAACCAATTCAAGATAAAGACAATTACGCGTCATTTTAATTATACTTTATATTGCTGTATGCACCGGCGCTTTCTAATATTAGTTTGCGTGCGGCGCAATACCGTGTGCTCCTGCAGTGTTTCTCACAGTTGACTGCGGCCAGATAAACGGTATGGTCAATGTGCGCGCTATGTTAACCAATCTCGCAACCGGAAATCCATAACGGATTCTGCGATGTAATGCCGCGTGAATTTACAATCCGGCAAAAACGAACACACCACCACCTCCACTCTGCAGCACTCGGACAGCACTGCCAAGTTAAGAAATCTGATCAAACAATATTAATACATTAAACATTCTCCACTACACCACCGGGTGCTAGCCGGTATCGGTCCAGCCGAACTGGCGCTGACACTTCTCAAAGAGATTTAATTAAATGTGTACATAAGAGCCAGCTGGTGGGATGCGGCTTTTGTTGGCACACCTGGGTCCGACAATGCCGAAAATTCATTATCGATTAATCCCCGCCAAAATATCGCCGGGTGAGGTAGACCCGAGGATCGGCCCACTCAAAAAGCGGTTGGCCCGCTAAAATAAGTGAGTGAGGACTTAATCAATTACTGCACAGAATTACACTGGCCGGGAAGACAAAATCAATATGTATGCCCAACCAATAAAATGCATTTTGATTTATGCTGCATCGGAAGGCAACCGGCAAAAAATTGCACATGCTCCGGAAAAACGCACAAAACCTTTTTGGTGCATTTTGTACATAAAGGTAATAATAAAATATATCCATCTGTCAGGGAAAAAAATGCGAAAGTGGTGCTTATTCAGTCTATCGATATAAACGATTATTGTCACGTACACTTTCCTTGGCATATGTGCATTGTGCATTATGGTTATAGAGAAAATTCCGAGGCCATTCTGGCAGCAGTCTATTTACATTTGGGATCGAACCTGGAGAGAATTGTATAGCGCTTGTGTATATATATACCGGCATTGGGAGTTATTCAATCGATATCTAACGGCTAATCTCCAATCCCTTAGTTGAGATAACAGTGAAACAAATAGCTGTAGGAACGCCGACCGGAAGTTGGCCTTCATCAAGCTGCAGTACACAGCAACGTCAACTAATCGCACCCAGCCATCACTGGCAATTTCTCTCCTTTTTACACAGAATACCCGTCAAACGCCATTTGCACAGGGAGCATTTATCCATGCTCGAATAGTTGCTAATTTGGCCAAATCTAAAAAATGCTCTTTACGCGTATTTATTATATGCCAACGACTGCACATTGAACAGGGAAATGAAGCGCGCATAAAGAATCCGGGCGCCTGCCCGATCGGCGGACAAATCTAGATCAAGTCAAAATAAATAGGCCACTTTATTTGATTGTCCAATGTCGGGTTTAGACGATGTGTGGGAAGGCGAGTAGTGAATCAATCAGTCCCTCTGGAAAGGGGGGAATCGTTATCCCAAGTTTGATGGAAAATTAAGGACGACGCCGATTGACTGTGGGTTGTATCTGTAGTGAAGTCTTATACTCTCAAGTATGTAATTATATGGGAAACACGGTAATCCAGACAGCAATCTTCCTTAAAAATCCAAAAAACCCACTCAATTAATCCCGACATTTAATTGCATGTTGTTACCACAATTCCTTTACAAATAGAGGCATTACCGACAATCGATCGTTTCTGGAATGCAGACCAAAATAAAAGTGTCATATCCGATTAACTAACATGAACCAGCCGACATAAATTATGCGATAATTCAAATGTAATAGAAAAGGTCAAGTCATTATTTTTTGAACAGTCATGCGTTTCTATTTGCTTTAAAGTGAAATACGAAAACAAACACTTCAGCATTATCAAGTAAATTAATCGCGTAAAGACTTCTACTTTAGAGCATTTTGTACAATCAGATCACAAAATATAGATTTACCTTCAGCGTGTAAAATCTGCAAAAACACACACAACGTCAGAATTTTAAAACCATCCCATCACTGCATCTGCGAGTGAAACCAGGTCTCTTCCGTATTATGCAGCCAGTTGAAGATCATGAGATTCCGGGCGTATTTCGATAAGGCTTTACCCTGCTCCCGTTCAATATCACGATCGGTCAGCGTTTTCATGGTATCCTGCTCGGGGAACACATTGACATTGCGCTTTTCAGGCTTGGGCGACGGACTTCCGCCGGTACTGCTTTTTCCATCGCCGCCACCATCCACGGCATCATGCGAACCGGCAACAGCTGCTGCCGTGGTGGATTTCTTACTGCGACGCCGGCGTATCAGTTCATTAAAGGAGAAATTGAAAAACTTCCGTTTAATGCGATGCCGCAGTTTCGCATTGCGGCCTACCGGTATGGCACTGGGCAGTGCGCTGGCCGGATTGGCTGCCGCAAAGTCATCGGGCAGCGATACGTTGTCGCCATTGGTCGCACTGATGCGGATGGACACCGCCTCATTGCGATCACGGTAATTAATGGGCTCGCCTTTATCGTCAAAAAACATACTAATCTCATCATCGAAATCCGAATTAACCGACAGTGATGGATCGGAGATGGCCGCCGGGCATTGATCGCCCACCGCCGCGGGATCCTGTTCCGCATGATTACTGTTGGAGCGCAGATCCGTGAAGCTGAAGCAGCGCGTCATCTGGTTATGCGGTTTGACCGTGGCATTCTGGCCGGGTGTGAAGAAGGCATCGGGCTGATGGGGCAGACTGGGCACATCGATGGACACATTGAGGGACAGCTGGTCGAAGCCCGAGTTGAGGGTCTCGCGGGATTTGGAGAGGAATTGCATGGCGCGTTTACGCCGCGTCCCCCCGTCCTGATACTGACTGGACATGGACATGACGGAGAAATCACTGGCGATGCTCTCGCGGCTGGGCGAGCGCAGACCCCGCATTCCCGGGGCCTGCAGATAGTGCATGGGCATCAGGGTTGGTCCGTAGCGGGACGTGGTGGTGGACGTCGTGGTGTTGAGTTTCTTGGGCGCTTCCATCCTGGCGCAGCTGACAGATCACCGGGGCATACACTGGCCGAGAAGTTGACAAATTGGTGATGGCGATAAAAGGGTAAAGAGTGTATTTAGCGCGTACATTGACACATTGCGGCGTCGATATGACGGTGCATGTGTGGACTGTGCATGAGAAGTTGTGCAAGATGTCACGAAAGCAATGCTCTGATGGTAAAGAAAACTTGTTGCGATAGCCGTCAAAAGAAATGAGGGGTTTTTGTTTAACTGGTTTCTACTTGGCCGCGTGGAGTAGTCGATCGCTGCACACTATGTGCGTGTTGGTGTGTCTCTCTCTTTCGCTCTTTTCTCGCGCGCGCAGCTCACTTATCCATGCCACTATGCCAAATGTGATGTACAATTCCCGGCGTTATTCACTGGCAGAAATGGGATCAAAGCTGTACGATTACTATCGAACTGCACCGGCAACAGGGAACAAGGGGCGAAGGATACGGCTGCGGCAAATACAATGCGTCATCCCGCTAATCCAATGGGTTCGGCTTGTAAGGAAACCTTCGAAATGCCGGCTACACGTATTGCACATCAGTATACTGGGTGTAGCAACACAGTCCTATGAGTACGAGAATACACAAATAAGTAAAAGAACTTTGCCTACACCAGTTGCAATAATATGATTGTCAATTTGTCAGGAATAATCGTGCAGTCGCGAGCAAAGTTTCGATTCTTCTGGAGCGTAGAAAAAATGTATAAGAGTATGTATACGGTACAAATTTTATGCAAAGTAATTTGAAGTGCAACTATATAGGAACCGACAACATCCTAGGGGAACTTTGTTTCTGAATTTCAATAGAAATAACTGGGCCGATAATTTTGAAAATCTGAAACGCGGAAAACTTGCAAACAAGGCTTATAATAAGAATTATAGCCGCATATCAAATTATTAGATTATTATTATTAATGTCGTTCATTAAGTATTCCAAACGCTGTTAAAAACGCTTACACGATGATCTGCAAACGTGACGCTTAATTTGCATTGCTGCTACAGAGTTGATACAGCTCGATACTGGTAATTTAACTACTGTATTGCTACTAAAAACTATAGTGTAGTCGGTTAAGATTTACCACAATTACTAATTCCACGAAACAAATCTTAGCAAAATATTTATGTAAAAAATAACATATTATTTAACTGCTGCAGCGTGTACCACGGTCATTTGCGGTTTCGGCCCAGATGCAATACTGGAGCAGGATTCCTTCGTAACCTGCAGCAGAAGTATTGGTAGGCAATGGTACCCAAAAGCGCATATGTACGCCGGATGCTGACACTTGGGATGCCGGTCGCGGTGTACGCTGTCAGCTGAAGCATTCCGCAAATACCCTCGAGTTGTCCTGACTTTGATCAAACATATAGCTGGTTATACGTATATCCGTGGATGCACAGAAATCTGCCAGTTGTGAAGAATGCTATACTGCCTTGACAGTGTTTTCGCAACTGCGGTCGATGCTGAGTATGAATACATTACACAATCCCATGCCGTCCCGGCCCCTGTGGACGCTGCTGCTACTGGGCCAGATCTTATCCCGACGGCCAGCATAGTGGATAAGCATATAATCCCATTCCTACTTTAACCGCATACAACTTTTAACTTACCCCTGCAAGCGGGGTTCCGGTTGTGTAAACACTGTAGTCGCGCTGCAACTGTGGAGTTACAGCATATACAGAGTACTATGAGCGTTGTAGAGGAACAAGTTTATATACCCAACAATATATTCCACATCGCATGTATACTGCAAAGCAAATATTCCACATCTGGCTATCAGTTTCTCAAGACTTAGTAATATTTCAGTGATTTTATAAATATTAATAGGCCGCCATACATTTTCTCAGCTTCGTGTCTAGAAGGTCACAGAATAACTGATCCAATACTGCAAGCAAAATAGAGATTTGAGCATCTGTAAATGTGGATATTATAATAATTATTTCGTCGACCAACTGGCAATTGGATCTGCATACTAGTTCAGAAGTTGGAGTTTCAAATGTAAGCCTGCTAAACTCACCATAATTACAAGTACCCTTTATCACATAATTTTCAGCGAGATAGGTAATACAGCATTAAAGGATACAAAAAGAAAATTAAAACGTAAAACACATCAAAACACCAAAACTATTCTGTATATCTTCAGTTCACAAACAATTATGCACTATGTAGCCTATGCTTCTCGAATTTCGGAACCAACGTTATTGATATCGTTAGGTCAACGTAGGCACTGGTCGCATTCCTGTATCTGTCAAATCCACGGAATCCATTTCTTCCGGAATGCGCCATCAGTCGATCACTCACACTTGATTGGTGCTAGTTTCTTTATATTTTTAACCTCTATACTGTAAAGCTGATACTGTATTCTGACTTTTTAAATTATAACCTACTCTACTGTATTCCTGACTACTCTCTAAAGTCTCTAATGCAGCTAACAGAAATACAAGTAGGCCAAGGTCATCTCGTTTTACGTACCTTACGTTAAATTTTTCAACACGCAGCTTTTGCGCCGCGAGTTAAATAGTCTTTTATAATTAACATCTATTGGTTATCTAGTATATAAGTACACTTAAAATTAAGTGTAAACAGAATATGACCCGTTCACAACCACCAAAAATATTATGTAACTTGATTTGTTGATCTGGGTATATATACAAAGTACTTATGGACCTGAAAAAGCTCTATAAATGCAACCCTGCATGCGGTCGTAACAAATTTTCAGTGAGTTTTCAAGCGATGTCATATTAGTATTTGTTATAGTTTTAATCTTTGTTATAGTTTTAATCTGGCAACGTTTAAGTTGCTTGCAACTGGCCGACATAATCTGCAGAGTTTTGAAACAAAAGAAAGGTCCATGAGATTTACGAAAATTGCTAAATTTTGATGGACAGAATACAAGTTTACAGGCTACACCTGTAACTGCACTGATTAAAACCGAAAAAATGTTGTTCGAGGAGAAAATACCACTGTGAATAAATTCGTTTAGTCGTTGAGAATTTTTATTTCATTCATACCTGGAATAGAGACCGCCCGTTGTTGTTCTCACTGATTGCAAAGAAAATCACAACGCTGGTTCGAATGAAAAACCCTAAATACAAAATACATTGCTGTATTTGCCGTGATTCAAAGAAATATGGACGGGGGGTAATGCTACTTCCGGCAAATCAAGTTGTACTGACTTTTCACAATGACCGTGTTAAGAACACTCTTTAGGAATTAACAATCCGAAAGCAGGAATTCCCAGACTTTTATTATACTAGTACCGCGAGTATTTACATGTTAAAAGTAAAAAGTCAAGTAAGCCTGGATAACTTAATTATTCAGTATTTTAACAAACAACGCTCGTGCAATTTTTTGAAAACACCAGAATGTTTTTATGTGAGTTTATGTTATACAATATGTCAATTTGTAAATTTTCAGAAATAAATCTAATGGAATTACAATAAAGAAATTGAATATCTATAGTATGTATACCGTTTTGCCCAGCTTACAAATCAATCGATTTTAATGGCATGACCTTTTCTGTTTTTGGCATAATCATCGCTGTGCTGCTACTCGGATTACTGTGGTACTTTTTTGGTAACCATACAATACCGCGGGCTGAATATGACAGTTGTTTGCCAGAATGTAACCCTTTACCGGAAGAACGATCTGTGACAATTGTAAATGAAGAACAGGAATCTTCTTGCACGCCGTGTAGTGGATCGGTTAGCATAAGAACCGATTGTTCGGCATCGTCTGTTTCTTCGGATCCAACAAGCTCCATACGGGCACGCCTAGGACAACAAAGCCTGAGAAAAGGTAACCAGCTAAAAATTAAGCGTTAACAACACCTAGGCCTACAGTTTTACTCGGAATCTACGTCACTATGCTCATATTTAGTGTTATACGCTGCACCGTCTGTGCACGCAATAATTTTACTGTAATCATGTGATAATACAAATATAATACAGATATTTATAATACTTTCTCGATCAGAGGAACGTGTTTGGGGATTACGGAAGAAGCACCATCAAGTCCACGAATGGGCATTATGTAAACTTCTTCAGGGTTCATCGGAGTGCTTTACCGAATCCGAGTCATTTTTGGTGCATTTCTTTTCTGATGGTGGCTGGTAAGAAATATGAAGATACAGCGATACATAAGATTCACCTTCAACAGCACTACCTGCTCAAAATAGACTAATCATAGTGGATGATGAACAGTACCCGATCGCGAAGTAGCCAACTCTTCTAGGAGTACTGCTTAGGAGTTAGGAGTTTGCATTTTCAAAATGTGATTGTCATAGATTTATCATTGATGTCCTATTTCCTACTCGTAGGACAGCCTTACTTTGTGTGTACAAGCATTTTTCACTTTATTATAACAACAACTGGTTGCAACTGAAGAGTTTTTGCTGCAGTTATACGTACAGCGATAATTCATATTTTTTGTAGCGAAGCATGGTTACCCAAGGAGTGCATTCTGCCGAATACGGAGAAGAACCGTTCTGATATCATTAAATTTAATTACGACCTTAAACGGAATAAACAGTAAGCGATGTAAGAAATTATTTAGTTTAGCTTAATTACTACTGAAGTAGATGCATACACAAATTGTACAAATGCTTCAGTAAAACTGAAAGATTTGGGGTATTGGTCAGACAATAAATCATACAAAAATAATGGACCGAAGACAGGTTTTATGGCAGTGCACCATGGCATAATATAATATTAGTTATCTTATGCCATGACACCACTACAACAAATTTTTAAAACGCAGCAAAGGCCAAAAAGGTCACTAGAGTATAAACAGAAAACCCTCTTCGCATTAAAGCGCTTTCCATATCACACATCCTTCAGTTTGAGTAAATCCACGTCCCTTAATTTTTTCCGATGCGGTGACCAGTCACCTCAATCCGCTCGAGCTCCACCTGTACATGTCTTATTTCGACGCTACATATGGTGAACGCAGAGCTTGTGGCACTTGTGCCTCGCATTATATACATAGCTTCCTTTACGCCAAGATTGCGAAAAGAAACCTCAGAGACCAAAAACACCGTTAAACTGTCACATCCTTAAGAATCAAAAAATTGCTTCGTCAAAGTTATTTATGTGTTTTACCAGGTCCAGTTTGCGTAAAAATTCCTCCTTAAACCCAGCTCCAGATGGGAAATGCCAGAGAAGGAAGGATGACGTGGCGAAACAACCGGCTGCAGATCACGGTAAACATTGAGGTCAAGTGCACGTACAACTTGAACAACTAGTCATAGGCGCTTAAGAGTTAAGACACTGCACGTACCTATGTAACAGCCATGCTAACCAACAGGTACTGTACATATTCCGGCTTCTAAAAAGTACATTGTACCTCGTATTTCTGAAAATCTGTATTTTACGTTAAAATTCTAAATCGAAAGACTAATTTTAAATCGACAGTAGTGTGCGCGAGTATAGTACGAGTACCGAGTACAGTGGAAGTATTGTACGGCAACTCTTTCGTATCATTCCGTAGATCAGTCAGCGGAACAGACAACGTCAACAGATCAAAAAGGAAGTTGCATTTTCAACGATGGTTTGGTGACGGAGCTTGGTGTCACCAGCAACACTCATCCCGCTTCTACCCACGATGCTTAATCTTACTTAAACATGTAATTTTTGTGTGCTTTAAGGTTCTAATATGTTTTAATGGAAACGCGGAAGAAGCTAAACGCTGCACATTAATTAAATGATAGCGCCTTAATAAAGTCGAAACGTTGGGCTAGCGAATACTTGACGACAATTAATGAACATTTAATCAATTAACTGACAAAGCGTTTACAATATAATTGTTAGTTTAACCGTAAATCAGTAGTTCCAATTTAAGACTGATGTCGCCCTTAGACTGGCAGACATTCAAAATATACTCGCTGAAGCATGTTATGCACAAATACTTTGCATGCCATTACCGCACTGCTATGCAGCGTTTTGTGCTCGCTGCCGTCAAGCCCAGAGTAAAGTAAAGTCGTGCAACAATGAAATGACCTTTAAAAACCTGCCCCATCCACTACGACATAAGCTCGGCGGCCCGTGCGATTTGCCGAATGTTTGTTTCACTACGACGCTAAAGAATCCCAACCGGCACAAAAATCCATCTCGGATAAAACCGGTAAACTTGCAAGTATTCCCACAATGAGCAAAATGATACTTGTGCTACGATGCTGCGAATGAACAGCAGTGTCGTTGTGCGCTTCCGAGGTTCCATGTCCGGTGTAGACGATGTCCACAGCACTCGCATAAAGACAACGTCGAAACATCTTTTGTCGGCTCACAAGCTAAACTGCAGGCACAGTTGTCTCTCGCAAAATCTCTTTGTTTTTACAGTTCGAACATGGTAATAATCTAATAATCCTGTACCGAAGGAGTTTTTTTTCACACGCATGACTGTAGAGAACTGATGACAGTTGATTTTGCACAATAGTTTAACTTAGTGGCCGTGAGAATGTGCCAACTTGTTTTGGGGATAACATTATTCCTGTTTGCCGGCAATTACATTATTCCTGGTCGGAGCTTACTTTTGCAACCTAACGGCCGATTACAGTACATGGACTCGCATCAATCCAAAACATCGTCGATCTCGAACTTTTTACCTCTTTCTTCGCTGCCTCGTCCAGCGGATAAGCGCTTATCATACGCCTTTGATCGTATTCGTAAGTTGTAAATTCACGAATTGCCACTTGGGACAGTCCACTGTATAACGCGTGTACTGTACATCACAGTACAATTTTTGGGATTAATTGTAACATACTGTACTCATATCATAAGTAAAAGTCTTAGAGTATGTGGACCCCATAATTAAAGAATAAACAACATACTGCATTAAAGTTAGATCAAATTATTTTTGACATTTACCGTAGCTGACAAAGAACTATAATTTAGAGGCAGGCTGGTATAACATTGATCCCAATGTCCTTTCGCCGCGTCTAGTCAATATGGAAACGGCTGACGAGTGCGTCCAGAACGAAGACTGTCTGGGTGGCCAGTGCGTGCAGGATAGCAATAAAGGTCACCGGGTGTGTGCCTGCTTAAGGGATTCCTTCCGGTACAGCATTGCCAACGGACTGGATGTCTGCCTGAAATGCCGTAATCTCTCAAATTCCTGGTAATTAAGAATTTGTACAAATTATAAGTATTAACAAACCAGATTTTGGTGATCGAAGTGTGTAGCATAATAATTAACTGTTTCTTTACCTAGTTCGTTTGACGACGAATGTCAGTGCTGGGATAAGCATGCCGAATGCAAAATTATTGGCAATCAGTCAAAAGGTCACTGCCGGTGTCGATCTGCCTATGTACCGGTGCTAAATCAGACCACAAATGATGTGACTTGCGTAAGACGAGGTAAATATCACTTTTGCCAAAATATTTTTATTCAGCGAAAACAACAAGCGTTGTATGTGATGGATGATCTTAACACATATGCGTGTACAGGCGGTATCAACAGCATTTGCGAATCTGACGACGAATGTCAACATATCAGCTTTCTGGATGCCGCGGGTAATCCCTTACCGCCGTTTTTCGTCCCCACCGTCCGTGTTCTTCACCGTCCAACCACCTCGACAACCACCACAACTACCACGACCACAACCACGCCGCCGATCCGGGTGGTGCCCGACAGTTACGCCGCTGTCTGCGTGCCGGTTATCGACGTGGCCGAAGCTCCGGGTCAGGATCGCGAAGAGTTGGGACAGCCCATCCTCATCGCTCCGGACGAGCACGTTAACCCGGCGAAACCCACGGGGTCACCCGCCACCACGCCTAAACCCCATGGTCAGCGGATTCTACCTGACCCAGAAGTGGCCAGTGTCAACGATTCCTCCAGCACATGGGACGGCGACTTCATGATGTCGGAGGGAGCGGATAGCGGCGCCAAGACGGTCACGCCCAGTATTATTCTACGTACCCGGTTGCTGTATAAGCGACAGGTGCAAGCAGCAGTAGCAAATCCTGGGGAGGTGCAGCGTAGCCAGGTTGTGCAGAATAATCCCGACCCTATGGAAAAGACGTGTCAGTGTCCGGATGGGTTCCAAATGGTGCCTGGCAATGAGTACATGTGCCAGGATATCGATGAGTGCAGTGACCTTTTCCCGGATTCCGGTTTGGACCCATGTAATCCGCTGCGTGTAGCGCATTCGGCCAGTGTCTGTGTTAATACGCCCGGCAGTTATCGCTGCGAGTGTAACGCCACGTTTGCCATTTCCAATGGAATGCCGCCTTCTGGCATCTGTAAGGCAACCATTAAAATCACACATTTCTTGAATCATTTTAGAGTCATTCTTAAATCATTTTTCTGCCCTTGATTTCTTACAACATCACCGGTATAATTTTAGGTTGCGAAGACGGATACATTCCTTGCTTGGATGCCACAAAATGTGTGCCTTTAGAAAAGTACGCCGACTCCTACAATGTTTATGTGATATACATTTTTTATAGTATCTTGACCTCAAAATCATCTGCTCATTTTATACAGCTTATGCGACGGTGTTCCCAACTGTGCAACCGACTGCAGCGATGAACTTTACCCTTTTTGCAATTTTAATACGCGACGACCTTTTCCCGACCTAACCCGTTACCCGCAGTAAGTTCAGTGTTTTATTCTTATAACGAAATTTTCCTACACGCGGCTTTAGCTAGAGGCAGCTAAAAATGGATACCAATATTTGCCAATAATTCCCAGTAATCTTATGTTACTTAGCGGTCAGTAGTTAAACTTGCGTGCGTAGGTGTCATGAACCTGATCTGGAAATCCCTCAACGTTTCGAGCCGGAAGCTGCTCCCATTCCCGTACCGGTGCCCGGACGCGGCACAGTTCTAACCGATTCCCGACAAGAAGACAATATCCCACTATCAGCAACGAAAACCGAACAGACCCATCACTTCAGCCTCCCCGGCACCGATATCATCGACATCCAAACCCAAGACAGTACCGCAGATCCGCAGTTAGAAGGCCCCGGTGTCTTCGCCGAAGGCTCCATGTTGGATTCCGTTTTCCAGGCCGAAGCGAAGGAAAACGTCACCACCTTACCTTCCACAGCGCGACCGGTTCCTTCCACTCCGATCTCTAAGGTTAAGGTCACTTCACCTAAGCCCGATGACATCAGCGAAAATGACGTGCACACATTGCCTCCAACATCCCTTAATGTCAGTAAGACCAGTACAACAGCCACACCCATCAGTGCAACGAAGATACCAGGTAACGGAAATGGTCGCGTAACAATGGCTTCCAGCGTGCCACCGACACGAGCCACCACACCGCCACGCAGTACCCGCACCACAACTGTGCCCACTATTTTTACGACAGTCGGCGTTACGACCAACACCGTCCCCTCAAAAGCGCAGACGGCCAACGATACCGCGGACGGACAGCCCACAAAGGTCACTCCCTGCGACCGGAACACGACGGCCACCATGCAGGCCACCATCACGCCGACCACCACGAAGAAGCCCACTCCGCCGGCAGTGATTGTCTCCGCCGATTCGCCCACCGTGGCAGTAAAGCCGGCACTGATCAGCCCCAGTCAGGGTCACATTAAGCCGCATTCCGCGGCGCACCCACCGCGTCGTATCCAGGGCAATCTGCAGGCAGCACTGGCCAGTGCGCTCAGCTCCAAGGCAATCGGCATTAATCCAGTGGGTGCAGCGCCGTCCAAATCCAACCGGCCGTCGCCTATGGTAGCGCTGGCTAATTCACTGGGGGATATTGATCAGATTGAGCCCTCTTTTGCAGTTGTACCGGTCATCCAGGAATCCATCGGAAGTGCTACGCTTACTCCGTCGGAGCGTGATCAGTTGAAACCGTTGAAGCCGCGCGATGAGGAGCAGTCACCGGATCGCCCACCTAACCCACTGCCGACTCTGCCGGCCAACATCACCGCAGCGCTCTTTCTCGGCTATACACTCATTTAAAGCGGAGGATTCTTCGCCCACGCGGTTAACCTGTTTAATTTTGTAAATTTACATCTGTACATTGTTAGTGTTCGTAAGCTTTTGACAGCTCAGGCTCTTTAGCTGCAAGCATGCGTACATTTTCAGAAAATTATAGAACATATTAAAAACTAATACTATCATAATCAGATTCAGGAACACTGGTGTGATTGCAGTGACTGCATTGTATCTCGTATCTATATTCTATATATACGTAGACCGTATAATCTATATCCGGCGTCTGGAGATTAAGTATGTATTATGCAATGATCCAAATCAGCTGCATCATGGGTAATTATTTATAATTTAATTACGGGCGGCCACATGAGATAACCTTTAAAATTCCTGAAAAGAAAGAAGGTTGTAAAGCAGTACAACGCTATCCAATAGGATCTATAATTATATTTCGATTATGGTACACCAACACCACGGGTCTCATCTCCGCCGCCGGTTAAATAATTCAGAAACTGCAATATTAATGAGTCAGAATTTACGAGCACCGCGTTAAGAACACGTAGAAGTTTTTTTTGTTATCCGAGAGTGCAGAATCGAATAATCCAGATTGTGAGTACGATCGCGAGTACTCGTAATCCAGCATACAAAAGCTTTGCGCTGATAGGAAATTATATTTTCGATGTTTGTTTTTGCTTAGATTTTAAGCTCTGGTACTGTACGCGCAAATACTGTATGAATGATTTTAAGGTTTAGGCAGACTTGCTATCTCCGAGCAACTGATTGTGAGTACGATCGCGAGTACTCATAATCCAGCATTCATACATACATTGCGCATACGCTGTTAAAAAATTTAATAATAAAATTAATTTTAATACAGTTGTAGGGAGGTAAGTAATATAATTAAGTACTTAATACTTATTGTATTAAGTAGTTGAAAAATAAAAAAAAACAAGCACACTTAACAACGTACGTTATCTATTAGTGTTGTAACTGTTTGTTTATTACTTAACTAGGTATTAGATATCTATACGGTATTTGACCTATAAAAGTTAATATTAAAATTTAGTAATATCTATACGCGTATAGAATTGTGTGTATTTACGAAATTATACTGCGTACGGACCGAACCGTTTAAATAGGTGTACCGTGTATTCTGAATTTTTTTGACGTGTAAGAAACGTTAAAATGTTTCATACCAGTTTCATAAGTAAGTAGTAGTACTTTCTTAAAAAATGATTGAAAATACTACTCTAATCTAAAACAAATGCAACTAAAATGGCTATAAAAATAATAATATTATTTTTATGGAACTAATTATTAGCTGCTTGTTAACGTTTATTGTGTACTTACAATTTTCATATTATATTGTGTATATTTTATTGTGTACAGTTTCATATTAGGAAATTTTATAACATAGAAAGAGAAATTAACAAGCATCTAAATTGTAAACAATAAACAACCGCGGGATGACTCTTTCTGCTACATATGAGCGGACATAAAAAAATGCGGTGAAACGAAACTTTTGAATGGTTCCATTTTTGGTTTCCGCCTAGTCAGAGCGTGTACATCTTGGCTCTGCCAGGCTGATATCATAGCGCGACACCGTAGTTTCGCGGCTTTCGCCGTACTCCGTAGACAACCTAGACAACGCATCCAAGAATCATACGCGCCACTTACAATTCATTCTCCATGACCCAGACAGTCCAAAAGTAACGTAACGCTCAAAAATTGCCTTTAACACCTTCATACTTGCCGACAATCGCACGCATCCTGTTCCATTAGCTTTTACAATACTGTAAAAGAACAGGAAAATTCTCAAAGAAAATCAGTTTATAAATGTGTACCCCTGCATACAGGCAGTGCAGCGATTTATGGGCGGCATGGGCGGGCTCTAGCCTCTCGCACAGCTCGTTAACACCAACAGTACAACCGCGCTAACGCCTTGCCGCCGTACTGACATTGGATCCGCCTCCCTCCATTGGTGCGCTACGTTCAGACACGAAACGAGAGTTGGCCCCGTTTTCCGCAGCACGACTGCAGTTTCAAGTCGCGACTTGCCATCTGATCTCGTTTTCCTTTCAGTGTGAACTGCATGGCGCAATATTTGCGTATTGAGCATTAAAAAAATTGACGCAGTCACGCAAGTGTTTTTTATGATTACGGTTTCTATCGTTAACCTTCAGATCCAGTGATACCCGTATTGTTCGCAGTCTCTTCTCTGCAGTGATAATTTTTCTGTATGAATGGCCTAATCGCAGACACTGTGGACGGTTGAGCCGATGAACGGTCCCTGTTTCGCGTCAGGTTTTGTGCTACTCTTTATCGGGAGTTTATCTGAAGGATTAACGCCTCCAAACAGCAGCCACTCCATCAGTTCCGTATGAAGGATTGGCCAGATAAGGCTGATAAACCCTGTTTGGGTCGCGAATTCCGCGGAGTGTCTGATTTCTGGTCGAGATTGGCTTGTTAACTGCCACGAGGAGGATGTCGCGAAGGGTGAGCGCTCGCTTAAGTCTTTGAACTGCTCGACATTCGTTACTTCCCAGAGAAAAATTAAAAACCTAAAAATACAAGGAAAAGTATAAAAGTGAATTAATCTATCGCTAGTACGAATTTATCAATTTGCACCAAATTATTTCGAAAATTACCGAGTTTTGCTTGTGGAATATTCACAAATGCGTCTTTGAAACTGCGACGACACTAACTTTCCAGCAGAAAAAACCTTCGTAACAAGAGTAATTGGATCGGTACCAAGTTCGCTTTGAAGAACTCAGTGGAATTATCTAATGTTAACTTTTATTGAGCAATCGCTCGTGACTTGTAGCAAGCCATTGCGAAACCCATAAATTAGCGTATGCGACCAGTCCGTTCGTCGTGTCCAAAGTCCAGAGTGCATAGGAATTTTCGATTTTATGAATGACTTATGTTAGTCACTTGATGCATTTTTTGGACAAATGTTTACCTGGTTTACTGACATGTCATTCGATATAATTTTGATAAGTTTTCTGTTGTTATCGCATTTTTATCGTTATATAAATCGAATAGATTATTCAAAAATCAGCCTAGTGAAATCGGAAAAATCAATTATTCATATCAAAGTTGTGTGGGTGCGGATGCAACGTTTTGAATTTTTTAACCTGGACTTTAGGGTATGAACAAAATTTTTATCACATATTCGGTAAAATAACCGTTGATTGGCCTTTTGTTGCAATGACTTTTGACTTTTTGTCAACGCTCTATGAGAGTGCCAATATCCAGGTGATTTGACTGATCGGAATGCAGCAGCAGGAATTAAGAATGAATAAATTCCGATAAAATTAATCGGCACGCTTGAGCATTTCGGCACATTGGGTCAACTGTCAACGGCGATCGTTAGCATACTAATGCGCCCTTATCAACTGTTTAGTCATTGCGTAAACGATAAGATAGTAAATTGAGCGTTAGATCGCATTTGCACTACGCATAATTGTGAACGATATTTATTGTGTATTTTCTTAATTATCAGTCATAATTTGCGCCAGGAATTACGCACTTCAGTAAATTGAACACATTCTTTTAGTAGATTGTTAAGTATATAGCCGTTGGTGGGCACGTTTCGTGTGTATTGAGAGTAGAAAAAATCTTTCCCAGAAGTTAGCGCACTGTTTGTTGATTGATGGATGTTATTCGGCAGGTAGTCCATTATGTTGATCGCCGACAATAGCACAGTGGATTTGCCTTTGACGTGAGAAACACTGTCTGAAGAGAGCGCGGCCTGCCTGAGTGCCATGAATGGTAGTTGGTCGGACAAGGAGATTGAGGCACGAGACACCGCAGGAGACGATCTGGATAGTGTACTGCTGGACAACCCCCCAACCATCCCATCCCCCATGCGTCTGAACGCCGAGCACGGCTGTCTGGTGGGACAGTGTGACAACTGTCACTATCAACCTGATTTGGATGATGTTCTACCTGATTGCTCATGTTTACACTGCGCCGACGGTAGTGTACACGGTAAACAATCGACATGTTCGCTCTTCCATACTCGGACACCGCCGCCGTCACTAACGCTGGTCAATGGCGATGAGCCGCGCGGTGAGGACGATGCGACGGGTCTGGATAAGACCCGCGAACAGGACACCGCGTCACCCTTAAGTAATCTACAGTCGATCCGCACCGGAAATGAAGACGACATTAACCGTCTGGTGGAGAATCTACAGTCGCAGACGCGTAACGCACAGGATTATGTTGAGGAGGAGCAGAGTGAGCAGGAGAGTGATGAGAAGGTGATTGATTCCTCGCCGACGGGACGCTTCGTTAAACTGAACGTGGAGATTGGACGGGGATCCTTTAAGACGGTGTATAAGGGCCGTGACCGTGAGACGGGAGCTACGGGTGAGACATTTTTGTCCGCGAAAGAGAATTATTGGCATCTATTGTCCGGGGTTTGTTTTTTCTCTTGCAGTGGCGTGGTGCGAGCTGACGGTGAGTTGTGATAATGAGCCTGTGAATATGTGTGTTGTGTGCGGGAACTGGTGCGCTCACTGACACTGCGGCGGGCGCGAAACGGCTGAGACAGCATTAAGCATTTAAACATATTGCGTTGCCATATGAAATTATGACGTAAAGGGCAGGCGTATACGCAGCGGTAGGGTGAGCGGAGTCGTATGACGAAGCAGCGGTGTTTTTAAGAGGCGGTGTGACACTCTGTTTTCTGTACACTGCGGAAGAATTTAACCGGTTCAAGGGGGAGCTACACTGCTGCGAACCCAGTGGTCTAATTCCACGCCATATGTCCATTTCGATTCAGGTCAAACTTGACATATTTTGTATCCTTTTGCCGACTGCTGTTGGCTGCAGGCGATCAATACGTTTTGCATATTTTTCCAGTGTATTTAAATGCAGTTGTGTTGATACGCGTGTAATATAAGCTGACATCAGGGCTTTCTCAGAATTTAGGACACTTTTTACATGTAAACACATTGAAATCTGCGCTAATCGAATAATTTTTAGCGTTTCTTTTGTACTTTTCAAATCAGCCAGAATAATTAAATTTTTGAGATGTCGTGTATACGACTAAATGGATTGAAATAAGGGAGAAACGATAAACACGATGAAATCGTTGAAATTGAGATTTAAGCATTTTGGTGCTGTGTTTCTTATTTAAAGTAAATATTTTACCGGTGCGCTGAATACGGCGAAGGATCACAGATACAGGAAAGACCGAGGAGCAACGTGACCGTGATTGATATTTTGTTTTGCTGCCAGAACCAAATTAAATCTACCGGAGAATAAAAACACCTTGGTAGCAGATTTTTGTTTATTTTCAAAGAGCACATGCGGATTTACCTTGACTGCTTAAAAGGCACGAGATATGCAACCTTGACGGATGCCTCGTCACACACTGCATCCCGGTGCCAAAACGCTTTCTACCTGCGCGTAAGCGGCCACGGGCACTGGTATTAAGCGTTTTTGTTCGGTTATTTGTTTATGACTGCATTACTTAAGTTTTCAAGGAATCTTGATCACAAGTTTCCCAATGGACAGTATTTTAGAGCGCAGTGTTTACAATTATACGGCGATTATTGCTTACTTACATTTGGGTTACCGTAGGATTACTTGCCTGAGTTAAAATAACAATTTACGTTTGGCAATCTTGTTTGAAATATTTTATAGTAAAATTCTAGCTGTGTCGCAGGAAATTTTTTAGGTGACTCTCAAAAAGGCGAACATTTGTAGGTAGCTCGCGAGGCGTTTTGAAGTGAATAATACCAGAATTAGTGATAATTGTTAATGAACATATCGTTATCAGTTAGAGTAGGAGGACGAGCCACGTAGTCGTGCCGTACTATTGTCCACGGCGCCAGACATGTTTATCGTAATTTTCGCTGTTAGAAGCGATAGTTATCCTCCATTAAATGCATATTCTTGGTATGCGCGCCATAGATTCACATTGTGAATGGCATTAGGTGGGAGCTTTATTGCGTGGATTTGTAATGCGCAGTTTGCGCACTATCTTATCGTGGCCATCGGATTAGGCGTGCGGGGTTTCGGCATCCGGTGATCACTGGCAGATAGCCCCGCTTTAATAACAACAACTTATGATCTCGAATTAGACGCCTGGGCTGATTTTGATAGGAGTGTTTGCTTTGTGGAATTAAATTTAATAGTACCAGTGTATTTTATTTTATTTGTTAAATTATGCAGCCAGACCACATGGTTGACTCCTTAAAAATGCAACGATAAATTCAGAAGAAATTAAAGACGGATAAATGTATTTTAGTGCGAGACAGCATCTGTAATGAGAAATTTGATCGGCACTGCAATCGTATCAACCCATGGGGAATTTTTTAATTATGTGCCAGTCTGCATAGTTCAATGCGATCGATTTTCTATATACACAAATACAATCATGTGATCCAGGTCAGCATTATAAGAGCTGCAATAATATTAAGGCGGTTTATTGAGTATCGAAGTTTTTGTTCCATTTTCGGCATGGACAAACAATTTATGCTGTAAACTGTTTATGTACCTTACGGCGCATTGTAGTGCAGTGAAATTCGCTTAGCCATGCTCTTGTGACACAATCAATGACGAATTTGAATAATTTATGCGAGTGCCTTGTTGTCAGTTGCTGAACCGGAAATTGTGTCTTCGTAAAAGAGATGACGAGAGTGGTAAAAAAAATATAATAATTTGTTGTTGTTCAACAGAGTAAGAACTTTCTCAAACCGGAAAGACAGCGGTTTAAAGAGGAGGCCGACTTGCTGAAAGGTCTGCAGCATCCCAACATTGTGCGCTTCTTCGACTACTGGGAGGCGCAGAATCCGGCCAAGAGCAATCTGAAGTACTTTGTCCTGGTGACGGAACTCTTGGCATCCGGGACGCTGCGCACGTACCTCAAACGCTTCTCCAAGATCAACATCAAGATCCTCAAGAGCTGGTGTCGACAGATACTGCGCGGCCTGAACTATCTGCACTCACGGGATCCGCCGGTCATCCATCGGGATCTGAAATGTGATAATATCTTCGTCCTGGGCACCACAGGCTCGGTGAAGATTGGAGATCTGGGCCTGGCCACGCTGAAAACCAAAGAAGGCGCCAAAAGTGTTATTGGTAAGGGTATGGTGTTAAGACATTTGGTACAGTTTAGCGCTAGCGTTCCGCGTATAGTGTGTGCGCACGGGTGGTGGAGTTTTGCCTGTTTGTTCCTCCTCGGACATGCGTAAATGAAAATGGGGTTTTGCTGATTTTCTCGAGGAAATCTTTAGCACAATCAGTTGCAAATAACGGGAATTATCTCGGTGTGCCCATATAATTAGGACAGGGAATAAATTCTTGTGCTTAATTAAAATTTTGCTATTTCACAGAATAATACATTTTTCGATTTAAGATAACGGGGGCGGAATCAGAGGATCTGCTTTAATGTTTTGGTGCATTGGATTAGATCTGTTGAATTGCCTTTGCGGTGGTAATGACAGCGGATGTAATTTGACTGGAGTTTGTTTATTTAAGTGGAACGCGCGCGTGCAGACAGTGCTTGATAAGTCGAACACGGACAACGAATATGTCTGCTACCGAGTACCGAATACCTTGTAGGGCAGTTACGCTTACGCTTCTGACTCAAGGCAAATAATTACTCTGACCAGCAGAAAAAAAATGTGACTTTCGATTAATGGCACACGTTAACGGTGTATACACACATATACACGTTGGCGAAACGATTGAGACTGGTGACTTCGGAGAATCAATAAAAGGGCATAAAAATCATAAAAATATTTGGTTCCGGTTAACTAATTAAAAAAACTGCTTAGGCTATCAGACTGAGAATTTTGTAGTTATTTTGGGGTACTAATTGGCGATGCAAAGTGTTTGTTTTTGAAGCGGAACTAATCCACATTCCCGCATTGCCAGGAGATGTAGTCTGTGCACGTGATTTCTGTTTGACGTTATTGTGTATTTTGTCATGATTATACACAGGCACGCCGGAATTCATGGCACCGGAGATGTACGAAGAGCAGTATGATGAGGCGATCGATGTGTATGCTTTTGGAATGTGTATGCTGGAAATGGCTACTTCGGAATATCCATACAATGAGTGTCTGAACGCCGGCCAAATTTATCGACGAGTTACGGCGGTAAGTAAAGTTAGGATGTTATTTCGATTAATGTCAAACTGTAAAAGAGACAGAGCCCGGGAAGAGAGATGTATCATCTAACCGTATTAAATGTCTCTCGACTTGTCTACATCATCAAAATCTGCCTTTCTCTCTCCCGCACACATACAGGGCGTCCGACCGGCAGCCTTCGAGAAGATTGAGGAGCCGGAAATAAAAGAGATCATCGATCGCTGTATCCGCTTCCAGAAGGATGAACGCTATTCCGTCAAGGATCTGCTGGCGTTGGAGTTTTTTCTGGAGGACAACCAGGTGCGGGTGGAGTTTGTCAAGAAGGAAACGGACATCCATTCCACCGACCCGAAGGTGTTGCTGCGCGTCCGGGTGCCGGAAGCCCGCGCGGTGAAATTGAAGTACCGGGAAAATGAAGCCATTCAGTTTGAGTTTGACACGGTGGAGGAGAGCGCCGAGTCGGTGGCCCAGGAGATGGTCAAATCGGGCTATCTCATGGAAGAGGATCAGCGCGCCGTGGCGAAACAGATTCGTGATCGGGTCAGTGAGATTATCAAGGAGCGGGAGCTGTTGAAAACGAAGAAGAAGCCCGATGCGGCACCGCCGCCACCGGTTGCTGCGACGGCCACACCGGCCCCGTCACAGCCGGCTTCGGCGCCGGCAACCGATATCTCCAACAAGGAAATCCCCCGAAAGCCGCCGGTGACGGAGAAACCGGAGCCGGCGACGGAGCCATCGTCGTTGAAAAGTACCGATTCATCCAAAATAACGAAAGACATCTTGAAAGAGCTGGACGAGAAGTTAACCAACATTACCATGCCCACGAAGAAGCCAAAGGGTCTGGATATTCCCGAGACGCCGACGTACAGCGCCTCCTCTACACCCAACCATATCACCACGCCGCCGCACGCCATCCAGCTGCCCAATCAACCGGAGACGTCCAACGGAACCGGGGTGATTGATCGGTTAACGCTGAAATTGGCGGAGTTGTCGGGATCCGGTGAGGAGCACGTTGTGAAGCAAGTGGCATCGACGCCGCTCATGTCGCCCCATGAGGTGAAAGTCATGTCGCCGTTGAGTGAATCCACGGCCAATGGATCCGCTCCGGCGACCATTGTCCCGACGCCCGTTGTCCCCGTGCTGCAACCGGTTATGTATTCGGCGCCGGCGACGGTTACATCGCCGATCGATGTGGCCAATGTCGATGTTATTGACGGAGTAACGGAATCCAGTTCATCGGCAACACTGGGTAAGGGTTTTGTTGTTTGAGTGATAGGGTGAAATGTGATTTGGACAGCGTTTTTTTAATGGTAGAAAAAGCTGCCAGCGACAACGAAGCTCCGTCTTCTAAGGATGTTGGACCGGACGGCATCCCCGAGGCGGAGAAGCCGCCGTCGCAGATTACTGCAGGTATGTAACCACTTACGCCTAGACTAGTGAAATATGCCATATTTGCTAAAGGGGTTAGTGTTTCCGGTAATTTCATCATAAAAAGGTTGATTGTTGAAAACTAGCTTGATTTATTGGTAATTACAAAGGCGCAATGAATTCCAAACGTGAATTCACACCTGACAACACCCGTATCCTAAGAACGTGTACTTTTTAGAGGGTGACGCAGATGTTGCGAAATGTAAGGAAGTCTCGGAATCGTTTTTAAAAATTCGAAGTTTAAAATATTGGCTAACATGTGTTTGAAGTTACTTAAGGATTTTACCTGAAAAAGAATTTTTGCCATACAAAAATCTGAAATTTCAATAGGCATGTTGGACAGTTCGCCGTTGTGATGTTTGCTTATGGTAACTGACGTTGTGGTAATTGTAGAGCTGCCCGCTTCGATTCCCACAACATCTTCGGCGTCATCCCTTCCCGCGGTGGCTCAGTCATATGCCGCATCGGTTAGCAGTACGCGCAAAGGTCGTTTCGGCGTGACAACCATCAAGGACGCCGTGACAACGTCCGTGATGCAGAAAGCCCACTCAGTGGTGTCGGATGATAATCGGAGTTATGTGACGGACATCAGTAATTCATCCGGCATTACCATGTCCTCCAATTCCTCCCAGGGCTCGGCCAATGGGGAACTGGCGCATATGAATGTCGAACGGCAGTCACTGGAGAATTTAAACAGCATCTTCGCCATTGAGCGCCTGTTTCGTGATCATCCACACAATCATAAGACACCCGTTCTGCGCGCAATGTCCGTCGATGATGATGATCCTGTGGCCACGGAGAACTGGAATGATGAACTTAATATCATTTTAAAACGGTAGGTGATTCACATTGGTTTTAATGTGCATTTTTTGGAAAATAATTTAAAGTAATAAACGTTATAATTAACTTTAGCATTTAGTTTGGTTTGCTTAAATTACCAGGATTGTGATTCATTTAATTTTTGTATAGTTTATTCTTTATTTTTTAACGTGTTTTTTTTTGTTGTTTACTAACGCTTTCTAAACATAGCTTCCAGAAACTGCGAAATGTAGTGTTTGGTAATACAATCGTCGAAGGTTGAGGAAATAACTGAAAAGGCGAAAAAATCTTGCGTTATTGCGTCGGTTTGGAGCATGTAAGAGATACGACATTCTGTTGTCAACAGTTTGTAATTATTTCCGTCAGTAATTGGTGGGGGCATTTTTAGTCGATCGCGTGCCACATCCGAGTCATGTTGGCAGGATGAAGAATCGTTCATAATTACATTCGAGTAGATATCAGTTTTTATGACAGAGCACAGCTGTTGATGACGCTTACAAGCTACAAATGAAGGTTTTGTAATCAGTTTTCGTGCGTTGGCAGCGACTGACGTGTTGGTTTATTTTTATGCAAATTATTCTTAATGTCCGTTGATAAATCCGCCTGTTAGCCATTACTGTGATGTGTATGTGAAATGCTGGAGCATCATCCCGAATCAGTGGAGCTTAAAAGGCATCTTGGTCAGAGATATTTGGATGATCATCCATTTGCAAACTTTTCCCTTGAGTGAACGATGAACAAGCACTTCGGAAAAGTAACACTATAAATCTTTGAGCTGATTTTCTCCCGATTCTCCTACATAACCATCTGTGCATACGTTTGTACAGTTCATACATACATAAATTTTTAGGTATGGCGCTTTCGTGGTTCGACCGAATCGTAAAAGCTTAAAAATTACGTGAAATTAAATGTATGTATCCAGTTAGAAAATAATTTAAAGTAAAACTGAGGCGTGATATGTGATTACCAGGAAAATAGTGACACTAAGTACACTCGCACTTATTCAGAAATGTTATAGTGATGATGTTTTCTTATAGGCATGCCAAAGAGCGCGAGGCTTTGTCAGTGCGTCAGCAAGAAGAACTGCGAAATTTCTTCACGATGACGGGTTTCCGGCATCCCATACCGAATCACTTCCGCAACGACTCACGCCGGTCCTCCTTGGTGGATTCCGTCGACACAAACTCTGGGCCGCTGGAGAATGGCCATCACGAGGACTATGAGGAGGAAGCTCAGCGCTCCCTGAGCGCATCCCTGCGCAACTCCAATTTCCGCAGTCCGCGCAATAAACCCGGTCGCCGCAAGGTGTATCGCCGACGGGCGGCTACCAGCAACCCCACCCAGTCGCCCAGCAGGCGGAAATCGCCCAAGATCAGCCCCGATAAAGATCAGGTTATAATATAGTTGCCGGGCTGATTTATTTCGGCATGGAGGTTGTCTTTTTGATTTTTGTGCTTTCAGAGAGAGCGGGAGAGATGGTCGGGTCGGTGTCTCCCGTCTCTCTTTCTTTCTCAATTTTTCTCTTTTTTGCGCTCAGCCCTGCTGTTTCTCTTTGGCTTGGCTCGTTTGTTAGGCGCAAAGCAGAGGAAAAGGCAAACCATTGTCTGTGAAGAGTGTTTCAGATGCGATAGAATTTTTTCGGAGATTTGGGTGTCCTTTTTTTAATAATTTATGCCCTCGTGATGTGTGCTGGCATAACTTATTTTTCGACCAAATACGGCTTTAACGGAATCGGATGGGAGAATGTCTTTTTCATTAATTTATTTTCTTCTTTTGTTTTACAATCTGGAGATTTTTTCTCTCTCTGCTAGGTAGAGAAGAGTGCGTGTGCGTGTGTGGCTTTTTATTGTATTTGATTGACGGGCCTTTTTTTCTTTGATGATCTTGCGAAGATACTTCTGCAATTTTTTGCTGTATTTTACCAATTTTGGCCATTGTAATAAAGTTTGTTGTACAGGATTGAAGAAACATTGGCGGCATGTCCCATGTGTTGTGAGTCAACTTGTGACCTAATAATACTTTCTTGCAACACGAAAACATTTTTGCACATATATTCATGTCATTCAAAGAAACGGCAACGGTTAGACAAATGAACAAAATTTAAAAGTTAAATTAGATTCCTGAAACATGTTGAAAAAGGTCCTGTAATGTCAGCGTTTGCATTTATAAAACGTGAAATTATGAACTGATCATATTGCGATACAATACTTGTAGGACTAAAAAATTTTTGCCCTTAAGTAACTGCACCGTTTGCACAATTTTAATAAGAATCGTCTAGCTTTAAGGAATCCAACTATAGAAATTCAATAGCCAATGTTCTACGATAAGTCCCATGGTAAGGTTGGATTAAGAACTTGATTCGAAGTCTACAACAGATGAAGAACAGATGTTTGTACAGTCCACAACAGATGTTTGTTGGTTCAAATGATTTTTTTACCATTTCTAAGATATACATCTTCGAAATTATGATAAAACACAACCATGACCAACACCATAACAAAAATAAAGTAACATACAAACATCAACCACCCCGGTTTGCAGCATCAACCACGCTAAAATTAAGCACACTTGATTAAATCAAAAAAATAACCTAAACCTCCAAACGGCAAACAGTCGTATGATCCCCTTACAAAAACAGCAGCAAACCGAACGAATATTCTCAAACATCATCTCTCACAAACCAATCAACTGACAATCATGCGCACTAACAGAGACAAAAACAAAACAATTCAAAATAATAATTTTTTCATCTACAAACAGCAGCCGGATCAATATAATATAATTTGTGTGTACAGGGAGAGAAACAGGCATTCCTCTCAGTTCCACTCATCAGCCGGGATGGGGATGGAGGGCCCGGCCATCACTACGGCCGGATCGTGTGCCAGCGGATGGTGATCAGCCAGGCCGCTGCCGCTGACCACGGCGTCTTTGGGTTGATTGAGACTGGGCAGGATCTGCCGGCAGATGGGACAGTTGGGCTTATTCTTGATTAGCCATTTATCGATGCAGTGCTTGTGGAAGCGATGAGTTTTATTGCAAGAAAGCACCCTGTAAAAAAACCATTATAGAACACAAAATACGAAAATACAGCAAGAATGCCAAAAACATACAACAACGACAACAACAAATACTGCTTATATCATTTCCTAATCACCGCTAGTTTTCCAAAAACACTTTTCAGTCTATTAAGTTTTTGACTCTTAAAATATTTAAACATGAGAAACCCGATAGAAAACATAATTTTGAACTATTACTAACTTTACGTATATAAGCTGCGAAAACTCTTTTCCTGCTCTTTTTGCACTTGTTACTTTTAATAGCTAATCACAATCCTATTTTACAGTCACCGTAATGTAAAGGACACTGACTACGTTTTCATAAAAAGCAGTGATAGTGAAACTGATAGTGAAATTCTAGCCAAATCTACGTGCCAAACGATAAATAAAAATAAAAAATAAAAAAAAGTTCACAATCCTTGTAGAAAGTGCTCAGCAAGCAAGCAAAGGTTTCTCGTACCGAACTTCCTGTTTCAGTTCAAACTCTTCAAAACAGATAATGCACTCCTCATTATATGGGAACTGATTATCAAATTCGAAAGACTGTGTATCCATGGCAATCGCCGCAATCACATCTTCTTCCAAGATCTACAAACACAGCGATAAAAACGTTAGACGTCTTAAGCTTCCAAGTTTTATGCCGCTGGTGTACTACATTTCTTTCGTTATCTTCGTCTTGTCGTCTACGAAATGGACGTCGCTGTTGCATAACGCAGCCAAGCGTGCCAATTCGCTACGACAGTCAAAGAGCAACATCTAATCACTACACGTAAATAAACCTTTTAAAGCGCTTATAACGCATACATTCGGTAAATGCGACAAGCTATCTGGGTTCAGAAAACAGACAGATAGATCTGTTACGTCAATATACCAGTTTTGGTTCGCCGTCGGTGTGCATGAAAATCGCCCCCGCATCCATGAACTGTAGGAGACTGGCCGCGATCCGGCCGTAGGGCGGCGGGCCGGCATGGGACTGATTCTGTGGAATGTAGATCAGTCGGCGACGCTGCTCGGCGTTGCTCATCTGCTGTCCGCGCAAGATCTCCTGTGGACTGCGGCCGTGATACTGCTCACCACTCGCTAAAACACCAAATAGCATAAATTATAAAAACTATTTTCCATTAAACGTTAATTTTTTAAATACTGCACACCAGAACATAAACGAAGAGTATTTAAAAATGCACGCTGCATTCATTAAAACCAGGAAAATACTCAATATTAACTGTGATGACATTAATGTCCGCATCGGGTACTAATCGATTAAGCCAATGAACCATTCATTGCAAAACGAAGTCTCGGATATGGTTTAACGGATATGGTTTAACAAGGTTTAACAACGGAGATTAGCATCGCATGAACTAACCGGTAACATGCTCCTGACGCTGACGCAAAGCCGCCGAGCGTTCCTCCATCGAGAGGGCGGCACGGTGTTGCCGCACAGCATGTGCTGCCATCAAAGCTGCTTGAGATCGCTCCACATCACGATTGGAACTGCTGCTGGCTTCGTTATCGGTAATCCATTCCACCGTGGAACGCGGTGGTGCTTCACCGCGCGCTGGGCCCGCCAATGGTCGCGCGTACGGACAGGTACCGGCGCGCACATGGCGACGCTGGGAGACTGACTCAAAAGCCGCGGTGCGACCCGCTGCAACAAACCCAACTCAAAGATACATCTTCCAAAAGGCAAAAATTTAGAACAACATACGGAAACTACATAAACTAACTCGTACCGGATGATGTTTCTGTTTGATTATCATTGGTTTCACCGGTAGCGTAAGGGGGATTCCATGCCTGAGACGTCTGACGCGTGTCCACCGGGCGAAAGACTGGCTGGTAGAATCCGGAGTAAGAAGGCACCGCGGAGGTCTGTGAGGATGAGCCAGTGGCCACGGTGACCGGAGCACGGTTTTCTATTTTCAAAAAAATGCTCAATATCCTCATAGTTCCTGATGTTCCGAATGAAGATTATTACCAGTACGATGAATGGCATAAAAAGGAATGGATCGACCAAGAGCATCTGAAAAACAAGGAAATGACTGGTTTATTCTTTCCCTCAAACCAGAAAGAAACCCTTTGCAAAACCCGGTTACGGCTTCCTAATTTTTTCGACTCTGATTCACTACAGCCAAGACTATCCTTTTTAATACTGGTCAAGTGAATCACAGGACGCAAACCCAACGCGCAGCACACACATTGTGTGAACGCGAAAATCCGACCAATAATTATCTATAGTTTCAATCAGGTTGATACACCAGCCGCTTATCAACAGTCGTGACACATTTTTCAATAAAATTCGGAAATTTCTCGTCTCGGTCCAACCATTAAAATTACGTGTGCTACAATACACGACCAACGAGTACTTGCACGAGCGATTGTGACCGTGCAACTTTTGCAGCATCTAATTCTTGTGATAAATTCACACAAGCGTACAGTACTTTCCCTAAAATGGCTACCTACAATAGAAGTCGTAATAACCTAAACATAAAATAACTATGGAATCTCTGGTAAAATTTCAAGACCACGCGATATTTTCTGCTTTTCCATTTGTTAAACCGAACCAGTAAGTAATCAAATTACTTTCGGAAAAAAAACGTTTCTCCCACAATGGTAAACTCCAAAATGCGCAAAACAATTCAATTGGTTGTACAATATCTAGTAAGTATACCTTTCCCAATTTCCACCGTATTTACAAATACTCTTCACAACAATTCACAACTTTCACAGCGAAAACTGCGAAATACTGGGCGCAGCATAATAGCACCGATTTATTATGGCGTTTAAGGTTGTACTTTAGCACGTCATTATAAAAAACAACATCAGTTACGACAAAATGTATCGCTTACCGTGGTAAATGACCTGTGAGCGATGTTCGCGATATCCATGCGAATGCGACCCAGATCCCGAAACGGAAGACGATCCCGTGCTCCCACCAGCGGCCTCCGATCCCCGACCATTCCCCGCTCTGGCCAATCCCGATGTATTGTGGCCAGGCGCCATATCACGCGGACTAGATGAGGTTTGTCCGCCTGCTGCCAACATCTGTACACGCGGCGCTCGCTGCATACTGCGGAGATATTCCTGCACGGCGAGACGATGAGATCGATGACTGCTGGCCTCCAGTTCGTGGATGCGGCTGTGGAAATAGGGATGTACACTCGGCTGGTGCTGATGCTGCACAGGAGACGGATGAATGTCGCGTGCAGGTTCCCCGGAGACGTCGACGGCTGTGATAAATAACACAATAACCGCTTAGGCTTAACTCCAGCTGAGCAGACTGAAGACAACGGCATTTCGCAATACAGCAGAGGCATGCACGGCGCACATACACGCTGGAACGACGTGACTAATCATCATTAGTGAATCATTTAATGAATTTCACATTTTCCAGCCTAAAAGGCAGCGAGTGCCCAGTGTAGCGCGCCAGGGGAAGGGTAAAGATGGGCACACCCGCTTCGCAGAGAACAAGATTTACCATTGCGTCACCATTAAGGAAAAAAACCTTATTATCACCTCAAATACAAGAAAGTCGGATCATAACTGCTCCCTCTCTATTCAACCCACGAGATGAATTCTTCTAATTTTCCAAGCACCTTTCCGGTAAATGAACGAGTAGCAAAATGATTGCCAGAAAATTAAACTGCATTGCACGTGCTGCGCTACAGGGAACAGCGAAAACGGTTTGACAGAAACCAGAATAAAATTTTGCAGACGGAATTTTCGCAAAACCCTAATCTGATCCTAATACTGGACTTTGAAACCAACTGTTTTACTACTACGCTGTCTACGTTCATTCACCGTTGTTTCAGCTTTCTCACTAAAAAATCCGGTATTACAGCACACGACGCACCAAAGCAAAAAAAATAACAAAATAATGAACTCACGCTGCATTAAAAATAACACATTACAGCTTTCCAGAAATTAACAGATTACAGATCTATTGTTCAAGCCAAAGGGTGACAGGATCAACAAAAAACAAAGAAAAACTCATTACAGCAGTTAAATCTCAAAGGATCCCATCAGGGAGTGAGTCATCTCAACGAAGCTTTCTCCTTGTTACGAGCAATTCTGATTCAGTAAAAACCATACTGGCATACAATTCCACAAAATTCGCGAAAAATCAGTTATTACACTACCAAGGCTTATGCGGTTATAAGTTGTCTGGCGTGCAGCTAAAGTACGAGCTTTTTCACAGGTAATAAATAAGCTGCGTGAGTGCGATGCAAAATTTTACCTGATGAAACAGACGGCGACATCTGTATAACACTGGCGCGCTGGCGGCTCGTGGGTCCAGTGAAGGGATTGACATTGGGCGGTCCCACCGCCATCTCGCCGGGGATCATCACGGGGGAACCGGGTGGCGAGCGGGCGTCCATGGGGCGTCCGGTGGTCGACGGCACCACGTACTGCAGCAGTGACTGCAACTGCAGACGCTGCTCACGCCGTGCTCCGTCCGTGGACGACGGCGCACGCAGTACAGGCATTACCCGTGGCATGTTGACAGGTTGTGACGGGGCAGTCGGCGTGATGACGACAGACGCGCTCGTGCTTGCTTGATTCATTCCGGCCGTTCTGATAGCACCGGCACTGCTACTGGCACCGGTGTATCCACCCGTGTTTGCGGCTAAAAAGGAAGGACGTGAAAATCCGAAACGTTAAACACCGATTCACACTGCAATGCGAAATACTTTGAGCTCTGCTGACGCACTGGGACATTCAGGTACATCATCATAATCATAGAATGCGCGGAAATCATGGTGGTGCATACGCAGATAATTCAAGCATGCAGTGAAGGTACCTATTTTGTTTAACATAGAAAATTGCATACCTATGTGCAAAGACCGTGCGTACCGAAACTAAAGTACGATTATCATATCAATAACCTTGCATCAGAATCTAAAATATTAATCATCCATCAAAACGAGCAAACCAGAACGTGGAAGCTGGATGATTCACATTAGCATCGGATATTATCCGTATGATGGTACAACTTCAGATAAGTACTCATAAATTTTTCTACGAGCACAATATATGTAAGATGTATTGTAAAATGTAAGCCATTTAAATCTGAATTTGTTGTCTGGGAGAAAAAATTTCATTTTCCACTGCTCCAGGGAAATATTATGCGCAAAGATGATTTTTAGACGCGGAGAAAGAACAAGAAAATCCTTAAAAACAATTTTGTATTTCCTAAAATCGTAGCCAGTTAAAATAATTTGGTACTCAAAAGTTTGGCCAAAAGTTTTGACCGACAACAATTCAGATGTTTTGGCCCAAAACATCTGAACTGTTGCCGGTTTCATCATCGATCACAATTCAAACACTATAAACTTACTGTACTTTACCGATAGCTAGCAGGCGATAGTTATCGAGCAATCCACAAAAATCAAGATTTTCACTCACTAATTCTTATCGCACAATCAACATTCGACGAACTCACGTTTACACCAGCATCGAAACATGTACTTCTACACAATGTTCAGTGGTCACGTAACTAACAAAAGTAAAATTACAAAATCTTAACCTAATAATTTTAAATTATGAAATAATGTAAGACCGAGAGCGCCTTGCAAATTATTTCAGGTTAGAACCGTACTCGTACTTGTACTGCGACAAATTAAATAGTGCGACAATGGGCATCTCTCCGTACGCCTGCGATAGTCTGTGCGGATGCCGTACAGGATAATTACTACTTCCCACGACTTTCATCGCAATAAAACTACACAAACATGAAAAGGTAACTTACGGGATGTATTTCGCAATATGGCGTGAGCAACAGCATCTGGAGGTAGACTATATGCAGGATCGGAAAGCCCAAAAGCAGAAGAACTGGAGAAACCGAAAGGAAAGACAAAATCACTGGTAAGAGGCTGCTGCGACGAGGCAATGCGCTCCATCACGGCAGCGGAGACATTGCGATCCATCTGCGCATACGGCCACGAGACAGGCAACGGCGGATGCAGCGTCTCCGTGGACATCAACAGGGATTCGGGAAGAACCGGAGATGTGGTCGGCGATGGGAGAACATCGAACAGGGGATGGAACAGGCCAGCGGAGGAGGGGAGCGAGGGCGCACCACCACCACCATCGTCGCTGCCTGGCAGAACGGCAGACTGATCCATCGTCTGCGTGGATCAGGGAGCTCTCACGCTGTTCGCTGGTAGATCGATGTTACTCAGACAGGGGATGATAATGTAGTAAAAATTTAAAAAAAAACAAAACGGCGAGCCCAAAGGTGAAAAGGTCTTGGGAAGAATCACAGGCTGGCTGAGCTAGTAATTTTCGTTCCTATGCTGGAATGCATTTTGACTTGTAAGCGCTGTGACTCCTGTGAGCAGCTGCTGTCAGCGTTCAAGAAATCAAAACAGCCTCGACTGCAGTGGAATGCACACTGGCATTAAAGTCGGTTGTAGCAGAGGGGTATGTGTGAAATTGAAGTAACGGCATGTATAGCTTCTGCACTAAGATTGCAGTACGTGATCACGAGTGTACCAAAAATGTTGTAACGCATCCTGCGCTACGAGTAGTGAGCACTTTACTACATATACGAGTGGGAGGGAACTGGAGTGTGGAAGGATGAAACCGATGAATCCGTCGCGCTAGTTGCCAATGTTCCCAGTTATTAGCGCCGTTGTCCAGACTCCGGTTTCCAGAAATTACGTAGGTACTTTCCTAAAGTTATGGCTAATTATTCGTGATGTTATGGCTGTTACTCATATTTATATTTAATTCAACAGGAAGTCCGCAACGACATCCATAAGTTGTATCTACAGATATAACAGGTCATTACAGAGTGGCCCGTGTCCGTAATTTCTATGCTCTGTCGTTCTAGCATTTTGTTTATTTTTAAACAGGAAATATCAAAGAAATTGTAAAATGTTTTGATTTCGATCGGCATACCCCATACCAGAAAGCAATCTAACTGTAAGCAGCAATTAGTACTAATTACCGGTAATACGAGTACTGCATCTTACTGATTACTGCACAATTGTACCAGTTATAACACATATTACTGTAAGTTTATATTTTATTTTTGCAAAGCTAACAATAAGCATTCCCATCAGTCCAGCTTCTGCTTTGTAAATAATCTGAAACACAAGCCCGCAAGAGATAGAGAGAAAAATGGTTTTCCATACAACAAAACAAATAACAGCGCACACAACGCAGAAACGGTACATACTTCAAAAACAGGAAATCCCATGATAACATTAACAGGTATGTTCGGCATGCATGTACGGCAACATTGAAGAACCAACCATAACTCATAGACACCGACACAAAGTCTGAATATAAATACGTAACGGCAACAGCAGCAATAATTACTAGCAATATTTCAATAACGTGCAGCACGATATCCTGTAGTGCTGTTGTTGGATGTACTTCCGTAGCGGTCATAGAACTGGTTGCTGGCCTGGCCACCATTTGTCACACCCACGCCCTGGTACGAGGGATAGACATGGCTCGTTGCCGCCACGGCCGGAATGCTGGAAGAGGACCATGTGCTACTGCCGACCGGCACTGTACTGGAAAACGACTGGTTCCAGTGGCCGTCTCCTATAAGGAAGTCAAGCCAATTAGTGCACAATCTATAAACTGATCATTAGCATCTTTCGTATTTAAAATGTTGTCTTTCTATGTTTTAGAGAACAACCACCCGATTAACAAAGGCAAGCGCGGCCAGACTGCTTGATAGTTAACAATTTAGAAATTTGTAAAAGTTAAAGATAACATTAACCAGTTATGGATACATTTTAGTGCAAGCGATAAGTAATCATACAAAATGCAGCATTATAAACAATTTTAGTACCATTCAATTTAACTCATAAGCAGTTACGAAGCATTTAATAACACAACAATACATAATGAAGCACACCATAGCGCAATGAGTCCCAAAGCGCTATTATACAACGATTAATTAACGAGTCGATCGTTTTACTTTGAAATGCTTTAACTTACTGTTAGTTTGTCAGCTAACAATAAGTATTACTGTTACTAATTACCTCTGCCATCTTGCTGGCGCCGTCCGAAATCCACAGCAGGTCGCGTAGCTAAGATTACAAATTTCGTTCACATACGCACGGAATACACAACGCACCAATCGTTATCACGAAGCTATTACCGGTGGAGCGGAATTCGTTGGTAAAGCTGCGATCCGTCTCACGGCCCCGACTGCGATCGACATCCGGAGAGCGGCGAGCATGTTCAAACGTCCTACTCCCCACCGTGGTACTGCTTGGATAATTACTGAACTCATTATCGCGTCCAGTTTTGCGTGCTGGCGAAGCGTTGCGTCGATGCGGTGAGCCCGCGCGCACATTTTCCCTACACGCAAGCATCCATTCAAATACAGCCCCTCACAAAACTGCGGAATCGTTAGTCGTACCTGCGCTGTGGGCTTCGACGATCGAATCCCGAGCGAGTGTCCGTGCGAGTCACAGCCGAACGCTTGACGTTACTACTGCAAAAAACATCATTGAAAAAAGGATTTTGGTTTTAATATTCCAGATTTATGAAATTTACCGATCGTCACGATAACTTGGTGAAGCCGAACGTCGCTTTTTAACCTCCCTCACATCGCGACTATCCCGTACAGGCCGCTTCTCGCTGACCTTTCGCAAACGTTCTCGTTCGCGTTCACGCTCTCTTTCCCGTTCCCGCTCACGTTCGCGTTCCTTTTCAAGGCTAAAATAATGCAGGCCGGGTAAATTTAATTATGATCCAATACCGTCATCAGCGATCCAACAAATCCTTTATACCGTTGGCGCCGTTCCTCTTCTTCTCGACGCTTTCGCTCTCGAAACAACATCTCCTGTTCCCGATGTTTCTGTCGTTCCAGCATCAACCGCTCCGCTTCCAGTCTTTCGCGCTCCAACCTGTAAAAATGACCGTAGTTACACCCGTAAACGGCAACATCGGAAACGCAAGGTTATACTTCAATCGTTCTCGTTCCTTCTCCAATCGCAATGCTTCCACCTCCGCCTTTTTTCTCATGAGGTCCTCTTCCCGACGCATACGATCTTGCTGGGTCCGTTTCCATTCCATGATGCGACGACGCTCTTCGAAGTCACGGCGTTGACGCTCTCGCTCTTGCTCAGACTAAGAATACAAAATTGCATTACTGTACTAAAGAGGACAAAAATACGTCGGGACACAATTATTAAAGAAATGCCAAAGCAACCTAACGAATATGCAGACATTTTACCAGACGGGGGCGATTATCTGGCGATGGGGCCTTGATAGGCCGACGCGAGCCGTCGGCATTGGTTGACGAATCTTTCCTATTAGGCGAACGGCCTGGACCACGTATTGGACTGCGGGTTCGGCTAGATACTGTTTTGCTGGTTTTACTATCCGATTTCTCCGAGCCTTTACCCGCGCCGGATCGGCTTTGTTTGCCATCAGTTCCTTAAAACCAAACTCCATCAGAAAATCAAACTTATTACGCAAAATGATAAACTAATGAAATCTAGTATACAAAATCTCAAACTGACAAAACACTTACTTGTAGTACGGACGACACGCTTAGCGTCACCTGACTTTGCGTCCTTTCTGGCGTCGCCCCCTTTCACTGCTTCCGGCTTGGTGGGACTGACAGGCATTTTGCGCTTTGGAGCCTAGCAACGATAACATTCTCCGACACTACTTTATGGACAAAATACTTAATATATTAGCCGTACGAGAGCAACGGTCACGATGTTGCCGTCCACTTCCGCACTGTTGAATTTCTCCACACAGGCGTTGCATTCATCAACAGAGCGGAAACGCACCAGTGCGTATCGTTCATCCTTCTTTCGAAGATATATCGTGCAACTCAAAACCTAGAAATTAATGGCAAGAAAATATAAAATTAGTTTTCATGCACTGCGTACGTATTACCGTATTAAACTGGCCAGTAGACACTAGACACTTATTATTAATTACTCGTACATTGTACAACCTGGGCAAAACAGCATTTTACCGCGAAACCGCCCTCGAACAGCGATATGGAACTTTTTATTACGTTCTAATAATTTCAAAGCCATGTGACATGTAACAAATCACATAAGTATCTTACAATATTATAGAGCTTTTTTAAACACAATTTTATTCGCCAAAGTACAAGTACTGTATGAGTAACGCTGTGATAAATAATTTACTTACCGGTGCAACTTCTGCTAATTTTTCCTTCAGCATATTAGCTGTTGTTTTGTCCGACAAGTTTCGAATGCTTATGAAATATCCATCAACTTCACCTCCTGCAAGGTGATTCAAATCACATTCCACGCTTAAAGCACTCATTACAAGTTTACAACCGACAAGAAACTTACCAGATTTTTCAGCTGTGCCAGCGGCAGCCGCCTGCTCTCCATTCCTGTAAGCACATTGATACCGGGTTTAAACTAACCTGATCGCCCAACCACACAAAAATTACTGTACTCGCAGAAACTGGAAAAAGGGTTACAAGGATTAGTAATTACAGATAACAACTACACAAGCGCATAAAAAGGAAACACGTCCATTCGGTATCCAGCTGCGGCCTTCTGACATCGTTTTTCTGCATGTACGTGAGTGTAACACAGCATCAAGAAGCACTTGCCACTGGGAGTCAGTTTTGTTTTGTTTTCCATTGACAAACCTTTCGGCTTTGACGTCTGTTGTCTTGTCCTCGGGCTTGGCAGGCTTGTGCTTGTCTGGGCTATCCTGCTCATCCGCTGCGCTTTTAACCTTATCTTCATCACTTTTAGATTCGCGCTGTCTTTTCTTGTCGCTAACTAACAATAAGCTGTCTCCCGTGGCTTCAGTGCGCTTCGAACGGCTCGTAACTTCAGCTTTGGCATCCTTCTTCTCGGACTGACTGGCTGTCCTGGATGAAGAAGAGGACGACAATCTGCCTTTATCTTTATCACTGTTCTTCGCTTTATCGGAATTTTCCGTGGACGTCTTCGATTGTGTCTTGATCGAACTAGCCGCTGGTTTTTTGTCAGTGGATTTTGTGGTAGCTTTGGACGGTCCCTTTTCCGAAGGCTTTTTAGGCGACGCAGAACGTGGTTCCGGACGAGTGAATTCTGTGCAGAATAGTAGAATGGATTACGGCATAATGTAATGCCCAGTCTCTTAGATGCTAGAAATAAATTTCAAAATTTTTGTTTATCCAGATATGCATATTCAGAAATTAACCATCGGCCTGTCACTCGAGCAGTATAATGGATGGCTCCACTAATTCCATTGGTATGGATAACTCCACTAATTCCATCGTAGATCCAATGTGTACCGGAATCCCTTAATTCCCCGCGTTTACAACACAGAAACCAAAAAAGTGCAAGAAGAACAAAAGATTCTAACTAGATTATAAGAACGTCTAAAAAGAGAATCAAATTAAAATCAAAGCTGTGCTGAAAGGCTGCGACTGTGAGCAAGAAGAGCGTTCCGTAAACACATGGGAAGAATCCGGAGAGATTGTTCTGGAAGTCGGTATCAACGGGACTGTTCCATAAGGCTGTCAAGGAACGAATTCATGGAACTCCGGACGATTAACGATTATTATCCACTTGCCATATCTTCCTCAAGCGTAAGGGAAACCACAGTACCCTTTCTACGACATGAGTTCCACATTCCACTTCGTTTTTCATATTAACCGAAAACTGGACACAACAACTTACGTATCGACTGCTGCAGTGAGGCTATCCGGAAACCACAACAGATTTTCCAGGGAAATGTCACTCACTGGACGGTGCCCATACTCTCACAACAACATTAAGGCTCGCAAACCTAAAGGTTAACCGCTAACGATGCAGGAACGCAATAGCCGAATAGGACAATCCGTCAAGCTAATGATTCTTAACCGATAGCCTCCTTGACACGCCACTACGCTTATCGTTAATCCAGTTGTGAAGGCTTGCAGGTTTGCAATGTTTTTTCCAGTGTTTACTGCATTATTCGCTACTCATCGGACCATCCCTCAGTCTTGCGTGATGTGAATGAACGAAACGAACTAACAACGCTAATCGACCTGGCCCCTGTATTTCGGTTCACCTTCTCTAGCTGACGTCGTCAAATGCATTTACACATAATGCGAATATGCATGCATTCCCGTTCAAGCTTTCAATTTTCCACACTCACCTGTATCACCGCGACTGGCTTCGCCTTCCATTTCACCGACGTCATCAAAACCCTGCTCAGCCATTATCTCCAGATAGGGTTCATTATCGGTCTCGCGCACTCCAGCAGCGGCATTGGTTTTATCCAGCATATCATTCTTGGTGGAACCCTATGCGGCATCAATAATCACTTACATCAGCGAAATGAAATTATGGGAAATTTTCTTCTGATAATTCCAAGAGAGAGAGAGAAAAGAAACCGCCGCTGTTTCACATCGGTCAATATTGGTTGAGCCAAAAATTCAGCGCGGTAACTACTTGAGATAAACCGCAAAAGTGTAGCACTTGAAGGAGTATTTTTGATACTTTTACGAGCAGAGTACGGTCAATGAATTTACGGTGAATATCGCCCAATCAAAACCAGCACTGCATGGCAGGTGGTTCGAAAGAGTACAAACGCTAATCAATGTTCAGTTAAGTATTTAATAATATATTGCTGTCCTGCATTTAGCAATAAAAATTAATAACAATTAGGCACAAACCAATCAAAAGAAACTCACAGCAGTCAACGACACTGACTCCTATCAACAGCAAGTAATTTTAGAATCTGATGGAAATTGTAAAATGTTTAGACTATCTCTGCTTGTCATAGAGATTTTGTATTAACATCAGCATAAACAGGATCTCATGTTTTCCATACGCCCCAATACATATTTTCAACATTTTGGAGCAAATAACAGCGCTTCTTACAGCCAGGACTAACGCATCACATGTAACTGGAGCAATCGCCATATTATAAACATTCAAATTCTCGAGAGGATCAACCGTGGCAGAAGTTTCATTCACGAATCACGACTAAACATAACACACCCGACTTGTACGTTGTATTTACGAGTATGTACTGTTGTAACCCAACTCAAACAGCTCCAAGTTTCTAACATCCTTTTGACAAGCTTAAGTGCTGAAAAACCTTACATCTTAAACAGCTGTACACCTGTAGACACGTTGGCGGAGATACGATCAAAAGGCCCGCAACTAAAAATAACTGAATCGCATAAAATAAAATTTAAGCAGAGCCTTGCCGAATTTAACAGCCAAATAGATATCAGCCGTATCGTCCCCAACTCAAATCGTATGCTTCTAAACCAATTACAGCAGGTTTAAATGACTTCTTAATTAAAGTATTCGATTAGTATTACTTAGAGAAAAAAACAGTGATGCACCTAGATAACCATTTTTGCCAGCGAACATTTCTAACGAATCCAAAAGAACTGTGAGTACTTCGGCACTACTGCATTAATTTTACGATGACAAAAAGCTAGATATCACAAACTACGTAACAGTTCTGCAAAGGTTACTGTTCCGCTTATCATAATTATCATAATCTCACGAACCTTTGAAAAAGCTACGAATGGTGCATAACATGTAATTTTTGTTACCGACCAATCAATGCTCAAGGCGATCCGCCATATTTAGGATCAATACTTATGCCCTTAGAAAATCATGTTCATACTTCAAAACAGTATGTCTGCACCCTGATTTGTGTACCTCAAAGTTCGTCGCTTCCATAAGATTCTAGCTGATGTCAACTGAATTATGGATACTTAACGTTACAATCCAAAATGATTCAAATCGCTCTCAATAAGCGACGGAGAACTAAAAACCACTCCAAAAGCCATGAAAAATGGATCAATTTGAAAGTCTGATTCAACCGATAATTTCAAGAATTCGAAGGAGTCCTCAATCTACATCATTTCTTGTAGCAGCTAGCTAAGACACCCCACCAATTAGAAATATGTAACTACGAAATTTCAATACAACCCACGGACCCTCAACATAGGGACACCAGGCTTACCTCGTTAACGTTCTCCACATCCTCCTGATCGTTGATTTCCAGGGGTGATTCGTCGCCCCCTTCTATGTCACTGATGGCATCCGTGTTGTTCTCGAAATCATTCTGCCCCTGCAGCACGGGTTCCGCATTGTCCCGTTCGCCTTCCATCCCGGGTCCCTCGCCTCCCTCGTCGTGCTGATCAATCTGGTCAAAAGATATCTGGCTGGCGTCCTCTCCTTCCATCGCATCAGCCGTATCTACCGCCACATCCTCCCCTTCAAAACTGTCCTCGGTTCCGGGATCGGCCATTGTTGACAAACCAACAAGATGCCGGAGTATTGCACTTCTTGACAAATAAATCGAAATAAGACAAGACTGACAACGGAGAACTCAACTCTTTCTGGTGCTCTACTTCGCGATTAATTCACCCGTGCGCAACCAGACCAAGCTAACGTACTAATATTAAAACTGCTTCCACTAATTAAATTCGGGATTCCACCTATGAAAGTACAAGTATCAAAGTACTAACCATAAGGTAATTAATTTTCTTAATCTTAGCCATTCTTAGGTACTTGCAGTTCTTAGGCCTCGTCCCGAATTCAAAGCGAATCTCGTTATGGTACGGTTGCTCAACCACACGAGGTGGCTGTTTGCAGTGGCCACGCCTACAGATACGGTACGCGAAGCCACCTCGCGAGGTGGAGTTGCTGTATCGCAACGAGATTCGCTTTGAATTCGGGACAAGGCCTTAGGTACTTAGGTTTTTCTTAAGATAATTTTCTTACTTGTTAGTAGTTGCAGAGTTGGCTGACGCCAAAAAACGCGTCACGTACAGAACCCTCTTTCCTATCGGATCTAACAGTAAGTACTAGTACTACTGTATTAATTACAGTGTAATAACAGTCCGCCTGGTATGCGGTAGAGGGGCGGTGCCGGTGCAAACACGCCCATTGGCTATGTGAGAGGCCAAAGCACAGAGAATTAAGCATAGCGCTAACAGGGCAAAACTACAGATGCGCAGTGTAACACAATCTATAATTACCGAATTTCATGGTGCAAAGCGCTGGCGGCAATAAGTCACTGCAGTAACAGATTTCCACGTGACAGCTAACATTTCCTTGTAGAGCACATTTTTCTGTACATTTTGGTTATGGTCTTGGTTTAGTTAACAGATCATTACCTGCATGAGCAGTATTTAAAGTCGCTGTTTCGAACATGTGCTTAGCGACAGAAACAGCCACTTCCGCAAACTCGTAGGTTTTCGCGAACTGCCGTCCGTACGCGGCTGCCCTGTCGCATAACGTCAGATCGCATGTCGCATAACGGAATTTGGAAGATCAGCTAACTTCTGCGACGAAGTTTCACGAGCAGGTGTTCCAGAATTTGTGTAAATCGTGTTTTGCAATTTGCCTGATTTCTGCCAAACTACTGGCAGTGACGTGATTCCTGGAAGGTTTTTTCTTTCATCGTCTCTTCGATTGTGGTCAATTGGGTGTTAGTCCCGTCAGTGTGTGTGGAGGACTCGGCGCCGTCGACGTCAGACTCTGGTCTACCCTCTCTTTCTCTCTGTCTGCGTCTTTCTCCCCCTTGCCCTCAGCGGATCGATCCGATCTATAGAATGGAACAGCAGACCAATTCCAACACCAATCAGCCTACCTTGTGTCGTGCGGGATGCGGTTTCTGTGGCAGTTCCTCCTTGGACGGCATGTGCGCCAAATGCAACGAGAACACACGTAACGGCAACATGCAGCCGTCGCCCAGCAGCAGCTCCCTGGTGGTGGATATCAGCAGTTCCTCCCCGGTCTCCATGGCCTCATCAGGGACAACGTCCACGAACGGCTCGCTCCTTGATCTCTCCACATCGCCCATTGGTATCGCGGGGGGCGGTGGTGTGGCCAGCCCGTTCTCATCCAGTGTGTCAACCCATCTCACTGCTCATTTGGTAAGGTGTTGTCTCTATGCTGTCTTTTGCGGCTCTAGTGTTTACAGTGGAGAATAATAACGGTAGATTTGATTTGGTAATGGGATCGTGGGTGGGAATGCGTGCTTCCTTTTGAAGGGCGCTGTGACGATTTTCATAAGCGAGCGAAACTGTGTAATTGGGGTGTAGTAATTAATGTAACTATTGTTTGGTGTATACCGTGTATTGTTGCAGCCTCATCCTTCCAGTAGTAGTAATCCACCCCATGTTCCCACTGCGTCCGGATCAGCCGCTTCCCTTTCGTCTGATGGTAGTCTTCAAACTTCGATCTCGTCCGGCACGCTTCCAGGTTGCTCCACGCATTCACCGTCAACCGTGAGGGAATCCGACAAAGAAAACCGTTGTGCCCAATGTAATAAGAATGTTGAATTAGCAGGTACGTCACTGATGCAGTTCGGGATAGCGGTGAACGTTTTCGGCAATAGCTGTGTACTGTTCAACTAACCATAAGGCTTGCAGAATAACAGCCGTTTTTAATAACAAGAGTATTTGTTTCAGGTTATAAATGCTTATGTGACACCCTGTACTGTTTTCTGCATTTGCGCTCGGATCTGCATAACTGCCGCTTCAAATACAACCCGACGGGTGCGGATGAGATCAGAAAGAATAATCCAGCGGTTCGTAAGAAACGGGAAACCAACGCTATTATCGTATGTCGTGTTGCTGAATGGTTTTACGATTTTAGGATTTGTTGAGGATGAGCTTGAACCGACGCGATTTGATGATGTATATTTATCTGGACGATTTTCCGGAGATTGTTTCGAATTGTTTTGTAAAAACTGATGTCCAGAAGTACGAGGAGGAAGGAAGTCAGCCCATTTACCAGGTAAAATGGTGTCAAGAAGTAACTTTGAATTTTAAAAAAATTTACTTGCAACATTTTACATTAAGTGAGGCGGTTCGCATACTTCTTGTTTTTGAATCTTTAGGTTTCTCAGATTCAAGCTGTGGATCGATGTGACGCTCCGTACTTTGTGTCGGACATTCTGGCCGTTGGGAGAATGCCTAAAACGCTCCCGACAAAGTGGATTTTCACAGTGAGGTAATAGCGGGGCCGTTGCTAAAAAAGCTTTAACGAATGTCTACTCACAATCCTATCGATCTGCTGAATTTATGTCAGAAACAGTAATGCACGAGTGCGGTGGCTTGAATATCGATTAACTGTGATTCTTCAGCACAAAGAGTTAGTGAATGACGCGGACAACGTTTTCTGGTTTTCAGATCTGCCGATGGAATGAGACGTGCTTGCTTAACCGAAATCTCCAAAAATCGCCCGACATTAATCGAAGTGGACGATTTTTTAGAGAACGTTTGCGGAAGAAATTTCGCCGTACCGCAGAACGTGGTGGACGCAGTTCTCGGTCGCCTGGGAACTTATTACTGTCAAATCCATTTGTCGGAAGAAGCCTTCGGCTTGGGCAAGCAGATGTTAGCCAATAGAAAAAAATGTCATATTGATGCTCCTCAGTTGACTGTAAGTAAGTTGAAGGAAGCACTGCCCGGACTAAAAAAAGCGGCAGTTCAACGGCGAAACTTTCGGGAAGCGGCTGTTATCCAAGAAGGAATAGATGATCTGAACTGTTACGTTCCGCAGAATGATCCGTATGATTTGAGCCAATTCGAGGAAGAGTTTGTTCAGGTATATCAAAAAATTATGGGTAATATGTAACGTAATAGGTCGGACCAGCTACTGGTTGCCGGAAAAAAATATTGATTATTCAAATCATAATTTCATTTTTTCAAATCAGGGTATATCAAGTGAACAGTCAACAGTAATTGACCGATCCAGGAAGAGGCCGTTCGATGACGAAGTGGATGATGCGGGTGGTTTGCAAGATCATCGGCCAAATTGATGGATTTACACTTAAAAGTAAGGCGGGTTTCTGTTTAATACAGCAATACGGTCCTGTACATCAATACAATGTAAGGTGATAACTTATCAATATTGCAAAAAAGTTGCGAATTTTGTGAGTTATAACTGATTGTGACTTTTTAAACAAATTAGAAGCTTCATACATTCACGGTAGGTCAACAACACTTTATAACCTGAACTTACTAATGTGTGTACTATAAAGTCGTTGCTTTCGGTTCTCCTGGTTATGTAATATCGCTTTTGTAAATCATTGCGCTATGGTATGCACCATTGTTCGTTATCATAATAGTATCAGTTGCTTCCCAGTGAAGCCTTTTATCGTAAGCATTGCTTGACAAATTCTTAACGGTTCAACATGGCTAAATTTAATTATATCTGTATCTAATTTTAAGTACTTTAGTCATGGCTGTTTATTGTGAATCTGCTTCACTTCGTTTCAGGAGACGGAGACCAGTCGTTTTCCAGTACAATGCCAACTGACAATAGCATGTTCCTCTTCCAGCATTCCAAATGGTGTCCAAGCCAGCAACCAGTTCTATGACCGCTACGGAAGTACATCCAACAACAGCTCTACAGGATATGGTGCTGCACGTTATTGAAATATTGCTACGGTAGTAATTATTGCTACTGTTGCCATTACGTATTTATATTCAGACTTTGTGTCGATGTCTATGAGTTATGGTTGAGTCTTCAACCTTGCCGTACGTGCATGCCGAACATACCTGTTGATGTTATTATGGGATTTCCTGTTTTTGATGTATGTGCCGTTTCTGCGTTGTGTGCGCTGTTATTTGTTTGTTGTATGGAAAACCATTTTTCTCCATCTCTCTCAAGCTTGTATTTCGGATTATTTATAAAGCAAGATGTGGACTGATCAGGATACTTATTGTTAGCTTTCAAAAATAGAAATATAATTTTATCGTCCAATTAAACGCCCTTGGCTTTTACTGTTTGATAGAGTACTTACAACTCACAGGAAGATGAACTGGACTGCATAAACCTTACCCCGTCATAAAATTTAATTTAATCGTTGCTATGTCGCATATCCTTACAAGTTAGCAGAAACAAAACCACCAGCAACCCCAAAAAGGACCAACGTGGCAGAAAGTAGAAATGTCAGTCGAGTTAACACTTAACATCATGTGGATGAACGTCGTCCTTTGCTGTCCGGCGTTCCAGAGAATCCTGCAGAGTAATACGCTGGATGGATTTCTGGCGTGCACCACCGGCTTTGCTTCTTTTATCCAGCGACTCCTCCATTCGCACCATCACCAACTCCAATACATCCACGCATGCGGTATCACTCTGCCCAGTAGAGGCACTGGTTTCAAAGCACGGCATGCTGTAATGGTACGAACTGTTAGGAAGTCATAATAAATTTCTACATACAGTAATTTTGAAGTTCTGGTTTTGTTGATAACCAAATAAATGTCAGTCTTATTCATCCTCTGAAGTCTCCCATGTACCAAATAGGGTACCTAAGATTTTCGGTGACAAAACGTTAACGTTGTTACATCAAAAACATATGCTGAGTTTCCCGTAGAACTTTATAAGAGTATTTCGTTGATCTTTAACTTTCTAATACAGCATAAGCGAAACCGGTAATTAACAAATGCATACAGCAAGTGCTGTGCTGAAAAATCGCACATCAGTATGCAAAAAAATTTAAGTGAAAAGGTGCAGCAAAGGGCACATTTGTTGGAAGAAAATTAACAAATTTTCCAGTCGGTATCCATGCGTCTCATAATTGCCAGTTTTCTCATGCAAAATCCATTCCTAGCAGATCATTATCGCGTACTGGAAGTAATGACAAGGGCCGCTTTATCTATACAACGTTCGGAACGCATCGAGTGTAATAAGTAGCTCGCGATTGTTTTAACAAGAGGCTGCGCCGGACCGGATGATTGACCGGCGCACTCGCTGTCTCCCTCTTCACAGCACCGCGCTCTTTCCCTAATTATTAATCAGGCTTACCCGTGCTGCTTGGCAAACTCCCCTGCACGCGCTTCACTCACTTTCCGACGGGAGTCCAGATCGGCCTGGTTGCCGCATAACACAATATCCGGTGTTTCAGTGGCCGCATGGGTGCGCAGCTGTTCCAGCCAGCTGCGAACGTGTAAGAAGGAATCCTCGCTGGTCACATCGAACATCAAAAGGAAGCCCATTGCATCACGAAAAAACGCCGTGGTCAGGCTACGGAATCTATCAAATGTGTCAAATGAAAAAATTAAAAAAGAAATAAGCGCATAATCCTTAGAAGCTTATTAAAGATTCTAATAATTCAAAAATAGATACAGAAGATGGCATGCAACGGAAGAAAATCTAAGAGGCATCCTGCGCACTTCCTAATCCGCTATAGTACTATTAAATCGTATATGCCGAACAGGGTATGACGCAAATGCCAAACTGATTTGACACATATTGCAAATTAATTCAGGGATTTGATCAACCGTGGAACGCCGCTGCGTTACCAACTTCCGGTTGACGATGCAGTGCACAGAAAAAATCAAAAATTAATTCACAAAAGCAAATGGATATTTCCAGAAATCTACAGTAAAAGGGACAAAACTTCGCAGGTGTTGTTTCGAAGGCTTTGATTACATTAAAAAATCGACTTTCACATTCAAATTTAAACTCAGTCAAAATAACACCCAGGAAACTTTTCTAAAGCTTCGACGACATAATTGGTTAAAGTCAGTTTGTCCGTCGTTATTAGGTTCAGACTGATAAAAATTAATTGCAACACACTTTTCGAAAAGAAAAACATAATTACGTACTTCCTTCAAATTAAATTTCTCTATGAAACTGACATCATCAAATCTGATGTAAAATCGTGGTTAATACGGAAAAAGCTCTGCAGTTATTGGATTGTGACTGCCACTACTGATGCTTCGCACTCGTTTTGATTATCCCATCAAATACGGAAGACCAGTAGTAAATTTATCGATCAACCACAATATTTCAGTTGAAAAGACATTGTTTAGATCTAGCGTCACAGCCATCTTCATTCACACATTTAAACACCCGATCAATATGCTACAAGCCACGTTAAAATGTTTACATAACAATTGTACGCCGTCTACAGCTTTCCTTACACAGGAAAGGTTACACGCTATGATATCCAAATGTTTGCTTTTTTCCAGTGCTGAAGAATTACAAAGAAACACAGCTACAAAAATGGGGAAGCGTAGAGTATACAAACATTTTGTAGTTAATTAAACTTACCCCACAAGAAAAAAATTTGTGTTACAGCGCTTGTTCTGTACAGTGTACAGCTTACAGAAAAATGAGAAAATCGATGATGTGGTGGAATTAATTAGTTGCAAAACGCAAAAATCCATATTATAAATTATCGTGCAGTTTCTACAGCATTAGCAAGGAAAAGAACAAGTACTTGTACCAGTTGCAAGTTTACGTAAAAAAAGTGTGCATAAACAAAAACATTCATACAATAGTAAGTACAACAGCAAGTACATACTTTCGCAAATTTTGTATCCGTATGGTATAAATATATCGATAATTATATTTTATCTAATGTAAGGCATGCGTACGAATCAACGACAAGATTCTATTACTAGCAAATAAAGCATAAATTAAGTAAAGAGCGAAAAGCGGATTAACAATAAAAAAAACATGGCCTTACGAGTAAGTCACCAGTTTAACAATGCGGTGATCTGCACCGGGACTTCTACAGTAATACGAGCACAAGGTAATTAGTTTTTTCAACACATTCTTTACCTCTCTTGTCCGGCAGTATCCCACAGCTGCAGATGAACCCGATGTGGCCGGCTGGAATTATCAGGTGAGCGGTAAATCTATGGGGAAGAAAAAGTGCATTGATACGGGAGATTGCACTCGACACACGATTACACATCCCATCCATCACCCGCGACAATGGGCCTCTTAAAGGTTTAATCCTTCTCTCAAAACGCCTTCACGCGGAACCGCCGTGGCGTATATTTATTAAGGCTGTTATATGTCTGGCGGTCAGCACTTAATGGATTACACAAAAATCGAAAACGGGATTTCTAATGTGCACCCGCTATACAGGCAGATTCACCCGTATACACAGTAGAATACAACACCAACAGGGATGCAGATCATGCAGCCAGCTGCTGGATGAATGACTTACAACACGCTTCTCCCGGAAATCGATGCCAACTGTTGATACGAAGCGCGACTGAAAGACGCCGTCCGTGTACTGGCATAAGAAGCTGGTCTTGCCCACACCACTATCACCCAGCGCCAGCAGTTTCACCAGATAATCGTAGTCCGAAGTCATGGCGGCGGGATCAGATGGGTATTTGGAATTGTTGTTATCACCAGTGGTGCCCGGATGATCAGCCGCAGCAGCACTGACGCTTGACACGACAGCGACTGGTTCAACACCCATTTTTCTGCTGTTGTCCAATATCCGCTGCTGCTGTGCATACAGGCCTATAATGCTCACCGGTGCGATGACGTAACACCCGGCTATACAGACAGGCTTGGTTGCGTACTTATTTACACGCGCCGCAGTGTACGGGCTGGCTTTAATGAATCCCCCACTTAAACTTCGATCGGTTTATGGGCACAGCGACAGGTTAAAATAAAAGAGCGCGTTAACTGGCCGGGAAAACGGGGAGGGGAGTACGGGATTTAGGCGGGAGTTGATAGTCAGCAGGACAGCGACTTTGAGGTGGAACTGCTGTGCAGTGTGTGGCAGCGTTCATCAAGGAGATCAGAGACGATCTTCATCAAACCAGGAGGGATCCAGCCGCTGCAACGACAACCGGATGCCACGGCAATGACGAGATTAAATGAGTGATTAAAATCAACAAGCCCAACTCCGGAAATTCCTGCACAAAGTAATTGTATGATACAGTAATTGCTGTCCATTGCCTGCAACTGCATACCGCATTGTACTGGGCAAAGTAGACGTGTTTACCAAAAAACTTGTTTCAATCTCAGAAAAACCATTATTAGATAAATTCGCTTGGTTGTCCAATAAGCGTAAATCCGTTTTTCTTCGAAAGGGAAAGTCAGTTTTTCTGCCGTTGTGATTTTTATATAGGTACCTCAACCGACCAGTTACGAAAGTAACGAAACATACCATCTAAAACTATTTTATCGGAATACGCCCGCACGCAGAACCGCCAAGATCAATTATTCACGACTGCTACACATATGATGGTCAACCTCGTTCAACTACAATATTTACAAATACTACCCTAGTACCTCTCACTCGCTGCTGGATCTGGCGTACGTTACGCCAGTACTAATTCGCTGGGCACGGGCTGCGTTGCCCGAACCAACCAACCCTTATATCCTTTCCTTGAGCTGCGAATGTGGCCCTGTAATATGTAATATTCAATCGTAATAATAAAAAGCACGCACCGATCTCACTTTCAATTTTACTGTCACATATCGCTTCAATTACCGTACAGTCCGAAATTGTGAAGTTAAGAATACTGTAACTTCACAATTCACATCGCACCGAAAGAAGTACGGCACAAACCTTAAAGCGGGCAACAGAATATCAACAATATCCGCAGCTTCGTCGCTGACAGTCGTCAGACGGCGAATCCGACTGTGCCCTCGATCACCAACTTCGTTTTCGAAAAGATCAAACCAAACGCCGAGATTGGGAAGTCGCAAACACTCCAGGAAAACATTAGAGAATGGCACGTTAGGGATCGGAGTGCCTACAGTAGATACAATTTTGCTACAGCTAAAAGGACGCATTCAAAGATACATCGACGTCCGACGATTCTGCAGACAGTTCAATTTGCAGAACCGTCGAAAAACTGGCCAGGGAGTTACCTGCAGGTAAACTCTCTGGTCTCTGGTCAGTCTTCGAATTTACATTATTGATTTTTAATAGTTAGTAAGCGTACTCTTAACTCTAGTTTACAAGCAGTCCAAGACGCGTTTTGCGAAATATTTGATACGATAATCTTGAGTCAACTTGTAAGTAATAACCATAAACTGATATGTTGAACACAGCAATACATAATAAGCTGAAGCCAGACGGCAAATGCAATTCAGGGACGACCTAGAGGATTTAAAAGACCTACCACAATACATTATTAATCATTCCATCAGCCTTACCTGGACCAAAAATAAAAATCAGTCCTTGAGACATTTAAGAAATTTCATAATTCTAGCGATCAAATCGAAATTGCCTTAGAAAAAGCTGACAATTTTTTGCAAAGCGAATCTCTTTCCGAGTGCAGCGCCCAGCGGGTAGTAGTGCACAATTAACCATCAGTCACTACCGGCTATTAAATTGGCGAATAAGGCTGATTAACATCTGGATCCTATAACTATTTTTACTCCACTGTACTGTACCTGTACGTTGTACTCGTACAATACAAAAAGCCAAGCATACGAGCAAGAAACGTCTTGTTGTATTACTTTTTTTTGTCCTTTGGCTTGTGGTGCGAAAGCACTGTTGCTTTTGCTTATGGAGAACGGGAAGTTATTTGTAAATTGTACAAGCTGCCGAGTTCCAATGTTCTTGTTTAAACAAGAACGTTTTCAGTTTTCTAAATCTAAGCGCTGAGACAAATATTTGTCTCAGCGCTTAGATTTACAAAACTGAAAACGTACAGGAAGGCAATTATTATAAATTCGTTTTAACGATATATATATATATATATATATATATATATATATATATATATATATATATATATATATATATATATATATATAATATATATATATATATATATATATATATATATATATATATATTATATTTGCAGTTCCGGACGCGTTTAGCGGTAAAATATTTGGTTTATCTCTTACAGCTATTCAGGCAGCTTTGCTCAAATTATTCCGCCAAAAAGTCAAATAAGGTTTACGAAATGGTTGTGATTGCGCGCGATTCAGCACAATCGGATCGCATAGCAGTCACCTCTGTGTATTATACACGAGTATAATAATTATTAGGACAAGTAGGTGCGCCAAACGATGTTGTACAAATTGCAGCTTTGTGGCACGTCCACTTTTTTTCATATAGATATTTTTGACTGTATGACAAAAGGACTGCACCTACAGAAAGTAAAGGAAATAGCACAGTATTTATCATGTCCAATCGCTTTGGCGTTTAATTTCCTGTACGTGCGCCATACTGGTTCCCTGTAAATGTAAATTCTTTGCAAAAGTTATTTATCATGACGTTTCCGGACTCGAGAATGTCACAGCAGCAAAATTATCCGACAGGTTAGAAAATTCATGATCCGAGAAAGAGACATTGCGAGACGTAGCCGAGCCAACCGGATTATCGGGTATGGGTCCTAATTCAAAGACATGCAGTTTTCTCGGGATGGGAATCGGTCCGCGTGCGCTGGGCGGTTGCAGTTCGTTAGCGTCATGTTCGGTCTCAATCGGGGCGATTTTCGGTGTACTGAAAAATCTTCGCTTCAGATTCGTCAAGCTGCTGCTTTTCGTCACACTGGTCAGCGGTGTTGCCGCGCGCTCCTTGTAGAAAGTTTTATCCGGAGTGGTCAGCTTAGATATCGGCGCCGGACTCCCGACTGACCGCAGCGTGTGCACCGAGTGTGACATGTTAGACGGCGTACGGTGGTGTTTCTTGCGCCGCTGCAGACGACTCTGGCTGCTGTACGTCCCCGTTGCCTCGTCGTTATCGGAGGAGTCGCTGGGGACGTTGACCGCGCTGCGCCGGCGTCGAATGCTCTGCTTCTGAGCCAGACTCTCTGTTGACCTTTTTTGAGCCGGTTCGGATTTGATGCTAGTGATTGATGCAGTGACCGGCACATCTTGCACCGGTTCAGGGGTGCGTGCGCGTTGGCTGTTCCCTTTGTCGGCTGCTGGGACAGTCATGGGAAGTTCCACATCATCCCCACCCGAATCGTCATCGGATTTGTGGTTGCGGAAAACGGTGAGTTCCATGGCTGACTGCGACAGTCGCCGGCGGATCACAGAGGTCGGTTTTAACACACTCAGCGCTACACGGACCATTTCGGGAGTTGGAGGCCGAGTTGGAATAATCTGGAATATTTGATGTACAGAGTTATAAGAAGTGAAAGGTCATCGTCAGTCTCTTATTTCTGTACTCGTACCTAATATTATTACCAGTATGTAAATCATAAAAGTGAAAGCATCCGCTACTCGTATACGTATAAAAGTACTCGTATACGAGTGCAAATAGTGATTATGCAAACGTCTTTGCGTCGGTATCTTAATGAAATTTTGCAGTTTTGTTGTACTATGATAATTTGTTTTAGTGAACACTGTACGATATACGGTATTCCGTAAGTAGTCGTTTTGCGGTACTATAACGCTTTCAGAATGCACACAAATTCACAACTGGCAATATGGTATTCGTCAAGTTCCCTAATAGCACATATATAAATAGCTATTACGTTTAATAGTCGGCTACAGTAGTTTTCCGTTGGCTGCACACAGATGCAGACTTTAACACTATGAAAAGGGGAAGACTAGTCTTCGCATAGGAATAGTGTTAACGGCTTGTTTTGGGTTTGTCTATGGAGATTCGTAACCAAAATGTTACACGCCTTTGATTCGCCCATTTTAGGGGAGTGGTTTAGTATTTTCCGGAGGGCAAAACCCTGCAGAGTGCAGTGAGTTATGCATACATAAAGATACTGTATACGTTATAATACAAAGACTGTAAGTATATACGGCTTGCTTTTGAACGGTTAATACCTTATAAGAGGATAGTTTAGCATTGCAGGCAGTGTAACTGTGCAACCATCCACAGTTGTTGGTTTATTTTACTTAAGTAAGCCGCTGACCGCTGGTTGTGTTCCAGACTATATCAACTTGAACGCTAGCTTTGAGCGCTATCGACTCATTCAATTTTGCTGAATCTCCCAAGCATGGACTTTGTAAGGATATTAGCAATTACATTAAACGCAAAAGCTTTATATACATGCACAAAGATACAGGATCAGAAATTAATCAAATTTTCTAGAAAAGGCCTTTTAATTTAAAACCTGTCAAGGCAAAATTCTAATCACCGGTTCCCGAGCACCAGAGAAACTTCAGGCGCCGGCTATGGAGTAAAATGTACAAATGTTGCATTCTTATCACTTACTCAAAGTGAACTTATAATGTTTCATAAGCGTTTTCCGCATGTATTGATATTTCTTGACAGCGACAAAAGCTGTCACAAAAAACAGCTTGTTCTCCTAAATTTTTGAAGTTGGTTTGATTTAGCAATAACTGATCGAGACGCAAGAGTTGGAGTTATCTTGCAAGTCCGAAGAAAACAACCAGCCGTCAAAAACTGCATTAAACCGTCGCTTGTTTGCTTCTTTGCGGTTGCATCAGTTACAGTGCGGCTGTTAACGGGTTTTTTTTCAAAATATCAAATTTTTCAATTTGGTTCACTCCACGCACACTTAAGAGGCTAATTTTAGGGAGGAAATGGGTTCTCGAATGAGCACATTCTCATTCCAGCAGCACGCTGTTGGAATGAAAATCTATCAAAAATTCGTAACTTTGTTATTTCCGTGCTAAATTTTTTTGTATGCGCTTAAAAAATTAAAACAATGCATGCTATTAGGCAGAATAACTGATTTTCTGGTTTTGTTTCAAGGTTTGGCACTGAGAGCATACGTGTTTAGCATAGCCGCCTATTTAAAATCTCGAATGAGTCTACCATAGACGGGTATGTTAACATCAAAGGCTCATAGTGAATAACCCGAAAATAAAAACGAAAGATCAGTTGTTTTGCCTAAGGGTATGCGTTATTTTGTATTTTTTAAGTTTATACAAAAGAATTTAACACGAAAATTAACAAAGTTACGAATTTTTGAAGATTTTGATTCCAGCAGCGTGCTGCATGGGCCACCGCACGCGTACTTAAGCTAAGTTGCTGCTAGACAGCTGCCTTAACTTCGCCAGCAGTATGGCAAACAAAATCGGCAATAAGTTCAAGAAAAAATAATGGACGGCTCTGTAAATAATATGCTCTCGTCGTACATTGTATAGTATTTAACCATCCTCCAAACTAGTTGCAATCAGGTGCGTGCCGCAATTTAGTTAAAGACTCCCGTACACCGTTCAGGAACAAGCCGTATGCAGACTATAGAAAGTCTCATGTATTCCCGATATATACCACAGCCGACGGAACTATTTCCGCGAGGAAATGCCACGAAGTGTTTTATGATAAAGCTAGTGAAAAGTAAAACTCTGCTAGTTGCTATCGCTAGTTACTGCTGGTTGTTTCCATATGTGCCTGAATGCCGGATATTTATGTAAGTACGTATGCCCAAGATGCGGTTTATGGTACAATTTTAGAAATTTAATTTTACCTCAACCGGCGGCGGGGTGGGCGGCTTCTCCGGTGGCGGCTTTCCTTTGTTCATCAGTTCCTGTGCTTTCAACTTCAACGCATCCAGCGTCTCAGGATAATCTTTCATTACATCATTCAAATCCGCTTTACTTAGCACATACAAATTAGAAAATCCTTTGGAGCGGACATCGGCCGTCCGACGATTCCCACCGGCCAGCGCCAGCAGACTAATCTCTCCAAAGACACTACCCGGCGTCAAGGTCACCGCCACTCTCCCATCGGGCAGCACCACTTCCAGAATGCCCGAACGAATAATGTACATCTCCTTGCCAATCTCCCCACGCTTACAAATATAGTCATTGGGCAAGTAAACGCTGGGCTTCAGACGCAGCAGCAGTTCTTCCAGTACTTTCTTATCAACATCCTTAAACAGCTGTACTTTATGGATGGTGCTAAAGTGTACTTCCATAGCAAGATCCGTACGCAGTTTCACCGGTAACCCCTCCAATAATCTCCCTTCATCGATCGTTTTCTGTTGTTCCCAGTTATACAACAGCCATGTGCGTACGCGCTCCTGCAGCTCTTTGGGGATTTTCAACGTGTGCATATGTTCAACTATGGCATCCATGACCTCGTAGAATTCATCTTCCTGCCGCGTCATCGCCTTCAATACATCGCGAATCTGACCGACTAGCGTGGCAAAGACAAAGACACCGAGAAACCACAGAATCGTACTGTAGATCATCTCGGAAATGTAGGCGGGGAAATTTAGATTGCCAATAATCGTCACCATTGAAACGGAAAAAAAGAAGCAAAAAATATAGGCATTGTACTTGCCGGGGAAATTGCATTTATCCGGAATGCTATCAGCAGTGGCATTCTGGCATCTTGGCCTTTCGTTGTTGTATACAAACGAATCATCTTCGGAGAAGTTTTTCCAATAAGAGAAATAGAAGAAGATGCAGGCATTGGCATGGATTAAATACATCATATACGCTACCGAGCGCAAAACGCGAAAATAATATGGATTGGTAAATAGCAGATCAATGCGATCCAGTAGTTCCCAATAACTGTGGATTTTTATTAAACGCAGCAGCCGGAATAACGGGTTCACCGTACCGTTCACTTGATTGAGTTCCGGGACGAGATAGAACAAATCCAACGGAATCAAGCAGCAAATGTCCAGAATAAAATCGTCGCTGACGACGTACACCCGCATTATTTCCTTTTTGTCTGTCACTTCGATGCCGTTAACGTAAGCGCGTATGGACGGCTTCCAAATGATCAAATCCAGCAAGTACACCAAATCACAGAAATAGTCAATTATTAGCCAGTACATTAAATTGTCTGGATCCTGGACATAAAATGCCGCACGCAGAGGAATAACAATGGCATTGTAGACGAAGCACATACTGACCAGGCTCAGCCATGCCAGATATATCCGGGAATGCGGGTCGAACGATGGCGGCCGCGGAATTTTGTAATACCATTCTGGCACCTGTGTGCAGCAAAATCCGTACTTTTGATTAACTTGTTCGAAAGATATTGCCCACAAAATTAAAGTTTTCTTGCTATGCAGCATACGTAATATTAAGTACTAGTAATTAATCCGGTTTCACGTACTTTGCTATAAAAAAGTATGACCTGTGCATATAATAATAATAATAATATGATTATTATTTATATGTAAGCATGGATGTACATACAAAATGAAACTGCACTATGTACTTTACAATCACAGCTACTGATCGTACGAGTAATCGTACTTTAACAGCCGGTAATTTCCACAGCTTGATAATAACCGGTGGTGGCGGTTCCGGTTCGGCTCGTTTCGGTGGCGGTGGCGGCGGTGGAGCCTTTTTCTTCTCAGCTTCCTTGGGCTCAGCCGGTTTGAGGACGGATTCATCCGCTTTGGGCGGTGGCGGTGCTTCCGGTTTCAGCAAATCAGCGGTCGGAGCTTGCATAACCGCCTGCTTGGCCTGTAAGGAACGGGCCCGGAATGCAGCGGCTAAGTTCTTCAGCCGTTCCTGCAGCACTTGCCCATGCTCGCTTTGCAGACTGCAAAATAATTATGAGCGTAGGTATTATGTAAGTACTTTATAGAGGATCGAGAGACACAAGTTCTTATGAGTCGGTGAAACAGTTGTAGCAAACTGTAAATGTGTAAACGTACGTTGATGTGTACTTTATTAATGTGTACACGTAGGGGAAATGGATTTGCAGTTAACAAGAAATAAGAGTTTTATGTAGCAGGAAAAATGGCAAATTATTCTTCCAGCATTTCAGGAACTCCAAAGGTTCTCTCGGGAGAGCTCTGCATTTAAAGTTCTAATTTGATGGTGTATAGAAAGCATTTTCCTTTTTTTCTTGAGCAGATTCGATTAGCATTTTAGAGACCATTTGTTTGACTTATACATTAAAAAAATTACAAAGTGAAAATTCCTCCTGGCGTAATCATAAATATTTCAACATGATGCAATCGCGATAGACTTCCTCAAAGTAAACATTCCTGTGTCAGATACGATTTATACAAGGTCACATCAGGGGTATCATGTACTAAACGTGCGCTCAACTTACTAGACGGTGCTGGTGTTGAGGTTGGCCTCGTTCTCCTGGGCCGTGAGGAAATCGGAGACGCGCGCCGTCTCCGGTGACCTGGCCAGCGCCTCGTCCACCAGCTGCTCGTGGACGGATAGGATTTCCAGTTCCTCATCATTCTGCGGTCCAGTGGGCATGACGTGAACGTGCTGATGGAATTGCGGCTGGGAATTGGTGCTGGCCACACTGCCGCCGTTAGGGGAGATCTCACTATCCGAGTCACCTTTCCCTGAATCGGAGATCAACACAGGCGCGGGTGCAGGTGAAGGGAATGCGGGTTTATGGCCTGACATGCCCGCGATGCGACACGATTAACCATGCATCAGCACGTACCGTGAATATACTCGCCAGTGTCATACAGACATATCGGATTACAATACTTAGGGGCCGCGCTGCTGTTTTTGACTCGGGATGATTGTTTCCGGGTAAAGTCGGTTTAGCGCGAGTGCTGCTGGAAGGGATATGTGTCGATCATACAGTTTACCTCGCAATGGGGTCTGTAATCTACAGTTGTGAGCTGGCGTGGAGGAAATACAATTTAGCGATGGGTGCTACCTGTGCAGGATCTTTGAAGATCGATGAATTGGTAGCTTAACCGGCAGCACGTCCCTAATCTGATACAATCAATATGGGGATGTGTGCATTAGAAACACCACGGCTGGGCTGCCGGTGGATTAATTATGAACACACGGCATCAACAATGCGGAATCAATCGATATTATTGGTGCCGTAGGTGAGCGAAGCATCTTTTTTTACCGGGCACCAGCGTCAGCTTGTGGGTACGGGCGAAATCACCGGAAGTATCAAATGCCGGTGACGATCCAAGCAAGCTTTCTTGCAATTGTAATTATATCGGCATTGCTTTTTTTCAGATTTTTTAATAAATTCTGCATACGTTTGAGCGTTGTAAAATTATCTAAATTATGAAGTGCGGCATATTGTATTTGCAGCTGCGGAAATATTGACCGTGATTTATTTGCATAGAAGACGGAAGCACTTCAAACCATGCATACGTACCATTCGTACTGCCATATTGCTTACAAAACATACAAATTACGAATAAAATCTTTAAACAGTAAAGATATGTACAAAAATATTTCTTAAAGTGTTTGTACACAAGCAGAAAGTATTCTTTATAAATTTTCCGACACACTGGAATGCACCGGTTCGGTGGAGGACATGGGCGACTGATAGGTGCCGGGGCTGCTGGAGGTGGCGGTGTCGGGTGAGTCCCGATCGGAGCGCAGAGATCTACCAGCAGAGATCACATTGTTAGTAAGCAGGGATGATGGTGCATTAAGGGGAGAAATTTTCGGGGTGTTGAACAACCTTCGCTTAATGTTAACCATCTGACTGGCTGCGCTCTCGCCCTCCTGACTGCCACCTCCGTCGTTCTCACCGGACACCACCGGCAGCAGACTCCCGCCCAGCGTCCTCAACGGAATATTATTCGATCTGTTGGACGATGTGTAACTGCTGGACCGCGATTCCAGGATCTCGTGGATGTGCCCGACGTAGTGACCTTTCTTCCGTATACGCGGTCCGCGCGGCGTCTCTTCCAGTTCAGATGACGAGTCATCCGGTGGAAATGCTTGATTTCGCCTGCGTCTACCGGATTTTCTGGTGACAGTGTTCAGGGTGTCCGTGCGAGGTGGAACCGCCGGAAATACAACGGGTTTTCTATCGGGTGCAATGTCGCCGTTGGGTATTTGCAGTTTCGTGTCCGTGTGATTACTTGTGTTGTCGGGAATCTGATCAGGCACAGCGGCAGTGTTGACAGTCGCGTCAAATGATCTGGGTGAGTGCAGGTCGTCATCCGGGAGTGCTTTCATTTCGGATGCGGAGCTGGAAACGATTTTCAGCCGTACTGCCGATCCTGGATTCATTACTTTCGTGGCGACGTGCACCATTTCCGGTGTGGGCACTCGGTTGGGTACAATCTGCAAAAAATTAAATAACCTTTGACGCATACGTATGACGTATACGTACTTGAATACATCACAGGTACAGCATTACCGTTATTCAACTCATTGTCAGTAAGCATAATGCCGGTAACTTGAATTTATGTTAAGACATTTAAAACAGCAGTCAAACCAAGGGATACAAATGTCCTCAAAATTATTTCTGTTACTTGCGCAATGAACAAGTTTCTGCAACGTTAGCGCTACTTTTAACCCGAAAAAATTTTTAAACAAAGAGCCATGTTCACATATCTAAATTTTAGCACAAATTAGTAATTTTGGTGCTAACCTGTACTGCTTCCGGATGCGGCAGCTTTTCCGGCGGCGGTTTGCCCTTATTCAGTAGCTCCTGCGCTTTGGCTCTAAGCGCATCCAGCGTCTCCGGATAATCCTTCATCACATCGTTCAAATCCGATTTGCTCAGTACATACAAATTGGAGAACCCTTTCGAGCGTACATCCGCCGTACGCCGATTGCCGCCGGCCAGCGACAGCAGGCTGACCTCTCCAAAAACACTGCCGGGTGTTAAGGTCACCGCCACCCGCCCATCCGGGCAGCACCACCTCCAACACCCCCGATTTGACAATGTACATCTCCTTCCCGATTTCCCCGCGCCGGCAAATAAAATCATTCGGCAGGAAGACGTTGGGTTTGAGCCGCAACAGCAATTCCTCCAACACCGTCTTATCCACATCTTTGAACAACTGTACTTTGCTGATGACATGGAAATGCACTTCCATAGCCAAATCCGAACGAATTCGTACCGGTAAACCTTCCAAGAATTTTCCCTCATCGATCGTCCGTTGCTGCTCCCAATTGTATAACAGCCACGTTCGTACCCGCTCCTGTAATTCTTTAGGAATTTTCAGCGTGTGCATATGCTCCACAATGGCGTCCATTAACTCGTAGAATTCGTCTTCTTGATGCGTCATCGCTTTGAACACATCGCGCACTTGTCCGACCAGCGTGGCGAAGACGAACACACCGACAAACCACAAGATGAAACTGTAGATCATAGCCGGCAAGGTGTGGGGAAAACTCAGGTTGCCGATAATGGTCACCATCGATACAGAGAAAAAGAAACAGAATACGTAATCCGTATAATCGCCGGGTAAATTGCATTTCAGTTTGTCGCTTTCTTCCACCGGATTGTGGAAGGTCTTACTGAGATTCTGACAATCCGGATGCCGGTTATTGTACACAAACTCGTCTTCAGAAGTGAATCCGTATAGGTACGAATAATAGTAATAAATGCATGCGTTAACGTGGATCAAGTACATGGAATAAGCAAGAAAGCGCGCCATGCGAAAATAATACGGATTGGATACGAGTTGGTCAAGCCGGTCTAATAATTCCCAGTATGAGAAGATTTTTAAAATACGCAGCATTCGAAATAAAGGATTAATTCCCACCTGGGGCACCAGGTAGATAAAGTCTAGCGGGAGAATACTTAACACGTCAAACACGAAGGATTGTGTACGGACATATTTACGAACGATTTCTTTCGTCTGGGTTATTTCGATGCCGTTGACGAACACGCGTATACACGGCTTCCATATGATAAGGTCGGTTATGTTAATTAAATCGCCAATGTAATCCGCCAGTAACCAGATGAACCATAACCGTTCGGATGGCTCGAAAAATGCCGCACGGTACGGAATAAACACCGCATTGTAAATGAAAAAGACGCTCACCACAGTTAACCAGCCGAGATACTTCGTAGCGTGTGGGTCGAAAGATTCCGGACGGGGAAGGTTAAAATACCAATCTGGTACCTGTATGGAGTTTTTTACATTGGTTTATCCGTATTCATAAAATTGGGTATTTGACTTAATGTAGGTCATTCAACGTCACTAAGCCGGTTATCAAAAAGCAGTTTGGTACTTGTGTGACCTTTGCAAGTTTTAGCTGCAGTGAACTGTGAATGGACAAACGTTATCTTTTTTTGTGTATTGACAACTAATTTTTTATATTTGCTCGTAGTAAAAGTTCCCAATACAACAACATAAAATGTAAGCTTACGCGTATAGCCAAGCGACCGATTCTTATCCGAACAGCCTGTCGAGAATGCGATCTTTTTCGGGGTGTGCTAACTGTATCCGGCGACGTCACGGCATCGAGATGGACCTGACCTGAACCTTCCAGTATGTTTTCGATTTCGTACTGTACAACAAGGGGGTTAGCGGCCGGATCCGGGAGGGGTTGTACTTCGTGCGGTTCCGGTGTGGGCGGTCGCAAATCCAAATCCAAAACGCTCTGGTCCGACCGCGCTCGGAAGGCGCGTACTAATTCCAGCAGACGGCGGCGAATTCTGTCACCCCTCATGGTTCTGAAACTATGCTGGGCATATTGTACAATACAGAATGAACGAACACAACAAGTATTAAATCCGGATCGGGACATTTTTAAATTATATCTTCAGGTAATTCTTTAAGCATTGCTTACCTTAAAATAATATATAATCTGAAAATGTCCCGATCCGCATTTAGTACGATAATTTGCATAAATGCACGAACGCATAATTTTTCTGCACAAATGTATTTGGCGTTTGTACTATAATCTGCCATTCGAGATCCCCAAAAGCAACTTAATTTAATTATTTAATTATTCTTCTTAATATATGCATATGTGTCATATGTCACAGGCTTATACAGTTTAGCTATAAATGGGTGACAGATGTATCCATAAACTGCAATATAAGAGTAAAGAAGCAGATGGTTTATGAATTATGCATATTGTAGGCTTGAATTTATAATAAAAAAACTCGCATAACACGAGTACTTGGATTCTATGCATCCACTGTATTCCCGGAACTTACTAGGCAGTCAGTGGATCCAGTGGTTCCTTTCGCTTAACAACCGGGATGACTGGAACTGCTGCAGCTGCGGACTGCGATGACCTTTCCAGTGCCTCATCCACTAAGCGCTCATGTGCTGCGAGTGCAGTCCCACTGGTCTGCTCCTGTTTATCGATATCGCTGGCCTCTGATGGTCTTCTCTCGTTCGAATCAGCCGCAGCCTTGATTTCTTCATTATAAATGTTGTCTAAAGAAGTAATACTAGGGCGGGGATTCTGATCCATGGTACTCAAAAATTTACCACGCTATACAGTACTCTGGAAACGGATGAACTATCCAGTAGTATTGACTGCAAGGCACTACTAATATAAGGATTTCGCGTTTTGCAACAATTTGTGTTAGTCTACGCAGGTTTATATAGGAGAAGATTGTTGGTGTCAAGTTATCAACCTGCATCACTTTGTGTATTCTATTCAGGTGGGTACGGCAAAGTTTTGAAGGATGGATCCTATGTCAACAAAATTTGATAACCAAATGGCAACACTGTCAAGGCTTGCTTATAAGCTGCAGATAATATTCCACTCCATTAATCGATCCAGAAAACCTAAACATTCCATATCGTTCGTCCCGTCCATCATCCATACTGCTCTGAACGCACTTGCATATATTATATATTGATAAGTGAATACAAAAGAATTCTGCATTTATTGGTTTATGTTCTTTTCTAATGTAGTCTACTAAACAAATTTTTTATTCGTCAGTGACCACTGATTTCTTATATTTTTTAGGGTGTCTGGCATTACATTGGTAAGACATTATACAGCTAAATTATATGGCAGTTTATAGCGGATTTGACGAAGGTCATCACTTAAAGTGATTATTGTTAGTGACTTATCAGAGTATTAGAATTTGAGGAAATTAAATTTGAGGTATAGCAGATTATTTACTCCCACTAAACCAGGCAACAAACAATTTGAAAATACTCTGTAGGAGCAAAAACATACGCGATTTATCACATCTTAATATGCCATGAACTGCATGACGAAGGCGTTTGTTGGTTTATACAAATAATTAATAAATAACAAATGTATCGCAATCACTTGTTTTATGATAAGCTAGGCTTCTTAATATCGTATGGCATGATACAGATGACAATAGAGTAGACAGCAAAAGTATAAAAGAGAAACATTGTGCAATAACTGTAGAGCCTTATCAGCCGCCTGTGCATTGTCAAATAATGTACCATAAGAATGTAAGATAAATTTGTATGATACCATTATAATTTTTGCTGTTGTGTGCGAAGAAGGAAATTAAAACATAATTACTGCGTACACTAATATTGTGCAACTATGCAAGTAACTAGGATTGTCGTCCAGTCTGACTATTTAAAATTTGACCCATTTCTGACTGTTCCCTTAGCTAGAAAGATACCTACAGATATATGAGTACAATTCAAAATGAAATGCATTTCTTATTGGCTATTCCTGATGCTGTGTACAGTTGTAATCTCGGACTATGTGGCAGCGGAAACCACTCGTAAGATTCTACCAGTACACCGTTTTTAGGGAATAGGGAAGATCTTCCTCGGAAAGCGCAGTTTGCAGTACTGCTAGCACATTACACTGTCAGCTGAACTATCTGCAGTGTACAATACATGTGTTGTACTGGAATCAGGCTTGCTTTAACGTTTCCTCGATATGTGCAATTAATACCTAATATGGCTACAAAGTACAGAGTATCGTAATATGCTAAACGTTTTTCCAGATGGATGCAAATCTCCGGCGATCATCAACGCTAGTTCGGGAAGCATTGAGTCTCCTTATTACGATTTCTACCCAAATCAGACGTACCCTTTCAACCTGCGATGCAGGTGGATCATACAAGGAACATCTGGCCAGGTTGGCTACTGTGCTTTATAATTTGCCCTTACATGACACTGCGTGATAAGAGCGTAGCTTCTGCTCAAAACAAAGGGGAAATATAGATATAACAAAATGTGGCTGTTGTGTATAATATTACTGTAGCATTCGTTAGTTTGGCGTGTACCATTAAAGTATACAAAGTATATGTTGCGCGCGTCGTCCTGTTATTGTAAACTAATTTATTTTTTCCGGGTAAGCACCTGTGTTTTATAATGATAACTGATAATTCATGCAGATATTAATACGGAAAATTAGGCATAACGGGCCTATTTGGAAGACGCATGGCCAGTAATAACCATCATCGAGAACTCTAGAATTCAAATCTAACCCGTCAAAAAGACCTTTAGCTTTCCGTCCAGCTACTGTGGTTATACCGATCCAGCCCTTTTCCATTTACAGAATATTAAACTGACCTTTGGCAGTGGATTTAGCGTTGGGACAAACCCCACCCTGACCGGACGATGCGGTACGGACTTCGTCAGGGCACTTTCACCTGATCTTCAGACCATATGCAATCGAAATCCCCTGCAGGTGCCTCTTTATGGTCAGTCAAATACGTAGTATACTTATAATAAGACGTACAATACTTGGCTAACAACCATAGCGAAATAACAAGATAGCTACCCGCGTCGTAATTCGAACGTTGATGTCGACGTTTCTAACTTCCCAGCAATCATATAAGTTGTCTTCATGCCAAAATTAATGTTTTAGTAAACGCAGCTAATATAAAGCTACGTCAGCAAATAACTTGAAAGTTGTGCGCTACACAGGAGACCTTTGTGGAAGCGAGCCCCCTTCGCACTTGGTGATCGGAAACGATACGGTTGTGATCGAATTCTGTGAGCTCTCATGCCCACGACGTTCTTTGTTCTTTTGCGGCGCGATGCGCGAAGCTTTTTATACGTAATAAAATTCGGTGTGTTGTTTCTAGGTACATTTGGACTTAACAATTTTCCATCAGGGTAGGTTGTGGTAATGGACATCTCCATGGCCATCGACTGCGTGTCACACGAAGATGAATTTTCTTTATGGACATCGATCGTGCTGAGCCATAGAAAACTCACCGCAAAATACTGACACTAAAACTAAAATTTGTTTACAGAAAAAAAGGCTTCCATTTGCACTTTAACAGCACAACGGAGGATGCAACAGTCAGTATCCAACATCCCGCACCACCCACCACGCCGGCTCCGTCTGAGTGTGAAGACCTGACATTCGAGCTGAGCGACTATAATTCCACTGGTCTTTACATTGAATCACCGCGTTTTCCCAACACCTACCCGGAGAACACGAACTGTGTATGGAAGGTTAATCTGGATGCGAATGAGCCAAGAAACGTACTGGTAAGATCTTTTGTATTATTAGAAACAGCGTACAATATAAAATAGGCAGTAGATAAACTGAAAAGTCTTTATACTGAAAATTTGCAATACGAGTACGTACTGTAAATAGAACTATAGAAGTGGCTGCGGCCAATAAAGCAGTTTAAGCAATACAGCACGAAGTGAAAATTATTGCAGACGTTTATCGGAACACAGTAAAATACCAAACGGTGCTGCGAACCTTTCCCATATATCTTCGTATAATCTTTCTACGACTTGACTTTTCTCTAACAAGTGAGTTTTATATTAGGTGAATGCCGAGTTTTTTGAGCTGGACAAAAACGATGAGCTGACAATAAACCAGCAGAATTCCATCGACTTTACTTGTATGTAAAGTGGCAAATATGTATGGTGGCGCATGCACATAAGTCTTAAGTTGTATCTAATCCTAGTTTTGACCTTCAAATTTCTTGGAAAGAATGGCCCACAGGGAATTCGTCTGACCGGAAACTTCTTGGTAAACTGTGGAAATTTCTTCTTTACGAAATTTAGACGCTAATAACAAAATCAGAAAACTGAATTAACTTACAAATATTGAATAATAAAAATAGCCAGCTAATGCTTACGTCAACTGCAACAGTATTGCCTGTTTATAAGCCATTTTTGAGATTGTTCTGATCCATTGACCAATTAATTAAAATTTAGTTTGTTACGTTTGATACCGATGGAGTGGCGGGAAGCGGAAAAGGATTCCGTATTCATTTAAAATGTAAGGGCCCGTAATAAATTAACAACGTAATTGTTGACATTTGTTGTTAGCGCTTGCTACTGTACTTAGACCATCGCAGGCATAGTGATTTTCATTTGTGAAATTTTGCAGTTTCTGATTGCTCTTCTGACACGGGAATATGTGTCAATAATCCCCGTGGAGACGTTTGCTTTACTGAAGACATGATGTGTGACGGTAAAAGGCAGCGTATACAATTATTTTATAATTATTGTTATTTGCTTCGTAAGACTTATGACTGTGGCGTTTTGTACCCACAACTTGAATCGAACGTAGAAAGTAACTAAGCCATCTATCACAAAAAAGGTGTTAAGATACACTAAATTGAATACCGGGATAATACCGATAACAGAATTTCGAAAAGAAAGCTCTGGGTACTTAATAAACAAAACTAGGTAATATTGTACACTTCAAGGAAAACGAGACTGTCAAAATGGAGAGGACGAAAACTGTCCAACCGGATGTGGTTCGCCAGCATTTCCACCCCTTCTTAGCACAAAGCAGCAGCGAATTGTTGGAGGAATAGAGGTACATCGAGTAACTTTTTAATTTTTTCGTGATTTTATTTCGTCAAGGTCAGTCCGTAATATAGTAGAAATATTAAGTTAAAATCGTAATCTACTGCCCTCCTGATTTTTAACAATAACTGGTTGGCGACAGGCACGCCCACACAGTTGGCCATGGCATGTCGCTTTCCGCGCGTTTGACGGTGCCCTCGCGTGTTCTGGAACCATTGTATGCTAATCAGGCCCCATAATGTCTTGCAGTTCTCTGTGACGGGTTTTAAAATTAATAGATTGACCACTCTTGGATTTTGACTTCCAAGGACTGCTGTCAAACGTTGTCCTTGTAAGTTCGATCAAGGTGAAAACAACATTATTTATTTTGAATTCCTTATTGGTTTTATTTCAAGGAATTTACTTTTGCTTTTTGTATCATTGTCTATTTTATGTTACGCTTATACCGATATAAACACTATACCCTTTACAGTGCAAATGAGGCGTCTTTTATGGGAAATGGAGCAGTTATTCATGTGGGGAACATGACCTTTTTAATACGAGAGAGCCCAATGTTGCAATTTACTATATTGACCAACTGATTGAATATCCGAATGTTGGAGGAGCTGCATTCTTTGATGAAAGTGACTTTTGTCTTGTAAAAACAAAATCGGTATGTATGAGTACTTAACTATCTGTACTTGGTAAATGTAAAGCTATCATTAAATATTTCTTAAATTTGTACATGTTCTGCGTTCACAGTGCCCACGTAGCATGTGTGCCATGAATATATGCCATGAAAAATCGTATCGTGTATGAAGTCGCAGCTCTGCTTTGAATATTACGGCGTAAATACACTGATTGTTGCAGAAAATATTTTTCAATGATCACGTGATGCCGGTTTGTCTTCCATCCGTAATTGGCCATCCAGCGGGCACGGTCTGCTATGCAACGGGATGGGGAGCGGCAGAAAAAAACGAAGCATCACTAAGCCAGGGCGCTTATACGGACCGTTTGCGCCAAGTTGACTTGACCATTCTCAGCGATAAAGTATGCAGTCAGCAGTTTAATACTTCCGGTATTACTCCAGGAGTACTATCGCATCCAGCTGCGGTGTGTGTGGAGAGCAATTCTGCCAAATCGACGTAAGTTACATTCTGTACAGGCTAATTCTAGTAATATGTCAACTGCAATATCAAACTTTTCTATTCCACTTCGGCCAGATGCTACGGCGATACGGGCGGACCACTGGTATGTCGCAGCAGTACCAATCTGCAGAGATGGGAGCTTGTTGGAGTCGTTAATCGCTGGATGTAAGAAACAGGCTTTTGGGTAGACGATCTGTACATGATTTTGTTTGCAATCTTTTGTGTCTTTGCAGGGGATGTGTAGTCGAAACCAGCGGAATGCCCAGCTACTTTTCAAAAGTATCATATGAATATGTTTTGGACTGGATAACGTCCACTGTATTTCCCTTTGGCAAATAAAATCGTTAAGGGTCGTGTGTTTATTACTTCTAGTGCTAGATTATCTACTGTAGCTATGTAATATTCGATGTAATTTCGCTATTATCTGTAAAAGTGTAACAATTACAGATAGCTCATTAAAAGTCAAGTTTGCGATCAGACGTTAGTCACGTGACTAACGCAAGTAACATTGCATGTGTTGTTTTTTTGGCTCGTACCAATTAAACATAAGAAAAGCAAAAAACCCACATAAGAATTAATAAAAAATTCACTTTCATTAAGCCTGTACGCAATAATTTTAAACAGAAAGGTGCCCAGACGCAGTATTATGACAGCATCAGATTATTCGATACAGGTAATACCAAGTATAGTCATAATCATAGGCTTTTTTATTTGCAACGTGATAGTAGCCGTGTAATTCATCCCATCAATAACCGAAAGATTGAGAGAGTTTTAAGATACAAAGGAAGATACATTTTAAGATACATTTTAAGATACATCTTGTAGTTAGCTGTACAGGCAGTAATCGACTGCACGCCGCGAATGCATTTGTAGCAAAAGATGACAGAATAAGCATCTGTTAAGGTCGATCGTTGATATTCTTAATAGTTAACCCAGACGTCCCAAACTCATCCGACGATTGCTCCAGATCCGGCGGCTCCAAATCCAGGTTCCCATAATTTTCTTCACTAGAGGAGTGAACACTAGGCGGTCGGGAGCCGACACTCTCATTGGACGGCACCGACGGCAGCCGGAAAATCTGGTTGTTCCGGCTGATTTTCACTGCCGGTTTGGCCGGTGACACCAGTTCATGCTGCTCAAAGGATTGCTCGTCGTGCGACACCTCCACCGGGGCAATCTTCGCCGGTCGCTGGAACAACCGGCGCAGCGGAGCCGCAAGAAAATTCGGGAGAAACGACAGCGTACTCCGCATGTCGGAGGAATCATCACTGTCCACTTGTGCTAGCGGCGCCGGTGATTTATCCCGCAACGACTGCCGACTGCGCAGCGGACTGCGGGCTTTCCGCCGGCGGGGGGCGGCGGCCGCCGTGCTCGGCCCGTCTTCCGTGTCCGAGGAGAGTTTGCGCTGCAGGACTTCCTGTTCCCGGCGCCGTCGCAGTAATTCCGTGGAGGTGGGACGGCGCGGGTGGAGTTCTGGGTCATCGGCGGGAACGTCCGGTACGGGATGAGGCGTCGGTAGGCGTTCCATGTTCTCATCGTTGGTGGATTCTGGCAGGCAAAGCTCTTCTTCTGAAGGGTTAATGTCCGCCTCCTTTGGCGCCGGTATGGAGGCGAAGGAGGGCGCACGCACGCTGGTTTTGGATAGGCGTTTCTTTAAGCTGGATTTCGGGTCGAGGACGTGGATAACGGTGCGGACAAATTCCGGGGTCGGAGACCGGGTTTTGATGACCTGCACAACAAATCGGCATTTAAACATTCTCATTATCAATAACTTATTCATATACAGTAACGTCAGTAAGTTTTTAAAAGTCACACATGCAGTAAAATTAGGCAGTGTCCATGGGCAAATTCAGCCAAGAGGAAAACGGAACCGCTGCCTGTATATAGATAGATATACATTCTACACATCCGCACTTGTTGGAAGAAACAACAGAATTATTACGTATCAGTCGCGCTTAGCTATTTCTTCCATGAAAGATAAGGGAACTGTTACGAGAATTCCAAAGCAATTTTATCCTCTAACGACGATACTATAGTCTACACGGGCTTTCCAAGAATGTTTTACATGGCCACAAAATCCGAAAAGTCGAAAAGCTGCTCAAGCGAGATACTACCACTCACAAGTATCATCACGTGAATGTTAATCGACACCGGCTTTCGACTTACTTCAACAGGTGGTGGGAGCTTTCTTTCGTCTGTCGGACTAATTCGTTGGTACAACCGCTGAGCCTTCTTTTTCAGCGCTTCCTTCGTTTCGGGATAATCACGTAGAACTTCATTAAGATCAGCTTTCCGCAGTACATACAGATTTGAAAATCCCCTGGACCTGAAGACGACAAATCAAATTATAAAAGTTCTGGATCTACGCATAGTAAGTATATTCAACCATGATTCGAGGAATGAATGCGTCGGAACTGGTAAGCAGCTCGAAGCTACAGTTAAACTAAAGTAACTGCGTCGTTAAATTTGCATGCTTGCCCAAAGACGTGTTAACAACAACACATAATAAACGTGCAGATACGATAACTTTTATGTCTCTGATGGTGCCAAAAATTGTCGCGGCATGGAAGTCAGCCGCTGTTTAATGACAACGTTAACGTTGCATTATTATCAGATGGATTGCACAACTGCTGCCCAGTACGTATTACGTACATATAATATTTTATATGTGTAACATTATACGTTATTTATGTGCATCCAGTCTTTACCAAATGTTTTAATGCCGTACAATACATTGTTAGTAATTCAGTACAGCTATTGCATACATTTTATCTTATTAGGTTTCTTCGTCTTACTCGTATTTTGGGCAGTAGCCACTTGAAAATGTGCTGTACTCACCAGTCAGCTTTAATACAAGTCAAGAACGATATCAATTCAACAGAATGTGCAAAACAAAAATTAATATCCATCGGGCAATGCTATGTTCTCAGTATATCTGTATTTTGAACTGACATTGTGGTTCGGCGTTTTAATTTTGGTACAAGTAAGTATGACTTGTATGCAAGTTGGTTTGCGCTGAAATTTAATTGCTTGAAACCTACCTAACATCCGCTGTTCGGCGATTCCCTCCAGCCAACGACAGCAGACTGATTTCCCCAAAGACACTGCCCTCACTGAGCGTGGCCACCACCTTATTCTCCGCCGCAATGACATCCAGCACCCCGCTGCGGACAATATACATCTCCTTGCCGACCTCCCCTTCTTGCAGATGAAATCATTCGGCAGGAACACCACCGGCTTCAGCTTCAGCACCAGATCCCGTATCATACTCTGATCAATCCCCTGGAACAACTGCACCTTACTCAGCGTATTATAATGCACACACAGCACCAGATCCGTCTTGAGCTTCTTGGGCAGGCCGTCCAGGAGGGAATTCTCATCCAGGGTCTTGTGCTGTTCCCAGTTGTAGGAGAACCATTCCCGCACACTGACCTGCAGTTCCTTAGGTAGGCGGAGATTCTGAAGATAGCGGATGGCCGTGTCAACCGTCTTCTGGTAGTGGTCTTCCTGATAGGTCATCTGCGTGAAGATGTCACGGATCTGACCAATGAGCAGGGCGAAGACGAACACGCCCACCAGCCAGGAAAAGATCATGTAGGCATTCTCGACGATGTTCTCCGGTTCCGGGGCGTTGCCCACGGCGGTAGCGACGATAAAGGAGCGCCAGAAACAGTGCAGATAGGCGGGACGCGTTTTATTATCGTACACCCAGTGGTTGGTTCCAAATCCTGCAGAAAGTAGAATTTAATTTACTGCAGTTGTACATAACTACATAGAATAATTTCTCAACGCTCACTGGCTCAAACTCATACTTATCAATGCAGTAACGCAAGTCGTAAGATGGGTAATCACTCTAAATAATTCTTACTAGTCACAAAAAAAAATTTCAGCACTTTAAATAAATAAAGTGACCATGTTCTCCGTTTATGTTTTCCGCACTTCCGCCATTACTTTCCGCACTAGCACAGCTTCGAAAATTCGGCCAAAAGATGAAAGCCAGGATAAATTTGTGGCACAAGTAATCAGAAAAAGTACTGTATCGCCACACCCGATTGATTGATGGCGAGACTCGAATGACAAAATTACCATATAAAATTGCATAATTTACCTTCGGTCTTGGAGATGTAATAAAACAAGCATCCATTAGCATGGATCATCCACATCATATACGCCAGCGAATTCAACACCCGCAGCAGATGCGGCGACCGGGCTACCTGATCAATCCTTGACTGATATTCCCAGTATGATGGCAATTTGAGCACTTTGGGCAGTCGCAGCAGTGGATTGACGCCGACAATCCGGACCAGATACAAAATGTCAAAGGGTACCGATGCCAAAATGTCAAGCTTGAACCGCCAGGAGCGCACGTAGCGTTTAATAATTTCCCGCCGATTTTCTATCCATACACCGTTCGACACGAATCTGACGGATGTTTTGAAGAAAATAATATCGATTAGGTAGAGAATATCGCAGCAATAATCCGCTAAGAACCACCAGTGCTGATTATGCTCGTTCTGCAAATGATCGAAGGCGGCACGCATTGGAATTGCGTAGGCATTGTACATGAAGGCTAGACTGACGGTAAACAGCCAGGATATATACAGTCGGGATTGCGGTTCAAATGTGCCCGGAAACCGCATCTTGGAATGACGTGAGGAAGCCTAAAATTCACAAATTAAAAATACCTTTTATATTTATCAACCAGTCATAGCATTTTAGATATGCTCATTGCTTTTGTTTTAAAAAATAACGTGGAAATCTAATAAATAGTGTAAAAATAAGAATAGTGTAAAAATTTGTTTCCTGCTAACACTGCGTAAAAAATTCTAAAATTACACTGTACATGTCTAATTTTCGGCTTGTTAAATTAGCCGAATACTTGTGTATCTAAATTAACGAGTAAATAAAACGTTGTGCCATTCGTACATTGGTCGATATGGACATCATTCGGCGCAGACTGCCGCGTCGGTCATTGCGCGCATCGATACCGGTAGGCGACGGACTGGGCGGACGCACTGGCATTTGGTTTAACGGAATGGTCAGCCTTTCCGCCGGTGGTTCGTCCTCCTCGGAAAATGTGGGGGATGGTGGTTGCACTACAACTTGCTCTTTGACCTTCCTGGCGCGCTCATGGAATGCTGAGACTAGTTTATGCAGCTGCTCCTGAATCTGCGCTCCACGCTCCATGCTCGATCGTCTAACACAATTTTTCTATAATAATTCTGATGTGCATCGTCAGTGTAAGCTGACTAATCCTTGCTTCTCATCTTCACCAAGTTAACAAAAAAACACTGGTACCAAGTTAAAAGTTACTAAAAAAAGGAGCATTCAAATGCAGTATGCCTCTTTACCTTACAGTCGATATTGTCCTAAAATATGTTTTTGTTACTTATTGTTAGATTTGCAGTTTATACTGTAGATATGTTTCGATAATGTCAGATTACGACCTACTCAATGTGGTACAGGTAGGTTTCGTAATATCTATATATGTACTGTACTTATCGTTAATAATTATTACAATATAGATATGTACGTAGTCCTATTAAGTAAGTACAGGTTGCGTTTTCTCAGTTGCCATAAAACAGTTTTAATGTTGTTTACATTTAACTTACGCGCTGCTGGCCTCACTGTACGCCGCTAATGTCGATGTGGAGTACCGCCGTAGGGGGTCGTAAGCGCTATCCTGAGATACATTTAATGTGCTGTTTTCCGGCAATCTCGATAAATGACGTAAATGTGGCGGAACGTAAGAAGAACGTGCGGTGTCCGAAATTCCACGTGGAGTATCGTCGATAAACTTCATACCTTTCCGTAAACTATCTGTCAAAAGAAACGATAACCTAAGCTCCTTTGTCTATAAAAATTGTTTACAATTTTAATTAATTCGGAGAAACTGTTGAGAAATTTCCGCAGTTTGACAAAACACCCATTCACAAATTATTTGGAAAAAATAAATATTGGTACGCACCGTACCCATTCCGTCAAAATTTTGTTAAGTTTTTTGTACTTATATTTTAGATACATATAACGTCACAGTTTCAATTGTTAGTGGGCTGGTACCTCGTTTGGACAGAACTCCTTGACTGAGGGAGTCAATATTGGTAAGGTGGTTGGCTGTGATGGGGACTTTGTTGAGCAAGTGTGTGTCGGGGGTGATTTCCGCGTCGGAGATGGCAGAGTGCCGCGACATGGTGCTGCCGGATCCGTTGGGATCCATGCCCATGGCGTGGATGTCGTACACATTGACATTTACCCGCAAGGCATGCGGCAGATTTCTGCGCGCTCGCAGACCACTGGAGGTGGTCGGCTGATCGCTGGCGTCCGACGTATCCGAGGACACATGGATGGAAGGGGCCACATGGTAGCTTCTGCGCGGCTGCGGAGTCGCGTCAGCTTGATCCATCCTGAATTTGTATACAACGCTCGCAGTAAGTTCACTGGTCACAGAGCGACATACCTCCGCAAGGTGACCTTTCCCCGGAAAGTGTTTTCTCCAAAAACGATTTAAGGATTTATTAAATTAAAGGAAAACATTTTGATTTCGTAAGTCCTTTTCGGATAAATGGTGTTGCATGCAACTCGTCGAGCGAGCAGCAGTCGTGATATTGTGGCTGTGCAGTTTATCCGTTATTGATTCACTCCTGGAGAAGTCATACGCCTACACAACGGCTGCACTGCACGCCAGATTTCTTGCGCCAGCACAATCAATAAAACATTCACAATCAGCCTGCCAGTTGCGATTTGTGCCCGTGTTGTCTGGTAATTCGTTTGTGTTGTGGCAGGCTAGGAAGGCACGGCGCACACCTCGATGTGTCGCAGAAAATGCCTAAAAGTATTACACTGTATGAAGCGCTTTTACAAGTATGTAAACAATCGGTCGGGTCGGTATTTCTTGGTTTGTGTCACTGCACTGCGGGATACATGCGGAAGCCGGCCGTGTGTTGCATCAAAATAAAAAGGTGGAATACTCGTATTCTCACCATTAACCGTTTATTGTATTTTAATACATTAATGCAACCGGCAGTAGAATAAGTTTTACAAGAAACAGCCTCGGCTTCGCCTCCGCGTTTCTTGTGGTCCATGGGCATTTTATTTGAATTTGAATGAATATTTATTAGATTAACATCAGTCTATTCGTCGAAACATGATCGGTACATGCAATAGGGCAAACACGAATTTTCTATGCAAATCAGTTCATGATTTTCTCAACCTTGAAAGCATTCCCTTTCGCTGTACATACATACAGATAATTTTACGATATCCTCTACCCGAAAAGAAAGCCGAAATATCAGTCTATAAGGTGTGAAATTCGAAACAGTGATAGTGCACTGGATCACTAGTTCGGCAACTCATCACTTCACTGGTTCTTTTCACTGGAAGTTGGTGTGTGCCCAGTGGTGTATGTCCGGTCAGTAGTGGTGGCTCGATTACTTGCTTAGCTAACCGGTTCCGTTCGCCGGACAGTAGTGGTAGCTCGGTCACTCATGTACACTGTACAATAATGACAGCCCGGTCACCCGCTGACCTAACGGGCTCCGTGCACCGGACAGTAGTGGTAACTCGGTCACTCGTTCCCTAACGGGCTTAGTGGAAAATACTTTCATTTTTTAATATTATAATAATTTAGTTACTTTTGGTGAAGGTAGTCAAAACTCTTCCGCTGTGGCGCTCGAAGCGGGAGAGGTTTTAAAAAGAAATGAATACTATCTGGCCGGGTTTTCGACTACGGGCTTTCAGAATATAATATAGGGGGAAAAATGTGTCTAGCCGAACCAATCCCTTGTACTTCTGATGTAAGCCAGCTGGTGGTTTACGTTGTGGCTTGACAGTGTTTTATGTAAAGCGCTGCTATTAAGATTGCAGGTACTGATAACAGGTAAGCTGCACTCGTACAACTGCAGGTAAACAGGCTAAAACTGTATTATAGCCCGGACCTGCCTGGTGCAGCTAATTCCACATGTACCGTCAATGCCGCACAGTCTTAATAGCAGCGCTTTACATAAAACGCTGTGCAGCCACAACGTAAACCACCAGCTGGCTTACATCAGAAGTACAAGGGATTGGTTCGGCTAGACACATTTTTCCCCCTATATTGGTTTTGGTCAGTCTTTTCTGGTTTGCCGGCTCTGGTGTATCCCATTCGTGGCAATATAGATCTGAATCTTGATATAAGGATCTGTGGCTACTCCTAACGTACACTTACGAATTTAGATCGTCTTAGGAACATGGATCCCGAAATATTGGTGAAAAGGTTTTTGAAAAACAGCTCTGAGAACACAGTAGTCATGAAAGTTATTAGTAACTCCGTGTACCTTCCGGTCAAAGTTGGCACACTACCAGCGCAAGTACAATGCTTCTGCAAATCACAAATCGTAATTTTTTTAATATAGGAAGAATAAAGGATCACTCGATCGCTTGGATTTGGTAGAACTGACCAGCATTCACCCACAATATTACGTAGATTATTATTAATTTTACGATTAGAAAACTGTAATAATCAATTAAAACAACTATGCATACAACATTGTACAGTAATTTCTTAACACAGCTGGGCAAGTACTTAGCTAACAGAAGCCAGGTTTGTGCATCCGGCCATCCGCACCCGGTTAGCGGTTACAGAGACGTTGGTGCCTGACTGCCAGCTGATTTTGCGAAATATTTCATTTTTATCTTGAGTAGCTTGTAGCCAGCTTGCATTTGTGCTTTTGAAATTCTGAAAACCTGAAATGACAAAATCTTCTCGGTTGTTACTTGTGTAAATCAAGGGTTGCAACCATAATTCTTGAATTTTCGAAATCAGACATGCTCGCATTCCTTTCACAAAAGGTACGTTAATCGTTCGTGGGCGCGCGCACACGCGTTGCGCATGCTGAAACTGCTTTGCGTACAGGTAAATTCTACGGACACCCATCAGTACACGGCCGTATCATGGAACAAGGACACCGATATGTTCATTGCTGGCCGCTCGGACGGGATGGTCATCATGCGTCAGCTGGACGCAAAAACAAGTATACCGAACAACCGCAACAAATGCTTGTAACGGTTTATTCAGAGACCGGTGTTCTGCCGTTTTGACAGGAGCTGCGAAAGCCGCTGCCAAGGGCGCTAACGGCGACGCTGGAAAGGCCGGAGAGCAGAATCTGTTCAATCACCAAGGTTGCGATTAGTACTAATTATAGTAAATTTTATGTTTTTTCGCTGCTACACGTATGTATAAATTTTTATAGCGCCTATCCGGAGTATTGCCTGGAACCCTCGGCACAACATCGTCGCGACGGGGTAATTTGTGATTATGCTTTACCTTGGGCAGGTAGCTAATCGATAAACGGCTTTTGGATGTGCTACGTTAATGTAATGTGCACTGTGCTCATACGGCCACGAGCATAGTAATTTTTCTTGGCTAGCACAGACTACCGGAGCACAACAACAACACTGCACCCGCAAAAGTGTTAGTGCGCTGTGGTGGTTCTTGATCGTCACGGCATTTGTTCACAACAATACAACGTGTACAGTCAACGTCGGCGTTAATATGGTTGTTGCAAATTTGCAGTGACAGTGAGGGAATCACGACAGTATGGAAGCTGGATCCCAAAACAGGTTGGCTGCTTATTTATCGTTTGATTGTTTCGAACAGTTGTAAAGGTCACTTCGAATGGGCTGTTTGCGTTCTGGAGAAGACTGAAACTGTTTTTATTTCTTTGCTGAGATTGAAAAAAGATGTTTTGCGTGAATACTTTATTGATTCGATTTCCAGGTTTATGGTCGAATTACATGGCAACAAGAGCGGTGCAGAGAGCCGTGCTGGCGATGCAGTGGACTAAGGAAGGTGATCGCATTTGCATCGTATACGAAACCGGTAAGCTGTTGCCTTTTTTGGCAAATTTCACTTATTGTCTTTGAAATATGCACTTCTCCACATTGAGCGCTGCTGGTGTATCGTTCCCGTTCAACAAATACGGTCATATGGCCAGTGAGAGGTTGCGGATTTTTTTAGCTATCAAAAATTATATTACTTCCGTGAAAAATAATAAAAGCGTATAACACTGGAAAAAAGCGAAATAAGAATAAACATACACCTTTGGAAACTAAAAAAAAATACACTACTTAATGCATAATAATAAAGCGGCGCTCTTTTGTTACAATTAAAGGTACGGTGATGGTTGGCAAAATCGATGGAGTCAAGTTGTGGTCAGTCGAGCAGAAGCTAGCCAGAGTACCAGCTGTAAGCTTTTGCATTTTGTATTACCAACCGAAACTTTCATAAGATCTTGTTTTTCTTATAGTGGTCTACAGACGGAGAAATTGTTCTTGTTGGGACTTCATTGGGACAGATATTCATCTACGATAAAGCAGCGAACAATATCGTAATACGCTGTACGTTGTCTTAAAAATTGTTTGAAAGTCCATGTCAATGATGCATTAGGGACTGGTCACTTTAACATCCAAGCCCGAGGAAAAGCCAAGTGAACAGCCCCTTGTCGACATCAAATGGTACTACCCCAATGATGGGATCACCACGTATCATCCCGTGTTGGCTATTGCATTTGAAGACGGAAAATTGTACTTGCTACAAGGCGAAGAAGATCATCGTACGCCAGACTATCAAAATTTCTGCATATTACGCATCCGTATATTTTCGTTAATGTTTGACGAAATGGTATACCCTGACCATTTTCATAAAATACAGTCTGACATATTTACATACCTGACAACCTGAGAATTCGTACCTGACAATCTTCATAAGATTGTTTTTATTTTCCGTTACAAATTAGGCTCGTACCTGGGCGTTTTCTTTTTAACAGACCCAATCTGGGTGAACGTCCCCATGAACGTTGTATGTGTGGAATGGAGCGCAGATGGGAAGAGTTTGGCCATTGCGGGTCGTACGCGGAAGACAGTGGCCGCGCCGGAAGAAAGTGCCCAACTGATGGTGTACTCGCTATATGGAAAACCGGAATACTCTATGCGTTTTCGCAGTAAAAACCTTTCCAGTATATCGTGGGATTCCAGCGGTCAGCGATTGGCGGTGGTGCTCGATGGAACGCTAAATTTTGTCGTTATAAAGCGCCCGATTAAGGTGCGATTTTCGGAAACCGTATTCACGCTTTTTAAGACATTATCGTTGTTTCAGTTTTGCGTATTTGAAAACACGCTTGTTTACTCCTGCGCGAAGGATGAGGCACAAGATGCACTTCTGGTGATGTATAGTCTGAAAAATGAGAAACGTGTAAGTCACTACATTTCGGGCCTGACGACACTTGGTTTTTCAAAGCTGAATTGTAGGTTACCGTGAAGCACTACACAAACCAAAGAGTGTTATGTCTGTGTGGCGGCAACGACTTTTGTGTTATCGCTACAAGGGTCACGGCGGAAGTCAACCAGCTTCAGGTACGAGCTGCAACGTTTTGTCATTCAAGTCGGTTGAAGCTTCATATTTTATCGAAAGTTTGCTTGAATATTTTTCTCACAATATCATCCTGATTTCCTACAACATTTCTTAAAATTCATTTGAAAGTACAAACAGATCTACGCAGCCGACCAGGGTTTATACGTACATACAGATAGATTAATTTTTCTGGATAATCATTTGCAATTTTTCTCAATTATATTATGTTATTTAATTAGATTTGCCATTTTTGTAGTTTAATTTGTATGTGTTAAATGATTCCGGGGCCACAATCAATATTTCTTTCACGAATATTGAACCAATATTCATCACCGCCAGTGACAGTCAGATTTTCGTCGCCAGCCGGGAAGTCGTCTTTGTATGGAGCTTCCGTTTAAGCGGTATGGAATCCGTGTCGAATAAATGGGACATTAGTGAGAGGTTAGTTGTGCTCCTGATCTATGAATCCTTAGACACAAAAAAGCTTAAATCTGGGAATTTTTTCAGTTCTTTACATAACGTAGAACTTTGTGGAAGCATGTTGTGGTGAAACTGTTAACCGTTTCGCTACGTCTTCCATTATTTAACGCGTCGTTTCCTCGGAAGTGAAGTATTTACATGTAGTAGTATAGTAGACAGTATAGAGTAGTAGTATGGTGAAGTAGAGTAGACATAACATATCATGTCATATAGAGTACAGACTCTTAAATGCTAGAAAATAAGTTGTGAACAGATAAAAACAATTCATTGTCATTTTTGCACCTCAAATTTTTGAAAACGTCATAAGACAAAAAGGACTGGATAGTCCGGTAACAACAAAATGAAAATACATCGAAGAACACAACGAACGAAGCTGATTGCTTGTAGGTATTTTCACGTGGACGACGCTCACGGTTTCATTGATTTGAAACAAAAGCGGCAAAGGTTATACGAGGTAGGAGAGATTGTGGAATGTTGTGGTTCAGTGCGCAGGAACCCAAATGCTTCAGTGACCTATAAGCAGTAACTCATGTGTATAAGCACAGTTCTGATTTTGAGTCTTATGAGCTCTTCAATTTTTCAAGTTTGGCAACTTTAGAATAAGTATATGGTCCAGTAAAAAATTTGTTTTTGTACTGTTTTTCTCATAGGTATCAGTGGATCCAGTTTGCGCAATCACGGCATCCAAAAGTGTTCTTATTGTGGTATGTCTGCTACTGATGCGGTCTTCCTGTACCGCAACGTTTAGTATATTTATGAAATATAGATACTAATGCTTCGTATACAAAAATTGTTAGGCAAGGGAATCCGGCACGTTAGTTCGCTATAGTCTACCACAAATGATCTGGGAACGGGAATACCCTGCCATACTACCGGCAGCGCGGAAACTGGGTCTCAATAAAACTTCGAGGTTTGCTTATACCGTTCTTAATTGCTTAATACAAATCTGTGTCGCTTAATGTTTTGCCTCAAAATCAAACAGCAGTTTTCACTGGTCTTAATATATTGATGTCTACAGAGAAATTGATTAAAATAATGAGCATGTCGAAGTGTGTCAGGAGTTATTAACAAACCTGATCGTCCAGCAAGTGAAATGTGTGTACGCGCTTGTTGTCTTCGTAGTCGTTTGCTTCTGATGAATCACGAAGGCCAATGTGTTATGTATGCTCTGGAGGAAATCTTCTTTTCCAAGGATGCTCAGCCCGTGAAAGACGTGAAAATCAATCTTGAAAAGAGAGATATTTGGGATTTTATGTGGGCGGAAGATGATCCGGAAATGTTTGTGGTTAATCACAAAACGCGATCTCTCGTCTACCGGAATCGTGATGCAGAGGTACAATATGTACTTTTATTCTTGCATAAAAATGGTCTAAGATAATCCTTAGTGAAAGTGTATTTACCTTTATTTACCTTTCCAGTGAAAAATATTTTGGTAGTAAACAAAATGATGGTGGAATACTTAATTAAAATCCAAGTGTTGCATTTCTAAATGCAATTGACACTGGTCTTGATCCTTAGAATAAACCGGCGACAAAATTTGAACATGATTATGTGCATCACAGTGCATGCATGTGTGACCTGTATGTTAAACCGTAAAATACGAGTACTACAGTTATCAGTTATACGAGATTCACACGCTTTTTAATGATTCCTGACATGCGATGTTTAAGTAAAGCACTTTTTTCTTTTATTGTTGCGGATTGCAGCTGTGTAGTTTAATATTATTTAGTTATAAAAGCTTCAGTTATGCTGCAGGAGCCAATTTCCAACGAAGGATATTTATGCAAGTTCAAAGATTTGGAGATCAAAGTGGGATTCCTCGACGACATAATCCGGCAGGCTGTTCCCACGGACCCGCCCGCCAACTGTATCCGCACTCTGCGCACCAAAGCTCTGCGCGAAACCTACCAACTGATGGACTCCGGCTCGCTGACCGAGGCACAACATTTTGTCGAAATGCATTCCCATCCCATCCTGTGGAATCTGCTGGCTAATCGCGCTCTGCAGCGTCTGGATCTGGATGTCGCAGAGCTATGCTATATCCGCGGGGCCCACTACGCGGGGATTCAGTTTGTTGGTAAACTCCGGAAATTGAAAGTGGGTGTGCCGCGGGCGGATAAATTACGTGCATACGTCGGGGTCGGGAGCGATGTTCAAGGGGAATGTTTTTGTTTATTTTTAGTCCGATCATCTGCGCAAGGCGGATGTGGCGGCGTATTTTGGGGACCATTACCGGGCTGAGCAGGAGTACAATGATGCTAACCGGGCCGATCTGGCGGCGGATCTGCGAAGAATTTCCGGTGACTGGTTTCGCTTGAAGGAAATGGCGGTGGATAGTGAGAATGATACGCTCCTCAAGGAGTCCTATATCGGTTTAGGAAATTATTATTATGATCGCCAGGCTTGGTGAGTCCGTTGTACTAGTATTTATAACCAACTCAGATTGCTTTTTGCTGTAAGGAAGGAAATTTATTTCGGGCAGCTCGTTCCCATCAGCTCAGATACATTTTGATGTGATTTACAGTAATCATGTTTACGTAATTATTATCATTGTAACTGTAGGTCTTTTTCGCATGCATTACGCGCCATAAGAAAAGCGCAGGTGGCTGAAGCTATTGTAGATAACTCCTAACATCATGAACTGTATAATATCCAAACCCATTCATATCCACGAATTTTTTGAAAATTTGTAAAGGTCGTAATTTAAGCTACTGCAATCGTAAATGCGCGGCATTGTGCGTATTACTTAGTGCTTGAATTAGGAGCAGCTGACGCAATGACTTTGCCCGTTATGAATCCTTTTTATAATAAACTCTATTTTTATATAACAGGATTCTAGAGCAGTTGGTTCTTTTCCAGGCCTGAAGCCATAAAAAACTACGAAGCAGCCCGCGATTACGCTGCTTTATACAAGTGTTACATGTTGAACGGTGACACTCAGAAACTGGAAGAGCTGGCGGACATCCTCCCCACCGGACATCCGCTCTTAGTACAAATTGGTCGCCTGTTAGGCTCTTACGGTAAAGCAATACCTATATTGTCCATTTAAACGAAAAACGGTTTAATTTAGACAGTATCCAAAGATATTACAGAACGCATGCACGTATAATTCTATTATGTACGCGTAGGTGATTCCGTGGCAGCCGCTCGTATCCTGCGCAAAGCGGAACAAATCGACATGGCCGTAGAAGTGTGTACCAACTGCTACAATTTCCAGACGGCTGCCGAACTAGCACGCACCTACGACCTAGAAAAGTACACACCGGCTACCGTTACAAAACTAATGAACCAAGCCATCCAGGATCAGGTAGCAGGTCAAGGGGATCAGACTTCGCTGTGGAGTGCTGCCAGTCTCTACTATAATTCCAGCCTCTACCTGGAGGCGGCCAAGTGCCTGTACCAGGTAATCGACGTGCTGACCTTTATCCTTTATTTCCTGGAAACTGTACTGCCAAGCGGACAGTTCGGTGGATTTGACAGAATTTATGTCGGATTACAGATTCTGGATCAGGAGATACACAAAAAAGAATCCGATTATCTTAGATTGAAAAAATTAGGCGTACTGGCTGCGATCGCTGTGGAAGAATATCGAAAAAGTAACAACCAGCTTTTAGCGGGCAAGGTAAACCGCGTTCAAACAAACACTTATCTTTAGAAAACGGTAAACTGAAGTCATCAGTTTCGTATATCTTTTATTTATGTTTATACGTTTTATTTTTTCGATTCATAATTCTCCGGGCTGCAACCGGACACTACACTACTGCTTCGAAATTTCATAAAAAGTTTAACCACAATACTAGTGCCATCTTTAGCATTATCATGCGCTTTTTATGTTTTGGATTTTGCCGGTGCTTTATTAACATTATTTTAATTTCCTTTATTTCTTTATCTTTGAATATTTAATTTATTGGACTTTGCTTTGATCATTTAGGTTTATATCTTTACAGGGCGCAAGGAATGAGCTGTTGCAGGAAGAAACAAAAAGCGCCGACTATCCATTTCTGGATAATCCGTGGAGAATTGCGGAAGCCTATAATGTGATGTTAGTGGCGCAGTCTTTTCAAAAGAGGCTGACTATGGGAAAGCCCTGCGAGCCGCCGGAACACTGTGCTCCTATACGGACATAATAGATCCGGTGCACGTGTACTCGATGATTGGTAAACACACGACGTGTGGTGTTTTTGTTTTTTGTCTGCGGATGTGTCGATATTTTGGTCAAATGCAGCGGATTAGCTCGCGGCGTTTACGCTGTTTAAATGTTTTTCCAGCGTTAAGTGCCACAAGTTTGAAGCGGTGGGATGTTGCTAATGAAGCTATTCTGCGGATTGCCAACATGCCGAGCGTTGACGCGAGCATCGTCAAAGAAATGGAGGAATTTGCCGATGATTTATTCGCCAAGTAAGATCCGCGCGCACTTGTTTCACGGCAGTGTAGGCACCATAAATATTTCTGCCTTCCAAATACAAAAATATTTTATATAATAAATATATTAACTATTTTGCATTTTAACAAATAACGATTCGCAATAAAAAAATTTAAACCGCTGAAAAACTGTGCCAACAAATTGCCAAATTATTCTGGTGAAACATAAAACAAAGGCAAGAAATAATCATGCGAGTGATCGAATGATTATTGATGTTGCACTATCAATAATATTATGGAAAAGTTCAATTGGTCAGTGTGGCAAGCAAGCATTAGCCAGACGTCCATTTAGCTGTGATCTAATGCAAATAGCTTGTTATTTTAAACCGAATGCTCCAGTTTACACAAGGCGCACGTGTCTAATTAGTAGCCGTCTGTTGGCAGTGTGTAATTGAGGCCGCGTGTACACTTGTACATGTGTGTGTTGTGTGGGATGCAGGCACAGCCCCAAGGATGTCGACCTGGATGATCCGCTGCCCAGTCCATTGTGCCTGAACTGCGGTGAGCGGCTGCCGGTGTGGGATGTCAAATGCACGGCCTGCCAGACCAAATATCCCATCTGCATGGCCACCGGCAGTCCCATTACCGAAGCGGAAGTGTGGCAGTGCGAAGTCTGCCATCATCATAGTGCCGCATCCGCTGCCCTCAACCGGACTGTCTGTGCGCTGTGTCATACCGCGCGGTAAAGCCAGTTGATTACTGTTACACGATGCATTAATGCGTGTCAGTTTCCCGGTTTGTTTTCAAATCCCTTGTATCGGTTAGAATCGTTGTTGATGGATTTTGTGTTCCTTAGATCTCATATTATCTATTGCGCTGCATGCTTGAATAAAATAGATTCATGAATAACCACACAGAGAAATTATTCTTCGAAAACTGAATGGAAACATGAGACAAATGTACTACCCTAGTACTTGTACAGCTTGTTTAATGCAGCGACCACCTAGATATTGGTAACTAACGAGCCTAATATTAACAATTTCTTCCCTAATTTACAGAAAACTAAGTAAGTCAATAAAATAGGTGGATATTACTTAAAAAAATTTATCAACGGATTAACTTTTAATTTTTTTCGTTAATACCAGCATACGAAATCCATACTTCTGTTAAACAACGATTTGTTTTATAATTTAGAGGTTTGTGAATTCTGAGTGGAAAATAGATGTCAATTGTTACAGCGGTAGCGACTCTTTCTATCCCATTGTAGTACATGAGTTTTTTGCTCGTTTAATAGCGCACCTGAAAGGGCAAAAACGGTGGTTTGCAGTATGGAGTACGCGGAATTTCGAATGATTTATCATATTTTATTTATCGGTAAACAAGAGCTGCAGCTGTGACAATACCCTGTACAAATTTGCAATTACACGCACGATGCCCGCATGCTTTGTAATGCAAATAATCAAGGTTATCATCCGCGGTCAGATTCTCTGAACGGTATTTTGCCGACAATCACCAGGTCTTTAGCGGAATATTTGTTATCGGTAAAATTATTGCTGTGACCGGCGATTAGGAGCAGATGTAACAAAAGCAAACTGAGAATTGCGCATTCTTGTCTCATATGCTGATATGCATAATGCAACATGTACAGTATTTAATGCATATGTACAAGTACGTGGAATGCCGACGCCTACACTACAGTTAATCCAACAGTAGCAGTTCGGCTAAATTGATCGCGGAAGTCACCTTGAGATGACCATTTATCGGTAGGAGCTGTGTTTATTGTATTTCTTGGATGCTGGCGTTGTGTGGCGAGCGAGGCGTTTAATAAGAGATACGCCGAAATGTCTCGCTGTGCTGTTTAATGCACGGTCGGTTTATCTGTTATTATATTGCCAAGTCAAGCAGTCAGGCAATCGGTCAGTTGCTTGGATAAGCCTGAAAATTACCAACAAATTTCGCGTAAACACACCGGAAGAATTTCTATTGAAGCAGCTGTTGATAAATGCCCGCTCAACTGTTTAGCGTTGTTACCGGAAACGCTTTTGTCGCTTGAGCGGTACTTTGCTAGTCTGCACTTGACCGATAAAACTGCACAGCTGGCAAGCCGCATTCTACGCACTGCGATTCACTTTTATTGCTGCATACGGACAAAGAAACAATTTAAGATTTTGATTCACCTCCTTAGTCATACCACAGACATAATAAAATTAATGCAAAAGAAAACAAAGATTTATGTCCAGCTGTTTGTGGGTCTGCATTTTACCGGCACGCGTTGCTATGAATAATTAACGACACTCGTCGTTGTTTGCGATATAAATAAAATACAACGACTTTTAGTCAGTGCTCCGTCCGCCGTTTACCAGCGCCAGTTAGACGTGCATTGTCATGGTTTTTGATTGATAATAAAATCAGCTGTGTACTGAATTAATTTTTAGAAATCAATTACTGCAGCGCAGTGTGTAAACAAGCTATTAGTGTTAAGCAGCAGGCTTCTATTTCCGCAAAATTTTTAAAGACATGCCTTATTATAGGTATTACGCAGTATTACGACTTACGAGCACATTCCATATCACATTATTTGAGCCAACTTATGTGATCGTGCACGCAATATATAGTTCTGACTTAATTCTGTTAATTTAATTTACATCACTAGAAAATTTCAAAATTATCTTAGCTAAAAAAAAATATCTTACTGATACAGTTTTCGAGCGTGTACTGTACTTTAAAAATTTGTGGTTTTTGCAGTTTTGAGTTAGCCTGTTTGGTGTACGAGTGCTGCTGAGGTTGATGTCATGGATTAAGGAAAATTTATGGGTGTTTGTGTTGTGGTTATTCATTACCAGCTGTAACCGGAAACGTTTTCCAAATCTGTCGATTGTTTATAAAAACCTTAATGAAATTTATCTTCACTCTGTCATGTAGACGAAAATACCCACAATACTCAGAATTTAGAAATCTATCGACTTGACCAAGTGTTCCGTCACTAATTGTAAATTCTGCCAAATGAGCATCGTTCGAGTATCATGCATTCCGCCAACCGTAACGCTAACCTTATCCCACTCAAAATACTGGAGTCAATGAAAACAAGAGCAGATCCCTTGTCAGTACATTCAAGTTTAAAAATATAACACACTTTATAATTAGCTAGCCAGTAACCAAAAATATCCACTGAAAATTAATTACAGTCACATGAATCATGCCGAACAAGGTGTTCGGTTACTGTAAATATTTTTTCGAAATCTTATTGACGAAAATAGTTAATGCCGGTTTGTCAGCGGTATTGATAGACGCATCCCATTCACAGCTGTTCTGTCATTTGTAAGTGAAAATAAGCGATGATTAAAACGGTCTCCGTTTTTTGCTTAGTAATAATAAGATTCCAAAATAACTTGTGTCGCGCAGTAACATCCGTTCCTATTTTGGTTGCTCTTTATGACACGCAAACATAATTTCAACAGAATAACAACAGGATCAAATATTAGTATTTGATGATTACATGGGTAGAGTTATTACCGGCGGTACACCTATTCGTGATTATAGGTCAAGTAGCCCAATGTTATATAAGCGGGGCACTTTTGCGTCATTTGGATTACCTGTCTAACATAAAAGTACACTCTGCAGGTACCGGCTCCGTAGCACAAGTGCATGACGCGAATGCTAACCTTTTATTGTTGTTCACATTGAGAAAAATCAATTCAAGACATCCGTAGAAGAGTTTATATACTCAAATAAAATTCTACCTCACAGTATTTGATAGAAAATTTATAAACGAAATTTAAAGATACTTGCAAAATACTTGTAAGACGTAGTATGTGCCAGCTCTAAAAGCCATTCGGTTGTGAGTGCTTGCAAAAAGTTATCGCATTGCATAAAACAAAAAATAAGTGCTACACTTAGCCCTTAGATGAACGATAATTGTTACGCCGTTGTGTGCTGCATTTAAAAGTTAGCAAAAACTGCGCCTCTTTTATTGAGGCTTCAAAATTTCGCATGCAAATGCAATAAGTACTGCCCTGGTAAACCCATTGTGCAGTAGCAGTGCAGCTTTCAAAATCAGTAATTAGTCTTAATTAGGACGTTATACAACAGCGCAGGTTATGCATAAAGGGCATGTTTTTGCGTGCTGCATGTGGATAGGCGTCCAGGCGTATCTTCCTTCATTCATTATTCCGTCCTCCGTCGCAATCGGAACCGGTTTATAGGATTTCCGCCATATAAATGCCACGCACGCATAGAATATATAAAGGTACACTTTTTAGCGCATCGTAAATAAGTAGATAATTAAGTAAAGAAAACGTGCGTTGGCGCGCAGTTAAGAACAACCAAATTTCCTGGCTGTTCATCTGCATTCCTAAACCTGCGTATTTCTTAATTTTGATAGAGCCGCGCCATGTGCGCACTGCGCATCAGAGGATTTTTCCCGGCCAACATACTGCGTATCAGCCACAGCAAGTGTTATTCCCAGTATCATGTCTTCTCTCGTTTTTGCACAAATTTCTCTTGATAAACAACCATTGACCGCTGCCAATACCATGAGTAGTGTGTAATGTGTATCGATTTTTCGCGGTACTAATGTCGCGGCGCGTAGCACATGGTGCGCGTAATTAAATGCGCGTCTTGGGAAAAGTTTATCGCAAACACTCGACACCGTGTTGAATTATAATTAATGAAATAATAATATTTCCTACGCGATGTCAACGGTAACTTGCACAACACCATGTGTGTGTATCCATGTTCGACGAAAAGTTTGACTTTTTGGCAATCAACAATAAACTACCGGCAGTCGTAAGTTAAATTGTACACGCTGATATAATTGCGTTAGGTGCCCATCGACGTGTTTTTGTTTTTATTGAGCCAAATTTTGTCCCATGTGTGCTGTTTGATAGTGTCCTACTTATCACAAATGTCTTTCCAGAAAACTGTGTGTGTTTGCTGACATGCGCTCGCGTACGCAGCGTCGGCATTTTATAACGTGAAATCGCAACTGCTATTAATATCTTTGCAGATGTTTTTAAATATTTATATAGTCAGCACTACTACATACATGTCAAGCGCATGCACGGATAAAACGTATTTCTAAAATTAATATTAAGTAAAATATTTTTCTGTATTACAGCAATAATTTCAGAAATCGTGCTGCTGAAATTGACATAAATACGGATTACTTCAACAATGCACCTATATATAATCTGTTGCTTACATGCATTTCTTACAAAGGGCATTAGTACCATTAAGAAGCACGTACACGTATCTGACGCACATCTCCATTGATTGCCTCATGTTTGTAAAGATTCTTTTAATCGTTTTTCCTATGAAATGCTTCTTTTATGGAGCAGCATTACTTTGAATTGCGATCTTTAAGGTATTCTCATCGAACAGCGATTTACGTCAGTAACAACTTGTAAGTCGTACGTGCGCATTTAAATTGATTGTGAACAAGTGCTTAAGGCTAATCAAGCCTCATTACACAGCTTTTTATGCAGCAGGAATTCTGTGAATACGGAACACCGCCGGTCACGACCAAATATACAACTTTTTATTTTTCATCTTTACAAGGCTTCGTAATACTGTATAAGAGCATATGTTGCGATCAAACGTACAGGAAATTATACAAAAAAGATTAACAGGTTATAAAGAGTCCGGCCGTGATTGGCAGCCGGCCACATCTCTCTCAAAAACCGCAAATCCCAGAAATAAAAAGCCCAAATTGAAAGAATACATACACTGTGCGGGGTTTCTGCATTAGCCCGAAGAGTCTATAAACAAATAGGATAAAGATGCACCACGGACCGTAATAAAGATTAGTAGCCTTCTCCCCCCAAAAACAAAACCACCAAGCCAAGCCCCACAAAATTAGCAACAAAACACCGCGGCGTAAAATTACAAGCCACACATCCTGTACATTTTGCGTTGTTGCATGACCGCTCGCCATTCGCTCATTTCCATAAACTCTCCAATCTTTGTCCCAAAGAATAGAAAAGAAAGCAGCAACAAGCGGGAAAAGTAATAACATTATCAACAAAATTAGGCAAAAAATAGGAAATCTCTGTTCTGTCTCTCCGAAAAACATCATTCTTTCCAACGACTGGCTTCTTTCCTGGTTTCTACGAACTCTCCCCATATGAAATTGAAAGCGCAACTGGTAAACCGTGACGAAATCCCTGTACAACGTCCAATCCAAACACAAACGGCAACAATCCCCAATAAAAACAGCAACCAAAAAGAGAAGCGCAAGGGCAGCAAATCAAAAATTATCCGGGTTAACCACCGTATTCCGTTTTTTCCCCACGGAAACGTTCCGGTCTCCTGATGATCACCAGAATTGCACAGCAGCAGGCAGTAAATAATCCTCTCGTTTACACACACATACATAAAAACTGTACATCCAGTGTACAATCCAAATAAATTTCCCCCTTTTCATTTCATCGTTTCCGGACTCAAACCGTTCACTCGGCGTCCATCGGGCTTCTTGCCGCGCTTAAACAGCCGTCCGCCCGTTGCACTACCGCGGCGGAACGGCGACGAGGACAGCGCCGGGACATTGGCATCCGAGTCGGAATTGGCGCTCAGACGGCGCTTACGACGGGCCAACAATCCCGTCACACCGTTGGAAAACTTGCGAATCAAAATGAACCGTTTGACTTTGGGCACTTTATGGATGCAGCACTCCAGATCCTCCGTGGTCAAATCTTCCGGCACCGGGACCAATGAGCCACGGCGGGTCGTGAGCGGATCCTTGCCCCGCTGCGATATCCAGGGATGGTTCATCGCTTCCGACATGGCCAGGCGTTTGCCTGGATGTTTCTCCAGCAATCTACAAACATAAAAACATCTCCCGTCAGCCGCGGTTTCCGCATTCCTTTGTTGCAAAATGCCAGCTACAGCGCAACACATTTCTCCGCCCTCAGCGAAAATGTTAGCCTTGGCTGACCTTGAACTGCCTATTAATGCACGGGCACTTGAGAGAGCCAAAGCGCTCCAGGGATCGATAATAAAGATTACGTATTGATGGATCCACCGTTCACAACTCGCTGATCTGCTGGCCTCTGCACATATATTGCCTATATTTAGCAAACCGCAGCACTTTCTCTCTTCCTTCGGCCGCGTGATGAATTCCAAACATTCGCTACATTATACGATCCTCTAGTGACTTTTTTCCTGCGCTACCTTGCGTGATGAAATCTAATTAAAGTTATCCCATCTCCCTATTCTCTTCTCTTCCCATCTGCCCATCCAACACGACACCGATCACTCTGCATTCTGTATTTAACCAACGACCATCCTTATCTCGTCTCTTCCAAGCAAACAAAACTTTACAACCTTTTAATCAACGCCGGATAAGCCAGAGCAAGCCATAAACCTTTTACGGGGCCAACTTACCGAGATATGAAATCTTTACAATCCGCTGATAAATCGCAGTCATCCGGGAAGGTCAGCGGATCACTGCGGACCCTCTCGTACAGTCGATAGACGTTCTCATCCTTAAAGGGCACATCGCCAAACAGCATGGCGTAGAGGGAGATGCCCAGGGACCACATATCGATGGCCTGGCCCGAGTAGCCCTTTTTCTCCGGATCTAGGCACTCGGGGGCAGTGAAGGCCGGTGTGCCGTTGGGTGAGGCCACTTGGTCGTCCATGCCGACAAATTCGCCACTTAGACCAAAATCCGCAATCTTCACATGACCGCTCTCATCCTGCAACCATAAAAAAATCATGGTTAACAATCAATACAATGACGCATCGTAAAATACCGCGTATTTCCGCTGAAAAGGGTAAAACGGGAAAAATCAATAGTCTTCAATGACCTCTACGCTAGCCTGGTAAAATTTAGAGTAGTAGTGAAACTCTCTGACTAGTTGGATTGTTGTCGGTGTGCAAAAAATCGATGACAACCAGGGAGGGAATCAATGAAAAGTGCCCGGAATGCCAACTACTCTATCCCTGGCCCCCACACGTACAACACACACGGGAATATGAGAAACTTGGGAGAGTGTGTGAAAAGGAAAACGTCTTCGCCTTGAATAACAGAGCTCATTGGCGTCAAAACAAACATCTGACAAGGACGAAAAGGGGTCAAAACATGCGCTTCAAGGCGCTTGTTTAATCGCGAACAAATTATCGCAGATGTGGCCAAATTTCCTTCTAATGCCACTGCATGGTATCAGCAATTTTGGACAGTTTCTTGCAAACTTCGCATTAATTAACATCCAAATGATTTCCAGGGAATTCTTCTATGTTGGTAGTGACACAGTTATCGATCGATTACCAACCTGTTAATTCTTATCATCAACTTTCTTGGCAAGAATATTTTCACTCTATTTTCCGAAACTTTTACCCTGAAATTTGCACTATCTTACAAAATTTCCCCGTACTCTTATCGATTTTCACAAAAAGAATTCCGAGTAAGGGATAAGTATTTTCATCGTTTCAATTTATTCTGAAAATTTTCACTTACCAAAAGCATATTATCCGGCTTAAGATCGCGATGGATAATTCGATTTAAATGCAGGTATTCCACCCCCGACAGGATGTCACGGAAGTATAGGCGTGCCTGTTTTTCCGACAAGGGCGATGCTGCAACAAAATCGAACACACGCACAATTAATTCCCCATTCTGCCCAATTAGCAGGAACGCAACAGCGAAAGCCTACCTGTCGGCACTTCAAGCACCTTGCCGCCTTCCATCAACTCAAAGACCATGTACAGATTGTCCTCCTCGGGATCATCCAGCACGTCCACCAGTTTGACAATGTTGGGATGGTTCAGTTTTCGTAAGATGGCAATCTCCCGATACGGATCTTGTGAGGGCTTGGGTGAGCTTCTAGACAACAAAAGCAACGCCGTCGGTCAATTTAGGTCAGCTATAGGCGTATAGTACGTGTTATGTTGTCGACTAAAGAGGATGCTTATCAACCGCACCGGCGTTCGACAGGGTCACTCAAAGGTGAGAGACGATCTCAATGCTAATCGGAATTTTAACCGGGACATGCGATTAATACGGACTTCAAGATTATTTGCTTAATGATTTTACTAGGTTTGCTTTTAGAGCGCTCTGCCGTAGCCCGATGGAAATTGTATCCAAACGTTTATTTAACGCTTTATAGAACATATTCAGATCAAAGTGCAAGCACAAATATACATGCTTAACCGCATTCGATCTGACAGCTATTATTTATTGTTACGCTGCTGCGAAAAGAAATCTTTAAATTCAAACTTATCCTGACAATATTTATCAAAACCATAACTCAATTTCTAATCGCGTTGCAGTAATACATTCGTCACAGTAATCTTTCTATCGAAAACATTTGATCACAACAAAATTCCGTCACGAGCCCATCGATATTTTTGCATAAAATTTTCCAATTCACAGCTGTTTCTAAATACGCAATACACGATTTTTATTCAAGCACAACGTTCTTCACAAGCAGCTGATTTCGTTATTCACGCTACATGTACCGCATACACAAAATCACAACCATTTATCCATTAAAATGTCGCGAAAAAAAACCTCACTACTCAAAAGTCATTCAGGCTTTAAACTAGCCAACCCATTACAAAGAAATCTTGTCAAAAAACCATTGTTATTGCGCGCGAATTACCGCACCGCCATAATAAAAAGGTCATACACACATACCTACATATTTACCGGTTTTAACACATCACACATCAGCCGGCAAAAACATTTGCACACACACTGTGACGCAGCCCTGCTACCGGTGCGTGTACGCTGTTTGTTACGGTAGTATGTACTGCAATATTTTTATTTCACATGCAGCTTCCTGACAGAAGAAACAGCGTACCCATACAAAACACATCTAGGGTTTTTCGGAGAAAGTTAGTATAACGATTCGCATAACAACCCTCGAACTAGCTTTATTGACAATTCTGCCATGCCCACCCAAATACTGCATCTCCACACATACAGAATACGCTGAAATGTGCAATTTTTTCGCTAACCCATAGTACACCTATTCACCTACAATCCGGTAAACATATCGATGTGCTTAAAAGTTCTACCAGGAATGATTCGCTCTGTCAGATCGTCAATCGCATAAAGAAACGTTGGGTCACATGAAAGCAACATCATCTGCGGCAGCTACTCAATTAACACCACAGCCCGAATTTTTCAACAACTATTTTTCAAATAAATAACAAAACTACTATAAATAAATGACCAAAAAATATTTGTGGAAAAGCAGTTAATCAAACAAGCAATGCGGATTAATCCACTTGGGCTTAGTCGCGACTAATAATTTCTCTCATGTTTCCCATCTCTTAATTGTTGCTAGTAATTTTTGTTTTCAAATTTGTAGCTGAGATTTCCGCAAGATGCCCGCAACGTTCTTGTTTTCGGCGGAAAGACAAACACCAACCCGTCGCGATGCACAGTCAGATTCGCGCAGTGGCGCAATCTTGATGGCAGTCAATCAGCATACAAAAGCCGGCATGTATTAATTTGAATTGCCTGACTAACCTTAGAGGTGACTTTTTTGTCCTTCACACAATACACCTCGCCGCGGAAACAGGCTGCGCGCGCTGTAAGCAGATTGCGATCTCTTGTGTTCTCTCCTACCCTCAACAATTTATCAGATGCAGTAGCGCATTTAGCGACAAAGCCCACATTTTATCACCATCGCATATGTATTTCGGAGATGACAATCATAAAAATACAGGCTCGTGCCTGGTTGTGCAAAAATTCTGCCCTGTTCGGCTTCCCTAATCGGTCAAATACTTGCACGATGATTCAACACACACTTTTTGTTATTCAAAGGATAAAAACAAAAACAATAAATTCCTGCTCTGTTATTAATACTCATTATCATTTTCATGTACATTTTTTCAATGCAGACAAATTAAAATCCCATAAATCGAATTAAAACTATTGCTATAGTACGTACTTGTAACTATTCTCATGCCAAAAACTTCCGAGCATTTGATACATTATTGACTGATAACATTAATCAATGCAGCACATGACCGGCAGCGACTGTGCAGGTACAATGAAAGAGTGACGACTGTAGTATTCGGAATTGTGCTAATCAAGTTAATTAATCGAAAGCGCGCCAAAAATTCTTATCACCAACAGTCGTACAAACCTTATCATGATGTTTACCAAATTTTCACATTAGTTAACTAGCTCCCTAAGGTAGTTCAATAATCCACTCTCCAAAAATATACTATGTACCTGTCAAATAAGTAACTTTTCCAGCTGCTTGTGTAATAAAAATCCAATGTTTTCCTGCGCCTACGTAGCCTGTATGCGAAAGCCTACTCGTACACGCCCCACGGACGCCAAGCATGTGCTTTTCCTGTTGTATCGCCTACTACATGTGCAAAAATTGGCTACATATTCCAGAAAAACATCTTATGTAACCGCATATAGTGCCGTTAAACTGACTGCACGACGCACGTATCGTCGTACAAGCATATTACGGCCAGTCGGCCATTTTATGCAACAACATATACTACTATAGCAGATATAATAAAAAATCAATAACCGAGTGTGCAATCCCGGTGAAAACAGGCCCATTTCCTATGCCCGATCAACGCACGCTTTTTAGCACAAACCCGTGTGTAGCACTGTTACGACAACACTGGCTGATTTGCCGTCAATGGAGTTTGTCTTCAACCCGGTTGTTGTTCACACTGTTATGCAATTCAAAATTCAGGACTAGGACACACCGTCTGTTGTCCCTGCTGCAGCCAATAAAATTTATAAGTCAAATGGAGTTTGGAGCCAAGCATTTAAAACCAACCCTTCCGCTTTGGACACAGCAAAACGTTATCGTCTCAGCCCAGCACAAAATTAGAAAACTTCATACTGCAAGACTATAGCTGATAAATGCAAACCCAAATAGGTAACATTATAATATTTTATCCCTTCGAAAGAAAATTTAAACCCGACCTAATTTGTAACAAAATCTATCGGACAAATACACGAAATCCTATTCGACTTATTTGTTCCATCCATTTAACTTAAAACGCTACGGTATTCTGTACATTGTCATCCCCTAAAAGTGCAAAACATTTCTATACCTGACCCAGATGAGCAGACTATTTCCAGGCTAACCTTTTCACTTGCGAAACATTGGCTCATCGATCTATTATTGAGTTACTCTAAATAATATACAGGAGCAGCTCTGCGCCAAGCAACTTTATGCCGTGTTCCCAGTTGAAAACAAGGCACGGATCGAATGGTTGCAGGGCTAGGTTGAAGACTCTGTTACGGCTTTTTCATCCCAACCGGAAATTCCTCACTGCTCTGCAGTGTGGCGGCGTAAATGCCAATACCGTAGCCTCCAGCCGCGAGTGTGGCAAGGCTAAATGTGGATTGCGCTGCGCAGTGCCGCTCGCTCTGTGCGATAATAACACAGTTCGCGGAAATGGAAACGAACGCGCTTGCCGCTTAGTATGTAACGTTTTCCATATTTAACAATGGTTTCGGATAAATTATTAAAACACAGCCCCAGATAACCTGCTTCATGATTGGGGCAAATCAGCAAAAAACGTTTCCATTTTTGAAATAGAAAAGCTTCAAAAGCAATAAAACAGGGGGGAAATGTTTATTGCTGCTAAATTATTTTACCATAAAGATTAATCGAAAAGATATCCTGATGCGTTTTATAAGAATTATTATTCACGCGAAGCCTAAGCACAATGTTTCCACCCAAGTTAACAAATATTTTCGTCCTTATAAACGTCCTCCAACCCAAAATTAAGCTAATCTTAGCTGATCAAAATTAGCTGAATTACGGGAATTATCTTCCTCACACCGTATAAGTCCCGACGCTGATTACAGGTTCCTGCTTCATCTCTCCCAGCCCAATACGCCGACTGCGCAGCAACACAAATTATGCACTACACTGCTTCACGTGCTAATATTGTTTATGGTCCCTGATAGTAATATCACCACAATTCTCCGTAATAATAACTACGACAGACACAACCATCTAATCTGCATACAACACGACCCGTCAAATTGAACAAAACACCGCCTTATCAACAGAAAAGTCATAATGGCGTACGCGGTAGTAAATTCATAAATTTCCTTAAAACCAGTGACAACTTACTTGAACAACATGGCCCGTTTCATGAGTTTGGTCTTGGAGAGGATTTTCATGGCATAACGATTGTTATCCTGGCGGTTAATGGCCAGCTTGACAATACTTATTATTGCTTCTTTGAAAATATGCATAACCGGTCATTAGTCTAAAAGTTTGCCTATTGTGTGCAACTGGCAGAAATACTTCGCGTGAAAACAAAACGGCTTAACCGAACTGATGGAGTTCGGTTGCACACCCGATCAACCTGCAAGCCGGTACCGGCACGCGTTTTAGCCATCGTCCACGCGCAACACGCCCAACTCAGCAGGCGAATCAATTTTCCCGTTCTCTCAAGTACTTACCGAGTATAGATCTGGTCAATCTTACGCAGAATTGTTGAGCCTCCGCTTGAATGTAAACGTTTCCAGGAAATACGCAGACGGCGATCAGTCAGCTGTGTGTTGCACAGCCGTCAAGGCCAGTTGGTTTGTATGTGAAATCCGTCCACACAATAGAATAGACAGAGCAAGCGAGGATACTGCTGGTCTTCTCAGAATAGCCACTGGTCACTTTAGGGGAAAATGCGTGCAAGGCAGTTATTAAGAGGGGAGTAAATACGCCGAAGGGCAGATCAAAAGACCGTATCAGTCAGCACAGCTGGCCGTGTCCTTTTGAGAGGAACAAACGATAATTTACGGGAATAAATTACAACAAAACTAGACGCCTTTGTATAAAATAGATTAGAAGGGAATTTAAATCAAGGCTGCATCGGATCAGGTGGAAACAGAAATCTCTTCTTACGAAGCTTGTAAACTTTAGTAAAGCCAAATCGGCGCATTATGATTGGAAGAACTTTAAATAGAACCGCCAGGAATGTAAGAAACTTGGTTCCATCATGCGCAAATCTAGAACCTGTGTAGAGGCAGGTCCAGACGGTTTAGAAATAAATTATAATTCTTTAACGAACTCTGAACGGTACTAAACGCTGTCGAAGGCATATAAAAATGTTTTCACGGTGCGATTTGTCATCAGGAATTCGGCTGATAGGGATGCACAAGAAAATGAATTCGGAATCTGTGAATTACATTCGTACATGTGGCTGTTGTTGTAAGTAGACCAAAATGCCGGCCATGTGCAGTAGAGCTAACCTGGACTCCGGCAGTGTAAGCTTATCAGTGCCTTATCCGGTTCAAGCGGCTGGGTGTAAGTGCTTGTACGCGCTTACTCATTTACGAGAGCTCGTACACTAGCGTGCTCGACATAAGCAGCTGTTTTGCGCTTGCTGCTTGTCGATTGGTTGGCGGTGCGCCAAACTTGACAGCTGAAGCAGAGAAAAATAAATAGCGTACGGAACTTCACAAGCCTGGGTCCGCAGCGTAGATCTGGATGATAAATGTCGCAGGCAAAGTCACCTTGGAACAGATCATATGATGTTTTGCAACCCGCACCAATACCTCTGGATGCAACTCAAGTGGATGTATGGGCCAAATAACCAGTGCATGGAGCATGGTGTTTGGTGCAGTATTTATTAAAGCTTTAAGCACTCATATAACACCAAAACATGAATTTACACATCATTCATAGACCATGTTGCAGTTGTACGCTACACCTTGCTTGTACACTACACCTTCCACAAGTGAAAAGTAAAATTTAATATGTATTGATATTAATTTTATGTGTTACGGGCATTTACACATTTATCGTACCACTGTACGCATTTATCAATCAATTCTTTTCTTTCATAGAAAACTTAATTACAAAAAAATTATCAAATTTTCATTTTAAACTGTAGTAATGCGTTCACTGCATGAGTGTATGTACGTGTTACCCACCAGTTACAGAGTCATCGGCAGACCAAAAAAATATACGTACTTGAAATATATGGATATTTATATATATATATATATATATATATATATATATATATATATATATATATATATATATATATATATATATATATATATATATATATATATATAAAGAAATATTAACTTTTATTGTCAGATTTCTGGTAAAGAGACGATTATCGTAAAAAAAGCTTTATGCCTAACAATGAATTTACCTATGAGCGAACAAATGAATCTATCTTACGGTAAATTACATATAGATATATTAATTTACAATGATTTTAAATGGTTGAGTTTCGTCTTCATCAAAGAACATTGCACTAATAATTATTTAATAGTTTGTTCGGTAAAATTTATCCAGGTATAGTGAAATACGTACTCAGATCTAGACCAAGAGAAACAATATTAATTTTTGTCTATACTTCGAAGTATGGATTAATACTCGTACTGAAGTGCTACAGTAGTATCTATATAATATCAATTATCATTAATATGTAGTACAGTATGCTTATGTATTATGCATGTACCTTGTGAAGCTTTTTGAAAAATCCAACATCCTTCCTAATCGGGTAGATGTCAATTTCTTGGTTTGTGGTAACAATTTGGTAGCTGCAAACGTGTGCTGATCAAATTGTTTAAAATGCCGTCCGACTATAAATTAAGTACAGTACTGCATATAAACCGGGGGTTTATCCCATGCATGCCCGTGAATCCTGACCTTTACTGCGAAAGTTTTTCCCTTCTGCTCGACCTTAACCAAGTTAAATTGTATCGCCCGACTATCGTTTCAATTGCAGATGGTGTTTTCGAAAGGGGTGCATGGCCCGTGCATGTATCCCGTGTACGGTAGAAATACAGAGTACTGTATAGAGATATTTATACCTGGTTTTGTGATCCCCCAGAATCTCAATATTGTAAAAGGATGCATAAAAGTAAACAATGCTTTACCGGGACAATCTGCAACGTTCTAGCATCCAAAATCTTACCTCTGAACTGGAAGGCGACGAAAAACACATCCACAGTAATCATTTAAAAAAATTCTAGCGTACAAAGCTGCACACAGTATTTTAAAAGTAATGGGCGGCAGAAAAAAATATATGACGTGTGCAGTGGTAAAATATATATTGGGATAACTACTGTACAAGTACTCTAGTGACTTGTGACAACCAACTTTCGAACAACAACCAAATCAGATCAGGACCTTTTGACTGTCCAACTTCAGTATGTTGCGTTTTAGATTTCTACGATTTCCAATTTTCTTACCCGCTAATGTACATAATTCTGATATTAATTTTGCGCATGTAGTGGTACGTTGATGTCTTGGCAGAAATATTTACAAAGAACAAAACCGTTTACCAATACTATATATAAAATTTGGCTTTGCTCAATGCACGCCAACGTAAGTTGTAAAGGAACACATTTCTGCGACTGCATTAATTCTGTGTACAGTCTGAGGAATCCACATGGCAGAGATACAACCCGAAAATGTACTCAGCATACAAACAAAAACATGCTAAAATAATAGTAAGTACAACGAAAGCCCAAACCGAATTAAATGCTTTTGACAGCTACTCGTTTTACACAACAAAACGCATGCTTTAATACAGAGTAATCACAGCTTGCCCAAGTGTAAGAAGTCGAAAGATCATTATAATAATTACTGCAATCGCATTTCAAGTCGTGAAATATTATGAATACAGTTCAATTGCAGCCTATAAAATCAACAAAACAGTTAGTTAAACTATCACGATAACACCCAAGAATATATCATAAACGTGAAGTGGTGCCGTAAAACGGAAATCGCAAACGCTTTCGCGCGAAGTGTAACAAGTTACACAGGTAGATGCATCGATGTTCATATCGCTCGTCCGAAGTGATTTAACTATGCACCACTCCGAATTTTGCCGACAAACAAACAAAAGTTGAAAGTTGTTTTCATCCGATATCTCCGGCAGTGACAGCAAAAACTCCTTTGATGTCGAAATGCGGATTGACATGACCCCGGTACATCACTATGGCCACTTCTTCCTGGAATTTCCCATTTGCATCCTTAACAAACTGCTCAATATCGGGATTATCTTTTAGCACTTCGAAGTATATAACGCTAGGGTGGGAAATGCGCAGTAGAAAGCTGTTTATTATTTCCATGGCAATTTCTTTACTGTCCGCGTACAGCGGTCCCAGTCGATAGTGACCACTCTGGTAACCGCGTCGCAGTACTCCCAGTCCTTTGATCACATTTTCACCCGTGTATACTAGCGTCACGCATCCGGGCTGTGTAATCCACGCTTTGAGAAAATCCTTCCGGTCAACGGGAAAATACTTCCGGTAGAAATGTGCCACATCATCCAGCAAAATACCACCGGCATTATATTTGGCAATATTGTCGCTGTTACTAGACCGGTTAGCAGGAATGCTATCAGTCCGTATTTCGCAGAACCCCGCTTTCCCGCACTGCCGAAATCCATCGCGTTCGTAGCGTGCTACCATCCCGGGAGCGGCGTACAGACCAATTGTGCGGAATCCGCAGTGCTTCAAGCCGGCATTCCACAGGTGTGTTCCCATCCCCTTGCCGCGGTATTTTGGATTCGCCCAGAATGCTCCGATGAAACTGTAGTCACTGGTGTAGTTCACTGCGCAGATAACGACGACTATTTCGCCGTCTAGAACGCCCATAAACAGACCGTTAGGATCGATGACGCTGTACAAAGGGAAATCCTGGACGCCCACTGTCCAGTCGGGATCGTCTTCCCGTATCCAGTCCGAAAAGCAGCGGTTCATCTCGGAGTAATCCTGCAAGCTACTCGCACGAACCACGGTAAAGTTTGGTATGTTTGCCATTTAACTTAACGCCACTTAGATCTGTTAAAGAGGAGTGATTGTCGATTCCCGTCGATATATAGTATTTCGCTGACAAAAATTAGTTCAGAGTCTTCAAACGACAGTAAATCATAAGTGGGAATCGGGGATTACGAAGACTTCGGAAACACGTGCAGCAGAATACGATTGTAAAGCTCTAAACGGCTTGTACTTACAGTTAATCCGTGCAACATTTTTGTAAAACTTCAGCGGAATTCACATTGATGAAGTCATACCATAGAAAAGCCAGGCTAAACTCGTATCATCAGCTAAAGGCATGCCAGTACGCGTAAATTGGGTCGTCCTAACAGAATGATATCCGAGTATGAAGTGTAACTGTGTATTTATAAACACCATAAAATCGTCAGAATATGAAGTACATTACTTCTGGCCGGAAATACACTTGCAGTAATGTATGATGGCGCTGTACTTGGTCGATACAAAGTTTATAATTACTTTAATTGTGCTTTTTTACACGGTGTTTTCCGGTGTCCCCTCTCTGTGTAAATCCCAGCTCCACTTTACTTGCCGGAAGCTTAACAATTTACGATCACGGGCCAATAAACGTTGTTTGCCACCGGTATAATAATCAAAAACCCATTGCTGCAGAAACTGTAGGCAAGTAGAACAAAATGAAAATACAAAAGAAAAACGAAAAACAGAAAACGAGGGGACCAAGCAGTTCCCTCCACATAAAGTAGAAATTCCAGGAACAAGTGCCTTGCAGGCATTAACAAGGGAATGTCGGAGCTTTATGATGGGAATTGGAATGACAACCCACTCAACTGCAACTCACCGATATGCACGGATAGCTGCTTGCTATCAAACGCTGATGTCAAGCCAAATTAAAACAGCAAAAAAGTACACTAATTACAAGCAAAACGGGTTGTATTAAAATTTATAAAAACATCATATAAAAGGTAATCACAGCGTTTTACGTGCAGTTAAGAGTACAACTCATATTCAGGACGAGTTCTAGATCAACACCCCCGGGATGCAAATTAAGTGTCTGTAAATTAAGTGTCGATGTAAAACATTAATCTAAAAGCCTTTCAGTTATCCTCCTATGTCTCCACAAGTAACAGCAAATACTCCGTTGACATCGAAATGCGGAATGTTCTGGCCGCGGTACATTACTGTTGCAACCTCCTCGTGAAACCTCCCTTTAGCGTCTTTAACGAACTGCTCCACATCGGGATTATCTTTCAATACTCCGAAGTATATAACAGACGGATGAGAAATGCGCAGTACAAAATCGGCCATGATTTCCACGGCAATGTCCTTACTGCCCGCATACAACGGTCCCAAAAGGTAGCGACCACTCTCACAACCGCGTCTCAAAACACCCAGTCCCTTGATTATATGGTTCTTTACATACAACAGCGTCATGCATCCGGCCTGTGCTATCCAGGCTTTTAGAAAATCCCTGCGGTCAGCGGGAGAATATTTCCGACAGAATTGCGCCACATCTTCGAACGGAATATGACCCGTATTATTGTAGTCGACGATATTCTCGCTGATGCTGCGCCGGTTCGCTAAGATGTTATCAGTTCGAATTTCGCACAATCCCGATTGTCCGCACTGCCGAAATCCATCACGCTCGTAACGGGCCACCATCCCGGGAGCGGCGTACAGACCAATTGTGCGGAAGCCGCAGTGCTTCAGACCGGCATTCCACAGGTGTGTTCCCATTCCTTTGCCGCGGTATTTCGGATTCGCCCAGAATGCTCCGATGAAGCTGTAGTCGCTGTTGTAATTCACTGCGCAGATGATGACAACAATTTCGCCGTTTAGTACGCCCATAAACAGACCGTTGGGATCGATGATGCTGTACAGGGGGAAATCGTGGATGCCCACTGTCCAGTTGTCGGGATCATCTTGTTGCAGCCAGTCCGAGAAATGGCGGTTCATTGCGGAATAATCGCGCTGGCTGCTGGCGCGAACCAACGAAAAGTTTGGTATTTCAGCCATATGTGGTTGGAGCTCTAGCGAGCAGATCGTTCAGTTACTGTATTATAATGAATTCCCTGACTACAATATTTCGCGCACAGTGGGCAGTGATCTGCTTCACATAATTTGGCACTGCGCGAAATCAAGGACGGCCAAAAATTCATAAAAGTCACGGAATAGAAACTATAAGTACAACATGTAAACTTACGAGTAAAATTGCTATGTTCAGCTAACTCACAACGTTTCTACTTTCTAGTAAGTACTGTACTTAAAAGATTGCGATAATCCTTGCACTTGGCACTTGCAGTCTGACGATATCCCAGGGTGTACAAAGCAAGTCTAGCAAACCAGTTTGTTAGCAGAGCGGCTGGTCGACAAACGCAATGGATAGAAGTATGCATGCATGTGGTACCACAATACATCGTAGTAGTACCGTGCCTGATCCTTGGCAATTACATAATCTACATTATCTACGATTCTCGTACTGTCATTCCAATCTTAGTAACTGTATTTAATGACCGCAAATTGAACTGAATTGTTTATGATGGTTAATTGTTAAGTACTTTTTTCAGTTTATATATGCCATTACTGATTACTAGTACGAACACTGGAGCCCACCGGGCAAGTTAAGTAATGATTTATCAGAAGTTACGAGTATTATCCATTGGTAATCTGCGAGCATCACTAAAGGAATAATGTTTAAATTTGAATCTTTAGAAGGTTTCGACTTGCCGACTTCCGCTGGCTTTGATTATGCTCTATACCGTGCTTAAGGGAATATGGATCAGTACTAAAAGTAGTCTGCTATTTATAAATTATAAATTTTCGAATAGCGTAAAGAAGCCGATACTGACAAATCGTGGTAATTTCGTAGATAGAGTTTGTTTGTTTAATCTTTAATCTGCAGCAAGAAAAAGAAAATTATTTTGATTATTTGAAAACAAGCAACTATTTTCCAGAAATAGCGAAGTAATACCTACATCACTGTACAAGTCACAAGCCTTCCTCAACATGGCAGGCAACTTTCCCAAGATTCACACAACGTGTTAATACTATATTCACATGCACTGAGCAATTAACAAGCACGCTTTATGCCGAAGCAGCGGCGTCTCCTCCAGCGGGGGCGGCCGCAGCCGGAGCGGCGTCAGCAGCCGGAGCGGCATCAGCGGCGGCGGGTGCTGCAGCATCAGCGGCTTTTTCGGGAGCCTTCTCTTCGGCCTTGGCCTTGGCCTTGGCGCCCTTCTTCTTTCCTCCGGACGCAGCCTTAGCCGGTGGAGATGAGGCCTGATCGGGGGCTACAGCGCCGAGGCTGTCGGCAATCTTGTAGCTGTCCTCATCATCCAGCAGGCGGACATCGTGACCTTGGTACAATCGGCTGTTGGAGTAGTCATAGAAGCTCTTGGCTTTCGAGCAGTCCACATCGTAGAACCAGTGGCAGACCAGCGTAATTTGGTTGAAGATCTGTACAGCGCGGTATGCATCAGTAATCTATCTAGAAGGTTTATTTATCGATAAAAAAACATTTACGTACGCGTGGTACTTACTGTTAAGTTAGGGCACAGATAAGCAGTCTGGTTTCCATTGATGTCACAGCGTCGGATAACTGAAATCAATAAAATTTTAATACCACCAGAAATTAATATAAATGTTTCGTCGATAATTAGCTAATGGGTGTAGCCGGCGTGTTTAGATGGCGAAATTTATGCGCGTAATTTTAACTGCACGCACCTTGGCATTTGGTGTCAACATCGGCATAAAAGCCAGGCTTAACGGATGCGCAATCAAAATTTCCGGCAGGGATTTCGCTAAGGTTAGGATAGTCCTGGCCAGCTTTGGCGTTGGCTAATAAATTCCGGATGTCTTCGATTCCCAGTCGGGCTTTACCACGTAGCTGATCCAAGGCGCTCCACACTCCAGGACTTTGGGCTTGGCGTTTGACCTTTAAATAGATATTTTGACTGATAAATTAATACTTCGACTTAACTCGGGATTGGTTCAACTGGAAAAATTATGAGTGGATTAAATAAGGAATTAAGGAATGCAAAGAATAAGTAAAATGTAAATCAAATTGGAGTTGTTTCTCCTCACAGTTCAGTCGTAATACTACGTAGCTTACCACACCGGCATAGGATACTCCCAAAAGGGCAGCCAAAAGGATTAAGTACTTCATGTTGTTGATTAGAAGCTTTAATGCTAACAATTATGCAGACAATACTACGTCAAATACCAAACAAGCCGATTATTGCTCGCAGTCGGAAGAGCAGACCACGAATGAAGTGATGATAAGATCCGTAACACAGCCTTTGTAATATATACAAGCATGTTTTGGTAAACACATTCACCGTTTGTTTGTGGCTATTTCTCCGAGGGTCAACGGTTCGAAGAGAGACAATTACGACAATACATCATCATCTCGGCTAAATTTACGAACTGATACATCAATCTGGACTGCCTAACACGTGTAAAGTTTGTTATTTCCACCAACAGCGAGCATTGCTCCAGTTTTAGAATTTTTTGGCATAATGATGCCGACGGTCCTACCTACATAATTGTAAGCGTACTTACTAAATCGACTAACTTTTAATATAGTGTCGACAATGTGTCTTTGTAGAAATTTTGATGTATCATTACAACAATTACACAAAATAAATTAGCACGTAGGTCGTCCAAACAGCTATAATTTGACAAGTGATACTACTGTTTGGATGAGCAGCAGTGAGCATATTCAGTATATTATATTTCATCAGATTTCACAAAATAATTTATCTTCCTCGATTTTAAAATATTTTTCTCGATTCTCGCGCTTTCCGGTTCCAAATCTCTCGATCGCATTTGCTGGGGTTCACCATACGCGCAAAGAAAAAGATGCAACTACAATACCTCTAATGCCAAACTGCCAACCATAGAAGCTTGCAGCAGATTGTGTTTGTCTCACTAACTATCAAAAGGTACACGCCTATAGTAATGTGGGATAAAACTATCCGTATATCTGTGTGGTTACTGGTTAGTAGAAGCATATTTGGTGCTTCTATCTATACACAGAATTACACATACTAAATATGTAACTACGAGTATCCGAGCTAGCTTTGCTGTAAAACTGATAGAACTTTTGCAGTTCTCCAACAAGTACCAACCACCAGAGGAAGTGGTTATTGGGCCAATTAAGCAGCAGATTTAGCGGCGTATGGACGAATCTAACCTATTAGTAGTGTGTGCGATTTTCGTTCATTAAATTATTTCTCTATCGTTTATTGTGTAATTTTATTTGCATGTACAAGTTTACAACTGCCGTCGACAATAACACGAAATCCACACCAGTCCGGCATGCAGCTTGGTTCAAGGTACAAACAACAGTAAATCATTTTATATAATTTGAAACAATATAATTTGATCGCAGAACTTTGTACAAAATCTTTGATCACATATCAAAAAATAAATTTCCAAAAGACACATCGCCTGCAGAATGCATAATTTTCTGCAGCCAACAGCGTTACCACTTAACCGCGGAACCAACCGCAAACAACATTAACGCTATCAAATATTCACCTGCCGGTCATAAAATGACACACACAGCACTGTTGGTACTACGCGGCAGATTCTTCTGTATAGCTCGTTGTATGGCCTGTTCGTTCTTCAACAGACCCACCGCTGCGGTGTAGATCTCTCTGTTGAACTGTCCCGCACAGATATCCAGATCATTTTGAGCACGCACCTGCGGCCGGACCTTGACATCGAAGATGGCATACACCGGCCGATGGTCGGACGTCTTAATACTGGTGGCCGCGCCGTAACAGCGGCAGATGATGGGATTGCCTTTGCCGTTGGAGCGGAAGAGGATGCGGTCGGTGTAGGACGGAATGCGCTGTTTGGAGGAGCGATCATAGTGATCCGAGTTGAGATCAAACTTGTAGGTGGGCAAGAAGCTGATGGGATGCTCGCTGAAGTCGTGGATGGCGCAGCGTGTCTTGTGCGTGTACAGCTGATCCCACATGAGCAGTTTCTGAAAGTGTTCACCGTTCTCGTTGTCAGCGGAGCTGCGCGCCCCGCTGATCGTCGTCTCCACATTCTCGCGGGTCTCATTCAGGCGAAAATTGAAATCCCCAAACCAGAAGACGTAATCCACAGCGTCGAAGCGGTTGCCCAGCCGGTTCTGCTCCAGGCTGCGCGGTAAATTGAGCTCCATGTAGATGCGATTTAATTGGTCAATGCGCACGTCGACTTTCTCCCGCGAATGCCCGGCAGTCAAGTGCGAGGTGAGGAACATAAAGGATGAGCCAAACAGGTACAGCATTACGCCGACAAAGCCTTTGCTGTTCTTTTGATTAATCAGACGCAGATGATGCCGGGATACTAATGGTTTCGTACAGAACCAGATCAGGTCGCGTCGTAAGAAGATGCTAATGTGAATGGTGCCCACCGACTCCGAAGCATACAGCACATGACTTAAGCCGATTGTTTTCTGCAGACCCACCTCCCAGGTGCGGAATTCTGGTATGCCTTCTTGAACACCTACGAGTAAACGATAAACACAATCAGCTGAAACTCCATTTGCACAAACAGAAACATACTTTTTGCAGTCAACAAAGTGTAGTGAATTTTCAGAATCATGCAGTAAACCTTAATTAACCGCTCTACACCATACAGTAAATGTTATTTGTACTCGTATCCATTTCATTTTCCGCTGTGAGGGTCGTACAGAAATATAATATTTAAATTGTTTGTGATATTATGCTGCAGATCGAAGTGGTAATAAACTTAATTTTAATCAACATGACGCAGTGGAAAGTTCACACATTAAAAATTCAGTATTTGTGCAGAATTTACCAATGGCATAAAGGTCACACATTTCGGCAGCCGCGGGTTTTTTCGGGAATAAAAAATCTTTCAAATCTCCAAATGTCTCTTGGCCATTAACATTCCACGTCCCGATAAAAACGCGTAAATGATGATGGGGTAGATGTTTATTGAGCTCCTCCAGACTGAACAAATGATCGACATTCAGCGACTGCTTCACCAACGATTTCCACTCTTGCAGTACTTCCTCCACCAGGGATTTGCGTCGCACCAAACTCTCGATATCCTGCGCCTGGGTGGCATTGGAATTCGTCACACTAATGGCGTCTTCATGGAAGGAATCGGCCGACAGACTGCGACAGTCCGAGGCGGACGACCAAATCTGTGAGCCGTGCGCTGACACCGTCAGCACATTGGCCAGCGGATCGACATACGGCGAGCCGTCCTCACCCATCGGGAATGTCACCTCCACGGCCGCCGGCACCGTGTCCGTGGGCAGCGGCTCAACGAAAACTGTGTTGTCGTGTGCAGCTGCTGGACTGTGTTTGCCGTTGAGCTGCGGCTCTTCCACGACAACATGATCACTGGACGCGGTACTGGACGGTTCATCCTCGGATTTTTCCACGTATTTCCGTATGACACTTTTGCGTTTGGGATAGACTTTTTCGACGGGTGGATCGGCCATGGCATGGTCTGATTAGCACACTAACGCCGATACACGGATGGATAATGGTTGACCTGGGGAAAGGCGATAATGGCACGGGTTTACTATCAACAAACCTGCCGTGAACAAGCAGTTTCAACCTGCAGGATGGTACTCTAAAATGTGATCGATACTGTCAACGGAGCACTGAATAAAAGACGGAGCTGTGTGAGATCCAGGTGGGATCTCCGCTGTGCAGGTAGCAGCGTTATGGTGTATGTATATGGATATCGATCGGAAAAGACATTAATCCTTGTTGTTCGCACCGGTAAGTGGTTTCGTGTGACCTAATCCGCGTTACTTCACCTTCTGCATCACCGGTTTACGGTAGAATCTTTTGAGGGACCCTGATTGTTGGCTGTTTTTATTTGCCTGCGCGGTCGTCTTCGTCTTACAAAAATTTTTCCATGACCGAACGGGTTACATATTTATAACCCAAAACGGAAAAAAACGCATACAATTTTATCTCCGAATACCGTATAATTATGTGTGAAGACGTTCTGTCCCAGCCAGGGTCATATAGATAAAATAACAGTGTAATTACACCAAGGTCAATTTTAAGTATGCCTTGCGCTAGAGAGGTTGGAATTATACGTGGTATACAACTTAAAATTTTATCAAATTAAGTATCTTGTGGTCTATACCTTGCTACAGTATAATGGCATGTTGGCATCATTTATAATCTGTAGTAGTAACTTACAAAATATGCCGTCCATATTATAAGCCATTTTTGTCCAGTGACACGTATCGGCACTCGAGACAGTTAATTTCATGGCGCATATATACTCGGTAGGTAATCTGCAATGTCTGGAGAAACGTACGAGTATCACGCGCTAGGAATGTTTTTCAGTAAAACCATTACGTGCTAAGAAATTTCCGGGCGCATGAAGTGACGTATTCTGTATTGCTGAGAAAAGTTATACTAATAATCGTATTCAGTATATTAAATATGTAACGGAAGTACCTAATTTCGCAATATTACTCTTATAAACAGATAAACTGTGCGGGAACTTTGTTCATGTGTTTTGCACTATACAAATTTGTACTTGGTCAAACATTTTTAATACTGTTTGACCATTGGTTGCCTGTTGCATTTTTACTGAGAATCACCTTAAAAAAGGATTTATTAACAACACTAGCAGAATCATGAACCATAGTTGCATAAAACACAGTTGTAAATTATGGTGGTTCACTGTTACGTTACGATGTGAACGGTAAACCCAAAGATTCACAGAAAATAATACTGGACAAGTTGTCAGAATCAGTGAAAGATCTACGGTATAAGTCACACCACAGAAGACCGAATGAACCACTTTATGCTTTATAACTATAAAATTATAAATAAATTCACCGTAGCTCATTTCTTCGAGGCAGTTTTAAATAATGCTCGGCAGTTGATAGACATGCGATGATCCGGAATGACGATGATGATGAAGCCGAGAACAATGAGGATCGATCCAATTATTTCCAAATGAGAAAATTCCACGTGACGCAGAAAGTAATCAATTCCTACAAAAAAATCCCGACTTAACACAAATTACTTCCTGCAACGCAGTCTAATTTCACCACCTACCCATATTTCCCGGGATCCTTAGTAAGCTTCCAAAAGACATCAACAGCGGCGTGGCAACTATTAATCCATAATTCATCAGCTTGGCCGCGACTACAAAATCCAACGGCATCGATAATTACTGCATGACAAAATGTGCCACACTAGCAAAATTAGTATTTAACATTTTCCCGATATACCGGTAAGCATGTTACATATATATACATTGTAATCACGACAACGCCGGTGATTCCCCTTTGATTATACGAGTAATCAAATTTTTTAATTACGTAACACCCACATAAGGAGCAGATCCCGGAAAGAAGCATCCAATTCCAGGGGATACTTTCCCAGCTCCACACTTCCGCGTACGTCATCTTCATCCACAAGGGAATTGTCCAGAATATGGCCACGGTGAATGACGCCGCTGTCGTCAGGAAGCAACAACATTGTCCAAATGTCAGACGTTTGTAAACGTGTTTGTAGTACATCTAAAAGGCAAACTGCAATTTTAGAATTTCATCGCATACAGGCGTTGATAATATCAATCAGCTCACAATGTTAAAACAGAAAATGGATGTCGCAATCACAGTTAGGCCGATTCCCAAGGAAGAACTGGACTGGAACCCCTTCGAGTACGCGATAACGGCCACCCCGCTTAATGAGATCAGAACAGCGAGAACCTTTAAACAAAAAATTATTATCGTTTAAATAATCATACAGTTTACTGAAATCTAACAATATTAGTGAAGCACACCGGAAATCGCCCGCAACAACAGCGTATAGTGTTCATGATATTAAAGGTCGTAAGTCGCACAAAATACCGGTATAGTTCTATGTATTTAACACGTACGCTGTCAGATTGATTTCCTATGGGTAAAGAAATACAGTAATCGCACCTTGGCAAAGAGAACTTGTTGCCCAAAGAAAACAACAGCGGCGAAATAAACCATAGCCACTGGAAAGAAAATACTAATGTCAAGTCAGCGAAATGATCTTATGAATAAATCAATATGTATACATAGTAGCTTGCGGCATTACCTTGGGTAGTCTGCACACAAGCCACTTCCGATGCCGTCGCGTAGGACAATGCAATAATACATAATGACACCGCCAGGACGATATTCGAGCCGAGAATTCCAATTGTCTTGATAAAGAAAATTGGAAGCGGATCCGGCGATTTGAAAATGGAACATTCTCTACAAATGTCAATCTTATACACCTGACAACCGACACGCAATGCAGTATACCTCTGCTTTAAGGCTTACCAGTTAGCAAATAAATCGATGCCATTAAAATATGATACATGTAGTTTCCATTCAGAAATTTTGCTCACTTGAGGATTTGCCGGATGGTCTTTCGCTTCCGTCGTCCGCAATGCGATTTGATCCATACGATCAAAACATATCCCGGAAGCACAAACAGTCGCATCAGATTGTTGACGTATAAAATAAAAAACGGCGCGTAGAAGTCTTCGCTGAAGACATTTTTTAACAGCTGTTGATCGGCAATGGTGGCCATGCAGTAGAAGATCAATACCACCACGGCGGCAATTAACGATGTGGGATGCTCGGTTGGAAGGGCCGCAGCTTCCGGTTCAGGCTCAGGTATGGCTGGAGAGAGGGAAGGGATCGAGGAGCGACGGAAGTCCACCACTGCAAAACACTCAACGCGTTAAAGTAAACAGTACTGGCAAGGTAGAAAAATTTTTGCCGCAAATTTTTAGCGCTGCGCTACGACAGAGATATAGAGTACGCAAACTGCCCATCTGCCGACATTTTGTACATTTCGACACATACTCATCAAACTAGTTTCGGTATTAATAAACTGAGGGAGCGAGCTTAATAAGTTCGAACCGAGCTTAAGAAATGTTAAGAAAATGTGAAAATTTTGAAAAATCTTGAAGAATTTAATTTAAAAATCTTGAAACTAAATTCTGAAAAATGTTGAAAAATTCCAAAAAATTGCGATCAGCAGTCAGCAGCTATTGGCATAAAATCCAGTGTATCGTTCCGCGAGAACATCGACGCTTATTAACACAGTATCACGCACCATCGGCTGTATGAACTCGCAGGCGATGTCCGCCGCCATGTTCCTCTTCTGCATCGTCATCCGAATGTGTGCTAGAACCGGAATCCGGTAGGGGAATCGGTAGCGCAGTGATGGGATCCATCTCCACGTGGATTTCCGGTTCCTCCAGATGAGCATTTTCGTGTCTGTCCGCAATATGCATCTTCCGCGACCGGAATTTCCCCTTCGCAACTGCGCTGCCCCGAACAGTTGAAACTTTCCACAACGACGCTTATTAAACCAGTACGCATTTGTCGCACAATCTTTCGAGCTGCCGTTTATTCAGAACACCAAGCAATTGAAGGTCAAAAGTCGGGTGCCTCGGTGAAGTGGTTGTCAAAACCGTCTTTTCCGGAGGGGAGCATTTATTGAAACAATGGCTGCTACGGCATTCCAGCTACACAGAAACATTCGAAAGCCTATTTTCGTCGGTGGTGAATTCTTTAGCAACTACCGCAAGACGCTAGCTAGCACATCGCATGCGGCGTGGCTTTGCAAAACTGTGGCGCGAAGTTCTACATCAGCCGGCAGAAGTGTTTGCAAAAAAAACTAGAGTGACATGGTAGCGTCGTAGAGTGACTCATGTTCGATCGGCAGCTTTATACCACAAACGCGTGTTGGGCATTTTCGTCTACCGCCGTCTGCCGAACACCGATTCGTCTACGGGCGTAGTGGTTATTCCAGGTGTGCACATTTCTATATTTTGCGTTTTTGTTTACGCATGTTTACCGGCATTCCGTAAAAAACCAGCTAGTGGTAAGGAGATGCAGACGGGACTTATTAGTAATTCAAGCATAATCAAATACGAAGGTTCGATTAAACAGTGCACAGTGCACTGCACACGAGAGGACATTGAAGCATATGTTACCATCTTGTAAAGTAACCAGAAATCAGTTAACGATTAAAATAGCGTTGTAGTTTGTATTTGATACACGTTATTCACATCATGCTCGAAAAGAGCGTTTTGCTTTCTTCAAGCTCTTTTATAAATGGTCATATCAATCCACGTTTTCACATTCCCGCTTGCAATGGTGAAAATGCGGGATCATAATAATTATTATTGGCTCACATATACTTCTTACCAGTAACGTTATATTCGTTACTAACTCGTACAGATACAGTGCTTTTATACTTACTTCGTAAATTCACCAGGTCCCAACTCCATGCGTATTGTACTCGTACAGTAGTTTAGTTTGTACGAACGGTAATACCAAATTTATTAGCTTTTTTTAGGAAAATGCGTAAACTTTGCAAAAATATTAGTTATTTAGTACGAAAGCCGGTCAAATTTTCAGTGCTAGAAATAAAAGCGCTAATTTTATGGTTTCAGTAAAACATATCTAAAATTATCTAAAATGGGCATATCTAAAATTATATAACTATACTCGTACAGTATCTGTATGGTTCATAATTTAGTTGAACACTGGTCAATCATGAGAAATTTTTCAAATCAGAGGCAGCCAATCCCAAGAAATGCATTCTCATCTCGGATATCATTTGGAATGCCCAGGTTGTGAGTTTCGGTTTACCTTACATACAGAGTACTGCAGTTAACTTTTGTTGTGCTGATGTACAGATACAGTAGATTTGTACAATGCAATATAAATTACTGGGTATTAACAATAAAATAAAATTATGTGGAGAATTGAAAGATATTATACCATATGCATGCAGTGGCTAGTGGCTACTGTATCTTCGAAAAGCAGGACATTTCCCTACATAAGTAATATAGATATCTTTGTGTGAAATGCTTATTTGCTGTAATTCCGTTACCGAATTCTTATCGGTCAAGGTGCGGCTTTAATATTAATTCAAATACATTTCCAAGATTCCACCGTAATGTTTTTCGTAGATTTGCTTAGACTTCAATTTGTGTACACGAGCATCCGTCTGATAATGCTGCAAATGATGATTTACATTGTTTGAACAAGCTACGGTTTACCGATTACAATAATTACTCGGCAAAATGGTTAATATTACCAAATAATGGTCTGTCATATTTCCTGTATCGTCTGCATAAAAGGTTGCAGTTGTATTAAGTTCAGTAGTTCAGTAGTACCCGGGACCCTCCACTTGTCGTATTAGAATTAATTGCGAATACTTGTGTCAAAGCGTTCTAAAAGATTATCCAACTAAATTCATGCTTATAAGTGTCTGCAAACTTTCAACTTAATCCTTAATCTTATTGAATTAAGACCGGCAGCTGGAACATGAAGCGCCTTACGTGTTCGGGCCATATTTTCGGGATTATAACGTATTTTTTAGCTGCATGTTTAATTATTAATTGTGTGGATGCGGAAAGTAAGTACAGCGTGGACCAAAATAAATTATGACGACTAATGATTATGTATGACGGTATTTGAAACAATTCCAATAATTAGCATGCGCATATGCATATTGCACAATATCAAAACTGCTGCTTATTGTTAGGCGCACAGGAATGGACAGAGAAAGCCAAAGAAGAACTGCGCATCGCACTGCAAACTAAACCAATTGAAGTGCGTCCGAAAAACGTGATATTCTTTTTGGGTGATGGAATGGGCATCGCGACGCTGACCGCTGCCCGGATTTACAAAGGTCAACGGGAAGGAAGAACCGGGGAAGAAGGTTTCTTGGCGTTCGAGCGGTTTCCACATGTCGGATTGTCTAAGGTGGCAATTTAATAAGAATATCTATATATCAAAGCAGGCAACACCAGAGAAAAATTAAAAAGGTTTTTCGGTTAGACATATGCAGATAACACGCAGACAACGGATTCGGCTGCTGCGGCGACCGCATTTCTGTGCGGAGTCAAGACCAACCGAGGCGTCCTAGGCGTCAACAGCAATGTGAAACAGGGCAATTTCAGCGCGGTTCCGGAAAATGAAATATCCTCCATTTTCTCCTGGGCGCAAAATGCCGGAAAAGCGACGGGAATCGTAACCACCACATCTGTGACACATGCAAGTACAATCTCTATCAATTTTTTTGCTTGTATAGCACTTTACGTAAATACCATGCAGTGATTTATGGTAATAGCAGACAGGCCGAGCAGCATTTATGAGCGAAAGGCTCAACATCCATTTGTGTTATTATTAAATTATTGTGCCATAAAAATTAATTGCAATTTCAAAATTCAGTTTTAATTTTACTCAGAATCGTTTGTACAACAAACAGGCATCGCCAGCTGCAGCGTACGCCCATTCTGCTTCTCGGAGTTGGGAAAGCGATAAATCCATGCCCCAAGAAGCGAAAGCATTTTCTAAAGACATTGCACGCCAGCTGATAGAAGACACGCCAGGAAAAAATCTGAATGTCAGTATATATACATGGAAGTTCTAATCAGAACATCAAAATTTAATGTCCGCAAACGGGTAATTTAGTTGCGCAGAATCAGTTGTATCTTCTTTATCTGCAAAATCAAAAAAATGTGTAAAATGTTTGGTAGGTAATTATGGGCGGCGGACGATTGAATTTTTTACCAAGCAGTGCGATAGATCTTCCATCAAACCAGTCAGGTAATTTATACCGAGCGCCAGTAGTACCAATAATGTACAAATGTAAAATTGCAAAACCCTAAAACAGAATAATTTTAAGATCTATATATCCATGTTCTGGAAATAAAACTAGTCATGCCAAAATGACCCAGCTATTTAGTTCATTGCGTCAACGTTTGATACGTTTTTGTGTGCAGGAAATCGTGGTGATGATCGTGACCTTTTACAACTATGGCGTCAGATGAAATCCAACACCTCTGAAGGCTCAACGTCGCACATTGTGACGGACAACGCTCAACTTAGCCAACTTAATGCATCGAACACGACAAACGTTTTAGGTATTTACCTTTTAGTTATCATGGAAAAGCCATATTTTAAAATTAAGGTCACCCTCAGCAGTTGCGATAGAAGTTTTGTGCAAAAATGGAATTCCTGTGCAGTGTGCAACTGGGGTCTGTTGGATAAAGTGGCGTAGTTGCAATATCGTTTTTGACACAGTGGAGACTGGACGGTAGAAAATGTACAGGTTTAATTTTTAGGGCTATTCAGCAGGGATCACATGGAATATGAGCTTCTACGTAATCGAAGTGCCGCTACTGCCACAGAGCCACCACTTCGTGTAATGACCAGGAAAGCCTTGGAAATTCTGCAAAAATATCCAAACGGGTTTTTTCTCATGGTGGAAGCCGGCAAAATTGACTCCGGTCACCATTCGGGAATGGCCAAACGCGCACTGCATGATACATTGGAATTTGAAGCGGCAGTGGAAGAAGCTCTGAAAATGGTTTCCACCAATGATACATTGATTTTAGGTATTCACCCGCGTTCCACATTATTTACGGTGATCCATTAAACGGAACACCGAACATATTTCTCCCAGAGATGGTCAGAGCAAGATTGGAATATCAAGAAATACACATCATTTTGTAACCTTTGTTCTTCATTGCAGTGACCGCTGACCATTCTCATACCTTGGGATTGGCTGGTTTTGCGGAACGAGGTATTGTATATAGATTGTGCACCGCTATTATGAATGGCTATATCTGTACGTGAACGTTAATTGTCAAGCCATGTACAAAGGTACTACAGTTTATAAGAACCCACATTAATGTACGTACAGTGAGTCTTTAAAATTGTAGTATTTTGATACTAAGATCATTATATACAGCTTTCTGTGGGTGTTTTCTGTGCAGGCACTTCCATACTGAAATTTGGAGGGGTCGGAGACGATCAAAAGCCGTACCTTACACTGTCGTACGCCAACGGACCCGGTCACGTAAAGGAATGGCCCAGAAGGAATCTGACGGAGGTGGACACCGGTATGAGTTAATTTTTTTCACTGGTGGATCATCTCACGTCCGCTAATTTCGATTACGTCATGGTAGAAGCCGATGATTTTCGGCAAGACGCTCTCGTTCCGCGGAGTTCCGAAACACATGGTGGTGAAGATGTGGCGATTTACGCGACGGGACCGTTTGCGCATTTATTTCACAGTCTGCACGAGCAGAACTACATTGCGGTGGCCTTGGACTATGCTGCTTGCTATCGCAATCAGACTCCGGCGCACTGCATAGATCTTGGCAATGGCTCAATTCAATTTCGACTAAATGCTCTGGTTACCTTGACCTTTGTTTTCTCTTATTTAATGGTACATATTTGAGTAATTTTTATCTGACTTCTATTTTCTTGAGCAACAACCTGAAAAACCCGCTAAAACACTATCAATTTCTCTAAAAACCCTACAATCTCAGCTGAAAGAAAGCGAATACCACAACTTCTGGTTAAAGACAATACAAGGCGACATTCAAACGATACAACATGCTTCGTCCGCAGCGCATTGCACCGAATACTCGGCCTCCTGGTGCAGCAGCAAATCAACGACTGCTCCAGCCAGATACATCCCAGTAACCTGAAAAAAAAACAAGTTAAAAACCTGATGCGGAAAAGTTTTGCGAGAGCTATGCTATAAAGAATGGAAGGGCGAATTAGAAGGCGAATTAGACCATATTTCACCTGTGGAGGCTGTTGGTAAAAGAAATCAATATCATATTCTTTTTTATCGGCAGCCCCGTCACGTTTTCTGTAATCCTTCAGAAACCGTTCAAATGCCGCATGCACAAATTTATCCGTGTCCAAGGGATCAATAAAATACAATTCAGGGTTTCTTTCCAGGATCGTATTAATCACCATGACCAATTCCACGACCAGTTGGCGGTACGCGGGATGTTCTATCCGGTCCAACAAGGCGTCAATCTTCAGAGCAAAATTCAGCTCATACAGAGTCATATCGGTCACCGTTGGAATTTGCGGCATCAGATGATCCGCTACTTTAATGCCCTCGTTACACCGATGGAGAATATTCCAGAAACAATCGTAAAACTTCCTCGGCACACGATTTAAACAGCCATCCAGGTGGCGACGCTGCATGGGCGTCAGTTTGTGGCTCTCCGTATCCGGATCCAAGCCCTGCTTGATCAACGACGGCAGTGTTAGAACTTCCAGCAGCAAATCCTGCACATCAAACGGCGACAAAGTGTAAATGTATTCTTCTTGGAAGTCCGGGTGATCCATTTGCGAATATTTTAAATACAAGGTCAGTGCCTGTACAATCCATCCAATGCGAATCTTCAGCATCCCATCAAAAATACTAGGCATTGTTTCTACTAGCTTTCCGATACTGAGCAATAGTTCTTGTTGCAAAACTGCCGCAGATGGATGATGCTGTTCGCATGTGGAATAGATCAGCTGTTTAATCTGCAGGGGCGTCACCGGTTTATCGATAATGGCTTCTTCGTGCTTGAACATCCCCACGCGCACCTGTTTTCCACGGACGAGAATCGTCGTGATCGATGGTGCCAAACTGGCCACCACTTTCTGCAATAATGCCGAACAATAGCGCACAACATCCCATTTCTTTAGTGTTGCACACTGTCGAATGAGACTCTCCAGGCGCTGCTGCACGGTGACATTGTTAACGGAATCCACCACAAAATTATTTCCCTGCCGGCGGAGGAGAATGGCCAAGAGATAACTCTGACCATGCGACGATTCGCAGCAGTTCAGCGCATCAATGACATCGTGTACGCTGCGGTCCTTATACTCCTCCAGTGTTTTATGGGTAGCGGAGTTGCGCATCGATACAGCACGCGGCACATCCATCAGGCTGCGGAAGACGGGAGACGGATCGACAATTTCTTTGAAGGACTGAAATGATCGCTTCATGGTTGACAAATCCACGACGAAATCTAAATGCTCGATACAGGAAGACGACAGAAAATTCTGCAGGAAGCCCGTGCGGACGCGGATTCCGTTGCAATCACCCAAACGGAAACTGGCCAGGAGTTTCAACATCTCCGCCGACTGCTGACCGCGAACCATTTCCTCGCGCACCAAGCATAGCATTGTCGGACGTCCGTGGACTTTCCATCGGCTGGCAACAAAAGCTAAACCGGTACGAATGTCGTCCATTAGCATCGATTGGTCATACGAGAGGTAGAAGTCCGACATTTCAAAAAATAATGGATAACATATTGCGGTTTCTCCAGCCACACGATAAATCTTCGACTGCAATCACAATCACAATTCAAAATGAATAAACTTTTCACTGCTCGCTTTGAACCACGCAAAACATATGCGTGCATGCGGTTTCCGTGAAGCGGTTAGCAAAATTATAACAAATCGAAAATGGCTGATATAAAACAAAACGTCAAACAAAACTAAACTAAAGACAATGGCGAAAAACTAGACACAATGCCAAAGCAAACAAAAAACATTTTTGTAACCGGCATACTACTGTACCGATATACTGTTGTACAGATACAAGAGAACAAAGCTGAATCTAAATCGATATCTCAGATTTGGCAAAATGAGCCCTTTTAAAATCAACAAGAACTACTCGCAAATACAGTATCACCAATTCACACGCTGGAAGACTAAAACTGTAGTCAAGTACTGTATATCTGTAAGACTGTATTAACTTACGGTGCTCAGTGGTCCAAAAGGGCGTTTAGGTCGTCCGCTCAATCCCAGCTTGTCTTCTTCGCCCAATTTGGAATATACTTCTGTTAGATCTTTGGGCGACCAGATCTGTATGGGCTCGATCTGATGTGGTGTCTGTGTCTGCACTCCGTACGTCGCCAACAACGCCTGCAAGCGCACTGATTCCGCAATCAGCACCACCTGCACCGCTAAATCCGTCGGAATGACCGTCGAAAACGAGCTGTATCGGGTCTTCTTCAGTGGACGATGTGCCGCCGGCATATATCGCCGCAGTGGATCCAGTTCATTGGCATCGATAAGCCCTTCCACTAGGAGCTGCGAGATGATGAACAACGCCTGACCCCAGACGAAAATCTCTCCCTCTCCATCGGGATCCTCCGTGCTGGGCAGGCGGTCTTGACTGCCCGGATTGGCGATTTCGGCTTCGATGAATTCCGATGGAACATAATAATACCGCGGCAGCACCACATCCCCATCGAAGCTTTCTTTGAGCAGCGGTTCGAGTAATTTCTGAAAGGTCTCCACTTGTTGCGTATCACCGTGAAATACCTGTCGCAACCACAAACCTATGTCACAATCAAGCAGCTCATAACAATGCAATTCGCGTACCCCGTCAATAATCAGATACACGAAGAACACCGGCCATTCACATTCAATCCCATCAAACTGCTTCACTTCCGCTGGCTCATAGTAACGCCGATTTTTATCCTCCAAAACGGTCCCGAAGCCATCTCGAAGGAAGCGCTTAAACCCATATTTACCTGAACAGAGAAAATAACCTTCCCGTAAGTTATTCAGTTGCCTTCAACGGCGAAAATTTTTATCGCAAAAATTACCCGAGTCAGTTCGGCTGTTAGGCAAATTTTATGTGCTTACCTAATAATTTCCTCTGCATTTTATCCATTGTGGCTTTAAAGACAACTGGCTTATGCACAGCAAAGCAAGGATAGCTCAAAGTTGGGATAAGGGAAGCATCCGTATTCTGGAAAAAAGATAATTCTTAACAACGTGCAATGCAAGTATACACGAAGTTTGCAACTGCAGCGTACTTTTGAACTAGATTCGCGGGGAAGCATCGTTTCCAGAGTTGTGCGGTTCCGATTGTGGGCATCCACATCCGCATAAACAACCGACCAGGAAGCACCATGTTCGCCAAATAAATTAAACCCATTAATACTTTCCAAAGCAACTTTGGCCATCCCAATGGAGCTGCAAACATGAAAAGTCAAGTAACAAGCAGTAACAATTTAAAAATGAATATCGAAAGACCAACAACGGTAAAAGCAGTAACAAGCCGTCAGTTTCACCTAGCATGCAGTTCAGGATTTCCGGTGTTGTACTTGTCGCCGCGCTCCCACATACCAAAATCCTAACGCCAAACAAATTCAGGTTTATTGGGGCAAACAGGAACGGTTCTAGCAGCATACCGGTATTCGGTAAGCACGCTCCAGGTAAAAAACCAAATTCTGCACTAGATGCACTTCTTCCATGGTGAAAATAACTTTCAGTCCAGATTCAATCATTTGCGTCAGATACAGCAGATACAGGGCAACAACATCAATCTGCAGATGTGGATACTGTGAATCGCCAATGGGATCGCCATCCAGGACACGAAAACGACTGTGAAGGGCAAATAACGGTATCTGATCGTTTTTGAATTTCTCCAGGAGGTCGGCCTGGTTCATCCAGCAATACAAGATACCGCGCATACATTTCACCGCTAAAAATAGATTTAGTATCACTTTTAGAGCAAGAAAAGTACAACAATGCGATACAACTGAAACAACATCACGTAACAAAACTGCCGTGTTAGACAATCCAGATGCAACGAAAATATAACGTGTAAAACTGTAAAATTATTAAACAAAGCCAGTCAGAAACCGATACGAGTGCTTCTATTCAAAGAATCCTCCCAAAATAATTCTTTATCAGAGGCTATGACCTTACTTACCGCACTGCCCGAGTTCGTTCGCTCGGCCGTGATCGTCGTCGATTCGTTTGTACGCTCTCGATACTGCCCAAACTGCAGCGTTGGCATAAATCATGTCCCGCACATGCCCATCTTCCGCATCGGCCTTATCCGTAACGTAGAGTCCAAGTGACTCGTGCTGATAATGCAGGATTTGGCGTTTGACTGTAAGAATGCAAGTCTGCTATATTTAACATCTAACGAGCATGCCATGCATATCCCGCATATTAAAAATATCATCGGCTTAATATCACGCAATGTGAAATCAGTGGGACAATACAGTGACTGTAACATAGAAAAAACTCCACAGAACTAATATTCCATGAATTTCCGTCTCCAAAATTTGTATCAGTTATTGCAGCTTAAAGTATGCCTCTGCTTCAGCTGGAATGTATGCAAAAAAATTTATGCAGATGCAGCTTCATGCTGGACTAATGCAGAAGTCATGAGGCATGTACTTCGAGCAGTAATTTAACTTTTAAAGCATTGGTAACTGGTATACCACGACACTGCGTAGTAGTCGCGGATATATTTGATATAAATTTTCTCTCGTTCATAAAAAGATATTGTGAATCTTTCGCTCTTACCCATCAAGTAATAAAATTCCAATCTGGCCAGAGATTTCGTGTAGTCATTCTCCTGCGTCTGGTGTTGTGCAGGTTCGGCGACAACCGTGGCCGACACGTAGGGCGCAGTGGAGCCATGGCGTTTCAAGTCGGGCCGCTGTTGACTGTCCTGCAGTTGCATTTCATGACGCGTCAGTTCATTGGTAAGCATGAATGATCCCGAATAACGCCGATTATTCGAATGAGGCGACTGTGGAAGTGCCAATCTCGAAATAGCCATGACTGCACTACCGACAACAGGCCTGTCACGGCAAAAGCAAAACAAACACGCACTTCACCGCGAAGAAGGCTGAATCGTCTTGTACGCGCGCACCCGTTTACACACACACTGGCTTCACGAACTTGCAGACTCAACAAATAATCCCTTGAGATTCTTCCCATTAACCATGGCCAGCCCAATCAGACGGGGCTCCACGGCGTTGGCAGCGAAGTCGTGCTCGTTCTCGTATTCTTTGGCGCCACCCAGAATGATGTTCTGGTCGTGATCGGTGCACAAGAAGGTGCCCACGATTACACGGTCGTCCAGCAGAATCACTTTGAATTCACGGTTAAACAGATCCGCGATTTGCTGGCGTCCGGGTGTGGAGTATACGGGACCGGAAGATGAAGGAGATGCAAGAGTATTTTCGCTGTCTTGGGAGTATTCTCGCTCTTGAGGTTCCTGAGGCGGAACTCCCGTCTGATCCATCAATTCCCAATTCACATGAAGCAAATGGCTGTATCACAGAATGCTGCACTGTTGATCTGATCGATGCAAAATCAACGATCCTGCACAAAATCAGTTCTTACTTCCCAGTAATTTCCGATCAACGTTGAAGCTAGAACACGATTACAAGAATGTGCAAAATTTATGAAATAACAAAAAGTAGTCAAAAAGTGCAAAATGCCACTGCAGCACTTGTACGACTGTGTCGTTGTGACAAACATCTCGGGTGTTTGTCACAACGACAAACACCCGAGATGCAACTTATCCAGTCGCGACTCTACAGCTACATGCAACTTATCCAGTCGCGACTCTACACTCTCCAGCTCTACTTCCATGACTTCCCACAGGAATTTTATGGATAGTGGAGAATGGAGATACTGGAGAACGGGCAAATATGAATTTTCCGGAAATAAGCTTTTGCCATAAGGAATCGTAATTATCGTACCCCGCCATACCATACCCCGCCGTCTGACTTTGTCATCGATACTTTCGCATTCTCGTACTGTATTTTATGCTGAAACATTTCCAGGGTTCAGCGTAAATTCTTGTTCATGTACAGTCGTCCAGGTATTATCGCAGTCACCAGTGTTTACACAGAAAGAGATTTACAACAGCAGGTGGATGAGATCCACCAATCCAGAGAAACTGCCCTTTTTTTCGTTAACACAGCGGGCACCTTTAAAACAAAGAGTACATCCAAAGTCCAAACTGATCCGATCAACCTCACTCAATAAAAACCATCAGTACCGGGGATTCTGGTGTAAACCGTAAGCATAAGCACAGGGGCGCAAACTGTTCGCGGGCTCAGGCATTGGTAAACTCATGGAAGCATTCCGTTCTTGAACAATGCCGCTTCCAGAAAACACTTCGGAAATTCATGACCACATCTCCGCTGCATTTAAGGGAACGAAATCACGGTACACAAATTTTTCGAACAGCATCCCTTTTCCGCGGCGCTCTCTGTGTCTTCAGGACTGCAAAGAAATGACTATTCAATTTCAGTAAATCTCATAAAGAAAACACGATCATAATATCGCAACGAACATTTGCGCATAAAGCCACAAACCGTGTAAATGCACCGCTGCCGCACCACTCTGCTCCTATTCCACTGGCGTCCACAGAAATCATTTGCCCGAATCTTTTGCACTGATGAAATCATCTCGAGTAGCGGACTCTGATACAAAATTGCGTTATAAAAATTAATCAGAAATGTACTTCCTGTCAACCATACATACGGCATGCCAAAAAGGCACACCACAGAACGCACCGGATGCTCTTGTTGGAAGATTCTGCACATGCATTCTGGTTTCTTCAGCGACATGTATCGACTGTGTTGCTACTGCACTGGGGATGGGCAGATGGTGGATCATCGGTGCTCTAACCCTCTGTGGTCGTGGCGGTGGGAGCCGTGGGGCTGCGGGGTTCCTTTGCACTCTACGTCAAAGAAAGTTATCACGACTAACACTAGACTGTGACAATGTGGCAAGAGCATTAAGTAACTGAAACCCTTGCCGTCACCGTGTGCTCGGTTACATTCCTGAGGGATTAAAATGAAAAAATGTGATTTAACTATGTATATTCGCGTGGAATACAACAGCAAGTCCCGTCATTTGCACTATCAATCAAATTAAATAACCATAGTACTACAACACCAAAATTCCTTTTGATCCGATCTTCAGAACGAACCTCACAACGAAGATCCGCTCTGGCCCAGCGACAGGATACTCTTCTTCCGACACATCATCAAAACATTCATCCGTCCATGCAACAGGCACCTCACGATCACTGCAATAATTACGGACAATTTAAAAAGCAACCTACTGATTCCAACACCGAAGTACTGGTACACAGATTCAAGAAATCATTAGAAATGACGATCACGAAGTACCCCAATGACAGGTATGACATTTTAACGTTATGAATCCTCTGATCTTCGTTATCCATATGTCGCAGCAACGCGAAAATAGCTCACCCCATCACTGATCGTTTCTCGTTTTTTAGTCAGACTATATCACAATGGCAGATTCCCGTGAGAAGGCGAAAGGTTATGCTCTCATGGTTCTGTCTCAGAACTCAAATCCAGCTGGGCAGATAACCAACACAAGTCGTATGCGGAGGTACTTTTACAATGCGACACAAAACCGTGTTTCTTGCAGATTCTATAAAAAATCAAACTGATCCAGTTAAATGATTTTGTGCTCAGTTAATAGTAAGAACAGTGGAACAGCAGAAGCTATGTGCTGTTACTGCGTAGCAGCAAAATTGTAAAACAGTAAAAGTTATAAAAACCCTAGCGGGGCGTCCCCCCGTGGGACTGTTCCGAAGGACGGGTTTTATTACATAATAACTGCAAAAAACTTCTGTTGTGGAGTTGTTTACTGGGAAGATTGCCTGAGTGCAAGCTGGACGGCTATTTTAGCGATATAGTCTGCGGCAAGTGCAACCACCTCGCGTACGCGCATACGTGTATTAGTCTCGACTTTGGGTACCAGTACCTGATTCCGACTGCCACTATCTCCAAAACTTGCAGCATCAGTTTTTCGTTGTCACTTTAACGAACCTTCCCAGTTGATGTTTCAGAATAGAGAATAAAATTTTAGAATTTTTTGATATTTTGAAAGTAGGTTTTTATGGAGAACCAAGAAAGTTAGTTTTGTTTTGGTTTCTCGTAGACTTAGCATAGGTCCGTCCGATGGAGGCGTTGCTTGCACCCTATGCTATGTCTACGAGAAACCAAAACAAGCATAACTTTCTTGGTTCCCTAAAAAACACTTATCAGAGATCAAAAAGCGTCAAATTTTTCTTTCTGTCTTCTGAGATGTTGGTTAGGAAGTTTTATGGAAAGGTAAACGAAAAACTAGTGCTTGAAACTTTGGATCAACTGACGATGACATTCAGTGCGTTCTTTCACTTTTCACATACATGCTCCACCTCTGCCTCTGCATCTCTGCCCATCCTGAGTTACAGCATTTCTGTCTCTCTTGAGTTTACAGTAAATTTCTCTCTATTGTCAGTAAACGTTCTGTCTGTCCTCAGTTACAACCTTACAAGTTACAATATCACACGACATGGATCCATACCTACAGGTATATATATATATATATATATATATATATATATATATATATATATATATAAACCTGTGAACGTATGCAGCGCTACGTCCTTCGGAAAACATACGACATAGGCACGGGCCGCACGGCACAGAGAGTTGAATGACAGGAAAGTGATTTGCTGGTTCAACCTGGTTATGTGAGCTCCGGAGTTGCCGCAACGAAATGGGAAGAATCAAACTCAATTTATTTTATTATTAGTCACTTTGCATCTCCTGACCACGGTCCAAGGGTTGCTGAACTGTTTTTCTTATAATCGTGATATGTGTGCGGTACGTTGCAGAAGCTACTTACTTATATACTAATTTCTGGCCTGCGGAACTGTGAAAGGGCGATGGATTACGCAAACAGGCACTATCTTCCTATAATTATGCCGGTGTTATGCGCAATTAAAAATATTTTTGGTTCCTTTATAAACAAACATCTTTTTAATTTTTGTGTTGTACAGAATGTGCGAACTGATATTCTGCTTGACATCGTGCTGTCACTGCTGCTGCCAATTTAACGTACTTACATGCTTTAGCTTGTTTTGTTTTTTAAAACAGACGAAATTGCAAAGTCTCTTGCATGCTGTATGCTATTGCACAACGACTAAAAGGACTTTGATGTTGTGTAATTATATTGATAAATTTTCAATGTAATTTTGAAAGAAAAAATCGTAACGAAAATCTTTAAGTACAGTAAGTAATCATTTCAAACAATTCATACTGTGTTCATAATTCATATATACTGTGTAGTACAGATACACAGGGTCCGCAATACAATACAAAAAAGCGTTTTCATTAGACCGGAAAGACAACGACTAGAAAATTAGCTTTTAAAGGTCACAAATCCAACACTGATAAAAGGAACCTTGCGGTCGGAAGTTCTAGCATTGACCCTCTGCCAGCAAACCGGCCTGATTAGTATACGCTAGGCGTTTCTCGCGAGCCATTTGGAAAATCGCCTGCTCGGCTTCCTTGCTTTGATTAATCAGCTCCTGCATTTTTGGTTGGCGTTGCTCAGCCGGAAGAACCGACAGACCGGTCATGCCGGCCAGCTGATCCATTATGTAGGTTGATGACACTTGGACGTAGGTTTTGCTTACGGCATGGATGAAATGCGCCGTCATCTGGATGTCTCGCACCAACGGCTGCAACATTTCCAAAAGGAATTCCCGTTCCTCTTCCGTCAGCGGACCTTGCAGTGCACCGTCTTCCACGGTCTGCAGAAAGGGGCTAATGGTCTGGTTGACGGCAAATTCCGTTCGGACGGCCATGGCTTCGAAGAACTGCGTCAGTTTACTCCACTGGGTTTGGATTTGCCCCAATATTACCAGACTTTGACGAATAATCACCAGGATTTCTTCAAACTCGATCCGGTCCAAATTGAGCCTGGCCATTTTAACCATTACCTCCGCTAGAATGTCATGGTTTTTCATGAGGTCCTGGAAGTTCTGATCGGCTCGCTGCTGGTGATACCTCATCCATTGCTGATAAGAGTTTGCCTAACATTAAAATGCAAACTATGATTTTGAATTTTCTGGTAAAAGTTCTTTGTAAACTTGGCAAGAATCGTGAACCGCAAACTCAAAAATTCACTGCCGCGCTGAGCGTGTAATTGTGCGCACCGGAAGTGTCGATTTCCGTTATGCATGACCTTTATCTAGTGGCTCTCATATCTGGTATTCCTGACGTCTGTCTTTGTATTTATATTTTTAACATGTTTTTTTAACAAACACAGATTTACTGGAAAACTTTAGTTAACCGTGCAGTTATCAGCGCCGTTTATTTTGAAAGTTTTGAGATCGCATTATATTGTTTCTAAAGAATTTTAGGGAATAATATTAAACAAGTATAATAATTTTTAAGCTGCCGTGTGGTAAATATTGATAGCGTCGGTTACACCGTAGCTCACAACTACTAAGAACTTATAATTGTACAATTTAATAAGGTCATTCCATGAAAAATAAGTAATAAACAAAATTAGTGTTCAGTTGTAGAACTTACTTGAGCCAGCTCGTCAGCTCCGCTGATTTGTCCTTCTGTGCCTGGTGCCGCGGGTCCAGCGCTGGGATTTTTCGAATTTATCAGCGGTTCGACCGGCAATCTGATCTCATCAATTTCGGTAGCTATGGACGGCTTGGCTGCCTCGAGCTGCTCCCTTTGTACTCCGGACGTGAGGTCAACAAGCCGCTGGATAACATTTTTAACCCGGTTGAACAGGCTGTTGAAAACAGCAAATGCCGGGTCGTCCGCCAAACGCGGCATCAAGTTTCCGATGACGCTGAGCTGGGATGCGAGATCTTTGAAGTTAGTGTCGTTTCCGTTCAGTCCTGCTGATAACTTATTCAGGATCCCGTTCACTAAACCAGCTTGCTGGCCCAGTGTGCTCATTTCTAGAGCCCTTTCCACAGCCGATTTTTGGACAGTCCCAGCCTGTGCGCCACTGGCTGTTGTGCCGGCACTATTTACGCCACCGCGCGGTCTTAACACCGATGTGACATCACCTATCATCGAGGGAACAGCGCTTATGACGCTTGCAATGGCTTTTCCCATGGCTGCTGCTACTTCCATTTTGACCTTTTTCCAGCCGGTGGGAATCGAATCCAGTGCTTGCTTATAACGCTGTTCATACTCCTGAACCTGTGAAAATTCACGTCATAACATAATTTTCGCTAGGTAGATCTGGGTTTCTGATAATGTTTATGTTGGGTTGCAGCGAGCGCTAGTTATCCGGCTGCCGGTTGGTGGAATTTCTCACAAGGTTACTGCTTTAAACAGATTTAAATTGTACAGTGGGCCAAGCAATTAAGTATACCGTATGAATTATGCAGCTTTCTGGCAAGTAAATTTACAGTTGGTTGGGTTTTCCGGGTATATGAGCGACTGTTCCGTCGTCGAATACAGAATCAACATGACGTCAACTATCTCCGCAACAACGATCCGCTGTAACGAATGCTTCGGTTTAATTTTTAGGTTTAACTGGGCGCATGTGCCGTCACATTAACCGACTTAAAAAATCAAGGTAACAACCAGGGACAATTGACGCCGGCACTGAATATTTAAACACTTTCAAAGTTTGCGTAGTAGGTTTTATGAATCAAAGTATTCGTATGTCAACAGATATATTTTACATCCCAGCAGCGCACCTTTTAAAATAAATTTTCATCTTTCGGTTTTATTGTTATCATGAAAGAACACTTTGTGCGCATGCTTGCGCTTGTTGCGATTGTACTGTGTTTTTCGTGGACGCTTACGCCATCAGTTTTAGGTAAGAACAGAATAGTAGTAAGTACGTTAGTAATATTAAATATTGCTATCGTTGCTCGCAAATTATGCACAGTATTGTTGAACGAACCATACGTTTTTTCTCTACGAGTAGAACTTTGTACCGTACACAACAGCCTCTCAAACGCTTATTTTTCTTTAGCGAATGGAAACATCAATAACAGTGTTGACAACTTTTGGACAACATTCGCCCAACCGTACCAAAACGCTGTCAACATTCTAGCATATGAGACACTAAAACCACTAGCGGATGCTCCGATACCCGTGGGATCTGCGGACGCCCACCAGCTGATCCACAACAGCAAAGCAAACTTACAACGCTTTTACAATATTCTGGAGCCAATGCGCGCCGCATCGGAGGAATTACGTCAGCAGCAGGATCAACGTGTTACTAACAAAACCCTCGAGCTGCAATTGCTCGAAAACGATCTGCAGGATACAGAACAGAAAATCAACAATGCTACTACCGATCTCAACGAAAAGAAAAGGCTACTCACCGACGCTCAAACGCAATTAGCCCGAGAGATTTCCAGTCTAGAAGATGCCAATCGTCTGCTGCGATCCCGCGAGGACGCACTACACGACGCCAAAAACTGCATCTGGCGTTCGAAACGGTCATTGCGTGTACGGCGCTTTGGTGGTTTTCTCAAGAAAGTCGCCCACGGTGTTGGGCACGTTGCCAGTCAAGTGGGACATGGGGTGGGCCACGTGGCGCAGCAAGTAGGGCGGGGAACGGAGCATGTGGTGCAACAGACTGGTCACGGACTGAACCATGTGGGCGGTCAGCTGGAAAAGGGTGGTACAAAATTAGTGGGCCACGTCCGAGATCTGGTGAATATCGGATGTCCGTTGTGGGCCGGCGTGAAATCAGCCCGTGCAGCCGTACGCAGCGCAGAGACCAACGTGGCCAATCAGCGGCAACGGGTCACCAACGCGCAGGCCAATGTCAACAGCGTCCAAGCCACAGTCGACCAATTGCAGCAAATCAAGACGCAAAAAGAGCAACAAAAACAAATTCTGAACAATCATATTGCGGACATGCGGGTTACACTGGAGATGCTGAGCAGGATTAGCGTAAAAGTCAAGCAGGTGGTTCTGTATCTGGCCAGTTTATTTGATGTGGGACAGACTTTACAGAGCATCATCAGGAAAATGGTTGACATGGCAGAGTTGTTGGAACCGCTGCAGGAAATCAGCACGTTGGTGGGATCTTTTGGTGGTCAGAACACGACAGCGCTCCTGCAAGCGACGGAGAGCACTCGGCAAAGCATGCTGGTGCTGAAGGACAAGCTGCCGCAGTATCCGCTGCTTGATGTCGCATAATAGCGTTTTCTGTTGTTTTTATTGGTGTTGTTAACTCTGCCGTCTCTGCGTAAACACCACTATCTACGTACAGAGACAGTGGTTCCTCTTCTTAAAGAAGAACTTCGTTATTGCATGCCGTAACAGTGCTTGCACAAAGACTACGTGCTACCGGTAACTCGTAAATCTGCTACTTGTGTTTTATATTAAAACCCTGTTCTTGAACTCTACAAAGGTCACATTTTACAGCTTGCACAACTTGCACATTTTAGTGGCAGATCTACGTACAAAGTCATTGTTCATAAATTTGATGTGATTGTGTGTGTACTATAACCAAAAAGGACTAGATGTGCAGCATATACAGAGCTGCGTATATAGATATGCTACGTAGTACGTACAATGTGATGTCATCTGTATATGCTACCGACATATGCGTATTATTATATGTGTTACGAAATACGAAAATTACAAGGCGGCAAACTAAATTAACTAACCGAATACGGCATTTCCTTTTTCAGTAACAGGCAGGGTTCCTCGCAGTCGCTAGCCACTGTCCTGTTTTTATGTACAATATTTCTATAGTATCTGTACATGACACTTGCATCGAATTCTGACGAACTGGCCAGGGAAAACTAGCTTCGTAGAAACTGTGACTGCTAATTTGTCACAAGTTAACAGGTAAATAATTTGGTGAACCATTATAGGTTGACCAAGATTATATTATTTTGTCAAGGAAACTTAAAAAATTTACGCTGACGTGGCCGGCATAATCTTAAGCTGACAAATGGTGGTACTCGTATAACAGCTTGTACAAATAGTACGAGTATATGATTATATCCATCTCGATTTGCAGGCCGTCATGGGCTTGCAAATCCGGATGCAATCAAACCTCACTCTTGCATTAAATTATTATAGTAATTTTTTATACGCTGCCAATCACATCGAATGAAGTTGACCGAAAAGCATTCTGCTCCATTGCCTGTTTAAAGCGGAAACATGCCGGGCATGCAAGAAATTTACGGAAATTAAACATGTAATTATAGTTTATACTTACTTTGTAGCACATGAAACCATTTTTTATGTCGCATCTTTGAATCGCTTTCGGCGGTACTAGGTAATATTTCATGATTTGGTGCTTTTCACAGACTGCCAATCACAATAGCAATCTGTGATTGCTAAAACGTCAAATATGAAAATTCTGTTTTTGTTAACAACACGATTTCAATCGGTGAAATACCATGCAAAAAAATTTCAGAGTATGTGCAATATTTACCGTGCTTATGTCGGTTTCGCCAGCACAATCGGATTGGGATGCCCCTCAAAATTATCCTTCATGGTTTCTAATTCCGCAGCGCTTAGCGGGATATCCATTGTGTAAGTGCCAAATCACTCCTAGCGCTTTTTTTGTTGCAAATTCAATTTTGTTTGGATCAGTTAATCGAAGACTATGTTATTTTGTGGTGGCAAAAAATTTGTGGCGAATCTTCGCTGCGAGTAGCTATTTTCGTACGTAATGCATAATGTTTTATACAGTCGGCAAATAGCATTACACTGCACACTAGAGCCGCTTTGCTAATTACTTTGTTAGAAATGTGCGATAGAATTACCACAACAGTTACTCGTTAACTCGGGCACTTTTTATTCGTTAACTGTAGATTTGCCACAACAACCAATTTTTGCCGATTACTCCTCCAGCAGTTTAGTGGACACTTGGAATCAGTTTCGTAACGAATTCAGCGATATGGTAAGCCATTAACATAAATATCGTTTCTTACACAAATTTTCCTAATGAGCTGATACAAGCAAACCCTCAATATTGAGAAAGGCAAACGTATTGTAGGTTTGCGTTTTTCAGTATTGTGAGGGTGGCAGGTCTGCCAGGTGAATTGTATTCACTAATTGTAGGTACTTGTAAGTCGTACAGATAGGTATTTGTACTGCAATAATTATATATAGATATTTTTTTATTACTCTACAGAATCGTGTTCTGCATTGCTGTATAAGCACTTGTTTAGGTTGCATACGAAATGTTTTAGGTTCCCTATAATGACCCCGACAGTGATCCCTTCTACGACCATTTCGAAGAATATACAGCCGGCAAACGAACCTTTCCGCCTTCTGCAGCACCTGCAGCAGCTCGTCCAGCTCGCGAATTTGTGGATGCTCGTGGTGATAAGCGAAGAAAACCCGCGGCAGCGAAATCTATCGATCGCACTAAACCGCTCAGTGAAGAGTTGGTGGAAGTATTAATGAAGATCGCCACCGCAAACTCCAACCTTAACAGTTCCTGATCAACAAAGCACCACGCGTGCAGCAGTTCCAAATGATAATAATTCCTGTTTTGGTATTGCGAATTGTTATTTTTGTGTAATGTATTATATCTATATTATTGCATCGCGATTATGAAAATCTGATCTTGATCATGATGGGCTGGTGATACTGGTGTGCTGGATTTACAGTTGTATGGACCTAGGCTCCTAGCTGCCGTTCGCAATCCTTAAAAGCAAAACCGGTTCCAGAAGTATCGTAAATTTGCCAACCGATTAAAATAAGCATACTTATAAACATACTTAGCAAAAGATACGGAATCAAACACATGCGTGGTTCTCCTGGATGGTGCCATGCAACACAAGCAATTTATGTAACTAACAAATGATCTATAGAAAATTATCAAAATAAACACTGCTCCGTAGCAGTATTCGTGATAGCAATGGTTCCGGTACGAGTATATACGAGTAACTAGTCAATTTCACTGCTATACACACGTCATATGGATGGAAGATCAAGCGGAAGATATCGTGGGAACACTGAGAAGTTTTAGCCGTTTAGCCTAACTAGGGCAATGTTTGTGCGCATGCCGGGTCAGATTGTTTTCGGATTATTTCGTAGATTCGACGTTTAAATGGGATGGCTTCCAAATATTAACAGCCTTTTTGACGGGATTCAACCAAAAGTTTTCGCAGTGACCTCTTATCCTACTGAGTTGTCTGAAAATTAACAAACACAAAACAAGCAAAACAAACATCCGTAAACAAAACAGAACATAATAATAATAAGCAAAACATCCGTAGTAATTTGTAAACACATCGTGATAAAATGTGTGCGCAAATCGTCACTCCCGTCGATGAAATTACCAGTGAGGTAATCTATATTAAAATAATTGACTTTAAGAAAGAGTTTTTTGTAGAATTATTAAGCGAATAAAAGTATGTACTTTCTCAGTACTGTAGAGTAGTTACGACTTCCGAGTATTTTATTTTTAGCTGATGACAACGACATCGAGGGATTTTGGTCGAGATTCGCAACGTCATACCAGAACGCAGTCCATATTCTGTCTAACGATGCCCTCAAACCCCTCGCCGACGCCCAGATTCCTAACCAGTCAACGGAAGCACTGCAACTCCTGTCCAAAAGCAAACTCACTTCCAGCGGTTTTATGCAACACTTGAGCCAATGCGTACCGCTTCGGAAGAACTCAAACAGCAACAGGATCAACGGATCATCCGTGAGTCTCTTGAGCTGCAGCAACTGAAGAATGCAATGCAGGAGACCGACCGGCAAATTCCGCTGCCCCTACCGATCTCGACCAACGCATCCGCGCTTTTAAGGGGAAGTGGGCCGGTACATGGTACCGATTTCGTATACATGCGCGAAAACTTACACTTTCGCGCACTCCCAAACACATTTTTGTTTCGGTTTATGACGTTTTGTAGCCAGAAGATTTGTATACACTGGCGTGAAAACCGTTTGTGCGCGCAACATCCGGTTCGGGAGTTATGGCTGTTACAAAATTCCAAAAAGTTTAAATGCGTTCAGGTGTACCAAAAGTCTCATTATGGACCGATCTCTCTCAAATTTTGCACGTAAATGCGCATGTCCATGAAGATCGTTTTTTAAAATTTTAAAATGAATTTTAAAATTTTTGAAATTCATTTTAAAATTTGAAAAACATGCTAGAACAGTGGATCGGTGTAAAAACGTTCTTCGTGGTTATGTGCATTTACGTGCAAATTTTGAGGGAGATCGGTCCATAATGAGACTTTTGGTGCCCCTGAACGCATTTAAACTTTTTGGAATTTTGTAACAGCCATAACTCCCGAACCGGATGTTGCGCGCACAAACGGTTTTCACGCCAGTGTATACAAATCTTCTGGCTACAAAACGTCATAAACCGAAACAAAAATGTGTTTGGGAGTGCACGAAAGTGTAAGTTTTCGTGCATGTATACGAATTCGGTACCAGGTACCGACCCACTTCCCTTAACTGATGCACAGGTCAAGCTCGGTCAAGAGCGCACCAGCCTACACCATGCCCCCGTTAATCTGCAGTCTCAACAGCCGAAGGTCACTGCGCGAACGCCGTTTTCTAGATCCCCTATGGAAAGGCGTAGAGCATCTTGGTAGGGAAATCGGGAGAGGGACAGGAAACGTGGGGCGGGAAATAGAGCGGGGTGCGCAGAACGTCGTTAAGGACACCCTAAAGGTCATTAATGTGCCTTGTCACATTGGCCGATTGGCGGAGCGATAAATAATGTCCGTGAAGCAGTCTGCAACGCCGAGAACAATGTGCGCCAGCAGGAACAACGTGTGGCTGAACGACAGTCAAAGGTCAACACCCAGAATACGGTCAACCAACTGCGGCAGACAAAAGAAGGTTAGCAACAGTGGAAAGGGCGCCTTGTTCGTCAAATCGCAGATATACGGATGAAATTGCGTGCACTGGTGGAGATTGCAAAAGGTCAAGCAGATTGTGTTATATTTGTCCGGTCTGTTCGATGCAGGTGAGACATACGGAATGCCGTAAAAAAGGTGATCGACATTACTGAGTTGCTGGAGCCGCTGCAATATATTGCAGAGAAGACTATGTCGTTTAGCGATCGGGAAACAGCAGCGCTGCAGGCGGACACGAGAAGTTTACATCAAAGTATGGTCACCCTCAGCGCAAAACTACCAGAATATCCTTTACTTGAAAATGAAATTCACAGCAGCTAGTCGCTACTGTGCTGCTCTTATAGCGCTTGCAGGATTCAATGTATGTGTTGCGAAAATTTTTTGTTTTCGTAATTTAATAACCTTGGAGTCAATGAACATTCCATAATTATAGTATAAGCATTTTTACTACGTTTTTGGTATTTTTAAAATGGCATTATCTGCAAAATGTACAACATCTGTTTCTGATTTTCAAACATTTTCGTTGTTCCATATTCGTCATGTTAATCCACCGGTATAATAAACTGACCAATTAGATTTAGTACTCCAAAGATTATTATTATTGCATGCAAGAACAAAGAGAGTTTTGTTAGATAACCGGCGGCACGAAGCATTGCCAAGTATACCAAACACGGGAAAGTATAGTTGTACGCAAATCCCGATATCGCTCCAACAATCCTGAGAATACAAAAAACGTTGACATTTGCACATTAACAATAATGACGTGTACCCGGAGTCCGAAAACGCTGACCTTATTAGTGTTCCAACACGCGGCCAAAACATTGCTAACAGTATGCATATTGTTACAACGACGGCATTCACAGCAATGATCCAGCCATATCTGCAATTTTACAATATTGTTAACAAACTTACCAGAAATAAAACCGTATACACTTACAGTATACACTTCTTATACTGTAAGTTTGCAGAACCAGCATGCAGTATCTTGTATGCACTGCTGTAAATTGTTTGTCGTACCTGTAGTCAATTTTCTTCAGAATTTTGACAAGGAACTGGTTTCGGAACATGTATAACATAAGTGGATAAACCGTGACCATTTGGAACAAAAGGAAAACGCTGGCAACAATCCCAAAAATATCGACTTTTGTGACTAAACGGAGGAAATTCTAAAACAGAATCTTAATTAAAACTGTTATATTCTGTAATATTATAATTGTAGATGATTGTATCTTAACATATAAATATCTATACTTTCCTAACATTAAAGTGGTTACAAACTACGAGTACGAAGTATATCAAAATGGCTGTCATATTCGACCATTTTGTTTCAGATAAGCCCGAAAAATTGTGTTGTATAACTTGCATCGGGGATTTCATCCTTTCGCTCCGGATATGTAATATAGAAAATAATGCCAATGGATAAGTAAGTTAGTGCGACGAGCAGATAGGCCAATCCCAGATCACGCTTTTTATTCTGCGGTTTCTCATGATGTTGTGTAATGGGGAGAATACCGTTATGTATGAAAAATCCCATAGACAGCGATCCAGTAATGGCCGGAAACTTGGTGTTAAACCCTTGGAATACAATAATTACATTGCGCATAGTACAGATATGATATAACTATATAGTCCTTGATTTATCATTTAAAATAAAGCACTTTACATTACCACACGATGCAAAGAATTTTCTAGTCCCATTTCCTAAGAAGTGTAGCATTAAGCACTTTGTTTTTCATGTTTTTAACATAACATTCAGCTAAATTTATCGAAAGGCAACGTAGTAAGGATTGATAACTGCGATATTTGTAAGCTGTCATAATACAGCTGAGCGATGATTTTGTAAAAAATTTTTGCATAAAAATATATCTTTACATGCGACCTCTAAAGAGTCGAGGAAAGAGACAAGATTAACTGACCTCTAATGGAATCATCCACGCCGGAATCCATATTAATTCCCCATATCACAGCTCGGTATATCACATAGGCCAGCAGGACAAATACGGAGCAAACGCCGAGAGCGTTGAATTTGGTGAATACTGTCGGTTCCCGCATGCAGGACAGCGGAAGGAGAATTGCCGCCAAATACACCGGCACAGTGTACTGTGCTGACCAAAAGTCTTTGAAGGACTTCACCGCTGCGCTGACGTTGAGCGCCTCGAAATCAATCGGTGCTTCTAATTTTGACCTCGCATCCGCTTCCGTGGAATTAGTATCCCACGCATAATCTACGTAGCATAATTAAACAGATAAAATGTGAAATGCATAGTACCGCATAACACCTTACGATATATGACATTCCCCACGTTAAACAGGAACCTGGACATAAATATCCAATATGCTATTAACGCTCCCAGGAATGTCAGCAGCGAGATCACTACACCGCATAAGGCCAAACGCCGGCCCAGGTAATACTCTATCGCATCCCCGAAATCAAAGAACGCCGGACGCATGACCTTCTCTGCGTCGTTTGCATCCTTCTGTCTTTCGGCAGACGACAGTACCAGACTGCAGGTATAATAGGAAAGACATCCAAGGAAAATTGTTAGAAATATGCCCAGTATAAAACCGGCCTAAAAACAACAGACAGTTTTGATCGGTTGCTGATGAAAAATAATCACCATAAAAATTGTTACTGTAGCATACTGCAATATTTTATTTACATATACGTGTGCATCTGTGTAACTGCTTTAGATCTGTAGTTGAACATCTTTTAGGCATAGAGCATGCGCGGTTCAAATAATTCACAAAAATATAAGAATACACTGCAGTTACGAACTTGCGCAATGGCCCATGGCATGATTAACAAAGTCGCGCCCATCATTGTATTCCATATTGCAAATCTGCAAGTGCAAAAATGTTTACCAACACTTGTTTAACTTCCAAAAATTTATGACTACTGTAATTAATTTGACAGTTGACATATACTGCGCAACCCACAGAAAACATCCTGCTGGTACAATTTAAGAATTTTAGGTGCAATAAAGTTATAAAAAATATTGAAGAGTAAAATCGTAAGCACAATTTCGCAGTTTTAATATGGTCAACAGTTGTAGCGCTTCAGTGCTGCACGCTCATGACACTTTCATCCTTTGTTTTATCGTTATACTTTTGTTAGGTAATACTGCTCTAAATTTGCTTACACCGGCAGCGGTAAATTACTGTATATTATTGTCAAAGCCGGTACTACAAGATTATTTGCATGACCGCGTGCCGTGGTCATTTTTTGTTGTTAAACTGGCATTTAATTAGACTTATAATTAATAATGCTGACATAGTGACCAAGCTTCCTTGCTTCCGGATAGCCGGTTCCGGGCTGATCGGCTTGCTCAGCTCGATGTGCGCATCAGCGGATTCGAAGAGTTTTGGCACATTTGTTGTTAATTTGGCTGCGAGGGTCTTCCTTATAGCATCTTCCTGGTCCGCTTCTAACTGGGTCTCTGGCTCCGGAGTGTGCAGTGCCGTCGGATCGGCACTCGGGAGATCGGTCGACTCAGTCGATGCGCGTGATACCGAGCGTGAAAGGCTTAGGTGCAACGCTTCAGTGGGCGCTGTAATGGAGCCGCTGATCGTTGGTATCACTTCCGGCGCTGACCGGTCTAAATGGCAAATTCAGTCATTCACACTTTAAATCACAAAGTAGCAAAGGATATTCACTAAATATGTTTAGATGTCAAAAGGCATTTTTGGAGTCCTTTTTTATTCAACTTTATAAATTGCCGCCAGCAAAACAGTTCGTATAGTATGCATCTCGCAAAAAGGAGTTTTTGACCGGAAACACTAGTCCGCTCCTCTAGATCGTAACTGCAAGGCAATAAAGAATCGCTACCGCTTTACTAACGAAATTCTGAATTATAGCCTATGTCTTGATGCATACAATACTACGAACTGCATAAATACTTAATGCTGCATTTTAATTAGCTGAGAAAACGTACGCTGATATTGGTAAATTCATATAGCATATTGCTTTACATTACACAAATAAATTCAGACGTTACAGTAATATTAAATTAAAGTGCACTAAATGCTGGTATTTACATGACCGGAAGTGGTCAGTTGCACGTACCTTCGTGATCTCTTCTGGACATAATTTGTTTACAATTGTAAATTGTGATTACTGAAGACGCAAACACGGATGCTGTAATCCAGGGACAACGATCAAGAGAAAGATACTTGTGCCGGGATCAAGAAGGTAAGTGCAGCATATAAATTATACGTTACAGTGACCAGCAGAACTACTACTTTTCGTGGTTATGTTCTGACATAAGATGCAAGGCCTGTCGGGTTGTTTTATGCAATAATTTCCAGTCAGGGAAGAAAGGCACAGAATAAATATACCTATACAATCTTTACATTAGGAGGCGGTATTGGCAAACCATCCCGGTTTTTTCGCTCTGATCACCGCTTTTTTGGATAAAGCACCACGGCATCAGTACAGTGTTCTGCTGACCCGGATATTACTAACCGTATACACATCAATCCATAGGCGACAAATCATTTCCTATCATTTTGTGCTCATCAACATTACGTTACGTTAAACTGCTAACGTTGATGGCAGAAAAAATGCACAAGGGATTTGTTTTGATAAATGTGCTTGCTGATCAGGCGACGAGAAGTGCAGTCTGATGACCTTCAATCAAAGCATTCTTGATACCTTAAGTGAGGACTTATAATCATGTAACTAACCCTTAAAGTCTTTTATAGGATCTTCTCTAAGATTGCAAATTTGCTGTTTCGTACAGGAAATGACGGCTTTTCTGGCTCTTGATGATGATCCGGTTTCGCAACAGTTGCTGCTGCTACATAACCCACGTGGAGAAAAAAGCGCTCAACTGCAATTAAAGATTTGCCATTGCCGACTCATCGTCCTACCGCGAATACTATGCAGTACATAAGTATAGTTCTGTACGGCTACGTCGAAGCATCGTTTTTAAGTGTGGATTCTACTACATAGTTTAAAAGTATCGTTTACAGACTCCCTGTATACCGTACTTGTATTAGTTGTATATACCTGTACTGTAACTAAAATACTAATTAATTATCAGATCGTTTGCATTACTAATTTACCGGCAAAAGTACGTAGGGGTACTAGGGGATTACCGGTCTCGAACCTCCTGCAGAAACTCTACAAACTCCATCATTCGCTGCCAATCTGTTAGTTAATTCGATAGCTTAGGTTGTGGAGATTTAGATGACCTTATGATTTGAATTTCGATGTAGCTTGTCTCACTTCGTGCCCACTGTGGATCAATTCGAAGCAAACCTAAACAAACACACCAACAATACATCGTAGTTAAATTATTAAAAACAGAAATCAAATAATTATTTTCTGTAGAACAATAATTATCAATAATTAGTAATTATTTTCTGCAACGTGCATTCAAACTGTTCGCGAACTGTTATACATATCGGTAGGAACTAATGAGCTGCACAGAGTTTGCAGCTCATCTTCCTAGCAATTTATGATTGGCTTGTATAGATAATAGAAATATAGCCCAAAACACACTTACGTTTCTTAAAAACCGAAGTCCATTCAACCTTTTACTATTTTTAAAACACGGCAAATCCGCGAAAGCAGCTTTGAAATTTTTGTGCACATACGATATCAACGTCCTCCGTTCAGATTACTACGGCCGTTCATGATCAGAAAAAAGTACTAGGGGATTTGAATTCACATTTACATCGGACTAGCAATTCTGATGGTAAAAAAATCAGAAATCGCAACAGCAAGATTGTACTACGTTTTAGCGGCGATAGATATTTCTGCTTTGTATCTATTATGTACTAGTAATAGCATTAGTTAATACTCTTTCAGATCGTACGTACGCAATTAAAAAGTAGAGTGATTAATATTTTATCATAATAATAGTAAACAACTCCAGTTTATGTGTTTATTAAAGCGTGCTTTAGTCCAGAACATAAAAAGATTGAACTTATAACTTAAAAAAATAAAAAATACGTGAAAGCCTATAACTTCAAAAAGCGATGCTGTTGTAGATACTGTATGCTGTACTCGTATTTAAATGACATGGCTTCGTTACTCGTACAACACTTAAAATTTACGGCACTTAAAATTTAAAATTTAACTAATTTATTATTGCAAAGTTTTTAGTTATTTTCTCTGTGCATTGTTATTTTGTCGGTACACTTATAAATTAGTATCGTAGACTGTAACGGTAAAATTTAATTTTAAACGCGAGCTCGCTTCACTCGCTTGTTTGAATAGGAACAGGCTCCGCTGAGTCAGCTGTGCCGCTTGCTGCGGCTTATAGTGCAGCCCGTTCGTGCGTGCATATGCCGTAAGCGTGCAGCAGTGCCTGCATGGGCAAAGCTGTAATGTTATTGATTGGCCCTATTTAAAGCATATGATCAGTTTCCGTGGGACTTTGGACCTTGAACTTGGGAATATTATTGGCTTTGGCGTGCACTTGCTTGTAATAATCATTTCTTTGAATTATTCCGCCATTTTCGCTGCCAAGTTTTATCGGCTATTGTACTAGATATTCTGAGCCTTAAGCCAGTCATTCCACCTGCCTGCCATCCACGCGCGTACTTCTGCTGTGCGTGGTTTGTGGATCCTACAGTTTCCATCCGATCTAGTTCCACCGTGTTCATCCCGATGCGCACTGCCGAACAGTGTTCAAGATCTTGAGTGCGGCATTTGGTATCACTCGTCGATTCCATCGGCACGACAGGCTGATTCCCGTTTTCACGCGTTTTCGAAGCGTGACTGCAAATCTCAGATATCTTGGAGGTGTTTGATATTTGGATTTGCTGATCGATGCTTGCATCCCTAACGGAAATAATGCCGTCGCCTTATCTGTGGTCGGGCATTCCCGCTGCCATGTATTATGCCTATTATTATAAAACCTACTGTGGTCAGGTGAGTGGATAGTGCAGTTTGTCGGAAGTGGTATTTTTTGCATTTTGATCTCCCTTCCGGTACATTAGTCGAGCCACAGAAGCACGTGTTTGGGATTACGCATTCATTAGGAATATCATGATTTAAACTGGCTAAACTTGTGCGTACTGCGTAGCAATATCATATTTATGCATTATTTTCAGTTTGATAAAAAAACTTCTAACTCAGGAAACTTTTAATCCCGATGCCCGTGCATAATATGAAACTTCAAGAAATACGATACATTATGCCATTTCAGAATTGCCTTCAGGTTTCTGTGAAAAGCTTTCATTAGGACCTAGACGAAGTGTATTTGCATACTGAAATAGGTTGCGATGCATGGAATTATTTGCAAACCTGTGAATCCGAAATTACCCCAGTAATTGCACCATTGCGTTATGAATTTGTGAAATTAAACGTGCATTTAACTTTTAACAAAACTATAAACCTAGACATTGGTGGAGTGATAGCAATAATGATAACGTATAAAAACCGTTGGTGATGATTTAGATTTTGGCAGTTTTTGTGCGTTATAAATGCGTTTAGCGTGAATTGGTAAAATGATCCGAAAGAGTCTCAAGAAATGTGTAGTTGACATTGGTTAATTATATTTATAGTTTTATACGTAAGGTACGACGGTGTTTCGATGCTTTTTTTAAAAATTTATAGGTGTCAGATTTAATCGCACACTTTTATAGGTGCCAGAGATTTACGGGGCCGACGGAGCATTTCTACGGCTGATGAAAGAGAAATGTCCAGCTCTGCACGAAGAATATCGCCCACCGCCTCTCGTGCATGAATCTCGTTTAATGACGATCTTCGCCTCAATTGGACGTCATCGCGGACTGAATTTTCCTTATATGCGGTACGCTGGTCAAATATTTGTTGTGTGTTTGTGTATGGAAACATTTTTCTCTTTTCTGTCTGTAGTGAGCTGTTTATAACATCGGATGGCGGGGAAATTGCGCTGGACTGGTGGGACGCCCGTCTGAAGCCCAAATCCCCATCGGAAGTTCCCGTTGTCTCCTCCACGTCGTTGGTGGATTCCCTGAGCTATTATTTTCGTTTTCCCAGCCTTCAGATTCCGTATTTTGGATCTGCCGCATCCACATCGGCACCTGACACCTCTGGCGACATCAGCGACGCCAGTATCCCCACCGGAAGCACCGAAGCGCGAAAACTTAGTGGTAGGCTTTCAATACAAATGTTTATTTGCCGGCAGGGTTTTAAAATCATAATAGTACATGTAAACACATTTCCGGGGAATGTTTGGATGTTTTGTCGGCCAGACTGACGCTTATATTGATTTGTCACGCTCTGAGCCCTGAATTTACGACCTTGCAGTCGGAGACGCTCCCAGCAGTGTGCCCGAACTGGATGATCTCGTACCAACCCATGTTCATTTACCCAAATCCGTCTCTAACATTACCGCTGATCCAGCGGATGTAGATGTGTCAGTGGCAGTGGAACATCCGGAGAAATTAGTTCCCATTGCGGAGAAAAATGCCGATGGGGCCGATCAGAGCGCGGTGGGCCGCAGTGATGTCTATGTGCCGGAACCGACGGGATTAGTGCTTATTTTGCCCGGTTTAACCGGAAATAGTGGGCAGAATTATGTGCGGGGATTGGTGCAAGTGGTGGAGGAATTGGGATTCACGTAAGTTGATGCCGCATTTTCTTATAATTAGACACATTGCATGATATTTTTATTGAACATCGGAAATGATGGCCATTTATGCTTTTGCTGCTTGAAAATGGCGCTGCAAATTGGCTCAGCTGCAGAGTGTAGGCTGTGTGATCGGGGTTGTTCAGGAAACTAAAATTAATTATTTTGTTACATGTTGGTTTTCTGTGCTTTCTGCCTTTTTTGTGTTTGTTTATTGAGCTGTATTGGTTGTTGATATTTAGTCTGTCATAATTTGCGAACTTTGCGTTTTACAGAGCGATCGTTATGAATTACCGTGGAATGGCAGGCGATTTAAAGGTGAGGAACTGTCCCAGTGCGTGATATTTTGCAACCCACTAATCAAGAGAGTTAAATTCGCAGACTCCGAAGTCTTATTGCGCGGTTGACACCACGGACATTGCAGAAGTGATACAACTTCTGAAGCGTCGTTATCCCACCGTCCCAGTTATGGCTGTCGGCATCTCATTGGGCGGGTATGCCAAGAATTTTCGACGGTTGAATTCCGGTACAAGTTACAGTATTAACTTTAATATGGTTCATGTTCTGTAGGATTTTGCTGTGCCAGTATTTGGCGTATTGCGGAAAGAACAATATTGACAGTCTGTTAGTGGGCGTTATGGCTGTGTCGGTTGGATGGAATATCTTTGAATCCTGTAAAACTTTGGAACAGCCTTTGAACTGGCTGCTGTTTAATCGTATGCTGACACGATCATTATGTGCTGCAGTGCATAGGTACAATATGTTCTGTTTGATTAGCGTATTGTGCTATTTGATTGAAGGATACGACAATTTGAGCAAATTATTAGTAACTTTATCGCTACAACATTACCTTATTTTCCGATCATGTTTGTTTTGTGGATGCTTAGGATATTTGACAATTACTAGCATTGCAAACATTTGATCTATAAGATGCATGCTGGTAACTGAAGTTGATGAATTTTTTTATTTTTCAGGCACAGCAATATGTTAAAGAACAACTATGACCTGGAGGGGCTAAAAAATGTGCGGACTATACGGGAATTTGACAGTCATATAACATCCAAGATGTTCGGCTTTTCGGATGTGGATGAATACTACAAGAATGCCTCATTGTACGACAAGATTCAGTTCATCAAGACGCCTTTACTGGCGCTGAATGCTGCTGATGATGTATTTTCCCCGAATGACGGTATGCGTGAGACTGTAATCATTACCGCTGATTTTGAATAAAACTGTGATGATAAATTGTTTGATGCATGCATAAGAAAAAAGCTAAGCTAAGAAAAAGCAAAAAAGCTAACAGCTTTTTTGGTTGAACAGAGAGGTGAGTTTTGTAACTAGGATGATACACCTCGTTCACGCCAAGTTGGCGGTGTGTCATTTTAATTTTCTGCCGAATCGTGCAGCGCATGTTTTGCCAATGTTTTTAAAGGTTATAGCGTAGTTTTCTTTTGCGCATTTATTGAGCAAAAACGTAATGGATTTTCGGTTGCGGTGCCGCGAGAAGCGCCTTCCGAAGTGAAGGCACCGATGAAACAAGTCATGGCAGTGAAAAAACACAATTTAATTCTGCCAGAAATGCAGGAACGACTTTAGGCGCTTGGAATTGAGGTCAGTTTCAAGAACCCCAAGAGAGAGCTTCAGGAAAAAAAACTAAAAGTCAACTGCTAGACCAAACCTGCAAACCGCCTAGGGGAGCAAAATCGTTTTTTCGCCAAAATAAAGCGCTCGTTGAAAAAAGGGATGGTGTTCACTGAAAAGTGTTCCAACGGAGGGACGCGCGCTTATGCTCAGGATAGTAGTAAAAATTTTAACGCCCAACTCCTTGCGAATCGTATTTTATGTTGCACGTTGAAGGAGGAGTTCCCATGGTTGCATGGTGACCTCGCGGAGAATATCGTCCTACAGTTCGGCCACGCCCACCGTTATACCGGTGCCCTGCCCCAGGAACGGCTTCAAATTAATGGTGCGAAGTGCACCCCGAAGGGCCAATGCATGGCCAAGTCAGCAGATTTAGCGCCCTTGGACTACGGCATAAACGGGAATTTAAAACCAATTTTATGTGGGAGAGACGAAACCGCGATAGCTTAACTGCAGCGCATTTTTGAAGTGGTCTACTCTAGTTTTAAAATTCCTGTAATTCACATATAGCTCAAATCTTAAAAACCTTAATTGCAAATGGTGTTGGATAGATTCAGTAATCACGTTAAAGTTAAACAAAGTTAAATTTGTTGACTAGTGGTTCAGGGTAATTTTGTAAATGGACACCGCCAACTTGGCGTGAACGGGGTGTATATGCATATCTTACCTAGCATTTGTGGTAGGTGTGTAAATACACAAATGCCTGCATTTATCGCCAGTTGGAAAGTTTTAAATCTGCATTCCACAAAACTCTCTCTTTTTTTCTGGTGATATAGTTTTTTAAAAGCCGCTGTTATGGACTACGAAACTCTGCCCACGAACGCAGTGTAAAATTTGTTTACTTAATTTAGAATAATGATTGTACGTTTTGATTTTTGAGCTTATTAGAATTTTTGTGTGTTTGATTTAGCCATTCCTCGTGAAGAGGCGAAGAAAAATCCCAACATGTGCTTGGTGGTGACATCCCACGGTGGACACATTGGATTCCTGGAGCAGAGAAATCCCTTTGGACGTAACTACGTCGAGCGACTGTTTGAGCAGTTTGCCCGCGCCGTCTTTGAGAACCGTGACATACTGCCGGTGCCGGTGCGCATCATCACTCCTCACGAAGAAGTTCCTGTTAACACTGCCGAAATCCCTTTAGTTCCTGACGTCGATACTCAAACGGCGCCATCGCTGGATTGATTACAAAGATCGTTGTGGATCTTGTCTCGCTTCATCTTGTTATATAGTCATTGTTTCTTCGTGATTAGCAAAGCCATACTGTTATGGGTATTCTGATATTGCAAGCCTGGTGATTATTCTTCATGAAAAAACTTATTAAGCTTCATAGCGGCGAACGCTGAACGCGATGGTGTTCTATCGTTGCTGTTAGTGTCGGCTTTATGGCACTGCTTTTCTTTTATATTTTGCAGTATTTCAGTTCTTATTTCATTGTCGATTTTTGGAATACGATTGTATACACTTTTGGATCGCTGCAATTTGAAAGTCGAACAAAACTGAATAACAATAATTCAAATAAAAATAAAAGTCATGGAGTGACAGTATGGAAGTTGCTAAGCATGCATGCTTGCAACAGAAGCTACAGATAGTGTTTATGTACAGATTGTCTGGTCACTGCAGGCTAGAACAGTCAAAGGTAGATCAAAACAACCAAATATATTCCACAATCCACAGTAGTTGTGTTACGTAACACAGGCAAGCTGCGCATAGAAAGCGTAAATAGTCGTAATGTCCGGAGTGGGCTAGAATGGCGCACGGTGACCTTATGCACGTACACTTGCGTAATCAATATTAACATCGTCTGACAAAATGCCAAATTTCTTTTATACACAAACTCATACAAAATGCATGAAATCCTAATATCAGGCGTAGTGGCTAAAGGAGAGGCATCTTTTCGAACAGTCTGAAATTATCTAATAACTTAATTCAAGTTTATCTTGCAGCGGAAGTAATGCACTTTCGCGGTACTTCGTATTCTATAGAAGTAGAGAATGTTCTATTCTGCTTAATTTTGTTGCTTCCCGTCGCAGGTAAAGTACAGTGCAACTGTGCAATCATTATTACACGGAGCTACCAAGCAGCGCTCGCACCTGCCATAACATTGTTACGAGTACAGTAATTTTTCTGCATACATTTACAATTAGCTGACAACATTATAGCAAGCACTGCAAAGCAAGCAAAGTTGAAAATTACTTCTCCGTAAATAGTGAATTTGTAAAACTTAAGCAATAATAATTTTTCTCGTATAGTCTTTCTCTTATGGCTTATAACCTTTTCCTACTATGTACTGTGCAAATATTTCAACTTTGACTAACAAGTTTATGCTAGAGAAGCCATGCATTTTAGGCGCTACACGCCACGCAGTGTTTACTCTGAATTCTGAAACAAAGTATTCTCATAAAACTAGCAACGAAAAAAAATTAGCAACGACACCAAATCGTTAAAAAAATAAAAGCAACGAAAAAAATCGTTTATATATATTTCCAAATATTATAGATATGCATTATTATATGTATTTGCGTGCAAATTTTCCTTCTTACCGTTAGAACAATTTTGTATAAACACTATAGAGTGCATTATCTCTGCGTGTTGTTTTCACAGATTAAACAACTTATTAACATCTGCGCTAATATTTGCGACCTTTGTTAATAGCAGCACTAGTGGACGATGTTACCGACGCAAACGTCGACTTCCGGACGTCGAAGCATTTCCTTCGAATTTATGCAAAGGCGGTACATGTGTTGGCGTATAAAACGTTGAAACCACTGGCCGATGCTCCAGTACCTTCAGAAGGGCGGCAGACTATTCGGTTACTGCCCAACACCAGACGCCATCTCCAATGTTTTTACAATATTCTCAAGCCGCTCCTCACGGCGACCGAAGAATTGCGGCTTCGGCAGGAGGCTACGATTATAAATAAAACTTTACAACTACAATCGTTGGAAGAAGAGTTCGTAGAAATGGAAAACTACATCAGCTATAGTACTAATCGAGTGGATGCAACGCTCGAGAAGGAAGACGCCGGTAGTTACCGTAAACGAAACAAAACCAACGGAATTCGAGAAAATGCGCAGTTTATAGAAAATTTACAAATTCCTATACGTCAAAAGATGCAAGATCTGCGAATCGAAATGGCGGCGCTTAGTGCAAGTAATATACAAGTCAAAGGAATTATCCTGCATTTATCCAGTCTCTTCAGCGTGACAACGACACTGGATAACATTATGCAGAACACGGTCGACATAGCAGAATTGTTAGCACCGTTGCACCAGATTGCCGATCTGGTTGCATCGTTTGCTAGACACCATATCGGGTCACTTCCTGCAGTATACGCACGAAGTATCACAAAGAGCATGAAAGTCCTGGATCACAAACTACCGCATTATCCGCTACTGGATTTGGAATATCGAAGGTTGATTCCGTGCCGCGCGCACAGGCATAGCAAAACACAACGTTCCAAACTGCGAAATACGAGTATACTACCGGCGATCAATGTGAACGTTACTAATTTTACTTCTCGTACTGCACCGGATCAGCAATAAAGTTATGTTATTAATAAATTAATACTTCAGATAGATCAACATAATAATAATTTCATTTCAACATGACTATATTACAGCCTACAGGATAAATAAAACTTCCTTAAGTGAAAATCATCCGTGTTCGGTAATGCTAATTTAACCAGCGTCCCGCGCTTCAAAAAAACTGAAAATGATCCACCGGCTGTATCAGTTGCAGCATGCAAAGTTTTGCCATAAGGTGGGTATTATATCATCTAATTGTAACTATAGTATTCCACCACATTATATTATTATACAAAATTAATCCGATGCTACAATATTCCTGTATAAACTGAACTAGTAGTAGTATGTACGTCCTTAAATTATAAAACTTCGTAGAAAGAATAATAAACACGTTGAAAGCTGAGCAAAACAGCGCGCAGAATGACGATTCTTTTTTGATTCAGACGAAACAATGGACATCTGCAAAACTAGAATTCTGAACAAACCCAAAACATGACACATACACTGCGATGATGAAACACGATAACACGGCGCAACCAAACGGCGACGAACACGGCAAAAACAAAGAGCGAAACAATCCAAAACGTCCAAACTCAAATCAAAGCTTAGGGATAAATTTCTACAATACCCTCAATTTCATCAAAAACGATCACACAAAACACATTAAACATAAAACAGTCGCCTGAATTATCACAAGAGACGAGAAGACATAAAAGATTCCCATTCTAAAGTGAAACGACAACAGCTACCGAAACGAAACAAAGCACTGTTCAAGCAGCCGCTCCACGACGATCAGCTCACATTCTGTTCATTGCGGTTCTCATCCGTGCGGGAGCGTTTCGGGGGCAGGTCATTGGGGGTGGTGGGGTTGATCTCGGGATCGTTAAAACTGTCCGCTTCTTTGCGCTTGCCCGTCGCGGTCCGACTTGACGGCGCCGTCTCCAGTGAATCGTCATCAAACAGCGGTTCATCGCTGCTAAAGGAGAACGGACTATCGCAGCTGTCATCCGAATCCGATGGGCCAAAGTCCACAAACTCCGCCGAATTATTCAGCTTGCTGACGTCTTTGTTCTGCCGGCGCGACACGCAGTACTCGTCCACCGTCGTGGGAATGGTGACGCCGTCACGGGTGGCCTCCAGCTTGGACGCGTCCACCTGCTCACGGACCATACGCTCGTAGTCCTTGTCGCCCTTTTCCTTGTAGCGTCGGTACATCACCGAGGCGTCCACGTTGGCCGGTGAGCTGGTGTTGGGTTCGTTCAAGAGGGAAATGATGGACATGAGCACCGAGTGCACATTCTGGGTAGGGTTCCATCGTTCGCAGGGCAATTCACCCGAGCGCGGATCGTCCGTGGGTGGGTGGAGAATACTGATGCACACCGTGCCGTTTTCGTACACGTTGGGATGCTGTAAGAAGCAAAAATAGACGATCGTTATTTTTAATCACAGACCGGTCGCATCGTTAACCAGCGGACATACGAGACTTAATCGCGTATAATAATGTTTATGCCGACAATTATTACGCAGGTCTATAAAGATCGATCCTGATCGGGGTCTACTGTAATAGCACGCAAGACTCATTATTTTTGATAATTTGCAATCCGATAGCATCTCGAGACTGAGATTAAATTAATCACCGTTACGCAAAGCAGACGTTTTTTCCAGCAACACAGTTTTGCACTCATGACTAATCAGAAATGAGTAATGAAAACTGATAGCTACCTTGGATGTTTTATTTGTAAGACAAAATAAGGTGGCACTCTTTATCCTATCTTCATCAATTTTTTCATTAGGCGATTTACTGATTTGAGTGTCTAAATTAAGTTAAATTAAGTTAAGTGTCTAAATTAATCTAGTGGTACGAACACAAATTACCAAACCCAATGCGACACGGATAATTTTACTTCCCGGTGAAATTATTTTTTATGCGCGGCCTGAGAATTTGCCGCGGCGGTTTCGTGGTCGGATAGGCATTACACTGACAGCTGAGACTTTCATTCTGGTATAATTTTATTAGGCGCCGATCACAATACCCCAGCAGATGGCGCATGCCAACACAAATCCTCTGCCAAGCTTCACCGATCAGAGTGCTTTTTGGAAGCTGGCATTTCCGGTATTCAGCAGTATTACTAGTGGCGCATACACTCACACGGGCTGCTTAATACAGCTTGTAGCCTCGTACACTGCTGACACAATCAATATGCACCACAGCATGTGCACATTGTATTATTTTTGCACCTTAGTCAAATACTTTCTTTAAATACTAGTTGTATTCAAAAAAGTTTTTCTTATCGTTTCTTTGCCAAAACGCTGACATGGCTGGCAGCGCATTAAAGAAATCGGAGCAGGCGGGCGGATATATAGCCGCAACCAGTATCTTGCATTTTCGCATAGTTATCGAACATACACGGCTATTCCGCGCCTTATCAAGAACACGGTCAATGGACCAGCTCGTTGGCAGTCAGCCAGTCAAACACCATCAACTCGCTTATTGATTTGCTTACACTGACCACATATTACACACTCCATCATCTCCCAAAAAAATAATCCGAGCGAGATAAAATAAAAAACGAAATATATTATCACTTAGTCAGCAGCTGCAAAAGTTCCACCTGAATGTTGACTTTAACTTAATTACAATAATTTCAAATCTGCGGTTAGCAGGACACTTAAATAATTTTCTGCTCACCTATTTCTTTAGTGATTACACCAAAAACATGATAAATGACACATTGTTTCGACGCATTTCGCAGAAAAATGTAGGTCGATGGTAGCATGAAAATGAGTCATTACACAGACACTGACTGGACAAGATTTCAGCGCTCGTCTAACGACTTACCCATAATTTGTTGACAAATTTGACGCTCGGCGGCAGGAATGGATAATCCTGAGGAAATTTCATTACGGCCTTAAAATATCCACCCGCGTACAGCGTTTCAGGAGGTCCAAAAATGGCCACTTCCCATTCGAAGAGGTTATCATCCTACAAAGCAATCACACTGCTGCACCATCCGATCAAAGGACAACGAACAGGCGCAACATACTTTCAACAGTCGTACACGGAACCCTTCCATCGGTTCTTTTTGCAGATTCTGAAATTCATGCATAAGGACGCGCACCGCATGGGCATTACTGGAGATCGGTTTGGCTGATTTGGCCGTGGAGCTGCCCGTTTGCAGGGGATTGGAGCCTGCGGCCATGGCTAGGTAGGAATTCTGCTGGGAGGATTAAAACACAAACAAAGGACAAACGGGAACTGGGCAATATTAAGGCCAATATACGACAGCTGTTTGCGTGGTATGGCAATGGCACGGCCAAGGCAGTGCAGTCGTTACTGTTGTGTGTTGGCTGAGCCGTGCGAGAGAGATGTCGAGCTGATTACGCAAGGGCCTATTTGGACTGGCTGCAATGAGTGCACGGCCACACCCCCGCTGGTTGGAGAGGAAACAGTGCAAATATGTGCGGAATGGCGCACGGTTTAAAGGAGCGCGTGTGGACGCTCTCCTTTGAAAAAGTGGCAAAAAAAGGAGAAAAATATTCACCGCTGTGTGTCCTTTACTGTCACACACGTGAATAAGTAACGTTTCGTAGGCAACATGATGATCACACACACAACAACCTAGTCAAATTGTTAGTAATCGGAATGCGAGTTTCGTCCTCGGGCATGTGCAAGATTATCAATATTACTGCCGCTGTACTGCACTTAAAAAGCGACTCACTCGTCAGAAAACGACTGCTTTCGATGATGATTGTGAATGGTTTTGCCTGCAAATATATCGGCATACAACACACGTCGCCAGCGCGCTGAATGTATATTCTATATGCGTGTCTCGGATCGGATCGGAGCGCGAATGTGTGTGTATATTTTCCTGCAGCAAGGAAACAGATTGATTCAGATGGAACTGATCGGTAGCCGCGGCGTTATCTTCTTTATGCGAATCCACTGGAGATTTCTCGCTAATAATAGTTCCTTGCTGTGCCGAGAGCAAGCGGGCCACGGCTATACATGGTATTAAAGTTTAACGCCAGAGCAAAGGACAATATTCAGAGCAAGTTTAGCGAAAAAATTATCTTGCCCATGCAGACGTTCTGGTTGTTGAAAGCCAAACAAAATGCCTGAACAATTACAGTGCGCGCTGCCAAAATTCGATATGACAATCTGATATGTACGCGAGTATTAATCAGGCCAAAAATTACAAACACATGTTGCGACACATTCGTACTGGCGGTATAATGCATCCAGCAGTACTGCCAGCCCAAAGTACGTAAAACCGCAAAAACTTTTACTATTCCGTGGTCACCGATCCATTTCAGTTTTCGATACTCTACTGATGAGTTTACTTGGTGCATGACCGCTGCGGCCTGGTGACCTTATGTCACGGGTCAGCATCTGCGTCCGAGGCTGCCGGTCAAATTGCAGGCAAACCTGCTTTTAACAGCACAAGTACGAATCAATTCTTAACAACGTATTCAGGTACAAAGCGCGTTGTCTTCAATGCTCACTTATAATAATATCGGTCGCTATTTTACTGTCTTTGTTCAAATACAGCGTATAAAAACAAAGATAAAGCTGCATGATTGCAACTCGCTACAGTTTCTGTCTTGATACCTATAATGTTATACACTGTCATACAGTGGATGTGCAATAACACAATACTAGTCCAATACCTGTGCGGCGCACAGAAACGTTTCAAACACCAACATCTAGGGTATTAATTCGTGATTTCGAATTACGAAGTAAAAATACTTCAAGTATACAAAAATTAACATAGTCTTCAAAATTTTCATTACTACAATTCCTATCAGCAAAAGAAAAGGCACGCAGAGCTAATTGTGAGCAAAATTATCTCGCTATAATCTCGTCTCTTGCTCAGATTCGGTCTTTTATTTATTTAGTTTGGAATTCTTGTGTTTCCGAAAATGCAAAGCTTTCAAGAAAGCAGCGAAGACTGGTACTGGTTCATAGTATCTTCCATAGAAAAACATCTCTCACTGGTCAGTTCGCAGAACGTGAAGTCGCAGCAATAATATTTTAATAGACTCACTGCTGATTTCATCAACCCTAATCGATACAAAAACTGAATTTCGAAAAGAAATAAACCGTGAAAGGTCAAATCAAAATTCGAAATCTCTACTGTAGTACATGTACCCCGAACACATCTACCGTAAATCAACATTAAATATTATGCGCACCAAACAACAAAAACTACAGCTTAACCGAAATTCAACAAAGCAACAACGGAAATTTCCAGCACGCTATCATCGTACCTGATTTTGAGAAGCCACAAGAAATCACGGAATCCTAGCGAAATCACTAGCTTGGGAAAAACTTTGGTGCAGTTCATCAATAAAAACAACTTGTACTGTACAAGCAATATATACAGATCAAAGTGAGCGATGTTACAGGTACTCCGGATGATGTCCGTCAAAAAAATGCACAAACGCCGGCACCACCGTCATACTGGGGGAAATGTCCGTCACCTGAATAGGCAGATAAATCCCCGCATCGGATTGTCCCATCGAAAACTCCGTTTTCACCTGCCGACTGGCATCCTTCTTTGGTCTTCCCGGTGACACTTTGCAACCACGGACGCGCGTTGTACCCGACGGTCTACCCGTGGAGACGCGATAACCGTTATCGCGTGTGGTTCCAACCGGCCGGCCACTGGACACCTTGTAACCGTTCGCCCGAGTGGACCCTTTAGGACGTCCACGAGGTCCCACTAAAATAACAATTTTCATTTGTACATGCACCGCTTAGAGCAAAGCCAGCATTACTACTTCGATTACTGATTAAAATATTGTCATGATAAGATTAGCCATGGTAAATAACTTTCCACAAAAAATTACCACATTCTATTTTGAATTATGAGGAGCTGGGGAAAGGAAAACATAAAAAAGATTCGCATCCGGTACTTCTACTGAACGTGACACGCTTTTTGAGTTAGAGTCTATATTTCAAAATTTCCAAAATCGAACACGAGTGTTAATGGAAATCAGCAATTCAACAGTACCGTACCGTTCTTACTTTCCTTTTTTTGCGAATTCACCCAGCGGATTACGACCAATTCACAAGCGCTTACCTGGTTTCGGAGGCCGTGGAATGTGCTGGCCACTACTAACTCCGAACACATCGGAAGTCACATTAACAGCTGCAGCTGTGTGATTTGCGTCCGATGGACTATCTTTTGCAGATCCTTTTTTGGGCCGTCCACCGCTGACTTTGTATCCAGCTGCCCACGTTGTCCCCTTCGGACGGCCCCTCGGACGTCGGGCTACACAATTCAAAGTTCGGGCACTTACGAATCGTTCAGAGTCAGATCACAAATGCATGCAGATTTCCAGAATTCAGAGTTCTCTATCCTGTTTATTTATTTTAAAACTAGTATTCAGACTTTAAGGCTATCATTAGTGCAATCCGCGGACCGCAACCAGGACATCAAGCGGCGTGGTACGTAATGAATAGCAAAGTGAGAATCGAGCTGATGAGGATTGTGGCTTGGACCAAGCAACATCTTCTCGATGCTCCTTTTGCAAGAGAAATCCGAAACTTGAGTCACTTGACTAATACAAAGAGCACATCAGTGCAAACACTTACTCATAGGGTTTTCTGAGGAAGACATCTGGTTCAGAAAGGTATCCACTTCCAAGGAACTGGAAGAGAAATTGAAAAAATCTGTGGAGGAACAGAAACCAACGGGAAGAACCAGACTGGGGTCCTGCGGAACCAAAGCCACAGTGTCGTCGAATACGGACGACCCTTCTTCCGATCCAGGCAGCGACAGAGCCATGTCTTCAGTACAAATGCAGATGCAAAACGAATAATACGGGCATCAAGCTCAGCAAATATACATCACTATGGGAAGCACAAACGATAATTCGAACTCGAAGTTAAAGACATTCAGAAATATGATCTGGATAATCCTTATCAATAATTTCTACAAAGTAACAAAGGGAATTAACTCACAACACCATCGTAGCGGCGAACGCTACGCGCATACATTATGAATCCATCTGTGATCACTAGATTTTAAAAGCTATAATTAATTGTAACGCTGCAAAATTTTTAACGAACTGGTCACTTGCGAAAGCCAAAATCAAGAAGGTTCAAGCAGCAGATTTAGAGAAGATACAACGTATGTCCAACTGACTTGGTTTCTCGTTATGAAAAGTCTCCAAAACTCTTCAAAAAAATGCGTAAATACAACCGCGCGGAGCCTGCACTTTAGGGGCAGCTCCACCTGCAAATGGCTCAATGCGTACTGGATGCAGGTGGGTACGGTACCGGCTCGTTACGCTCCGGGCTTGACTCGTATAAGTCGTTCCACGCATGCAAAAAGTGAAAAAAGTTCAAAAAACAGTCTACGAGTACGAAGGAAATCACAAAAATTAGGTACAAATGTGCAATAATTGAAATTGTTTCTTCGCTTTCGTTATCGTTCATCGGAGCCTTTACTGTTTTGAAACTTGCAGGTTATGATAATAATTATTGATCAACTTAGCAACGTCATTAGTCTTGCAAACACTTGGAAAATATGTACTGAATACGAATAGACTACTGGACTACCGTAGCAGGATAGAGGAGTTTATGGTTCAGTGTGTGAGAGACGTGTTCTGCATTACGTGGCTATTTACGGATTTTTTACCATCCTGCATGCGCAATGCGGGACGAAGGAAAACCTGTTACTATCGACGAATTGGACATCCCGATATTTTTCGTCAAGCGCTTGGGAGATCGACAGTTTGTGATTGGAGGCGGTGGTGGCAGCTCTAAAACCGGAGTTCCCAATGTTGTTGTAAGTATGCGGCGCTCTTCCGTATTTCGTTTTCACAGGCAGACTTGCGATGCACGAATGACTTTATAATCATAATTTTACAAAATTCTTAAATGGTACATGAGGAACGTATTTTTGCCATCGTTGCAGTATTTATTTTCGTTGACCAATCGCAACGGAAAGACGTTTCTCCGTCAGAGCCAGAAAGTGGACGTGGGCTCCGGGTGCCCGCGCAACATTGCCGTCTACGAAATCACATCCTCCTCGCGTTCGCCGATCGTCCTCGATCCGCGGCCTCGATTGCTGGAAGCTCGGAATAAATCGGATGGAGTGGAGGAGAAAACGCAGCCTGGTGGATCGCAGCTGCGAAGTGGCGCGGTTTTAACGAAAGCGGAACGAGTAGAAAAAGAGATGCGTTTATTACTGGACAATGCCAGGGAATTGATTGCTGTCGGAATGGATAATTTGTGTGGCATTTACCAGGTGCAGAGGAGCTTGTGCAAAGGTATCCAACAGGAAAATGGTACGTTGGGGGTTTGTGACTCTTTAAATGCATTCTGCAGCATGTTGTCCTTTTTCCCTTTCCTTTCGAAATATTTGATTTATTAAAAATTGTTATGTTTGACAGTTTGCTTGCTGTTTTGTACCTATTAATAATTTAAAGGCTAAATACTCTTTAAGCAAATTTTAACTGTAATACTGGTAGCGATGTAGCGCGGCTGTGTTGTTGTTTCGGAATGGTGCGTGGGATGAGCGCGGAATTTATTTACATAGAACGCGTTAGGTAGGAATACGTGCTTGCTTGCATCCAGCTTGGGGATTTTTATCGGGGAATGAATAACCCGAAGAAATTTAATTTAGCATCGGTGTGCTTGTCACAGGTGCCGCCGGCGAGCCGGGTCCAGCGATCGTATCTAAAGACGACCTGTTGACCATTTCGTTCCGTGAGCAATTCGAAACCGTTGCCGGCGTGGACGCGACGCAGCAGTGCTGTGTTTTTCTGCCACCCGATCCCACAAAGCGATCCAACGTCCAGTATGATGATCCTGCTCAGGGATTAAGCCCGGATGCGAATTTGGCTACGGGTGGATCGGATGGGTTTATACGCATTTGGGATGTATGTACAGATGCTGTGTCTCAGAAATAATCAGAGTCTGTAAAGCAGAGTTCTTACGAGTCATCGTTTCTGCAAAACTTCTCATCCAATAAAACATCGCCTATTTTGCAGCGCTACTGTTTGTTCTTCTAGGCAGCTGAATTTGATGAACTTTTCAATATCAAAGCTCATGATGACGAAGTGGTCGATATGGATTTATCTTTTACCGGCGACGAGGTAATTGCTCACTGGGGTAAAAATGTTGTTATTTATTGGCCGACCTGCAGGACAGTATAAGATTTCATGAGAATTTATTGATAAAGCACCCTGAATTACCAACCGTCTCCAAAAGTGATGGTGATACTTCGAAAATTTTTTAAGAAAAATAGGCTCGTTAAGAAGGGCATATGACTTCAGTGTTTCCGTATGTTAAGTTTATTGTTAGGGATATATGAGTACCATTCACAGTCAGCTAGATTTTCTTAGGTGGTGACTTGTGGACGAGATAACAAAGCCCATGTATGGCAACTGAAAACAGGCAAAAGGATTGCTAGTCCTTTGCCTGAATTTCCGGAAGCCAAAGTTGTGGATTATCGGCCTCGACAAGTCAGGTGAGATTCGAGATACGGATACATATCTTTACATGATCTTTCTAATTTTATAATTGTTATTGCAAGTATTCAAAGCCCATTGGTCTTATGGAGTTTAGTTTTTGTCTGATAGCAGAATATTTCCAGATTTCACGCCAAGGACTCCGCTGTGTTGTATGCAATCTGGGTTCCCCTCAAACGACAACGTCCACGGCCACAACCGTCAGTTATCTGCATGTACCGCTTTCGCACGTCCAAATTAGCGTTAGTGGTCAGTACGCCCGTGAAAGGCGACCTGTTGTGCGCGCTGACAGTTAGTCCTTGTGGTTATTACGTGGCGTGCGGGAACTTGGACGGGGATGTGCGGATCTTCCGTTCGGACAATTTATCCTTAATTTACTCTGCTGTACAAGCCCACGGAACCTTTGTTACTGATTTGGAATTTACCGACTGCACATTTGGTGCGAAAATTCTGACGCAAACCAGTAATGCACAGTGCACTGTCTTCAGTGTTTCCGCCGATCGGAAGATTGTCATGCACCAGGCGGATTTTTTAAGTAAGTTGGATTGCAGATCGAGTGGGTTATTTTTTGTCGTTTTCTGTTACAAGATTTTTTGGGGAAGGGTTATGTTGCACAAAAATGTCAAACACTCCAAGAGCTGAACTTTTTCGTTGTTTTATTAACTGCCCGCCCGGTTTTTTTTTGCAGATGCTACGCTGCGGAAATGGAAAAGGTATATGAAAATTATTCCGCTAATTTGGTTAGTGATTGTTCTTTTTACTCAGCTTATGGATTATATCGGCTACTTCGAACTCGAAGCTGCGCAACTTTGATGCATTTTTTAGTTGTTTAAGTTATTTTATCATGCAGTTTTCATAACGTGCTCGTTTTTTCTGATTAGAAGTAATGTTTACTTTCTGATTTGTCGCGCTTTTGCCGTTTAATACTTTTAGATAAGTAAATGTTGCATGAATACATCGAGCTGTGCTACAGTAGATTTTATTGTTTGGGTGTAAAGAGTTATCGGTGGAAAAAGAAAGTGGATTTTATTAAATTTGGCGGGTTTTTGTTTTGCACTGCTCTAGGCAGGGGTGAGGTGTTGATGCCTTAAAATAAGTTATAAGTTTACAGTTAATTTTGCTTTACACTTCTAAAAATACTCAGTTGCTGTTAAATGTGGCATGAGACGATTGTAGTCCTTAATCTTACTTTGCCAGGCTGTGCAATGAAATGGTACTTGTAGTAGATGAAGTTTATCCCGTTTGGAGACAAATTATCATCAAGCAATAAATAGGAAGTTCGTTCATTCAGTCCCTTGAATGGACTGTGTGTATGTACTTAACGGTTCCCTTGAGGCAGTCTTCATGGAGAGGATAAGCCGGTTAAGCGATGGAACCGTCAGCGTATAACTCGTTCCTTTTGTTCAGGGATTTATCTGGCAGCAGATGAGAATAGTCAGTGCAGTGTTTATTAGGGAGTTTATTGATTTCCGGTGGCGGTCGCTGATCGCAAATAATGCAACTTCCATCGCTACCGATGCGTTCTTTATTCTGGGCTAAATTGTTCGAATGGATCGTGGGTACAAAGATGCATAAATTGTCATGAATAAGTACTCGCACAGCTCTTGTCATCGTTACAAATTCATGAGCCTATCGCAAAATTCTTCGAAACATTTAAATTACGGAAAGCGCAAAAATAAATGTTTTGAAAACGCAGTAAGGCAAGCTTGATTTTTCTTTCTTGTTAGTAAAATTATAAAGATTGTGTGTGTTTACGGTTGACCGTCGGCATTCAAGAAATAGCACGCATACTATTCATACGAGAGGATTCGAAAAGCACGGAAACAAACATGGAGAAACGAGATAATTCCGTTTCCGCTGTAACGGGATCGCATGTACCGTAGGTTCACAACTTCACATAGCGTGCTGCTGCCTCGTCTTGAAGCTGCACAATTCAAATTGGATTGTTCCTGCTCGGCACCGCCCATGCACTTGCACTTGATGATATCCCGCACAGATCTTCTCAAACAAATGTTGCCACTTTGCGGCTTTTCGGTAACCGTTTTTTTGCTGCTTGCTGATCCAGTCGCCGCTTAGGCATACACAGGCATTGGGAGAAGATTGCGGCCGGCTGCCGGGAAGGAAGCCTTCAAATCTTCGTTGCCTTGATTTTCATCTATAAGTGCCAGCGGATCCGATGCGATAACGAAGTCCGTGATCTGCCAGATACTTACTACAGGTTAATTTGTACGAGTATTTGAAACTGTTTTCCCTTCGAACAGCAATCATGGCCAGGTACGTAAATAACAATTTGATTTTTTTAAGAATCCAGGCCTACTATACTTGCGGTTAATTACAGTACTTATACTACCCATCTATGTATTGTATCTGTGCAGAGTACTACAATGTAGTACACTGTACAGTGCCTATCCCGGCTATCCGTACAGTTAAATAAGCCGGTGCATGGGCGCAGGATGATGAAGAAAGGATCTACCAAGCAGGAAAGTGAGGAAATGCAGTCAGTGCGAATATTACAACACCCGAAAAACTGATTTTGCACTTTTGAAGAATGAGTACTAGTACTTAATACTGGCCAGGCAATGGCCAAGCGTATCTTTTAATCTCTCTAGATCTGTGCGCTCTGTGGTCTAAATTTATTATGCACCGCACCTACTCGACCGATTACTTATTAGCATATTATTACAGAAACATTTATTTTTTTAATTACTAGCCACATTCGTACTATATTACAGTTTGTGACAGTAGAGAAACTGTTGCGGTTTGTCCGCACTCCGCAGCTTCAGTGTGAGTGAATGACCATGCAGTACATACTACATACCTGTGTTTGACCCCGCCTAAAATCAGGAGATTGTATCAGGTTTTTTTCGCGTACCATTTCGCATTTCATTGCCTTGTACTGTACACAGTGGTTTTGCATTCGCACTAGCAGACAACGGAAAGCAATTACTTTGTGTAGGAATTTCCGGAGTTGGGCTTGTCGATTTTAATCACTCATTTAATCTCGTCATTGCCGTGGCATCCGGTTGTCGTTGTAGCGGCTGGATCCCTCCTGGTTTGATGAAGATAGTCTCGAATCTCCTTGATGAACGCTGCCACACACTAGTGCACAGCAGTTCCACCTCAAACTAGCTGTCCTGCTGACTATCAACTCCCGCCTAAATCCCATACTCCCCTCCCCGTTTTCCCGGCCAGTTAACGCTCTCTTTTATTTTAACCTGTCGCTGTGCCCATAAACCGATCGAAGTTTAAGTGGGGGATTCATTAAAGCCAGCCCGTACACTGCGGCGCGTGTAAATAAGTACGCAACCCATAGCCTGTATAGCCGGGGTGTTACGTCATCGCCACCGGTGAGCATTATAGGCCTGTATGCACAGCAGCAGCGGATATTGGACAACAGCAGAAAAATGGGTGTTGAACCAGTCGCTGTCGTGTCAAGCGTCAGTGCTGCTGCGGCTGATCATCCGGGCACCACTGGTGATAACAACAATTCCAAATACCCATCTGATCCCGCCGCCATGACTTCGGACTACGATTATCTGGTGAAACTGCTGGCGCTGGGTGATAGTGGTGTGGGCAAGACCAGCTTCTTATGCCAGTACACGGACGGCGTCTTTCAGTCGCGCTTCGTATCAACAGTTGGCATCGATTTCCGGGAGAAGCGTGTTGTAAGTCATTCATCCAGCAGCTGGCTGCATGATCTGCATCCCTGTTAGTGTTGGTATTGTATTCTACTGTGGATACGGGTGAATTTGTCTGTATAGCGGGTGCACATTAGAAATCCCGTTTTTGATTGTGTAATCCATTAAGTGCTGACCGCCAGACATATAACAGCCCTAATAAATATACGCCACGGCGGTTCCGCGTGAAGGCATTTTGAGAGAAGGATTTAACATTTAAGAGGCCCATTGTCGCGGCTGATGGATGGGATGTGTAATCGTGTGTCGAGTGCAATCTCCCGTATCAATGCACTCTTACGTAAACTTGCACTTTGTGTGTGTTCTTTTTCTTGCTGATACCGTAGAAACGTGGTTTGTAATAAGGATTTTTAACTTTAGCAAATGGCGAATGCCACTCATTATCGATTTTCCGTGAAGCTATACAAGAACTATAACACAAATTTTTTTCCTTGTCGAGTTGGTTTAATTAACTACAAAATGTTTATATACTGTACGCTTCCCATTTCTGCAGCTGTATTTCTTTGTAATTCATTCTTTAGCATTGGAAAAAAGCAAACATTTGGATATCATAGCGTGTAACCTTTCTGCGTAAGGAAAGCTGTAGACCTCGCACAATTGTTATGTAAACATTTTAACGTGGCTTGTAGCATATTGATCGGGTGTTTAAATGTGTAAATGAAGATGGCTGTGACGCAAGATCTAAACAATGTCTTTTCAGTTGAAATATTATGATTGATCGATAAATTTACTACTGGTCTTCCGTATTTGATGGGATAATCGAAGCGAGTACGATGCATCAATAGTGGCAGTCACAATCCATTAATTGCAGAGCTTTTTCCGTATTCACGATTTTCCATCAGATTTGATGATGTCCGCTTCATAGAGAAACTTTAATTTGAAGGAAGTCGATTGTGTTGTTTTCTTTTCCAAAATTTTGAAATACAGTACATTTCATCAGTCTCAACTTAATAAAGACGGACAAGCTAACTTTAATCAATTATGTACTCGAAGCTTCAAAGATTTTTCCTGGCCGTTATTTTGACCGATTTTAAACTGAATGTGGAAATCGATTTTTTAAAATGTAATTTAAACATCGAAAGTTTGCAACGCATCATTCTTTTGTTTCTTAAGGTACTCCCATAGATTTCTGGAATAATCCATGCGCGTTTGTCAATTAATTTTTGATATTCTGTGCACTGCATCGTCAACCGGAAGTTGGTAACGCAGCGGCGTTCCGCGGTTGATCAAATCCCTGAATTAATTTGCAATATGTGTCAAATCAGTTTGGCATTTGCGTCACACCCTGTTCGGCACATACGATATAATAGTACTCTAGCGGATTAGGAAGTGCGTAGGATGTCTCTTAAGCAGATTTTCTTCCTTTACATGCCATCTTCTGAATCTATTTTTGAATTATGGGAATCTTTAAGCTTTTAGGGATTATGCGCTTATTTCTTTTTAATTTTTTTCATTTGCAAATTTGATAGATTCCGTAGCCTGACCACGGCGTTTTTTCGTGATGCGATGGGCTTCCTTTTGATGTTCGATGTGACCAGCGAGGATTCCTTCTTACATGTTCGCAGCTGGCTGGAACAGCTGCGCACCCATGCGGCCATTGAAACACCGGATATTGTGTTATGCGGCAACAAGGCCGATCTGGACTCCCGTCGGAAAGTGAGTGAAGCGCGTGCACGGGAGTTTGCCAAGCAGCACGGGTAAGCCTGATTAATAATTAGGGAAAGAGCGCGGTGCTTGTGAAGAGGGAGACAGCGAGTGCGCCGGTCGATCATCCGGTGGCGGTGAAGCCTCTTGTTAAAACAATCGCGACATACTTATTACGCTCACTGCATCCCGAACGTCTGCCTGCTAAACAGATAGAGCGGCCTGGGTTGAAACAGAAATTGTCATTACTTCCAGTACGCGGTAATGAGTCAATGACCGGCTAGGAACGGATTTTGCATGAGAAAACTGAGTAATTATAAGAAGCAGCGTATTTCTTCAGGGATACCGGCTGGGAAAATGATGTTAAATTTCCTTCCAGTAAATGTGTCCTTTGCATTCGATCCACTTGCAAATTTTTTGTAACCTGATGTCTGATGTTTAGCACCAGTGATAATTAGCGGTTTTTGTTCAATATTTTCAAGTAGCTAAACTGTGCTAGAAAATTATAAATAATTACTTAGCCAAATCGTTCGGCGAAGGTTATTGGAAAAATGCAGCTTTTGTTTTTCATGTAAGAACGGTAATGCTTATCATCGAAAAACTGTGGATCAGTTTCTGATACACGGCAGACTTAAAGCAAAAATTATGAGGCTGGTGTCGGTTTTGTTTTTTGCAAGGAAAGCAGAGTTTTGAAATGGCTGTTTGTCAAAAATTAATACGAGTTCGTGCAATTACAGCATGCCGTACTTCGAAACCAGTGCCGCTACCGGACAGAATGTTGCCGCATGCGTTGATAAATTATTGGAGTTGGTGATGGTGCGAATGGAGGAGTCGCTGGATAAAAAAAGCAAAGCCGGTGGTGCACGCCAGAAAACCATCCAGCGTATTACTCTGCAGGATTCTCTGGAGCCGCCGGACAGCAAAGGACGATGTTCATCCACATGGTGTTAACTCGGAGTAACCTTTCTACTTTCTGCCACGTTGGTCCACTTTTTGGGGTTACTGGTGGTTCTTTTTCGGCTAATGATTTGCGACATAGCAACGATTAAATTAAATTTTATAACTGGGTAAGGTTTATGTTGTCCTGTTTATCTTCCTGTGAGTCTACAGATTTTTTTATTTCAAATTGATGCATTTCCTTGTACACGAGTCAATTTGTTTTAGAGTTTACAGTCACTATATTATGCTGGTCGTTTAAACGGTGATTTATGCCTTTTCTCGAATCGTAACGAAGGTTGAGCAAGAGAATTTTCATTGCCGTCTGTGTTTCAAAGGCACGAGTTAAATCTGAAGTTTTGAACATAATAAAACAGGAATGTTTCCTAGGAACTGATTCAACTGTAGGAATACTTTAAAGAATTAAGAATGTCGGACGTATATACAGGAGATTTCTAAAAGTTGAACCTCTTTGAGAAAAACTGGAAACAATAAAAGACATCAAACGCCAATATCTGGCCAATCGAGAAACAACGTCACTGCCAGCGACATACCAGCGTCGCCATTATTTCGTTCCCATTCCCTGGGGTGGCGTGGTCGTTTTCATTTTGAGCAAGACTTGTTGCAGTTTGCGCGTGTAAATCCCATCAATCTGGCTAATGATCTTCTTGCGATCGGTCTCCAGCTGCTGCTGATACTTGTGCTCCAGCTCACTGCGATACTCGTCAATGATGCGGACAACGTTGTCTGTGTGTGAACGGAAAACGATCTAATTAGCTCAGTGCGATTCCTCCTTTGCGAACAACAGGTAATCAAGTGCCGAACACAGCCTAATCCCTGTCACGAACCTCTCAGGGATATTAACTCCTTGATGTTGACGTAATTCGCATCCCGTGTTATGCCATCACCAGCCGGCATACTGGCCAATTTCGCCGCGATATCCTACAGCAATGTCGAGCAGATCGATTAATAAAAGCGAGCAATACAACAATCTGACACACGGCTCATAATAATTTTCGTGCTAATACTGCCGATTTTCGACACACAACGAACAAACTGAATTTGATTAAAAAAGCCTTAAAAAGCCGAATTTTTTTATAACAGCTATCAAAGTAGTACAATTTCGCTCAATCGACAATTCAAACTGGCGAAAAAAGGCACAACTGGTAAACTATATGTAACAGCGCACGCGACTTACGTTTTTATTCTCACCAGAGATTCCCGAGTCTCCGCTGGGACTAGGATTGCCGCTGATGTACTTTTTGAGTTTCTTGAGTACTTTCTTCATGCCGTATATCTCCGAGTTGAGACGTCTGTGCTCTTCACGTAAATCAGCGTTTTCATCCGATGCCTTGCGCATCTGTGACAGCAATCGATCCTGAGTTTCCCTCATTTCTTTTATTCTGTTTCTTTCCAGTTTGATTTCATCTTCCTGTAGCGTCGTTTAGTTACACTATTTACTTCTGAGCAAGAGTGAACTTGCCGGTTAAATACCAAAAACCTTGGATGACAGGAAAAAGACACCTACAACTCTAACCTTCTGCTTCAGTTGACTCTCCATCAGCTTTACGCCATGCTTCTCCGTTTTCAACGCATCCAGTTCAGGTCGGCTAGTTTTCATTGCCTTTATCTCCGATTCGTTTTTTCGTTCACTTTCCAACTGAACAACCTGCTCTTTCAATGCTTCCCGTCGTGACTCTGACTCCTTTAATTTCGTATGCAGAAGTTCTGCTTCATTCCTAGCCGAGTCCAGTGCACGTTCTAATTGGGTGGTCTTGTCCAATGCGCGTTCTAACTGATTGTTTTTTTCCAGCGCGCGTTCTAAATGGCTGTTCTTCTCCGACATTGTTTCATGCACTTTCGACATTTCCTTAGCATGCTGCTCTCTCATTTGGGACACGATTTCGTCGTGTTTCCTCTTTAACTGTTCCACTGTGCTTAAAGATGTCATATCACGGAGTTGTTCGTTCAGCTGCTTGATGATTTCTTCTTTGCGGAAGTTTTCTTTTAGTAACTATAAGCAGGCAAATGCAACGTATGTACAACTATGAAATTATGATGACAGTAAAGGAAAGTCATAGAATCACTTGCACTTACGTCTAGTTTCTCCGTAACGAGAGCGTCAAAATCAGCGCGGTTAGCTTTAAGTAAAGATTTTGTCTCTAGTTCGGTTTTCCGTTCGCTCTCCATTGCAACAACCTGCTCCTTCATCGCTTCCCGCCGTGATTCTGACTCTTTGAGTTTAATATGCAAAAGTTCCGCTTCATTCTTAGCGGAATCCAGTGCGCGCTGTAACTGGTCGTTCTTCTCGGACATTCCCTCGTGCAGTTTGGACATCTCCTTATCATGCAGTTCTTTTAGCTGTAGAACAACTTCCTCCTGTTTCTTCTTCAGCTGCTCTACCGTACGCCAGGATGTCATATCAAGAACCTGCTCGTTGAGCTGTTTGATGGTCTCTTCTTTACGGAAATTTTCTTTGAGCAGCTGAACACAAAAGCTGTGAGGAGGATACGATTATTGCTTATAAGAACAATAAAATACCTCATGTTTTTCGGTTTTGAGCGCATCCAAAGCTTCTCGGTTAGCTTTTAATAAGGATTTGGCCTCATTCAGTTCCTGTCGACAGTTTTCTAACTCCAGCTCGCACTGCTGTAATTCTTGATTCAGCGTTCTATTAGCGTCTGTATAAAAGCGAATGCGATTATACTAGTGCCAAGATAAATCGTATATTTTGGCAGTCTTCGAAGCTTCGGAATGACCACGACAATTCGAAAAGTGGGAATGGTCGCATTCATCAGCCATATAAAACCCGTTGCGTACGAAAACTTACTTGAGTACGCATTCATTCGATCCGTACGCGCTTCCAGCTCCGCGGTCAATCCAGCAACCAGACTGTTGTTTTCTTCCATCACTTTGGCGATTTTCGGGCTATGTAGTTGTTTCTCACTGATTTTCTCGGCTATCCGGTTTTTCACCGGATGCGGGGACAATGTTTCTAAACAAAATCTTTGAAGTATACCAAGCACAGTATCTTCAAAAAAATTCAATCGGTTACAAACATACCGTGCCGTAAAAGGTCAGCGTGCGGTTTGTAACGCTGACTGGGCGCGAAAGGCGTGGAGGTGGCCATAATACCCTTTGCACTGTAACAGAAACGCATTTTAATTATGTAATTCACCTGTAAACCTACAGCTTTTCCAAATTTTAACATTATATTTTTTCGGCATCTACGGTCGAACAAATGAAAAATTGCAGTTTTGCACGAGACATTAAGCAGCAAGTCAGTAATCAGATTCGCGTAAACCGCGTTATATGGAAATGGGCGTAATAATAGAGGCTTTGAGCAGAAAACACCATAACCATACCTTAACCATCCCTTATCGTGTAGTTGGACGACCGCCATCGAGGTAGCAGTGTACAAAGTACTCAGCGAAGGCGCATAGCTGACTCTGGGTCCCTTCAGATTTAATTTGTTTTCTCGCACTGCGTGAAACGATCTCTTCCAAAAAATTACATTTACATTCAAAATTGTTTTCTCTATTCAAAAAGTGTATATCTGGGGGAGTTAAATTGGGCAGGTGTTAAGGGGAGCCTTTGAAAGTCCATCACCATACGACACGTTTGTATGGTATTCACACTTACCATACGCTCGCACTTAACCATATAGTATGGTTAAGTGTATGGCTATGGTTAAGTGGAGCAGTTGCTCAAAGCTTCTATTAGAAGCTTGAACTGATCCTCTTGAACATGTGTAGTTGTGTACTTAGACCTGAACTGAACGCTTTTTTCACTTAAAACGAAGCAGTATTAATAAGTATATGGTACTACTAATAATAGATTAATATTTAATAATTTACCACTGGTACAAAAGACTTCGCTAGTATGAGACTTCACACCGTACTACTTGTGCAAGACTGCAGGTACAATAGCACAGTTCAAAGTTGTACAAACTTCTGTAAATATAGATATTATGAATACTTATCTGAATGCACGTATAAAAACTTATCACATAATTTTAAATAAACAGCCCACTTATCATAAATGGGCTGTTTATAACAATACGCTAACAATTTTACAAAATGATTTTTAATGTTTTTTATAAATGATTCATAAACCACAATTCTAAGAGGACTGTAGGACAGAGATTCCAAGAAACCGTTGCAACAGCCAGGAGTCAACAGTTTCATTCTATCCCCTGAAAAAAGTTTTTCCGGATGGACTTACTTTCTACGGTTGAGGGTTTTTCCAAATTTTCCTTCCGTGGGAAGATCACCTATTTGCTGCGAGCGGTCGCCGTGGAACTCATCGTTTTCATCTTCATCATCGCTACTCCTGAGCAAATCTTCCAGGTCCAGATCTCCCATTTGGTTCTGGACCATTTCGTTAAGTTCTTGGCGTATCTGCAAATCCATAGCCATGGTTGTCCGTAAAGAAGATAAACGCTGCTAAATATTTCTCCACGAACTTCTTCTTGACGCTGCTGGTCCTCCGCTGCTGCTTCTCGGCTGTCATCTTCGTCCAGATTGTCCCCAGCAACGTACACACTCGTCAAAGCATTGGCATCGAACAAAACCGTTGGTTGGATATCCATATCTTAACGAAAACGGCCCACACTTATTATAATTTATGACAGCTCTGAGCGAACTCTCAAACAAATATACAGTAAAAATCGCCACATTTTTCAAGTGCTGTATTTCACTGTTAGAGAGACAAAGGAGTTAGTTCACATTATTACAAAGAGACTTGAAAGAGTCAAGAGATAGTTCGTATGCTTCAGACGACCGACTATGATAACTGACCGGCCATAAATCGGTCCAGATTCGGTCGGTAGCTCGCAACCAGCTGCGCTCTTTTCCGAGTCCTGCCTATAACAATTTTTGATTGGCGATTTGGAGGCTTCCGCCAATCAAAAAATTGAATCCCTATCCGAAGATGTTCGGTTTATTTTGGTCGGCCAGCTGGTTGTAGATTATTGTCGTTTTTTCCAATCTGCACTCATATCTGTAGTTATTTATCTGTTGATCAGTTTTGATTTCTTTAGTAACTGTGAGTTTAGTTTAGAACATTCCTGTGACATAAGACCCGATGAAAGTTTTTGACCTGATTTACTAACTTGTGAGTTTTGCTCAAATTAAAAAGGACCGAACTCCTCAGCAGTTTCTGCGTTCCAAACTGGCTGTGAAGTGTGAGGATCTTCGACTGGTAGGCTGTTACCGTGTTTCGACGTTCTTCTGGTGTCGTCTTCTGACATGCGAGTCTCCTCAATCTCTGGAGAAAGAGAACTAGATCCTTTAGATTAACCTTTCAGCTGGCTGCTGTGGGATTGTAACTTATTGAAGAGTTGAAAAGTTTTTTGCACGAGAATGGACAATTCCAATCTGCGTGAGCTTGGGGCTTTGGAACATCCAACGTTAAAGGTAAATTTTTATTTCAACGAAAAAAACTGAAAACCGTAAACCTGATTTTATAGGCAGTGGGGGTACAAATTTGAGATTTTGGAAACTTATTGCAGTATTACTTATACTTTATAGTTTAAAGTTACACTTACACAATTCTGCTACCAAAGCCTGATCATATCAAACATCTGACAGATGACTGAAATGAGTAAAGTAGGATCGCTTTCATGACACCTTTCATGACGTTAGGATTTTTTAGTCTGTCTGGCTCTGTTGTAATATTGTAAATTGTAATGGCACTGAATAGAAACTGGTCATAGGCTCATAGCGCATGATTTGAGACATTTGACTCTTCGTTAGGTTCCTTACGAAGTTTTCAACAAGCGCTATCGCCTGAGTCAGAAGATCATTGACAAGGAGCAGCACGCGGTGTCCAGTGCGGTGGACGAAGTGGAGAAGTGTTTAAATTCAACATCATCAGAAAATCTGCCCAACATGGTTGCTCTTTTGGATACTGTTATGGAGAAACTGAAAGCCTTAAAGCGAAAGGTACGTACACTTCTGAATTATTTCGCCTGATTCTCGTTAAGTTTAAACGTGTCCCCTTTATGATGTGATCTCGGATTTAGGCATACCTTTTAGCTTTTATGGCACGTTCACAGTTTTGCTTGGTGTATTCATAGTCAGCTTTTTACTGTCATTTGAAAATGAAATTGTGAAACGGCAGGGATTTCTTGAGCTTTGGATACGAATAACTTTTTCGCACACTGAATGGGAGCGTGCTGTTCTTTCATTGTGCAAGAATAATAAAAACTTGCAGGACATTCGTTTTTTCACAGTTGTACAAGTTAAGTGTACTCGTACACTATTTTGTCGCAGAGAATTTTTTGTATAATAAGTTAATAATTGAACCCCTCTAACCGTTATATTTAGGTTGTTTTGACAGTCTGAATTTTTTACTAGGCTGGCGAAAGCATCGACGAAGATGTAAATGCGGCAAGAGTCTGCAAAATGCGCGTGGATCATCTGCGCACAATAGAAAGCAACCCGATACAGTTTGAGAAGAAGAGGATCGATCGGCTGTTGGTGGAGCACTGCTTTCGCTGTGGACATTACGAAACAGCCAGTCTGCTGGCCAAGCGGGCGGATGTGGAAGTGAGTGAAATTGAGGATTTTGTATGCATGAGCGTCTTGTTGACTTTGACACTAATGAGCTGGCATTCATTGTCAGGAATTCACCAATCTGGAGCTCTTTACTACGGCGCGTGACATCGAGGCCTCACTGGCCAGCCGAAAAACTGATCTCGCTCTGGCATGGTGTGCCGAGAATCGCTCGCGGCTGAAGAAAACTGGCGTAATTCAGTTTTTATTTGATTCCAGGTTACAGATAAGTACTTTAATGATTTTCTTTGAACTGCAGAGTTTTCTGGAGTTTCACCTTCGACAGCAGGAAGTGATTGAACTGATCAAGAAGGGACGAGGCGGATGTATGGATGCCATTTTGCATGCCCGGAAGCACTTCATACAGCTGGAAGACTATAAGTTATATGAAAAAGATATCCAGAAAACCATGATTTTGCTGGCAGTGCTTCCTAAGAATATTTCTGAAAAGAATAATCCGTACCATGTACGTACTGAACATGACGCAGATTCATGGCACTTCTTTTTTAATTTTTTTTTTAATATTTGCCTCTTGAAAGGTTTTGATTGTCAGCTGGCATGGCATTTTCGTATTGCTTTCGATTTTATGACAGCTAATTTCTTATTCGACTCAGCTCTCCAGTAGTTAGTTTGTTTTAGGATCTTCTAAGCGATGTTCGTTGGACATGGTTGATTGAGGAATTTCGCAAGGAAATTTTGCGGATGTATCAGCTGAGTCCTGAATCGGTGTTTGCCGTTACATTACAAGCTGGATTAGCCTCGCTAAAGACGCCGTAAGTTTCTGACTCTTCGGTTAGCTTAGTAGTCATTTGTACGCGGTATATCGTCGAAAACAAACAGCCGTTTACACGCCGCTTATCGATAGGGCTTGTATGTCGGACACGGAACGCAAGAATCCCGATTGTCCCGTGTGTAATGAGAACCTTAATGTGATCGCTACTTCCTTGCCCTTTGCGCATTGCTCACAATCGCGATTGGTATGTTATATTTCGGGAGAGCCCATGAACGAAACGAATCGCCCCATGATGCTTCCGAATGGATACGTTTATGGAGAAAAGGTATCCACCCACATTATCACATCGGAACTCATTCCTTGCTCATAGCAGAATTATTTAAGGTTATTATTAATGCAATACGGGTATTGGATACCGTTGTTTCCAAAATCTTATAATTACGTCTCACAAAACTTCTCGTTATCCGCTGTTTTTGATCGTACGCGACTGGAGTAAGAAATTGATCTGCACGACGGATATAGATCTATAACATTCAATTTATGCAGTTTAATACTTGATATTTAGTATTTACAAAATATGATCCCAGGTCATTAACCATGTTTTATTGTAGTCTCTAATGCTGATGGCTACGAACAATAACGATGTCCTCACCTGCCCACGAACGGGAAGCGTGTACAAGTTGGCAGATGCCCAACGGGTTTACGTGATGTAAAAGAGTTACGTGGTTGTGTGAAATGGTCGCGGAAACTGAGGCTAACCGGTGAGCTTCTGTTCACCGCGTTTTTTGTGTTGCTACATTTGTGTTTTTATAAAAGCAGTTCTTCGTTTAGATGTTGGCTGTTTCCGTTTTACAGTTTGTTCATTGTGTCTGATGTTATTTTGATGGATGTGTTGCCTTATGGTTAGAGTTGTACTTTTTTTTCTAAATCCTGTGTCGTAGATGTAGTAGCCCGGAAGAAAATATCACTAACAATAATTACTGAAGTTACTTTTACAAGATGCAGTTAACGAGTATGGCGGTATAGCGTTAGAAACTTCGTTTCTTGTTGCCATTAACCAAGCGGAATACGAAATAGTCACATACTGTAGACATAGAATGCGGTATAAGTACGTAAAATTATAACACTTATTTTCTAGAGGTCTTACTTTCAGTCTGTCTGTAATCAGTAACCAAGAGAGTATATCTATTACTTAACACAAACCGACTCAAAACGAAACACTAGGTAACTAGCAGATCAAAAACAAACCATCGAGCTGATGCTGCTTCTCGACCGTTCCTAATACACAAGCAGCATTACCACGCTGAATTTATATGCAACTGTACAGTCTGTAGTACTGTACTCAATGCGGTTATGTGTTACAGAGCGCGCAGAGTGAAAATTAATCTACCATAAATGTAACCATAACAATATGCAAGAGACGAAAGAAAAAAGTTCGAAAATCTTTATTCGAAAAATCTACCGACTATCGTATCACGCTTCCCAACTAGTGCCAATACACGGTGTGTAGTGATATCAGCTATGAGAGTTATCTGAAATCGAAAATGTGTTTACTGTGCTTGCAAAATTCAAAGCCGTATTATATGACTGTAGAAAAGAAGTTCTATAGCTCAGCTGCTTTACGGTAAACGGTTATTTTATCCTTTCGCGTCGAAAGGGATCGAAAATCTCGACCCTTTCGAAAATTCTGTAATCTTTAGGTTCACCCCGTGTTAGAGCGGGAAATCTATTCCGAACACCGCGGTCGCAAGCAGCCATCCTTGGTCGGCGGTTGGATTTGGATTTACGGTTTGGATTGCCGTCCTTCTAATTTTCGCTTTGTTTTGGAAGCTGTTCTCCAAGTTCGATCCCGCGAATGACGCTACCCGAAGTTTTATAATACACTATTTTTTTAATAATTTGCCTCTTCAGATCCCATTTATCATCTTATGGCTTCTGACAAATTTTACTGGAAACGTTCACATGCTGAAATTTGATTGCACGTAATCCTGGTGATCCGCGTTACATCGAGAATCGCGCAGGTGTAACGAGCATAACTTCGCAGTTCGCGTAGCTTTATAAACGACATGGATAGTTCATCTGGTATAGAAACTGCTTCACTAGAAATGATGACACTCAGGTTTCCCAGACGAAGTTCGTTGGACAGCACTGTAAAGCGCCAGAAAACGGAGCTTTCCCAGCCGTCCGATACTGCGCAGTGTACGGTAAGATTGCTCACTTAAACCAGTAACATGCGGGAATCGTAATGATGGATGATGTGTGCTTTAATTACGTTGTGAAATAGCACATTATAACAGAAATAACGTAAAGAAATTCTGCCTATTTTTGAATTAGTAATTACCATCTTTAACCTGTTGATTTTTTACCGAATGGCACGCAGAAACCACCAAAAAGGCACAAGAGAACGAAAAAGTCTGACCGTGTTGAATCCGCTGATCTCAACGATTTGGCGGGCTCGGATGAGCCCACCTCGATCGGAAAACTTAAGGTTAAAAAAAAGGGTGAGGAAAAGTTTAGTTGCATGTTCAGCGTATTCTTAGCTATTTTTTAATTTGTTTTCTGTGGATTGCAAATCGTACAATCAATTCAGTGCTCTTTAAATTACAAAGTTTTAATCGTTATTTGAAAGCTAGTGGAATGTTATTATTGTTTCTTATTTCGTTGTTTCCTGTTACTACAGTAATATTGTTGCACCACATTTAGCCAGTTATCGCTGTTTTAATTTTGCGCGGATACAACATTTTATTTTTGCGCAGATCGTCAGATAAGATGCCTATTATTGATTTTGAGAAAAGTTTATTTACTTACAGTACAGCAAAAATTAATTACCTATAAAATAGTCTGAACGCGCTTGCGGCAAGCGCATTCAGAGTTATATTTATTAGTAATTTTTCTGTATAACAGGCAAGCGGCTTGCCTTTTTTGTTATACGAGTGGCGGTTTCCTATAAATTTTATTTAAACTGCTTTTTAATTTGAACGCTTTTGTTGGTAGTTTTTTTCGGGTTTTCGTACAATATTTCCTAGAAAATATATTTTCGACCAAAAAATAAAGCACTTATTTGTAGGTCGAGCAGAACCTTTAAAAAAGTTCAAGCAGACAACACTGTATGGAGAAATCGCCGTAACCGAGGGTTCGGATGATGACGGCTCCTTTAATTCCGACGATTTGACCGATGATGATGGTGTTCGGTCCGCCGGTAGCGATGAGGACGATGATTGTGATGCGAAGGAGATTATTCCAACAAAAGACCGGAAATCAGCGCCGACGCGCCACCAGATTATGGCCAGTCGACGTGTGATTTGGTTCCGACAGAATACATTCCGCGGCGCATCATCCGCTTCTAGTCAGGAAAGTCGCACCAACGATCTGGATTCCAGTGTTGAGCTGATCGAGGCGGAATCTTCGGTAATGCACGCATTTAATTAACGCTTTACGCATTATTTACACATTTTACAGTTGCTCAGTCAGTGCGTTACTTTGGGACCGGACAGCGAAATGAAAAGTCTTTTTGAATGTTGTTAAATGATCCCGGAAGACTTGTGGTTTATTAGCGCAGTGGGTTCGCTTAAGGGTGTTTTTTATCGTGACTTGTTTTAATATTTGCTGATTTACAGACATCTGATTCTGCGCGTGGTTCGCAATCTTCCATCACAGATGAACGAAGACATTTATCAGCAGAACTTATTACACCGACGTCGCTTTGTACCCGAACAAAACGAAAATATCGCCGAAATTATTCGATTAAGAAGTATCTGGTAATGAAAACTGAGAGCACGATTGAGGATAGTCGGAATGATTCTACGGTCTCCCAATCAGTACGTGTTATGTATATCTTTTAGATCTTTTATCTATACATTGATTCACTTATATTGGCTCGCATTGGATGGTGTAAAATGTAGCCTTTTCGGATGAACTGAGATCCTGCAAATCATTTTATTCAAAGAGCGGGAAAAACTCAAATTTTTACAGCTTGTATTGGCAGCTTTTGGTATGGCACCTTTATTTTAGACAGCCAACACAACCATTATCGTTTCTGATTCTGACGACGATGTCGACGAAGGGTCATCATCGCAGAATCCGACTGACATGGAGTGCTCGAAGCCAATTGTTCTGGACAGTTCGACCGATAATATTGAAGATATTAACGATGCTGATTGTGAACAGGACTAGGACTGATCGGTTTTGCCTTCCTACTTCAGGTTGTCTATATCGCATTGTAGTTATAAAGAAATACTTAGTTTTTACGGTGACGGCCTTGTACCAGAAATTTTTCGGGTTTGGAAGTGTTTTTACCTTTGCGTCATTTTGTTGTTTTATAGTGTTTATAATTGTGTTTGTAAATCCTTCTTCTCCGTTTGTATATGTCCCTGCAATTTTGTTGACGGCATTGTACGAGTGTCAGCAGTGATTTGGATGGTAAATCGCAATTCAAAACAGGCATACGACTAGCAATAAATGACTTTATCAATGGAATTTATCATTGTGGGAAAAAAAGTACTTCGTATTTGCAGTTGAATCTGGAAGGGTTTTAAGTCTGAAGTGTGGACACCGCCTTTTTTTCAACTGGTGCTTTGTTTTGGCGAAAAAAACAGTTTTGCTCCCCGAGGCGTTTTGTGTATTTGGTCTAGCTGTTGACTTACAGTTTTTTTCACGAAGTACTCTTTTGAGCGTCCTCAAACTGACCTTATTTCCAAGCATCTAGAATCGTTCCTGGATTTTTGGTTGAATTAGGTTGTTTTCCATCACTGCCACGACTCGCTCTATCGATGCCTTCGCTTTGGAAAGTGTTTCTCGCGTTGTCATAACCAAAACTCGATTAAGTTTATGCTCAATAAATGCGCAAAAGAAAAGAAAGCTTTAAGAAGATTGGGGAAACATGCGCCATGTGGTTCGGCAGAAAAATAAAATGCCATGCCGCCAACTTGGCGCGAACGGGGTGTATTATGATGATCATATGAATGAGCTTTGTTTTTCATTACCTGATTGCTTTTAAGTTTTATGAAGTTTCAGTTAGCGTAATAACAACATTTCAGCGTAAGTAGTAACATTTTGGTTGCCAATGACTTCATCATGCACTCATTTGACATTTTTTTTCTCCCGGTCAGCTTAGTATCTGTTATGATTACGAAATTTTCATTATCAATTAAGTGAGCTATCTTACACTATTTAGTAATCTTTATTTTAATGGCGGTCTAAACAATACGGTTAAGGCGGCACGGTATAAATAATACACGAATGTTTGCAGTTATTACTTAATACAAGTTTACAATCTAAATAACACGAATATTATATACGATATCGTGTACTTTAGAAACTTTCGCCTGCAAATTGATCTGACTAGTTGGCATAAAGAGGTTCCATAAGAATATCTGCTGGCCTGAGTTTTTTGTAATTGTTGCGACCTATATGTAAGCTGGATATCGGCAATCGAAATGGGAGACAGTTCCGATGCCTCACGCTCTTCGGATTGTGTACGAAAACGTTTGGAAGAACTCAAGCGGAAGCACGATTCCTGTATGTACACTGCCATTGACAAAGAACTACAAATCTCTCGTGCGGATGACTTAGCCCAAAGTACGGAACAATTTATCATTTAATTGGCGGAGATTTATAATTACTTTCAGTTTTTGTTTGTCCGAATGTATGTATTTGTAAATGGCAATCGCAGCTGCAGGATATACACCGCTTAAAGATTTGCAGAATACCGTTCCGTATCGAATCTGTGTACGGCTCCAGCTTCCGGTGATCGACCAACACTATTTTGCACACCGAATAATACCCAACCCCTTCCGGTTTTTGATTCAGTAGAAGCTATCAGATCCGAGGTAATGGAGCTATTTAATTCCCAACACAGTACTGACAACAATGTCAAGTAAATATCGGAATATCACATTACTGATTTATTGTTATTACCTATCATAGTTCAGATTGCAAAAGTAAATTTGTTTATCATAACGGTATCGCAAAAAGGTGAAATTTGATGTTCATTCATGAAGCAAGCGGTATCCGATTGGCGTGCAAAATTTTTATTTCGGCAGGCATTACATAAACCGTTTACGTTACAGTTCAAGCAACTTGAAAAAGGATTAAATGAACTCGCAGAAGAATTACTTCCTGCCAAACGCAAAAATGACATGCAAAAGGTATGCACACAAAGTCGAGCAGCTATATACTGCAGAGGATAATCAGAATTTGCCAAGTTTGACGTCTGGACATTATAGGAACCACTGACCAAAACCTGACGAAAAAACCACTTTAGAAACGGCAATCACATATGCGACCGATTTGATTCAGCCGACAGCCAGTTCAGCTCTCCATGTGACTTATGAACAAACCGGAATAATTTCTTTGATATCCGATTGCCAATGTTCCGGTTTAACCATAGTATGTTTTTGCAACTAAAGCGCTTCATTTCCCGTAGCAGGATCTGCAGATCTTAATTCATCCTTGCTCTTTCGTTTCTTGTACAAGCGTTTGACTTCTGATAACCGAGTAGTTTTCACGTTGGCAAAATGGATCAAATACCTATAAAAATTCCTAATTAATCCACGTCCAACAAATGTTCAAAATTCAAGCAGCAATGACAGATCCCAGAAACAGAAGTACTGTACTAACTTTTCAATAAGTTCTTTCACAGTGCGCGAGACAAATGGCCTAATGTTGTTAAGGCCAGCTGCTAGAGCCTGAAGGTTTGGAAGCAGGACAAGATGGTTATCCTGAGGCTTGCTCGGGGATGTGCTGATACTGGCAAACTGAAATTCAGCAAGCATTGCATGTATTTTAAACGCAGAAAACAGTATTCGCCGAAAGCAACAGTTTTGATAGAAAATGTTTAATAACTGATCGTTGTACTGAATCTGCGAGTAATCATATAACTAAACGTTTCCGCACGCCACACTGTTAAAAAAACAGCTGTGCAGTTAATCAAATCACTCTTCTTAATTTGTCGATTGAATTAACCGATAATAAGGTCATACCATTTTTAAAAAGGCAGACTTACCACTTTCCAAATACGTAAAATCGATCCCCACAGTCTCATGCAATCACGTCGACTCACAGGCAACACCAAAGCCTCGCGGACAACTTCATCCACAAACGTAACAAACCGGGTCAGGGTTTTTTCGACGTTGACATCCGCAGCCGATGACGCTACATAAAGCTGCACGAACATTTCTGTGGCGGCACATCTTCGTTTCTTCTCGTCATCGTTACATTGAATCTCTAACTCCCATAAACGCGGCAAATAGCCCTCAAAGTCGAAGATCATTCGGTGTAAGCAGTCAAGAACGGACAATTTCTCGTTCAAACTTTCGCTAGCACAGAATGTAGTCAGGAAAATATCATACACATCTTCTACAAAAGAGTCGTCATAGGCGAGCAACAGCAGAGATACGTTGTGAAGTGATGCAAAACGCAATTTAACGGATGAAGCCGGATCACGAAGAAAATCATATGCACGCTGAGTAACACCCGGGAGAGGTTCCTATATCACAGACTGAAACTGAAAGCCTGCCATTCTTTAACAGCAAAACCGATGTTCATTCAGCGGTTTTTAACCAAAAGGTTCAACTGCATTGTTCAAGTTAAGTTAAAGTTGCATTATGGCAAAGTAAGTATCGTACTACACCGCATTAGTAAAATGCACCAGATGTTTAACAGATGGCGAAGCTTATTTTAATTTTGAAGTATGCGATAGAGAATTCAGTTTTTTGAAGTTTTTTAGCAGAGGCTCTTACCAAAACGTTCTCCTCAAAACTGCGACAAATTCCGAACGCTCGCTCGGCAAATTGCACATCAACTTTCGCTGCAGATGGGGCTACTTCCATGTCGTCATTGTCATAATCATCCGATAACGATGGCAAAAACAATTCGTAAACAGTAGAACAAAGGCGGGTTTCCTCATTTCTGCTCCATGGTGAAATGACATATCTGTACTGCAGAACAGGATCGGTCAATAGTTGACGCGGATGGGTCGGCGCATTCATCGTCTTCCACCATACATGGAAACTTTTGGGCTGGGCTAGCGCAATCGGCGGATGGTGACCAGTGTAGCCGTCGATTATCATTCGGGGAAAATTCTGATCCGGTGTGTTATCCGCAACGGGCAGCTTAAACTGATCACGATATTCTGGAAATTTGCCCACCTGGCGAAAAGATTCGGGGAGATCTTTCCGATCGGGACGATATGGTCGGAGAGAGTGGAGAGCAGCGATGGTGCTCTGCTGAAGCGCCGGGGATAAATGCCGGGTGCGATGAAGACGGCAACGCTTTAGTTCGTCCAAATGACTGTTGGGAACGAGACCTTCTTTGCGATAAAACGCCACCAACATTCGCTGAATCCATGGGCCCAGCTGGGGCATCCGGGCATATGTGGATAGCAACTGCAAATTATCGTCCTTTCTTAGTCCGGGAATTTTGAAAACTGACTAATTTTTGTGAATTTTGAAAATTGACTATTTTTTCGCAACAATTTACGACATTTCCATCAGCTTTAATCTACAACAAAATCATAAAAACTCTTAAGAATCACTTTTTTATACGTATTTGAAACCCCAAATTTATGATTTTAACAGTTTTAAAGTCCAGATTTTATCCAGTTCCACTTTAGGAGATGCAGCTTCAGATGCTGAATGTTGACTGAGCCCCTGCTGTTCTACCTCGCATTTCTTAAATTAATTTTGCTATTGCCACAAAATTACAGTTAAAGGCTGTCCCCCGTATACTGCGAAATTAGTCACTACTTACTTACGCATGCTCCAAACCTCTTTTTTTTGTTGCCAATGTCACTGTAACCCTGATAATAAAATATTTCATATGTTTGCTTAAGGGCACGGCTACTCACTGGTATAAGGGTGCGGAACGTACGCATCGTATCCTGTTGGTACTGAGCATGCGGACCATCAGCAGGTCCACAACAGTACTCCACACAGTGGCACAGCGCCTCCAACATGGCAGGACACACCTGCCGATCTGACAGCAGTTTCCCCGTTGCAATGCCCGCCACAATCTCGTGCATGGCCTCACTGGATATGTGCAGAGGTGTATGTATCGGCGCAGAATCCTGCGGAGTGGAGGAGGGAGAAGACATTACAATGGACAGAATTTTATCGAAGGACTGCAACAAAGGGGCTTCCGCTGCCACGGCAGAGTTCGGAGTGGAGCTGGATTCACTATCCATTTTTCGATTATAATCACGAAACAGGCAAACAAAACACTAAAGCAACATGGGAATTTTTACATGGTCAAATGTATAAAAGCATCGGGAAAACGAAGTCCGTGTACTATAAAGACATAAACCGGCATAAACTCATAAAGAAGATTTTTTAAAATTAAAAACAATGAGAAAAAATTAATTAAAAAATTGTAAACCAGTGGACCACTGGTTTACAATGAAGTGCAGAAGTTTGCCGTTGATTTCGATCAGCTCGAGCGCTCGCCACTCACAACGTATTTCGCGTGATGCAGTAGCGTAGTACATAAGTGTGCGCAAATCCAGGACCCTTCAAGTCTTCGACCAAATATGCCGATTCGCGACCGCCCATGGGAGAGTTCAACTGCTTACCTATTCGAGGGCGGCGTTTACCAATCCTCTATTACTTGTTGTATCCAAACCGTACGGTGTTCGCTGCAGTTTGACTTGATTGATTTGTGTGTGTGTTGTGCATTATGTGAATCAGTTTTGAGTTTTTAACAATTTTGAAAGTTCCCCAATCAACCTTAAAGATTAGCGAAGCATTTGACGGTTGAAAATGAGCGGAAAGTCCAGAATTTATATCGGCAGGTTGCCAAAGCATTGTCGCGAAAAGGATGTTGAAGGTATGTGGAGAATTGAGTGGCAGTCAAATTTGTGTGCTGCCGTCAGGCGTCCGCAGCTCCAAAGCTCCTAGCCTCTTATAGTCTTACAGCTTTTTGTGTAAATTGCGTCAGATTGTTTTCTTTTCCGATCTTGCTGCGAATTGTCGTAATTCGATCTTACTCTGCGATCCATGAAGGGAACACATTCTTTATTACAGATTTGTTTCGCAAGTATGGGACCATCGAGCACTTGGACTTCAGGACCAACAAAGAACGCGAACCATTCGCGTTCATTGATTTCTCCGATCCCAGGTAGGGCAAAAATTTAGAAAGCATTATTTGGGATTAAAAAGTATGTATTTCGGAATTTTTGAGGTGGTTACTAAATAAAGAGTAAATTAAATAAGGGCGGTAGCTTAGTTGAGGAGCCGCTTAGCGGAGAACTTGGTTTCGACTTTTCTCCTTGCGCTGTAACAAAGAGCGTCTACGACTCTACTTACTCTACTATTGAATTGTTATTAAATCTAAATTTTAATCAAAAAGCTAACTTGGCAAGCCTTACTGGTATTTAATTTTATTACGGGTGCTTGAGTGATTGTTCTACGTAATATCACAGCAAACGGAAAATGTCCTGTTTTCTGCCTTTCCTTTATCCCTTTACGAATTTCGTTCAGTGAGCGCTAGATTTCTAACAAGTAAAGTAAGCTGTAAGCTCATGCGATTTCTACCACGGTGGAAGTTTTCGAATCGGCTTCGATTTTGAAGACTTACGGTAACTTATAAGAAGGTGCCTAACTTAATAAGCGAAGGTTCCGCTTTTCGTTGTCCTGCTACCATGGTGATAAAGCGTTAAAAATTAATTTTTGATTGAAAAATCAAGCCAAAATCACCGTATAACCTAAGTAGTACTTTAAACTTCAGACAAATTTTCAGAATTCCTTCGTTCATCTTGTTGTGCTGATCGAATAGCTGAAGTAAATTGATAATTTGAATTGAGTCATCGCGAAGAAGATTCCGCTTGTACTCATCCATGAGGTGAGCCGTGGTACGATAGTTGATTTGAGCGAGCGTTAAATTAAGGAGAACATCTCAGTGGTGAAAAAGCAATATATTTCCCACATAGTAACACACTGCTGAAGATGCAGTATCTGTCTGAATGTACAAAATTCCGATCTACTGAAGGATTTGATACGAACAAAATATTGTTTTCCTTGTGACGCATTTTAAAGTCTTTTGAAACATAGGGACGCCGAAGATGCGATACGTGGTCGCGATGGATACGATCTGGATGGTGCTAAAATCCGTGTAGAGTTCCCACGTTCATTCCGTGACCGCGAAGAGAGTCGTGGCGGCTATCGTAGCAGCGGGGGCTTCAGCCGGTCTAACCGCGATGGTGGATTCCGATTCAACCGTAATCGCTACGATAACACCATGCGCCGCTCGCAGAATCGTGTTATCATTACTGGTAAGACATTTTGCATTTTTTTCATAGCTGTTAAACGCGCTGTAAATTACATAAACGTGCAGTTGTAAATTACATAAACGATATGTTGGGCAAAAGGCAGCACGTGCTGGTTAGGATTTTGCATACTTGTTTACATCAGGCATCGAAGCACCGCTTTTGGGATTATTGTTGTTTGTGTTCTTTTTCTTCGTTGGGTTTTATATGTATGCACTTTTTCGTAGAATGAAATGTAATAACTGAGTGAAATGTGATAACTGAGTTACTTGAAATACCGGCCTTGAAATGTGTTAATGCGTCACTAATTATTTTGTCCACGATAACAGGTTTACCGCCTTCTGGCAGCTGGCAAGATCTGAAGGATCATATGCGGAAAGCGGGCGATGTCTGTTATGCCGATGTATCCAAAGACGGCACCGGAGTTGTGGAATTTGTTCAGGCCGAGGATATGCGTTACGCTGTGAAGAAGCTGGACGATACCAAATTCCGTTCGCATGAGGTACGAAAGAAAACATCATCTGTAATCGTAGCACAATACACTGTATAAATCGATTGAAGGGAGAAACGGCGTACATTCGCGTTCGAGTGGATGATCGCAACGGCGGAGGCAGCGGTGGAGGAGGTGCGCGCCGTTCCCGGTCCGGCTCGCCGCGGCGTCGCAGTCGGTCGCCCATTGATCGTCGCACACCGGATGCCAATGGACGCGATCGGGAGACTAAACGCGAACGTTCGCCGTCGCATTCGCGGAGCCGCTCGGCGCATTCCCGTTCGCGCAGCGTTCACTCGCGCTCGCGTAGCCCTATGTAAATCCTAAGCCGTGGGATCGGCGTAACTGGATTAAGGCAGCCAGGAATACTGTCACACTTGACAATTTTCAATCATGGTATACCGCATTTTGCTATCAATTCAATTAGGCTCGAGTATTGTTACCCGATAACTGTGCTTTGTGACTTTTGCTTTTTTGCTGTTGGTTATTTATTTAATTCTGGACGTTTACTACACATATGACTTTAGTATGCCCTGCTCCTGTTTGGTCTAATTGGTGTCCACTTACGTTTTCTCAGACTCTTTGTTCTCTGCCGGAATGGATGCGTAAATGAGATGATGTTGAGATGATGAATGATGATGCACGCACTGATGATGATGATGTTAGGCTTTAGGAGGATGACTGTTTACGGTTGGGCATAAAGGTGGCGTGGGATGGCTGCGTGGTTGAAGAGCGATGGGTTGAAGTCGTGAAGAGGTCTTGGCGGGTGGTTAGATGGGTGGAGTGTGTGGATGGTGTAGGATAAGGATGCAATCTGGAGAGAAGAGTACTGTGTATGGTGGATGTAGGAGACACAATGTGGTACGATGGTGGGATTAGGGTGCGTCGGGATATAGTCGGAGGATGGGATGTAGAAGATCCGATGGGTTAATGTAGGAGAGATTTTCGGGCTGGTGTTGACGTGCCGTGTTATCCTTGTTTTCGTGATTGTAACGTTGCGGGTAAGTATGTTTGTTGGGCTGCGGCATCCAGGAGGGATGGATACTGTCTTCCGCCTCGTCATACTTCGTTTTGGATGGTTACAAGATTTAAGGTAATTCCTGTCTGCTTTAAGTATAGCATTTGTGATTGCTGGGTACAATAAATTAAAATATTGGTAGCATGGTAAATGGTGTATGTTTCTGACTCTGACTTGGTTATTTTTCCACGCAGTGGATAAAAACACTGGAATCCCGAAAGCGTTGTCGCCTGGAAGCCGTCGATGAACCAGCAAGTCCTTCTTTCATTTGGTTTTCTGAGGTTTTGGTTTTCGTGGTGCTTGCATTGATCGATACATGGAACGATAGATGATGGAATCTGTTTTTGATTCCGCCGTGTTTTTTTCGCGTTGATGTAATGATATGTGAATTTACTGCTACGATTTGTGATTTTGCTTTAGCGGCACGGATCACACAATTTATAAGCATTTGTAGCTGTTGCTGATAATATTATGCCTTGCCTGCATTTCCTCGTGCTGTGTATTTCGTACTGGTAGAAAAGTAATTAAGAAATACAAGCATTTGTTGGTATCATCTGAAGAAATCCTTCAACACATAAAGAACTCCTTGACGAATCATTGAGCAAAAATCAACTCAATAATTTGAACGGGCTAAGACAACCTTACAGCAGACTCAAATCCTTTTTTTTTGCAGTAAACGTATTATAACGAAGAACTTAATGGCGGCATTGACGGGCCATATTACTCGTGCGAAAGCTACTAACCTGCTACTGTTGTTACAACACAACGTAAATAAATAATTATGATTCGAAGAAATTTACAACGGTCGAGATTTTTTGTGCACTCACACTTAAAAATTCTCCCATGAGAAGTCAAACTTGTTAACAGCGCAATGTTGCCGGATTTCTCGGCTGAGCTGTTGGCTGCCACAAAAGAATACTCGGACTTGACCTTTCCCCGAATGGGCAATCGCGTCAAATACCTCACTCCATTTTGGCCGACCGGTTTTTGTCTGGCTTTTTAATCCTGTCAGGATATCTGTCCGCGTTTGTTTATAATAGAGATTCATGCCCAGTGACAAGCCCACCGCAGACGTACGACGGCCCTGTAAAAGACAAGTCATCCTGTAAAGAAAAGGGCATGTTGTATTGTTTGAAGTTTCCCGCGATAGCCAATTCAGAGAAAATGAATATGTACGAGTAGTAATATGCAGTATACTGTACTCACTATACTGTAACACAGCAAAACCGAACGTTGCTCATGATCAGTTTAGGTCGATATGTATCATAATAATATTAATGATTTAGTTTTATTTGTGCATAATTGCTACATTCACATTGTATAATATAATATACAGATATATATATCTGTATATATAATCCAGCGAAATTATTATTCGTTTCTGCATTAAATTCCAACACAATGCGTAGTATTAGCACTATTATCAGTGGTACCTTGGGCACGGAGGTAATATAAATCTGTGCGGTTACAAAGTTTTCGCCGGGATGATTAGCATTTTCCAGAGTAATCTGCTCTCGCTCCCATTCTTCCAGCAAATCGATAAACCACTGTATGCTCGTTTGATCGCGGCAGACCCAAATAAAGTCGACCTTTTTTAATTTTTTCGCGGGCCGCTTATACATCGTTACTGCATTGTTCGTAAAGGGCACCTCTTTGTCGCAGTGCGGACACTGCACCCGGTTGCGTCGGAAATGGTGAATGATGCTGCCCAGAATGGACGCCATGGGTGTGATGCCGATGCCGGATCCGATGAGTACGGCGTGCTCCGTGTCGAAGATAGCCGCTGTAGACGTCCCGTACGGTCCATCAATGCATAATGGGATGGGCGAGGCCAATGGAATGGAAACTTTATCCAAGTTGTTCTTAAACTCCAGCGACTTAGTTTGTTTGTTTTCCTTATACTTCTGGGATTTTCTTTTAGAAATTCTGTGGAGAACGGTGACAGCATCTAAATCTTTTACGATTTCTGCGCGAAATTTTTCCACGGATTGCTGGCCGACCACTACGGGGGTGCACTTTTCTTGTCTCTTTAGGTAGTTGTAAAGTTGAGTTGTCCAGTTTCCCACAATGCGAATGTGCAACCATATATAATCTGCATAGCAAAAGACGTGACAGGTAAGCCAAACAAACCAGCATATTTTTATAGTAAACTAATTGTAATTGTTTCACACGCATATGTAACTTAATGTTCCTGTAATAATGGGTACTCGTAGGGTTCGATAGAATTTACTGATTGTTTCTACTTATGTAATTGTTTCACACGCACATTAAATAGAATCACAGTAACTGGCTTTTCTCCGTCAATCGCGCACCTACTCAGTAATGTGTGTGTTAAAAATGTGTGAAATGTGTTAAAAAGTTGCAGTAAGTAACAACACCGCAAAAACAACAATACTAAAATCTATACGAGTACCGTATAAGCTTGTACCTTTGATTTCGGGAGCACTGCTTATTGTAAAAGGGTGCCATTCGTGCCACGACACAGCCGGTATTTTCACGAAAATAAAGTCTCCTGGATTGTGGACGAAATTCTTCGGACGTTTGATGATAAGATGAATAACCTGTAGAAGTATATGAAATACAGTACAGTTTCGGATATTGTTAAACTTTAAAAAATGGCTTCTTTGTGGGCCGAATGCTATACCGGGCATAGTATGTACAATGTAAATCACAGACAGATTATTACTGTGGCTTAATAATTTCCGCGATGATTACAGGGTACCAGACCAAAAGGCAAGTACTGGGATCACGCTCTGGCCGCTGGCGCCCGCAACATACCTGTGATGGTAATAGTGTCGCTTCTGTTATTTCAGCCGTTGAATTCTTGGCCGCTACGTAATATTTGTGGCACTTTTCCACAATCAGCAACATAGCAAAGAACAAAAAATATTTCCAAAAATTTCGGGAATGGAAGATTAAAACAATCCAAAACAAGAAAGTCAGCTTGTGGAACCAGTAGAAGACCTGTTGAGAGCGAGAGAATATGTATGCATACATAAATCGCGATAGAACTATATACAGATATAATACATACCTACTTGATTAAACAGCATTATGTACTACTAACGCAACATACGTATCTGTATATGCACTCCAATTAGCCTAAATTGGTGCACAATCATGAATAACTTTAATTATTGTCCGAAGATGTTCAACGGTTTATATGATCGTAAGCTTAACGGTAACTTTTTTTATTCAGTAGGAGTAGGTTATATATCGTTCCAGGTCAAAAATTATGTTTACCTGAAAATGTCGAGAGTGGCGAACCGTGGGTAACGAAGATAGCACGATCACAAGAAAAACTGCGATGATTATCCAGCCGGTAATCGGTGCCAAACCATGGAATAATCCATAAGGAATATACTGCTGAGGAACGAAGAGATAGTCGATCAACGAACTAGATGAATTCTTCGTTGCGTTGTTAGTTATGTGGAGGACAGCTGCAAGACATAAGGCTTGTATAGGTGTGCATCATATAATTATGTAGTAATCAAGATTTGTTTAGCAAACGTGCAATTTGTGCAGATAAGCGATATGTGACTACGCCTTGTACACGCATTTCCCGGCATGACCTTACCGTTGAAATTCATAATGTGCGCCACCGTGTGGCCCAAACCGGCAACACCGATGCACACTGCGCATATGATGTGGAATTTCGGGAGAGCATCCAGGGGCAGACAGGAGATCCACTTCGTTCTGCGCACAATGGTAACTGTCCAGTGTAGAATGGGCAGTATTATTATGCTGCAGTTGATATCCAGCACCATACCGAACCCCTTTGCAACAGAATAAATGTATCTTCCTGCAGTCATTTCCGGATTTGACACATATGCCACCGACATCCCAACCGCGAACAGTAGCATACAGAAAAAAACATAAATGATGAGAATCACAAACTCGCTGGCGTAAGAGGAAAATGTTAACTGAAGACGTTGCACTGCAGCCTTTGCGCTTTCTTTCAGTTTTGTTGCATTTGGTCTGTAGGGATTAATAAAAGCAAGAGATCTGTTGGATACAAACTTAAATAGTCGTCGTTCGAACTGCGCGTAGTACGATACAAATGTTATGATTGATACATGTTTCTACGTAGTACATAATCATATTGTAATCGAATACTGATTTTTATAATTTGAAATCTGACAGGTACTAACTATATAGTGAAACTAACGTAACTACCTGATACTGCAAAATTTACTGCTACGCGCAATATACGAGTACCGGTATATCTATACAGATACATATGTACAGTAGCTGTATTGTACATACCGCGGAGGATTTGAAATTGCACTGCTAGATTGAGCGGCCTCTGATTGTAAGAAAGGGTCTCCGGTGTTGATGTCAGGAAGGTAGCTTTGCATCAGTATGCAGAATTCCTCCTCGCTCAGCATTCCATTGGAAGGTATGGATGCTGCGTCAAAAACATTATTAACCATCGTGATAGCCTTTTCGCTAGTAATTTGCAATCTGCAGTCGGAGGCTTCTTGAATAATGGATTCCATTAAATCCTCACGACTTAAAAGACCATCATGATCACGGTCGTAAGACTGAAAAACGGCCGACACTGTTGATACCGGTGGGCTTCGTAAAGCTCCGGAAACTTCCTCGGGCACAGGATTTCTGAAATCAAGTCTTTGATCCTTAATTATCTTAATATTTTATAACTTTCCTCTAGTGCAAGTATTCAACAAAAAGCTAGCTTAATTTTTTGTGGTTGTTCAAGCTAGAATGTTAATTAACAAAGGTTACTTTTACTGCCTGGTCACTACGTACAGGTGAGCGTGCATTCAGTATAATGTTTAATATCATTCGATCGGTAACCGCTTTAATACTGGAAAATACTCGTACGTAGTTGAAATGTCACTGTCGCCAGTTGAAAATTTTCTCGAGAAAAGCAATGCAATTTTCAAAATTTTCTACCGTTCACCATTTGCATAAGAAAGTGTCACACGCTTGAGGTTTCAGCTCTGTATCAAACTGTACGAACTGCCAAAAAAAGGTCGATCTGTTAACCATGTAGTATGTATTACAATAATATTCCTGTGCACGTACCTGGTCTTGGCAGAACTGGATAAATGCGGGAAAATCTCCAGTATCATTTTATAAGTTGTAGATTTTAAAATAACAATTGACAAAAATTGTTTCAAAAGGACTGAAAAGAAGAAACGTGCTCTTTTTTAAAAACCCGAGCAGTTTAAAGTGTAAGCAGTGCAACAATAGTTATACCCAAGTAAATCAAACTGTAGATGTGCAAATTTAGAAACCAGATGTTATAATATGACGGCACAATGACTACGGAAAAAACAACTCAGTGGGACATGTATTTATACTGCTGAATTAGGAGCATTTCCGAATGCAGTACTATTAATCATCTGATCTGCATTATGCTGTAATTGTACATCCCCTTCATATTGTGTGACCCGCCGTTTCTTCGACGGGAATACATCGACCGTCACCAAGCTGAACACACACAATGTCTACACGTTGTAAATTAACGTCTAGCTACTACTCATAGGGCACTTTGCCAAACTGTCATTCAGTCGAAATGAAACCCTGTCGTCAGAACACGAAGTCGACCATCGAAGTCGGCGTTGCGCACAGCATAATTAATTCAGAACTTCCGATTAGTGAGATGTACAGGTAGCTCGAAGGGACACATGTCAATGGCACCTTTTAAAACGAAAAAATAAAACGCTACAATCTGCAGTATACCGGATGTTCTACAGTACAAATACGCAAATGCATCATCCGTTTCCCATCGTTTTCCAAGCATTGACAATTGATGAATCCAATGTATTTACGATGACGACTGACAAGAATTAACTATCAACGCATTTGCTTTTAGCCGGCTGCGAGAAGTTGGCTGACACCATCTGCATTCTGCAATACCTATGTCATCACGAAAGGTCGATTTTATAATGCAGAACGTACGTACCTAGTCTTGACAGAATTGAATAAGTGCGGCAAAATTTTCAAAATCATCTTTGCAAGATTTATTTCAGAAGGGCAAAATGTGCAATGCCGCTTATTTAAAAACGCAAGCTCGTTGAAAGCGTAAGCCTTTCACAACAATCATGTCCACCAATACAGACAGAACAAGAATTTCTAAATTTGGGAACCAAGGATGATTTTTAAAGGCCGATAGAGTGAATACGTTAAAAAAAACCTAGGTAACGTTTATATATATTTCTGTATCAGGGGTAATGTGATGTAATAGTTGTCCGATCAGACTTATGCAGTGCAATATACGGTGCCTTGTGCTAGTTGTATTACACTAATACTTTGTATATTTGAATCATAACCACCGTACGTATCCGTAGAGAGTTGTCGCTCTCTACGCACCTATAAAACAATTAAAAGATTGATGATGTTATTTATCATTCGCACAGCAAAAACTGTAAAAAACACTCGTCTGGTTTTTGCAGTGATACGCACTAACCATAAGACGCCGTCTTCCCTTCCCTATTTCTCCACCCTCCTAGAATAATTAGAAAATTAATGTCGTGCAAAACATTGTGAAACAATCGCCTGGGCTTGGCTGCTACCGACGTCACGGTCTATGAATAAATTTTATGTACGCTATTGGCTATAGCCTAAAGCCCAGGACAATAACAGTCGCATGGGCTCAAAATTTTCTCTTTTGCAATAATGTTTTTCGAACTTTTACAACTTTTTAATGCGGAAACAATATATTCGATTTTTTTATAACATTCTCTGTTGCAGATTTCTAACAATTTGGCCCACTGTTTTTATAAGAGCGCTTTAGATTGGTCAGACAGTTTCCAGTTTACGCTTTCCGATTATTAGAGTAGTGATTAAATCCCAAAATTAAGCAAGGATGTATGTGTGGCAGTAAGTTTTAGATTGGTAAATGTAATTGCCGTGTAACCTGTGTACATGTATTTACCATCATTACCATGTGACTACCAGTACCATGACGCGGGGTGCTGGACTTCCGTATTTCAAAGAACCATTAAAGAGATGCGCAGTAAATGTGCAAGGCTACTTATAGGACGACAACATGGAACAAACCGCGAATGACGAAAAACGTAAACAAGGTCACTATGAAAAACGCATACGGTACTGATGGAGGTTGTTTAAGAAATGTAAATGTGGCTGCATCATGGATCATGCATGAAGGAAACATGGAATTAACATGAATCGTAAACTAAAAGTGATGAAGAACGTAAACAAAGTCAACCTGAAATTAGTCACAATATATCCACTCGGAGTTTCAGACCGCCGTAAAAATAAACCGGTCTATCTGTACATGTGCGTGTTATGGGTTCGTTTTATGGGATACAGTACACTTACTGTTTGCATAAACCCAGAATTCTTTCTAAATTAAAATTTAATATTTAGAGTACAAATACCGGATCCGATCTGCCTATAATAATGCATTGCTCTTTACCGACATAGTCCCGACAACGCAAAATTTATAGCTGACCTTTAAAGTTTGAATACCCACAGACGTCGGACATGCTGATGCGATGTCTCTTTTATAACCATAAAACATATTATGTTTAAGTACGTAACAAAATTAATGAAATAACAATTTCGAAAGACAGCAACTGGAATCTAAAAATTCTCCCATGAGAAATCAAATTTGTTCAGGGCACACTGTTGACGAATCTCCCGACTAAGCTGGCGGCTCCCACAGAAGAATACGCGAACTTGACCTTTTTGCGACTTTGCGATTGACCCAAATACATCATTCCATTTAGGCCGGCCCGTTCTTGTTTGGCTTTTTAAACCGGTGAGGATATCCGTCCGCGTTTGCTGGTAATGTAAGTTCATTCCCAGCGAGAGACCGGCGGTGGATAGACTTGTCTTCTGAAAACATTTTTATCGGTTTTATTAAAATTACACATTGTAACCGAACACGTTAGCGTAATAGCAAAGCAAAAGGAACAAATTTAGCTTTAACGAATACAGTACCTTCGGCCCGGAAGTGATATAAATTTGCGCCGTAACAAAATCCTCATTGGTGTTGTACACAGTCTCCAGCGTGGTTTGCTCGTGTTCCCATTCTTTAAGCAAGTCAATAAACCACTGTATGCTCATCTGATCCCGGCACACCCAGATGAAATCCACTTTCTTCAACTTCGTCGCCAGCCGGTTGCACATGGACAGATCGTTGTTGATGAAGGGGACATCCTTGTCGCAGTGGGGACATTTCATACGGTTGCGCCGGAAATGATGGACGATGCTGCCCAGGATGGCTGCCATGGGTGTGATGCCGATACCGGAACCGATGAGGACGGCGTGTTCGGTGTGGAAGATGGCCGCCGTGGAACTGCCGTACGGCCCATCGATGAACACCGGAATGGGTGTGGCTAGTGGGAACGATGAGACCGTGTTGCTTTTTGTAATGCTGGCTTCGTGTTGGGCATTCGCGTAATTGTTTTCTTCGAATTTGGGAAAATGGTTAACACTGAGTTTACGTAGAATAGCGATGGCCGTAGGATCCGACAGGACATTGGTGCGCAGATTTTGTAGAGACTGTTGGCTAATCAGCACGGGACGGCGTTTCTTTTGCCGCTTGAGATGTGTGTACAGTGCTTTTGTCCAGTTTCCTACTACGCGAATGTGCAGCCATATGTTATCTGCAAAGAACACTGGAAATGTCATAATGCTATAAAGGAAAGCAAATTTTAATTAACGAATTATAATCAAATATTTATGCATGTTCCGATCTAGGCTCATCTAGCGGGCACATGAAACAATATTTTGCTCCGCACGACAAACCCAGAATGTTTTACTACGATGACTTATCATATCTGCTTTTAAATACAGTGAAGTACTCAGTCTGTTGCTGTTGCTTCAATCTCACCATCAAGTTCAGGTGCGCTGGAAATTGTAAAAGGATGCCATTCATGCCTGGCAACTGCCGGTATTTTGACGAAGACAAAATCTCCCGGGTTATGGGCGAAATTTTCGGGTCGTTTAATTGTTAGATGCATCACCTAACACGATGGAAAACCTGGATTTACTTAGCTGCGTTGAGGATTAGTACATTATCATGGTTGTGTTACAGTATATTGCCAGCATTACCAGTACCGCTGTCTGGGCTTCATTTTCATACCTGTGAAGGCAACAGTGTCGCATGAATTATTTCCGCAGAAGAATTTTTCTTCCCAACGATGTAGTATTTACGTAGCTTTTCCACAATCAAGAGTACTCCGAAGAAACAAAAATACTTCCAAAAGTTGCGCGCGTGCAAGATAAGAATGAGCCAAAACACGTAGACGAGTTTATGGAACCAGTAAAACAACTGTAAGAAAAATCTTTGTTAGTCGGACAATCCAGACGTAGCCTTTCGCGTACGAGTAATAAGATTAAAGTTAACAGATATTTGCTTAACTGGAGACAGACCAAAATTAATATCAGTTTAGACAAAAATGCATATATACGAGGACGAGTAAGTACATAAACTGAAGCTTAACACAGACCTGAAAATGTTGAGTCTGTCGGACGATTGGTAGCGAAAACAATACAACAGCAACAAAGATCAGGATCAGGATCCAACCAGTAACAGATGCTAGCCCTTGAACCAATCCTGGCACGTCATGCCGGGGAACGAAAAGATACTCTGACAGCGAAGGAGAATCTTTTGGATTCATCTCAATCATCTCTAAAAACAGTTAACTATTTCACTCACGTATAAAAGAAAAAACTATCTAATTAGCTACACGTATGGCTATCATAAAGAAATGATTTGCTTCCTAAACGAACATCGCTAAGGATAAATTATTCTTGATTACCAACTCCTGGAATTCGGCCAGATTATAAATACTATATTAAATATATATAAATATTATATTATTACAGAATATATATTCGGCCAGATTGTATATAATGCGTAAAGATTTGCACACATACCAGCAAAATTAACGATATGAGCCACGGTGTGGCATGCACCGGCAATACCAATACAAATTGCACATGTAATATGGAATTTTGGTAAAGCATCCAGTGGTAGAAACGATCCCAGCCCGGTCTTTCGCACAAAGGTCATCGTCCAGTGCAAAATCGGCAGTATTATAATACTGCAGTTGATATCCAGTATCATACCGAAACCCTTTGCAACCAAATAGGCGTACATTCCATGTACGGATTCGGGATCCTCCAGATAAGCCACAGCGGACCCGATGAAGAATAAAAGGACGCAGAACAAAATGTACACCGATAGGACAATGATTTCGTTCTTATATGGAATCAGCTTCAATTTAACAGATCGCATAACAGATTCTGGTTTGGATTTCCATGCAAAAGTGTCGACTCTAAAATCATCAAGATGAGAAGATCTATACTTAATGAGTCATGATCAAGCACTTAAATACTAAACTCAATTGCTCAAAATTTCGTTAATGACTACTATAAATAGATTTAGAGTTTCAGTTAGCATCTCGGTTCTTAACTTACTTATTTTATTACAGTACTCACTAGTACTAATGCACAAATACTACCCGTACCTCACGTATACCGGTACACGTAGTGCAATTTTAATTTTCTTACCGATTTCCAGGATTTGATGGCGGTGTAACGGTGGTACCAGGGCTGCAAGTAATGTGAATGCCAGCATTAGCGTCGTTATGTGGAAGATAATCCTTCATCAATGCCTGGAAATCATCTTTGCCCAGCATTCCATCGGCCGGTATGGCAGCTGCATCAAACACGGCATGGACCAGCTGCATGGCTTTTTCAGGAGATATATCCAACTGGTAGTCCGTGGCTTGCTTAACGATGGCTTTAAACAGGTCATGACGGCTCAAGAGCCCGTCATAATCGTAATCATAGGACTGGAATATGGTGGACAGTGTCCGTGGAGGCACCGGGTGTGGCGCACTTGATACTGCTTCCGGCAACCGCATGGCGGCCATTCTGCTGCTGAAATGATATGAAAAATGAGAGTGTATTAAGTAATGCATGGCACGCATTCGTCTACATTCTATTGTTACATGCGAACATATTTTTTAAGATTTAGCTCATCACCATTTTATGCAAATCGGCGTTATAATATACGTATACGCTTGCCATGGTTAGTGACTTTCGAGTTATATATTGATCATGAATATCTTTACATCAGTGTGTGTAAGAAATGCCGATGCCGGTCGTTCATATATTGTGCATGTAATGTTACCAACCATGTTATGTTTCCGTTTACATCGACATCAAAACCACTTTACAATAATAAGAAACGACAAATGTGCGCTATCGAGTAGTGGTCAGTCGGTCTGGTTGTGGCTGCAATATGATTATATCTACTTATTTTAAGGGATGTCTTTAGCTAAATATTAGCGAAATACGTACTATAATAAAAAGTAGCAGGCAGCAGCAAAATCGGCATTCAAGATTAAACTAGACAATAAAAGTTGTACCGCACTATCAATATTTTTGAAAGTAATTATGCGCAGAGCAATAGTTATTAGAAACAGATGCATAAAGCCGAAAGGGTATATAATATTTACCATTTGTTCGCTGGCAAAAGTGTACATGAAGCTCGTTTTACATAAGCTTTTATAACAATACACACTGGGCACTGAGTCACCAAAAACTAACACAGCGCTTACCCATCTTTATATATTTACTTACCGAAATCCGTTAAAAAGGTCAAGAGGGTGTCCTGCAATCCTGGCAAATCAAGTTTTTTTCCTGGAGTGGGGGATGTCTGTGATAACATGAGTACCAAAGTCATCCGAGCTTATGTTATTCCAGTTGCAACGTACTCGTATTAGCCGGACTAGCACTTGCCGTGATGGATCAGGGTTGCCCCGGACTGCCGGTGCGTTGGACAGGTACAGCGCATTTGTACTCTTCGGCTGCCACATAACAATACCGTGTGGTCGATGACTTATTTTTCCCGACCGAAAACCAATATTAGGAATAATCAGGCCTAAATAGTTCCTGTTCCGATGTTCCGCTACACCGCTGTAAAACATGGCATCGATTCATCTTGTGCAGTTCTGCCAAGCACTCGCACCTTTTGTCTAATTTGTCACGTGTGACGTCGGTATTGGGAATAAACATATTTGCTTAGAATAGCTGACAGAATTTCTGGTTGATGACTCCGCAGCAAAAATGCTCTTTTTGTTGAAGTCGAAGGTCGTCAACAAATGTCTAGGAACTGAAAATCTGACATTTACGCCTATTCCAAATAACTGCATCGTACCAGCGGTCATTTCGGGAAGTAAGATTTCGAAAGGCGTTTATCAATTGAATTTTTTTAAAATACTGAATACGTATGCAACTGACATTTCCAGGATGGAGACTGCTCTAAACAAGTACGTATACTCGCACTGAAAATTCACGATCAGTACAAGGTACTTACCTAAACGGTCCTAATGATGAACAGTTTAACTTACTGAACTTACATACCGGGAATTCATAAGAAATTTTAAGCGTTGCACCGCTTTACTTATAGTACTGTACTTTTATCAACAATAAAAGTTTTTTTATTATAATAGTGACCAAGCTTGTGAATTCCTAAAGGGTTTGTCCATATCTGAACAATGCACAAACTACAGCATTAAGTACAGTAACAAAACGTCTAATATGAACTGTTTGCGGTTGCGTTTTTTTTAACACACTACTTTATTGATCGAATACAAAGATAAGCACAATTCACAAAAGAAACATCACATCCTAATATTAACAAACAGCAGAAACATGCGGCCGGATTACAGAGAACATTTGATCTAAATTAGCCGAGGCCGGTGCCGTTCCCAGGATGGATGCCGCGTTTCCACGTTGAATTTCGATGCTGAACCTCTGGTGCAAAAACTCCGTTGCACGTTTCTCGCCTGTTCCATGCCAGATCATCTTGCCCACTTCGCTAATCAGCCGGGAGGCTTCCGGTCCGAGTGGCCCCACTGTCTCCACGCCGACCGCTCGGAACAGGTAATCGTGAGTGATGCTCTGGTACTTCTCGGCTTTTTTCCGTTCGGCCTGAGCCGCTGCTGCGCCGGCTTGCGTGGATGTTCCAGCGATATGGGAGAGAGCCATTGTACACACGCATGTCACATCCCATGTTAACATTTTGCCTCGCTCCCACGGTACTAAGGTGACACCGTCAGGGCGTAGGCCGTTGGTTCGCGATATTCCCAAAGGCTCGAGTTCAGTCTCAATGGTGGCTGAGGCGAAAGCTCGTTTAAGCGTGGCATTTAAGCTTCTATGTCTAGCCTTCCGGCCCCGACTTTTCTTGCAGTTCAAGCCGTGGTAACCTCGAGCGTCCACCCATTCATTGCAGATACATCGGTGCGGAGTTGCGATCGGTGTGCCCAGGCGCAGGCCAACAGCAATTCGAAGTGCGGAATCGTTTAAAAGATTCCCCAGGGATGCAGCTGGTAGAGCATCTAGCCACGCTCCGTTGTCCTTGGTGCTTACACCTAGAAGCCGGGCTTGGTTGCGTTTATAAGTACTTACGAGTAGTATACTGTACTAGTAATGAATGTTTTGTAAGTCCCGAAACAATGGTTAATACCATCTTCTACTAGTAGGTAACTGCCGTCAATGGGAGGCTGCTTCCAGATTACAGATATAGTACTCGTACTGTAATAAGTAAGTACCTATAGAATCTCCAAGACTCCCTCACAGTCATTAAGATAAAATCGACAGAAATTCAAAATTGCATTTCAAAATCAAGGCTGATGAAAAGTGGAATAGTTTAAAACTGTTAACTCCACGGTTTATAATTCTTTTAGTTTCGTTTCAGAACGTAAATTTGAGATGCAAAGCACGTATTTTATTTGTTTTAATCTGTGGAGTTTTTAGAGAATGCACTGATCAAGGAGTGCTTCGCAACAATCCGCTGGTAAATCTTTTATTTCATGTCTTCGCTTGTCACTTATGGTTAGCTTTCTTAAGAAGTTAAGAAGCTAAGCGAGAGTGTTTAATTTGTATCCGTCGATTGCTCAACAGCTGTGAATCATGACAACTATAGAGGGATTTCAGTCGAGAGAAGATGTGGAGGAGTATTTAAACAATCTGGGAATCGAGTACAGATTTCAGTGTTATTCCGAGCGGCGACCAGACGGTGAGTGCGGGAATACTTCGTCGCTAGCGACCTACTCGTAGTAGTATCTGTAGACTGTAGCGCTGGTTCCTTACTGAGTCGTGAACTGACTTTGTGACTGGCATGTTTAATAAATATCTGCCCATGGCAGCATCGTTAGCGTAGTTGTTTCGTTAGTGTTTGGTGTTTGGGAACAGCGTAAACCTTGTAAAAGATCGACATTTTTGTCTGCCACTAATTTCGCTTTTACAGTTTTACTGCAACATTTTGCAGGATGCCACAGACTTGGTGAATTTCTGGAAGCAGTACGGAATGACTACGAGAAGGCTGCCGTGGTTTTCCAGCAGAATTGCGATGCCAATAATTTTACCAAAAGTTGTTTCAAGTTTGCCAACTACAAAATCGTTGGTCGAGGTGAGAATTTAATTTATTTATTTTATTTTGATTAATTTAATTTATTTTAATCCTGCTTACAGTACGGTGTACTGCACAGTGCATAGTATTAGTGCCTATTAAACCGCAAAGACTGTGCGATTATGATAGTATCACGTTATTTTACCGCAGAAACATGTAGAACTTGTCAAACCTAATATTACGCTTGCTTTCTTAATGTTTGACTTGATTAATTATAGAGTATTTATTTCATCTGAAATGATTTACGTTAGAATGCATTGATATTCTGATAGTGAGAAAAAGCCGTGTGTTGTGTAAGCAGTTACTTTACCTGTAACATTTTAGTGTCGATTATTGTGTCGTTTAGGTTGTACATCCGACCGACAATTGGCATTACAATACCACAAACAAGCATGCGCCGGTGGACATCCTGTCGGATGCTATCAAGCGGGTGTGCTCCAGCTGGGGGAACACGGCCTCGAAAGAAATCTACCTGAAGCGCGAAAGTACCTACATTTAGGCTGCGAGAAGGACGACTCGGAGAGCTGCTTCCTTTTAAGCACCAACTATTTAAACGCCCAACGGGACGATGCCCATCCGGTCAACGCCGAGGACGACGCCAAAGCCTTCTATTATACAAAACGCGCTTGTGATCTCAATCACATGTATGCCTGTGCGAATTTGCATCAGATGTATAAGAAAGCGATTGGCTGCGGTGCCGATGAAGAGGCGGCCAGGATGGCTAAGAAGAAGGCCATCGCCCTGCGGGATCTTTACCGACCCGGTGCACCTTCCATTGTTTTTGGGGAACAGTGATTGTTGTGATGGTTTTGTATTGTTGATGCTTTGTCTCTTGGGCTGAATGGATTTTTGTTTATTGTGCTGTATGCTGTGAAATATAGAACTTGTTCCATGAAACGAACGAAAATGGATTGTTTGAGTAACTAAACGAAACTACCGACTTCTCGTGTAAAAGTAGTTAAGTAGTATACGGAGCCATTATTACAGGTTGTGTCTTCGTGTGCAGCGATGCACTGGATCTGATTTCATTTATATCAGTTTCTATCTCGCTGGCCAGCTCTCTGAGTGAAAGGTTTATTAATAATTGGAGATGCATTTCGTAAACCCGTAAATGTAGGCATTTACTGTTTTCACCAAAATGTAAATAACCATTTGCCAACCATAAGCAATTTTATGTACAGCACTCCCTAGAAAAGCATTAGCAATCACCCGTCCGGTTTCATAAATTACGTACTATAACTGGCATTGCCGCCAGTTGTAGTAATATTGCTACTGATGTCTGTGTACAGACTATATCACAAGTTGATTTGGGAAAGAGCATTTCGACAGAAAACCTAGGAACCGGAAAACCGTGATCAGTGTAAAGGAAATTTGCTTCCTTCGCATTTTTTAACGCCCATGTCGACGATAATTGGAATCAATGTTTTGCTCCAGCTCTTCTTCGACATCGTCAGTGACTTTGCAGTGCGCACCCGATCGCTTCCGGTAGCAACCGGCGTAGTCCATGGCATGCGCAATATAATTCTGTTCGTGTAGAGTATGGAATAAATGCGCAAATGGACCACGGGCATAAATCGCCACATCTTCGCCGCCGTGCGATTCAGAGCTCAGGGAAATCAAGGCCTCTTGCTGGAAATCTTCGTGCTCTGTGGAAGCAAAAAATTTATTGCTATTTTCAAATCCTTTTTGAGTTTTTAACAAGAACCGAGTATAAAACTACTCGTAAAGGTAACAAACACTGTGGACCGTAGCGTATGCCCTTACCGGTATCCACATGCGTCAGATCTCTGCGAGGTAATTGAGTTATCGCACCAGGACCATTTGCATAGGACAGGGTGGTATACGGCAGTCGGCTTTTATCTTTCCCGGCCAATTTCAATATCGAATTTCCTAAAGCATAAACATTGCGAATTGCTGCTATTATTAAAACAATAGTAACAGTAGCATGATAATTTTTGTTTAACGCTTACCTCGCTCCGGATAGCCAACAATATTTAAGGTATGAGAATGATCAGCGGTAACTGCGAAGCAAATAACATCGATAAACATCGCGGAACAGATACAAAATTAGTTTTTTTCATCCATACCGACAATGAGCGTATCCTCCAGAGGCACCATTTTGAGAGCGTTTGAAATTGCGTTATCAAACTCGAGCAGCTCATGCAGAGATAATTTCGCTTTTCCGTCATGATGAGCATGATCTGTGAATCAAACATAATGAAACCGCTAAACGAAAAAATTAAATCGTAATAATCACGAAATGCCGCTAGTAGGCAATTACCGATGCGTCCTCCTTCGACCGCCAAGAAAAATCCTTGCTCATGTTTGGACAGCAGCTCAATGGCTTTGCGGGTCATTTCGGTGAGGGATGGTTGAGATCGAGAGGTGCGGTTTCTCTTTAATTCGTATTCTAGATGGTCATCACTGAATAATCCTAAAGCAAGCATCTTTTTAATGAATTTCTTGTTGACGTGAAACAACATGTTGTACGTGCGGAACGCACCAAGAACGTAGTCGGTATTTTCCGGTGTCAGAGCACTCAGCTGATCCCGGGTTGTGATTGAGTGAGCTTTATCACCAAGCCCGTCGGCGATTTTGTGAGTCTTCCATTTCCGGAAGAGATTCTGGCCATCCAAGCGGTATCCTAACAAGAGAGCGACAGACGACAGTTAATAACTTCCCAGTCCCAGACTAATTCCTATAGGCGCATCTGTCGGCTTCTGACCATATTTAACAACGGGCGTATGCTGCAAAGTTGCAAACTGACCTTTCTTTCCGGAACCAGAAGCAGACAGCTCGTTATTCGGCGTAAATTTTCGCAGTCCCCCACCAAAAATAACCTGAAGTTATATACAAATATTAAATTATCGGACATTCGTTTGTTCTTTTCATCTTCTTTGTGCTTTCGAGCGCAATGAGTAAAAAAAAGCGTCAGTTAGTATTCTGGGTGCCGACTGTATAGCTGGAAAACAATAATTCCTATGAGAGATGTAATTAAAATTGTGTTTAATAAAACCGCGTCCTACACTAAAATAGCCATAGCAAAAATTTAAAATTTCCCGAACGCGATGTTCGAGTCACCATTATATGCGGTGCTTGTTCATATATAGCTGCAGCTTGGCGCTTGCAAGAGGTTTTGCAAATTGTAATCTGGAAGCGTTACTAATTCTGAGACCTTCATACTGGTAGTTATCATTGGTGTAACCGGTATGAATGTTATCACTTTTCACCTCCTTGGTTTATAGACCTCCTTATTAATTAAATACTTGTGCTGCGTATCAGTATCGCATAACAATATGTATCTGTACCTGATCTAATGCTCTAACTGACCTTCTAAATCAGACAGACACCGATATGATTATCAACGCCATGGCCACTCACATTCGCTCGTCTTCCCGGATTATTGTCGATCATCTGCTTGGCGATATCGGCGCACTGCCTGCGATCCTCCGCCGGAACATCCGCATCCGCTTCCCAGTCGCGATCCGGCGAGTGTGCATAAGTGGCAGCCGGTGTGGCATGCGTTATCCGCGTCGTCGTCACCAGTCCCGTGGCCTTGCCGGCATCCTGCGCCCACTCCAGGATGGACGTGATGGCGTGGTCTTTCGTTGCCGAGTTGCAGTCACCCAAACGCACAGTGCTGTCCACTCCGATGACGCCCATGGCCGCTTTCTGACCGCAGAAGTATGCAGTGGCAGTACCCGCGGAATCGGGTGTCTGGTAGTTGTCATTGTATGTCTACCCGGCATAAATCATGGGAATGAGTAAATAAGCACTGATGTGAAGGCAAATATTGAAATGTACTCGTATTTAAATTGCATATTTAGCACAATTTCTTGCAAAGGTTAAAGTACATATAGAAGGCGGCATTTTATATCGGCATGAAAAGAAACCGCGCATTACAATGCAATTTTATCAGAGACTGAAAAACGGTGTATGTAAGTAGTAAGTAAGTACTGTATTAGTTCGTACATATGCCCGTAAATCATTTATTTAGTTACTTTGCGACTGCCTGATTCCCGGAATCGGTGCTGATACTCTCCATAAACAAAATCTGAAATTTAGTTCTGGCATCTTATTTAAATTTGTAGCTTACTTTAGCCAGACCCATGTGAGGAAACTCTTCGAAGACCAGCGATCCCTCCTCGCCATTGTGCCCGTGCTGTTGGCCTTTGTAGATTCGGCCAGCGGTCAGCGTGGATATGCCCATTCCATCTCCCAGGAAGAAAATAATATTCTTGGCTTTCTTCGTATTCAGTTTCACTTCCAGTGCTTTGCGCAGCTCTTCTTCTCCTATTCTATCCCATTCTTCCGGTGCTAATTAAAATACTGCACATTGTTATTCAGGCCGTAAGGCAAGGAAAAAGATAATCAGTCAAGCACACATGTTAATTATTATCATATCCTATGGTAGTTTAATGCTTCCAACTAGCTGGTTTATAGACTGCAGAAGTAAACATCCGCACTCATTATTTTACGATTAGACGTCGTAGAAATAAATTATAATATTTCGCATAAGTTATGCGCTTAAAATGATTTGAAAAAAATTGAAAAACATCAATGGGTATTTATGGTTATACTGCAGCTGCCGTAGCATACGCGACTCTAACTCGAGCATAAAGGAAACAGCTTAAAATTTACGGTCTCAAGTCACAACCAAATGTGGATAGCAATATAACAGAGAGAAATTTTATAAGGAAGTAAAATATATACAGAAGTACATATCGGTGATCAACGGATGTGAAGTGCCCGCAAAACATACACTGCAATTACAGATTTTTTTAAATTTGATATTATAAGTAGCCGTCACTTTAAAACTGCTTTGTGCTCGAATGCCATCAAAGCAAAGAATATAACGCTGTCGTAACGTATAAATAAGGCACTTACTTTCCGCTCTCATCAGGCCAAAATCAAGAACAGCAGCGGCGCCGAAAACGAATAAAATCCAGAACACTGGCTTCATTTTTTCAGAACTGAACAACTTTCAGCACTAACAAAGGGAAGACATACGAATGAGCAGCGACGCTTCCGCCAGCAGAATTACGGAAAAACAGCAATAACCCTTGTTTGCTTTTTGCAGGTGACAAGACGTTAAACCGCCAACTTTCGCCGTTTGCTGCCAGCTTAAGTTAACCGATACCAGAAAACACAGGTGCGATAACCGAAAAATATTATCAACGGTGTGCTAATCGGGAAAAATTTGCCTTCGTCATGAAGTTTAATGGTGATAATCCACACGGTGATTGTTGTTTCCGTTGATTCCATAATCACCGGTTTCCGTCGCGGTAGACTAATCTTTATATTAAACGCGCACGCGATATCGCCGCTGAACTTCGATCCTTATTGGACGCACGTGAGCAAATTTCATCACACAAATTCACTGCAGTAAACAAACCAGTGCAAATCGGAGTTATTCCGACAATGCAACGCCCGGTTTCGTAAAACAATGAATGATGAAAATTATTGTATTTTGTTGTACTGGTGCGTGCGTCGTGTTATTAGTAAGCGAATGCCAGAAGCTTGCGGTCATATGTGTAAGAAATCGTTCAATGGAAAAACAATACCATATAAGTAACCGCGAAGAAGTCACAGCCTATGTAATGCATTCCGTGTAAGAAAAATTACAATAAGGTTATAAGAATAAAATCTGAGCATTTACGAAAAACTATTCGTAAATTTCTGACAAAGAAAATCAAAACGACGTCAGGAATTCTTGGTATTACGACGGCTAAAACATACACTGCCTTACGACCAAAGGGATGGCGGTTACGGTTTTCCTTCACCATACAGGCTGAAACATATGCCCCTCTGAAACCGCAGTCAAAAAATGTTGATCTGCAAACTTGAAATCCTAAATTTTAATTCTTACAGTAGCTTCAGGTTTTCCACCTTTTTATAAGTTTTTGGATTTGAATAAGATCTTTGACATAGAAATATTATTTTAGTGCGCATTGATAACAGATTCAGGAACTGACTATCCTGCGCCGTAATCCGTGGCGATACTAGCCAATAACACCACTGTTACACTTATCCAGTCGTCGAACGATTTCGACAAGTTCGTGATCATCCTGTTTTAGTGTGTTGCTTCTTGTTTCCATGATGGAGTCTGTTGATGATTCTTCATATCGTGACGAACATGATGTGGAATCAGTGGAGACTGGTCAGAGTGTCCATCCCGTGGAAAACACTAATGTGGATGACGACATTGGGAAGGAAGAAGCCACCTCTTCGCAGGGAACATCTTCTGGTTCTTGTGCGAAAACCAAACACGAGGAGCGCATGAGAAAGCTGCGGGCACTTCACATGAAGCGGGTACGAATTTACAATCGCATAATTACTCTGTCAGCTACGCCGTGCGTTTCGCTTCATCGGTTTCTGCTCACTGTTGGTGTTAGTTGAATATCACAGGCTTGAATTTCACGTCTGTGAGGGTGATAATTCAGTTTTACATGGCCAACATGTGGTCCTTTATGGCTTTATGCGATTACAGCGCATTTGGTGGTTTCGACTGGTTTGTTTAACTGGTACTCTGCTTCCATAATTCTATGTTCAAAACTTTTTTTCGTTGGTATTTCGTGCAGCCTGCGACATCGGTGCTTATCTTCAGATTTTAGTATGGTGTCTACAAATCGTTCTTTATCTGGTTGTATCACTTGTGTGTTTTAGAATGAGGCGAGGAGCTTGAATCATAAAGATGTGGTTGCTGAAGATTATCAGAGAAAACTCCCGAAGAACTGGGAGGCAAAGCGCGCTCGAATGGAATGGAAACTGGACGATGAAGAGAAACGAAAGGTATGAAATGTAATTTGCCCGTAGTGTAAAGTTTAAACTGACATTTATAGAATTGGTGAAAGTGTGATAAGTTGATAACTGATCGCGGGATTTTGTAAGATGGGTTTTCGTTAGTTAATAGCCATTCTATAGACTGCAGGGTGAATATTTCTGGACATGAGAACGTTTTATATTAACTTTCTCACAAAGGGGAAAATTTTCACATCGCGTTTTGGTTTATTATCGTTGCGTTGTTCAGTGCTAAATTGGAACCGTCGCATTTTGATGCCGTATTTTGTCAAAGTTGATCGTGGAGGTTTTATACCACTACTGAGTGCGAACGGTGAATTGTACTGCACTTCATTTTCTGATACCTTATGAGTTATCTTATTAGCGAGCGCATAAATTTGTTGTGGGCAGTATGCAGTTGTCATTTATTCACTTGTCAGTAGATGCATATTTTACATTACACATTGTGTCTGGTTAATTAATGGAAGTCGTCGTTTCTTACACGGTTTTATTTATTATACAGGATGCAGAAGAACAAGGCGAAGATTATGACCGTCTGAGAATGCTGGATGTTACCGCAGCGGAAGCCAGTGCCATGGATGCCAAGAAGAGGCGGAAGAAGAATCCCGATATGGGTTTCTCTACATTCGAAGACGCAACGATAAGGCAGTACGATAGCCTTACGAGGAACATCAAACCGAATTTCAAGAAATATGAGCAACAAAAGGAAGAACTGTACGATGCACGGTTTACTTCCATTTATTTTTTAGAATGCCCTTGTAAATTAATTATTATTGTTTCACCACGGACGGCGCTCCACTACGATCCTGACTTGTTTCGTATTTTTGTTAGGGGCGATAAATTTTATGCATCGGCCAGCACGATACTACATGACGAAGTTAAGGATAGTCCAGAAGCCATTGAACGTTTAGTGGACGATGTAAAACACCAGTACGTGCATGTTGGAGCTACCGAAACTTGCATTTTGTGAAGTGAGAATACATACTGTAACCTGAGTCTGTCTGAATGATGATTTTAGAGCGGAAAGAAGGGCCAAGTTCAGTCGGCGGCGTGCATACAATCCTGAATCTGAGATCGATTATATCAACGAAAAGAATATGAACTTCAATAAGAAACTGGAAAGATTTTACGGACAGTACACGTCGGAGACGAAGCAGAATTTGGAAAGAGGAACGGCGGTTTGATTTGTCTGATGGTCATTGGGCGAAGCTACTGTACATTGATGATTACCTGTGGAATAGGCGTACTTATCGTGCTTTGAAGTTTGAATGATGGTTCACATTCGAAACGACTTTTTATTAACTGAGCATCATGAAAGATATAAACAAGGCATTAGTAAAAAATAATTTTTCTTTGGCGAACATCTGGTATGACAGCAGAATTTTGATGAGTACTTACAACTCAGTTCTTGGAATTCGTATGAAGATATTGTTGCTTATTTTTAATAATCTGACTTATGTCTACAGTTTTCTTGTTGGACAGTGGGCGTACTGTGACGGACTACAATTATGTACAATATTCTCCAGTGTTTTGCAAATTAATTGCTATCGATAATCAAAAAGAGAAACTTACTACAAAGTGCACGATAAGTACAACCTACACTCTGCATATACGCACCTTGATTAAGTACTAACCTGACCCTTCGGAGCCGGTAAGATTTTAGTGAAAGCCTCCAGTAAAATGTTTCTTAATAATTTTACAGTACTTCTTTTGTTTGTCAAACTTTTTGTTAAAGTTTTATAAGGAAAACTGGAAAATAATCATTATCTACGTAAAATTTCTTGTTCATTGTGCTTTGTCCGCTTATCGGTTGGCCAACTCGCGGATAGGAAAATAACCACCACACGCGCTCGATGATACTTTTATCGATTTTCTTCCGGTTTCGCCGTTGTTTTCACGAACGCTGCAACATCTGAAATCTGCTGCTGAAATCCTAGAGTACGTAGCTGCTAATTTTGAATTCATTTTCTCTTGAAAATTGTAATATCAAAAACTAAATGTTATGAAACGGCTAAAATATTTTACTGTTTATAATATCTGTATAATAATTACGTTGTTCTGACACGATAATACTCGTAATACTGTAGTTATCCGTATTTTTTATCAACCGTAGCTTTTCACTGACCTCAGACAGATTCGATTTCAAGTTTTTTCCCTAATTTGAAATTTCAACGCCTTCAACTTAGCGACAACTGAGTTTATTTCGTGCCAGCATAACTGCTTAAAACGCACTCCAAAAACTATAAAATGGAATGTGCTCAAATCAGGAGAAAAAGCATTACAATACTACGAGCACAGTGCTCAATACAGCAGCTGACATTAAAGCTATACACTTCTACAACGAGATCGCTTTGGAGAAAAACTCGCCACGTCCAAAACAACAATTTCACAGATGTGCCCCATGTTCCACAATCATCAGAGCTCATCACTCGAAAAACTTAAAAACTGAGAACTGTACAGGCGATAAAATAAAAACCGAGAAACGGGTTTGCCGTTCCACCATGCAAAAAACGTACATCAAAAAGGACGAAGCCGCATACCACTCACGACCCCTCCATTCTCATCCCATGAACATAATAACATAAATAATGGCGGCAGAAAACATCCAGGAAATCCCAATCAATCCAGTCATACGCAGATAGTCCAGGTAGCTCAAATCGTCCATCGATCGCTGCAGTCGTCCGTAAAAAGAACGCTCGTCCAAATACTCCCTGTGCAGCGTCGTCCATTCCTTCACGTCGTTCTGTCCTTCATCTGCCTTTTGGTCGGAGTTCTTTCCATTGGATTCTTGTGGGGTTTTGCGCGATTTAGCCATTTTAAAGTGTCGACGGTCACGCAGTACAGAAACAGAGTACTATAAATGATTGGCGTTTTAAGAGAGCCTACAAGTTTATCAGTCTTCAAACTTTTAAGTTTACCAGTGTTCAAAATTTTAAAGTGCACCCAGCTGATCGGCGGTCAGTACTTCGACTGCACAACCCGGGCGCAATACTGGTGCTTACATAAAATAAGCAATACATAACAATAAATTATAAGCACTACTTTATGCGGATGTATGCGGAATTCCGTAGAGGAACGTGCTTACGGCTTAATTATGACAAGAACTTACTTGAAAGTTGAAACCTACAATGAACAATGTGTTGACAAGGTTTCCGATCGTCCACGGTGCCCAGTTATTACAGCACAACAACTGGTAAACCTGGAGGTCCCTGAGTTATAAGCGGATGTTTATTTGCAAATAGGTAGTTGCGGTAGTAAAAATTAAGAATTAAGCGATTATCAAAAATTTAGCAATCGGAATCTCATGGAATGATGAAGCAAACAAAAATCGTACGCCACTCACGCCAACGCTGCCCAGAGGCGTAGCGAGCAGTCAAATTCCGAGCACATACAGTAGGCTGTACGAGTATGACTAAATGTTTCCAAATTAATTGTTTTCTGCACCCGGCTGACAAAATTACAATTTCAATTTGGGTATGACCCAAAAGACTGAATTTCACATCAACAACAAGAACAAAAAAACCTTGTTATCGGGAAAAATGTTTTAAATATTATGATTCATGATGGCAAAAAGCAAAGGAAAGCAAAGGAACCACTCTAGTACGAGTACAGTAATAAGTTTCTTACTTTCTATAAACTGTGCAAATAGTGATCTGCCTTTTACATTTTCTATTATGTAAAATTGTGCTAGTGTAGAAATTTCCTGATATTATGTAAGTCGTGTAATTATATACAAAGTTCGAATTAAAATTTTATAAGCCATTGTTGGCTTGTTGTTGATTTTGTTGTTGTTGTTGGCTTGTTGAGACCTCAGCCTTCTGAACATTGCTACCATCCGTAAACAACAAAAAAATTACGCATACCACTATTTTTATTATGATCAATAACAAAATAACTGCAAAACAATCGCGAAAGCGCCGCATGTCTATAAATCTGCAAACCTTACAGTTTAAAAGGCCCCTGGGATTTAAAGGGTACGAGTAAGTAATAAAAACGACAGTAGGAGAATTCCTGCGTTCGTTTACAAATAATATATACAATTGTACACAGAGCACCATTTGTTGTACTGTTGTACAAGGTGAAACATACGAGGTGAAACGTCAAGACAAAGCCAGAACCCTTCTACAAAATTTATGAACGTAAAGGCCGTCTTAGCCTTACATAAATCGATCACAACATGCAGCCCACTGATCCCAGTGGAAGTCTACACCTCATCCTTAGCCGAAGGCCACTGGTGCTTGGCACTGGTCAGCGGCACATACATCACTCCCATGAGGTTCTTGGACGTTACTGTTCCATCCTGGGCTTTATCAATCTGCTGCAGTTCTTGAGCTCCACCTTCTGGTCCGACGGGTACGATCATGCGGCCCCCTGGCTTCAACTGATCCAGCAATTCCTGCGGCACTTTGGCCGCGGCCGCACCCACATGGATGGCATCATATGGACCGTCTGCCGCATATCCCTTGCGACCATCGCCCGTGACCAGCTTAATGCGTCCGGAATCTAGGAGGTCGGCGTCGTCTTTCTTTATGTTTTCACGGGAAAGATTAGTCAGTTCTGGCAGATGATCGATGCCGACGACTTTCCCGGAACGTCCAACCATATGGGCCATGGCCGCAGTTAAATAACCGGACCCGCATCCGACATCCAGTGCATTATTACCTGAAGGAAAGGGATATTAGGACACCTGCTACTTACTTGAATGCAGCAGCCAGCAGCACACTTCTTCTAGTACTATGTAAACTTCTTGACGAAAGTCAGTAATTTCGTAAGCAAATTTCGTAAGCAATATAAATCAAACTCAAAACACCAGCAAGGGAACAGCAAACATCAAATATGAAATATGAATAACACCCGACGACTTTGATGGACTACAAAGAATTACCGCCGCACTGAATGGGATGAGCAATATGACGTAGTCAGCGGAAATTCCCACGCTCATGTCTATACAGTGCATTGTACAGTTTACCCCTACAACATGCCTGGGAAGCGTATTACTGCGTAAACCAACGTCCAACAGTATTTTATTTTTGATTATTTCAAAATTAATGGTCTGTAGTTCTCTGTCTTCGCTCCATTACTGCAGTGCAGTAATGGAGCGAAGTTAATTTTTACATTCGTCTTTTAACAACTTTGTTACAACAGTCTGCAAATACTTCAAAATCTAAAGACGCTAATAAAAGCTGCTATTTATTACTCACAGACGAAATTAACAAAAAGCAAGTTTTCGCCTACCTTCTTTTAGTTGGTCTACAAGCAGCTCAAGCGCCGATGCATGCATGTGAGGAGCACTGCAAGTAACCTTCAGTAAATGCTACTTCGAAATAAAACGAAAGTACAAAGCAAAACCCTTTTGGCCTTTCAAAATTATTAAAATTCACATCCTACAAATCGCGGGATACGACAAAAAGACAAGAACATAATTCTACTGCTCGACAATTTACCTTATAGTTACTCCGAATCCGATGCTCTGGAAATGCAGAAAATTATAAATAGGCTACCAAAACGTAGTAAAACTTCATTTCGAAATTCACCTGTGGGGCGTCCATGTAAGGATGCGTTTGGACGTAATTTTTCCTATCCACCTTCATCATGGCTGCCTGGACGCGATCACTTTTGAAGATGCCATACTGCTTCAGCGATTCAATCAGCTCCTGATTGTTGCGTCCTTGCGATCTCCAAGCCATAGTAAAAACGTTTCTTGAAAAACTCAGTAAAGCAGACACCATGAAAAGGTGCCACAGAAGACAATCAAAACGGGAGAAACAATTACCACGAATAAGGATCGGAAGCAAACGAATGGGAAATCTTGTGCGACGCTTCTTTTCCACAGCGTCTGGGCCATAGAGCCCCCAAACAGTATACTGCCATGCCGTATACGGCATACTGTACGGCAAAACAGTACGTAACCGTAGTAGAAAAAATTACTGTATCGAGAATGCCGTACGTAACAGTAGCAGATTTTATTACGGCAGCTGCAGTACAGTAAAATATTTTGGTTACGGTATAAAACGGCCAAAATAGGCTCATCCAGAAATTCTGAATAAAATTCCGTGCGCGCTATTAAAATCAATGGTAACTGTTTAATAGAATAAATACATCCATATAGAATAAATACATCCATAGTAGCACCAACAATACACAATTAACAGGCAGCTGTACCTCACGGAACTGCCATAACTGCAGAGTAACCGCCGGTCGCATGCCTTCCGCCTTTTACTTCTGCATCGTGACTTTGTCCAGCTTGTGGTGTGCGCTTTGCAGTCGTAGCTTACAGATTGTAGTGAACAAAAAACAACTGCAGTACTTTGTTTTGAGCTTGACGTTAACAGTAGCGCGCTGACATGTTCTGTCTTCCTTCGAATGTTTGTCAAAAATGAGTGCTAAAAGTAATTCGAAGAAACCTACTCTCGAAATCACCATTTCTGAAAATGAAGAGGACACCGATTCTGAAAGTGCCAAAAAGACTGCCGATCAAGAACCCAAGAAAAAGAAGCGACGCACTCTGCCAGAATCACAGGAAAAAGAACTGTAAGAGCTCTTGAGTACTTCTACTAAAACGTTTGGATGTTTAAAATTTTAAGATTCGACACATCGTATTCGTAAGAAATGACATACTGGTTATTACTACTCTATACACATGCTGATGCCCAAATAATATTTAACATTTTCAGAAATCGCTCGCCAAAAGAAATTGAGGTCGATATCAAAGCAGGTAAAGAACAGGCGGATGAAGTGAGCCGATATCTTAATTTGCCCAGAACACCGGCCGACGATGACATACTGGGTTTTTGGAAGTCGAAGGAAACTCAATTGCCGGCGTTGACGGCCATGGCATTTTCTGTTTTAGGCGTACCTGCAAGCAGTACCGCTGCTGAGAGGCTGTTCAGCCAAAGCGGCTACATGATCAATAATCGGCGCACGAGCCTTGACACGGAAACAGTGGATGATTTGCTGTTTGTGAAGTGGAATGCAAATAAAATCTAGGCTACCGTAAAACTGCAGTACCGTACAGTATTCGGGCCGCTTAAAAATTTGCCGTAGCCGTAAAGTTATGAAAACATGCTGCAGTAGTAGTGCCGTAGCAGTAGCACAAGAATGGTAATGCCGTACGTAGCCGTACGAAAAAACAGTACTGTTTGGGGGCTCTACTGGGCCAGCTGCTGATTGTGGTGAGTCCATCAAAATGCAACGCTAGACGGTAATTTCGCGCACGGAAACAATTCTCTGTAGAAACCGGAAACAGCACGAGTTTCAGTTTAGAGCTCTTTTCAAAAGAGTTGCTTTCCAGTCAGTAATACATCCCCCACACTTCGGTAGCTTGATTGCAAAGTTTTGTCGCAGTCTTACGAAATCATTCCAGCGTTCTGGAAACGATATGAAAATTCTAGGAAGGGCTGGTAAATCACAACAGACCAGACTGCACATGGTCTATATATACAGTACTGTATCAACATCTGTTACGCGCGCGTCGCACTCCACGTTCTTGTACGCCCTGGTTACGCGTTAATGCGTGTCTGGAAGCCACCGGAAGTCTCCCCCTGTAGTAGAGCACTTGCTTATGTTTTTGTCAGATCGTATCGGCGCAAAAACAAACGATTGCGATCAGGCTGGTAATGTTACTACGAGTAGTTTGCAAATAATTGTTTATCCACGTAATTTCGATCATATGCATCACACTAATTCTGCGACAAAAAAGAAAAGCCACTTCCACTGAAATAATATTACATTGATATTATCTTTACATAAAATTAATCCATAAAATCCGTAGTAATTATCTTTCCATAGCACTAACTGATAAGTACAAGCTGAGCACGGATGAATATTGGCTTACGACTATTTAAAATTACGTCGTATCTTCGTGTGTTGGATTGTGTTGCAAAGTCAGAATGGCAAAGCCAGACAGGCTACAGCTACTTATTTAGGATGGTTAATTGCCGGCGGTGAGAATTGTGGGTTGTTGACCTTTTGCCCTAATGTTTTTTGGTTCATGGTTCGGCTGCTAAGTTTATGCTTATTCTGCTGAATTCTACTGAATCTGAGAAGCTGTTGTAGTGGTTTATCAGTGGGCGAAGTGATTGGTTAAGTGTTCACTCAGCCAGGGGAGCACAAGAAACGCAGAGGCGAAGCCGAAAATTTTTCTTGTTCAAATTTGTAAAGCTCGTGGCAACAGAGCTGCCCATCTTAGCCCTATGGCATCCATGGTAACAAGCTTTTCAGTGACCACTGGGCCTACGGCGATCGCAATGGCGAAAGGACAAGAGTCTAAGAACACTCCCCGCACTGGAAGGATTTTTATTCAATTTAAAGCAAAAAAATCGATTGATTAGAAGCGGAGATCACGCGTTACAATCAGGAGAGGCCGAAGGTCTGCAAGAGATGTTTAGTATTCATATAACAAGCTGAGCACGGATGAATATTGGCTTACGACTAGGTACTGTGAATAAGTGAGTTAGGATTTGTTGTTACTACCAGTCGCAGAATAACGTCGTAGTATTACTGTTTAGTGAACTGGGCTGCAAGATTGACCGAACTGTTGATACAGCTCAGTGCATTGGGCCGCAAGGTGCGACAGTGTCACAGTGATCAAGTGAAATAGTGCAAGCAGTGATCAAGTGAAATAACAGTGTACTTGAGTTAACAGAGCCCATTTAGCCCAGTAATAACAGCTTGGTGACCAGTGGACTACCATGGCATCCATGGTAACAAGCTTTCAAGTGACCAGTGGGCCTACCGCGATCGCGATGGCGAAAGGTCAAGAGTCTAAGAACACTCCCCACACTGGGGGGATTCTTGTGCAATTTGAAGCAGAAAAATCGACTGAGTAGAAACGGAGATCACCCGTTACATTCAAGAGAAGCCGAAGGTCTGCAAGAGATGTTTAGTATTCATATAACTACGAGAACATGCAATGCACAAAATTCAGAAAAAGTTCGGTGAATGCATAAAGGAATTCGGAATGAATAACGTTGGACTTGCTTCGCACATTGTAGTGTCGGACCACTGTCGGTTTTACATCTGACATGTCAAAGACCGTGTATCTGTATTTTGAGTCCTTGACCATGCACTGGCTAGTAAACAGTAAACACATTGTTCGGCATTCGAACAAACGAAGATACATGTACTGATATACACATCTTACAGTACAAAATTTCATTCAGCATTTCATGTTATTTTACTGCAACGTTAGACTATAAACCTTGTGAAAATCAATGAGAACAATTTTTAGTATAGTAATTAATGTAAAAGAACTACAATATCTTGTTCTTGAGTAATTGGTGGAAAGATATAGAGATGTACAGTAAATTATTACTCAAGCCAAATTATGATGACTTGTACTATAGTTACAAGTTATAAGAACAACAGATACTGAAGTATATGAAGGCTCTATAAATTTTGAAATTTAATGCATTCAACAAATTTTATCGTAGTTTTAGTCTTCGCTTTAGCAGAAAAGTTCTTAGCAGTATAACAAAATGGTACCTGTATACCAATTTAATTTTTACCCCGTTAATATCTATATTTCAGAAACGCACTCGCCCCAAATGACGACCGCGTTTACTGGAGAAACTCGAAGAAAACAAATTGACGCAATTTAGGGTCAAATTTTCGTTTTCAGTCTGATTTACCGGTCGTACCGTACAAACAGATACAATACAGTCAGTCGAATGGTTTATTAACACAAAATAACCGATCTTCTGTAAATTGCGGTAAAATATTCCACCTGGAAATGGGAAAAACACCTGGAAATACCATGCATGATGCAAGTATTTACCGCTTTGGTTTCCACAAATTGCATGTTCCACGAAAAAAAGGTACATGCTAACGTATACGGACAGCATGTCAAGCTGGATTCTGGAAAAATTTCACTAAATTCACATCCGAAGCAGTATCGCGAGTTCGCAACGAAGTTTAATTTAATTTGTTTCATTGTGCTTTGTAGTCGACCTTTTCAGTAGCAATTTACTTTAGAAAAGCCATAAGATGATTAAGTACTTCTTAACGATGGTTGTGGTTCGGCTGTAAGGACCACCTACGTGAGCGCACTGGTCAGTTGGCCCGCATGCGTCGGTATTTTGCCATTGACAATGTCTTTTTAAACGCTACACTGGTAGGTTTTCAAAGTTAACTAGGTGCAAAATTTAATCCGATTAGTGCCACTTCCATAATGATTTATGATCGGAGCATTTATCAAACGTTCGTCACTGTTCAATAACAACCAACGTTTACTCCAAAATACAATGAATGTATAATTATATATACCCGACTTTTGTACAGCTGGAAATTGACCATGGCGCTAATATCTTCGAATAGCAAAAACTATCTGATATAAAAGTATTATGGACCGTCTGTTGCTCTGTACAACAGTGCGAAATGGAGCGCTTTTTTGCTGTAGATAAGAAGAAATTAAAATTCTGGAAGGCGGAAAATAAAGATTACAAAACTGTAAAGGCCGGGTGCATCATGACACTTGACGGAATTAGCTGAACAATCTCCGATGGCCCATTCAGAATATGGCGAACTTGACTGTCCACTTTCTGCAGATTTCTACCCGATTGACATTTTTACCAACCAGATGCGAAGAGGTCATTTTGCAGATTCAAGGAGGCGAAACCAATACGTCATGCTAAGCTCATATATATTTGATTTTCGGATTACGATTTCATGGTCACCGATCTGCAATAAACCGACCCTTTTAAATAATTTCCTACTACGTACGCCGTACTATGGCATATCCAGTAAAATTCAGAAATTCGACATACGGCAGGGGAAGCAAGAGTGAGATACAGTAGCAATGTGCAAGAGGATTATGTTTTATGTATAAATTAATGGGATCTTACACCTACATTTTAATCAAACATACGAACTTATGGTTAGTATAATGGCAATTGTACTGTCAGTACTCGTACTGAAGAGTACAGAAAATTCACTGAATCACAACGAGTATTCTAGTCTTAGATGTGTATGAGCTTATACATAATCGTTCTGTGAATTTAAGGTTTTATTCGGCAAAGGTCAGGTAATATTAGAAAAAAGCTTCCATGCGCAGTGGATATTGTTTTAAATGATATGATTTGTGGGAATTAAAATTACCTAGTTAGCTGAATGAGCCATATGCATATATGTGCTTATTGTTAATTGTATTTATACGAGTAAATAATACAAGATATCGACAGCAGCAGATCGCGGTGCGTCTAAATTCTAATTGGCTTATCCTAATTCCTTGTGAGTTAAGCAACTTCCGGCCGATTACATACTGCCATTATGACAGCGAAATCCGCTGATTACTATCGGTCTATCATACGGAACAGGAAACTGCTTCGTAACGTGTACCGGGTCATCTTCCCGTGGCGCCATCCGACCATAGTCTCGAGCTCATTTCCGTTAATTTATTATGTAGTTTCAAACAATTTCATTAGCGATATGTTTCGCGCTACCATTAGTTTGTTATCAAGTTTACTTACAAACTGTCTTATCGTATATCGTAAATACCAGTCATAGCGTCGATACGAATACTGTACTGTATTTGTAAAGAAGGCATCGTACTCGTAGATCACAAAAGTTTTGTGGTATTCGTATTTGTGTTCTTATAATCCTTGCAGGCCAGCAGCTATTGTGTCAATTAGGAGACGTCGGGAAGTTTCATATCTGTAAAGTTTCTGCAGCTATTCCGCAAAGTGACTTTAGCTCGATACCGTTAATATCCCTATTTGTTACGCTGATCATAATGTTTTGCTTTGAGCCTCCACGCGATAAGCCAGAAATTTTATTTTTAATCTGATATGTAGGTAACACTGCCAGACGTAAAAATTATGTCATATTTTCGTTACGAACTGCGAAGGGATAAATCGGGATATTCGGCTTCTATTAAACGTCACAAGATTCAACGATTCACAGCACAGAGGTCGATAATGCAGTAGCATACACATACCTACATCAAATTTTGTACCTGGCTACAATTATTTCTATAACTGCGCAGGCATTAGTACAAAGCGCGAAAATTATGTCCAATTTTGTGATGGAAAAGGGTTCTTGTTTTAACTTTATCAGCACATGTAGACCAATCTTTCGTCAGCAGCAGTTAAAATTAGAGGAAAAAGCAAACCATATTGAAGCCGTATATATATATCTGTACATTATTGCTCGTGATCAGATGGGTCTTCAGCTACAACTATGTTAGCGGAGCAAGTAACAAAAAATTAAAAAAGAGCCATGAATTATTAATTATAAAACTACGACAAATGGTTCAGTTAGTATAGTAGAGCTGAGGCTTTCCGGTCATCTCACAAAATGCTCGAAAAACGTGAAGTTCCAGTCATTTATGACGCTATGCATTGCCGACAACGCGCGGCCTGGCGTTGTATACGGCACCCAGCGTGGTAATACTTCCAAAAACCTTGGCTTTTCTCTCATCTGCCGGTGGTTCCCCGAATTGAGGTAATTACCTGCCAGGTTCCTCGATGCGCTGGTGGAAGTTGGCGCTCACAGCTGGATTGGTAAGATCACCCGCCAGTGTGGCGAGTTTTTTCACTATAGAGCACGCTGAGCATAACAGTGACATTGCTATCACCTGTTGTTCACCAGTGCGTAAGCATACTGGGCACGCAAAACGTTTCCCGCCAATGTTGTACATGGCTGTGCGCGATTCCATCGGTAAGCCGGCTACATTTGGAAAACTTTTTCCTCTAGACACGCCGTCATCGTACCCCGGGAAACTTCCTGTCATCTCGGCGTGGGAGTAATTAATCAGTTACCACGCCGTTGCTTTAAAATGTCATACTGTTATGTACACGCGGCTAGAGGACAAAGGCACACCTAGTGCAAAATAATGTGACCTTAATTGTAATTTGTAAGGTGTACATGTTATGACAAGCGTTTAGTGCGGTATGTGCCGGTTGGCGTATGATTCACCGGCAATTAGCTGAGCACCTTGATGTACAAATGTATCTTTGTACTAGAAATTGGTTCGATAATCCCATATTTATCTTTCGTCATTATGATTTAAATAGCTGGACGATGCAAAGTGATTTAATTTGTCAGTATTACGCATTTCTAGCTAATATCCGTCTATATTTGGGTCGCTACTGATTGGGATGTTTGCGTTGTTTACAGAACCGTAAATAAAGTTGCTAAACACCTCTGCCTGCATTAAGCCGATATTTATGTAAATAACTGCAAATGCCCTCGAAAAATACTGGCGGATATCTCTTTAAGTACACTGAATCATTTTGGGTGGTTCCCTTTAGATATGTTACTAACGCGACTGATAATTAAGTGGATAGTGGCCACATTGTTGTAAATATACATAGTCTTAAATGTGCGTCGACAATTTTCCATAAATTTACAGGCTTGTTACAAAGTTATATGGCATTTTCCGCAATGAAGTCTGGAATGTTTGGTAAAAATCATACCAAGTGACCCGTGGTTATCGTCTCAGTGAACGAATTTTATTTTGACAGGAAACGGAATGCGTGTAGCGAAATTATCCGGAGAAAAAAATGCAAAGTTTTGTATAACAAGACCGATGCCAAACTCTTAAAAGTTGTAACATTTACTTTGTACTTAGCTTGAGGATAACATGAGGATAACATCGTAATATGCATAATACCGCTCAACTATTTTTTTGTTCTCAAGTATTTTTCATAAACCTTAACTTGTCATGCTGGACAGCTGCAGCTGGAGCCACTTTCCATCTTTCAAAGGTGCCTTATGAATTATATATATTCATGGGCACTGATATCGATAGAAAGTTAAGATTGTTATAATTGATCAGGCAGTATTAAACGATCTAAACATTTTAAATTAAAATTTTGTCAAAATGCACAGCCATTTTTTTTCAGTTTTACGGACAGGATTTTATGTAGTTTGGTTATCGCCAGTGCAATACTTTTCAGTTACAGTAGAAAGGTTCAACTTATGATGTCGGGACTTGGAATATGGCGTCATGCAAAGTTGCGGTGAAACTGATAAATTGTATTAATCCAATATGCTCGGACCACACCTGTAAAACATACGCAACTGCATACGCACTTTACTGTACACCTGCAGCATGGCACAGAGCATTCATACAATGCGCTCAAAAGTTCCGGGACACAATGGACAATCGGACCGGAAATCCTAATACCCACAGTCGTATGATGCACGTATATGCATGCGGTATCTTATAGTGGAGTGAAGATGGAGTTATAAATCGACAGATGTATGTTGAAATATCGATTGCGCGCCAAAACGGTGTCATGACAGGTTGTGCTACGATTCTTTGACTCGCCCAGCGGCTTTTTATACTGACGTCGAAGATTATTCACACAAATTTTTATAATATTTACCAGATAATAAACCATAAAAATAGCTCATAAAAGGTGATGTAAATGCTGTTACTCATATGCGATCAATGGATTATGGCGTGTTCTGTTTTCTTTGACGAATGTCCGTGCGGCAGGATACAAAAAGTTCGAGTCACTTTGTGTGCGATTTATTGAGCAATAAACTTCTGGTCCATGTGAAAACGTGTAGCAATTAGTAACACCGTAATAATAATAATAATAATAGCTCTAATGAACTGATTTTATTTATATTCACCTGTTTGACTTCCTGTTATTTTTATTCTGCAGAAACGTTTATTCATCACTCATCACCAATAGAGATCCCGACGTCTATGACTTAAGGCGCATCACACAAGCTTCCTATGTTTTATAACGGTAACGGAAGAAACATAACAAAGGCACTAGCGAAAGAGCAAATGTTCTGGAACGTTTTGTGGATGTACTGGCAGCGACATCTTAGAACACGGCACTGGACACTGTCCATATAAGTCAGAAATGACTGCACTGTTGGTATGGTCCAGTATGTACAGGTGGCACTGGTCAGAAGCGGCTGTAGTATAGTACGAACGTTCATACATGGCCTCTGCACACGCCAATCAAACGGGAAATGGGCGGGCTTAACATCATATTCATGCCGCCGGAAGGCGTTCAGCAAAACTGTTGGCGTCGGTCTGTAACATGAGCGCTCCTTCATATTTCTGAATATTGGCATCGTACAAGCGCCGTTAAATGTGTGCAGGTAGAGAGATGACGTATCCAATATGAAATTGCATTTTCATTGTACTTCAACCGGCACATGTATTAAACAATCAATGAAGACCTGTCCACTACGATCGAAAGAAGACGCGCGCCGCGTTCGAAGATAGGTTTAAGATAGTGCTGGCACGGCGATTTTCTGTTTAAATGTAACAGTTTTTTGGAAAGGTTATCAGTGCAGCGGCGGATTTATCGTTCGAATCCTGACAGTTCTGAAAGGTTTGCTTATTTGATTAAGCGCACATAGCTGTTGATCAGTGGCTACCTGTGGCAGTCTGCAATAAGCGCTCTCAATCGCGCCGCTCGGTGCTACGGTGGAATCGGAATTTGTTACAGCCGCTCACCTTACGGCTGTTTTTTTTCCAACCGGCAGACACCAATACGCAAAAGATGTTGATCTGACACGGTGTCGGCGCCGTAAATATTGTTTATTTGGAAGTTGCCGGTTTCAAAAATTCACTATTCTAAGATCCGCGTTCACACCCGGCCCGAGTATAATACGGAACCAGCGCTGCTTGCAGCAGTGCGAACTGGTGCGTGTGCGCCGGCGGTCGATTTTACACTGACAGTTCGACGGATGTGGCGGGCTTTATTTTCATCATAAGAAGGACTTTACGGATGCCTCCCATGTCGACGGGATCCGTACGCTCCATGTCCCCTGCAAGCTAATGTTTATAAGTCGGTAAGCAATGATTTAACTATGTTTATTAGTGCCGCAGGATATCCACTAAATCTGGTACGAGTAATAGTTTAAATTAATGTATTTGTGCACTTAAGGATAACCCTTTTTATGAAGAAAAATCCTAAAAAAAGAGAAATTAGTGAACTATGTAAACTTAGGCAACAGGATTATTGATTATAAAATACCCTCGTAGATTTACTTTTACAGTAATACCAATTATTACTAATTTTAGTATTATTTCTGTGCTCTTTCGATTATTTTATTATTGTTTATAAAAACTGTGTTTGTGTGATGAGGGTCACTGATAAGCCGGTAACGTTCGCAGTAAATTTCACAAATAGATCAAATCATGTAATATGATTCGAGAGCGCGTTGGTCTGCACGGAATATTTATTATTGTTGTGTCCTAGTTATACAGATTATCGGCAATAAATATTCATTAGTTGTTACGAAGTAACGCTTATTGATGCTGTCTTGGATGATAAGCATATTAACCGTGAGAAACGACTCGGCTACTGTTAACAGCTTAGAGCTTTTCTTATTGATCTTTAACCCTGGTTAGCACTAGCACTTGCCGTCGCCAGACCCGTTGGATAGTGACTGTATAATTAATAAAGAAATGTAAATGGTAATTTCCTGATTTTTTGTCTGTTTGTTTCGTAATAATTTGTAGTTGCGGTGCATGTGACAGGAGGTGACGGTGTGCAGGCAGGTGCAAGACATTTACATTTGTCCGATGTACCGCATCATACTTTAGAGTGCCGCTGCCGCTAATTACCCTCAAATTTACCGGTACATAACCAGCAGTTTATAGAGGAGGTTACCGTAACTATCTGTACAGCCGAATGCCGTCTGGAATGACAATACAATAAGCCGGTACACCTAACGGTAATCGACTTAAAAAAATAACACGTACCAAGTCGAAACAATCCGTTCAATCGGTTTCGTTTTGATTCCATCACGGCGTGCGGGCATATTAAATAAATTGGTAGAAAGATATTACATTTTCTCTGATAAAAGCCTGATTGACACTGTGATGGGTTTTTCTGATCGGCATAGGGATCTGATTTCGCTGAGCAGGCGTAAAGAGGCTTGAAATGCTCGGTTTACCGAGATTTTTCACCGCTCTGACAAAAGCCGCTATTGTACATTGGGCATGTATTCGGTTCGTAGTTAATATTGACGCACTGTATTTGTTTTGGAATTGGAAAGCTTATAATCTGACATCTTTTATACGGGGGTAGCGTACCAGTTGGCTACTTAAATTTTATTACCGTTACCCATGTTTTACGCCAGTGTAGACGGTTAGGATTAAAAGTGATACTAGCGTCGTCCCACTTCACGTCAAGTGGACATGTCAATACGTGTATGCTGCAAAAGTATAAAATGAAAAAGAAACTGGCACAACTGGTTATCTTAGAATTTTTATAATTTAAATGAATATGCCGTGTTACGGCGTATTTATATGGGAACACCGGTCAAGTTTCCATAGGGCAAACCATTGCACCGAGTAACAGAGTGATTTCCGCTGCACGTGGTTACGAGTGTTGATTAAGCCTTGTTTATGTGAAAATTAGAGTATCTCGCATAAGAAATCACAACAACTTTCACAGAACAAACCCGGTACACACTACGCGCCTAAATATCGTTTTGTGAGAACGATATTATCACCGGTATGATTCGCGAGAATATGTGTAATTCTGGTGTTCTAGACATCGATTAGCTGCACTAATACTGTTATTGCTATCCACACCTTTTGCATGCACAACAAATATGCGTCCGTGTAGCCAGGCGGGAACGTTAAAATGCGAATTGTGGGCTGGTAAACGTCACGTTCAAAGTAAGAAAAATTCTATGGTCAGTGTCCCGTTTCCTTTATATTTATCGGCTCGTTAAATATACCGACATTTAACTAAAAGCTACGTTTTTGTTTGGATTGATGCAGAAAAGAATTGTTTTTGATATAATCAAATTTATGCATTTGTTTTGCCGTAAACTGCAAATCACCTTTATTAATAATCAGGAATTCAGCGTTAGCCGAGACAAGGGTGGTAACTTATAAACATATACTGGAAACATGAATAGCGAGCTTTTCCTCGACCGGTCGCCTGTAATTATGTACACGTGCAGTTAAGTCCTTGCAATGTTTTTGACAGTTTTTAAAAATGTATGGCGCCAGTTAAAATATGCCGGCCGTAATCCCCGCCACAGCAGGTAGTCTAGCGAAAAAACAGTACTAGTTAGAAGAGACAAAAACCTATACAATGCGAAAGGCGGCGGCACGGAACGGCGCGGTGGTTTCTCCATCTGTGCTGGTTATTAACTGCGGAATAATTAAGCGTGAAATATCGATAAATAATAATTAGCTTGTACATTGACTAAATAAGCCGCATAAAAATGTACGCGACACTTGAGATCACAGACCCACTCTCAGAATGAGTTGCGAACGTATGTAAGTGGGTCTTAATCATCAACCACAAACACACACAAATGAATACATAAACAGATTGTTTTTGCGCATACCATTGTGACATGTTGCAGTTGATGATTATCCAAAAACTGCTTACGATTAAATTCACGCATGCCTGCTTTGTGTTTGTGTGTGAGTGTAGCTGTGCGGCGACGGCATGGTGTCCGGCGCGACAAATTTAATTGCGCATCAGCCCGGGTGTGTATGTGTGTTTGTTGTTTGTGAAAGATTTTTTATGTGTGATCAGCACGCAATGACTTTTATTTACGCTAAAATTGATACGTACAATATAACTGAATTATTAACAGCTGGTTGGCTTATATTGCGGCGGCTTTTCTTCCGAAACTGTGCCAGTCACCCCGCTGTGCATTGTTTTGATTGTAGCACGTTTTGCGTAATGCATTTTTGATTGAGTTAGATGAAGAGTGCAGTCATTTGCGGTTTCCACTAATTTATTATAGTACATGTCTTACGAAAATTCTGGAATACATGGCAGATTGCGTAAAAAATTACGTGCTTCAAAACAGTTGCTTGTATATTGCCAAATTTTATGAAAAGAATCGCAAAGAAAGGATTTTGAAACTCGAAAAATATCTTGTTTTTTGCATAAGTTATATATATATTGTGCACCTAAAGTTATCACTGACCTAATGTTTAAGAGAAAGCTGGTATTATGGCTTTATTAATGTGTTAATGATTTCCCTATATACAATAGGTCCAGTAGAAATGTTATGCGAGCAATTAACATTGCAAAGATGCAGTGAGAAGGATGAAAATATGCAGTTTGACCACTGTGACGTCGACCGATTTGGCCACTGTGCGCCATTTGTACGTTGATAAATCAGGGCACAACAGGATATGATAGCATTTTAGTGCATTCGGTAAACACTGTTCAGAATTGAGTAGGGCTTTTGAAGTAATCACTGGAGACAATCCATTAAAGAGCTAAGGGATAAAACGATCGAGTAACTTGCTTGATCCCTCTTTTGATCGGCAATAGTCACCGTATTCTTCCCTTGAATTGTAATTGAATATTTATGACAAATCAGGCTAGCCGATTGGCATATGGCCGAAATGAGAAGAAGACCCACCTGATTCACTCCGTTGTTTAGAAGCATGATTAACAATAAGCGCAGTAATAGGCTATTTTGTATGGAAACCAGACATTTGATCGTTTCGGCGCGACAGAAAACATTTCAGTTCACGAAATCTCTACGCGGTTTAATCATCGTTCCTTTACCAGACCACTGAGATGGCAGCAAAGATCTAGCGAAAAAATTAATAAAATTACTTAATTTTATAATCAGACAAACGGCAATATTACCACAAAATTTCTACATTCATCGGTTTCCTTAATTAGGCAAATACGAATTGTCGAAATGACCTTTCTGTTGCAGTTATTACTTTGTTATTGCGATTTTTCGTTGTAAAATTGAGTTGTTAGACATAAATTAAGGAACACGTGGTGGAGAGCAAGATTTTGATAGCGATCGGGTGGAAATTAGCCCGAATCTTAGCGGGCCACCTAGGGCGTTCACCTGGCTGGGGTTCGCTTTGATATATAAGGTCAGCTTAGCGCCCATATACTGCTACCGCTAATGTTAGCGATCTGTTTGGCTGATAAATTATGCGCGTGTTTCAAAAACAGTTTTCCAACCTCGTCGACGAATCATAGCACCTCGCGAAATGCGTAGGAGTGATATTGAAATTAACAAAGTATACTGATACTTTATTGGTTTTTAGACTTATCTGGATAGTGGTCTTCCTTACTGTCTCATCACTCTCTGCCGGTCTCCTAATGGTAAGTTGTAGTAGCTAACGAAGCTAACGAAGTTTTAGATATATACAGGTGAGAATTTTACGACTGTGTTTTATGTAACATATTGTGATGGAGGTTTAGTTCGGGACAGAACAGTATTTTGATGTCAGGTGGAAAGCAAACCCCTCACCGTCCTCCCCTCCCCCCTGCCTACCGACGGCAGACTACGGCCGGTTACGGCGGCCCCCGCGACCAGCAGGAGTCCCTCCGCAGTGCTCTCACTCCGACATTCTTCGAGGTCACCGCTTCACCGCGCTGAGCCGGAAGAATCTAACAGTATTAACATCCACGCGGACGATGACGAAGAGCACCATCTGCGGCCAGTGGTCATCCGGAAGTATGCCCTGCATAGCCGGTGTAGTGGGCGGAGTATCCGTCTACTGCCCACCAAATCCAACATGGTCAGGGCCGACGCCCCCTCGACCAATCCTTATGGTAAGAGAAGCGGGACACCATGTGAATGCGCTCATCATGAAATATTGTTCGGGCTGATATGTTTTCCTTCGATTTTCTCTCGGGTTATCCTTTAAAATTTCACATGTCATGCATGTACAGCAGGGCATTTTGTGGTGTCATTATTCTCACAACCTAGAAAGACGCTCGACTGAATAGAAACACTGGTTCACGTGCACGGCGAACACATGCGAGTGCAGTCGGGCGAGATGAGCAGTGCACACGGTTTCCCCGTAAACAACACTGCTGCGGCTCCGCAGACAAACATGCGATTCCATCCCTTTGAGCGTGTTTAGCTGTGCGGGAGATTATCCAATTGTGCCCAGGCCCATCTATTAAGTAGCACACAGCATTCCGCGCGATCGCCATGCTGCTTCATTGCAAGCGAGCACGTTGTTGCTTAGTTGTTTGCGCGAGCCGGTGGCGGTTTCTTTTTGCTACCGCTGTAACACATACTTCCGCTTCTTTGGTTGGTCCACTAATTAAATCCGTAATTACCGGCAATTAACTCATCACGCAAACCCCAGTACCTGGATGATTGTTTGGAAAATCATGTGTGTTTGTGGCCGAGACGAACCAGTGTTTGTGTGGTGATGCGTTCGCGGTGTCTGACACGTTTTTCCCGTACTTTCCACCTCGCTGCACGCGCACACGGGCTGTATACTGTAGGACGCTACTGGTCACGCACGCACAAGCAGGCTACCGGACAGTGAAATGCCCATATACAATCAATTATACCGTGCCGATCGCAGCTAGCAGCAGCGGAAAGATGCGTGATTGAGATGGCGATAATTGCAATTATAAGAGAGTGTGTGTATACACAGGAGCTGTCCATCAAACAACAACTGATAGTGCTGATAAAATTGTTTTCATGCGGCTTAATTTCCCTATAGAAATATTCATCAGATAACTAAAATATGCAGAAATCACTCACCTTTCTAATGGAATATATTTCACGAACAACGGTTTACTTGCTGACCTTTGTGACACATTTCTGCTTAAAATTTTTAAATAATTTTTTATCTTAATTTTTCAGGAGTTATTTGGTAAATTTAGGGCGGTGGTATATGCAGAATTCGCCGGCATTTTGTGGAAATTCTTTGACGAGCACTGAGCAGGTTTTTAATGCATGATGAGATGATCACAGCGTTCTGATTCATGGAATAGATAATTAGGAAGACTTGTTGAACTCTGCTGTAAGGAACCCCGATGGGTTGCGAAAAATAGAAAATAAGGGGCCTTTTATGTTAGTATGTAATTAGCTTCGCAGCACTGGCAAAGCCGTTAGAGACCTGTATCGCTACAGCAAGCCGCGATACAAGAGAGTTATTGACAAAATTATTCCAGTGTTTAGTGTGATGTTGAAATCAACTACAGTCATTTAATGTCAAAAGCACTTAAATTCAACGGTCAATTTTCTGGACATCTGCGTAGAAGGTTTTGCGTCCGCGCTGGCTGTAAATTTTCCATTGAAAACGGGACCACACAATCGCTGACGAGAGAGTTACCCCGTAATTAGAACCAGTAATTAAAAATTTTGACAACTGTGGTCACGCATGTTGCGGTGAGGTCAAGTGAAGCGGGTTTGTTTCGTCAGTGGGGCTTTCCTTCTGGACACGCGTCGATATTGATTTGCGCATGCAGGCGCAATGAAAATCACACCTGCATCCAAACGGAAATCGATGCAGCTTTGATTCGGTCGTTACGAATAAACGAAAATCCACTGGTCCAACCAAAGCCGCGTACAACTGCAGTCTGCAGTTAATTTTGGTATATCATTTAGTTTTGTAATCCCTTTATCGTTGTTTGTATAAAACAATATTTTTGTAAAATTAAAAACTTTAATATATTATGCAGTATTATAAACGTTTTACCAATAAATTAATGTACATATTATGGTAAGTTGGTAACTGAATAACGTTCATGCGAATACAGTTTTCTTTGGAAACTGGAATACAGACTACATGCTATGCATTATGCACGTATGCTCTGAGCTGCGTGACCTGCGGCATTCCACAAGTATCAGTTCTTTATAATTAGCAGATAATCAACCTTACAGAAATTTTGACAGATTAAGGTGCCATTGTGTCGCGTCAGTGACGAAAAAAACCACTTCGACCACCGATCGCAAACTGTACAGATACATGAAAAAGCTAATTTTCCGCGCGTGCCGACTACTGTGCACTATTCACTGCATTCGTGCGCCATTCTCCGCTGATTAACCATTTTTTGACTAGCTGTCGAATATGTTACTGTAGCCTGTTGAACTGATTGTGATTTAAAATTATAACCCGTATTCGGACGCCAAAATCGGAGAGCGAGTCACCAAAATACAGAGAATACAGTATCGTGGTATCATTGTAAAATTTGACAGGGCGCAGTGATGCTGTTGGGCAAAGACAAGTTAATTAATCGCAATAACGAGACTTTGTCGGTGAAAGAAGAAGCGCACAGCACAACACCCATCCGCATGGAGCCACTCTCGCGGGGTGTCCATAGTGTTTTCTTCAGAATCCTCAGCGGGTAGTTCTGTCCATCGGCTTTTGACAATTTAGTTCAATGGACTAAAAAATTTCCTAACCGCCGCGCGACAGTTTCTCGCTAATGCATGCGACAGTGCAAGTAGCCATAATAATATATTACATTTAATGCTCCTATTATTAAGGTAAAGTGCATGTACAATGACCTGTATGAAGTGTAAATATGTACAATCGCTTGGACACTTTTTCTTTAAAATCTCCATTTACAAGTTTAGCCCCAGCGATCAGATTTGACCTTAGGCTACGACTGAGCCTTTCGCTGTCTGGGCAGCTGTAATGGCCGCATTTGTGCCAGCATTGAGCAACATCCCTTAATTTTTTACAGCAACTCCAAAATACCCTTAGGAAGGGAACAATCGCATAAACAAGTATAAATCGTATTATCTGATCAATGTCGTTTATACCTATAATTATTTACGACTTTCCTATATAATCATCCGTGTATTAACATAATACGATCAGCCAGTATTGGAGTGGCAGACTAACGCATTCGACAATATCAGAGGACGTTTGCCATGAAAATCTATCGGCAAAAAACGTGATACGAGTGCTGTTTTGACCTTGGCATAGCGTTAAATAAGCAGATATAGGTTTCACACCATGTAATTAAAGTGTCACTGGAGGAAGAGAGAAAACACAAGAAATTGTTATGGCAGAAAATATTTTGCACTACTTGTACACATATTTCCGGAAGGTTTTTTTGCCGTTTTTCTGACATATTTCTGCTTTGATAATTACAGCTCAACTTACAGTCCGATCTGTCCGACCGGGAGAAGTCAGTATTTCCAATGATATCACCCGACTGTTCCTTTGTTTCAATCGCCAAGGGAAACTGATTATGCGGGTAAGTTAAGCCGCAGCGTAATAACAATAATCATTATTTATTCGCCACTTGGTAATATGATCGGCATGCACCACGTCATGCCTAAGCCTAACCCCTATAAACAATTGGCTTCGGGAATATTGAACGATCAATATTTCATTGCGGGTTAATATACACACATCTGCATACGACAACTGCTAATTAGTCCGCTCACTCCGCTACACAGTCGGTTGTATAGTGGAAAATTTTAACCCAACAGATTGTCAGTGTAGACTGATCAATCATGTGAACTGCAAACTCTGACAGAAGGTACAAATGGGATGGCCACACGTGTGCGCCCCGTGAGGGGGCGCACAAGATCTAACACCCGGTCGTAACAGCGGGACGACGGGATGCGCGCTGGGCAGAGGGCCGCGGTGCACAGCGGATCATCGTCATGGCTAATCAAGCATACTCGCCTTTCGCGCCTCAAACAGCACTGCAGCCATACATTTGCTTATGCAGTGGAAAAATTAAGTCAAGTATTCCCCACTTGACAGCGCGGTTAAGTTTCAAAGTCATTCAGCTACTCCAAGAACACTTTCTCACCATACTGACAACGGCATTGTTATGCATATATTAATCATGGATAACAAACAGATGATACTGTTTTTGTTGTACGACACACTTCATTGGTCGTATATTCACCGTAAACTTCTTCACACTTAACAGTCACTGCACTCTGCTGCTGTGCCGTTTTTGCCTAAAAATTACCATAAATCAGGACATAACCGTTTCGGCGTTCAGACCGTAATGGATTTCCTTCTGATGCCGATTTCAACAGGTGGAGTCTCAGTTAAGGACACCTTTAATGGCTGACCATTTAGCCAAAAAGTAAAAGTGCACCGGCGCACCCCAAATGTGCACCGACATCGCAGGAGTTCGGACCGGCTAAAGTGCCGTTAAATTGAATCTTCGCAGTGAAACCTGTCATTATCTTGTTCGCCCTTTTTTGCCTCCCCGTCCGGCCTGGTTAACAATGAATAGACAATGCATTTTTCTTCCCCATCAAAATAGCTCCACTGGGCTGCAGGCCGTCAGGGTCGGTTAGCCGAATGAGCGCCGGTAGACGTATATATATGCCGCCCGCAAAGGTGACACCGACAACTCGCCGTGCAGGGGGCATTGATCATTGAGGGTTTATTAATTACAGAGTAAACTCCGCTTGGACAATCGCCAACCGGGCATATACATATACTGCTGATTCTCTCTCTTCCCCTCATCCTGCCGCAAATTACCTTCAAGTGTTAACAGCTTGCAAATTAAGAAACAGTTACACATAAACGCTAAGCAACTGTTTCGCTGTGTGCACAGTGAGCGCCTTAATTTCCAGGAAATGAACTGCAGTCCACCGTCGATCATCTAGTGGCAATCGCGAAGGGGACACAGCGTAAAACAAAAGAGCGTTGTGTATCTTGTGCAAATAGACGGGAAGTCCATCAAAATGGTTATAGAGTTCATTTTGAGGACTGTGTATATACGGCGCATTAATGCGCCGCGCTTCCCCGGCAGTCGAAGGTGTTCTTCCTGACCCAGACCAATTTAAGCCCATCCGCAAACAACCACAGCCGATTATTTCCTTATTATAATCCAATCTGTTGAAGATTTAGACAGTGTTACAATTCACACAATTTCCGGAATCAAACTGTGAACACGCATGCCTGGGCGTATTTCATAAATTGTTCACAGAATGTATTATTTTATAAGTGGAAAATCAAATATTCTTCATATTTCATAAGTGAAGTATAGGATTTAGATTTTAATTTAGACCATACATGCACAATCAGAAAAATGGCTTTTTAAATTAATTAGTTATAATTTTTTTTTATTTTCAGCCGGAATATCGTGACAAATATTGCGGTTTTCACGAATTAAATCCAAAGAAAAGCCATTTTGTGATACAATCCGCATACAACAAGACCTGGTTTGTGGGATTTGGTCGAGACGGCAACTCCCTGCGGGGAGCGGAGTACGTGCGCAAACTGGACAAGAATCGTGGTTGTTACAACTTCATGAAGTCCGGCGAAAAGGTCTACCAGAGCATGTCGGACATCTCCCACGAACGCACCGTCCAACAGCACAATAATCTCAATCAACTGCTTGATAAGCACCTCCCTAGTCGGAAGTTTTATTCCACTGTATACCCCGGCAGCCGGCAGGCGGCAGCACCGGTGACGACAGCAAGGAGAAAGACCACTTGAGACATGCAAATCTCATTCTGGACCACGAATACCAAAAAACATTGGGGAAATGGAATCTCTATATCTCTCTCTCTCTTCTGAATCTTGTAAAATTTTTTTTTGCAAAATGGACCATTGCTCCCGGAAAATGGTTCTAACAGTGCTCTGTGATCGTTCCCTTGGAAATGTCCATCAATGTTTGATGGCTGACATCCCCTGCAAAAATGCGTTTTAACCGCATATTCGGCATTGACCGCGAAATCCTGCTTGGGCATGGATCGATGGATAGTGCATATTTACCACCGAAGTATACATTTTACCTCGCCAATATTCACACATATATTCGCACAATATATGCTGCACCTTTTTCCGTCCAAAGAGGAATTACATCTTCTGCCGGTTTTATTGATCCAGCCAGAAGTCGCTGAAGATGGACATTAAGTGTATTTTTATGGGCAGCGCGCATGCCGAGTGGTGGGCAATTTGAATTGGGCGAAAACTCGTGCTTATGCTGGCGGGCGCTTATCAGACATTTATATTATGCCTACAGTGTTTGTCCACTTTGAAGCGTCAACATATCAGTGACCACGCGCGCCAGAGTATTCGTGTATAAAATGTGCCGTCATCCTTCAACGGCGGATGTTGTGCTGAAAAGGCAAATGAAAAGTCGGATTTTAAGTGGGCACGGATGCTGCATTACAAAACCACAGAGAGTGAAAGACTGGACACTGCCAAGTAAATCAACATCATTAGTTGTCTGTATCGGTTGTTTGATCAGAATCGGCCACATTATGTGTCCATCATATTACTGGCCCTGCGCGAAAGATGCCTTGGAGTTTTCTCTCGTTTTCGTATGAATGTGATTTTCACCTCCGATATTTTCCATAACTGACACATTCCACCGGACACGCATACATCATTCAAACATTTGCTTCACTGCGATGCAGTGATGCGAAAGAGAGAACGCAGAGAAAGCCAGTCTTAACTGACCACCGTCAATGCATTAATTCGTACCTGTCCCGATGCATATATACGGCAGCAACAACGCGAGCACAGGATGTTTAGAAAAGCCCATATTTGCCGGACGCCAACAATATTTGCTGCGACGGAGGAATTGTCGTTTTTTGTTTGCTTTTTGTCTGCAGTCATACCAAAATGCTACGGAGCATTTAAATATAAGGTTTTTTTGTGAAATGTTAAGTTTAGTGTTTTTGTAAATTATCACAGGGTTGTTTTTATTATTTACGGCGCTACGAGGTTTTAAGGATCTGTTTGTGTGTGCAGGTTGTTGTGCAGCTACCTCTCCTCGTTACATGGTATGTCGGCGTTGGTTTTTACGGTGAATTGTTTGTTTTCTTTAACTGCATTTCTGTTGGCACAAATATCTCAAGATCCCTATTTAGTGACGTTATATTTATAATGTATCTCCGCGTTGTCGTGTATGGATTATATACATGCTCAAAAATTGTCTAGAGTTTCGATGTGGTCAATAATATATAAACCTGATTAACGAGTTTCGAGCGGTTTCATGGTTGTTCAATTGATCCACTTCATACTTTCAAGAGCTAAGGTTAAGCGGGAGCTTTGGCTCATCTATTACCTGTTCAGCGCCTACTTTTCCCGTTTGTTTATCTAGGAAGAACACACTTAGCAATACAAAGCGGAAACAATTTGCCGATCGCAAAAATGCGCAGCGAGTTTTACGTCATGGCACTCACACATACTCTGTACAAATCAAAATACTACACTTATTCCGAAAGCAAAATGCTTACTTAATAAGCTGCAAGTGTTATTTATTTATTTTGATGCTGATACTCTACCGCACAACTTGTCCGCGTAAAAAAATCGTTACTTAATTAAAGCCAAAGAACTCAAGTAAATGTTTATGAAAAATTGCGTGTCGCCACATACATAAAGTCGCCGCCGTATATCGCCATAAGCAACACCGTAGACGCTTGACAATTAATCGCAGCCCATGTCCAATTCATTAGTCAGACACAATATTGACAGATAGCTTGCGTAACTAATGGTGAAGAATCATTCATCAATTTTGGAAATTTATCATTTTTAATAGAGGTCATAATGCACAGATTGCAACACATCCGCGCATCGCATTACCCCCAGTACAGCTTTCAGTAACAGAAACCATAGTGCTGTAACGCATACACTATCGCACTAAATATTGGCGCCATCTAATTATACGAACGACAATAAATAAATTTATTTAGAAAAATGTATGAGCGCGTCAAAAAGAATGAGAAATTGGTGGTCAAATGCATACAGAATAGTTGTTGTGCTGCTAGCTGTCTGATCATGACCTTCGTCAGGCATTTACGTTATTATCTGTACTGGCTAACCGAATAAGTTCTATCTTTCTCTGCTGGGTATTTCTTTTTGTTTATTGCATAATTAGAACACCGATTTATCAGAAATCGATAATCAGGGACTGAAAAAATTACTTATCAGTTCATGCAGTCACCGAAATTGGGATACCAGTGCTAAATCCACTAAAAAACACCGTATTATATGTATACCAGTACGTATTTTTTATTGCAGCAATACCAGTATCGCTGCATCGGTTTATACAGATTATATTACGCCAATTCGAATTAATCGTTTAAAAATTGAATAACCAAATTGAATAACCAAACATCATTGTGTAATACGGATAATGTAAATGTTATTACTATCACGCTAACAAGATCTAGATCATTAGCCTAAGAAAATCATAATCGACCGGCGTATAATGACATCAAAACACAAGCAAACATCATACTTATGCTCTGATTGTCGTATGGACGATAATTACAAGGATGTGCGAGCATAACCGCCGCGTAATGCATAATAATTTATGGAATTACAAGTCAGCAGAATAATGACTCCTTTCAGGAGTAGCACTCATTCCGCCAGACTGGACATTCACATAATAAAAAAACACAACCCCATATCGGGCGACATTCCGCGGCTGTAATCCCCAACCAGCGGCCACTAAATTGTATTGCGCCGCTTAACACCGAATTGTGCGGCAAATGCCGTCTTCTTAGCGCACATTTCGCCCTTTCATCCAAAACAGGATAATGAGGTAGATAAGCGGTATTGTGTCTCATTGTCGCCCGCTAAATCCCTCTCATCATGTGCGGAGGAGGATGGGCCCAACACTCTGCGTCGGCTTACGAATGTGTGGTCGTGCACATGCGTGATATCTTATCCAGCCGCTTGCCGCTCCGACATCCCGCGTGAGTGTCGCGAGTACGTTTCGCGTAATCGAAAGCTGCGCTCCTTCAAGGTCATAAGAGCTGATTAACTACGCTTCAACACGTCGTACAGTTAATTAAGGAAACTTCATTAGGCTACTTCAAACAATAGCATTAACTGTTTATCCACACTTCACATATTATTCTGCTTTCCCTGAAAACCATCTGGATTAACGCCGCTGCATCGAACAAACACGATCACAGCTTTCGCGGACTCTAGAAGTATCCGCAAAGAAGGCAATAACGCGCCGAATTGGTCACGGATGCATACGTATACACAAAAATTGGCCACTTTTACTCATCAAAGTGTGCGCTGCAGACTTAGTTATCTTACAACAAAATGTGTGATTAAAAACTTAACAACATCAAATAATCTCATGATAAATCCTGCCAAGTATGTCTGGAAAAAACAGCAAATGCGTCCCTCGTACAATTCGTACTCAAATCGATAAATTTTTCATGAACTCGTTCTCCTTCTAAAATTGCACAACGAAACGTTTCTGTATTTATTGGCTGCGTATCTTAGAACAGCAACAAATTTCAAAACTACATTTATTCATATTTTTCCAGACGGATTCTGAAATTACATAAGAAAAACAATTCCGTTACTGTTATTTCGTCCAGCACAACAAAAGCCAAAGCGCACTGCTTTTCCGAAAACGTTCTTCTTCCGCCGAAACGTTTTACTTTTCAATCTAAAGCAAAACCTGGAAATGTTCGCTAACAAGACTTTCCCGGCAACGGAAGTTCAGAGAAATCACCTCCAAACCATCAGGCGCATATTATCCACCACCTTCCGAATGCTCATCCGCCTTCCTCCATGGCCTCCTCATCGTCCTCGTCCTCCCATTCATCTTCACCGCTCGTCACGTCCGCTTGACTGCTCTCGGCCTGGCACTTGGGACAGGTACAATGGAATAAGTAGTGTTCTCTGTAACAACCACAAGATGCCACCATTATCAAATTGCCTGCATCAAAATCCCGCCATTCAAACGCATCCAGACGGAACAGCACGGCCGGCACATAACTTCTCTCTCTTTCGACTTGTCATGCGGCATGGACTACCATATGGCATCAGCCATCCCTCCAATAATATTTTCCCTTTCATACCGCCTGACTGCACTTCTTCACCCTCGCTATGCGCCGAAACGTGCCCTCCGCCAGGGCTGCCGAGGAAGTACGCCCCAATCAACATACCGTAAAACTTTTTGCCGACTGTGCCGACTCCGCTCCAACTGGCATTCCGACAGGTAGCTGATGACAATTTCATCGCCGGGATTTATGGGCTGTGTAGCCGTTAAGGTCAACGTAAAATCATTGCTCAAGAAGTTCACCTGGGTATTCGGCTGGCAGCTGTGATTACCTGTAACAATGATACTATACATAAAACCCATTCCGTGTTTGATCATAAATATTTATTCCAAAATCCGTTATAAACCAACAAATAAAATACAAGAAATAAAGCAATCTAAGCACACCGCTTCTCTTCATAACCTCTCACAGAACAAATTAGTCATTAAAATGATTCAATTATCTTGTTAAGTAGATTGACTACGATTACATAACTTATTTACTAGACAGATTCAGATTAATCGCATTACAGAAAGTGCAATCCGTCTAGGAATTATGAAACACTTCGACTACAGCACAGATAAATTTTTACAAAGTCGAATCAAAGCAAAAGAATAAAGCAAGCAGGACAATCTTTTATAGCTGGGTTTGGTAACCCAGATACTCACAGGCACGTTGCCGCACAAACAGAGCTGAACCTTCGTTATCCATGAATTCTTCTCCTGTTCTATCTTCGATAGCAACGTACACCGCGGTAATCAATTCCGTGGTTTCTTTATCGGCATTTGGAAGGTGGTTTACATTCTTTTGCCACATTCCAAAAGATCTGCAACAAAAGAAGAGGAAGCAATAAATAAGCAACTGATATTTATTTTGCAAACATACTCGGTTCGCGTAGGTTCTAAAAACAGTGTTACATTTTGAAATACTACTCAGCTCTTCAAGCTCGCAATCAGTTTCTGAAGCTTTAAAAAAATAAGCAGTAACCCGTATGTAACGGATATGAAGAAACAAAATTTTATAAAAAAAGAAAAAACGTCAAGGCTGTCGGGAAAACTCCCGTAATGCAAAATACATACATAAATATACCACTATACAATAATAAACAAAGACGTCACTAGAGTCTAGACATTTTGTTATAAAACGTCTAAAAGCAGTTGCTCAATATCAAAATAACACGAACGATTATACTGATGCATTTACATTGTTGCACTTACGATGTGCCAATTCCTTGAGCATTCCGTGCGAAGATCGCAAAGAGGGACAGGAAATTACTGGCGCTCCACCATGATTTAATCGCTTCGTCTTTGAAAGCACTGGCCAGCAACACTCGCATGGCATCCAGTTGAACCTACAATTTTCATATTTTTCATCCCCAACTCCCCCGTCGTCGGTCAGACCACCGCGCAGACCTACTTTAAACTGCTCCCCAAGCACTTTATGCGCAATCCCTTCGTCCGCGTTGACCGCATCGCTTTCGAAGCGGTTCAAGGTTCGCAGCAGTTCTTCGCGGTCCTTCGCGTCCGCTTGCTGATACATGGCCGCCACCTTAGCCATAATCATAATATTGAAGGATTCCGGTGGGAAATGGATTTCTTTCCATGCATTCCGCAAGATATTCAGTGGATGCGCGGGATCATGCGGATTGTGGCACAGTGTGCGATGATAGCGGCGTGCTGCTTCGTCCATACAGCTGACAGAACAGTACATCACAGCACACCCCGGACATGACTGGAAATTCTTCGGATTGACCGGATCCAGCTCCGGATGAGGGAGAGCTAGAGCGGGGATACCGGAGAGACGTTGCGCATTCTCCTGTGCTGTTTCCAGGGGGGATAAACAGTACTCGCACGCACGGTATCCGCAGTCTTCGTTGTATGCGAACTGACAGCAGACCAGTGGTTTCTCGTGCAGCACGACATCTCCCTTCTCGAATTTTTTCCGCGCAAAAAGACCGTTCCCCTACATAAGCATAAGCAGTCTGCAACCGGTATATTAAACTAACAGAACCGATATCATAAAAGCGTTAGGAAGCTCTAAAATGTCAGCGCAAACGAAAATTGTGAAACATATGGAAGTTCTGAGTTTAAGCAACAGCTACTCAGCGCCTACCTTTCGCGGCCCGCTTTGTCGCTCTTCCGTAAAATCTTCCATTTCTAGTACTTTATGGGAAGATCAAAACTAAACCGGCCCTAAATCATGCATGATCAAAATGATAACTTCCAAAATCCAAGTTCCAACAAAAACTGCAAGAACGAAACCCATGCATTTATAGCCGATGAGCGATGTGCGGCTTTTAAACTTATGAGTTATGACGATTTCCAAACTTTTGCACTGCCGCCCGTGGCGGACGAATTACCGGAAATAAGTCCTTGTTTACGTTTCGGTTTGTCGCGGCTTTCTTTTGTAACGCTGTCAGATGTTTTCGTTCGTTTTTTGAAGATACAGTAATAAGTAATAAATAACAATACCGATCACCCAGTTTACATTACTTACTGTTAAGATTCGGTTAATGCTTGTGCAGGAGCGATATGTGATGCGAGTCCGAGATGTGCAGGAGCGCTGGAGTAACTTCGTGACAAACGAACAACCTCGTTTCCGCTCAGACCATCGCGATACTGTAAACTTCAAAAGGTAATCTGGTAATGAGATCGCGATTTTGTCAGGAATTTCGATGTTTGGTATCACAAGTCAGGACTGAATCGCGTTAGCATTCGTTGAAATGTCAAAAGACCAGCAAAAACCATGTTCGATTGAACCTTCGCATGCGGAGTACCGCGAAGAGGTATGTAGACGACAGCGTGGTTTGGACTGGAGAAACGGCACGGCGCTTGTCACTGGCGCAGGCGCAGGAATCGGGAAGCCGTTGCGTTGGGCTTGTGCAACAAAGGTCTTCGAGTTGTTGCTGTGGACAAAAATCATGATGGGCTGGAGGTAAGTGCGACAGAACGCTAAAAACCGTGGAGTGCCTTCACCTGTTGCTTCAGTTACAAGCGCTAAGTTTACACTTTACGGTATAGTGACGGGTATATCTATACATTCAGTATATTAAATTTTATGTTGCTGTGTGTGTCACTTCGTCCACCGCTAGACGAGTATGGATTGAGATTTTTGTAAATATCATCCGAATACACGTAATTATTTGGCAGCACGAGTTATTATTTGGCAGCACGAGTTCAGCATTTTATTAATCCAAAAGTGATTTTTATACAAGTGTAACGTGTTTATGATATTGTTGAATTCAACAGCACTGATATGCTGACTGCGAAATACAGTATCTTCGTGGGTTTTTTTGCTTTTTTGGTTATTGTTATCGCCAAAAATATTCTGATACAATTTTCAAACCGATTTGAATGGGAATATATGTTGCAGAAAATGGCATCGAAACTGGACGAAGACAGCCGTGAGCGCTTGTCAGTTCGTATGTGTGACCTTGGACGAAAGGAGGATATAAGCGAACTGTTCAATTTCATCGAGAGTACCATGGGAAGACTTGATGTCTGCGTTAATTGTGCGGGCTTTTCTCACTACACCACATTGACTGATGGGGATGCCGAACAGTGGGAGCAGATGTTAAATGTGAGTACGGTAAAAGTGAAAACGAACGCCCTCTATTTCTTTTCGAAACTCAACTGTTGTTTTTTTTCCATTTAAACAACAACGTCAGTTGCTTGTTACTAATCCATAAACGTATAGCATTCCCGCGTTGAATCTCGATGCAAATGTGTTCATCTTGTTAACGTTTCGGTTTGTCACGGCTTTCTTTTGTAACGCTGCCAGATGTTTTCATTCATTTTTAAAGATACAGTAATAAGTAATAACAATACCGATTACCCAATTTACATTATAGCCATTTAATGCCAAAAGCATTAAATGTCGTTAACGCAGAGCTCTCGTAGTACTTAGCAACGAGGCACGCATAAATCGGAGAAGGGTTCGATGTGTAACGCAAGTGCTCAGTATTCATCGTAAAAACAACTGAACACTGAGACTTCGTAAAAATTTCGCGCAAACAACAACTCTTTTAAACCAGTTATTGAAACTGGGAGAGCGCGTGGTCTTTGAACCCGTAGAGCAGTGGCAAAATGCGAATGGGCGCAACCTTCTGAATGAATTTTATTTGAACCCCGCCCATGCTGGAGCGGATTTCCAGCGTGTTGCACTGCAGTCCGATACTGGAAGGACCACACATAACCGCATTTTCCTAGAGCGATCCCCATACAGTTCCACTTATATTTTCGCTCGGATGGGATTCCGTGCAGGCTGGCTGCCTCAATCCGCGTTCGAGGAACTGCAGCGCACATACCGGCATTATGAGCGCACACGATCCCCGTCTGAACATCATATTCTTTACGTCCGGACAATGCCAGAAAACGCACTTGCCCGAATTCGATCCCGTGGCCGTCCGGAGGAGACAAAAATTACGCAACAGTATATAGAGGATCTACACCACAACCACGAGCTTCTGTTTTCCTCACAGAAACCCCCCGGAATAGTTTCCGTTCACATGGTCAACAACGACGGCGATGTTGAACTACTTGCCGATACTGTGCAGAAGATCGTGGCGAAGCTAGCACAGTCAATGATAATCTCCTAAACGGCCGTACAGTATAAACGTTATTTTCACTTATTCCTTCTAACCAGTCTTATGATTATAACTACTTAGTATTATTATTATATCATCTTAACTGTCTGTTGTGGCTAACGTACGAATTCTGTACTTAATTGGGTAATCGTTCGTATATTTCTTCCCCATTAATTGCTCGTTCTCTTCCTTACACTGGCTGACCTTTAATGTTTATCAGCGAATTTATTTAACCGTACTAGTATTATTCTAGGCTTCCTTGAGTGGTAATCTGCAAATAGGATCTACTAAAATTTTCTGTTTACGGTCAGCTCCTGGTATACGTTCGCTATTGTGTGGATTTCTTCCTTAATTCACTCGATCTCTATTTCTTTCACCGAAGATTTTACTGCAGCTTTCATATACACAATTCCTTAAAAAATTAGCTTGCGGAATCGGAAATTTTCATTACGTACATTTCAAGTACAATATATCTTAATGACAGTCAGTTCTCGTTAAGTCGTACTTATGTGTGTTTTCCCTCCTTTGTTTCTTATATCTTCAGTCGCCATGGCAGCGCATTATGGTATACAATCTTTTATATAATATAATGTGTTTCTTAATAGTCGCTCAATATTTACATAAAAATAATTTAACCGTTTAATAAATTATTTCGTGCTGTCGTACGATTACAGTTCTATAAATATTTCGCTAGAACTACATAAATAACATGGTTAACATTTGTTATTAAAATTTTGTACAAGTATTGACATATTGCAAAATACCTATGCCGCAAATCTGCTTGAGCTAACGGTCTAAGATTCAAATCTGGGTTTAAATTCCATGTGTAATTCCATGTTAAATTCCATGTGTAATAATTCCAGGCAGAATTATCCCACAAGTATTCTTAATACGTGTATTCTTCTAAAAGTTACATCTAGTTACGGGCATCAGCCATCCAAATATAAAAAAGTAATGCAAGTCCGAGTTCACTAACGATAGGTTGTAAGAAAATGGCAAGTGCGAGTTCACTAACGATAAGTTGTAAGAAAATCCTATACTGATTTCGGTGAATTTTCATAACAATACTGGCACAAAGAGTTGAGGCAGTACTCTTTTACCTTTCCTTTTTTTTCCCTCTTGTCTGTCTGCCTGCTTTTAACTAATACTAATTTAGCTGTGTAACTTTTGCTTACTCTAGTTTATTGACTTGCATCCTAGATTCCGTAATGCGACTACTCAAAAATTTCTAATGTTCTCCAGTGGACATAATGACTCAATTTATACTATTTTACTCATTTACCATTACTTTCATATTTTATTCTAGTTTAGTGACGCAATTACTATTACCAGCCGCAGCTTTCTTTAATTCAGCTTACTTTATATACCCTCGTTAAAGCTAACCGCTTCAGTAAGGATACTTTACACATAAGGCCATCACTCTCAAAAATCATACTGATATGCGTTTTTATGAACAATTTTTTTTTCTAACGAACAATTCAAATTCTGTATTGATGCTCTGATTCTTCGGTGAGAATATTTTTTCATAATAAGTACTCATCCAGTTAGTCGATAAGTTTAATCATTTAGACCGTTCCATTGTTTGCAAGGGTATATGATTGATAGGGTTTATTCCTAAGCCATAATTTACATGCTGACCTTTTGTTTTCGCCTGATGAGTGCTCTCTGATGCAGTGGAACGTTTGCATAAATTTTTCAAAAGTATATAATCAAACCTCTTATGGAGATTACAGTAACCGCGTACCCTACTACTGCACATCACCATGCTGACTGCTTATCAAGTTTTAATTTTGTTTTTGTATATAATACTACTAGTATATCGAAACCAACAGATCGCTTAGGTAAACCTTAAATGTTGCATAAATAGCGTTGGAAGCGTTTTATGAGCCGCTGTCTGTTATAGAGACTTCCTCAACCGGTTAATGCCGTTTCTGTTTCTAATAATCATCTAATATCATCTCTAATACTAACTCTACTACGATCATGTCTAATGCGCTATTATCTCTAATACTAACTCTACTCTACGTACGATACTAACTCTACGTATCTGCAATCGCTTTTATGATAGGCGGTATATTTTTTTAATTGCTTCAATCTGCTTGTACAATTCTAGTAATTATAACAATGAATAAATACTTAAACCCTATTAATCATTTCCATGCTAGTGCCAACTCGTATTCATGCCTAATCATTTGCTTTCTTCCATGTCAATGCTCATTTCCCACGTACGTACTCCATGGAATCAGTTTAGCCTCAAGTCCCTCAACGAATGCTCACCCGTCTTCCGGACATGAATGACCCTTGACTTTACCCGCATTCGGCTCTACATCTCCTACATACACCGTTGCGATCCCACCGATTCCCACGCCACATATCAGTCATATGTATTCGCATTCTGCACCTAACTTCGGATCCTTCCGGAATTCGCAATTAGCACCCACCCTATCCGTTACAACCGTTATTTTGTCAATTGTCAAAAATCATATGCAGCAGCACAAATTGTCCGTTTGTCTGAATATGATCTCTCGTATTCGCATATCTTTCAATTCGGTCATTTGGGCCTTTTCTTCCGCTCCGGGTTGGGGATTGCGTTCCGTTTGGGGGTGTCCGGCGCGGCTCGTGTTGAACTGCCCAGCGACCTGCGGTTGCCTTTCGTCGTCAGTGCACCGTACGGACATCGCGCGGCGCAGTAGACTACTTGCCCCGGCATCCGTCAAGCGGCAATACGTTTACACCGAGAGCTCGAAAGCGTTAAAGCCATTTAATGCCAAAAGCATTAAATGTCGTTAACGCAGAGCTCTCGTAGTACTTAGCAACGAGGCACGCATAAATCGGAGAAGGGTTCGATGTGTAACGCAAGTGCTCAGTATTCATCGTAAAAACAACTGAACACTGAGAGTTCGTAAAAATTTCGCGCAACCCTCCCACCCGGCCCTTGTTGATTCAAACCCATGCAGCCTTGTTGTCATATTGTCACATGTTCTCCTGTGTTTTATTGTCACATTTCCTCCTGTGTGCTTTGCGATTTATGGTGAATAAAGGGGTGTCCGGCGCGGCTCGTGTTGAACTGCCCAGCGACCTGCGGTTGCCTTTCGTCGTCAGTGCACCGTACGGACATCGCGCGGCGCAGTAGACTACTTGCCCCGGCATCCGTCAAGCGGCAATACGTTTACACCGAGAGCTCGAAAGCGTTAATTACTGTTAAGATTCGGTAATGCTTGTGCAGGAGCGATATGTGATTCGAGTCGATGCAAATGTGTTGCGGCAGAAATTCAGACGAGCGAGGAGGGTGGCTTTCAGAATCTATCTTCTTCGTTCCTGAATTTCTTTTGTGAACAGTCACCAGGTTCCAATCCTCTCATCGCTTCGAAACCAAGAGACTGCACGATGTTACGGTCTGCCAGTGTACTACAATTTTGTAGTTATTGAGTAGAGAAAACGTTTACGTAATACAATAGTATTTCATCGTCCCAGTACGCGATGACTGGGGTTATTGTTGATGCCTTAACAGAGAAACGTTTAATTTGATGCTACAGATATGACTTTCGGTTATGTTGCTCTTTGTACACCGTAATTGATAGTGCGTAAGACAATTCCATTCTTCCGTACTCCCCCGACTGCTACGTCGTAGTGCTGTTTTTTAGTTCCGAAAACCAACGTTATTAAAAATGCGATTCGATTTTGCTTTTCTAATTTTGGCAGCCTGTCTGGGTAGATATCGGCATGCCCAGGATTTCGGTTATGTTGCTCTTTGTACACCGTAATTGATAGTGCGTAAGACAATTCCATTCTTCCGTATTCCCCTGACTGCTACGTCGATGTAGTGCTGTTTTTAGTTCCGAAAACCAACGTTATTAAAAATGCGATTCGATTCTGCTTTTCTACTTTTGGCAGCCTGTCTGTGTAGATATCGGCATGCACAGGATTTAGATTATAGAATCCGAATTTGTTAACATCCGGTTATCAGAAGGAATTTTACTGCACAAGTGACCTTATGTGACTTTGTAATTTCTTCACTGTTTCGTATGCGAATATGTATTTGGGACATGAGCTTAAATTTAATCAGAGTTACTGAGTACACCCTTGCTAAAAGTCGCTGCCGCTTCTTGCAGTTGTCCACTATTTAGAAAATTGTAGGAGAAGCATAGCAACATGCATGCGTAACAGCACTACGCACTCTTCGACAGTTTGACGCTGCCACAAAATTGGGATTTGGATACTAGTGGCAGCAAATTACTACGCTGTATTATGAAGTGGTTGTACTCAGTGGAAATAACCCAGTGGTGCAGCAGGCTTTGCATTCAGACTATTTTCGCAGCTACTGCGCTGCTAGATAGTTGGGGAAACGATCGAAGTTGTTTGCGATATTGATCGTATCGGCGTTCAAGCTCTTAACGTAGGGTGGACACTTGAAAAGTGGATCTCATGCCGATTTGTCATGATCCCATGGCAGTCCGGTGGCCGGGCATAAGTTGCGAAACGCACACTTTAATGCAGTGACAAAAAAGTTCGAAAAATCACAAAAAGGCAGTGCTGACAAAGGGCATTCTTTGGAAAGTATTTGTAATCATTGTACTTTTGATAGGTTAACGTGCTCGCCGTGGCTGTTTGTTCAAAAGAGGCAATTGGGCTTATGCGTAAACACGGGGATAATTCCGGTCACATAGTAAACATTTCCAGGTGAGCGGATGCTCATGCATCGCAGATGCATTCTCCTGTATAGTGCATACTTATTATTCGTTACGACGATAATAAAAACATGATATAACGGAAAATTGGAAGTCTTTGAATGCGCACAATCGGAGATCGCTCGTAAAGCTCGTTTATGGCAACCTACGAACTGTGCATGAATACGAACATGTACGAACAGTCAACAAAATATTCTAGAAACGTCCAAGGAAAGCTTTGTGGAAGTTTATTCTGGAATCTCTAAGGATAATCAACTGTTGTAACTCGATATTGGCCCTAGTCTCTTAGATTTTAAAATATCTATATTATAATGTACGAACGAACAACAACCGTCTCCTTTTAGATTTAGTTCTATTTAAATAAGTTGTAAAATCATTGTACGATAAAGGTACTCTGTATGTACCTTTACTAGGTAACTCCAGCATTTATATCGTTTGCATATACTAACTTATAACTTGGAAAAATGTAGGTAAAAACCGTTTTTAGTGTTTACTTATGCATATTCAGATCATGGTTTTCATGCAGCAATCTCGCTCATTATGGACCCCCAAGTGACCACAACTATTTGCGGTTTTATTCATGTACCAAATTCGCACTGAAGTCTTTCAATGAAGGATTACGACAAGAGCTTCGGGATCAAAAATCTTCTATCAGGATATCGGTAAACAAAATCTTCCGACTAAAGCGTTGCAAAGTTTATCATTTAGAATTTTTAGAGCATTAGTCCCGGATTGGTTCGCACGGAATTCATGGGTTCTGTATTAAAGACTCATCCAGAGAAACTTGAAAACTACTACGATCAATATCCGGCGTTGGAGCCATCTGATGTTGCCGGTGCGGTTATATACGCACTGTCAACGCCTCGTCATGTGGAAATTAACGAAATTGTCATGTATTCCACAGAGAAAATTGCTGATTATTCAGACTGAAAATGTTTTTTTGAGTTGCTTCTTTAGTAGCGAAAGGGCGTTGTTACAGATATACACTTTGTGAATTTTTGATATTGGACTAATTGTAACGCCGCATATTTAACGTTCATTTTTTATACATAACTGAAGATATTTTCGAACGTACGCGCCTCCTTGTTTCGTAGTTTGTTTTTCAAACACAATAAAATTATTGCACTGGTTGGTAAAATTGGCATACTTTCTCGTGAAAATTGGCATAAATAAAATACTGGCATACTTTCTCCGTCTCGTGAAAATTAATCCAGGATTTGTGCTTGCTACCGGAACTTAACCCTGTGGGAAGTACGTGCCGACCGTGCATCTTCTGGAAATACGGAGATATTCTTTGAAATGTTTCTCCATGCTCCACAAGAAATCTTTCTGTAAGCGTGACCGATCAATCGAGGGCTGTTGTAAGTTTTAACGCTACACGGTGGTGCTAAGTTGGTAATTGATGCTTCCTAAACCACTAAAACGTAACCTGATCGTAGATGCCAAGTCATTTTGTTTACAAGCACGGAATGCGCTGCCGAAATTTTGATAACATTCGCTAACAATAAGCACGCAAGTATGCATTCCTCACATTTTCCGGTCGGAAACAAGGCGCGGAATACAACAAACATAAGTAAGCAACGCAGATTGTGCACTGTCGACCAAAAAAATCACTTCAGAAATTCATAGCGCTGGAACTGTTCTAGCAAATCGTCAACCTATCTGCATAGTTTACAAAAATAGTATAGATATTTCATATATTTAAGTAGATGTAAATATTAGAAGTATTTACAGTTTCACATCCTTTACGTTTAATTTATAGTATCTGTTTATCTATATAAATACAAAGTATATGCGTGTCTTACAAGCTCCGATTTATGCATTCTAAATGGTAGCAATGACAGTAAATGTTTAATAACTTATTTAAATCACACACGTCTAATAGTCTATACGTATACAATGGACTTCAAAATTTTGTTACACTCACAAAACGCGCGCAACCAGCTATTTACCTGTACTCAATCAGCCAAATTCCGGGCTGGCCATCGGCCTGTTGAGTTCAAACACTTGCACCTCACGCATTTCCCAACAAAAACCATCCACCAATATCTCAAACGAAAGAGAAAAAAATTTTATGAATTTTGATACCAAACAAGTTAGCTTTTATGGGATCTGACAGAAAATCGACGCATCTAAAGTTTCTCGTAGACAAAGCATAGCATTTGAATCCACGGTTTGGTTTCAGTTTTCACACAGAAAACGTATGCTCTGTCTACGAGAAACTTTAGATGCGTCGGTTTTCTGTCAGATCCCATAAAAACTAACTTGTTTCGTATCTAAATTCATAAAATTTTTTCTTCGTTTGAGATATCGGTGGATGGTTTTCGTTGAAAATGCGCAAACAGCAAGTGTTCAATTACTGCGCGTTTCCAGTTTATTGGTCATTTGGTCTTGGCCATTTATTTCTATTGGTCATTCGGTCCCGGACCGAATGTAACAAAATTTTGAAGTCCATTGTACATACCCCGTACGAAACTTAATATCTTCAGCTTGCTACGATTTGGGCGCCTATTATTTTATAAACAATTTTCATTTCCTGGTTTGCAGATAAGTTAGTCTGTCAGCATTGCCATAAGTATAACTTGTTACAACAGATGCATAAAACGCCAAGCGAGAGTATGTTTACTGTTTATTCACATTGACAAAGTTAAACGCAGATCCGAAGCAGATCAAAAACGGATTAAATCGGAGACGAATGTGGAGGAAGATCAATAAAACAGTATTAGCAGCGAACGCTTTGATCCTGGCGGAAGGCCAATGGGACATACAGAAGCACAGTCATGGAACACGATTAAATATCAGAATCCCACTACCATGCACCATTACAAAAACAGCACCCAAGGAAAATCGGCATGTGATGGTCAAAGTATGAGAGATGCACAGCAGCGTTGAGCTCAAATCAACAAACATTTCGATCGTCGTTAGCAAACAAACCTAATCGGTCAATGGCAAAACCTCACCGACACAGATGGCTCCGTTTGCTCCGGCTTTAGATCATTTTCGCCAGAACAATGGCGAAGATAACGGAAATGCCAGCGGTGAAGAGTGAGATCTGGTTATGGCCGGCGGCATTGCAGAAATCTCGCGTGTTACAGTTGCACACGCTGGTTGTGATGCCTTGGATAGCTAAAAACCAGGCATTAATGTTAACGCTGTTTATGACCTTTAGATTTACACAGTGGCAACGTTATTGATAAACACAGACGATCAAATTAATATAAACCAATAATAAACCAAAGCTTCCGGATTAGGATCAAACTTGTCAACCTGCCTAACATGTAAAGGAATGTACATGTACATAAAGCGTTAACGAAACTATTCAAACATGAACATCTTTTATGCGCAAATGCTATGTATATTGTGAAAAATAATTGATAAGTATAAGAATAATTATTATCGATTTTATAAGTATTTTATAAAAAAACATAATACCGTACGTGAACGCAGTACATCTGTGTTACAATCTCCACTTACGCGTATCCTTGCACTCATTAACTCCGAGGCCATCTCCACCAGGACTGGGAACTTTACCGCACCCCCGAGCCGCAACAGTCGCTAAAAATTGTCAAATATTAATCATTAGTGAAATAAAATGTGAACCAGTTTACAATCTATCCGCTAGATGTAACAACAAAAATAATTTGTTTTTTGCTCACCTCCAGCCGCAGTGCCGACTGTCCGATAGCAAACGTTTTCACTGGTTCCACAATCTTTCTGTAGATCTGCTGTCGGGTTAATGCAGCCAGATCCGTTACATTCATAACAGCGGATCGCGGTGACGACGGCTACAAATGCAGTGGTGAATTTAACAGGAATTCCGGTGCATAATTCATAAAAATAATTACGTATTTTTCAAGGTTATTGTATTAGAATACGTATCATCACTGTATCAGCAGTAGTAATCGGCGACAACGCTTTATCTGTCGCAGCATTACCGATGCACGAAAGGACAGCAATGGCAATAAGGAGGATTTGGCGAGACATGATCGGGGCCGGTAGGAAGAATCGACTGCAGTATATCCCAAAAGGGTGAAAATAAATCAGGGAGTATCGTTTACCGAATGTGCTAAAAACTGAGAAATGGAAAAGTGAGTAACTTGCCTAAAGACCAGTTGAATGCGGAATGAAGGCATAACCGTAAACTTCAACCATCAGACATGTCCGAGGCGCGCAGTCCATTTTGATGAATCGATTATCGATGGCTTGATTGGTAGGATCCACCGACTAGTCGGTCGTCGTTTAAACCGTCGGCCGAACCGGCCCGTAACCATTCCACGGCAAGCCTATGCGGTAAAACAAGGATGAATGCTACTTATTTTTTAAAACTTCTACTTTGTTTTTTATAATAAAATATTATTTTTTCTTCAAATTTCGTGAGGAAAAGCTATATACAACATCCACGACCACGGGCGCCGACGGACGCGGTTCAGTTAACAGTTTATGGATCCGTAATCGGTCGGGTTAAGCGTTCGTATGGGCGTTACTCCTGCAGTTTTACTACGAGTAGACAATTTGATGGACTTTCTGCCCGCGCAGCGATTTCATCAATTTCTATGGGGACGAATGATTCATGGGGACTTTCCTATCCTCTGCCTATCTCTGAGTCTTACTGACCATGTTCGTCTATGCAGATTTCCTTCTAGCGCTGTGGAGACGCTGTCGGCTGTGTGGTGTCCTTATTACAGAAACCTGTTTCCCTGCCTCCGCAGAATCATATCAAACTAATCAAAGCAAGGCATAACCCGTCCTTCCAGGCGGGCGCCGTAAGGCCCCGAATCCCGGGATACGGAAGGGCATCGTAGTTCATGGCTTACAGAGTAGTCCGGTCGAACAAACGCGGAAGCCGGAAGTAACAAACAAATTCCAAGGATCGGTTTGTGTACTAAATTATCGTAGCATTTACAATTAGTGCAGTGCAGACCGTGATGTCGTTCCTAATATAAATATAAATATTGCATTTATTGTGTGCACTTGTAAGAACATTACGCTGCACAGTACATACGGTTATAGCTTATACCGGTACATACGGTTATAACTTATACCATAGAAATCAGTCAAATCACCCTACTTGTAAGTTGTAGATGTAGAAGCAGTAGTCCCTACAGTTAGCAAAAAATGAATTTTCATTTATCTTTAATAATTATTTCGATATGTACAGTACGAACGCGAGCCCAAATGGCAATGCACTTCGCGAAACACACAAAATACGAGTACTGTACTTACTAACGTCTTACGGTATGCCGTTATGTGTTCGTTCCTGGTTTCTTACATTTTCAGGACGAATACTTCATACATACTGCGTGTTATTTCTGACATTATTTTCAGTTTTCTTCTGGGCCGGGCGGTAAGTAAGTACTTATTTTACTGGTGGTTAGTGATAGTAACTGTAGCTGATGTAGAACAATGACAACTGTTTTTCAGAATTTTATTATTCGATAAATCAGGAAAAACACATAAACAACCAAAAACAGATATAAAAAACGGAGCATAATTGGATAATACAGAATAAAAATTTTAGTCCAACGGGATTATTCTGCCAACACTGCTTTGTCGGTGTTAAGTAAAGATGTATGATACACAAACAAATCTCGTGTTCACGGCATACCAACTGTCCTCACTTCATTTGTGCAAACGAGTTTGTGCTCTTCTCTAGGGCAGAATCTTAATCTGAACATAAATCCAAAGCATTATGATGCTGACTGCGGAACTCCGGATGTGTTGGAAGCATGCAGGAAATCCGATGTCTTCGTTTTGGCCATTTCTTTCGCTTTCCGCGCCTGTTCCCGGAACGTCTCCGCTTTGGCCGTCAGCGCGCTAATTCGGCTGGAAAGCGATTCCGGGCCTTTGTCCGAGGCAGGGGATGCTGCGAAGAGGTGCTCCAGAATGTACAGGAAACCATTGGTCGTTTTGGTGGTGTTGCGCTTGTAGCGCTCCACACCGAAGGCCTGGATGGCCTTCGCGAAGCCGAAAACATGTGATTCTATGCAGGCGGATCGAGCCAGTTCGGCCATGGACGGATCGCTACTAACGGGTTGGTATACGCATTTTTCATCCACTGTCTGCAACGCAGGCCAATAATTACTCACAATGCACACAATTCAGTAAAATAACGAGAAAGCAAAATCAATGGAAATCTGACTAATTATAATATTTAGAAACAATGATGGTATTACTCGTCAATGAGTCGTCATAATGCATCGGGCATTTAAAACTACCGTAGATTAATTTTAAAGTACGTAGTCAGGAAGTACACGCCGATGACAGATCCTACAACCAGAGAATATTTTACAAAAGTATCGGTATTTTAAAGCGCAACGCAACTCAAAGATTCTATTCTATTGATACTTCTTTTTATGGATCACTCCTGTTTGTACAAGGAACGATTACAAAATACGGTAAATCGGGCAATGCATAGCTCTGCCTTCAAAACAGTAATTCAATTTTCTAAAATAGTAGTAATTAGCCTACTGCATGATTTTTGCGATGTTGCTCGCATGCAACATGCCAGCAAAATTTCGGAACAAGAGGCGACGCACCATGACTTTCGTGTAGCCGACATTCTTGGAATACGTCGTCAAGGTTTTATTAACGGGATCCACAATGGATTCCTCCACAATATACACGTGCTGGGGTCCGCGGATGAAGCGCTCGCCCCATTTGGGCATGTGGTTCGTCTTGGACAGCACCCTGATTGTCACGACTTTTCCATCGTCTGTCAGTCGTCGATCCAGTACATCCTCCGACAGCACATGCGAACTGCAAAATTGTGAATTCGTACAGCATACACCAACAGCCAACAGATACCACATATTTCAATTTTAAAGAAAACGCGAGACTGTTCAGTGCACTTTCAGCAACCCAGTGCGAATACTGATGTGAAACTGTGAAAGTCCGACCCTGAGTGCTGTACGTACCTATAAGGGTTCGGATATCGCAGCCAGAACGCGGTAACCAGCTGTTCCCAGGTGTAGGAAAACAGTGATGAACTGTAATAATACTTTCCCGAATGTTCGTGAGCGACCTGATCACTTTTCCCGAAAAACCAGTGTTTTGTCATGGTGAAATAAATCACAAAACGTTATGTGCGCTGCGTAGTTCCTTCACCTTCCTCGAGAACTCAACTGGGACAGAAAACCAGGTCAAAGTAAAGTGAATGAATGCACAGTGCTCGCTGTGTCTAAGCAGACACCGAGGGTAAAATTCACAAAAAGATACAGTAGCAACAATTAGACGCTTTGTAAAATTTGAGCAGAATACAATTACAGAACTGCTTAAAATTCCACAATGTTATCGCCGTCGTCTTAGAAGTTCAGAAATGTGACGTTATTACGTAAAAGTTAAAACTATAACCGGACCAGCAGGGAAATGTGAATTGCGAAAGCATGTGTGCGCCTCTGTTAACACCGCACGCCGGCCGCAAACCTGGCGAGGCTTTTTCGGCAAATTGTAACAGGCTTTGCAGTTCGATTACGTCATCCATTCAGAGTGCAGTCGGTGCACTATCATAAGTCACGGTGCGGCCGTGTTATATGTGTACGGACTCACAACGTTAACATCAGTCGATATGTATCGTCGTCCATCATTACCTTCTCTGAATTTCCGGCTAGTGCTGTTTTTCCTTCACGTCTGGTAAGCGCACTATTGTAGCTTCCACTTTGCATGGGAATTTCCTGGTCGCGCTCATGCTCTCCGACGCAACGAAATTTCTGGATTATGCTTGTGCGAGTGATCGCAATTCGCGAATATAGCCTTAACATCACTTTTTTGTGCATGTCGGTATTTACGTTTCAGATTCCGACGGTTACAAACGATATACCGATTCAGAAGCGTAACGAAAATTCCAACGATTATCATCAACTTTTGATAACGATAACCAAATAATAAATCTAAATAAACGCAAATAAAAGCAAAAAATATGAAACTGCTATCACAACATATCGATTACGAACGATTTGCTCAAAATACTACCACAGAAATACTAAATGCTATTACACTATCGCAAAAGGCCATTAGTGTTTTAATGGAAAGCGTACACGCATACAGATTCACATAAAATGAGCGAAGCGAAAATTAATGCGCCGGTTTTTCATCCGCCAGTGGCTGGCCCGCCACGTACAACTCCGTCGGAGGACATGCGCATATCAGATTCTGGTCGCCAAACAAATCATCCGCTCTCGAACAGCCCGGCCAGACTTTGTTGGTCGGGGTTATCTTGTTCGTCGGGAAGGCTGCTGTGCTGATCGAGTACGGCAGTTTCCAGTCCTTGCCGCCGCCGCCGATATCCCACTGCGTATGCGGTGCCATTTTCAACGGATTCACCTCCCGTGTCCATCCGTTACGAGACGATCCCGCCGGGATACTTTCAATCTCAGAGATTTCTTTCCGAATATCTGCATTTAACAAATTGTTAAACTGGTGCGCTGCATAAACAAAAGTTTTCTGTAAAATTATTGGCGGAAGTTCAATAAAATGTTGACAGTACAGCAAAATGTTCTAAGCAGTTTATTACTTTCCATTCAGCCTTTGCAAGGTCGTAAAGTATTGACTTACTGATAAGAGCATCACAAAACCTATCCAATTCAGCTAATGTTTCTGATTCCGTTGGTTCCACCATTAAAGTCCCAGTGACCGGCCATGACATCGTTGGAGCATGAAAACCTATGATGTACTGTATTTATTCTTCCTGAACTGTGCAGTATCAATATCACAACAGGAAGGATTGGAGACTTTCATGTACCGTAATCTTGCAGACGCTTCGCTATATCTACAGCTTCGATTCCGGCAGATTCTTTAAACCCGCGACAGTCCAGGATGAATTCATGAGCAACATATCCATGTGTTCCACGGCAAAGGATTCGGTAGTGGCTGCTTAGCTTGTGGGCCATATAGTTAGCGCTGAGCACGGCGATCTCCGTAGCACGATGGAGCCCTTTCGCTCCCATCATTTTTATATACGCCCAGGATATCGGAAGGATCCCTGCCGATCCAAAGGGTGCCGCACTGACGGCTCCGCACGATGTGCTTGTCTTATCCGATGAAAAGGGATGGTCCGGTAAAAATGGAGCTAAATGCGATTTCCTAGAAAAGAATCCCTTCGTCGTTGATTCAGAAAACATAAACCTATCTGATTCAATTTTACACAGGATATTTGCATATTAATATGAAAAATATTAAAAATATATTTGCATATTAATAAATATATTTGCATATTAAAATTTCAACTGCCATTACTGGATTCAATTCTTATGTAGCTATAGTATTCGGAACTTACACTCCGATGGGTCCCATGCCTGGTCCACCACCACCGTGCGGTATACAGAACGTTTTGTGCAGATTTAAATGCGATACATCGGAACCAAAATCACCAGGCCGAGCCAGTCCAACTAGCGCATTAAGATTAGCTCCGTCCAGGTACACCTGCCCACCGCATTTGTGGACAAGATCACACATATTCCTGAATTTCACAGAATTACTGTAGTTAATTATCACGAATCTAAATTCAAAAGCTGCTTTTACCGAATGGTGTCTTCGAAGACTCCATTGGTAGAAGGATACGTAATCATGGCGCATGCCAGTCTGTCGCGGTGCTGTTCCGCCTTCTTCTTGAATTCTTCCACGTTGATCGTCCCGTCCTTTGTGCAAGCTACCACCTCCACTTTCAATCCAGCCATCTGAGCACTGGCGGGATTAGTGCCATGCGCCGAAGCGGGAATCAAACAGATGTTGCGATGACCTTGGTTTGTGGCTTTCAAATATGCCATTATGGTTCGTAAGCCGGCATATTCTCCCGCAGCACCGCTGAAGAAAAATAAGCTGTACAAACTAAAATTTCAACATTGCCATTATCGTGGACAAAAATGTAGGAAGGCTAAACACAAATTAAAATAAACAGACACCTATGCATATAAATTTTATACCTGTTTGGCTGAAATGAAAATTTATCGTATCCCGTGATTTCACAAAGATCTCTTTCCAATTCCTTAACCAGCGTTTGATATCCTTTCGTCTGCTCGTGCGGAACAAATGGATGGATGTTAGCGAAGCCTGGCAGAGATACGGGCTAAAAACAGCAAAATGTTTGCAATCCTTCAAAAGAACATTTCCGCCGATGTGGTTGTATGATTGTATCAAAGATGATATACCACTCATACCATCATTTCTGACGCTGCATTCAGTTTCATCGTGCAGGAGCCGAGGGGGATCATAGCGTGCACCAGAGAAATGTCTTTATTTTCCAGTCGTTTAATATACCTCGTCAATTCTGTTTCACAATGGTGGATATTGAAAATTGGCTGCTCAAGGTATTCTGACTGACGTCTCCAAGGATGATCCATGTGGATAAGATTAGAACCAGGTAATGCAGCCTGCACTTTCTTTCCCGTATCGGGCAGCTTATCGGACCCCGTGATTTCTCGTAAAGCATCCGGAATCGTCGTTCGGACTCCAAACACATATAGTATGTCTTCCAGATCCTTCTGCGTAACGGTCTCATCCATGGCCACCCCAATGTCACCATCGTCGTAGTAGCGGAAGTTAATCTTTTTTTCTCGCGCACGCTCTTGAATTTGCCGCATAATGCTGGGATTGCTGTCCGGTACGCCCAGTTTAATAGTGTCGAAAAATGTTTTGTGGCGGAGAACATAACCACAGTGCTGTAGCACGTCGGCGGCCAGTAAAGCGGACGCATGACATTTGGATGCGATGCGACGGAGCCCGACTGGACCATGGTAAACCGCATACATGCTCGCCATATTCGCCAACAGCGCCTACATCAAATAAGTATCAGTATTACGTAAGCTGTAATAAAGAAACTGTTCTACTTTGTTACGTAATAATCAGTGAAAAAATTTAATTTAATTAAGGAATTAATCATTGAGCATAATCGAATTCAAGTTCGCAGAAAAAATATCACTAAGTACTAGAGTAGTTTTGCAGTGCATTGCATGTACTATTGCTATACCTGTGCAGTGCATATATTGCTGGTCGCTTTATCCCGCCGGATATGTTGCTCCCGTGCCTGGAGAGCAAGTCGGTATGCAACTGCCCCGTTCCGATCTCTGTAAGGATAGCATAATGACTATTTCGGTGCTGAATTATACCTGTGCTATTCAAAAATATCTTGGTACTTGCCTGGTAACGCCCACCATGCGACCCGGCATCTGACGTTTATATTTTTCAGCTACACTGAAAAATGCCGCGTGCGGCCCTCCAAAAAACAAAGGAACCCCGAACCGCTGCGTATTGCCCACAGCGATATCACATCCCAAATCACCGGGCGGAACCAACAACGTCAGAGATAGTAAATCAGTGGCACAACCCACAATTGCCTGTGCGAAGAGAAGAGCTTGGGTGCCGCAAAAAATTACAATTCACGAAATGCACTGATCGACGTACGCCTGAGCTTTTATTTTGGCAATTGCATGCTTCAAGCGTTCAAAATCTGGAACCCCGCCTTCTGTATCCGGATACTGGAACAACACACCACCAAAATCTTTTCCGGAAAGGTCCGCTTCCAAAAACGATCCAGATACCACCTCTACTCCAATCGGCCTATACGAATACACTTCTATGAGTAACTATGAAACGTGAAATACAATTCCCGCGACACTTTTAAAAAAAATGTTTACGGCGAAATGTGATTTACATAACTGCCATCCGCAGAAATTTCAACCGTCACAAAGCGATAGCACTGTGCAACAAAAGGTCGGCTAGCATCTTTTTTCCTTTTACAATAACTACATGAGCAAATAAACTTACTCGGCACGAGCCTTCACAACTGCGATGGTTTGTGGATGCATTTTGGCATCCAAAAAGAATTTTTTCCTCTTCGTCTGCCGGAATGCAAGAGCCATGGCCTCTCCAGCAGCCGCTGAAATAACCATAAAATTGCATACAACTGCAGTCTCGTTGTAACGTACAATCATGGACTGGATATCCTCCTGGTTCAAATTTTGTTTCGTAATGTTCTCACGGTTACGTACTGGCTTCGTCCAGCAGGGACGCATTGGCTATCGGCAGCCCAGTCATACTGCTGACCATTGTCTGGTAATTCAGCAGGCTCTCCAGTCGTCCCTGTGAAATCTCCGGCTGATAGGGCGTGTACTGAGTGTACCATCCTGGATTTTCCAAAATATTACGGACAATGGGAGCGACTGTGCGGGTGTTATAGTATCCCAGGCCGAGATATGAGCGCCAAACTTCATTCTGAGCAGCCAATTCACATGCTCGCATCATTAGATCATATTCGCCTGAGGAGACCATAAAACGAGCATTCATTATATGCAGTTCAGAGAATTACAGAATCATTACTGGTGGCACGGTGCTGTAATCTAACAACATGCCATTACAATGCTTAATACTGCTTCGCATACCAAATCTGTAGTTCTAAATGTTTAATTTTTCAAACACAGCAATAATGTACCAAGTGGTTTTTTATTTCAACTATACGGCATAATGATATGACAGGTACATCATTGACACCTCCTCAGAGAAAGAAATTTACAAAGTCAGAAGTGCCAGCTGTAAACAATATTAACGAGTAACCACCGTAGCAGTACACAGTACTTGCCGGCAAAAAACCGAAACACACAATATTAATATAGATATACGCACTTCATAACATTAGCAAGCTGGCCAGCATTCTTACATCGTATAAGTACTTCTATATACTATCGAAGATCGTGTTATACAAATAAAATTAATCGGTTATGTCTTTTCAAAATACAACAATATCAGTCAAAAACAAATACAGTATTCAACAGTTACTATATACAGAACTTCTATGAAAGTTTAATTCATACACAGAACACAGCGCCAAAGCGTTAACAACGTTTTTAATTCGCTGCACTCGTACGTACCTAAAGGAGCGTCCATCTGCAGTTCTCGGTTCAAAAGGATGTCTTCTGGTAAAGTTTTCTTCAGCAGGTCTTGAAAGTCCTTAAAGCATTAAACAGGGTAAAATGTTTGTGTAATGCATCAAAAACTGTTGAATAACTTATGCAGTAAGATGCAATAGCACAGATAATTTACCATAAGTAAATTATATTATCATTTGTGATTATTTATCGGTAATGATGTTATCCGTGTAGCTATTCTAATATTTTTTGACTTTTTGTTACCTTGGCCCTTGTTTACCTAAACCTTTTAAACATTAAGTTTTAACTTTTAATAGTTAATATCACACATTAATGCTTACAGCGTGCAGCTTTTACAAGCTGGGCATTACTTAATTACCTCGCATCCAATAAAATTCAGCATCTTATCACGCTCGGCTTCCCGCGGACCGATATGTCGCTGCGCAAAGTTATCATTCCCTCGGAAAAATTCTTGCAGAATCAGGGTATTCTGCTGATCATGTTGTTGCGAATCAGCAGAAGCACTGTTGTCTATCTGAACGCTTTTCGACGGACGGGGCACATTATGGAATCCGGTGGTGGAAGACACCAGCCGCAGCTGTCGGCCCTGTTGCGCCACATGATTCCGCAGACTCCACACATGGACGGTGGATGGTAGGGATGGACCAGGAGCTCCCAGCTTGCCAAGGATGCTCTGGAGGAGACGCGAACGGGAAAGCTACGGATCGCCATTATGTCAAGGTGAGACACGCACCCACAATTCCACGAATAGTAGAGCGCCTGCAAAAGGCTTAGCAGCACTGAAACTGTAAGTTGTACTGTTGCAAACCGTCTTGTAAAACCACGGCGAATATTGGATGAGTCACTCACATCAGCTGTTAGCTGCCTTGTTATGCAGTCGTATGCATGTGATGAGAAACCATTAAACGCAAAGTTATAGCACCGTACTTGCCAAAAACTTGGCAGGCGCTTCCGGTTGGATTGTTACGTACGTTGGAACTGTTGCAAGTTGCAACCATAAAGTGTCGTACGTTTATGTTCTCCTGTGCCAAGTGTCCCACTGTCCAGAGTGCAGTGTACATTGCTTTGCTGAAGTATTTAATGCGGTTCTTTGGTATTAAGGAATTATTGGGACGTTTTGGCGCATTGTGAATTTTTGCCCACTGCCAGCTCAGGTGGCTGGTGCCTTTCCGGTTAAAATGGGCAACGTAACGTGATAACAAAATATTAATACGAAGTTACCTTAAATTTCTTGGTGCTGATAACAGCTAATTTGTTAGAAATTTAAACGAACGACCATTCCAACGAAAAACTTTTTTTTGACTTCGCGGAAAAAAATTCACAGCAAAATATTTACCGATTCAATGCTACAGAACAATACCACAGGCCCAAGAGCCAAGACCACAGTACTCTAATTAAGTTAAGCTACCCAATCTACCGAAGCTGGTAATTCGCGTAATCGCGTTCAGACTGTTCAGTCCAAACATATTAAAATTATTAAGACCGTAGTCACCATACTAAGAAAACAAACAAAATAACAATACATGGCATTCCCAGCCTTAACTACCCCTTTCTTTGATTATTGATGTCCCCGAAGGGACGGGCCGATCCCAGAAGTACTGCAATACTGGGCCAACCCAGGCAAGGATGGAGCAAGCTCCAGAGCCTCGCCACGCTCCAAAAATTCCAGTGACAATCGGACCCCCAATGGGGGTCGCGGTAGTTGTCACACTACCGAGAACAGATACTACACTTTGATCTTAGCCAAAAGGCCGAGAAGCGATACCGTTGTGAAAGTTGAGCTAGCTGAGTGCAGCTGTTGAATAAATTACCGACGGCATTTCGGTATCACTTTTTAAGACTTCAGTTCAGAGACTGTTATCATTGTTTTTCAAAATAAAACATTCCATAATATATTTAAATTTTAGTCTAACATTTTCAAATTCAAAATTGAAGAAAATCTGAAACAGTTCTGGAGATAACACGATCGAAACCGTTGACTATTTGGGGATTTCGCTTTATGGGTACGTAAAAGCCGCTCATGGCACCATACGAGACAACTTTGGCGGCCAGTTGTAAGAACTTTTGTTGGGCACTTTAGTACAGAACCGTCACTACAGATAAGTATTTACTCTGCTCGTACCGTAACTTGCTGTATCATCCAATCTCCAGTATTCTCCACATCTTGAGAAAACATCTGATCTCCACATTAAACTGTTCATTCCATTCAAAATGTTACATATTTAAAAATAATTGTATGAAAGTTTCTGCATGCACTGAACAGCGTTTTAACTACAAATTTTTAAATGTTTAGTTCGATTTGCAGTCATGGCTTACAAAGGGTACGACAGGAGCAAACAGGACCTAAAAATACCAGTCTAGGACACCAACTCTCCCAAATTTAAACCTCTGTATAAAAAAATTAGAAACGGCTGATTATTAGAAGTTTGCACTACTGTACCTCGGTTACTCTCTATACATCTGGCCATTATTCTACTGCACAGTATGTTGAATATATACATACACGTACGTAGACGGTAGAAGTCCTTGTAGAGTATGTAACAGTCTGATAAAGTAATATTACCAGTCTGATGTGTCCATTTGCAGGAGTAAAAAGTGTCTGCAACTGGTGAAAGCAAATGCTTATTGCAGTCTATGAATGGAAGCGCATGTTTACAAAGATGTGCAAATAAGTCAACATGGCGGTCTAAACAAAATTCGATAACATTCTTGGTCAAATATTACGATGAGGTTCAGTTCATTGATATAACTGGCTATCTGTTTGATTATTATTAATTAATGATTGTTGATTGAAAAGTTCAGCCTTGGTCAAGCTGGAGACATTGTTGCATAATATGGTTAATTTTGCTTCGTTGGATCAGTGTTAAATTGTCGCAATATGCACAGCGGTCACTGACAGTGCGACATTTGATTTCTCTCATCACTATTCATCGCTCAGATTGCTCATTGAAACCGGCATCGACATCCGGTGATAGTTTTCCGAAAGTATTCCCAATTATTTTGACCCATGATGACTTTCTTATAATTATACCTTTCCGGATGTTCGACTGCTGAGCACAACTTGTTTATTACTGTGGTTCAATATGACGCTGTTACAGGAATACTCGATAATTTTGCTTTCGCACATATTTACCGCTGTTTTTCTTATTTCGAAGGTAAAACCAACCGAAAAATGGCAGATAATACAATACTTGCCCCGCCGCAAACCATCGGGCATTTACGAACTATTTGTTATTCCTGTTTTCAGATTGATTGTATGCGCCAAAATGTTGGGAAGACTCACCGCTATCGCAGCAGCGGCAATAACGCAGTGGTCGACAATATGGGCATTCCGCTGTGTCCGGATATTCCGGCGCGGTACGCTTTCCTCAAGCCGAACACCAAAGTGGGAGATATAATTTCAGGAGCCCCACCGGTAAAGTATTGATAATATTTTAAAAAATATTCTGTCGGTCATGTTTCTGTTGTGCCCTTTCAGAGTGCAGCTGGTTTTCCATCTCTTTATTATATAAAAGATGGCAATGAACATCGACTCTTCTCAATCGACAAAAACAGGTTTTTGAAATTTACTGTTATGCACTTTTGTTCAAACAACCATTGTTTAATAACATTTTTGAACTTTTATTTCAGCGGAAAAGTGTACGTTGCCACACCCATATCTTTGCCGCTCCTGATGATGAACCACAAACTGACGATCATCGTTTCTTCCGGATTAAAAGTAATTAAGGAACATCCTTTATGCTGCGACTGTGCAAATGCTGCAGTGATATGTTTTATGTGCAGACATGTTCCTTGAAAATTTTCATCCAAGCTGCCGCGTTTAAGCAAGGCTCCGAGCGCTCCTTTCTCGTCCCATCACCGCGTGTCGATCTGATGGACAAGTTGCCGAACAAGACACCGTCGATCCGGAACCCCGGCAGCTCTTCCTGCCCGGTATCCCCAATGATCCACGCAACGGAATGCCGTTGGAGAGCGATCTCAGCCCACCTAATCCCCCTCCGCAACAACAAAATGTCGTCCCCAATCCAGCCTTCAACATCGCTCCGAATCCACAAGATGCTTTAATGGGCGCGGTATATGTTGTTCCCCCACAGCAGAATGCGGTATTTACCAATCAGTTGAACACGATTCCCAATCAACCGTTCAATATTTTCACCACGGAACTGCCCATTCTCACCACAACCGCACTGGACCAGTTGGTGACCTCTCCCTTCGTCCCGGTGCCGGTCGAAGCCATGGATATGTTTATCAGTAAACAAGCCGCTCTGCCGCCTGCATCCGGTTTCGGCGCCCAATCTCAGTCTCAGCAGGTGATCAACACCAACGGCATCATTTCCCAGTTCCCGGTCCTGCCCAGTGCCGGTGGTAATTATCCGTCGGCCACGCAGGATAACACGCAACCGGCATCCAATGCCACGCTGCAGCGGCCCCCGCCGAGCTGCTCGCAGCCGCTGTATACCGGGATTGTCTCGGAGAACGCCCCGATTGGAACGTTTGTGGTACGGGCTATCGCCACGGGGGATCGTATTCAGTGGAGTATTTCCGATACGGCGTTTGAACGGTTCAGTGTAAATCCCACGACCGGGGAGGTGTCGGTGGCTGGATCGTTGAAAAGGCGAACCAGGGCGGCCATGGAGTTTAAATTACGAGCGACGGATGCATTCGGACTGGTAAGTTCAAATGACGTAAACCGTACACGCTAAGTTATAAGTAAGTTATAGTAATACGTTAAACAACTAGGTACGTGGATGTAACGATGTTGCTTTTGAGATAAATAATAATGTATACAATACACCATATATTTATTTGATAATGGAAATTCCTAATAGAATAACAGCTAACGAAACCATTTATAAAGTGATTATAATTATGATTAAGGTGATTTTATTAAGGTTATTATAATTTGGTAACACCATGTTTTTTGACGGCTTGGTTTTAGTGGTGCGATGCAGTAGTGAGGATCAACGTGGTTTCCGACAGCTCCGCCACACCATCCAATTATCCACCGTACTTCACTCAAAATTACTATTATTTCACGATTCAGTGTGGAACCAGTGGTCAGCGAGTTGGTTCGGTGGTAGCATCGGACACTGACGCTGGTCAGACTATTTCGTATCAAGTCATCAATACCAAGTATACACGCGTGATCTATCGAATAATGTCATTTGCGATATACTCCTATTGGTATGATAATATATCCCCTTTTGCAGCGAATTTTCCGTTGATGCTAATGGAAACATTCAGTCTACAACGCCCATTCAGACGTCATCCCAACGAACCTTTGTAGTCACCGCTGTGGACACCGGCTTCCCGCCACAGACGGCTACCACGACGGTAGTGGTCAGTGTGGCCGGAAGTTGTGGTGCTGTCAACAATGCCAACACCCCACCGACGTTCTCGCAGACCAACTATGTGCTCAGCGCTTCGTGTCGGGTTAACGGTGTTTTTGTCGGCATGATTTCGGTAAGCGTTCCCTGTGTTGAAGCTGCATAAAAGGTATTTCATTCTCGTTTAGAAGGTGGTTAATAAAATGCTTTATACTACTATGCAACCGAAACGAATGTACATTGTACGAGTGTCAAATATCACCTAATTATTTAGGCACGGGATTACGAAAACAACGCTATCACATACACACTAAGAGGAACAAAGTAATATTCGTAATTTTCTCTTTTTATTTAATAGAAATGTTTATGTGTGTTACTCTATGATTTCAGCGAATTTAACATTAATCCAACAACCGGTGAACTACGCGCTCAGGGATCCTTAAACGATGCTGCACCGCGAACGTTTTCTGTTGTCGCTACAGGTTTGTAATGGAATGCACTTTACGGTGCACATAATATTTATAATTTGATTCACTGGAATGGAGTAAATTAAGTTATATTTCGCTCCGATCCTGCAGCTGCTCATTGTTAATGAAAACTGTAAATGTGTAAGGTTGTACTGACAAAAACTACTTGGCTGTTGGGTTTCATGTCTTGCAAATGTACTGCCTGCAGCTGCGTTTTTTAACTGTAGACAATGGTGTTCCTCCAATGTCCTCTGTTGCCACTGTCAGTGTCAACGTGGCGAACTGTAGTCCGCCAAATAATCCGCCGACATTTTCACAAAGTGCATTCCAGTTTACCGTTCCTTGTGATACGGTGATTGGAACTACTATCGGATCAGCTCAAGTAAGACACAGTACACTGAATATTATTCAGTATTGTACAGACTGGCGTGTAAGGAAGTCGGGAAATCCTAATAGGCAATATACTGTAAATTACCATACTTTTTCTGAATGAACATCAACCGTAAAACTGGTTAGCTACAAATAATTTAATTGCCATTAAGCTGGGTGTTGAAGATTAAATAATTGTTTAACATGGAATCAGCTTACAGTGGCGCGGCGATACACTGATCTGATTAGTATTAGTAACGGCGCGAAATAATTATACAGTAAATGCTCTGCGGTGTGACAATGGTTTAAGCGCAAGGTCATGAGGAGTCTACGGCTGCACACTGCGCTGCCGGAAGAAGAGGATTTACTCCTAATTACAATACATGAAGCTGTGTGCCAGTCTACACAGCTTCCTCTTACTCTTTAATTTATGCTGTTCATTTGCAGGCCTACGACAGCGAGGCGAACCAGATAGTTTATTCGTTGACGGGAACTCAGTATGTCGATCCCTAAATGTATTTCCCAAAAGTGCCCGTTTTGTTGACGTGCATGATCTTATGCAGAGAGTTCAGCGTCAATTCTGCGACGGGATTAATGAGTTTGACTAGTCCGTTGCAAGGCATTGGAGTTAGACAATATGGCATACTGGCTACGGATAATGGACAACCACCTTTATCGTCCAGCGCCGGTATTACTGTCGTGGTCAACGGAAACTGCGGTCCACAGGCGGCGACGACGACACCGACTCCGGCTCCCTTTACGGCTGTAAGGATGCTCTGCATACTGATAATTGTAGAGCAGTGGTTTTAGCTGTCGGTTGAACACTTTTAGTAAGCGGTAAGGTATAACCTTTAATCTTTAATCAAACTGCGCTGAGGTTGTTGTCTACTAAAACCTTTTTTTCTTCTGCTTATTAATAGTTAATAGACACGCGCAGTTTTAGCGAATTTCTTTATTTCTCTTACTACAATTATGGAGGATTTCATACATATGACAGTGCATTACTCTGAGTGTAGGCGAATCTATGCCAAATTATGTTCCTTACGGTATCATTTACCGTTAGGTTTTGGCGTACCTTTATGTTATCGCTCATTCTTTGAATGACTTGCATTGTTTTTACGCGATATTCAGAGTTTTCTAGAACGTATTTGATTGTCTGTTTGTCATTGAGTCGTTGGTCGAGTGTAAATTTACCTGAGAACAATAATTTTAGCCGCCCACGCCTTTCACTTCGCCTCCGCTGTTTTTAACCACAGCCCCCAGTATACCCACACCTCCATTCTTCCAGCAGCAAGTGTTTTCCGGAACAGTGCCATGTCTTACTTCCGCAGGATCCACTATTGGAACATTCCCAGTACAGTTTAATATCTTACTGCAGTTGCATTTTTTGCAGTACTTAATGTTGTTAAAAGCGGTAGAAAAATCAAGAGCCTTGCTTACGAAAGATGAATGTTTTACATTTTCATAGGCGACGTATTCAGCCGGCCAACAGTTCCTCACATATTCGCTGGCTGGAACAAAGTGAGTTGGGTTTGAACCCGAAGCCCATACATATTTAGAAAACAACGCTTTATTTAGCGAATTCATTGTGAATAATAACGGAGCCATCACAAACGCGGTGGTACTTCCCTCTGGAGCTACTAGGACATTCACGTTAGTGGCATCAGGTCAGTACCTCACTCACTGCTTATGAAGTGCACACCAGTACGTCACTGTTAGTTACCGGAATTCTGGTGCGTAAAAACACAGAAGTGTGTTAAAAAGTTAAAAATCAGAACATTTTTCTGTTGTTACTTGTTCTTGCCTGCAAAAAGGAGATGACGTCTGCTGGTCATACTGAAGTTTTAGTTACGGAAAAACGCCGGTATCAATAATCAGAACAAATGCTGCGAAGTGTAATCATTCTGCACACAATTCTTTCCATACCTGTAGCTGTGGTTTGCGATCATCAAATTTGGCAGTCTCACGCCGTTGTGTATCAAAATAGTTTATTTTTTCTGTGTATAACTGTCTGTTACTCACTATAGACCCTCGTTACCCTTCTGCAACGGCCAGCGCACAAATTATCATCAACGTCGGGATTTGCCCTCAGACGCCACCAACAACCTCTGCACCGATTCCGCGTCCAGCTTTCCCGCAAAGTCAGTACGTGGCAACGGTGTCCTGCATTACTTCGCCCGGATTCGTCATTGGAACCATGACTGTAATACAGCAACCTGTTGCGTAAAACGAGTATGAATGTGATGAAATAAAGCCGGCCCATTTTCAGGCTCAATACTCGCTCCCGCAACAATTGACATATAACCTTGCCGGCACAAAGTACTTCAATCTGCTTAATATCTTGGCACCGATTGCGATTAACGTTGTGCTTTCCTAGCGCTTTCACCATTGACAATTCGGGAAGATTGACAAATACCGTGCCATTGGATGGTGCCGTAGTTCCTTCATACACATTTACGGTTATTGCTTCCGGTAATAATTAAAGAGCCTATAGCTGTTTGTTTTGAAGTACACACTGGTGAATATTACAATTCGGCGTACAATTTGTATTTTTCGCAAGTGCAGAATTCAGTGCAGCCAAATCATCTGTTGTGTGAAACAGCTGCTGTATCCACCGAGTGCGCCAAATCCCTGTTTTTGCCTTAGATTCCAGAAATACAGCATCCAGTGCGACGGCTGTCGTTGTGATAAATGTCCAGCCTTGTATAGCATCTACGACCCCAACAACGACTGCCATTACTACACCCCCTGTAGCACCGCCTAGTTTCCAGTTAGCACAGTATTTCGCCAATATTTCCTGTTTAACAACGCCGGGATTTCTGATTGGCACAATTACGGTTAGCTGATATTTTATGATAATGCTTTATAATGGATGACAAATTCGTATGTGTTTGGTTTTGTTAGGCACAATACAGTCGACCGCTTACGTATTCTTTGGTGAATACCAAGTAAGTGTTTCTTTCTGAATTTCGATAGCGGAAACAGGTTGTCACAAACTGCATTTCAGCGCATTCACTGTGGACAATTTTGGCCAAGTGACCAACACAGGACCAGTAAATGGAGCTGTTGTCCCTACCTACTTCTTCTCCATTGTGGCACGAGGTTAGCGCAATTTAATTAACGCGTTTTCTCTTTCCTAAATTCTTATATGCAGCTAAGTTATTATACTAATTGAACTATCGAAATAAAACAAAATCGAATTTCAGATTCTGTACGTGCGCATTATACCTTTGCTGTATACGCACCGCGGCGCATGCATATTAAGCGACTTATGTTATATTATTCCAATGCAAACAAAATAATTTTTTTCCAGACACAGCAAATCCGGCGATCAGCGCCACCGCGCAAGTAGTAATTTCCGTAGGGTCCTGTGTTGCGCCCGTTGCCACAACTCAGCCAACACTGCCTCCAACTGTCCCGACTGCCCCCACACCGCCTCCTTTTGTTTTCACGACACCACCGTTTATCTTTACCACTCCCCCTTTTGTCTTTCCTACGCCGGGTCCTACAACATCTGCTCCATTTCTTCCTACTCCTCCCCGTTTCTCACAACAGCAATACGTTTTTAACATTGCCTGTCAGAACAATCCTGGTTTTCCTGTTGGCGCTGTATCGGTAAGCCGTAAGGATACCAATACGTTTTGTCAGAAATGTAAAAAGTTGGAATTGTCAAAATTAATCGTGATTATGTTTGTCCATGAATCAGCAATCTATCTGAACAGTGTACGGTACGGTACAGTGTACGGTTTCTGTATCTGCGAGAAAATCTTGACTTTTTGTTTAGGTGCAATATCAGCAGCCGCAACAACTTACGTTGACTTTGACTAATACCAAGTGAGTGATCTTTACGAATTTTAGCTTTTTGGTCTTCGTAAAAATGTTGTCGTTAACTATTAGTTCTGAACTATTTTACTCTTTAGTGATTTCCGTATCGACAATTCTGGCCAAATTACAGCAAATGTTCCAATGAACGGCGCTCAAAGACCGGTGCACAATTTTAATGCTGTTGCTCAAGGTAAGAGCGAAGAAATAAAAAGAAAATTCGGTGCTTTTCAGTGTATTGCATTAATTTCAAGAAGCACTGCGGCAATTGCATTTGTGCTTTGTTTATCTGAGATGTCTGAGAAAACCTGTAACATAGATTCACCAGATTTAATTTTCGGACAGATTCGTTCAACCCGTCCCTTTCCGCCACCGCCCAGATCGTGGTAAATGTCGCTGCCTGCTCCTTCACAACACAACCCACCTTCCCGCCAACATTGCCACCAACTACACCGGCTCCGCTCCCTCCACAGTTTCCACAGGGACAATATGTGTTCAACGTGCAGTGTCTGAGCAACATAGGAAGCCCAATCGGCACGACCATAGTCAGTATTGTGCTTTGCTGGCATTGGTGTACATCTCCTGTTACTTGTACTAACTGCAGAAATCTGTTTCTTTGCAGGCTCAGTATTCACAACCTCAGCAGCTTGTCTACAATCTGATTAATACAAAGTAATGATGAACACATAATTAATGCCGTCCATAACACTTTTTATTCTCCATTGCTGCTTTTTGTAGCTCGTTCGCAATAAATAACGGCGGCCAGATATCCAACACCGTATTGTTGAACGGAGCTATTCAGCCGTCGAATACGTTTACGGTGGTTGCTGCTGGTATGTATACGGTTTAGTAAAACTAAATAATTTTCTCTGTGATTGGTTTTACTTTCATGTCAGTGTCTCGCTGTTAGATTCAAGAAATCCGGTTTTAAGTGGAACTGCACAAATCATTGTCAATGTGGCTGCTTGCATTACACCCGGTACACCCGCTCCCGTGACCTTCCCGCCGACACTCCCTCCAACGCAACCTCCGCGTCCAGTTTTCCCGCAAGCCCAGTACACCGCTAATGTTTCTTGTTTGACGTCTGTTGGGTTTTTGGTTGGGACGATAACGGTTTGTGACCATTCTGAACACTTCTCCTGTGTGCTATCTTCACGATTTCGGCTTTTCTAGGCCCAGTATCCACAGCAGTTGGTATACACACTGCAGAATACGAAGTACGTGGTATAGGGAGCTGATTTATTTTTTGGGTGATGGAAATTGTATATGACTTGTTATAGCACTTTTAATGTGGATAATTTTGGACAAATTCGGAATGTGATTCCACTTAACGGAGCCCAGCTTCCTTCGTCCACATTTTTTATAGTTGCCGCTGGTAAGTGCACTGGCTTCTCTGACATCCGTATCTTACGCTATAATTATAGTACATATTACGATAAACGTAAAATGTTGTATATAAATGCTGAATGCTGTAAACGAAATTTAAAAAGTGCAAAATGCTATTTTCTGAATTCCGTTTCCTCCTTTTTGTGTTGTGCGCAAGTTTAGTTTCAGGAAAATTATGCATATTTGCACCTTGCACAAAAAAATGTTGTTGAGTAAACAGAAAAACATTTCTGGCGCTATATGGTCTTTTTACTAGATCCTTCGAATCCGTCGAACAGCGCTTCGGCCCAGATAACCGTTTTTGTCGGCGTGTGTCCCACACCACCCCCAACGACTTCTGTCGCTGTATTTACACCTCCTGTTACGTTCCCCACTCCGCCACCGGTTTTCACATTCCCAACGCCACCAACCACACCGCGACCCACCCCTCCGCAGTTCTCGCAGTCACAGTATACGGCTTCTGTGGCCTGCCAAAGTCAGCCTGGTTTTCCCATAGGCACCGTGACGGTAATAGCTCAATGGTTGATCCCAACTGGCAAAAGAAATTAAACGAAATTAATGTGGTCGCTATATTTCCAGGCACAGTACTCCCAGCCTAACCAGCTCAGTTACACGTTATCCGGAACAAAGTAATAACCGCTTTGCTGACAGGTTTCAGTTCGGATATCTTTCAGTTTTTTCTTAAAGTGACGGGATGATTCAGTGTACATCGAATAAATTGTGATCAAACTGGCTTCAGTTTATGGTTGACTTGTAGCTCCTTCTCGGTAAACAACGCGGGCCAAATCACGAACACAGTTCCGCTGGATGGAGCATTCATTCCGACACATACGTTTACCATAACAGCCATCGGTATTTTTAAGCCCATTAGGATAATTATTATAAACCGAAGATATGACAATTGATTTGACTTTTTAGACGCAAGGAATCCATTGTTAAGTGCATCAGCGCAAATCCTGGTCACTGTTGCTGCGTGCACTACAACGACGTCCGATTCCCATAGTGACTACGCCCCAACCGCGCCCTCCTGTATTCTCGCAAAATGTGTACTTCGTGACTGCGGCGTGTTTGAGCAATCCTGGCAGTACTGTCGGAAGTGTGCAGGTACAAATTCGCTGCGTTTAGTTACTGATATGTGTAAATGTTCACAATGGTGACCTTTTGTGATAATAGGCAACAGACCCGTCCGGAGCGCCGGTAGTTTATCGGCTAACTGGAACCCCATCGTGAGCGATCTTTAGTAGTTCTTCGCTTCGAACTTAACTTAAATGAAGCTTTTCAGAGAATTCGATGTCGACATTTCGAGAGGAAATATTGTCGTTACCCGTCAACCAACAAGCTCAGGATTCCGCACGATAATCGTAGTGGCGACAGGTACTTACCTGTACAAACCATACTGAAATGTATTGCAATGCATAATGTACCTTACGTAAATGGAGTAAGTGTTAAAGTACCCCTCTGTCGTTAATCCTAAGTTTTGCCAGGGTTCTGATAACTATTTTGCGCTTATAAACAGTATGCTGACATTGCGCACATTTTCTTACACTTTACATGAATGGATTTAAATTTATAATCCGAAATGTTCTGATTGTGAAATGCAGGAGTGAATCCATCTCTGACTGCCTCGGCCACAGTCCAGATCGTCATCAACGAACCTTGTACATCGCCCACTCCGGCTCCCTTCACCAACCCGATAACCTTTGCAACCACACCAACGCCGATTATCACCACAACACTACCGGTTACTCTTCCTCCTCCGCCGCGTTTCACACAGGGACTGTACTTCTTCACGTACGGATGCGCTTCCAGTAGTAATCAACCAGTCGGTTCCGTCCAGGTACAGAATAAACGTGCACTTATACTGTGATTGCAGTACTGCAGAGTTACAATTTACAGGCTACAGGAAATCAGATTACATACTCCTTGCAAGGCACCAATGCCTTTACTATCTCCAACACGGGAGAAATCCGTGCGGTGTCGCCTCCACAAGGATCGCAGACGGTGACCTTCCAGGTAGTGGCCAGTGACAATTCGGGTGGGGCGGTACGGGCCGATGTGGCACAAGTTCAAATCTCCGTATCAGCCTGCACCACACCGCAACCAGCCCAACCACCGTTCTTCCAACAAGCCACGTACAGTATGGTTATCAGTTGTCCGTCGTCGCCTAACGTCCTTGTGGGAACAGTTACCGTAAGTACATTCTCATCCCTTTGCGAATATAATATACTCATAACTTTATGTAAAAATATTACGAAATGCTTCAAGTTCTCGCTCTACTACTCTGTAGTACACGAATTATCCTTGCAGGCCCAGTATTCGCAGCCACAGAACCTCGTCTACAATCTGGTTAATGCCAAGTATGGGAATTAATTCTTGCAACTTCGTTTCCTTTTTTACGGTTGTGTGTATAAATTTTGCAGTCAGTTTTCGGTGGATAATCGGGGCGAAATCAGAAGCACCGTTCTCCTCAACTCAGGATCAAACTATTTCTTCACCGTTACTGCATCAGGTTATTTCTTTAATTTACTGATAAGAATTATTGTGCCTGGAGTTAATACGTTTTTGCAAACGCAGACAATCGAAATCCGTCACTGTCGGCTTCCGCTCAAGTTTCCGTAAATGTTCTTCCATGCACGACGTTGCCGTTCACCGTTCCGACACCTCCACCGATCTTGACTACTCCGCCCGGTGCTCATCGCGTTCACTCAGGCGCTCTATTCGTTTTTGGCGACTTGCCCTATTACTGCTAATCAAGTTGTTGGAAGTGTGCAGGTAATTACGTGATTAACATTCTGCGTGTTCTTGGGAATCTCTACCGCCGCTAATTTCAAATCATGGTGAGATGGCATATTTTATTGGGATGGAATATTTTATCACAACGTTCAGTTTAGAAAAATGTTCACGCTCAAAGCACCTGTTCGATATAATCTTGCACGATTTAAAGACGTTTGTGTAGTATTTGTAGCTGTGCCGTTGGTTTCTTAGATCAACATCCATTAAACTCAATTTTTTTTTGTGAACATCCGTTTAACTTTTGTGCTAGAGAAACAAGCTGCAACGTAAAACTTTCTTTAATTTGTACATTGCAGGCATTTGGCACGAACATCCGATACGGACTATCTGGAACAACCAATTTCACCATTTCTCAATCGGGACAAATCAGCACAGTGGGAACTCTCCAGGGACCGCTGCTTCTGCCGTTCCGTGTGACTGCCACCGGTCCGGACGGAACATCGGTTGGTGCGGACGTGCAGGTATCCGTCCCATCCTGTCTAGTTCCGACGCAGCCCACCCAGCCACCTCCAGTAACACCAGCGACCGTCACACCGACCTTCGCACAATCCGCGTATACATTTACGATCGCGTGCCCAAGTTCCGCCAATATTCTCATTGGAACCATTACGGTACATTATCCATATTCGAATGCCGGACTATAGAATCGTTATTAACATGTGCATTGCAGGCGCAATATTCCCAGCCGCAGAATTTGGTATACTCATTGTTTAATTCCAAGTAAGCTCAGATGGCGCGAATACTTTATAGAAGTGCGAGCTTTGTTTCACAAGTGACCTTTTGTAGTGAGTTCTCCGTTGACAATTTTGGAGAAATTCGGAGCACTGTGTTACTGAGTCCGGCAACTTCCTATACTTTTGCTCTTATCGCTACCGGTAAGATCAACATAGCACCGTCAAAACGGCGCTGTGTGCATTTTCCGAACTGTTGTGCGACTTGAAATACGTATCGCATGTGGCTTTTATCAACATTAGACGCGAGAAATGCCGCCGCGGTAGCGATTACCCGGGTGACGGTAGAAGTTAGTCCTTGTGGTGGTCAAACAACACCGCCTTCCATATTTGCCACCACTCCCGAACAGTTAATTGGATTTAACCAAGCAGCATACGCTTTCACTACCACTTGCCAAGTTCCCGCGAACCAGATTATCGGAAATGTTCAGGTAGAGCGCGGAGGCAGTGTTGCTGAACTCTGTATTTCATAAACAAAGATTGCATATGCCTTGCACAAAGATTGCATATGCTTTTCTGATAAATAAGTAACTTCAGATAAATAACTTTTTTCTGATATTTCAAGCAGCTGCAAATCTACTGCAGTTTTAATTTTTACTAGGAAAGCGAAAAGTGCAAGCTGAAAATATGTATAATAATAAGCAAAAGATTTGCAATCGGTTTAGGGTCATTTGGTTACTATAATGTACATTTTAGGGATACGGAACTGGAATTCGGTACAGTCTAACCGGCACAAACACCTTTACTATCTCGCCGACGGGTCAGATTAGTACCTTGGGGCCATTGCAAGGGCCACAGGTAATACCATTCCAAGCCACAGTCAGCGCTCCGGATGGCACATCCTTCAGCGTTACCGTTAACATTTCCATTCCGCCTTGTCTTGGTCCGACACTGCCGCCGCTGGTGACACCGGGTCAACTGGTTTCCACTCCGACACCCAACGCTGCGCCATACTTTACCAATCCCACATATACTTTCACGATGGTGTGCAATAGTCAGCCGGGAACATCAATTGGATCAGTTTATGTAAGTTTTTGTATTTATTGTTTTGCCTGTAGACATTTCACTAATATTCGTTGATGTGTTTTGTAGGCCATCGATGATAGCTCACAAGTCGTATATTCTGTTCAATCGCCAAGGTAAGAGTATTATGGTATTTAAAGTAGCAGCTGACTACAAAAACAAGAATAGCCATAAAGCGTGCTATCGCATCTTCGGTAAAATTATTAAAGTCTCTAACGCATAAATTGAAGCGCAAGAAGTGATCGCATAAACTGAGATCTGCAGCTCTAGTACACGTATCAGGAGAAACTGAGATTGATTTAGCAACCGTGCAATAAATAACTGAATTGGTTGGAAGAAGTGTAGCGATTATATTAAATTATAGTTTCACCATTAACCGATCGTCTGGTGAAATATTCACATCTTCCCCGATTACATCCAACACGCCCATTACGTTCACGGTTACAGCGTCGGATAACCAAGGACTGTAAGTTTAGTATACCGTACGATAAACCCAATAGAAAGTGGCCAGAGCTCTTGAGAAATCTTAATTCGTCTGCAGAACTGGTCAAGCCAGCGTGACAGTTTCCGTAAATGGATGCGGCGTACCAACACCGAGTGTGCCAGTGATCAATCAACCAACCGCGATTACTGTCAGTGTGTGTGATCCAGCGACGAACATGGTCGTGCCGGGTATGGCGTTAGGATTTGTATCGGCATCCAGTCCTTCCGCTGGCAATGGACCAGCAGGTGGACTCCAGTTTACAATATTAAATGACCGGAGATTTTCTGTGAATTCCGCTACGGGACAGATTTCGGCTGCGGCCACCTTAGGTACAATGTTTTGTTTGTTGGTACTTCTACTATGCACAAATAAAATAGCAGATTTCAAAACTGACCGTAATTCGTTTTACAGTAACTAACATCTTACGTCATGAACGTTTATAAACACTCAATTAAATGTACTCGTAAAAAGGTATCTTAATATTACTCACCCTAACTGTGTATGTAATATTGTTTTGTGGTATGAATGGAATTGTGGTGCCACGACCTTATATATAGTGCTGAGTGCATAATAGTAAACAGCCCATTTTGTTGTTGCAGACAGTGGTAGTTATTTGTTCCAAGTGCAAGTGGTTGATCCGCGATTACCCCAACGTAAGACTATGGCTGACATTGTTATTTGACTTATTTCTATAAAAATTTGGCTGCCATTCTAACACTTTCATGCTTCGTTTAATTCCAGTGAGCAGCAGCGCCACGTTCACTGTTATTGGTAAGCTGCGTTTTTACTTATACAGTTTGCTCATTTGCCCGTACCCATTATACAGTACTCTAATTTTTAGTCGATTGCACTTCGATAACCTACCGACCATGCAATCCGGCATCCGTGGAAGCGACTGTCAGCGAAGGGTAACTTTGAGCTTCCACTATTTGTAAAGGTCATCGCTGCAGCTAAATAAACTTGTTTGTTGAAGGGCTGCGGTTGGAGTAACCGTGATCACTCTGTCTGTAAGTGTTCGCGGAGCAAAAAACATGATTATGATGATTATCTCGAAAATGGCTACGTGCAATAAACAAACAAACCTTTCTCTTACACATGAAGCACATTCGTTGGGAAAGTGAAATCGTCCTGCTTGAAAATAAAATGTATTGGTTATAGGGGAATAACGTAGCGCCCGTTAACAATCGTCCCTATTCCTCTCCGTACACCTCCTCATCGTCTTCCTATTACAACAACATCCCCACCTATTATTCTCAGCAAGCCTCTTTCCCCAGCGAGCAATATGCCATCCCTCCAACAGCTTACTACGGGAATTATCCTAGTGCCGGTGGATTAGGAGGTAATTCCAACAGCTTGTCGGACCAGTATGCATCGTTGGGCGGATCCGGTCGTGGCTATCGCGCATTACCCATGCTGCGGCGGGCTGCTCCGCCTCGGATGGTTTTCCGCGAACGACGCCAAACGGGAGGCAGTCTCTTAGCCTCACTTCAGTCGCCCGTGGGCTCGGCATTTGCCGGAAATGGAATGGGTGGAAGCACCGGTGTCCAGGGATGGAGTATTCTGCAAGCCAGTGTGCCGGGTCAATTTCGAGTCGACGCAAATTCGTAAGAGCATACTCTACCAGTAGTTACACTTGCATTCTACTTCGGCTGCATTGTTTTCTGATTTAAAAATCTAAATTCTACTTATGTATATGCAGATAAAATATCTGCAGATAAAATATCTGTTAGCACAGCGTTAACTTTGAGTGTGCGTATCGAATTGATTTATAATTATTATACCGTATACCGGCATGTACCGGGCATTCCCCTTTTCTTAGAAGACAGCACACTATTCTATAAGCGTACAATATTGTGTAAGCGATAATTATACAGATCCTTTCATTCTATGTTCTCTGTACAGTAAGTACTGCATTTCAGATAATTTTCGATTTGGTCTGCTTTTGTGAATATGATTGCAAAGGATTATGACTGCATTATGAATTGCTGCCTGAAAGTTCTGTGTATTCATATTTATCCTTGTAGTGGACGTGTTTATGTTGCCCAGCCACTCGACCGGGAACGAACGGACAGTTACGTGCTACGAGTGCGCAATTCCTACGGAAACCAAGCGTGCGTCACACGGGTGGGAATCGATGTGCTGGACGTTAACGATAATGCGCCTATTTTTAATAATGCAACATACGCCTTCACTGCCCCTTGTGGAACTTCCAGCGCTTTAATTGGAGTCGTTACGGTAAAAATTCTTAAAGTACTCGTATAATTGATGTCTCCACGGAGCATTTTTCTTGCGAGATCCAGATCCAGAAATATACTTTTACATGATCTCGTGTGTGTATAGGCAAGAGATGCGGATAGCGGGTTACGCGGTTTTGTCACATATTCGATACTGAATTCGGATAACAGGTTTGTTCGTAAAATGAACGATAAGAAATCCAAACCAATGAATTCTTGTGCAATGTACATATAATGATTATTTGTTTGTGTGCAGCGTTTTTACGATTGACACATTCAGTGGCGAAATTCGATCGAGGACATCAATCGGCGCTGGAGCATTACCGCAATCATTGACGGTAAATTTTGCACGAACTGCCTAAAATTTTATGGAAACCAGTATTTGGCTACTAGTGCACTTTACTACTACTAGTTTACTACTACTTCTAGTTTACGCCGTTTTGCATTCATCTGCATTTATTTGCCATGACACGATGTAGCCGCTTAATTTTTTACGCGAAATATAGTACATTGGATTTTACTAAGTAGTGCTCCGGTCATATTTTCATTGTTTTCTGCGCACAGATACAAGCGGATAACCCCACAACACCTTCGCGCTCAACAACCACCACCGCGACAGTAAATCCCGGTGCGGGCTGCTAAAGTTCCTTCATGCATCTGACAAGAAATGCAACTAAGGAACTGACAACTGTGATGCGCATGACTCTGCCCAGTGGCCGCTGTGTACAATATTTTGTCTGTTTTTGTAGCGATTGGCATGGTTTAAGGACTGCTTGTTAAATCGTCCATACAATACTGTGTATGTATGTGCGAATGCTGTTATGATCTCGTTTTGGGTTTTGGGAAAAATCGGGAGAAATGTGGGATAATTGGTTTCTGCGCTTACGTTTCATTCTCTCAGTGAATCAAGTATAAAACCAACCGATAAATCGTTCAATACTGCTGCGCAATCACTTTTATTAAATTTTAAGCACACATATTTTGGCACCGCCTTTAAAAAATTACTAAACGGCTGCCTTTATACGATTTAGAGCATTCTGCAAACAAATGCCGATATGTGCAAAAACTACTTTTTAAACGATACAATACAGATTCGCATTCAGATTTTCTACCACATGCAAGGTACAAGGTAAAAGTATAGCAGAATTAAAACTAAAAATTTACAAATTATATCCAAAGGGGTAACTGGGATCCATAAGGGGAAACTGAGAATCAGCGGAATTTACCCCGGCGTAGCTGACCGGACCATAACCAGAGGCCATACCCATGCCCATGCTGCGGGCTTCGAATGGATCTGCAAAGGACATAATATCCATATAAACAACAATGCAGTTTATACGAAATTTAGTTCCAAAAATGCACACGAAAATTACAAAACAAAAGCAAAAAATGATCGAAATTCCAAACCATAAAAAACACACTGACTGGATAAAAATGATAATTATCATGAAATATCGAACGAGTCCTGAGTGAGGTCACTAACCTGCGAAGCTGGCCGCCTGATTACCGACATCGCCGTCCATAGCGTTGCTAGTGGAGATTCCGGCTGCCACGTTGGAAGGCAGGTAGGGCGACGCTAAAACTTCCCGCTTGCGACGGAACGCTCCCTGAGATGCGGAATTGGACACCGACTGGGAGCTGGGCATGTATCCTTGAGACATGCCACTGGCGACACCCATTGCCATACCGAAGGGATCTGCAACAATATTGGCCAATGCGTACACTGTGCCGATGGCAAAATTGAAAAATGCGCGTAACCTTTATAATCACATTCGCGTCCTTCTGGTTTAAATATTAAATGAATCAGTGTAATTGAAATCTGAATCTACAGGAATTATTTGTGCGAAAATTTATTTTGTAAGAGAGAATATTTATTGACTCAATAATCTTATCGCAGCTGGCAACTTACTGGTAAATGTCTGGCCGTTTGTCTGGGTTATTCCGCTGAGCGCGTTTCCAGCCGACAGTGCTGTGGCCGTGCCCGAGGCGGGTCGATACATCATACTATATGGGGAAGCCATCGCGAAGCGTTTTCGGCGGTCACTGGCAACGGGAACAAACTCCGCGTCGTCCAGAGCAGGATCAAAGTCATCGTCCGCAGACTGCAGTGGACGATCTGCCTCCGGATCCGGAACTGGATTTCCTGAGCATCGATGGTTATGCAGGATGGCGAACAAAATCAAGCCGATGGCAATGACTGACAACTGGTATGCCATAGTGGATCGTTCAGGGAAGAAAAATTAAAAATCAAAACATATGGGAGGACAAGGTCACCGAGCACAGATCTACTTGGAGGTTAAATTATCAGAATCCTCAAAATTTCCCGCTCAACAAGTCTGAAAATGAGCAAGCAAGATTTCCCATCAGGGCAATTTATTTTGACTACAGCCAGCGAGGAATAAGTACGTACTGGACACGCCACAATCGGTAATTACTAATTGGTGACTGCAATGACAGTGTCCAAACGTCAAAAACCGTATCATACATGTACGTGTGTACCGTGTACCGCAGTGCTTTGGCTCCTGGTTTAAATATTAACAACAGGTTTTATATGCTAAATGGTCAGTCAAATTGACCACGTACTGTACGTTGCTTTTTAAAGTTACCGCCCAAAATTTTTGTTCTCTAGTGGGCAGTAGTGGCTGCCCTTGATACTTGTATTTCTCCGTAAAACAGTAAGTAAGTGTGTCTTTCTTTTCTGTGAGTAAGGACTGAGCGAACGAAGGAAACAACAACGAAATTTCATAGAAATTCACCGAAATTAGGACTTCCTGTTTCACTTCGCAGTTCGCACTAGAATCTTATACAAAACTACAGTATTCTTTTCAGCCACTTTGCGGTAATGATTTCATTGTCAGATCATACGTATATTTGCAGGAAGCATCTGTTGGAATGCGAACAAACGGTACAATGGCAACAATAAGGTTTATCGTAGCAGCAAATGACGTACTGACAATGAAGTATGTAACTGAACAGATAGAATCCAGAAGACTATACAAGCACGCGCTGGATTTTGGGAAGGCTTACTTCTGATTGTACAAAGGATTGTCACCAGTAAAACTGATTTGACTGAACCCGGAAACAATTAATACGTTATCCATAGCGCATTCAGTTATATTGTACCTAACCAATGGCACCAGCACAATAAGTGAGATCAATCTAATAACTCGACAGTCGACACAGTCTACAGTAATTACAAACCGGAGAAACACAATTATATCCGGTAATAATAAGGACCGGTATGCGCAGAAGTCAGTATTAGTGCGCATGTCCCTTTAAAATATCTACATATTCACAAAATTAATAAGAAGTACGAGTGCAAGTACGGAAAGTAATAACGATAATAATTTATTAATATTACGTAAAACTGCTTTGCATACGAAATTAGAAAGGGTGGGTATTCTAGGCCATTAATTTCTTCAATAAAAACGAAAAAGCCCTACTATATAAATAACAAGATAATGATACACAATAATATGATATAAATACTAATCTTAGTTTTAGTTTCTCTGTATGTTCGATTTAACATGTGAGCGCCTTGGCGTGAAAGTCTTTGTGAGGAAACTGCGGACTTTACGAGGGTACGCTCAATCCAGTCACACGCATCCCATCATAAATATCTATATCAGTTTTACCTTGTACAGTTTTATTTTTAATGCGGTGCGAAGTGCGAACGCAGCACTGTAAAACTGCATTGTTTTGTACTGCTTCCGTGTAAGTATAGTACTCGGGGAATCAGGAATGCTTCACGTGGAGTTGGTTAATTTGAGTAGCAAGATTTTGGACGGGAAACAGCTGGCAGCGCTGATTGATTATCCACTGAAATCCAACGATCCACTGCTGATTGATACATCCGCGCGCTGTCCCTGTGGTTCTCCGCATCCGCAAGCCTTGTTGTCCTTCCAATCTGTGGCGGCTTTCATCCTGAATCAGGTATCTCTTCCACAGCTTAATTCGGATGCTGTCCTGCAGTATTTATCGTTGTCCGTGCAGTTGTGCCACTTTGCGTGTTCCATACGGGAGAAACTCCGTCAAAGTGATTTGCACATACTTTCGATATTTTATACTCGCCTGTCTGTTTTATTCCTTCATAAACAGCTCCCCTTGTGCACCGAGGAATTGTTTCAAGACTGTTTGATTCAGAATTTTGTTTTGTTCCCGAAAGAGATGACTGCTTTTGCGGCGAACTCTGAAGTGTCGCTGCGAGTTCGTCTGCAAGTTGCGGCGCGCTTCTTGCGCAACAATCCCTCCACTCCCTGCGAAGAACCTGTCCAATTATTGGCAAAAAAATTGCTAACCGAATCCCAGTGCGGGCTGGATACGAAATTGGCGTTCTTGGTAGCTGCGGCGGAAAATCAGCATCGAAACAGCCTGGCTGCGATTATCGATGCTCACAGCGAGGAAAATGATGATTTTCTAGAAAAGTGCATCACAAGTGACGGTCCTTTGAGTTTTAACAGTTGCCTACTATTTTTGGACAAATTTTTGGATTATGCGGGCGAAATGTATACGCTGAATAAAAACGTGGAATCTTTCACCGGAATTGCTTCATGGATTTCACAGCATTCTTCCATAATTTTTTCTCCAAAATCCATTGAACTGGTTAAGCAGACGACGCTCGTTCCAGTGTCCAGCTGTGTTTGCGTGGAGATTCGGAAACTTGTCTCGGTGTTGCTCAAGGCGGTGTGTATCTGTGTGCGACAGATGGACAGAAAAGAAATCGGAGAAGACCTGATAAATCTGTGCAGTGCGTGTCCGGAGCATCCAAATGCGTCATTTCCATCGTTTCTGTGTACCGTGTTCGCCCGTGATGACGAGGGGCTGTGCGAAAGCCTGTTGTGCATGCTGCATCTTCATGTTTTGCTCCCGGCCGATAAAAACATTCCCAGTCCGGAGTTGTGCTTCCAAGCTCTGTTGGCCATGGTTGCGGACGATCATTTTGTATTTGTCTCGTGGATTGTCGATAACCAGACGTGCTTTTTGGCATATCTCGTCCAGTATGTGAAATATCTCAACGAAAAGACGGTTTCCCAACGAGAAAAGGATGTGTTTGGGAAAATAATGCAGAGTTTGACTGCGCTGGCGGCGGATGGAAAAGTTCCGTTTGATGTTGAGCCCTTGACGCGCCGGTTGCGCCAAGTTCTACTTCAGTCGGAAAAGGAAGAACAAATTTAAAACTGCTACAATCCTGAAATACTAAGTGTTTCCGGTATTTTTGTATATTTAGTAGTGACACTTTTATGTGGCGACAATGCTGTTGTTAGCAGGTGATTTTATTTTTGGAATGGTGTGATATCTATTACTGTAACAGTTTTTTAATTTTTGTTAACAAGTACAGTAGTGCCAAGTACAATCATCGCAGAAATGTCATGCCTGAAATTATGTAAATAAATACTTAAGCGATTTGCTCTGTGCAGTGTGGAAGTTTGCTGATGTTTCCTTTGATAATGAATTTTTCTTTTGTACTTTTTTTGTTGCACTAATAAATCACTCGAAGGGAAATATGAAAACTGCAACAACATGGTTAATACTTAATACAACAAAAAGTTCTTATTGTTAACTGTCAGTTAAGAGATTGATTAACACAATTTAAATTACAAAGTTCGAAAATTCATGATACGGTACAGTACTTACGTCTTACTGTACTTAATCAAATCCGGATGCTGCGAGTCGAACACGAAATCCGTGTCGAGTTGTTGCGTCAGTTATGAGGCCGCTTCATTTCTCTCTTTTGCTGCTATCAGTGCTATGTAGTTCGCGGAAAATTGCAAATTGTTTTTGCCACATGAAAGAATTTGGCAAAAATCGTAATATCCTAAATGTTCATGGGTTTCGTTGCATTGATTAAAATATGTTTTGTTTTTACTGAAACAAATAATGAGATAATAATTAGTATAAAGCGGTAAAACTGCGGTTTTGTGACACTTGCAGCCGGACGATTGATAATTTCACATTTGGAGCTTGATCTGCTACAGTGCTACCTGTAGCATGTGTATGGCTAACGCCTGCCGCCTGGGCCATTATCGTTCCACTTGTTGATTTGCTTGGCAAATTGGTTATTATCATTTATCATCAAAGTAAGTCTTTTGTTTCTATAATTCTAGAGAATTTTGAGCATATTGTAAATGTACATGCAGCGTTCCTTTGTAATCTGAGTAGATAATATAATAATATAACACATGGTTGTCGAATTTGAATGACTGGTGTCAGCAATGTGCGCGAACGATGTGCCTGATCTTTACTGAATTGTGTTGTAGGTCCATTAATTTATATTTTCTCCTGTAAAAATGCCACGTCCACCAGGGGCCGGTGGTCCGCGTTCTATGGGAATAGGGAGAAGAATTCGCCGCGAAGACACCAGCAGCACCGAAACGGGTTCTGCAGAGCGCTCGCAGAGCCATGTCAGCAGTATTGTGGAGCGTATGGTTACGCCCGAGAATTTAGGTGAGAAACCACCACCGAGACCGATGACACCCATGCCCGGGGACAGCGATGAGGAGGAAAATAATGATAACCAGGACGACAGCGATGATCGGACCCCCGTGCCCAGTCGCGCCAACGCCTCGCCTTCGAGAAGTCCCAGTCAGTTGGACACGGTACGCCGTGCAAGACTGGCGCGCAAGACCGTCCAGCCTGTCAAGCGCCTAAGCGACGCCTCGCCACGCTCTGTACAGCCATCGCGACGATCCCGCATCACGGGGCGAGGTGTTTCCGCGCTTATGCCGCTGCCAAGTATGCATTTGTAATAAAAAAATTATTGTAGATATTGGCTTAATAATTTAAAACAGTATGAACAGTAAACCTGTGCATTTTGCGGCTTCTATTATGCGCATATATATAGCGCATTCTATTATGAAAGATATTATTTTTTGAATTTAAACATTTCTCTTATATGCATAATGCCTTTGTAATTTGCGGTTTATATAGCGCACCATAATATGAAAAATATTATTTTCGGGGTTTGATAATTTGTAGTTTGCGGTTTATATAGCACATCCACCGCATCATAAAATAGGTTTGAGTTTGTTTATAGTATTATTGTGTGTTTCAGCCTTAATAATTTAATATGTCTAAACTATGAATCGTTGTAATTTGCGTCTTATGGTTTATGCAGCGCTGAGCGCATTATGTTTTAAAAAATTAAAACGGAATGCAGACGTGAGACAGCACTTTAATTACAGTATCTACTAATGTCATTATGTAGAATAGATGTATCGTTGAAGTTGGTTAGATACTGTGTATGTTGCATCGGAGTGAATTTATATAAATATAATTCAACAGATGGCTCACCACCTCCGTCATCCTCTCCATCCGGAGACGGGGGAAATGGATCGCAACCACCCGACAGCCCTCCATCTGAGCGCACTCCCACTCCGGTGCCCCCTCCTGCATCGAAATCCAAGGCCCGTAAACCATCCACAGCTAAGCCCGTACGCGGTCGACCAACCGCGCAGAAAATTGCTCTGGGACGCCCGAAAGGCGGACGTGGCCCCAAACCACGACGATCGCGCGTGCTGCAGGAAATTAAGAAAATGCAGCGGGGTACGGAGCTGTTGTTAAGGAAGTTGCCCTTCGGTCGTCTGACCAAGGAGGTCTCGCAGAAATTTGGAGCATCGCCGTACGACCGTCGCTGGTCTGCTCACGCCCTGCTGGCCATGCAGGAGGCTGCCGAATCGTACATGGTGACATATTTTGAGGATGCAAACCTCTGTGCGATGCATGCGAATCGAGTGACTATTATGCCGAAGGACATGCAACTGGTGCGCCGGTTGCGCAAAAACTGAAAGGTGAAAGCAGTACCACAGAAACCAGCGCATTTTTTTTGAGTAAACTATGATTGAAAATAGTACATGAAGTGTCATGAATTGCCCCTATGAATTGTTTCATTCCTGTCAGGAAGACTGCGTTCCTATCAGCTCAGCTGCGCTGAAAAGCCGGGCTTGGACATTTGCCAATGCTTGGAGTATGATAAGCTTTTTGTCGTTTTTGTTCTTTTAAATTTCTACCTGTGCCAATATTTTGGTTGACGTTTTAGAATGGTGCTCACTTGGTGTTAGTTCCAGTTTCTTACCGATATTTTTTAGTGTATAATAATGCGTTGGATGATGTATCAGATTGTTGTGAGGATTGTTTTCATGAGCATTTGCTGTTAGCAGCAGATTATGTTTGTCAAACCGGCTTTGTTATTTATAAAAATTATTTAAACTTCTTTAAACAGTGTCAAAGTTTTGCTCTTAATTCGGCGTTTCGCACACTAATAGTAAAATGTGGACGCGCGATAGTGACAATACTAGTACGCGATGCGTAGGGCCGTATCCCGTAAATTGTAAACTCAGACCTGTTTTAATAAACGTTGAACGATTGACCTAAACTTGGTACTATCTGTTAATATAATAAATATTTTATATCACTAGAAATTGGAATGTCTTCCACAGTCGTCAAATTTTTGCGTTACAGCTTGCAGAAGGGTCCGTGGTGGGCCTGCTGGTTGTTAATTTTAAACGTAATTCTCGGTGAGCAAAATACTGAAAACAGCGAACGCGGCTACGAATACAGTTGTTAGAATTTACAACTTTAACGTTAAACAATGCAAAAGATAAATACTGTGTATTGTGAGCAGATATGTATCGATATAATTATTATGTATTGAAAGATTCGAAACACGAGTAATTTGAAAATATTAAGGAATAGCGGAACAGGTATGTAGAATACACTGTAATAACTGATCGTAATAACTAATAAGTTATATCCATATCCGGAATCCTCTGACCGCGAGTGACGTAAATAAAGCTTGCAACCCAACAGCTGACAGCCACACCACAACCACAAACGTCATCGTGTGTTTGACTGGCTGAACTGAATTCCCTACTGTCTGCAGTGCGCACATCTAACAATCAGATTTTTTTAGCTTTTTCCACTTATTCTTGTCGAACATTTGAATTAATCAGGTCTATGCGATGTCCGTTCATTTGTTTGTAGTCTAACAAGACTACCATACCACGCTTCACCACCATCACAGATTGCTGACTTTCGCACCGAGTATTATTTTGCAGATTTCGGCTTTATACTTTGTTGCTGCACTGCTGTATTCTACCGTTTGTACGGTGTTAATTTGCAATTGTCTGCTGTTCGTGCGTAACGCGAAAGTGTGCCAAGTTGCCAGCGCTGTTAATTCCACCTGTTTGTGATCTGGTTAAATTTGCCTGTTATTCTGGCCGTTTCTTTAAATCGCAATGTGAAGAAGACTCCGCGTATTAAGTGCCTGCTCTAATTGCTCAAAGTTCGTGTGATCAGCGCGTACGCCAGACGCCGTAATATTTTAGCATGACGACGGAGTCCTGCGTGGCGCTGGCAGGCGGCGGGAATTCCTGCGGAGATGCTGGGGATCCGCTGCACGCTGTCTCCTTGAGCAATGTGTGGATGTACTCCTTTATTGCCACCATCCTGGTCAGCCTTTGCGGCGTGATACCCATTGTTTTTATCCCGCTGGATGGCGCGGAGTCCTTGAATACTCCAGGTATGGTACACTGTACGCTTATTGCGAATGTGTAATATTTGGCCCAAGGAGTTTGCAGTTGTTTTTTTTTTGATTTCTGAAGAAGAGCGAATCGTCTTTTCCTTGCTGTTAAGTGTTAAGTGTCAGTTTGCTGTAATCACACATGTGGTGCATACATCGTGGAGCGGTATTTTCGGTTCGTATATAATGTACCAAGTATTCCATAAGCTGTAGGTCCGCTCATGTCTTACAAGCAGTTATAATGAATTACTTCTGTTGGAAGTTTTTGTTTTTTAGGTGGAACGAGTAAATTGCGCATGTTTCTGAGTTTCGCTGTTGGAAGTTTATTGGGTGATGTGTTTTTGCATCTGTTACCCGAAGCGTGGAGGAAATGTTCGGGTACGAGTAATTTAACTTATTTTGCATTACTATTTTGTATATTTTATTTTGTATTGCATTACTATTGTATTGTATTGCATTTTACTGTTACTGTCTATTACTGTTTTGTATTGCATTACTATTGTATTGTATTGCATTTTATTTTGTATTGCATTATTATTTATTACTATTTAGTCCTAAAATTAAAATGTAGTGGCAGTGTAAGATGCTGTAAAATTAATACTGTGCTGTGTAAAGTACCGTGCTGGTGCAGTCTCAGCTTGCTAATCGTAACTGCTGATGGAATTATTAACTAATGAATGTTTTTTTTTTGTAATGCCATAGTTGCTTGCGGTTTAGTGCTTATCATCGATAAATTGTTTAATGTAAAATTGAACATTAATTTGATGTTTTTAATTTTGATCATGCTTCACACATTATATTGCATTTCTTGTAAAATAACGTTTCTGGTTCTTTGCACCTTTTAAAGACGTTGCAATTTGCAGACCTTCTACTGAAAGGACTGACACATGGCCTGTTCTGATTATGATTTCAGCTTTCGTAAATTATTAATAATATCAAATTAAAAGCATATAAGTATGCATTTTAAAGTTTTTATAATCTTATCTTTGACTTTGCTGCTTTATGTCCTTATACGATATATACAAGTATATTTGGAATGTATTCAGCATTGTTGACTATATGAGATTTTGGATGTTCCTGATGGTCATTATTCATTAATAGCGTGTCCACTTCTAGGTACTCACGCTCATCTGATGAATGGACTGATGGTGATTTTTGGGATCTTGTCGTTCAGCTTTGTTGAGAAACTGTGCGAGAGCACAGTGGAAGAAGAAGAGGAAGAAACCGCAACCACACACGTGCAGGTATTTTTGAGTTTTGATAACGCTTGCTTGCAAAAAAATTCCTAGTAATTACTAATTCGTAGATGATTTTTATTAATTACCTCAGTTATCTGTCACAATCTTTACCCAGTTATTCTTAAAAAAACGTTAAAACAGTATTTGCAAGTCGCGCTGACTGTTGAAAACCAGCGGAATTATTATACTGGCTGGAAGTACCGCAAATTTACTGCGCAGAAAATCGATCTATGATATTTTAACGCATTAACATTACCTTTGAGCCCGGACTGCCGGACGCCATGACATTTTTTATGTATATGAATTTTTGTGGTATCCGCACTTCTTTTTAAAATTTCGCGCGAGATTAGAAAAATAATTCGTCGTTTTTACACGCGTTGCGATGTGATACTCCATCAGTGCTGAATGCTGATTACGTTCCTGTACTGTACTGAGTCACAGTCTGAGTGTAATGTACAGTGGCACTCCTTTGCGTTGGTGCAGTGGCACTCCAAGTGGCAGTCTGCTACCACATTACGCTGTTCGTTTCTGTCGATGTGGCAGCTACTGAGACCAGCGCGAAAATTTAAAAAAATGCTTAATCTGGACGTGGGATACCTTTTTCGCACAATCATTTAGAACAGCAGCCAGGATCTAGAGGAGCGAAGTTATTTCTGACTAAAAAAATGCATTTTAATGCGCAAAAAATTTGACAGCGATGGGATTCGAACCCATGAATCTTACGAAATTGGAGCCTAAATCCAACGCCTTAACCACTCGGCCACGCTGCCACATTATAGGAGCGTATGTGATATTGTCGATGGTACTGAGCCGGTTCAACAGACGCCTAAATTAACAATTTCTCAGTAAAGATAAATAAGTACAAGTATCGATCGCATTGGTACTCGTACATTCAGAATCGGCTACGGTTAACCTTTTCATTTTTCGTGAGGATCATTATGTGGATGCGAATAATTGCGAAGTTTGATTGGGATGTTAACTAACGTTGCTGATTTCGAGAAATTGGTTTTTTTGTAGAATGGGAAAGCTTCCGGTGATAATTCTTCTTTATCCGAAACCAAGGCGCCGGCTAAGGCGGCAAGTTGGGTAAGGTCTTTTGTATTTGTTTGCTTCGTACCTTTGCAAGTTGCATTGAGATCCACATTCGTATTGCTTACATCACTTACATGGATCTTTACTTCCCACAGGCTACGGGATATCTTAACCTTTTCGCTAACTGCATGGACAATTTCTCACATGGTCTGGCTATTGGAGGCAGTTTCCTGGTGAATTTCAAAGTCGGGGCGCTGACAACTCTAGCAATTTTGCTGCATGAAATTCCGCACGGTAAGTCGAATGTTTATGGGTCAAACCGCGTGTTGCCACTTACCAGTACAGTTCATCTAGTTTGCATAATTACGTTTCTGTAATTGTTCATGCGGTTCTTGATATTGTTAGTTAATTTAGTAGCCATATCGAAGGAAATTGTGGTGCACTGTATCTGAGTGTTATTTTTCCAAATTTTTTAATGCAGTCGTTTCCATTCTTTTGACGGTGCGGTTAAAACGTTTTATATAGTGTTTACCTTGCACAGGTAATTTTTTTTATTACTTTTGGATCGCACGATAAAATCCTGAGTGATAGTTATTTCCTTCGAGATTGTGTGTGGTATTGATGTCAAAAGTTGTTTTCGTTTTTCATGTGTTGTTTGCTGTAGAAATTGGAGATTTTGCGATTCTTGTGCGATCTGGATTTAGCAGAAGAGGGGCAGCGAAAGCTCAGGCAAGGAACTGTCATAAAATTATTTTAAGTAATTTTATAAGACGTGTCATGCAGCTGGGACAGTCGAAAAGGCGACATAGCGTAATCAACCGTTTTTATTCAGTTTTTGACGGCTGCTGGTGGTTTGCTGGGCGCATCAGCTGCAATCTGGTTTGAATCAGCGGAGAACGTCCAGGAAAGAAGTTCTTATATCCTGCCATTTGCAGCGGGCGGTTTTTTGAATATTGCCCTTGTTAATCTGCTGCCTGAATTGTTGCAGGAAAAGAGGCCCATGTAAGTACTTAATTTGACCTTCACCGAATTTTAATTGCATTTTAAATAAATCTTATTTCGTAGTGAATCTTTGAAACAAATGACCTTCCTGTCCGCTGGCGTGTTGGTGATGGCGACGGTGACAGTTTTCTTCGAGTCTTAAATTCGATTAGGGAAATAGACAGCGCAGTTTATTTATGACCTTCGTTTGTTGGCAACGTTTGTGATTTCATGAGATTAAGATGCTTTTTGTGTGCCTTTGCAACTCGAGGAAAATTTTTATTTTCCGATGAATTTAATTTTTATATTTGAATTTTTTACGCTGCATTTCTGAAGTCAAGAACGCGAATAAGTGTTTTCAGCAATTTGTATTTAATTAGAGCGCATTTATGACGCAAAAAGCCAGGGAAAAATTAAGCTCAAATCATACAGCACAACATTCCAACCGCGCGCTGTGAATCTAATAGTAACAGTGCTTTACAGCGACCGGCTGGAAATCAGAAAAATAAATTAAAACAGCTGAGAGACACGGAGAGAGCACTGAGATTACTCCTCAGCAGCAACATAACCGACGCGCGAAATCATCTGCCACAATTAAAACACCACACTACATAGGCAAAAACCCAAAAAGCATAAAATTCTCTTCTGTTAATCATAATATCAGAACACGGAAAGCAAACGGAAATAAAAAACCACCCATTCAGCCCTGTTGCTCAATATTCCGATGGAGTGAGGACATTGATATCCGACATGGAGACAGGCATTTTCGGCCGCGGCTTCGTCAGCAAGCGCGCCTTTGTTAGTCCTTGTAGACTCTTCATGTCCTCCTTCTGATGGAAAAATGTGGCCTCCTCCGCGACTTGGCTCTGCCGCGACGACGGCCGTGTTAGCCAGCCAAAGAAGCCGGTACTCTTCGATTCATTCTGCTGTATGGGATCCGAAGTTAACACCCGGCGCAACAGCGAGGGTGATCCGGCCGGTGTGTCCCTGGGCGTGGCCGAGGGGGAATCACAGGTGTGGATGACCGTGCTGGGGATGCTCAGTTTCGAGAATGAGCCCGAATAGTCATCTTGTGAATCATCGTGATCGTGCCCGACGGTAAATGATGGTTTATTGTCTGTAAAATAAAAACCAATCCAGGTGTCAAGGAGAGAATTGCTCAAGGCAGGGAATTATCTAGTTGGAGGCCTGTCAAAGGCGACCATGCATGCTGTGTCCATGAATCATTTGGCGTATACAAGCCGCAGCGATGTATTCACGATCAATCAAACCATTTCAGTCATTATTGCTTTTCTCAGGAAAAGGGTTTATTCGCAGAAAACGATCGCGTTATTTTCAAGTATCGATCTGCGGCTGAAGTGTTCGCGAAACACCGAAAATTCATTTCTTCTTACAAAAAAATAAGTACAAATCCAATTTCTTATGATTAGTGACCGCAATAAAAAAACACAAGCATACGAAGTCAGAAAACCATCAGTATTCATAGAATTATGACTTACGAATACGATTCAACACGCCGGACCGATATTTTGAAATTTCGCACATTGAATTTCAAGGGCTTCGTTTTTCAAGAGTTACTTCAACGTAAGCTGCCGCCAGAACCACATAAAAACGTGCGCAGAATGAGCAGAAAAATTTACTGATCTATTGTAGTGTTAAAACATGAAACACCTAACTACATCGAAAGATCAAAACAATCAATTCCCAAAATAATTACGAAACGGCTTGGCGCTTTCATTACTGTCATTATCTTGTTGTCACAATCTACTTCGATTACTCGGGATAATTTGATCCAGGTTGTGTCTCGAGGAAATATGCGGTATCACTGCATAATCGAAGATGTTTACATCAACCTCGCCGTAAAACGGTTTATCGTCTGCGTACAGCCACCGAAGCAAGCTAATCGACGGAACGGTGTTTACGAGAATGAACCCATCCGTAATGTGCTGCCCTAATCTCGCCCTTATCCGGCACTACCGTTCTGGCAATTAAAATCCTCGACAACAACCTTTCCACAGAATAGCCGCCCCTTGTGATCCTGGCGAATTACCATACACACAATTCAAATGTAAACACGTTTGTTTTCCAATATTCATGGCAAATTACATAATGATCACAAATCGTGCTTATTCAGAAACAAGTTATGCAACCGCAGTTCCTAAGATTTTCCAGACGGTTTCGTAATAATTCGCAATTTCGCACCACGTCTGTAGTCTGTACCACTTAGACTTTGTAAACGGAACCAATCTATCAAGAAACTGAAGCAGTATTAATTTTCGCAGCAGTATTAATTTTCGCAATTTACAAATTTAGGCTTCCCGGACAATGTAAACCGAACAGTTCAAAGGGCACGCAAAAATGCTACCACTGGACAAAGGTTACCACGCATAACTGGTATCGATCGGACAGATTTGCCGTTAAAACTGGCAATATACTCCTGCAGTATTTTGACCTTGACGGGTTATGCAAAGGGTTTACTCGCTTTACGCTTTATCCAGGCGGCAGCATCCGCCCACATCACATTATAAATTATAGCGATGCACATTTAACATAGCGAATCAAGAGTAAGCTAATGAAACTGGCATTAATTTTAGGATTAACAGTAAAACCTGGAACTGCAGAAAAAACAAAAAACAGTATAACATACGAAACTGCGAAAATTATAATTACACACAGCCTTCCATAAATTATTTTACTGTATTACTTTACGGTAGCTTCATTACGAAGAGCACGACGTCTCTGAGGCAATTCAATTTCATTATTTATGTAATCAAATAGTCATCTGTTAAAAAGTACACCCCTGACTGGTGAGAAACGAAGAAATAAATGACTGACGATTAATTATTTCACTCAACTTCAAAACAGTTTTAAGGGCACAAAAATTTGGATCTTTGGCGCACAAACGACTCTAAGATCACACTGAGTAAACTTGTAAAATACCAACATATGCAGTACTGTACGCAAATTTCAGATTAAATCAATCAATTTTGGAGAGAGAGCAAATCAGAAAAAAATATATAACAACAATAAGACAAAAGCGTGCGACACTTGCTGACGCAACTTAAGAACGAGAACGTGCGGCACAGAAACATGGCGCATTAATTTTTATGAACGAAACGTACGTGAACAATAATAACTACGATTTCCTAAACTGAACTACATAATAAAAAGTTACAAAAAGCAAACTTCCAAAACAAAAATACATACAATAGTTACAAGTCCATAATTAGCCAAACAACTACCGAAAAGATAAAAAAATGGCCTGATGCATGCCTAAGGTATATCGTGAGCAGTGAGTGCGAACTGGATCGCTTCAATGACATCATAGAATATCGAGCAACTTACTGAAAGACGGGCAGAATGGTGGAACTGTTTGAGCAGGTTCCGAGACTACCATTTTCAAAGAAAAGATGTTTGAAAATCAGAATACTTTGATAAAAAAAACTCGGTTGTTGATACAAAAGTAAAACAAAACAAACTCACGAGCTAAACCTAAACGCAACAAAATGAAACTGAAAACGAAACGCGCATATTATTATAGTTCTTGAGCCCTCACGTGAAAGTGCGATCGATAGAGTTCGCGGCATTTACGTCAGCACGTTCATAAAGCCAGTAGTCAGCACTTGCACACTGAACGGCAACATTTGGTACGACCCACTGTACTGACACACCTCCCACAGTCCCGCACCATGCGCGTACGTTTAGTTTCCGTGCCACTCGAGTTTGCCAATATTTACGCATTCTATCTCCTGTTCCTGTATTGTCGTGTACGATAAACAGTTTTCTCGCAGCTTAACCACGAAAACAAGTCGATAAACACGAAGAAGTTTAACGAGCATACGATATGAGTTTATAATTCGCAGAAATCAGATTTTAAATATTCCACGTCGAAGACAGCCAACGTAATTTTTAACATTTCCCTTTGCAGCCCATAAATAATGTGCTCGAATAGGAGAATACCAAAACATTACAGTAGTTACAAATATTTACCAATGAAGTGCTTCTAGCTAATTATATGTATGGCCGTGCCTTATTACAGTCTCGTCTGACGGTATAAATACTGATTTTACTGCTAACTGCTAATTTTTAATCCGGAGCAAAGGATAAAGAGAAAACCGAAAATAAACATCACATCACACACCCCTTAATAATGCGTATTAACAATAAATACAGCTAACCACTGCATAGCAACGATCACGTTGACCATGTTGCTAACTTTTTGTTTCCAAGATTGATAAGCACGCGACGGTCTTGTTCCACAGAAATCTCAATCAAAATTATGCCCGCTAACTCCTCTCACGGTTACTGTGACTTCGTCTAAGGACAAGTAAATTCAATTTCTTAAAAGCATCTTACCGCTATGCAGGAGATCCATGTTCTTCGTTGGCGATGTTGACAGGCTGAAGGCGCTCAACTGTCCGTATTTACTCGGAAGCGGATAAAACTTCATGGGAAACGGATTCTGATGGGGAGGGGGAGATACGGAAATCACCGGGGAATCAGCATCGAGGTTCGCGTAACGATTAATACCCAAACGGAGATTCGGCGCCGTGGCTACCTGGCGCAACGAGGAGGGTGTGTTCTCGGTGGGCGGCGTTAGAGTTCCGGCTTGCGGCATCGTGGATTTCCACCAGCAACCACCGTGTCGTATGTAATAAATTTATGAAACACTTCGTCGAACGGCAAGCGCTGACTCAATGCACGATAAGCCGGTCCAAGGATGTGTCTGTAAAAAAAGACCAGCCATATAACTTTGCCTTTTGTTTTTGCCAAATGTACCGAAAAACGAGGAAAATCTACTACAAAACAACATCGTGCATCGTTCGAACCGGTCGCAAGTTCGATAGCAGGGTTGCTACAGGCTACGTGTCTACGTACAAGCGTGCTGATCAGACTACTGTGATCGAAAACGAGAACGATATTCGAGAGGATCCGCTGGCCACCTCACATGAAACCCAATTAACAAGCCCACTTAATGAATGCTACCTGCTTCGCTGCTCGTGATATCTGAATAAGCAAAAACAAATTACTTCCCTCCGACTTGTGACATGCGAAATCCTAGCTGCCCAATTAAATGACAAACATTCTGCACATCATCACGAGATTTTTAAATATTCTCCAGCTGCCTTAATCAACAAACTGCACGGTCATATTTGGAAACCCGCGAAATATTCCAAACTTGAGTCAGCGTTATTCACACTGCGCATCGCCATTGATTTCACGATTCACTCCGACGTCACTGCAGCTAAATCAAATCAAGCGTTTATTAGGCTAACCTTTACGTAAAGTGCCAACTGGTAGTCTGTCGGCTCCGTCCGTAAAGTGCAATTTAAACTCGTTCACTGTCGGTCCACAAAAGCATCACGAGATTTCGTTTGCCAGTTACCAAACCGCATTTCACGGCCGGTGTTGAAATGCTCGAGCACAAAAGCATGTTCAACTTGGTGAACGGGCCGGGGAACTATTGATGGTAAGAGAAAAAGACCGACGAAATCTATCAGCGGTAATTGATTGGGTGCTTATCGTCTGCAAAGAACTCCATACAACCCGCTGAAAATCGATCAGACGCACACACCCTTCGTTAACTGAAAGCCTACAGAACAGCTCAAGATTCGAGCTAATTGAAAAATCCAAGTTATCACTAAAAAATGCAACTGTTACGATATAAATTAGTCATGTGCGTAAACGCTGATCGTGAACAAAAAGCTATACATACCTAAGCGCATGATTTCATAATAAAAAATGACAACATTGGAAACTGGGCATTACAGTGATTACATAAGCGGATCTTTGTGCTTTCGCCATCGTGATTATCACAAAAAATCTGCTTCCTTTACTGGCTTTACAAGCGGATCAGTTACCACACTGTTCAGTGCCACCGAATATGTTTGAGAAATCAGCAGCCTGCCTGCACTTCAAGCTGAAGTACTTGCGGAAGGAAATACAAAAGTTTAATGCAGAAATATGAATACTGTTTAAACTTTTCCCTGACATCGATATTGACAATTCTATTCGTACCGTAAACAAATCTCCGGAACGGAACAAGCTGAACAAATTCAACGTCACCAATCCAATACGCCCGCTGCCGTCGCAGTTAGAGCCGGAAGGAAGAAACAATACAACAATCTAGGAAAACATAATATTATAATCATAACCTTTATTAAAGCCAGTGAAACCCCGCTAAACTTTTGAAAAGTTAAAACTGGATGAGTTCCGTATCGCCAACACTGCCCAACAGTGTGACTACTACGTTAACAGAAATCACCGAAATATCTGTTCAAGCCATTACCATTACGAATGCTGAGATATTTAAAATACATTAATACCAACAATTTCTTTGAAATTTAACCATTTGGTTTTGGACTCCAAAAGTGACAAATTCTCAAAATTATACCTAAATCGTAGGCCTGCATTGAACTTTCGAAAACCTATCTCCAAGCAGCTTACCTCGCACAAAGCCAGTAAATGGCGTAGACAACATCCACAGTCCAGTCTTCAAATTTCGTATAAGGCGACAAAGAAATGCCTTTCACTAACTATAAAAGCTTCAGAATTTGTAAGAAAAGAGCAAAATAATTTGAACGATCAGGTCCTTGAACTCACAACCAACAACGTGAAAACTGCGCAAAATGCAGGCGAGTACCGTAAAAATCTCCGTAGAACATTTGCAGCTAGCCAGACATGCTACTCTAGACATTTGCCGTTTACGGGTAGGACAGCACGCGGTAGCGTAAACCAGAGGAAATCTCCATTCATGTTTCTCAGCATGCGTACGTACAACAGCGCAGACGGCGAAGTGACGTGCCGTATTCCAAAGAGTCACTTCCGATTTCGGTATAGGCTGATGCAACACACAGCAAGTGACGTCGAGATCGACGTCTGGGGCGGTTGCCAATTATTTATTCCCACAGTTTCACACAAAAGTTGTCTAGTTTTATGTTTTTGTAACTTCAAGCACCAAATCATACGAATTACTGATTCATTGTGCAATAAAAAACGTTTTTGTTATGAGTTAACTTAAAATAAAAAGTTTTCTACTAACTTGCCCAAATAAAAAATTATTCCAGGACCGTTTATTTTATGTAACACGACGTTACACTAAACATAATATGAAAAACATATCTGTGTACAGAAAAATTTCCGATTTATCATTTTAACATACATTAGCATACATACATTTTAACATACATACATTTCCGATTTATCATTTTAACATACATTGTCGATACGGTTTAAACTCTAAACTGCACACGAATATGAAACGGTGTGTACTGTGTAGCTCAGCAGCTGTTGATTCCATGCTGATTTTATTTTTAAAATTAGACGTTAAATGTCACTTAAAGTTTAAACAACCCTACAATAAGCTTTAAAAGCGTGATTGTGTGAGAATGTGAGCAAAGCTACAAATATCAAATATTACGAGAACAGATTTCGTACTTTTATTGGTTCGGTTTTTGCAGTTTTACATGAGGTCAAAAACGTACGGAAACTTTCTACGTAGGATATACTTCTACAACTAATAAAGCTCTGTCCAGAAGTTTTTGTAAACAAATAAAAACCACAAATCCACCTAGGTCTACTCTGTAGTGTGGATCTGGATGCAAAAATCACAAGGTTAATAAAAGCATCTGTGTTTGATTTGTGAAACTGGCATGCTGAGCGCAAGATATTTGACGAAATAAAAATAGTCAACCCTGAGCAAATTTAGTCGGAAGTTAACCCATCGGTATGTTGTGGAGCGCTTCAAGGACACTGCGGACGAAGAACGGCGCCGGATCCAAGGTTGAAATTCCGGACAAGATCAGCACATCTCTGACGCTATCTGCAATGTACATATAAACAAGTCTTACAACCGGCAAGAGTTTATGTCCGTTTGCACGCTATCCGTAGTACGATTTTTATAAGACAACAGCTGGAATACCAGCGGATATGGCGTCACCATCGTCACGCCGTAATGCCGCTGTTACGTACGTCGTTTTACCATTTATATCACATTCTGTCCAAATAAATAAATTATGTATGAGTACGTTGTACATAACAAAACAGATAATATATGTTTTGTTATGTACAACGTACTCATACCATAATTTATAAAATGTATACATGTATATGTATATATACATATAGATATATTGTAAATGTATATATTTATAGTATATGTATCATACATAAAACATAAAAAACTATAAAATAACCTATCACTCAGGTTTGTTAGCAAGATACATAATATAGAAATTCTGTCAGTATATGAAATTTTTTGTGTATGTATCATGTATGTGTGTATAATATTAATTAATCACAATTTATATCTAAATACAAAATTTATATAGATATTACATTACTTATTCAGCTTAACTAGACAAGCTTTATTTATTTTATTAACCCATACTTTTGGCGACATAAAAAACAAATTAACATATATAATAACAACTGAAATAACATTAACTATCCAATAAAATAAGCGCTTTTACTGTACCCGTGCATGCTGCAAACATGAGCTGCAGTCCCTTTTTTCCGCATTCCGCGGCCAGCTGTTTCATCTGCTCCGCACCCATGACGTCAACGAAGCTAATGGCACTGCAGTCGATGATGATGGCCCGCAGTGGATAGGGATGGCGTTCGTGATCGGACAACAAGCTGGTCTGGGCGGCGTTCACTGTCCCATCGAGACGGATTGTGTGCACGTTGCCCCCTTCCGACAGCTCTTGTAGTTCCACGGCGTCGGCGTAATGCTCACCGTCGCCGGCAGTATTGCGCCGATGTAGAGTGTCGACGGGTTCCGGTGTGGTGGCCGGCTCCACTGTCTCGGCTGCAATTTCCCGTTTGATCTTCTTGACGAAGCGCTCGGCGTTTCCGCTGTACAATGGTCCATACAGACGGACGATCTTAACACCCGGCATTTCGTCCACCTTAACATACAATCAGCATAAAAAACACATAACTACCGCATACGCGCATACGCTACCTACAGCTACCGCATACGCGCTAAATGCTAACAATAAAAGCAGCAAATCCATATACAGTAACGCTAACAAAATACACACTCAAATTGCTTTGGTTATGCCACATATATTAATTCTAATTAATAAACTTCACGCAAGCAGAAACCGATAGGAAGCAGCAATTGCATACAGGCTTGTAATAGCAATACGTACAAGTATATTTATATGCTAAGCATGGTGCATTTTGTGCAGAACTGATATCGTTTATTAGATAACTATAATCTTACGTAGTTCTTTGCGTAAAATTCTGACTTGACCGGTTGTATGTCATCTTTTGTTCCGCGAACACGACCCAGCCAGGCAACTTTCCCGTATTGCATACGGAAGGCGAAGGTCAATAGTGAATACAGAACCCCAATGGCCAGACCCAAATCCACATCTAACAGCAGAGTTCCCAGAAAGGTCACGATAAAAATTGACTGAAAAAAGAAGCCAATGCACATTCCGCAGGGAAGTATGAATGAGTAATGGTATAAAAATTGGCAGTGATTTCGTACCGCATCAATCAGGGAGATTTTCCATAGTCGCACAACATCTGTCACTTGCTTGAGCATCCCAATTAATGCCACCATAATCACAGAGCCCAGAACGGCACGAGGCAGTGGCTCGAGGTATTTTCCAAGAGCCACCAGGACAATTAATACGATTACAGCTGACACGTAGCTCACCACCTAAAATGTTCCAAAGCTATACACGGACTAAAACATGGGCATGAATTTCTCGTTCACACAAGTTAAATACGTATTTTCCATTTTAGACCGTTTGAAACTTATATAAAAAGCCACAAAGTAATCGGTTCACGGTAATCGGCTGCAAATTTGAAAAGTTTAGTTGATTACCGATGTAGAAATTCAACGACGAAACAAAATTACCAGTGTAATTTACGCACTGGTATTCTTAATGAGCAGTCACCTGAGTGGATCCACCTACGGATTCTTGAACTGCACTACGCGCAAGCGCTCCCCGTCGCGGGGATGCTCCAGAAGAATGCACCGAACACGTTGGCCGCGCCGAGTGCAATTAACTCCTGGTTGGCGTCGACCTTGTAATGGTGTTTACTAGAGAAGATCTTCGTCAACGAGATGAGAATGGCCGAGGCAACAATGGCCAGGCTGAAGCTACGGCCCAGTATTTCCGGTATAATCTTGTAGGATGGAACTTGCGGTGCCGGCAGCCCGGTGGGAATGCGACTGACCGTTGACACACCCCATCGACATGATAAGTCCAAATAATGCGAAGCCAGTGTTGCAAAAATTATCTGTAACGCAATCGACCAGCAAAATTAAAAGTGCTCTCATTAGCTGTATATATAAAATACAATACTATCTGATTCGATTCGCAGAACAAAACCGATTGTATGATGATTCATGGCGATAACACAAACAATGGTCAACACACCCACACGGGCAGCCTCGACCTTACCACTATCAGTTCAATAGGAAGTGGGATTTTTTATGATCTTCATGATACGAGGATTCTGATTAATGAACGTCCGGACCAAATACAGTATGGTGATGCAGATTATGGAAACTATCAGCGTCGGAATATGGACGGTGGTGATTTGAGCGAAGAAGTCATAGTAAAACTGTAATTTTCAAAGGCCATGATTCAGCTTACGTAAGGGTATTTGGCTATACAAAAATGCAACACAATCAGAATTAAAGATATGCAGCAAAATTCACTTTTAGTATAAGCAACCATTGTGAGACTGCCACTGAATGGCATAAGCAAAACTTTACGGATGCCAGTGAAATCTTAAATGCGAAGGTCCACAACGCCGTAAAATAAACCAAATTTCAACTGCAAAAATTTCCCAGACCTCCTGATTTCTGCTCTTTTATGCAAAGGACGTATAGTAAATTTGTATTTTTCTAGAGTGAGTAATTACAATGACACAGTTAAACCCACCAATACAAAATAGCAAGCATCCGTTTTACTACAACATTGCTTACGTAAATCAGCTTCAAGGGTCCATAGCGTTCATTCAATCCGCGCATCCCAAAAACTAATTTCACTTGACTGGTAAAGACGTGAAAAGCTGCCGCACATGTAAATCTGCTTCAGAAAAAATACTGCATTAGTAAATACGTATTTGAAAGGCTGCTTGCCTCGATAAAGGATTAATGAATGCTGTTTTAAGTTGTAAATGTATGTGCAGGTGCGTACTGTGCTTAGGTTCCTGCCAACGCATGCATTTAAGTTACTAACAGTGCTTGTACGCTGCGTACCCTTTTACAAGATGATCAGAAAGGAAGACCGCTAGATGACCAAATCGGAAAATTCCGAACAAAATCTGTAGAATGCAATTCCGCTTATTACCGCGGCAATATGACAAGTTTTGCTCAAGTGCGGTGACCTTTACCTCCCATATTCCTGTAGCTAACGTTATCGCCATCATGACTTCCACTCGAATTTCCATAGGGACCAAATCGTTTGGTGATGACTGTGAAGAATTCGTATGAGCCTGTCCTGGTGTACTGACGTTACTGCGTGACGCATATAATTCTCGTCCAACTGAGTGGACAATTCCACCGGTCATAAGGCTGGTCACCGCAAAAGTTCCTACAACATTTATGCATGTAGATGAGTCTGTGATACTGCAGTTGTATGGTATCTGTACTTTGCGCGCAACAAAAATACTACGAGTAATGCAGCGATGATCCGAGAAATAAGGGCAGCTTTACCAAAAACTTAAAACTAGAACGTGCAATCGATTTTAGACCAGCTTCTGCGGGCACGGCATGGCCGGAGCGTAGGAGCAGTAATGGTAAAACAATGCCGGTTATTGGAAGTGGTGAAGTAGCGCAAATCTAACTTTACGTAAATCAATATACGAGTATATATGTACAAAGAAAACATACAGATACGTACCTACGGATGCATGCTGAGACGTGCATATGAGCGAATAGATGAGCACCGGAAAAAAGGAAGTATATCTAAAACCAAACTTTATTAAAGCATAAAGATAAGTAAATATTATAGTGAAATCGTGATTGACTATCAAGGTCCACAAAAATCGGCTGGAACAACTGATTTGAAGCCAATGCAGAAGAAACCAGAGTAACACAACTTCAACGTACACTGGACGAATTACAAAGTACACAACAGCCAAGCCAAAGTCACCAACTATGAAAAATCCACAGAATCATTTTTGCACAACTTGAATATGAGGGTTCACAAAAATATTGGGAGACCACTCTGTTCGCAACCTTTCTCATCAATTTACAACCTCTCGCACTGGCTTTTACTCCGTGCAATACCTTTAGGCCGCATTGCTTTTTGTACCATTTATTACGTTTTAGTTTTTTCGCTTCGCTACCTTTCGCTTTTCACGTTCTCCCATGAGCCCCAGTGGAAAGAATTTCGCAATTTATTTCCGTACTATATGCAAAAAGATCACATAAGAATACTGTAGCAGAACTATGCAAACCTAAATTACTAGATTCTGTGTCCAAAACTCGACTGCGGAGAAAACATAATAATAGATCTGTGCGCTATTTGTGAAATATTTGTAGCAGCATCGTTTTACGAAACCCTAAGAAAACTTGGATAGAAATAATTTTAAAACAAACTGCTGTGGCGGAACTTAAGCAATAAGTTCCATTTCAACACTTGCCGGTAAAACAGTTTAAAGGATTTCAAGCCAGCATCGGAAAAGATTGCGCACGCTATGAAATGCAGTGTCAAAAGTTAGTGCACGGAGTGAAAGGTAGTGCGAAAGGTTGTGAACCGATTGAAAGGTTATTGAAAGGTGGTGAACGGAGTGGTCACCAAAATGTTGGCGCTGCCTCAAATCGGACAATACGCTGCTGAATATGAGTGTAATTAATAATACACTCACAATCCGTATATCGACTCCGTGCCAGCGAGAACTCCATACGCCATTCCTGCAGCAGTTAAGGGTTATCTGTATTAATTCATCGTTTTTAATTGTTGTAAGGTGGAATACGGAATACCTTGTGGAATATTTAAGATGCCGACAGTAAACCCTGCAAAAAACACCGATGTCTGGTACATGCCAATGTTTGCTCTTCCACAGGCACTTTCACACAACGTTTTATAAAGATCTTTTCCGACAAAAACACAAGAAAATTTCCTACAGCAAGTTACCTAAAACCTAGGGGCAAGAATTCCTGCGGCCGGCACGTGAAATGCCTTTACCCATTTCAAAGGTCATCAGTAGATGAGTGGTGATATTAATGTTTTGTTAAGTGGTGTGTAAGCACAATGTACCGTACATAAATGCACTAACCAGATATCAGATCTCCGACCAAGCATTTCTTGATGTTATAATGGAAAAGCCAGTCGGTGATGGGCAGTATTCGGTAGAGAATATCGCGAGCCACTTTGGGAGTACACTTGGTGCCATGGATTCTGCTGTGCAGTCGTGACCGCAACTGATTCACTAAACGACTCCATGGTGTGGCAATGTGCGGTTCTTGCTGGGCTTCGCTCATGATAATAAACTAGCACTTCGTACGGCAGTTCCATATAATCGTCATAAGGTATGCAGAATTTTTGTGGAACCGCGCTATTCCAGACTTGCGCACCTATGGGCAAAAAATGGATTAACTTAACAATAAGAAGAACGTCTTTGTAATGGTTTTCGATTTTCGAGCTCTACTTTGGCAGTAACATCTGTAATAAATGATGCCGTATGACTCCAGACTTTAGCCATTTGCGCTTACAAGTTTTGGTTGGTATTACACTATTACTGTTACCAATAAATCAAACGCCTCGCATCACTAACGAGCTTGCATGTGATCAATTTTATATTTATTCGTATTGATTTTATATTTGCTGTTAGTTTATACCGTTATGTCCATCGTGCCAAAATTTTCGGAGAAGAACGGAAGAGTAAGTAGCTGAAAAGTGGAAAGCAGTTTGTACAAAGTACAAACAGCGCCGAAAAATGCAAATCTACTTCTTAATCAACTGAATAAATTAGTAATTTGGCTGAAACTCGAAAACAAAGCACCTTTTGTGTCAACATAAATCAAAATCGGTGTGAAATAATTGCAGTTAATTATGGTCAGATTAATTATGTCTACAGTTACGTCTGCTAAAAAATCTGAAAACCTATCGCGCGTTTATTCAAGAAATCCGTTCGTTTAATAGTCGGCAAGACGACAATTCGGATCGTACTCGCACAAAGCAGTGACTAACACATTTCACAGCCCAAACGAAACTATAAGTATAACTTTCTTGGAATGTACAGAGCAAGCGGTAACCTACTGGATTTTAATTATCCTACTAAAGTACCCACATTCTGTTAGTAATCTGCAACCGAATGCATCAACTTTATTTCGTTGCTAGCGGTCCAAACGCGTTTACAGGCCGAGTCGACACAGTTTGTGCAGATGTTCAACAACAGTTCAACCCCAACATGACATCGAAGTATAACTAAATCATATAATACAGATATTTGTATTAACAAAAAAACGTAAACTCGTACTTCCGTTATTCTGTTCATTGAATCATTCCCCTTGCCGCATTCGCTTAATTCGACTGAACGCTTTTCCCAGTTTTCCGCAGACAGGGTTCCTGGGGAACAGACCTAATTCAAGGTAATAGAGCTGTCCCAGCAGCGACTCCGGACTCTGCTCGATCATCTCCGCGCAAACCCGAATCAGCCATTTCATCGATTCCGAATTTAAATGGCACAGCTGATGCTCAGATGTACCCCCGCGATAACTATGAGCACGCAAGGGAAAAGCCAAATCATCGCATCCGTTCTGCGCCGCCTGGATGCGTCCCAGACACGATTCCGCTTTTTCCGTCTCCTCATCCACAACTTTCCATCCCTTGGGGACTGCTTTATTCGGCAGAAGATGTCTCAGTTGGTGATCCTTAAAGTCGGTCAACAGGACAAGATATTTCGAGCTGAGCGCTTCACTGTGGGCGCGGAATGGCCGGTATGTCGGTGGAAGAAGTATAAGATCGTCCGCTTTTGGTTCGCGATTATCACGCAGCTGTTGGCTAAATGCGCTCTGCAACCCTTGATGACACTGTTCACTGCTGTCACTTTCCTTCTCAACGGGATCGGCTGGCGACGAATTTCGCTTCATCACAGCAAGAGAAGGAGCAGGACAAGATTCACCGAAAAGAACGGTGTGCCGGAACAAGTGCAGACGGCGCGCACTCATATATTTCATCCATTTCTAAAAAACGGGAACAACTGTTATCACACAAACAGCGACAAGAAAGTCGCATATAAAGCTTAAAAGCGGGTTAGATAAAAAAATATTACAGGCAGTTGCTGGTGCTTGTCTTGAAAGATAAACATAAACAACGAGATCGAGAATCGGATGCATTGTGACTGCATGTTGTATCATAATCTGACCTGTCGCACAATTGCAACGTAAAACTTTCTACTGTAGTTTGCTTTTTCCTATTGCAGTAACTTCGCAGTACCAAACTGGTCAAAACAAACCGAACTATTTCGTCGATTTTCACTGCAGTACAACTATTGCAACAAGTTTTAGAACAGAATACATACTCGTATGCAAGTCACATTATGAAACAATAACTCGACGATCCGCAACATAACATTACTTTACAGAACAGGGGTGCCTCAATTTCGGTTGTTCTTGTTACATGTATAAACTTACGTCGAAATCAAAAAGCTGTACAGCTGGTTTGCGTATTAACTTCTGCAGTTTGTGCGTATTTTTGGTAATCTTCTGTTCCGCCATTCCATCCAACCCAAACAGCGCACGAATAACATAAATAATCAGGCTTATAACAAATGCTTCCACATTTATCGCTCTTCTGCCTGTTTCGGTGCCGCTGCTTCCTCGCAACTCAACATCAAACTCCAGCATATTCGCTTTTTCCGCCAGTGCAACAACCATCGGCAAAATAGCATCCGGAAGATTTAATTCCATAATAAACCGCTCAATCACCGGTACCACAGACATTTTCGGAAGACCACCCGCTTCAATCCCAAACAGTTTGCACAATGCAATAAAATGGAATTCCAGTTCCGCATAGCTGGGTACATTTGCTTCCTTCGTATGAATTCCCGTCATTGCCTTAAAAATTTCGTACGATCTGGGCGGTAGCGCGGGATTAGAGTAGGGCAACTGCAGAGCACGCATCCAGCGGATGAGATCACTGGTCAGGATATCCGGATGACAAATATGCAAGGATAAAATCAAAATGGCAACGACACGCGGAAGAAGCAGTCGTTCAGGTGCATCGACGATGTCCGACGCTAATACGACGGTTGTGAGCGTCTTCTGCGGCGGACGGGGAGTTCGCCGCCGCGAAGGGACTTTCGCGGGGCCGTCGTCCGGAACCTCTGCATGCTCCGATTGCCAGAATTTCAAGACAAACTGCACCTCCTTGGAGGGGACGCCAATTAAATGTGAAAAGTCGTTCTCTCGCAAAATCCCCAGCCAGTGTTGATTCTGCATCAGAGTGGTCTCCACGCCGGCAGAAACATCAGGCAGGGCTATCGATAAGTAACTGAAACACAGAAAAAACACATCAGAAGCCGCCCAAAAAAGATTTACTTACTATTAACTCTTGCAGCACAGTGCAACTAACAAGAAAATTCAAAACGACGCAATCACTGACTGTTTTTAATTACATAAAAAAATATGAGTGAATGTTTTTAATTACATAAAAAAATATGAGTGAATCAAAGTTTGGTTTAAAATCCAAATTATAAATAAAAAAAACTGTCAAAACAGTAGACGCATACCTGAACCAAATATTTTTAACCGCTTTGCGCAGCTGCTTTGGTGCGCCAGCTTTGGAAACAAGAAAATCCACCTGCATCCGCAGAATTTCATCCGCGACCACGAACGAGCACTCTTTATCCAAACGCTCGAAAGTACTGCCTTGACGTTCGCTAGAAAAATCATTTCCTATGGAAGAACGGCTCGCTTCAGTTCGACGCTTCGTTCTTTCGCGCAGCGTACCACTCTGTGGGCTTTTCGCGTGACTCGAATTGCGCAGGATACTCGGCGGAGTTTTTGACGGCCCGCTCTCATCGCGAACTGCCGTATTCGATAGGGATGCCATTTTCCAGCCCGCTCAGCGCAATCCGTAAGCAGTTATGCCATCCGGGAACGCAGTGTATGGAAATCAAGCTTAAGCGGTGTACGATTCTGGCGCGTCCACAGCTAGAACTCTCGTTACTTTTGAGGTGCTGCAGCGGATCAGTACAGCTGAAAAACAGCGATATCCCACGAAGTGGAAGCAGTACTGCGCGAAAGAAACAGATAAGCCACGTGAATGCTAATAGCGCTCCGCGCGAATGCTTCTGCCGAGAGCATTCACGAAGACCGGAAATGAATGCCTCAATAATACAATTACCGAATGGATGGACGGATAACAGTCATAACATCGTAGACCGCAGTTACCTATGTTAAGTACTGCTGCATTCAAAAATCACATCCGGTTGCGAAACATGGCAAGCAAAATTATTTTCGAGCTAATTACAGTAATAACTGGCACAGAGCTATCACATTACCCGGTGTATACAATTCGAACTTTTTCGGCTGCCATGACAAAACTAACAGCAGCCGATTATTTCCAGAAAAGCGGAAATACTGTACCTGCTTGGCAATCCGGAATTCTAAATCCTTCGACTCCTTCGCACAGTGCAAAGGACGGAAACGTTGTGGTGATTACATGATTTGCATCTTCCAATAATCACATCATCCCACGTTTGCGTCGAATCCAGATAAAACCACAGATTCTTTAATGGGCACAAACAGAAGAAAACTGATCGAACTTACGAGAAAGTGTAACAAAAATGTGAAAAGTGTGCTTGTAAATTGTAACTCGGGGCTTTCCCTTAGGCAATTTTTTTAACATTTACCAGGCCGACCGCTGGGCATTTGTCGTAGCAGTCAACCTCCAGCGGGCGACGGACAACAGGTGCTCATACCAGTTGCGAAACCTACGCACCTCACTCAAAATCTCTCTAATGTAAAAAAACAGAGCCCAGAATTCGCACCTTGTTTTTAAACTCGTAAAGTCTAAAGAACTATTTATAACCCCACAATCACCAAACATCTCCTAAGTTGTCTCATAGTGTTTTATAGTGCAGTAAGTTTGGTAGGGTGGGAGCCGGGCGTGTGTTTGGACAGCGATGGAAAACCAGACTAAGCGACGGAAAGACGAGGAACCCGAAGTGCCGTCAGTGTGGAAGCGAGCATTCCAGCGATCAGCTGTTTGGCCGGATAAGGTATAATCGACTAGGAAAGCTGCTAACATTTTTGCAGACGATACGAAACGGTGCTTCAATATTCACGGGATTTGGGTTTTTGCAGGATGAGTTATTAGACGTGATTTACTGGCTACAGCAAGTTCTGGCGCTGTGCGTCGGATTGGGTTGTGGATTAGTGCCTGTTAAAGGATTTGTGGGGTTTGCAATGTTAGTGTGGTCATTCTTGCTTGATCCTCCGAGAAGTTCCGTTTCTAATGGTGCTCTTTTGTTTCAGATATGCAGCATGCTCATGTTTATCGGTTATTTGGTACTCAACAAATTTCCAAGAAGTTGATCTCGAAGACACATTTGGCGACAAAACCACGGTTTTGAAGGAAGGTTTTCCCAGTTCTTTGGCCACATTTTTGGTGAGTCGCGGCTAGAAGATAATGAAGTTAATATTTTTTATCTGGATTTCGGAGAGATGTGCTTTAGGTGATTGCTAATGGCAGATTGAACCTCATCTTCTCATTTTTAATCTTGCGTTTTTGTTAATTAGTAAGGTGTATGTAATTTTTTCTACTGTTTTAAAAAATTTCTTTTTTGTCTTACATTAGTCTGTATTATTTAAGGATCGCTACGGAGTCCGGTCTGTAAAAGCATTCCCACCTGTAGGATTTTCAAAATTTGGTTTAGTGAGCGTGAAACCTGCTCGAAAATAGGAGGATGTTTTAATTCGACATTTTTGGTGGAATTGTTGCTTTTGATTTTCGTAATTAAGGATACGAGACTACTCAAGACATTTTTCGGGAAACGTAGTTCGTGATGATTGGTCTTTGTATTTTGTATAGGAGTTGTTTTTTAAGATGTTGTTTTTAAGCTTTTGTGATATCATTAATTAGGATTCGGTTGCGAAAGTTTTAATTCAGTTTCCTTGAGTCTGAATGTACATGCATAATGCATTTACAATTAAGTACATAATGCTGTTTTCGCATGCTGGATCAGCCCGGCTTTCTGCACAAAGTGTTATTATAGTACAGTACGCTTCTTCAGGGAAAAAGAAATGTACGGTTCGAAACTTGATTGTTTATAAATTTTGTTAGTATAATTGCGCACAAACTGGCATTCTAAGGGATGGGTTGCATAAGAAAAACGAAGGTTTTATTGCAACAATTTCGATGCGTCACGCTTAATAAGTGGATACGCAGGGCAATTTTTCCGATATGCTGATGATGACTTTTTTACGGCGTCCACCAGTCTAGTTTACGGCGCACGACTGGTATGCGGAAAAATAAGCGATTGTGTTGTGTATCATTTCATTAGCTTTTTTATCCGCTTAGCAGATCATTTCGAACATACCTGATCATCAATCATACCATCATAAAAACGAGCGTTTATCATTCCCAAGTGCTCGACTTGAAAGCGTTTTCACTGCGGCATCCATGTCAGATTCATTATCAAAATAATGCTACTCTGATTTCGCTAGAGACCGCTGTGCTTTTTACAGGTGACCTGGATTATTGTCTACACGGCCATGCATGCTCAGTGACAGGTTTGAAGATTCCATTTGAGTATTTGGAGAGCCTGCTCTCGTTTGCGACCGAATGCTGCTCATTGTGATAGGAAGTGAAATGGCCCGCTGCTCTGCACAGACGTCTGACAATTGTTGTTTTTTTTCTGGTGACGCATGATGCAGGCCTTGGTCGATTGGTCTTGGTCTTGTTCAACTAATTTGCAATTTTTTGGATGTCTGTGTCGAATTGCTCGTGAATACGTTTTTTTCACGATTGATTTCTGACTATTTATTACTTGTTGTCCGTGTTGAATTTTAATTTGTTAACGAGTTATAAAGAAATCACAGTTTCAAATACACAGCTTTATTGCTCTCAGTGTTATTACGTCTTTTGCAGCATGATTAACATAACAAAAAATACTTAAATTTAATTTACTGTACAAAGAAAAATTTGCAGGTAAAATTTTTCAGAAAGGCAGCAGTAATTGTGTTATCAACAACGTGTGATGGTTTTTATTGACCACTTCTTGAAGTTGTTCCTTGTGGCTTTCGATGATCGGGTCATAGAGGAACTTTTCGGCAAAGTGGCATGGGCAAATTTCGGAGGAAGGGTGACGATCTTGCGTCGTAATATAAATCTCAAGTCGCTTTCGGCTGAGTTGATTGCATAGAATACCGTGGCATCTGCCGGTATCACGAATTCTGTAACCAATAAAAAGAAGTATGTTAGTGACGCCATGGATGCGGTTGCACAGCGAAATGAAAAGTTTAATGATGAAAGTGACATTTACAAGAAGCGCAAGCTTTTCATTGCCTTTTTATCTGTATTAGGCAATACGTTGCTGATACTTCTAACTAATATAACTATCAGTTCCCTCGGGGCAGGATCACGCCGGTCTACAGCGAATACTTGCTATGCAATACACACAGTCATAAGTCACCGATTTTTACAAGCGGCTGTTCGTGGGACATCACCCGATAAATTATTTTCAGAACCAAAACATTTTTCTGTGTAAGTACTTAATGTTTTCGTATGATTCAAATAAACAGAATGTAGCTACGGCAGTACGAATACTGATATTATCAGAATTACTGACATGTCTACCCTAAATTGATCGGTGGTATATTTCTGTGATCTCAAAACCATATCATAAAGAGTAAACGTAGCATTCAAAAACTGTTTACTCCTATAAAAAAAATTTCCAGAATTTTCAAGTAAAAGAAAAACATTATTTTAAAGATCGATTATTTAGCCTCCAGGATATCACACTAACATTTTTTACAATTACAGTATTTCTATTGGCACGTGCAAACATTTTAAGCAGCGCGAGCCGTTCACTGCAGTTATCCGTGAACAAATAGATAAATTCCAATGTCACATGGCCACCGTTTAAAAAAAAACTGCCAAGATGCCCTAACCAGTTTTTGACGAACCCATTAATGGAACTGTCTGTCTATGTCAATTGACACGCTGATCTTTTAGCACTCTCCTACACACATAACCAAGCGTACCTTCCCCTCGTGACAGCACCTGCACAAGGTCATAACTAGCCGGCTCATCCTGTTGGCGGTCTTGCTTGTCGAGGGCCTGCCGAATGACGGCCAATGTCTTTTCATTGTCATTGACCAGGACACTCTTGTACAGATTCACGCCGCCGTAGAAGACACTACCGCCGCCACTCCCGGCATCCAGACTGATCTTCAGAATGCAGAAGGTATCCGACACATAGGGTGACTTCTCGGGTGCACTGCCGGCACTGGTGGCGCGCCGGTAGTCCAGCGACTGACTGGAGGAAATTGAGTTTTTGCGCGTGACTAGAAATGGCGCATTCAGCAGATTCTCCTGAGAGACCATGCGTTTGAGGGTACTCAGGCCGTTCATCAACATGGACCGTGATTTCGGCTGACTTCCCTCGCTGGCGCTGGAGACTTCCGATGTCGAACGGGATACGGGAGCCGGTGCTTCGATCAGGAAAGAGTTGCTAAAGCTACAAAAACAAATAAACTTTGCATTTTTGCGCAACTTATGATACTATTATCAGAAATAAACCCTATCAAAATAAATTAAATAATACAAACTGCAGAGTGATACGGCTTTAATATGAAGCATTACTAAAAGGTCAATTTCTATTTCCAGTTGTTTGTTTACGTTTCCGTTCTCCCATTGCGTCGCACACAGGAGAAGTTTTTTTCCAATCATCTGACATCACTTTGCCAAGTACATTGGCTTGTCGGACAGACAACAGCAATTTCGCAGACAGAGAAGTAAATACCTGCATAATCAGTTGACGCTTTGCAATCAAATGCAATTTCTACACGGCGGCATACGTGGCAATAACCATGAATACATGAGCCCTAATGACCTATCATAAATATGTAAAGCATCGCTGATTTGCATTATTCACATGCTTCACCTATAACTTGGTACTGCCGCATCTATTGTATACATTTCCATGAAATTTTAGTCAGCCCTCTAAATCCTACACTTTGAACAATTATTAGTACTAAAAAAATTTTCAATAAGCAGCTTGTAATTTTTCAGTTTTTATGGGTACTCGTAAAGTTTTCTTTGAAAGTGTTACTCTTTAAAAATAGGTTGTAAAAGTTTATGCTGCTGTACGCTTAACTTTGTAGCCCACAATTACATATTGTATTTTTGTACGTATCTGTTGTAATGTACATGCCTACTACATGGCAGGCAATTAGGTGATGCATACAGTAATTTTAGATGATGTGCACAACAAAAATACCAAAATTTGCTAAGTACGAGTAGTTTATAAATACGTAAAATAATTTAAAACGATATCCAAATTCTAGTCTTATTTCTGCACATAACCGCAATCATTTTTGCATTTTAGAAAATCACAGCCGACAGCGCATTTGAAAAAAACAAACATGCAGAATGCCTATGGCCTTTTATCGGCTTTGCAACAGAATCGTTGTCACATGAGGAAAAAATCACAGACATTCTGACAACCCCACAACTTTTATGGCAAACTGTCGACTTTCTGATTCAAATGCTTATTAATTCTAAAATTCGACGAAATTGACTCGAGGGTTCATTTGTAAAATGCATTAATTTTGACACGAGGTACCGTGGCACAAGTGCGTCAAATTGAAATCGTGAGAGCAATTTTTAAATTAACCTACTATAACTTAACTTGTCAATTAAACAACTGAGCGTTTATGAAAGCGGACTATAAAGAACAATATACGCTTTAACGAAGCCATACCACATAATTCATGCCTTTATAAAGTTCGCGATACGGCGACCATACAATGCTATTTATCGGTGGAAGTAATCGTGCAGCCGATACAAGTACAACACTGTATTTACGACTGCCCAGGATAATAATAAATATCACGATAAATAACCTACGCTCGATGGCCTAGTTTATTAAACAAAAATATTTCATGTGCAAGCTGTGTGTTTTAACAGCTCCTGGCGGCACAAAATTTCGCAAACATCATAATTCGATACACAATATCAAATCCGTATACAGCGCCAATATACCCTGTGATCAAAGTCAAAGACTAACACCATTCCCAAATAACCGTATTTAACCCGCTCAGCTTTTACGGCTCATGAAAGGCTGCATTGTTCGTCCATTGTTGGTAAGTACTTTAAAAATATCGATTAACAATTAGCGGCTTTTTAGCACCCAACCACCGGAAATGTGTATATGCATATGTGCATCAGTGGCATTTTGTGAAATGAAGACAAAAACGATATTCGCGCTTGTTTGTTCGTTGACTCGCCGACAGCAGACCGAGGTTGCATTTATTTTACACCGTAACAAAATGTCCACGACAAACTTTTAACCACATACCATTCTTCGCTGTCGAGCACGCGCAGTGATTTGTAGAACCAAAAGCGGAAATGATCATGCGGTGCGATTTGGTAAGAGGCCGCAGCCGACTGGAACCAGCGGATGTGGGCTAGAATCTCGAATTCCTTCCGCCGTTTATCGAAGTTGATCAGACGCTGTTGTGAGCCTGAACGATGACTGACATAATCCGGCAGTGCGGTGTCCAGCATTACCAGATCCGTTAGAAATTTCCCCAAATACGGTACCACACCATGCACATTTCCAGGCTGAAATTATAATTTTATGTAGACAAGTCCAAGTACATTGTATGCACGTGGGTAATTTATGTAGAAACATTTACAGTAATAAAGGAAATAATTTGAAATATTTATATATTGGTAGAAACCATATTTTATCACCAATACACTGAGCACATTAATGTTATACCACTGAGAAATAAATATCTGTATGCCACCGTACCAAAAACAACCATTACGATTTCATTTCATTACTACCGCCTAACCTTACACGGATCTTTTGTAATACAGATATACTTTGTAATTTTTCTCCTGCTTTACCAGCTCAAAATAAGTCAGTCAAGCTACCAAAGTTTTATTCCGATTCTTTTCCTTGCAAATTTATTGTTACACCATTATTGGTGTCTTTACGGTTTTAAGGTCAAACGAAATAAACAGATAGAATAGAGCGGCTGTTATAGCCACATGTACACCTATTCAATAGAATATAGATAGATGGAAATAAATATAGTATCGCCAAATTGCATTGAAGTTTATTATGGATGACAGCAAACGTTCTGTTTATTTTGATAACCCACATTCCGCTTTCCTGATTGTGAGAAATAATTCGGTCAGAATTTTACCGTAATTGTGAAACCTGCCGGCATTATTTGTCAGAGATCTGTTTAACCGATAAACACCACTTTCCGTGATCTAATTCGACCGTTTCACAGACAGCATACCGCAGATGTGTCCGCATCTAATCGCCATTACTCTTTTCCCAGCCAATAAATATATCATAATTAAAACAGCTCTATTGTGCTTTTAGGAGACAGCGCTATATCAACTCAATTGTTGAAAGATTCTATTAACGATGACATAACAATTAATATTCTCCAGCGCACTCTGCCTCTTAATCAAAAGACGATTTCTGAATTACGATCCTCACTAAGCTGATTAATCCGCTTATGCATATATTATTTTTTTCTATCTTACTGCGACTCCTCAAGTGCCGCCTAATTTATGGATTAATCCACTGCCAAAATTGTCATCTATATTGACGGCATGCACACGAAATCTGGTACAAATCATGCTGAGATGTTCAAAAAATGTCCACTACTGATGCGCAACAAGTAGGTTTACAACTCGCCATGGAATGCTACCAACAAAAACTCAATGCTACCAACAAAAACTCAATGACCGCTTTTCTCGTACAGAGTTTTGGCATGCACCGGCAGAGATTACTCCAATAATCAGCCTATTCACCGCGTCGCTGTGCATTTACACGCCAACTATTCTACTATAATCACGACCATTACTGCCGACATTAACCAATGCATTCCACCTTAATGATGATTAAATAATCAATGTATGCGGTGTGTGTGTGTACGTGTAACCACACTGGCAACAACTTACATTATCGCTGTAAGATCGGCGATGTCCGATGTTCTTCGCTGATGGTTTTCCGCACACCGTCGGATCCCGCGTAACCGTCATGTAATTGCGCGTAATCGCAGCTGGCACATGCGCCGACGCTACGCCCGGCTGGAGTTCATTGCGTACCGTGAAGATTCCCGTTAACTCTCTGAACCGCTGCAGCTTCTCTCTATAACAACCACAAACAGACACGTACATATCAGATTCCATTGCAGTACAGACAATTGACATCTGTTGAACTTTGTTGATGCTACTGTAAAACGGGTCGCTTGTTGAACATAACTCAATAAACGCCAAAATATCACGAGCGCGTAACACTATCCACACAGCGCGACTGTCTGACCACTTACACCGGCAACGAGGCCCAGAGCTTCTCCAGCCGGAAAACGGGTTCAGCCTGCAGTGCGGAGATGACGGCGTTCAATGAGGAGAAATTTCTCATCACCAGCAGACAGTGTGCAATATCGATCCACTTAATTAGCAGGCGGAGTCGCAGTGACGCCGTCATGGCCAGATCACCCAGCAGACTGGACTGTACACGGGCGCATATGGCGTTGAAATGGCAGATCGTGGCCTGGACACTGTCCATCGACCGGCGGGAGGCGTTGCGGGCGCGTTCTTGCGCCAGACACTGATGCGGCAATAGACGCCGTAGTAATACCGCGTCCACTAAGGTCAACTGACCAGCAATCAACTTATCACTATAATTCAGTAGATCCTCCGCCGGCGGACTGTCGGACGGGCTAGCCGGGCATACCGGGACATCGCTGACCGGCAGCAGTGTTTCCCGGATCCATTCCAACACTTCTTCATTAGGTAGCGCGGAGCGTTCCTGTTTGACAATCCACTGATTGATCCGCGTCTTCAGATCCAGATCCCCGAATTTCTCCGCGTGTTCCTGTACCGCGATGACCGCGGGGTCGGCGTCAGCTTCGGGGAAATCCTCGGGATGATTGTCGAACAGCATCACGAGCAGCTGTTTGGTCGGTCGTTCCAGCGGTGTGCCGTAGGCGGCGGATAGATTCCGCAGTAAATACTCGACAACGACTTCCGGCGTGGTGAACTCACGGTATGTGTCCAAGAAAATGTTGACATGGCTGGATTCCAATTCATACTCACTGTTGATCAGCGCCTGCATAATGCGCTCCATCGTGCCGGCTTTTAATAAGCGCACTTTGATCGTTTGCCATTCCATGTACGAGACACTGCCGTGGATATTGTCGTCCTTAAATAGAAAAAATTCCGCCATTTAGCACTTACGAGAAAATAACTGATTATCGGCTTGCAGTGAATACCGATGAATAATCGTAGGAATGCAACAACTAATGTTCGACAATATTCTGTGTCACTCCATTGACAACTAGTGCACAGTGATGTGATTTTAATTAGCAAAATTCAAATAGTGCATTGCGAAATGGCCTAGCATCAAACTACAGCTTAATGGCGCGTGAACGCCTCTATTTTAACAAGATAAAGTGCTTCATCGAGCCAAAATACACAAGGTTAACTGCATAAATGAGTAAACGCATATACAAGCGGCTTACGGATGTCAAACTGGCTCCGTTGCTCTGCGCGTAGCGGACTTTCTTCAAGAATACGCTGTAGACTGCGTCCTCCTCCTCCTCATCCATCCAGTAACGCCGATTGTCGGCATGCTACAAAAAGCATTTACAATCGGTGCATATTAAGTACGTTTTCATAACCACCTGCATAGTAATGCATAAAAATAACCGTCAGCTGTATGAAAAGCGTTCGACTTGTCACTTTCAAATAATCGATCAATACATTATCAAAAATATCGCGTTCGCTTGAAAAGTGTCAAAAATGCATAAAACAACATGCAGTATTGTGGTACCTTCGAGTAGTGTATTTACCAATAAAAACCTAATCCGTGCATTCATTAGACATGCGAAATCAGCAGATCATGGCTTTCGAATGAGAGTGCTTCGTAACTGCGTCCACATTCTACATTCTAATTTCCAAGGTGGGCAATGACGACTTAAGTTCTATTAAAAACTGAATAACTGCAGGAGTAAAAACGAAATATAAACTATTCATAATCAATTCTAAACGGTACAGTAGAAGCCTTGATTGAAAGCAGGCATTATGTTAAATTAATCGTTAAGCCGGTAAATGCACCATTATTTTGCAGTTAATTTTGCAGTTATTACAGCGGTAGGATTTACTGCAAGTACGATTTACAGATATATGGAAAGTTACAGAAAATTTTATTCAAGTGTCAATTCAACATAGTAGCTGCTTATAAACTACCCTAGTTGCTAAAGCAGAAAATTTTATTATTTTAGTTCTAACCAGCAATAGATTACTATTTTTACCACACCGAACGGTGCTAAAAAATTTTCAAGCAACTTTCGCTTCGGCATTTGACCGAAATAACAAATAGACACGTCGCCGTCATTTGGGGAATTCAAGTGAAAGCAATCTTTTGTGTGTCGTGAGTTATTATCGTTTAATTGCATAACATTTTCATTCGCAATGCTTATCAAAGTAAACACACTTTCACGTCATCAACATAAAACAGGATAACAAAATTTAAAACACTTAACTTCAACCAAAGCTAGCAGATAGCCAATATAAATTTTACAAATTCAATAATTTTTTATTAAAAATTAATTACCTGTTCCGGCGGTTTACGAGCCGCCACAGACAAATTAGACGCGACCTGCATCGATATGGCCGAAAATCACGGGATGACTTCCGTTTAGTCCAGATCGGTGCAGCAGATTGTTAATCCAGCAGGCAACGCACCCAATACACGGCACAATGCAGAACTTTGGGTTGGGTTGCGCTGCACGATATACGTAAATAACGCAATGTCGCCGCAATGGTGTTTAAACTAATTGTACATATGTAAATGTAATGCAGCCGTGTAATCGCGATCTGTCAATTAATACAATGAATATCAGATCATTCAGATGTCCGTAAAATATGCTGACGAACGGAATATTCTCCCGAAATCGCACTACATCGGAATGTGCACAGCACGGCAGAAATGTTGTCCCGTCCGTCAGACTGGGTGCAGATAATGCGATAAGACCAATGAATACTATCACACTGCGAACGCCTGCAACGGGGGAACAAAAATTACAAAATTATCCTGGCCACCTGGAATGTCCACGATGATAATGCGGTGAACATGCTGCTGTCACTGTCAGGTGCAAATGCGGGGGATGGCTGAACTTGATACGATATCGTGTGATTCCAAAGGTACACAGTACATACACATGCACACACAACCAGCAAATAAATAATTACCACGCAGCTATAACGTGCACCAAAGAAATGAAGAACTGCCGCCGTTGAATTTGAATGATTTATCGGTCAAAACGGAAATGCAGATGTGTACATTGATCGGGTAATGTATGCACTGCCAGCTAGGGGTGATTATGATAAACGATTATACTTTTTGAGAAATTGAAAAATGCCGAAATTGATGGCCAAGATGTATATTGCTTAAAGAGTAAAAGTTACAAATATTACCCGTGTTACTCATAGCCGCGTTTCATCGAAAACATTTTTCTTCTCGTCAGCTTTTTCTCATGCTTACGCGATCACGATTATTTGAATGTGAAACACGCATACGAAGTGACGAACTGCAGAGTGCAGACTTTCACCCGCGCGCTGCAAATGCATTTGCACCGCTCGTCAATTATTTGTCCACAGCTGTTCGGCCAGTTGCTTTGAACGGTTTTCCGTAGGGCGTATACCACGTTTGCAGCCGTCGCCGATGGTGTCTATATTCGCTATTACTCATGATCATTTAACAGAACCGCTAACTTGAAATTCTAGTCGGCTTGTACGCTGACGTTGTGATTAACTGTCCCAAAAAATTGGTATAAATCTGTTACCTAGTACTTATTTAAATCTGCAGAATGTAGAACGTAGTGCAGTGCCATGTATTGTATAAAATGTGTCGCTATCTTTATAGGGTACCCTTATAGGCACTCCCTAAAACCCCTGTAAATTATAGGCACCTCTTTTCGCACCCTGTTTATTATAGGCACCCTGTTTTGAATCAATATGATATATAATAGAATGACTGTTCTCAGATAATAATACAGCTTTCTTCTTATACTAGTACGATAATTTTTTACTGGCGTCGATTTAAAAAAAATCAGGCTTTCCAGTTGATAACAGGACGACTCGGCAAATCAGCCAACCTAAAGCGAATAACGTACGCGTCTTCTTCCGTGACCAGAGACCATGTTTCGCGTTAGTCAGCTCATTTGTTGGCTTCCGATAGTCCTGCATTCGGAAGAATCCCTGAACCCACCATACTTCATAAGATGCTTGCCGGTCTTGAACACAAAATTACTGTTGCATTTTCTAATATAGTTGTGTGACACTATTACATTGATCTTCTGTCCATGGTAAGACGTTTTCCATAGTTAGCAAGTTCACAGTTGCAACTTGCAAGTAAGTACAATTATGTATAGCAACTGTATAAAATAACATTTAATAAACTGGGAAAGAACACCGCTGATGGCTTGCAAAGGTGCAATAAAACACCGAAGTGAAGCTGGATACCAAACCCGGAAGACTGTCTGCTGAGTTTATTTTAAAACTGTTTTAAAAATACCTTATTCGTATTTAAAAGCATTTTCCTTTATACTTCCTTCCTTCCTTCCTTCCTTCCTTCCTTTTTTTTTTCCTTTTCCTTTCCTAGTATATATTTTTGTGTGTCTTTCCATTTCTTATTCAAAATTCTGAATTACTGTAATGCGTGGCCGTGGAATTTATTAATGTTAAAATATGTAAATAATATTACGTTCACATCACATAATATTATATACCGTATTAATTCAAATTCATGACGATTACCCTAGTTGGCGACAAGCCAGTCTCCCGGTTAGCAGAGGGGGTATCGGAATACGTCGATCGGAGGAATTAGCACTCCCAGCCTTTCAGCTGGCTTCGATTCACTCCGTATCCGACTTGGTATCCCTTTTGTTACCCGCACGGCCGGCTGTGAATACCACGGAGGCTCTAAACCTGTGGAAGCTAAACGCTCGCCAAGCAGAACTGGCCGAATCTAACGTCCGGAAATTGCAAAAAACCTGGGATTTGCCGCTGTGCAACGTATCTCTGTCCACCTTGCTGGAAGTGTATCGCGACGATGAGATTAACACAGCGCGTTTACTTGCCCAGTCGCGGCCGGAAGCAGGCATTTGGCTGAATGCATTGCCCTCCGCTCATATAGGGAATTTGCTCGACGACGACACGCTGAAAATTTCGGTTGGCCTCCGACTTGGCGCGGTTATTTGTGAACCACATGAGTGTATGAAGTGTCACAAGCCAGTAGACCGATATGCACAGACGCACACCACGGCCTATCCTGCGCTTTCTCAGCCGGCAGGCACCCACGGCACGGCGGGCTCAATAATATTGCATGCCGCGCCCTCGTTTCTGCCGGCTTTCCCGTTAAACTGGAACCACGCGGCACCTCACACACGAGCGAACGACGCCCAGACGGCTGCACATTCCATTATAAACCGCTCAATCACCGGTACCACAAATATTTTCGGAAGATCACAAGCATCAATCCCAAGCAATTTGCACAATGTTATAAAATGGCATTCCAGTTCCGCATAGCTGGGTACACTAGCATCGTTCGTAAGAGTTCCCGTCATATTGCCTTAAAGGTTTTGTACGATCTGGGCTGTAGCGCGGTAAGGCAACTGCAGAGCACGCATCCAGCGGGTGAGATCACTGGTCAGGATATCCGGATGGCAAATATGCAAGGACAGAATCAAAACGGCAACGACGCGCGGAAGAAGCAGTCGTTCAGGAGCGTCGACGATGTCCGACGCTAATACGACAGAAGTGTCAAGTGCGCGCTCTCGGCGGTGGACGAGAAGTTTGCTTCCGCGAAGAAGATTTTCCGTGACCGTCGTCCGGAATCACCGCGTGCTCCGATTGCCAGAATATCAAAACAAACTGCACTTCCTTGGAGGGAATGCCAATTAAATTGGAAAAGTCGTTCTCTCGTAAGATTCCTAGCCAATGTTAATTTCGCATGAGAGTGGTATCCATACCCGCAGAACATCCGGCAGGGGCCGCAGGGCTATCGATAAATAGCTGAAAAACAAAGCAAATATCTCGACATGACGGCTTATGTGTAAGACCGTAAAAAAAGTTACCAATCAAAAAAACCAAATCCGGTTAAGGAACACGGCAAGCTGAGTTATTTTTCAATTTAACGGTTTAACCCGTAGACTTGTACAGGCCTATCACATTAGCTGATATAAGGAGAAGGTGCAAACCTTTTCGGTTTTCATGACAAAACTAACAGCAGCTGAGAAAAATGTAAACAGTAAAATAATAAGTACTACTGTACTACTGTAGCGCCGACGGCCGTGACTGCAACTGTATCGGTGCGCCAAATCCCAGTTCGGAATTCTGAATATATACGTATTAGTCTGAATTCTTCGACCACTTTTCGAACTGCAACTAACAAACTACCACGGCCACGGAAACTCTTGAAATTTCACATGATCAAAACTGGGTAACACCAACTGGAGATACCGCACTGGGCTCATACTGAGGATTAAGAAGCGGTGCGAAAAACAAAAAACTAAAATAAGCGTTGCAAAATGCGAAAAACAACTTTGCTTGGCTTTCCCTGTTGGCTTTGTAGGGCTACTACTACAGTACTTACTGTTGGCTTTGTAGGACTACTTTGTAGGCTTTGTAGGTTTGTAGTATTAATTTTGGAATAACAAGCCGACCGATGGGCACGTGTCGTAGCAGCTACCTTCTAACGGGCGACGAATTTTGAGGTTTACGGTGTCCTTATCGATCGCTATTCCTTGGAATTCATCAATGTTAACTGTTTAGCACAATAATATATGTGACAATATCATAATATTGTAGCTGCCCAAGCAGGTCTCAAATCATTAGCTTTGTTTGGTTGATCACAATATATAAGTATGGAGAACTTTGTGACATTCCCGATTCATAAGTTTATATATACCGACGATTGGTCACTATGGACAGTGGATGTGTTAGCTGAAGCCGATAATGTTGTGTTGCGTGGACGCGTCTGTGGGGTTCACGAAAGCGGTTTACTGGTCAAAACTGGTTCTTGTGAAAATTCTCTTCTCGTTCCATTCAGTCGACTACGAAGAACTCTTTGTTGCGAGGCGCTATCTGGTTCGGATCCAGTGTGGCCAGATGGGTCTGTTCCAGACTACGACGACAGAGACTTAAGCAGCGCTAATGACATTGAGGTACTCATAAGTTTGGAAGAGAATCAGCCTGAATCGTGGCAGCCTGCGCGCATCCTAAAAGGCGTCCTGTGCTGTCACTGGTTATATGGAAACATGGAATACGGATCGCTAGTAAAAGTCGAACTTCTCTCGGGAAAGTCCTGTTACCTGATTGATGGACCAGATGACACTACAAGGCGCGTTCGGTCGCACGCAGTCACTCATTTTCCGGAATATACTTATCTTACTGCCGAAGAATATAGTGAAGTACAGCTGAATTTCAAGCCTTGTGCAGATTATCCAGATCCCATGTTTTTGATAAAAACAGCAATCAAGATTCCAGAATTTCCGTACTTTTGGCGTAGAACAACGGGCACTGTATTTGTATCTTGTGACATAAATACCATCACAGTGATAAAATGGAGATACCATACAACTACAAACGATCCTGAGTTTGCATATTATGTATTATCCGACACGGCTGCGTTCATTACAAAAGTCGACCAAATGGTGAAAGCGACAACCTATGAACAATTAATTAGTTTGGTTTCTACGGCAGCGACCGTTGGTGAAGCGAAAAGTACGTATGTAGAAACATAAGTTTTGCGTAGAAGCAAATTAATATTAAATGATTTGCATGCTTGGACTTTATGTGCAATATGTACAGAGACGAGCATCGCTCACAAAAAGTAATGATTTGTATAGTTTGCTCAAACCAACTATTAGATCATGTAAGTACTTACTTCACCCTGTACTCTTTAGTCTTCATAAAAATTTGCAATAAAATTTAATTTATGTAAAATAACATAGTAATTCAGTTTTTTTACTTTTTTATACAATTATTTGATATTAAATATTCATGAAAAACTGAATTACTTAATAATTATTAATTATTTAATATTAAATAATCATTTAAAAATTAAATTACTATATTATTATACATAAATTAAAGGTCGTTTCTATGCGCCCGGAAATTCGTCCGCAAAACTCTGTTTTTCTTACTGTAATGATGTAATCGTTTGGGGGTTGCAGAGGTTCACAAACTTTTCGTAGTTTAAGTAGCACATGCTTAGTAGTTTCGGTTTCGACAGTTTCGCTCAACAAACGGTTACAAACCTCTAAAGTTTGCAATTTCGACAACGGGTGTCTTTAACATCTCATGGTCAACCGCTACGTGCACGTCACAAATGTGAAAAGAATTTACTACAGATCTTCTAGTCAACATAACTAATTTTCGAATTTCGACAACATCCACTTTCTCTTTCGCGCACTCCAAAAGACTTTTTCTGCATTATTTTATGGATTCTATAGCCAAATGATTAGTATACACTGTCGGCGTGAAAATCCTAAGTGCGCACAACATCCGGTTAGGGAATGTGTACTTCGTGTAGAATTTGAAGAGGATCGGTCTGTAATGAGATTTTTGGTACACATCTGTCATTATCTGTGCATTTGAACTTCTCAGTTTTATTTCACCGATAACTCCCTAACTGGAGGTGCGCACAAACGGTTTTCATCCCATTGTATGCAAATCGTTTGGCTACAGAGCAAAACATAAAACAGTGCAAACATATGTCATAAAACAGTGCAAAAAAGTGTTTCGGAGTGTGCGAAAGCGAAAGTTTTAACGCATGTACCCGAAGTTGCTGCTATGTAGCGGCAAACACGATTTTCTGGGACGCAGCAAATTAATTGCGCGCTATTAAGTTTTCCGGGCGCATAGCACTTAATTAATTGCGCGAATTAATTGCGCGCTATGAAGTTTTCCGGGCGCATTGCACTTTCGTAAATTAAATTATTATTGCAAATTCTTATAATTTTCTAATTTTTTTCTTTAATTAATTTTGTAATAACGCTTATACTAACGATACGTACGTACATAGATGCACTAGTATGTACTCGTACCCGTCGTACTATTTCCGTAGCAATAACACGTAAGTAGTATTAACTTTTACTATTATTTTAATCGTAAACACTATATCATTCTGTACATCGTACTACCACTGTTTTAAAATTTAACCATCACTAAGTCCGAGGGTAACCCATGCCCAGGTAGTATAAACCTCGCTCTTGACGAGTACAGATATAGTTGTCAATTGGCAGGTCTTCCGTTTTCGTTTAATCCAGTATCAAACTTGGCAGAATGTATGGATAATGGAAGCTTCAAGCTTCACATCTTGATCTTTTACTGCATATTTGCAGATTGCGAAGATGGTTCCGCTCAGTCACTTTTTGACTTACCTTGGGATATCCAGGTGATGATATTTTCTTACCTCGATGCGTACGCTCAAAGCTACCTCAAAAGGTAAGTGTATTAATATTTGTATTGCGGCACTGATCTAATGTAAGTGTAAGTGTAAGGACTAGGTTGGAGTTGGTACCGTAACATAACGCTGTTATTGTTTTATAAGGGTATGCACAAACTTCTTCGACCTCTCATGCTGGCACAGATGCCGGTCCGTTATCTTGCCAACTCGCTATAGCGGGATTCGTGAAATTATAGACTCATTGGATCTGTATGCTAAACACCGACGAGAAGATCCAGAAAATGCATTTCTTTTTTCTCATTTGATTGCGCACTGCGTTACGTCCGATACAAAAGTTATATATCTATCCGGAAACTGGAAAAAATGTTTATCTTGCCTCGTGGATCTTCTGCGCATAATGGAAGTCAGACTTGATTGGCTAGTGGTAACCGATAATTCGGAGCTCTTGTATGGAGAATTTCTGAAATTCCCTAACCCGCATATCCACCTCGAAGTTAAAAAAATTGACGACAACGGTCACACTGGGATGACGATATACTGTTTGCCCGTACCAGAGTACAGGAGCGTTTGTGCCAACATCTTATTGAAAAACTCATCTTTCAACAGCGACCGATCTATAAAATACCGCACTTTGTTTTTAACTTCTGACGTAGAAGGAGATACTGTGGAAGCGGACCCATGCACTTGCATCTGGAACTGCTCCGGCTATGAACTAGATTCTGACAGGAATCCGTTCACAATACTTGTATCTCGTTGGCACTATAGTTTTGCCAATTCCGCTCCAGATGACTTCGAAAAGTCGATGCTATTCATGTTCCAATCATTCTGCCCCGAACTGGACAAGCCCAGTGTGACGCGTCTTGTCAGCTGGTTGGATTGTCTTTCGCCCAGCTGCCTGAAAACCCAACATACCGTTTGGCCATTATTGAAGTTGTCCCTTTATCTGTAAGTGCAACAGTAGATCATGGGAAGTCGGATGTGTACGCGTAATATACCGTAGACGACCTGCAGACAAAGTGATTATGCGCTATTAGCAATAATGCAAAAGGCAATGCCTACCGCGTCAGACGGAAATTGTACGTTTGCTGAGCGCATTTTCTAATGAGATTCGTACACAGGTGGAAATTTGGGCGTTCGTCAGAAGAGGATTTCACTGGAGTCATTCGACAATTGCAACTAGCTTGTAACGAAGACGCTCCTAAAGAAAGCACATTAATCATACAAACAGCTGCCCTGGCACTACCAATACCAAATCCATAGGAGATCATACGAGTGCTCAGTAATACAAAAGAATGTCTGATATCCTTTTGTGTTATTGATTATGCTAGTACTATATTTGTACAGTAATTGTTTCAACTGGTCATTGAGAGTACATGTACATGTTATGCCATTTTAGTTTTGTTATCATTCTTATGTGCAGTACGAGTATGAATGACTGAGCTTGCAGCTATCACCATGCAGCTATCATTTACAGTACTTATTGTTTGTTAAGTTTAATTACTTAACCAATTTAATTACTTATTGAAGCCTGTGAAGTGCAAATCTTTTGAGGTCCTCTGATCAAATCAATAAAACTGGTTTACCAAATAAGGCAAGTGTGGAGTGTGGACCACAATCTACAGAGCGCTAGCGGTCATGGTATTAGAAAGATTCCTGTGGCAGGAATTCAGGCGTTCGTTGCAGGATCCCCACAGAATGAAGGCCCTCATTGTCAGTGCCATCAAGCTAATAGTGGTAAAGCAACGTTAACATATCAATACTTCTATCTATAATTATTAACATTCCATGTATAATGTGCGCATTTAATGTACTAACTGGATACAAGTACACGCCTGTTTCTTACGTCCGAGATCACTAATTGGTTGTTTGGTATTGCAATTGCAAACGCCGTATTAGGACGTCGGCGTTGTTTTCTGTTTTCTAACTTGCCATGTTAAAACGGAAGAGTGGTCATCCGTTTTTTGTGCGAGAAATTAGTCTTTGCTGGAATGTTGTGTGAATTGCAATTGTTAATAAGAACATACGTTATGGAGAGCTCTCGATCGTGTCTTCTGGTAGCGAAAATATAAGTGTGTGAACCTACCGGAAGTCACAATTATCATCATCCAAATATTATTCGTGCACGTAGTTGAATTTCTGGTAAAGTGTTTTGCTGGTAGTCTGCGGATTAGGCATAAGAAATGATTCATGTTCTTTTTTTCCCACTTTATCTACTGAATTTGGATGGTCATCTGGTACGATAGGTGTAGTGCATCTTCCGTACTTCTAGAGCATATCAATACTGATGTGCTGATCATTGTAACTGTTATCTGAAATGTACTGTAATCGTCTTTGTGCCGCTAATCACTCACTCGGTGGCTAATGAGATTACAGTATTTGTATTGGTGGTCCTTTTGCGTTACAGATTTTCGTCACGCTGGCTGTGCATTATCTGGATTTACCTGATCGATGGAGTGTGTCGACGGTCAGCTGCATTCCTACCGGTCGGCCCGGCACAGCAGTCCCCATCTTGCAAGATTGTACCGGAAATACTGGGGTGCGTCTAGCTTCAGCCTCGCAATTGTGGCCTCGTCCATTCTCATTCCCGTGATGAAGATTCGGGGATGAGATTCGGGATTTAATCGCGATCACCATTACAAATTCGGGAATTAATCGCGATCGGTGCGATCAACGTGTTCCGGTGCTTCGTTCTAGAGTATCCCCATGTTCGTTCTAGAGTATCCCCATGACGGGAACTCGGACGCTTTTGAAACATTTACATCCTACATCTGGGCAAAATCCTCGCTTCAGTGGGCTACATTCTTGCTTAAATTACAGAAAAATTTGGCACAAAGAAATTCGGACGTCAACACCAATCGGTGAAGCATCGCCGACCTTGGACTTGTGCATATATGTTCGGGAAGAAATAGGGAAATGTTATTACCATTCTAACATTTTAACAAACCAAAAATTATTATATCGGCCACTGGTTCGGTAGGCACGATTCCTGGCATTGGTCACGTCTTATACGATGGTTAAGATCGAGCAGCGTTGTGGTCAAGTTTAATTGGCAATGCAATATAACAAACCCAGTGAAGTTAACCGTGCCGTTAACAATGGTCATCTGCTAATTACTAAATATTAACATTTAAAAGTAATACCAAACTGATTCCTTAAAACTTCATTACATTTATTATAACAGTTTAAGTTAAAAGATGTATTGTATATAAAATCTTTTACATAACTTTACTGTCACCAACATTGCGATGTGTTTATGTGCAACACGTAATCACTGGCCGACAGTCGGGCAGTGACACTGCATTTACACGGTGGTCCAGCCAAGTGTGGGCAGTGACAAAAATTCCTCAACCGCTACCATTAAGCTCTAAAATTTTTATGTTATTTCAGCATGGTAGCTCTTGGTATAGAGAAACTTCCTTAATAGAGTTTTATTGCTAAAAGCTGAAGAGCAGCCAACGGGAATCGAAGTATTACTTTGGATTTTCCCGAAAAAAACGCGCTGCTTACCACGAAATTATCGTGTTCAATCAATAATTTTTGGAAAATTTCAGTCGTCTGATAAATGACAAGCGATAACGTAGTTTTTTGATAGTGCCTTCCTAGCTTCCTTTCTAATGCAGATATCGTGACCGAAGCGATCAGTGCTCTAGGCAACCACTTTCTTCGGATAGTTCTCTTTAACATACTAGTCTATGGGCGACAGATCTTTTTTCGAATTTACCACGAGCATGGATAGGACAAGATTCTTTTGCTTACCCACAGGGAACACCTTTTGGTTCACTCAATAACTTTCAAAATAGTCCGCACTCCGCAGTAAAAAGTTGCACAAGTAAAGTTCAAAGTGAATATCAAAACTAGTTACAGAAATAAATTTAAATTTTTTATGCAACTGCCCCCACCCTGTATATATGTATACGTACGAGTAGCTGGTAGTAATCCGCAGACGCATCTCTCCTGTGGTCTCATAGCTAGAAATCTGCGTTTTTGTGTAAAGCTTTCACTAAGTTTAATAACTAGCGGTGGTTGCGAACCACATTATTGCACGAGCGCGAGCGCCAACACCACTGGGAAATGGTATTGGGATTGTGGAATTGGAAAAGTGTTACGTACGCTCTTCGTGGCGTCAGACAAATTTATGCTCTTGACGATCAGTTAATTGCAGCACCTCGCGCTTCGCGCTCGGTGCAAATAAAATTACAAATAAAATTATAAATTCGATTATTCGACTAACAACTACAACCGCTTGATGATTATCATAAACGCACGACGTGCAACTCTGTACTTCCTTAGCACTTTTAGCCAGTGTCGCTCCAGAATTTTGTCCATAGAACACTAAATTCAACAACTCAATACGGAAATACCCGCCCAGAGTTATGGACATTATTGACCACTGATATTAACAAGCAATCTGGATATTTGGACAGCAGTTCTTGTTCCCGCAATTAGGAAACATTGAACCTCACCATCAGCTGGCTCAAGTCACTGAAGTCAGCAGCGCGAAGTATTTCGAAACCATTAAATAATACCGCCAGCTTCACAATTAAAACTGCAATTTTCCAAAATCTTCAAATGTCCAACACAGCAAAGAAAACAATAATATGCTGAAAACTCATTGAGAAAATGAGATCAAATTCCTGAGACAGCAGCTGTCAAATAAGCGCTACCAAAACCAGTCCTGCTCTAACAGATAAAAAAATGTCCGATAAAACCACACAAATAAGGCGGTGCGGCAAAACGTGAACATTTCCCAGCAAAGAACTCCAAATGACAACGAATCACTTTTGGACGAATATTTATAACGATCTATCACTTCCGGGGCATACCATGCCAATGGGATGTTCCGGCCAAAAACGTGTTAAATAATAACCACCGGTATCCAAAAAGCGAGCCAACCCGAAATCGCTAATTTTCTCTCGTTGTTCCGCGGTAACCAAGATATTCCGCGCGGCAAGATCCCGATGCAATGTCTTTGCTGTGCAAAATTTATCAAATAATTAACCAATGGCAACCACACGTCATAATTTTTCTACATGACTCGAGCTCTGATTTTGTTTACCATCCCCCTTTCGAGTATTACCTGCAGATAAGCCATGCCGCTGGCAACATCCGTTGCAAATTGTAGCAAATGAGTCGGAGATAAACCGCCCTGGTGATTACGGATATAAGCTCAGAGCTCTATTCTGAACGAATTCCATCACCAGCAAACGCACCGGATCGAGCACCATTCCCACGGTTTCCATGATATTTTCATGCTGCAGCGATTTCTTCATGTTCTTCTCATCCCGCATTTCATCCATTATCCGACTGAACGTTCGTTCATCTATAATCTGCTTCAGTTGTTTTACGGCCACTACGTGTGGCTCATCATCGCTCAAAGGATCAGTATACGCTATACAGCGCCTGAAATAAACGACAAAGATCACGGTTTGAAATTCGCCACGGAAAACTTCTACAGTGCGCAAATTGCGTTTTCAACAACGAAGCACAAAACAGAATTATACACCAACAATTTTCCCAAAAGTGGAGAAAAATACTGCAGTATCAAGTCATCAAAGTCATTTATTTACCTTTAACTGCTCACTTCCTTCTCCATATCGACCTTCTCCAAGTCAATCAAAGACGTTCATCGCGGTTTCTTCTATAAGCCAAGGATCATATGGCCTGCCGTTTGTTTCTCTTTCTCCAATGTAATTGCTCAAATTTACATCCGCTGCCTGCATTCTGTGTTTCAGACATTTCCGGTGACCCGAAGCAGGAACTCTAGCTTATTTTATTTCGATTTCAATTGTCCCATCGGAGTTAAGCGGCTTGCTTTCGTCATATAAAAGATGGAGTACTTACTTTATTTATTTCACAACAACAGCCGGTCGCTGCAAGGGATCATTGTGCCAGCAGCGTTCCATTATTCAGTACACATATTCTGGGCAGACTGAGGGCTTTTCCAGCCGATATCCATTCCTGACAGTCAAAAACACGGATATTCAGATTTACAAAATGGAACAATCGGTGTTTTTAAAACGTGCTAACTACCCATTTTTAAAGCAAAAAAATGACAAACTAAGGTAAAAAAACGGATAAAAAATAAACTGCATAGTCTTACTTTATGACAAGATTGCTCCTACCTGCACAACGATTCGGCTACTTCGCCACATATTTCCAATAACGGTACCAGCCCAAAGGTCAGCAATTCCCACAACAATGTCTCGTAGCCTAAATTTCTCCGATCTGAGTGAGACAAGGTCTCCCACGCATCATCTGCATCGCCCTTCGAATCCAAGCCAACCCAGTGTACTGATTCACTGCCCAACCCGATTGGTCCAACGACAACTTTCACGGATTCGCTTAGATAATCCGCAACGAAAACATTCTTCGCCGGAATAGGCCCGGACCCTGCTTTCTGTTCATCCAACCACCATAGTGTTTTAGCAATCTGTTTAGTAATATCTAACATATTCCGTAACGATATCAGGGCACTTTTCTGCTGCAGAAACTGCAGGACATTGTCCAGCGGGAAACATACGCTTACGAAACTCAGCGGTTCGACAGAATTCCATAGAAGCGGATCGGCATGGCCGAGTTGGGCAGGTGCATTTATGTCTGCACTGCCAGCCATTTTAGTGCTGATTCTATATAGATTCACTGCAATGCCCACGCTCTCCCTGTCGGAGATCTTTAAACAACCTCGCCGCACTTGCTGTGCTCCCTTACACAAAAACCTGAATAATAAAATCAAATAAAAGTTCTACGATAAGTAGACGCCGACATATGTTGACACAAGTAGAGTATGATTGCCATACCTGTAAACTAGGATTACAAAGGGCTCGGCACACATCATAATAAAATTTATGCGTAAATCTGAAGTATCCATCCAACAAGGAAATGAAAGACTCCAGAGCGGCTGTGCTAGAGAACCGAAAACACAGTGGCTGACCGGAAATACGACTGATATGGCACGCTATCTTTTCCGGGATCAAATTAATATCACAGATGTCCGTCAATCGACAATATGGCATCCAACACTATCCATTTATCTTCTTCTCGACGCTCCGAAATGATCAATTCATCCAAAATACGCAGTTTGTGAACGGGGTGTCACTCCTAACTGGCAGGAAAAATGCTTGCATACATACATAATGTCCTGAATGTTACTAGTACATCAGGAACCCAAACAAACTGCTTCTTTAGCTGCTAGCAGATAAATCGACTTGCAAAAACATATTCTAACCCAACCTGCCAATATTCGATGAAGAATGCCATTAATATTTTGGGTCATTCTTGTATTCGTCAGCAAATTCGTCAACCTAACATTCTTAAATTCCAAACAAAGACATCATAAAATAAATTAAAATTCAAAGCAATACATATTTCAGTACAGCTCAGCATATGCGCTACTAGTAGGGAATGTAGCTCACAGTTCCTTAAATTCTGTAGTTCGCAGTTACTTTTAACAAGAAAAGAACAAACACAACAAAAAGAAACACAAAAATGTATTTAGTTTTCGGTTTGCCACAGTACCTGTAGAAAGAGATTTAAATGTCGCTACATCCCTGTCAGCCAAGAGTTTATAATCACAGCAAAATCGAATCCGCAGCTGCAGTGTGCGACCATTTTGACTATCCAGACGGATTTCGCGGCAGGGAGCAAGTCAAATAGTAGAAAATGCCATCACAATCACAACAATTGAAAATAACAAATGTTGGGAGGGGAAAAATCGGAAGTTCTTCAATACATCCAACAGATTTCTCATTTCTGTAAACGTAGCCGTGTACTACCATACCACAACAGCTATAACGCCCATAAACGCTCCAAAAACGCTCCAGCCATAACGCCCATAAACGCTCCATCTCTAACCAAAAAGCGCTATGTCGGCGCTACGTCGGCGGCTACGAGTAAAACAAGAATAAACATAAATAATGCCAAATATCCGAACAAAAGGTTTTGTGGCTAATGGTCCGCGGTCCAGGATGTACTCCCAAATCTAACAAAAAATAAGCAGGACGATAGCGGCGTATGACGCGCTGTCGTACAAAAAGCAGTAGATCACCGGGTGGCGTTTACTTGGATTCCGGCAAGTCATTGAGAAAAGGACTCTAGTGACTGGCGTGGCGCTTCTACGGTGCCGTCGAACGAAGGCAAGATGTACGAGAAATCTGAAAGCAACAGGTGCTAGGTTGTTCGAATTTATGGACGGTGTTCTTGCGGATTTCCAGAGATTTTGTACTGTGGATTCGAAAATTTTTCCATACTGATTAATTTTTCCATGCATTGACCGCCGTGTTTTATCGATAATACTGATAATCGTTGTCAAGTTTTGTTTGTGCGACGAAAATGGCCTCCGCTTCTCCCTCCACACCGTTCTGCGACCATTTCTTGGAGATTAAAGTTCCAAAATCAGAACTGGACTTTTGTAAGTAAACCGTGGACCAAACGGAACCGGAAATAAACTCCAGAATTTTTTTAGACAGCTTTAATTGTTACGCTGTGTGCGCTGAAAAAGCTGTTAGTAATGAACAGTGCATGTTCTTTAGGGAGAGAGCAAAAAGTCAAAGACTTATGTGTGAAACATGGCAAGCCTGACAAAGGGAAAATCCACGCCTGGACTGATGTCGAAGCCGACACTAAGGACGTTAATGGTTATACGATATCGAATTACCACCGTCGCGTGCTCTTTGCTTCACCTCGTGAATTCAGTTCCGAATTCTTGGCAGATGTGGATAATTGGTAAGCTGCGCAATGCAAAAATTAATTATTTTGAAAACTAATTTATTCAAACGGTGTAATTCCTTATTTAAAGTCACAAATCACAATCAATCAGTAGCAGCTGCGCTCTGCAGGACACCAGTATTTTAGTTGAGCGCTATTTTTCGATTTCTTAATGCGTGAAATACTGTTATTATTGCAATTTTAATTGGGAACCGACTGCATTTGTAATTCAGGCAGTTTAAGAGTTCGCTCATCGTGGCTGAAGTCATGAGAAGGATATGATTAAGTACTGTTTTGTAACTTCGGTTTTTCTTACAGTTTGAAAGACGACCATAAATGTCGCCGAGCAGTTTTGGACAAGAATGTAAATCCACATGGGTTTACAACTGATCAGGCTCAGAAGTCGCAATATTTTAAAAAAGCAGAAGTATTAAAAGCCCGTAAGGATTGGCAGAGGTATCCAAATCTGACCATTTATAAACAGGTACGTATGTAGTTTTTCTGCCTTACAAGTTATCGTGCTGTATGTGTTTTGCAACACGACCCCGTCTGATTAGATGTCTCGTGTGCCGGAAGGAAAAAAAAGTGCAGAGGGATCATCGAGTTTGCCGTTGAGTGGCATGATGTCGTCTCATGCCGTTGGAAAAGACGAGCGCGTGGTAAACAACGCTGAATTTAAGGAGATACAGCGAAAGAAACAGGCGAAAGATCCAGAGCCACTAGTGCCACTAACCCCGTAGGTCAAGCCGTTTGCAGCTGCTGTGCAGGCAGGATTATTGTAATTCTGTTAATTTTTATCAGTTTTCCTAAATACAGGCCTTGGACAAAAACGACTTTTGGACAACTTAATTTTTCTCAGAACGTTCACCAATACACAATCCGAAACAGCCGTGGAAGTCAAATGTCTTTAATTGATTATGGTGCGAGAATTGTTGGATTGAAAGTCCTTGCTGCAAATGGCATGTTTGTCGACGTTGTTCGCGGATTCAGAGCTTTGCAAGGTAGAGTGCTAGTTGTAGAATCCATGTGGCATGTACAAAGTGCGCTAGATCAGTACATTTTACGCGCTAGATCAGAACAAGTTTTAGTCAAGCTGGTATTAATCTAATTTTATTTTGGTACTCTGCAAATTAAAGAGTATTTGCAAGGTGGGTGAATTAAATTTCGTATTTGGTTTATATCGAACTGCCTTTTTTAGGCGACTTATCCAGCATTATTCACGATTTGGGTTTCGTTCTTTCAGACTACGTTAATGATGATCAACACGTAGGAACGCTCATGAGGCGCGTTGCGGGAAAAATCGAGCCTATGAAGGTGTATGATGCTGTACAGGGTTTGATTGGATTCGACAAGGTGAATTTATTTTTTCGATAGCTTTACTGAATAAGTTATTTCCCGTCTGTTGGATACACGATTAGTCGAAATTAATTTGAAATAATTAATTCAATAAATACTTGATAGGTTATCTGGCATGCTGAATTGATCGAAGACAGTTATGGTGTTGGTGTTCGCTTCCGACACGGTAGCCTTTCCAGCACCGAAGGCTGTGTGGTGGAATACCGGCTGAACAATGAAGATGAGGTTATTATCAACATCAGGTATTTAGCGGAGGAGATGACAATTGCCAGCACATCGAATCATGCTTATTTGAACCTTGGAGGACAGGTGCGTGAAATTCAGAAGCAAAGGAATTACGATATTTACAGCATCGCACGCAGATCTACGTAAATTTTTTAACTTTATTGGCAGGACTTGCTAGAAATTACGTGAATTAATTCCGAGCAGTCACCTTCCGTATACTGAGCCCAATAAACACAGTCAACTGCTGCATCGAATTCCAAATGATGCTCTGTTGCATTTTAGGATGAACAAAATATTTACGATCACGTCGTCAGCATTGCTGCTCAGTCGTATCTCTTAATAAACGATAGTCCCATCCCAACGGGCATAATTGTTCCGGTCGAAAAGTTCTGCGACTTTCGTGAGGGGCGGCGTCTTGGGGATGTCATTCCAGCCACTCCGGACAAGGGCTATGATAATTATTTTTGCTTGCCTGATGTTCCACGCACAGCGCCAACACATGCAGCAAAGTGTCCTTGTACAAGCTTGTCCGGTAATTTCTGTCGTAAAGGTACAGATAGCACATATTTAGCGCGAAGTATGCGCTATAGCGATTGCCACTACACTACGTTTGGTGTAACACGCAAATTTGTGTATTGCGCTGTATTGAACCGGCAGAAATTACCGGACAAGCTTGTATTTATTAAGTAAGCTGCGATATAATTATACAGGATTTGAGTAAGTACTGTATGCGTGAATGCATTAGATGCGGCCAAACGTGTGTGGTGATTGTCACGATATCTTAATTGGAGCATGCATTTTTTATGTAGTGGTTTGCTGCTAAATATATTCCGGTTGTCTGTAGAAATATCAAAGATATGACTGTGTGTTGCAGAATTTTTCACCCGAAAACTGGAATAAGCATGGAAATTCTTACAACGCAGCCAGGTGTACTGATGTATACCGGGAACTACCTTTCTGGAAAATGTGGTGAAATTTTGGATCGACATTCCGCACTCTGCTTCGAAACGCAGAATTATCCAAATGCGATTAATACGGTTAGTAGATTTTATTTGCGCTCGGTAGAGGATGCATCTTTTATTAATTTATCATTCATCCTGACGGGTTTTTTTACGATAAATATTTAGCATGCTGCCTTTATATACTTTGTGCTCTTGTACCGTATTGCGGGTGCTCAAATTTAACTTCCTTGTGGAAATGTTCCGCACTGATTTATAGTAATATGTCTGCAGCACAATAGTATAGAACTATTTTTCGTTAGAAGTGTTTAGGTTGAAGGCTGAATACCCCCTGAGGAAACAGTTTTCCTTAATATCAGTTTGCTAGCCTCCGTTATTGGTGGGGTGAAATCGTTGTAATTCAGCTTGTAGCTTGTGACTTTTCTAGTTGGGATTTCATTCCCCAGTCGTCCACGCTGACCAAACACCCCTTCATACCACAATCTGGAAATTTACCAAGCAGAAAGATTAAATTTTTTCCGGTTTCGATCCGCATCGGTTACGGGTGCTACTTACTGCTTATTATTCGTATAATATGCCGTTGGCCTGTAAGATTGCCGCGTGTAGTGCTTATTCACGAATGCCTTGATTAGTTCGGCGGTACAATGTTTTTGTTGTCTTAGGGCGTAAATTGTGGATGATTCATTGTGATTGTGAATTCCTAATCTATTGATGTTTAATTTTTTGTTGCGATTGGTGAAGAATCTCAGTGTAAATGCTATTTTCGCAGGAAAAAACACATTTGAATAATACTCAATCATGTTGTTCTATGATCTATTCATAGATTGCTGCGGTTTAGGAAAGCGCATACTAGGCCCGATCAATCCTAGCTAATCTTATCAAGAAAGATATCGCGAAATAAAATGTGAAAGCAGAATGCGTCACCGATGGATGACACACACGCAAAAAATACAAATGCGTTGGACCAGTAATAAGCAGTGGATCACCACAGAAAACGCAAGCACTGACTGTTAAATGAATCGTGCTGCGTATACACAAACGAATTGTACAGCAGGACCGCAGGCGCGTTTTAATCCGCATGCTTGAGGTGTCATTAATTTATAATGCAATAATTTACAACTCAACTGAAGAAATGAATGTATCCATTTACCCAATGTAACTTAGCTAATTAATACGCGTTATTAATTAATGTAATTAGACTTAATTACAGTAACGCCACCTACACCACATTACAAATGTGCATTGATAATTGTAATCACTAATAATAATTACTTTAATTACTAATCGTAACTACTAAATTAACAATCACTAATAGTCTGGTAACAACAACTAGTAACAACTTTTCAATCTAAGTGAGGCTAAATTATTAATGCGGATTAATACCTGACCACATTTTATTAGCAAATTAGGAATTAGAATGCTTTAATATTTACTATATGTTACGGGTTCCGGTGACCACTGTGTAAAGCTCGGTTGGCTATGCACAACATCGGAGGTGAATGTGTATGTGAAATAGAAAACGCAGCTTCGAAGCTGCGTTTTGTAATTCATCTGTGGATCACGTAGCGGACCAATGAGCGCAGCCGTTAGCTTTCGGCTTGAGAATGTTGTGGTGACTAATTCGCGTTATCTTTCACGGGCGCGCAAGAGAGCGTTGTGCCCTACTTCAGCAAAAACATCTGCCAAATGTTTAGCCAGGTCTGATCAGCACTACTACCTAAATATTCTGAAGCAGTTTAATTTGTTCGGCTCTCGTTTTCGGATCATCTTCCGTTGTTGTTCAAGAAAACAATTTTAAAAAACAAACGTGACACTGCTTTTCGAAAACTTTGTGTATTTTCTCATAAAAAAATCATACATTGGACTTTGTATTACACCGCGGAGTGTACAGGTATACGTTTAAAGTTCTAAACCGACTTCTCAAATGAAACCATACATTACGCACATGCAATTTTACAAAGGGCGGTATATTATATAGTACAAGAAACAGCCTCGGCTTCGCCTCCGCGTTTCTTGTGGTCCACGGACCACGGCCACTTTATTTAATTTTGAATGAATCTTTATCGGTATACATCTTTATTTTGTGGAAAAATGATCGATAGGTACATCACAATAAGGCAAAAGCACGGATTTTGTATAAAAATAACTTCATGATTCTCTCAAGGTCGGAAACATTCCCTTTGGCTGTACAGATAATTTTTGTTATATCCTCTACCCGAAAAGAAACCCGAAATCTCACTATCTATAAGGTACTAAATCTGAAATAGTGCAAGTGCGACAGTAGTGGTAGCTCGGTCACCCGCTCACCTAACGGGCTTTGTGAACTGGAAAGTAGTGGTAGCTCGGTCACTCGTTCAACTAACGAGTTCTGAGAACTCGACAGTAGTGGTAGCTGGGTCACTCGTTCAACTAACGGGGGTTCTGAGAACTCGGCAGTAGTGGTAGCTGGGTCAATAATACCTAACGGGATAGTTGACCTAACGGGTTCGGTGCACTGGATAGTAGTGGCAAGTCAGTCACCCGTTCAAATAACGGGCTCTGTGAACTGTATAGTAGTGGTAGCTCGGTCACCCGCTCACCTAACGGGCTCTGTGCACTCAATAGTACCTAACGGGATAGTTGACCTAACGGATTCTGTGCACTGGATAGTAGTGGTAGCTTGGTCACCCGTTCAAATAACGGGCTCTGTGAACTGGACTCTAGTGGTAGCTCGGTCACCCTCTCACCTAACTGGCTCTGTGCACTGGATAGTACCTATCGGGATAGTTGACCTAACGGGTTTTGGGCACTGAACAGTAGTGTCAGCTCGGTCACCCGTTCAAATAACGGGCTCTGTGAACTGGACTCTAGTGGTAGCTCGGTCACCCTCTCACCTAACGGGCTCTGTGCACGGACCGGTAGCTCGGTCATTCGTAGACCTAACGGGCTCTGTGAACTGGACGGTAGTGTCAGCTCGGTCATTCGTTCGGTTGACGGGTTCTGTGCTCTGGGCAGTACCGGTAGCTTCAAGAAACAGCTTCTGCTTTGCCTCTGCGTTTCTTGTGGTCCACGGCCGATCTATTCCAATAGTTCCATAGGTTTATTTTTAAAATCTATGTCGCCAAACAGCAGGAAAACGCAGATTTGGTAGAAAATTCGGTTTATTGTTTTTGAGTACTCGAAGACATTCATTCTGGCTTTTAGATCTACGAATAATTTATTTTGAATCCCCGAAGCGAACTTACCCCTGTCTTCCACGTGCTAATCTACAAACTCCCAGAACGTTTGCGCTGGACATAGTTCAGTCACTTACTGACCTAGTCTTGTTACTGGAGGGTTAAGACAATTCGGTTACTCCCTAACCTAACGGGCTCTGGTAACAAACAGTGGCGGTAGTTCGATCACTGATTGAACAGACAATCATGGTCGTGACTAGTGATATTGTAGCGATAGCTGCTCGGCCGGCACTCGTGCAGAAATTGTCCTTGATGACAACGTTACGTACGTAGTTGTTCTTGCCGTAATAATGGTCTGCTAATTAAATTCATTTGATAATTTTATCAGTAGAGCAGAGTTAACTGTATTTTAGTTGATTTACGTGGCAACATTGCCTGGTTAAACATACCACGATGATAATTATTATAATAATAATTTAGTTGCATTTGGTGAAGGTACAGCTTAGGACAAAATGGTCGCATACCCAACATCTCCACATTCAGTACGAATGCAGCGCAGTGCACTGTACGACTGAGTTCAAAATATCCGTTTCGTACAAGTGCACTGCACCGTTTGCGTACAGAATGCTGGGTATGGGGCTATGCGACCATTTAGTCCTACATTGTAGTCAAAACTCTTCCGCTTTGGCGCTCGAAGCGGAAGAGGTCAAGAAAGAAATGAATACTATCTGGCCGGGTTTTCGACTACGGGCTTTCAGAATATAATATTGGTTTGGGTCAGTCTTTTCTGGTTTACCGGCTCTGGTGTATCCCATTCGTTGCAATATAGATCTGATCTGAATCTGGATATGTATATACTATATAGATATATACCATATAGATTTCTTACGAGGACATTTGGGTGCTGTGAACATACCCTTCACGATTAGGGTGCGATGAACACCCGGGAACTAACTTTACAGAAAATTTTATTTTGGCAAAAATGTTGTATGCAAGTATTTTCACCGTCTGTTTCGACAAATTACGGTCCACAAAAAATTATCGTTTCTTCAAACCACATTTTAAAAGATCATGGTGCTTCAATTTTAAGTCTCAGAACAGAAATTCCCTCCTGACATGACTTGACTGCAGCGTCCATAACAGCATTATAACAAGCTCTGGCGACTAGATCCATAGCTGATATTTGTGGACAGTTGGATTTAGTACACGTAGCAAATCAGAATAATTAGTAAAAAAAGAAAACAAACATCACTACAACAAATCTAAAACAACAAGATACTGGAAATAAACAAATATGTGCGAGTACTCGTACTGGATGCTGTGCGTTTTAAACTTGGATTTAATTTTAAAATTCCGACCGTGATGCCAGTAGCGTTGCGAGCTGCAGAGCAGCCGGGTGTTCGTCGCACCCTAATCGTGAAGGGTATGTTCACAGCACCTAAATGCCCTCGTACAGTAAGTTAGAGCTATGCAACGACATTTGTAGTTAAAACATTATATTCAAAACCGTAAACCCAGATTTGTAAATCTTGAAACTGCAAAGTGCAAACCATGAAATGTAAAATCGTAGTTTTCGTGGATTATTAACATTTTTCACTTTTGAAATCCCAATTCCACAATGCCAATTACATGATGGATCTCCTCCATCTCTTGTGTTGTTTTCGGGCTTTCAACGGAGTTACTTGGGGGGAATGCTAAATGAACCCCAAGTAATGTGGGTATGTCGTTTCCTCGCTCAAGGCCTGATGTTGTCTGTTCTGTAGAGTTTGTTTCTGCCCTTATACCTTTACTTACAGCTCGCTTATGCCCACTCAATCGTTTCTGTGTTCGGGATGTGGTAAGGAACTGCGTGGATGGGGAACACACAGGAATGTCTGCCCTAAAACCCTGTCATCCACTCTGGTGCAAGTGACAGCCAGTCCTTCCGCTCCCCCATCTCAGGCTACCAGTATTCAACCAGTATCCCGGCCTACTACAGAAAGCCTCATAAATGTACTGAAGAGCGCTAGGAGATTTGGAAGGATTAATAAAGGTATTCCTCGAGCAGCTCGTCCGCAAGCAGCTGAAACCTTTGCAAGAGCTGTCGAGCAGTGTGTGAAGGAACCCACCGTTTCTAATTGGACCTCCTTGTTACTTTCGCCTCTCAATGTTTGGCGACAGATGGGGATGCTGCATCGAAGAAGAAGGAATCTCTAACCGGGCGCTTTCGACGGCAGCTACGGGATTTCGAAAGTGGAGTTCGGCCCCTTAGTGGCACCCCGACCACAAAACCCCCGCGGCGGGCACCGCGCGACTGATGATGCAGAACATTTACGCCGAATGGTGGATTCATGCATCAACGAATGCTCTGTGCATAAAGCTGTTGCTCGATTGGCGTCCGAAGAAAGTGTGCTTATTATCGATGCCAAAGTTTTATCGGTTCTCCGTTCGAAACACCCTGACGCACCAGTGGATACGAGTTTTCCTGTTCCCGCAGACAGTGACGTGCCCACGTTCGCGCCCATCACGGCTGCGGAAGTTATCAGTGCTGTTTTTAAGCTTTCCAAGCGGATCCGCGGGAGGGTTGGATGGTCTCCGTCCACAACACCTCAAGGATATGCTGAGTTGCAAGGATGCTGTCGAATCTCAACTTTGTTCTGCACTGTGTAAGGTAATGAATTTTATTGTGGCTGGCAAGGTGCCGGAGGAGCTGCGACCAGTTTTGTTTGGCGCGAACCTGATTGCCTTGTCTAAGAAAGATGGCGGTGTTCGGCCTATTGCTGTGGTAACGTTTTACGAAGACTTGCTGCCAAGATTGTCACGAAGCGATGTGGTAAGAAAGCGAAGGAATTATTTACTCCTACTCAAGTTGGATGTGGCACACGCGGTGGAGCGGAAGCAGCTGTGCACGCCGTTCGGAGTTTTATAAATGATGAGCACCATGGCCTACGGGTTCTTTTTAAAATTGATTACAGAAATGCTTTTAACACCGTCCGCCGTAATGTTATGTTGCAGTCTGTATTAGAGCACTTTCCCGAATATTATCCGTTTGTTTTGAGTGCGTATGGAGCGCCATCTATCTTATCTTGCAATGGCAGTGATGAAGATTTGTCTTCCGCCACGGGGATCCAGCAGGGTGATCCTATGGGGCCATTGCTTTATTGCCTCGTTGCACTACTATTCTGCATTAGCTTGTCCTCGAAACTGCGGGTGTTTTTCCTGGACGACGGTGCACTGGGAGGTACGGTGGAAGAAGTGGCAGATGACCTGACGACAATCATCGCCGCCAGCAGTGCCGCCGGACTGCAGTTGAACTCAGCGAAGTGCGAAATGCTCCTGATTGGTGGAACTGCTCAAGAACGCGAGGTGGCCAGGAACAGGCTGCATTCAATTGCTCCCGGTGCGATTGTTTTGCAGCCTGAAACGGTAACATTTCTTGGTGCACCATTAACTGACGAGGCCATAACCCACTTATTGCAACAGAAAATTGCTTCGTTGAAAATTTTTATAGAGCGCGTGCAATTGCTAAACGCCCATCATGGATTCTACCTCCTGCGGAACTGCCTGTCCATCCCGAAGCTTATGTGTACGCTGCGCTGTAGCCTTTGTTGGAAAGTGTCGGAGCTTCTGGATGAATTCGACAAGCACGTCAAAGAAGCCCTCGAAGAGATCACTAACACCAAACTGGACGGGCGTGTATACACGCAGGCTATACTCCCTGTTGCCAAAGGTGGTTTGGGTGTGCGACGAGCGAAAGCATTGGCTCCTTCAGCCTTTTTGGCTTCCATGTTTGCAACTCGTCAGCTGACATCCCAGATCTTTAATGGCAGTAGCGAGCAGTTGGTCAATGATGCGTGTGAATCTTGGAAACTGGAGCCCGGTTGTGAAGAGCTGCCTCTGGACCTGGCCCGTGTCCATCAATGTGTATGGGATAACGCCGTTATTCAGAAGGATGTCGATACATTGTGGAGTAACATTGGTGACAATAAACAGGAGGAAGCACGCTTGAGGGCAGTCAGCACTAAATACGCAGGGGCTTGGCTATTCCGGAAAGGCGAAATTCGTGGAGACCAAAACATTTCGCATTTTCGTTGGCCTATGGTTGGGTGCTAAACTTGTTGAGGGCCATTCGTGTACCAGATGTGGAAAAGATGTAGCAGAAAACGGGCTTTGGGCTTGTAAGGAAGTGAAGAGGGCGCCATAACGGTATAAACGACATCATACTGCGGGCCCTCTGCAATGCCGGAATCGAGTCGTATCCGGAGCCGGTGGGCTTTCTGCGAGAGAACGGAAAACGACCGGACGCAGCCACACGTTGGAAATGGTACCGCGGACAGCCGTTAGTGTGGGACGTGACGTGCAGCGACACGATGTGTGATTCATACATTGATGCAACTTCAAATTGTGCTGGCGCCGCTGCCGAACTGGCTTGCCGGGAGAAGATTGGAAAATACAAGTCGCTTACTGATCGCTGCAATTTTGTTCCCTTTGCATGTGAGACTTTTGGCACTTGGTGCGAGACCGGCATTGTTACGTTATAGAAGATTGGAAAGAAGTTGTTTTTAAGGACGGGCGAGAGCCGCTCTACTTGTTTTTTGTTTCAGCGTTTCAGTTTGGAAATAATGCGTGGGAATGCCATGAGTGTGCTATGTACGGTCCCTTCTCGTGCTAACTGGGACAAATCTTTCATTTGAATGTATTTCTGTGAGCGTTGCTCGTCTCCATACATATTGCAAATATAGATATATTATTGTACACCCGTTTGAGGCCAGGCTGTATCGGACAAGTGTGGCCCATAAAACTACGTAATGTTTAATGAATGAACAGGCCACTTTTAGCCGTGTCGAATCTTGCTTTTATAATTATCTAGCAGTAACTGCAAATTCGTTAAAATAAGAAAATCTTTTGAAAATGCAGTATGATCAAAAGAAAACAGTCGTATGATAGAGGCTCGAGCTCTTGTATAGACCAAATGCTCCTGATTGTGAGATCGGAAGTCTGCCCGAAAAGGTGCAAGCAGGACGCATTGTCATCCATGGACGGCTTTTACTTTTTTATTTCAGCATTATTCGTCGTCTTATTCTATATTGCGAATTTCACGGCGTTGTGCATACTAAACGCATTAATGCATACGTACGATAAAATTACAGTATACAAGGCGCGAGAAATTGAGTCCAGGGTAACGAATGCTTAATTACTGACTAATTGACAGATACCTGCGGATATGGTCGGAGCCAAGCCCACGCCCCTCCGCCCCCTGTGCGACTCTGGCGACCATCATGAACATCGCCGTCGACGGAAACATTCCCGCTGAAATACGCCCTGCATTTTTCGGTGGCAAACTGATCGCCTTAAGAAAGAAGGAAGTCGGGTTGCGCCCCATCGCGATTGGGATGACCCTCCGCCGGTTGACAGCTAAGATAATTTGCGCCCGACTAAAAGACCGTTCAGCAGCCATTTTGTCTCCGCAACAATTGGGAGTGAACGTGCGCGGTGGAGCAGAAGCGATTGTTCACGCGACCAGGAAATTTCTCGAATCCACTTGCGACACGACCAAGGTTGTTCTCAAGGTGGATTTCAAAAACGCCTTTAACACCTTGTCTCGCGAAGCCGTTCTGACCGCAGCGAAAGAGCGCTTTCCAGAGTACAGCGATTTTCTCACCGCCGCCTACGGCCAGCACTCAACCCTCTACGTGGACGACCTGACATTATCGTCGGAATCCGGTGTCCAACAGGGCGACCCACTAGGCCCGCTGCTGTTCAGCCTCGCACTGCACCCACTGGTATCCTCGTTGAACACCGAACTCAACGCATGGTTCTTGGATGACGGGACCATGGGCGGAGCTCCGGCGATAGTGGCGGAATGTTTCAGCCGGATAACTGAACGCGCTCGTGCTATCGGACTGCAGGTCAATGAAGCCAAATGTGAACTGTTTGTTTTTGGTGGAACACTTGATTCGCAGCGAAATGTCACAGCGGAATTCATTGACCGTTTCCCGCGATTGCGCATTTTGTCGGCGTCTACCCTGTCCCTGCTTGGCGCGCCTGTTTTAGATGAAGCAATTGGCCCTTACTCGTCGAAAGCCAGCACCTTGAAGGTGGTGTGCGAACTCCAACTGCCAACTGCAGCCACCAAGCACTGCACTGTTCCTGAAGAACTGTCTCGGCGCCCCGAAAATTATTTATATGTTGCGGTGCTGTAATGCATGGAAATATCCCGCCCTGCTATACCAGCTGGATGAAACGATGCGCGATTGTTTCCAGAATTTGTCAAACGTACGAACCAACCACAACGACTACCCGCCTTGGCGTCAGGCAACCCTCCCGGTTAGCAGAGGTGGAATTGGCATTCGTCGGTCGGAAGAATTATCCTTACCAGCCTTCTTGGCTCCGATTCATTCCGTATCCGGCTTGCTCTCTTCATTACTGCCTGACCACGGTGTTGTCGATGTTTCTGGTGCAGTGGAGTCATGGAAACTGAAAGCCCGCCAGCCTGAGATTCCAGAGTTAGCATACCGGAAGTCGCAAAAGGCTTGGGACTTGCCATTATGCAACGTTTCCCTCCTCCCTGCTCGAGGTGTTTCAGGGTGACGAGATAAATACAGCGCGCCTGCTTGCTCAGTCCAGACCTGAAGCCGGGATCTGGTTGAACGCCCTGCCATCCGCTCACATTGGTAACCTGCTGGGCGACGACGAATTGAAGATCAGCGTTGGTCTCCGCCTCGGCGCCACGATCTGTGAACCTCACGACTGCGTCAAATGTCTCAAACCCGTGGATGGTTACGGTCGCCACGGGCTGTCATGTGTTTTCTCCGCCGGAAGGCACCCGCGCCACGGCGGGCTTAACAGCATCATCTGCCGAGGATGTGTGTCCGCTGGTGTGCCCGCAAAACTGGAGCCGCGTGGAACCTCTCACACTACGGAACGCCGCCCGGACGGTTGCACGACATTTGCATGGAAACGCGGGCTGTGTCTCGCATGGGACGTGACATGTGTAGACACGGTTGCGCCGTCACATGTCAAAGCAACTTCGACCACAGTGGGAGCGGCCGCCGTGCAAGCTGAGGATAAGAAATCCAGACTCTATATTTACCTAGCTGGCCGTTACCTATTCGTTCCAATTGCCTTTGAAACCATGGGTCCATGGGGACCGTCAGCAATCGCATTTATCAAAGAACTGGGGAAGAGACTTCAGCAGCAAACTGGCGAAACACGCTCGCATGAATTTTTAAGACAGCGCTTGTCGATAGGGATTCAGCGGGGTAACGCGGCGTCAGTGCTTGGCACGATGGAAGGGCTGGATAAATTAAATGAGATTTTCTTGTTGTAGTTTGCATGTTTCTTTCTTTACTTTGTCCCCAAGTATGATTTGACCAATAAAGTGCATAAAACTGACTAAAGAAACTATTGTGTGTTTGTAAACGGTACCTTCCGGTACCGTTTACACGGTACGGTACCTTCCTTGTCAAATTTTACAAACACACAATATTTATATCTGTACACACACACACACACACACAGAATACGGTTACCGTAAATTAATTTGTTAATAAAACATTTGAGTACAACCGCGATACGATTGCCGCTGTTCAACTTACTACGAATAACTGTAGAATTGGCAGCACTGAGTACCGTATAAGCACAGCAAATTAAATTAATCGTAAATACCGGGTGGCTGAACAAAATGGCCGTCTCCTGTTTTCGTTTGTTTTTCGCAGACCCTTTGTCGCACCGTAAACTGTTTAGGCTCATTTGATAGAGAATTTTATAAGACACAAAACCAGAAAACAAAGTTTTTGAAAAAATTAAGCCGTCTTCGTTTGCAATGATGCCAAATAAAACTGTCTGCAAAATTTTTCGTCCCCAGCTCGCAAAACATAAAATCTTGTGCCATTTCTTCCTCTTACGGCCCTTTTGAATATTTTTAACTGTCTCATTTAGTAAAATACGTTTACTTTCAATAGAAAAAAAGTTGTGGTCATGCTGCATACTCTGAACGAGTTATGCAGTCATGACACACTGTGACTTTTTCGAAAAATGCCGGTTTTTTATTTGGTATTTTCGAGTATTTTCGGTTACAATTTTCGGCTGCATGACAGGTAGCACAGAAAAATGCAGATTTAACTTTAATATGTAGCTTACACATTACCCTTTCAGAAACAAAATTAAATCGGGGAAGCTTTTAGAACGTTGGTTAGAAATTTGCTCTCAAAAACTTTGTTTGCCTGTTTCACGAGAATTACTCGTGCAAAGTGTCTGTTCTTCAGCGCACTGGCCAAGCAAAGGTTGCTAGAATACTGCAATTCCTTACAGTAAAAAAAGAGAAACAACCTCTCTACCAGAAATAGTAAAATAAGCTACATTAATGTCGTTAGTTAAATAGCAAGAATTTTTAATTTAGAAACGGATAATTTCAGATTTTCGCTTCCAGGACATCATCCAAACCCAGCCAGTTTTACAAAACAGTTCATAAAAAATTTCAGCCTTATGGAAATTTTGATTTAACTTAACTTTTTTATGTTAAAAGCATTGCTCTATCGAGTGAAACTAGGAAAACGTCAATTCAGTGTTGGACGGATCCAGCGCACCATGAAAAAACAGACGGCCATTTTGTTCAGCCACCCGGTACTGCGCTGGTTAACGCAGTCTACGGCAACAACAACTTCCGACAATTGCAACCGATGCTTTCGAAACAGTTTCATAATTATTTCGGTTTCATTGGATTCATTAGAAACAGTTTCACTGTATGAAAACACTACATATATATAGCACCGGAACACAGGTCATCGATACAACCGACCCCGTCGCCCTTGGTAACACTACCTCCTCAACGGAAAATAGAGGGGAATGGAGGGGAAGAACGAATTGCTATCAAAGCACTACGAAATACAGCGCGCCATCGAATTCAAGTTGCAGCTGTGGATGTGTGAGATAATTTTTTGTACTAAACACTCCCGCGTAATGCCGCAATCAACAACAGAATTTATCTCCAGCGTCGGGATGTACACCCCATCAACACGCCGGTTCACGCCCTAATAGTTTTTCTCGGCTGGACACTGGTTGACCGAGTCCACCCGCCTCGCGATCACTTCTTGCTGCGTTAACCAACAATGGTCCAACATTAACTTTTCTGGTTCCAATGCAGCGAATGCACCATTTAAATTTAAGACGAATAATGTAATTCTATGCATTATATGACAACAATATGGCACTGTAATTCAATAGTCGTGTTGAATTAATTTAAGGCGATTCTGGCATCGATATCCAGGCATTTTATTAAATTCGTTGAATTTTTAAGAAGCATAGCGAAATGCAATGGCATCCGCTCAGAATACTCGTTTTAATTTGAGCATACCGACATTCACGGTCGTAAAGGCAGCTACATACACAGTCGGCAATCGGCATCTGTGAAACTCGAATAATTCCAATTTGGAAAATGCTGGGTTTCAATGGGTGTCCTGTTTTAGTGCTGGCCCTGTTGTTGTACACCCCGTCTATGTTGCCTTTCCGGCTGCGCTACACACTCGTACGGCAGACCACTTAAAATGCCGGTTGTCGGGTAGTAAGTGCAGTTTTGTATGGATTTGTATCCTACGGAAACCGGTTGAATCCCTGAGCAAACCTATGCCATCCACCATATTACTCAATAGTCAATAAGCCGTACTATATTTAAACCCCGCTATATTCCATTTTATATCGATCGATTTCATTCCCAGACTCAACTGTCAGCGCGCACAGGGTCGCGCATTCTCCACCATCCAAACGTCGAGAAAAAACAGGCCTCAACACTACAAACTGCGACACTGCCATTCACCGCACACCGCCAGCTTAACCGATTTGCTTGCTCATACATTTGTATGCTACCACGGCATTAGCAATTTGGCAATAAGTTCATGCTGGGCCGCTGTTCCACCCAGGGCTTCTCATACTTAATTCCTCCTGCATGCGTCAAGTGAGTAGATTTGTATCGTTTTGTTTCGGGTAGGACTTTAATTAAGCCCTTTGCGCCTTGCAGATATAATAACCGTTGCAACGGGCCAAATTCGGCAGTCCCGCACTCTCCCAGTTTGCAGTGTGCGTCCTGTTCTCTGATTACGGCGCAACAGCGGCAGTGCTCAGTTCAGAGCGGCTCACTGCAGTTCGGCGCTAGCAACCGGGTTGCCGCATTGATTGACGAATTGCCTTATCTCATTGGTCAATCAGTCGCTTTTGGCTGCCTTGAATTTGCCATATCATTACCGTGAATTCTTCGGGCTGAATTTATTCCCGGACTAATATATTTCTCTCCCTGCCCGTAAAGAATCACCCAAGTCCATTGATATCCGATAAGTAACTAATATTTCTTCTCGGTGCCTTAACGAGACCGTACAGATCGATTGGCAGTGACAAAGTGCGAAAATCCTCCGCCCCAGCTTATCCCTGCGTATTGCCTCCGTGGATCGCTGTGGCCAAGTCGGGAAACGGCTGATATTCCAGCCGCGCATCTACTCAGTGGAAAACCTGTTCATTGATCAGTTGTGTACCGCTGTGCGCCGCCATCATGGTCCTCGTTGATCACGTCCACGCGACGACATCTAACGCTAATTGCGTCCTCATCTCAAAGGAGCGCCAGATGAGTAATTTCGGTTCGGAGCAGTTCGATGAGCATGGCGTTCGTCTCATACGGGATCGTGCTCTACCCTGCCGAATGCGCCGTGTCTGGCGGACGCTGGCGCTGCTGCAGTTTCTCACCGCTGCCGCCATGCTGATCACCGATATTTATGGTAGGCATTGTACTGTAACTGAGTCATTCGTTTTCCATATTTTCTTGTGATTTTACGGAAAATTTTGCTGCTTATGAGGGAGAGAAGGAATTTCGGGACAGTGATAATATTCAGAATTTCGCGGTAGTTTACAAAACCGTGTAAACATTCCTTCTTAATGATGGGACGATTATAGTAAACGCCTAAACGGATCTTAAGAGATCCTTTAATAAAGTTTCTGCCAGGAAGAGTTTGACGTATCGATTCGCCCGAACGAGTGAGTGTAAGATGTGCATCAGCGCCGTCATATTGCGTCATAATTACATTTAGACGTTCAAGTTCAGATCCTTGTATTTAGCCGCCGACGATGGTATCTGTGTAATTTGTAGCTTTTTGTTCGCTTCTTAACTTGCTCTGATTGATGAGGATGCTAGTAGTCTGCAAAACTATCCATTTTTTAAGGGTAAATGTGACAACAAGAAAAAGCGTTGAAGCTTGCGGTGCCATTAAATGTTCCGAAATATCCGAATTTTTAGAAAAAGCGATAATGATCATATAGATATTTCGTCCTCGTATTTGCAGTTAAACCCAGAACGTTTTTTTCAGTGAGTCTTAGTAGGAGATTGTTTATCGTGACATTTATATTGAATACACTGATTCATGTTTATTTGTTAAATTCCTTCCAGTTCGGTTGGTGAATTTCCTGGATGTTTCAGCAGTTTCCGGTTGCTATGAGCGAATACATATCTGATATCTGTATTAGTGCGTGCCTCTGTACTGGGCGGCTTGGGGGGTTTCCAGATCGATAATCCCAAGTGGAGAGTTAACATTGGGGCTCACACTGTAACGGCGACTATATGTAATGCCGCCGTTATTAGCACATTTTCTCCGGGAAAAATTATCAGGTTGCCAATTGAGGCGAAAGAAGTAGCCGGCTGTTTCGGCTTCCGTTGCATAGCCCACGCATGTAGCAATTTTTATGATTCCATAGCCGTAATCGAATTTTCAATGGATGACCGCTTTGATTTGAATCGTTTCCGTTACCCTTGGCGAAACAAGCGGCTAGTATTACGCTTAATTCCTAGGTTTCCAAATCCAATTGCACTCCCTTATTTTCCTAGGCTCGACGCGTATCGATCGCCATTGTTTAGAATTGCCTGCTACTCCTTGTTGTGACAGACAAAATGGTCTTTTACTCTGCAAAATGTTGCTTTTCGTGAGCAAAGCGTCAGCAAAAATCGATAACAAACTGTCGTATAATATTATGCTTCTCGGTTCTCACCTTTCCAGTATGACAGCTAGAATTATTTAACCATTCACGGTATCGCCGGTATGCTACGGCAGCTGATCCCGTAACAGTTTGCAGCTGTGCATTGTTAATGCAAAAATGATCTTTTCGGGAAATATGCACTTTTTCTGCAGTTGAATGAGTTAATTTTATTGCGGTCATAAAAGTTGCCGTTTTGAATTATTAATTTAATTGGTGCTTTTATTGCTTTGTCTATATACTCAAAAACGTTGCTTTTCTGTTTATTAAACAGGGTTATTGCGGTTCTGCAAGGCCCATGCCGCGTTTTAATGGTTTTGTGCATTTAGAAGCGTATTCAGTCATAAAACAGATTGTGTAACGAAACTGATAGGCTAATAAATTTCGATTATTGATGAAAGATTAATAAATTATTTGACGACGTCGACCGATGTATGGACCTTCCGGCGTCTGTTCCGACTGTAAGCAGCTTCATGGGAAGTCCTTCAGGAGTTTATCGTTTTGTTTTGAACTAACTATTCCCGTATGCCGTCTATATGGCTTTCTTTGCCGGAGGAAAAGGAAATTCTCTTGAGTGTCGAAAAGGGTGTCGTAGGTGAGAGAGGTGTGTATATGTACACATATCCAGACTTAGTGGGATCAATAGATTGTGTATAATCAGCGCAGACAGGTCGTTGAGAACGGTGTCGGTATCCATCACGCTTCCAATGATTGTAATGGGTTTGATTGTTCTCATGCACATATTGACAGAGTACTTATGACGCTGTGGTGTGCTTGTTTGTAGCCCATCATCCGATCTCACATGTGAATCCTCTGCTGTCCTCGGAGAATACTAAACTGGTCTACTTCAGATGGGACATGTATCTGGGTATTGTGTCGGCTATATTCCAGCTAATAGCCGCCTTTATTGGCCTTCTTCCACTGGGAATCCCCTGCCGTATGAACCCACCGGCCCGTTACCGTTCCGGACACTTCCTCATGTCGGTGTTTGCCGCCTGTCTGATGGTCATCGCCGCTGTCTCCTACGGGATCGTTCTGTCGACCCTGTCCAAAGATGCCGATTACAATCGGGGAGTGGTGGGGGACGATATTATCGCGCAGCGTACCCGCGATTTGGTGTTCACCTTTAGGATTCTCTTGAGTCTGCTCATCATCCTGCTGCTGGGGGCCCTGGTCAATCTGGCCGTGGTGATTGCGGTGTGCACGGCGGTGCGGAAGTGCTATCGCAACTGTAAAGTGTGCTGTGCCGAGCACTGATGTTGCCAAGTGTTTGCATTGGAGCGGATGGATGAAATACTCTATGAATATTCCTGGAATTGTGCAACTGAATCTATTCGACGTCTTGCAGCTAGTGTGGAGTATTACAATGGTCTGGACATTTGAGATCTTGAGTTTTGGCTACTGTGGCAGGTTGTACGGCACGCATCGATGATTGAGCATTGTGTGAAGCCGGTTGGTTTTTGTTTTCGCTTTAGATGTTTGCTTTAGACCAGACACTGCTACCAGTGTGATCAGATATCACTGAGGTTTTCGTTTTTTTTTGTTGAAGATTTGTGTGCGTGGTTATTTATTTTCCTGTGTTGTCTGCAATCGATTTGTGTTTTTTCCTTTTTCAGCGGTTTTTTTGGCGATATTTAGTGTGAGTGTTAAAGGTTCCTTGTATTCGCAACAGTGTTGCATTTATTTAAATTTTGATCGATATCGTTAAGTTGGTTTGTGTGGTGGGACGTATGCATTTTATGCACCAACAAGTGCAAACGCTACTGAACAAAGCAAATCCATTAATAAGTCGTGAAGTCAAGTTTGTCCACAAAGCTCCGTTGCGTTGTTTGTACTCAGATACATAATACTACGTACAGTTGTTCGCATTTCTGTAAATTTAAAAGACGCGCTTGTTATAACTCGACAAGGTCTGTAACTTAAGTGGTTATTTTAAATTAGCGGTAAGTAATGTTTTCTGAAATAGCCTCGAGCTCAACGTTCCAATAACAAAAAAATAGAACAATTTTTCCACAATAATTATTAAATAAATTTTGGACTTCATGATCATACTGGCGTGAAGAGTATGGCTTGTAGCCCTGTTTCCCGAAACGCTCGGCTTAATGTGTGTAACTCAAGTATTGTACATCGTAGCGTTAATGAATTTCTTGAGAATTCTATTCCATCCGTCATGTGGACGTCTCAATAGGATGAAAAGAAATATGGCATTTCTTGAAAAAAATCCTTGTTCAACTGTTTTGCGACTTCTATATATCCCGCAGAACAATCCGGCATTCCGTGGTTGATTGGTAGGCGAAGAGAGTAGACGACCACATCTTGCGTGCGTCGCATGCTCCTCAGTCGCCATTACGTAAAGCGAACCCGGCATTTATGCTACACGGCTGGATAGTTCCTTGCAGCTATTATAGATTTTTTTACTGAGGATCCCGTACGTCGTTGCCAGCTGACGCCGATTGTAATCGCTTGCATATGGTCTTTAGCATTAATCCAGATCAACGCGTTCTCTGCGGTAAACGCAATGTTGCCAACGAAAAGGCGGCAAGTGTACAAGTAGCTACGGTGGCGAGTCAAAAAGCCTTCAGAAACGCCGGGAACACTTCTTGTGGACAGGGATATCCTCGAACATATCACGTTCGCACATCAGGTTGCTGTCAGCTAAATGCGACAAGCAATTTGCTCATCGAATATCGACACCTTAATGCGCAGGATAAAACCTGGATTTGCCGAATAGAAGTGATGTTCGAGAGATGCCGGCAATACGTTCAATACATGATCACGTTAGACTAACGATTATAGACTACGAAATATCCCCTGCGTATAGTACAATACACCGTATGCGCTAATGCTTATGCAGTTTAGTAATAATTCCAAATTAAGATTTTCATGGAGTCGAATTTGAAATTTCCTTCACTTCCGAAACTTTTTGCTTTCAAACTATAATGGCACAGAAAACCCCAGACCTGGTACACCGATTCTTTTGTTACACAGTACGAGCATACTGCATAATTGCACTGTAAAAAATTAAAAATCGATATTTGTTCTTACACGAACAGATAGATGATAGATACAGTGCTGTACGATATGTATTTTCATCGTACTGCAACAACTGGATAACTGCGGGATAAAAATTGCTAATTTCTACCAACTGCGGTCACTGAATGTCCTTATATTTGAGTTATACTTAGAAATGTGCAGATGATATAGATAAAAATAAAATAAATTCGAGATAAGATAAACAAAAATTTGTTACATCTGAAATAACTAGAAGTATACTTGATGCATGCCGTGAGCTAGCTAACTTCTGCAATATTTTTTTGCCTTGCCGGCGCATACGAAAGGTGACCAACAGTCCAACGCTGACCATACGTATCGAGGATCCCATGGGTAGACTATAGTCTACCCATGGGAACCTCGATAGGTAGCTACCTAAATTATATAGGTCGGTGTAAATTCAGGCATTGACTCAGGCATAAGTTATAACTAACAATCGATTCGCTTTTTGTGTAAGTACAATTTCTGAGTATTGATTCACACGAATACCTACTAAATACACTGCGTGGCCCAATCTCGTCGACGCTACGCTACTCGATTGTATAGCGACAGGTTCAGGAAAAAAAACGAAAATATAAATAATTTAAGAGTATCATGCAAATGCAGTGTTAATATAGTTATCAATACAATAGTAGAAGTAAGGACTTGTCCCGAATTCGAAGCGAATCTTTATCTATGAACCTATATTGACTATGTTGTAACTATGTGCTCTACTGAGCCCAACTAATTCTAACTGCAACCTCGAGGAGGTTTATACTTTTGATTTTTAACAGCACGATTTCTAACAGAATTTTGTAATATTGACTGGAAGTAGTCTAGTTTTTGCTACATATAAAGAATTCCAAATAGAATAAAAATTATATGTTCATTATTGAATTAACTTCAAATAAAGCTCATTATCCAGGATGAAACGGTCGGTCTGTTTAGTGGCAGTGATAACACCAATGCCGGCAATGGTTTTATGAAAATAGGACGTTTAATTTGATAGCTTTGAAATTGAAACTTTTGTTATCAAAAGTAGTATAGTACATGAACAGGAGCATAGTACATGAACAGTATAGTATATGAACAGGAAAATAGTATAGTACAAAATTTTAGGGTATAAATACTTAGCTATGCTTTTGTTACCTAATGTTTTCCTATACAAAAATTGTCCTCTTTAAGAACCTAATAATTGATTTTTTGTTCTAACTGATCCCGTTGATAGAGGTTCAGAGCTCAAAAAATGCAAGAGCAATCTTTTCGAACCCTAATGTCTGCGCTTTAAAATCGTAATTTAAAATATTTTTCAGGTGAAGTGCTGTAAAGCCGATCACCTGGTAAACGACCATAACAAACATAAGCTTTTTCTTCTAGTCCAGGTTCTGAGTTCCTAACCCAGATTAAATTATCATTATAAAGTTAATCACGCTTATAACCCTGTGTGCACTTAAGCGGTATGACATTAGTCGTATCTAATAAAGCAGCACTATCCATAAAACCGATTTTCACGATGATTTCAGAGTCACTGGTATCTAAACTTTCCAAATCACGAATTTTACAGTTCGGTTAAAACACATTATTGCAAATCAAAAAAATTAGCGTTGCATAAACCTATTTACCTTATCATTACTTCCTTCACTATCCTCCTACTACAATTACCCTCAGGCCTCAGTGTGCATTTTACGTTTTTTTTATAATCACGCATGTATTCACGCATATATTTTTTCCGATTAGAATCACCTTCCATTATTTTATTAAGGATAATAACCCTTAAAATTTAACGCAGATCTCTGTGCAAGAAAACTTGCTAACCCATACTGAAGCTAAAAAAACGCACCAAAGCCAAACGAAACACGGCAACCTGAATCAGCACTGTTTCCAAATCCAAACCGGGCCACCGCGAAATAACCAACAAGAAAAAATTTTCTTCACTGCATACTTCTTCAAATCCAACTCCTCAACTTCTTATATACCCACCGAACTGAAAAACTCCAGTCAACAAACCAATTAAACTATACGCCTTCTCGAATAACCATTTAATGTACCTACCAACCTACTTACCATATACAAACCACCTGTTCCTACACATCCAAAACTATCAGAGCAAAACATAATAGTCTGCTCCATTAAGCAATCAACTTTCTCGAAATTTCTTGAATTTTCCACAATAATCCATTACTATCTACAACCCTCAACACACTCCACTTCCTGTAACACTTCATTAAACACTCAAATACGAACAACCAGAAAGTCGAATATATTTATACCATACTACAGCTTTATACCTTCACCCTAATTCAATGTAGACCCTTTCTTCCCTACACTGGATTAGTACACCCTTTCTTCATTATCTCTTCTCGTCAAACATATCACCTTTAATATAATTAACTATATTATTAAATTCTCTATTCAGCACTTTATATTCCTACTCCTTATAATCTCCACATACAATATGCTCCTGCAATGTACTCCTACATTATGGAGAAGCATATTGCAATGTGCTCCTACATATGTAGGAGCACATATATGTAGGAGCACATTGCAGGAGCATATTGGATTACGTTTGTTTGGATACTACAGTTCCGTTTTTCTCCTCTAAGAACCGATGAAACGATGTAATGTGCTCCTACATAATGTACGAGCACATTCCAATGTGCTCCTACATAATGTAGGAGCACATAATGTAAACTAAAAAAGATGCCGAGCTAACAACGCCATCTACAAGTTTCACGCATCGTTACTCGACTCATGTCACATGACTCTTAGGCCCCACCGCTTCCTTTAACCGGCCGGACCCTTCCGTACTCTACGGGCGCTAAAAATTACTTTTGTTTACACACGGATATCGAAGACCAAAAACCGAAACTACAGTTTCATATATGCTACGACTGATTCTAGTCGTATACCGCATATAAGAACCTGTCACGGTTCAATGAACCTGCCGCAAAAATCTGGTTCTGCTCTAACTGTAATGCGTCACCAACGCTTTGCCAAAGATTTTGGTCGACAGTGCATAGCGATTGCTCTAGCATTTACAAGTGCTCTAGCAACTGTGCGTAAATGCTAGAGCATTTACGCACAGTTTATGTCATCATCCAGTGTTTTTTTCAAGTATGGTATGTATCCTTAATTGGCCGCTACGTACACATAACTGTTTTGCAGAATAGTTGTCAATTGACGACTACTGCTCATTGTATACGTACACCGTTACGGTTACCGGTTAGCCTGTTAGGTGATTTACGTCACAATCAGCTGTTATTAATTTTTCAGCAACATTTACTTTTGTTAACAACTGATCCACGCATCTACTTATTATGGTTTATTGGTTTATTGTGTTTTTTAGATAAACTTCATCCACCGAATTCCGTACTCCCATTGACAGTGAACGTAAACCGTAATTTTTGTATAAATCTAATTTTGTAGATACGCTATGACATTCCATTGTACATGTGGAAATGAGTTACTCGAAAGCTTCAACTTATTACAAAAGCTCAAAATAATGGGTGAACTACCGATCCCCGGCGATATACTACTCGTAGAGTACCATGGAGCCAGTGCACGTACCTGATTCAGCAGTTTAGTCACCCGCTATTTGCGTAAACTGTAGGAAACTGTAAGTAGTAAGCCAGGATGGATGATAGATCATATTCATGAATCATAAATTTCGCATGCTTACTTCCCCGTGAAATACGTAGGCTCACGGAGACTTCTTCCACCTCTGGTTTTTTGCTTTTCTTCATGAGGCGCACGCAAAGTGAGCGCATACATGATGTCAAAATCAAAAGCCTAAAAAACATACACTTGCACGCCCTGCGTAGTTGAGATCTTCGAAGCACGGGAAATGCATGCCACACAGTTTTAGGAAATTTAAAATAAATTCTGTCAATTCAGACCAATGCGCGTTCAAGGCAGACCGCAGCACACTACTCATAAGTCAGTACAAATACTTATCTTTTTACTTTAACGCTTTTTGATTTTAGTTCGAGCAATTATTTCGACCGTTTCCCATTGCTCCGTACCTTTCTGGCATTATTCGTACGAAATTATCCTTTTATATCCGTCTAATTTGCGTAACGTTAACTATGGATGTACTCACTGAACTTCCGGTCGAAGACGTTCAGGTGATGGAATGGAGAGGTGAACCGGAAAACACTGGCTTATTGTTGCGACTGCCGTTCGAAGTGTTGCGCCGCATTCTGGTGGAGTATGTCGGTCCCGAGGGAACTGCGATGCTTCGTCAGACAGGGAAGCGAATGAATGATCTGTGCTCGACCGATGACATCTGGAAGGATTTCTGTTGCAAGGAACTACGCTTACGGCCCAAGGATTTAAATATCCCCTACAAATACTGGATTTGTGAGGATGGTAGGAGTTCACAAGTTGCAGCAAGCAGTATAAAATACACTTAATACAGAATGTATAATTTCACACTACATATAGCGTGTTCAGTATACCAGAAGAATATAATATTATATTAAGAGATAGGATGTACTTATAGTTAAAAACTTAGTGAGCAATAAAAATTTGTCAAAGTGTTTATGCATATTTCTTGCTATAGTACAACAACATTTGTTGACACAAACATCGTCAAGGTAATAATAATTTTTTGATAAAAGGTTGCATTACTGGAGTTTCTTGGGAGTCAGATATGATCCGCAGTCGCACACAGCAATCCAGTAAAATGATACCATTCTGCCCATACGTTTATCATTGTTAAGCACTTGTTAATTTAATTATAAGTACTACTAAAAACACGATCGCCAGTTGTTAAAAAAATGCATGGGTACGAGTACATAATGCGCGTGCTTTACGGTAACACCGCATCGAGCTTAAATGTTTACTCACAAACTGAAACTGCAGTCAGTTTGTTTAGCCTGTAAAAATACGCAAAACGCAGTGCTGTATAATGCAGTAATTAGAATGATTTTTGTTCCTCACTTGTCATATATGCAGTATTACGATCACACAAAGCCTGCTTAATTTTAATTAAGTACTATGTCGCCTCGGCTTTTATTGTAGTATGTTGCAATGTTTGCAGAATCGGCGCATCCCCAAATAATCCCGAGCGAGCTGTACGATACGGCGGAACTGAAGCGCGGATCTCCATTGTCCTTTATGGATGCTTATACCCAGCTAATACATCCATTCCGTGGCTTGCTGAACTGGTTTCTTGTTTCTCGTGGCTCCACTTGGGACGATATTTTAACCATAACATTTGAAAATGGTCTCCTACACGGCGAGATTTGGCAGTTATCAAAGGACTTAACCGCGCCAATGATCCCAGTTTCGGATTTTACACTCTTTATTGAAGAGGAAACGGAACGTGTACTGATTCGCAATGATTTCATTTTTACCATCCTGTCTGCACCAGAAGTACCACTGAAGAAGTTAATTACTACCGGTTTTCGTCCGCCGGCTCAGCGTCCGACTCATGCTGTTTTCACTTTCCGGTCTCACCGGCATCACGCCAGGTATCTATTACAAATACACCACGGACACATATATAAAATAATTGTTATTTTACAGAAGTTATGTATTGCTTTTTTGCTTTACTGGGTTTTGGTTTTGTTTTAACCATAAAAAATACATTGTAGACTACTCTGTAGTAAATCGAAGAGTACTTACACGTACGACTGCAAACTTTCATGGAAGGTTCATGCGATTAGCTTCTAATTAGGTGTGACTAAGTGTTCTATATTGGGACGTGCCGGCATAATATTTTGTGCACCATTGTGTTATTTGCGTATATGCAGAAGGTGGAAAATGATCCAGGATTTCATCACGGCACAAGGAATTTCCTGGCCGGCTTCCTCGTCTAATCAGCGACCGTTCGAAGGCCCTCTAGCGTACAGTAAATTGGAAGATATGTTTGATATGACCGATGTCCGAGCTGGAGGCCGTCAGCACAGCGCTCGCATGTTTTATCCACACCGAGCTGTGATGCAGCCACCACTCGGACCATTCTGGAGCAGCCTTCCATCGGGACTTTTCAAGGGAGCCTTTGGCCCTATCGGAAATCAACTAATTACGGTAATACTTCCGAAAACAGCTGGATCGTTTCTTTTACATAGTGCGCTGAATCTTGTTGTTGGAAGTAATGTCGAAACTATACAAAATTTAACATAAACTGCACATATACAATATTGTATAATATGTAGGTATCACTCCATGTAGGTATTGCGATGCAATAACTGTTTTGAGCTACGACAATAGGCCTAGCGCTAGCAGTTAATATTGTTTAATTATAAGTCATGTACTCAAAGCGGGCATTAATAGTATGTACATCTTTATACCGGTATATTCTGCAAAAGTACGTACATAACTGACCGCTTTCGGTATCCAGTTGGGAAAAAGACTATCATTGTTTTCTGACAACATCTAACCTGATTCGGTTTTACTGCATCACGTCAAGCATACGAGTATTAATGATGCTATAACCAGGTAATACGTAAAGAGCTAGAACAGTTATTTTATTTGTTCTAGCTATTAGATATTCGAGTTTAAGTGTAAACGGCATTTGCTTGTACAAGTTTGAAATGAAGCAGTATGATGTAATCTGAATATTGTCCTGTTTATTTAACGCAGGTTGTCTGGGGTCGCATGCCGGGCGCCAGTGATGCCGTTACGGATTTCCTTACCGGCATCAAGACAACCGGCCATCTACACCGACCAGCGGGTACATGTTTGTTCCTTTTCAAAATCGCCAACCAAATTGTTTGCACCAGTACCGACGACCAGAAGGATCCAGAAAAACTGGAAGCAATGGCTCACGGACCATTCGTCAAAGTCCCTTCCGGTTGTACGGTCGAAGCCGTGCAACCATTTAAAATGCCTGCTGGTGTCCAGCTTCCGCTATCTCTGGATGCGAATCTCATCCCAGACACGTGCACTGCTCGATTTGTGGGACAGGGAGCAATGGCCAGTCGCACAGATGAACATGTTAATTTTGATGTACCCGCGCATATGATTGTATTTAGCCCAACGAGATTTATGGTTTTGTGGCTGGGACTAGTCAAAGTAGCTGTACTATTTGAAAAAATCTCGACGAATGACAAATTTTGCAAATATGTTTAGTTAAATCATACGATTATGTAAGATACGATCATATGCACACTTGTATGATGTGTAATTGTTTTTCATCTGCTCAAAAGGGATTCCATGCAAGTTTGCATCACGTTATGTTCAGCAATTTTTGTTGTAAGATGTTAAGCGATTTTGTGCTATAGTTACGTACAGTGTATTTACCATAGAAATACAAATTCAGTTGGCATTTCTGGCCTAAGTGATAAGACTTACGACTGTTGAATATGTCGCGATATGAACATAAATAAAATAAAAAAAATTCAGTTTGAATATGCATATATAACAGTGATAACATAACGTTTACGATGCAATAAAGAGACTGGAAAGGTTTAAGTCCGAGCTTTCGGTAATTTAAGAGACGACCGGTGTAGAAATTCTACACTGGAAAACTGTTAGTGTGTAATCTGTGGATGCATTGGTCAGTTCAGTCGTACGCATTAAAGTGTAAGATATCACTAGATTTCGAGAAAGTAACAAACAAAAGTTTTCGAAAAGCACTATTGTCGTTTTTGTCTTTTTAATAATACTGAATAGTACTGGCCGTTAGCTAGTTTAACAGCGAGCTACGAAGTGGTAGTTTTCGGTTGTCGAATATAACTTCACGTTAGTATTCAGAGTCTTAACAAAACACGCAGATTGCGAAGTGTCAACACAGAAAGATTCTCCAAAAACGAGGGCCGAACAAATTAAAAATACTCTAGAGTATTCATGTGCTTTCCTCAACTGCAACAACAAAACGATAGATATGAAACCAACAACACGATGAGTATTCAAATGTGCTTTTTCCTGCGAAAACAGCATTTCCACTGAGATTCTTCGACAATCGCAATAAAACAACCAAACATAAATAAATTAGGAATTTACAATCACAATGAGCCATCCACAATTTAGTTTACGCGTCAAGACAAGAAAACACACTGTGCCGCCGAATTAAGCAAGCCATTCGTGAATAAGCACTTAACCGCGGCACGAAATCCTACAAGCCGATGGCATGCCATACGAGCGGTAAGCAGTAAAAAGCACCCACGGCGAAGCGGGTCGAAATCGGCAAATATTTAATTTAATCCTTATGCTTGGATTTGGTAAATTTCCAGATAGTGGTGTGGAGATAAGTCTGGCCAGATTTGACGATTGGGGAAGGAAATCCCGGCTAGAAAAGTAAAAAACTTGATTTATGACGATTTCTCCCGACCAATAGGCGAGCCTAACAAGGAGAAAATTAAGGAAAACACATTCTTTAGACAATATTCAACATTTACGCACTTCTAAATGAAAGCTGTTTCCATGCAAGTGCGACGAAACATTTAATTATTTACAAATCGAACCACAAGGAAGTTAATTTTAGCCTCCCGCGATGCAAAAGCTCAAACGTATTTTATCGTAAAAAAATCATCACAGTGAATAACAAATTAATAACAGATGCGTCTGCTGCCGAGCGTAACTATATCTACCTACCGTATTAATCGCATTCGGATAGTTCTGTGTTTCAAAGCAGATAGCGGAATGTCGATCCAAAATTTCACCGTATTTTCCCACAACATCTTTATGGAGGTAGTTTCCGGTATACATCAAAACACCTGGTTGCGTTGTAAGAATTTCCATGCTTATTCCGGTTTTCGGGTGAGAAATTCTGCAACACGCAGTCACGTCTTTGATAATGTCACCGACAACCGGAATATGATTCAGCGGCAAACCATTGCTTAAAAAATGCATGCTCCAATTAAGATACAGTATCATGACAATCATCACACCCGTTTAGCCGCACCTAAACGCATTCACATGCATATACAGCACTTACTCGATCAAATCTAGTTTAACTGTAGCCTATAAAATCATAAAATAATACAAGGAAAATCGGCACTTACGTGGCTGCATGTGCTGGCGTTGTGCGTGGAACATCAGACAAGCAAAAGTAATGGTCATAGCCATTATCGGGAGTGGTTGGGATGGCATCACCAAGACGGCGCCCCTTCCGAAAGTCGTAAATCGTTCCCTGGACAGGGACAATCTCCCCAGTCGGTATGGAATTCTCGTTCACTGGTAGATACGACTCTGCAGCGATGCTGACGATGTGCTCATAAATATTTGGTTCGTCCTGCAATGCAACGAAATAAAGACACTGTGTACTAACGTCACATCAGTCAGAAATCGTTGCAGCAGTTCGACCATGTCCCTGCGATACTATGTAGCTACCGAAACACAAACTGCCAAAAATTAGTTGACGATACTTTGAGCAAGTTTCTCAAATCAAATCCAACTTTCGAATCTTTTGGTCAGCTTAATGTGCAGTTTATGCACTGCTGTGCTCTAAAATTTAGGTTTTTGAGTTTTACGCACCTTGCCCCCGAGATTAAAATAAGCATGATTCGGAATGCTAACAATCGTCGCTTCTTCCGCCAGACACTTAATCTTGATGATAACTTCGTTTTCGTTGGTCAGGCGATATTCTACTTCACAGACCAACTCCCCGGGATAGCCTTCGGTGCCGGAAGGACTGTTATGCCGAAAACGGATGCCACTAACACCGTTTTCTTCTTCGATCGGCTCAGCACGCCAGACAACCTATTAAGTATATTTACTGAATTAATAAATTACTGATTAATAAATCAATTATTTGAACCAATCCGAATCAATCTTGTATGGGTGTATCTGACAGCCTGTAATGTACACCTTAAATACGATAACTGCAAGAAGATTACGTACGAATACTGACTGCAATCTCTTACGAAAAAATCAGCGCGCATGGATGCTTTACCTTGTCGAAGCCATTCAACCCTCCGTGCAAATGGTTGTTTCCATCATTCGCCACAAGATTACAAGTTCGTCCATCTATATTGACAGTGGCGGGCGCGGTCCTTCCAGCAACACGTCCCACAAGTGCTCCAAAATACAGATCATCCTTGAGATAGTCTGAAAGCACACAACCAACCCGTAAATAATTGTGGTACAGCTAATCGGTTGCAATACAATGATGAATAACATAAACACCTTCATAAGGGAGGCGAAAATAAAATCTTCCTTCAACCTAGAGACCACTTAATATAATTTTTTTTGCGCACGAAAATAAAATTTCTACCATCGCAATAGGGATTAATGGCCAATCATGGTTCAGTTAAATATCAAAAGAAGCTCGGACTAAAAAGCGCTTCTCAAAACACCGCACGGTTCCCACAGGTCGTGTCCAACTTACCTTCCAAAGACTTGAAGCCGCACACCACATCGACAAAAGTGTCATTAGCAGCAGGAACTTTGAGTCCAACAATGCGTGCACCGTAATCAATCACAGTCAATACGGCTCCGTGTTTATTCTCAATTTCAAACATGTGTACAGCCTGGGCGAACGACATTTTCCCGAACGTCTGCGTCCTCATTTTATAGCGGTTGTGGTATTTGGAATAGCAGCAAAAGCAGAAAATATGCTTGCAACGTGTCCAGTTCCAGCAGCAACCCATCACAGACAGCTTATCAGTCGCATCACGCAGTCAAACCGATAACTCGACACCGTAAACGCATCGCCGCAGGAAATGGAACGTATTATACAGTCCACAGCTGCAAGTGCAAATTGCAAGTAAAATACAGAGAAGCAAAAACTATTCACCAACGCTTTCAAAGAAAAACGGTGCAAGTCAAAACTAAACATATTACAAGTCCTGGCGAATTCGGCAGCAAACAACGGGAATAAATAATAAATCCTTTGGGCCCATTTTATTCGGTGTCAGTCGAAAAACAAATAAAAATGGGCCCATTCGGTGTCAGTCGAAAAACTAATTATGCTAGATGCCTTTGAATTTTCGTATAAATCATACTTCTGCACTGATGGTTTCTAATTTTGAAAAAATTAGAACTAGTGACGAACAGTTTACTAGAACTAGAAACAAATAATCTAATTCTGCTTTCCTATTTATGGTCACTTTTTTACAGGGCTGTGCATTTGCTGTGACTTTCGTGAATCAAGGCAGCAATCCGGTAATCAGGAATGTAAACAAAACATTGATAGCGATAGCGACAGATCACAGAACAAACGAAAACCGCCATTTAGTAGGTAGTCAAGGATTATAATAATATGAACTGGAAGTTTCCATCATAACAGAGAAAATGATAAAGCAAAAAGCAATCCGTTTAAGAAATAAGTAACGGCCATTAAGCTTTAAAATTACTTACTTATCAGTTATCACTTACGGTCACGGACTATCACGGCCAACCAAAGTCCGTGGGATGCTACCCGTGTGATCTGCGACTCTTTCCCTCTTTCCTGAGCCTTTCGCATTCGATTGGAAAAGTCCCGATGTTTGATGATTTCGAATTTTGATCCAAATAAGTTTAAATGAATTTCCACTGAAGCACTACCTCGACTCCCACATAACTTCAACAGATAAATAATGGCTGCAGTCTTTCAAGAAAGTTAGTATGAGTAGAAGTACTGTACTGTAGACAGAATCTAGCAAAACTGGCTTCTAACTTTTTGGCACAATTACTGAGTTACTTTCCGGTTAATAAAAGGAGTACGGAATACAAATTATTCGCCCATACTACATAATTGTTACACAGGGAACTTTTTAGATATTAAATAGCACAACAATACGTTCGTTCCGGGAAAAGAAAACATACAGCAAAAAACCGTTGTATGCAAATCTGCCAGCCGTCGTAAACACAGCCACACAAATAAATGTGCGTAGTACCAAAAACTTACTATAGTGCAAGAGGACTGGTAAGCGGCTTGGATTTGCTCATGACGTCATCACTCTCGCATACAAATCGAACTTGCACATTAGGCAGCACATGCTTTTGCTGCTAGTTTATTTTATCCTAATAATCTTTTTAAGCTTGATCATATCAAAATTTTTTGTGTGGAGTTTTGAAAAATGCGTGGACATGATTGTGTTGCTCCCGGCTGCGATTTCCTGCGGAAGGGCTGCGAGGAAAAGCGATCTCTTTTCTCTTTTCCCAAGGAGAAACCCCGTTTGGATAAGTGGCTGCGAAATCTTGGCCGCAAAGACTTTCAGCCATCCAAGTCATCCACTCTGTGTGAGATTCATTTCGAAGATCATTTTATTTTACGCGAATCGTCAGCGATACGACCGGATGGAACCACGGTATCATTCAGGCTGGCGAAACCAAGACTATCCCAAGATGCTGTTCCCACTCTGTTCCCCGCTAATTACAGTCTCCAGAGCGAGCGAGGAAAAGAAATCAGCGTGCCGTCTTATCACACATCCAAGACTCCTAAACCTCGCACCGATCCATCAGCACGAAGAAAGAAGGCCGAAATAAATGAAGAGCGACTGGCCAAAATGAAAGAAGAGCTAAAACGGGTACGGAACGTGGACGAGGTGCTAGTTTATCTGAACCGTCGCACTGAGGAAAAGATATGGACCTTGCTGCAGAGTGCAACAAGTTTACAGTTATACACAGTGCAGGACAATGATGGCTTTGTTGTTATCGAAAAAAACATCTGTATTTTGGCCGACCTTTCGGTGCGATTCTCCATCCACAAGATCGGAACACCTGTGAATGTTAAACTTCCACTGGAGCTAGGAAAAATAGAAAATCACGACGAAATTGACGCCTTACTGAACCACTGTCAGAACGAAAAGACAGTACCGTACGAGTGCTTTCAGAAAGACGTAGCAGATTCCATTGGAAGCCTCCGTCAGCATTTCGAGGAAGACTCTGAAGCTACTGCCAAAATTGGATTTATTAAAGAACAAGTGTTACTCTTGGGGATCAAGCCAGAATGTAGAAGATATTTCCCTGAAATGTTGTCATGGGCTGCTGCTTTACACGTGAAATCTGCAGCTGCGTACAGGTATAATAAAGTTGAAACAATTTTACTGTATTTGCGCAGCTGCATTTTTGTAGAATGATATCCTCGACATCGGCACTCACTCTCCCTTGTGAAAGCTCCATCAAGAAGGTCATGAAACCTTATCGAAGTGGTCCGGGAATGCAGCAGCTCCAGCTAAAGAATGTGGATCGTATCAGCAAGCGAGCCAAAACAGACCGCGAGCGCCTTGTGAATTTGCATATTGATGAAATTAGTGTCCGACCTAAGTATTCCTACAAAGGCGGAAAGGTACGTTTGGAAATACCAGTGGGCTGTTAATTTTGTACTCACTGCACTAGAAAATTTGCAGTTATCAAGTTGTTAACTACAATATTTGCTTAGATCGTCGGACAAGCCTATAACTGCGCATCGCCGGCGACAGAAGTGGTTGCTTTTATGATAACGGGAGTGGCTTCTGGTGTATCCGAAATTGTAATGCTCGTTCCGTCTCACAACATGACGGCAGAAGAGCTTCACAAGGAAACAATGGATGTTTTGTCCGCCCTGGAAGAGAGAGGGATAAAAGTTGTTTCCATCATAACGGATAACCACAAGAAGAACCAGAGCTTGTTTAGTTTATTGGCTAGGTTGGCAGCCATGGACGACCAGACATGCTGGATACCAAATCCATTTGCCCAAGATCGTCCTTTGTTTCTCGTGATTGATCCCGTTCACATCATAAAAACCATCCGCAACAACTGGTACCAGCACGGAACGCTCATATATCCTAGTATACGGCGTTTTTTTAAGGATGAACCTGAGGACACCGATGTTTTATCAGCGCACTGGAGTCATTTTCAACATGCCTACAGCATAGAACAGACCAGCAATTTGAAAGCTACTCCTTTGACAGCCGTTTCTGTCGCACCAAATTCGTTAGAGCGGCAGAATGTTAATATTGCTCTGAAGGTACCAAATCATGCTGTTATCAAACAATAAAAGTGAGTCAACTTGCATTACGAGTACAAACTGAACGCTTATAATTTCAGGTATTTTCAGAGCGGACAGCACGTGGCCTCGAACTTATGGCCAAAAACTATCCATTGGAAATGTGCGTTTTGAAGGTGTAGGTGGAACTGTCATACTTGTGGACATGGTTGTCAGGCTTTGGTCAATGTGGAATGTTCGCAACACCACCAATCATTTTCGCTACCGCATTCCAGAGATGGCTCCCTTTACTCACATGGGTGATGAGCGTTTTAAGTTTATGGAGCAATTTCGTGAGTGGACAGCGGAATGGTACAAAATAACCCGGGCAAAAGAACTTAAGAGCAACGGATTATCTATCGATACCTTCAAAGCACTGCAGCGTACACTTGAAGGCTTACCACGTCTCATCAAATACTTGATTGAGAAAGAAGATATACCGTACATTCTTACTGGTGTGTTTCATAATTATGGTGTAATCTGCATTTCACATAATTTTATATTGAATTATTTACATTAATTGTTTTGCAGCCAAAATCTCAAACGATCCCATTGAAGGGCGATTTCGTCTATACAGAGGGCTGAGCGGAGCATCGTATCTTGTGTCGGTGACCGAAGTGTTCGAATCACAGTCTAAATTGTAGCTATCGGGCCATCTAAGTGCACATAAAGTGTTGTTTGGCCAGTCAAAACTGCATCGTGCCCACAAAGAAAAGGAAAGCCCTGTAACTGCGGACGATCTTGTGAGTTGGTTTCTTGGTATATTTGATGTGAGTCAGCATTTTCCCGATCGACTGGAAAAGCAAGAACATCAAACATTAATTTTTGTGGCTGGATATTGTGCTTTCAAAGTGGGCCGGCATATTTCTTGTCAGGAGTGCATTGATCTCATCAAACTACCAAAGACTTTCAGCTTCGATTTTGATTTTGACGGGGAATTGCAGCTGATCACACAACTTAATCGTGGTAACTTGTGTTACCAATCTGGATTTACGAGAACCGTGACGCGCTACTGCTACTACGTGTATTCCGTGCTTGTGGACGCTGAAAATATGGACTTGTTTTTAAATGCGACGGAATCTCACAGGCAGGCCGTGCAGCACTTAACGGGACACATGCTGCGATCGCAGTGTCCTGATTTACTGCAAATGGCTTGCACGAACTGCCTTGTTTTGTCGGAAACTTCAGCAAAATCTTTAATTTCGCTGTGTGTAAATACTATTTTAAACGGCTTCCAGCGCAACAAAAACGATGAGATTAACCGCGGTAAGAGAAAATTATTGTAACAGTTTTAATGGTGAATTGTCCTGTGGTAGTAGAAAGCTGAGGAAATTTAAATAAAATCGCTTTGGTCAGATAACTTGCAAACTGGTATCTCAATAATGCAAAGCATTAATTCCGGTAATTATCTTGGAAGTTTTGCAGTTAGAAAAACTGAAAAAGGTATAAGGAATTAAGGGCCCGTTCACGCGTACACCTATCTATCTTAATTGCTTAGTGGGATGTGAGTTCAACCGGGGACAACCACCTAATTGCATTAGGTCCCAAAATTGCGTTCACGCAGCATACCTATGCTAACGTTAATTACCTAGCTCTTAATTTATACATAGCAATGCGCGGCCTGAACAGTGCTTTCCTATCGAAAGGTACCTTTTCGTTTGCTCCGTAGGCACAATGGTTAAGACATATAGGAACCACTTGAGGTTCCTATGTGTATGGACATATATGCATTTCTGGTTAAAATGCTTTCAGAATGATTATGTGATGACCTAAAAAGATGTTTTGATTCAGGATATGACAACTTGCTCCGTTAATTACCATTGCAAAGTATTACCGTACTTTATCATGTAAAGCACATACAACCTATTTGCGTAAAGATCACATTTTAAACGAAGGCATGCATTTGCTTTAGACTTGTAAAGGCAAAACCGCAACAAGCGCACGGACACAGTTTGAATGCGCGCGATCTTTGTTTATAATTATTTTTTTAAAAACGAATTCTTTTAGCGGATTAATCCAATTAATCATTAGTTCGAGTCTGTTTGTTGGCAGACACAATGTATACGCTGTAAACATTTAACTGGGAAAGAGTTTTAATGAAGGAAATATCGCTGGGTGCCGTACTGGTAAGTATTATTATTTGTGGTTGCACTTTGCAGGTAATAAATTTATCGCTTATGACAAATAGCTGTTGCCGGTTGGTGATGACAGTTGAAATAAAATAAGTTTTGTGACGTAATATTAGTTAATTTATTGAAGCATTGCCCATTTTACACTGCTTTGTAAATTGACTGTGGTGTGCAGTTCATATTCTTCTGCCAGTGTCACTGCAAATTTACTGTAATGGAATTCAATCACTTAATATTGCACGAAAATATTAATTATTATTATAAAGCGCTTACTACCTCTGCACGGCACGTAGGCACCCGCCCGCTGTATCGGCAACTGGCAACCGCCCACGGTAGCAGTAGGCAGCGATATAGGCACCCGCCCGCTGTAACGGTAGCAAATAGCCTCCTGGGCGGCTGAGCGCTGCATAATGGCAAGCCGATATCAGGCGCATGGCAAGCCGAGATATTTAGCAATAAGCCCAACTGGATAAACTCGTGTCAGTTATATAGATTCGTACATCCCTACGCCCTTATTTTTTGGAAATAATCTCCTAATTCGAGATTTAGTTTTCGATACTTTTGATAGTTTTATAAAATCCAGCGTTTTCAAAGATTCCTACCTGCAATTTGAAAAAAGTTTTGGTCTCCCGAAGGTTTCTAAAAACATTTCAAACTTTCAGTACTTAGCGTTTTCAGTTCATAGAAATTTTCAGTACTAAATTCAAGAAAACGTAGTAAATTTTGTCTGTATGCTGTCTAAAGTATCTGTATGTCTAAATATTTAAAAGCCGGCCCGTGTACCGTATTCATTTACGTAGCGGCTCTGTGATACTAGTGGCAGTTAATGCTTCGCATTTTTTATAACTACTGTACTAAATCTTTGATCTTCGTAAACATTAGACGTGAAAAAAATAATTACCGTTCTGCGATTTTGCCGTTTTAATTTCGCGTTTCATTTAGATACGTAGATAGGCGACATGTGTTCACGCAGACCTAGCTGACTATCGGAAGCCCCTAAACAATAACTTTTATTGCACCTATTCAAAGGTGACTGTGTGAACGCAATTCTGCTCCCTATTTAGGTATCTATTTAGAAAAGCGTGCCGCGTTCACGCATACTGCTAAGAAACCGGCCGTTTTGGGCGGTGTCTCAACAGAAAAACTGATAGATAGAAGTCAGCGTGAATCCGGCCTAAGCCTAAAGACTGGTTTTGCAATGGAATGCACACTGTCAGCAGCAGTGTTTGTATGCGAGAGTGCTGACGTCACGATAGCCGTTCCCAGTCCTCTTGGCACTATAGTAAGTTTTTGGTAGTACTTATTACTTCAGCACTCGTACGAAGTACGTCTGGCACCAGTGGCATGCGTTGAAACAGCGTGCCGCATGGCAGGGTCGGTGTGACGTGTCAGCTGTTTGGGGAGGTGTGCGCTCTACGCGGTTCTGTGGAGAAATCATTTTCTAAAATCTTGAAAAAGTGTTGACTTTGAGCCACAACGGCAACAATTATTTCGGATACTGATTAATGATTATTTTAAGAGTTTCATTACAGTAAATTCAATAATATACGAGCTTTTATAGCTGTGAGCAGTGAGAGGGTTATTTTTCTAGTTTCACTTTTATTTCTCGCTTAAAGTGGATCCTCCAGTCATGCTTATCAATGGAATACCTGATACCATTTTGGATGATTCTCTGATGCGTTTCCTGGTGCGTTTTGCAGGATTATCTTTAAGCTGTGTTGTTAGTTCTAGCGCTGAACAGGAAAAAGAGAATTTCACTACTATGTGCTTATAATTCTTGCAGCTGGAATTGGATTCCGAGGAAATGAAGGACTTTGTGCGCGTCTTCTTCAAAATCGAAGAAGCCCACTGGTTCTATCTGGATCATTACTGCGACAATAATCCCCTGCTTCCACGCGTGGGAACGCGCGAATTCTGTGAGATCGCCTGCCGTCACGTGCCATTTTTGCACAAATTCGTGGAGTATCTGGATGATCACTGGAAAGCGTGGAAGCAGTATAAAGCCAATATTCCCACTGCTGGAGCCATCTTACTGGATGAAACACTTGATTATGTGAGTGATCCGTTTGTTTTTGTTATTCTTGGAAAATTGCCACTTTTCAGAACGGTTAAATACGCACAAGTGCTATAATTAAATCTCCGTTCTGTTTTTATCCGAAACTTTCGACGAACTGCTTATAAAATATCCCCAAAACTCGAAATGAAATTTCTGCTGCTGTTTTAGGTGCTTGTTCTTGAGAATTTTAATCGCCGTTTCGGATTTCCCAAAGGCAAGAAGAACAACAACGAAACCATGCAGGAATGTGCGGTGCGCGAAGTGCTGGAGGAGACAGGCTACGATATATCGGATAAAATAACTCCAGACGAGTATTTGGAGCTCTCCTGTGATGACATGTTTGTGCAGTTGTTCATTGTGCACGGCGTATCTAAAGACACTGCTTTCTCACCGATGACGAGAGGTGAAGTCAAGGTGAGCCTTTTTTATGGTCAGGTGTTTATTGGTCAAGATTATGGTTTATTATTAACGATCGGGATTGGAGGACAGTAACTGATTTTGAACTTACGTTAGCCGGTTAGCGAAATCTGAAGCATTTAGTAAATCAGTAACTTGTAAAACTATGAATGTGCTAATTTTTTAAAATTATTTTGCAAGAATGAACATTTGCATATTTGACTTGTAGGCTTTAGAATGGATGCCTGTCAAAGACTTGCCTGGAGCAACTGGTCCACAGACAACTGCTAACTCCAAATACAAAGCTCAAGCCTACTTCATGATCCGGCCTTTTATTAAGTATGCGATATAATATGTGTACACATATTAATTTTAATAAAATTACTGTATGTATCTGTAATATTACTAATACTGAGGGAATCATAGCTTCCATAGAACTACGCAAAGATTAATAATCCCAGCATCGCTAAATGCTTTGAAAGTAACATTTTAAATAGCAATGTATTTGTTGTTTGTAGTCCTCTGAAGCGATGGATCGAGATGAACAGAAGAGTGATATTAGGAACGCCGTCCCCGTCAAGTCAGGAATCTCCACAGCATCAGGCTGCTCCCAGTTCAACAGCGTCCCGGAAGATATTAGAAGTGCCTTTATCTGTACAGAAACACGCGGCCTTTGGACAGAAATCTCCCCGCCACTCTGGGCCTGAGTCGATGATTCCACCGACAGCGGAACTGGATGATGCTGATGGAACAGTGCCAGTTTACACATCTCCCTCGAAGATGCGCTACCCTTTTATTGAGTTCGAGGACTTCGTACCACAGGCTTGGAAACCCGGCAGCATTAAGATCGATCCCAGTGTATTGCGGAATGGGTATTGATTTGTTAAAGAACGGGAAGAAATCATTGTTCAGGGAACTTCAGGCTGAGAGATGTTGCAAAATGCAGTTTGAAGTTGGTGTGATTTACGTTATTATTGTTTCTACAAGATTTTGGCGTTCTGTTTTCGTTATTGCGGTGTTGTTGCTGTTTAGCTAATAGTTTTTTGTTCTTAAGTGCGGTTTGCGAATTCGGTTAACGGTTTGCTGTTTGAAAGCCACTGTGGCCAGTTAAGTTCGAATTTATGACTTCGTGTGTTTTGCGATCTGATTGGATAATAATGTTGGTGAGTTGGTTGTTAGATATTTGCTTGAAATGAATCTTGCTGTTTCTAACGTTCTGGTACCGGTTGTCTTTGGTGCCAGCAACAGAGAATTTTGCCAGCTTTTGTGATTGAAGAAACTCTGACTGTTTGTGAATGTTGAGTCTTGACTATTTTGGAATGTGGCGTTGATAACTTAACAAAAGTTTGCGCACGAGGGTAATTATTACAAGCCATTGCCACGAAGCGTTTTGTACAAATAAATTAAACATAAGAATATGGTGATATACTGCACAGAACCAGCAAAAGCAAGTGCGATGCATAAGTGGACCAGGTGCTAAGTATACAAAATGCAACAAGCTTGAGCACAAAGACGAAATTAAAAACTTCGCACCACACAGCGCAAGCAGACGATGGACACCATAAAAAGGTTTGAAGTACTGCATCAAATTATCAGTACTCATAACAAACATAAATACAGTTCAAAATACACCATGATGTACAATGCGAACAACAACATTCACAACAATGACTGAAATGACGACAGCAGACAGTTCCCCATGTGGTTTTGTTCAAAACAATTTACGCACGGGAAGATCATGATCCCGCTGTACATTTTCATTAAATTCTTTTTTCATCGGGCTACAACGCTGTCGCACTTCACTATTCGTCAACTTGCTGTATTCCAGCGGCAGATCTTTTGTGTAGCATTCGCGGCAGACCGCCATGTACTTGTCCGAGCCCCCGATCAGTTCAACCTGAAATTGGAAGACAGGACGTGTGGGTGTAGGAAGCGAACTGGCTGATAGGTGCTGCGCTGAACCAACCGCTGTCTCCGCACTGTAGCGCCGGGTGAAGGCCGCGTCCGAGTTGCAGATGATGCATACCGCTGACAACTTGACGATGTTCTCCGCTTTCGGCACCAGGTGCACGATGTCTCCAAAAGGCTAGAAAAAGGAAAACATTTACATTATTATTTAAATTCCACCTCCACAAGTCCAAGACAATACAACAGCACACTGCAAAAAAAATTAATACACTCAAAAAGGATGAAGAAAGCAAACATTATGCGACATGTGTTAAATGCAACTTTTATAAGCCGTTAAGTCGTTGACTGATGTTTAATCTTAACCAATAAGCCAAAGAAACCGAAAAGAATTAGAAAAGGTACAACAGGAATTTATTATATTTCCTCTGGGGGATAACTGCAGGAAACTATCGGCGTCATGAAGTATAAAATTCTTGAACACAGTATAAAATTCAATGCATCAAATTCTTATTCCCTTTTTCATTTAAAAAAATGGAATTCGGTTTCGAAAATAAAGTTTAACAAAAACAGAACAGAAGTCACTTATTGTTAAACGTACCCCGCGTTGAAATGTCCCATCCAACGCAGCAACAATGATAGTCTTTCCACAATTAGCCAGATGCTCCGCAAATTCCAGAATATCAGGAAAAAACTGTCCTTCGTCAATGCCAATAACGTCATACGCGTAGCATTCTTCTGTGCATTCTTTCAACATCACAGCGTTTCTAGCGGGTACGGCGTGTCTGTAATTTGGATACACAAAAATATCCCCTTTGGAAGCAGCAGTAGTTTGATTTTCGTGCTTGCACCTTCCATAATCCTACCTGTCGTGTGTGCTGACGCAGTTTTCTTCGTAACGCACGTCCTTTGCATACTTTAGCAGGAGAACTTTATACTTTGCGATTTTGTAGCGATTTATGCGGCGCAGCAGTTCAGTTCTGCATGAAAGAGCGTAATTATATCATCATACAAAACTAATAAAAGTAGTAATTTTGGACAACATATTTGTAAACTGAAATGGAGTAACTGTCGATGTTCAGACACTGTGCTATTTCCATTTCCGTTAATTACCAATTCAAAATTACTACTAACTGTAAACACAAGACAAAGTTTTATGGTGCATGTTGGTTCTTGCTGCATAATCAAACTTACGTTTTTCCCGAAAACATCGGCCCAAAAATGAGCTGCAAAAACATGTATGTCAAAAGGGGAACAAACGGGTCTCAAGACGCGTTCGTCTGGTGATTCCAGGCTTCAGTGAAACCTCGCAAAGTCAACACTTACAGTTACGGTAAGTGTACACAACTAAATGCCATACCTGTATGCTTCCTCTGCTCCCGCGTGGTGAAACTGGCTCATTTCGCAAATTATCCATAATAAAACGCGATAAACAATAAGTTCCGTGCTGGACTCTGCGGAAGTAGGACCACCGCTGAACTCGGAGTCAGACAGTGCGCAGCAAAATCAAAATTCCTGGATAAGATGGCGTGGAAAACTATTGGCAGCAAGGCAGAATACTGAGCTGGTTAAAGACTTAAAGGTTTCTCCTTAAGATTAAAAGAATGTTATCCTACAATCAGCGACTCCTAACAGGAAAATATTACAAGGCAGCATTGCTAACAAAATCGAAATGAAAACAGAAAAAGTTGAAACTTGATTCCTTGAAAGTTCGAAACATTCAAATAGGGTACTGCATACACTATACACCTACAGTACCGTAGAAAACCAAAAACACAAAATATTTTCGCTCGGGTGGTACTGTAGTTATTACTGTTGACAGCAGCCGCCAAAAGTAGTAGTTGACGATCAGTAGCAATGTAGCGCTGGCACCCCTCTTATGGTTAGTTGCGACCGTCTGATACGTCTGACCTTGTTGATATTGTTGGTTAAATCACATTATTAAATATGGTTTAATAATTAACTGCATTTATACGGCATCAGCGGATACGTAATACGGAATTATCTTGCGCTTTTCGAAATACACTGAGTTTTTGTAAACGCGCTGCAGCGCTCTTTCGTGGTCGTAATACCGACTTGCGGCTGGCTTACCGCTTGATAGATTTTTCGAGGTATGTACCGTGGCGAAAGCGCGTCCCCTCGTTCCCGCGTTTCCAAATTGCCGATAAGGAGTCTTTCAAAATGTAAAGCAATGCTAAGAGTATTAATACTTTTCAACTGCCAAACAAATCGGGGCGAAGTTATTGAACAAAATTATTGTACTCCGTGAGTTACAACTGAAAATTACTGCAGTGATAAGAGGCGACAACTATACTCAGTGGCCGACCGCCTTGGAGGTAGCTAAGGAAAGTGAGTCCACTATCTTTGGTCTTTACTACTGTCAATCCGCAGCTGACCACAGGCTCCACAGCTTCATCGCACAGCTTTTTTGTGTGTACGCAGTCGATTTACCACTGTTTTTAGACGCGCTTGGACATGGGTATTCTTGTAGTTATCCAGTTTGTCCATGAAGTTCTGCTTTCGCTACGTTATAGTATTTTGTTATTGAAATCTTTTTTACGAAGTGCCATTCTTCGTTCTTTTTCGTTCAAACATTTCCAGTTCGTATATTGACTAAATTTTCAGCCAAATTGTACAACATACGTGGCTTCATGAGTTTACGAAGCGCTGTTTCTTTGGCTCTTTATTTTTTCCTGAACAACTTGATAATGGCGATGGTGGCGAAAGTTCGCTACATTCTTCAAAAGTGGCTCGATGATAATGGGACCTCTGAATTTAACGAAGAAAAGTCGGAAAAGGGTTCGAAAGCAAGCTTTGGAGTGAGGAAGTAAGTCCGAAACAGTTTTGGAAAGAAAAACTGATAACCCCTTAACCCTTTCTACTGTGACCATGTGTTTTGATCATTGATGGTTACATGACCATGATGCGTTTGTCAGGAATAGATGACGTCTCTTGTTAAAGCTTGAGTCTTGAGATTTATTTTTAAAATTAATAATAGAATATGCCGTTACAGCTGCCGTAACAAAGCTGTGTGAAGTTGCAGTATGCGAACTTAAAGCGCCGTAGTTACTCATGTTATACCAGCCTGCACTAAAGTGAATTTGCTTTAAGTGACCGCAATAAAATTCTGGTTGTGTGTATAATAATATTACTAATATTACTATGATTTTTAAAGGACGTTGGTCAGCTCGAAACGAAAACGAACACCGTCCAAACAGAAAAGTGTTTTTGACAAACATTCCCACTTCTCGGGATCAAACGTGCATGTGCCCTGCAATAAGGAGGAATTCCCGAAGACAGAACGCGGGGAATCAATTAGTAATGGTCGCAACCGTAATGCTTTGACCCGATTCGAGCATCCCACAGACGAGACACCCAGTTTGGACAGCAGCATGGCCGATCCGGCGAGTGATGACACAGATATGGATTACAACCATGATCAGCGCATCCGAGCTTATCCGCACTTTGCTGGAAACAGGGCTATGTTCGTTTACATGATTTGTAAGATTTGGGCCTCTTTAATTACTGTGGTTATATGAACTTATATCACTGATAAGCGAAAAGAGCTACATGCTGCTTTTGCATGCTACAATAAGCAGCTGGATATTTTTTAGCGCCGGTCGAAGGCTTGTCGCCGTTATTCGCTCAGCTTTTGGCGGAAGTCCTGAAAATTCCCGATATTAAACATCACAACTGGTCCATGATAGATGAACCGCATATAAGCCTGTCACGCATTGGAATGTTGCGTTATCATGAAATCCCGCAGTTTACGGCGCACTTGAAGACGGAAATAAAGAAATCGTCTGTTCCCCGGTAAAATTGGTTCATTAAGTTTCAACTACAACTTTACAAGTACACCTTTTTCAAATATATCTCACGGGGTTTCGGTATTGTACAGTACTACCGTAGTTATTATTCTACCGGCTCTTTGCAGGTTTTCATATTCGTTCGAGGACGTGGAAATTTACTGCAATGAACAGGCCAACACGTGAGTTTTTAACGAAATGATGTCTGTAAAATAATACCATGACGTTGACTGTATGTTTCACAGCACGTTATTTTGAAACGATAATACGTGACATGTATAGCTTTATGTTACGATAATACGTGACATGTATAGCTGCTTTGATTTGTTTCACAGATCGTTCTTGGCTTTGCGCGTGGGTCGTGGCTCCAAGGAAATGGGAGGACTGGTGAAGATTGTCGACAGTTGTTTGAAGAGCTTTAATATGCCGCAGTATTACGAAAAGCCTGATTTCCATTTAAGCTTTGCTTGGTGCCCGGAACAGCTGGACGAGCTCGACAAACAAAAGCTATTAGTTACTGTTCGAGTAAGTTCATTAAAGTTGCAGTTGTTGTACTTTTCGATCTGACGTTTTCATTTGTGATGCTGTTGCAGAAACGGTTACAGCGCTTGTCGTGTCAGTTTGCCGAAGGATTTGAACAGTGTGCTAAAGCTGTTCGTTGTCGTAGCGGAAATCGAAGTTATTTGGTGGCATTGTGATGTAGGCGTTTTCGGGACGGTTTTCCTCGTCGTGACTGAATGGTTTAGAATTTCCTTTTATCTAAAAGTATTCCTTTTCTTGTTTTGTTCTGTGATGAGGTTATTCCTCTATCAGTGTTTTGTGATTGATCCTGAGATTATGAAGATATATAGATGTAGCCTGTGAAATAGAAAAGTTTGTTTTCAGGATGGAGTATAAATATAGCCAGTACAGCCGTGCAGGTATACCGCGACTGCGAAATTACTTTGTGCCTGTCTGTCTGACGAATGCTGGCGCCGAATACATTTGAATACGAGTACATAATAAGTACATTTTATGTTTCTTCTCTTTCGTTTTTACTTTTGCCGCTCCGAAAAAGCCGGTACTCACCATAAGAACAGTGTTGAACTTTCTTCTTATCTATTATACGGGCTATACTTATAGTTACAATGTAGGACTAAATGGTCGCATAGCCCCATACCCAGCATTCTGTAAGCAAGCGGTGCAGTGCACTTGTACGAAACGGATATTTTGAACTCAGTCGTACAGTGCACTGCGCTGCATCGTTCTGAATGTGAAGACCAATTGTCCTAAATGTATATCATGTAATCATGTATATCGTGTAACAACTTTTCAAATGCAGAATGTTACTGTTAACTGCACAAATTTGTTTTAACAACATCCTTTAAACGGCGGTACTGTTAACTGCACCTTTGTGGACGGATGGCTGCTGCTGCAGGTACTTTCGCCTTAAGGATATGATTGTACGAGTACGAGATAGTTAGTGAAACGAGTTCAAATATTATTTCCCGTTTGCAGTTTCCCGCGAACTCTGGTCGTTTTGGGTTTTCTTGAGTAAAACGTGAGTTGAGTACTTTATAATACTTCAGTCACACAAGTCAAGGAGACAAGTCCTGAAATCTTTCAGCAGCAGCGAATATTGTTAGATCTGGATACGAAACTATTCTGCTGTAAAACAGTAAACGGAGCGCATTAATACTTTATCAAAGTCGCTGAAATCTGCGCCATGCCTTCGGAGATATTCGTCAAGTAAGTTGAAGCATTTAATAATTTAAATAACACATAATTCTATAGATATTACAAATTATGTAACCATGCATTGTAGAGATATATAAGTAAACAAAAGTCACACTCCGTAATTACCGACGACTTTCCTTGTGAGCAGAACGTGTCTAACGATAAGCCCTCTTCTTGTTTTTAACAGACGAGAAGGACATATTCGACACTGGCTTCATTGCATTATTTCCATTTTCTTTCCGCCGTGGATCTTCGTATGGATATGTCTGGTAAGTTAAAACTTGAAACATACCGACATTAGCAGTTCCATTTAATGGAATTGAAAACTGACCATGATTACTGTTTCGTTGTACCGTATGTATGCTTTATTCATCCCAGAAAGATTGTTGTTCACAATGTTAGAAATTTGGCTACTTTAAGATTTTAACGGCGATTACTAATCCAAGTGATTTTTGCTTTTACTATTCAAACCAGAGCGCTCCTGTATCGTAATTTTCATTTCATACGTTTTTTTTAACTTTGTTACTTCACTAGTTAATAAATTACTAGTGCTGCTTCCACACTAGCGTGCAATAAAACAATGCAAAACTTGTGTATTTAAAATTAATAAAACACATAAAATAGTAAAGTGTATTACGTACGACTACGTACTAAGTAGTAATTACAGTGACAAAATACTAAAGCTACTCGTACATGTGGTAATTAATCTGTTACTGAGTTTTTCGATTTTCAAATTGTGTGAAGGTCCTGTGGACTAATTATTCTGCGTTCACTTTATAGTGTCTGACGAATACAAGCACAACTACAACTACTGTGGCAACCAGACATGAAACCGTCTAAATCGAGGGAAGATGTGCGGATTCTTGCGGAACCACCCAGTCTATTACGAGCGTTTTACGCTCTTCCGCCTTCCGTCAGTCTGAATTGTAATTCAAAATCTCGTGTGGCAGTGTTACAAAATTAATGGTGATCGAAGTTGTTGCCCACAATCCCGATAATTCCGCCACCCGCTTTGTTTTCCGTTCGTTCATAGTTTTCCTGTTCCTTTGAACCACTTGTTAATGGTTTACGAATCTCGTTCCTATGATGATACTGAATATTGTTATAATAAAATTCCTCGAATTTTGTTTGGCGCCTGCCCGGCCAGCCGTGAGTGGTTGTATAACGGAATAATTATTTGTCACCGGATGAACATTCTCTCCGATGCGTCCTCGGACAGTTTAAAAAATCTATAACATGATTATTTTAATCTTTGTGGAAATTTTTGATGTGTGCGCGGAACTGTGAACACATATCGTTATCAGTTATGCAGGGTAACTTTCCAGCTTTGCAGATGATTTACACAAATTGGACTGAAGCCTATTAATCAGGCATAATACTATCGTCACTCTGCTGATTTCATTGGTTCCGGCATCGTCAGAACTACAGACCGTACTAGTACTTACTACTTACATTTCCAATCAAAAGAAAAACGAAAAAGATGATAATATCACGTATATTAGAGACAGGTATTACTCACACATCAAATCTGAAACAGCCATCATATCGATATCCCAAGCGAAAAGCACTTCATTTCAGCTGTTGTAAACTTGTAAGTATATAAAAGAGTATCGACCATGATAATAAAGCCATACACCGACAAAAAAGGTCACAGGTTCAGTCCGATTAGAATGTCTACATTTAAAGCTTATCGACAAAAGTTAGATAATTTTGAATAGCTCCACAAAAGTCACGCGAAGTCGCGAACAATCTCTTCGAACCGAAAAGCCAGATTATAAAAAGAATAAACAAAATGAAAATAACAAAAATCACATACTAAAATGAAAGTATTCGTTTCTATAATAACACCAAAGTAGAATGCAGGAAAAACTGATTATTTCTACCAGGAAACCATCTAAATATTGATGATGTTGTGGCGATATGCAAGCGTGTGCGATGTTATACAGTCTTCAAGCCATTTTCGATGGACGGTGTTTTTGGATAACCACCTCAGTTGGTCAAACACACTGCAAACAAAACGACTTTTATTTCATTAATGGTCAGGCACTACAGATGTGCACAAAAACAAGTGAATTTTTGATATTGTCACTGGACAACCAACGTATGATTTAAAGTACTACAAGTAATTATTCCTTCATTTTATAACACTTACGGAAGATCCACACGAAGATCCATGGTGGGAAAAACAAGCTGATAACGCAGTGCAAGCAATGGTTCACTTCACTGCAAAAAAAAACTTATTAACAAGGAGCTTCTCTGTTTTACCATATAATACGGAAAGAAATGTGATATCTATATAACTGCACCACGTTGTTGGCATCCCAAATTATGGAAGCTTTTTCTCGACATGTTATGAAAAAAGTGTTATGTTTGTCGAGTGTCATCAAGCTCTTGAAAAATCATCAGCAGAAATTAAATTCACTTTTTTCCTCGAACGGAAAGCACAGGTAGCGTGCAGTTTCACGATAAAACTGCTTAACTGCGGTAAAATTCAGTTTATACTTTACATCACCCGTATTTATCAGAACTATTTGAAGACCAACTTGCAATCAGCAATATATTGCATAAAAACTGTTATTATTATGATAATTCGACTTACTTCTTCACAATGACGGTGGTGGTGGTCGTATGGGTGTGCGGATGCATGTGCGGATCGGAAACGACATGGACCACAGTGGGCTAGAAAAAATAATCAGAACTTTATACAGAATGATAAGGGAAAAAAGGTACGGAATCAATAGGCAACTACCAATTTCCGCGCTTCATGATTTCCGCTTTAGCATAACAAACAATCCGGAATTTCCAACAAAAGTTTACCACATGTATGTATACTCGTGCTTAAAAGTACTACTTGCACTAATGTCGTGTTTAACGTTGAATAGCTTTGTCTACTTGTAATAATTTATGGTCAAACCTTAAAAATTATTATGTTTCAAAATTTAAACAGAAGCGTTTTTTGCTTTCAGTTGTTAATTTTACAATTCGTATTCGCCTATTCGGTATTAGAAGTTAAAAACAACAGCATCCACCAGCCGGGATACTTCAGTTGAAGACTTGAAGACAGTTGAAGTCATAATAATTTATTACCGGCGGAGGCTGGTACTGGTACTGCTGCTGCGGAGGTGGCACATAGGCACCAGCAGGATACGGGCCAGGCTGTTGGGGAAGGGGAGTGAAGTAGGACTGCTGTTGTCCTGCTGGGTACGGCTGGCCTTGATACTGCGGCTGCGAAGGGGCAGCGCCATAGTCATATGGAGGGGGAGCAGCCTTCTGATCCATTATTGCCGTGGAAATGGTTAAGACAGGAAAAAAGCAACCACAGCAAGGTAGATGCTAGCAGCTAGGAAGGTGCACAAAGCCACGAACCCAGTTGGAAATCTAGCTGCACTGTCGTCCTCTGCAGTGTAAGCTGTAAAATGACGAAAACCTTCGCTGTGATAAGCTGCGCGCTGTAAGGCCAAACTGACTTTGCTGACTGATACGTAAGTGTGAAACATGCAAAACATGCAGCCACTCGATCGGATAACGCATACGCAGCGGAATGCGCTCCGGCCTCGAGGAAAATGCGATAAATAAGTACCGGTTTACTCGATATTTGGATGTTGTACGTAGATAGAGCGCGATGGTGTGTGACGTCATTATCAGTGACTTATAGCAGCGAAAATTTCCACCTTTCGTGTTTTGGCGGCAATAAATAAAAAGGTTTGGAATAATACTTCAAATGCCTCAGGGTAGTCAGTAAACTCTTGTCATACAATTGTCAGCTAGAATAGACAGCAAGCTTTTAAATTCTTACAAGTGTTCTTAATGTATGGTAGCTTAATAAAATTAGCGTCATGTACGTTCTGACTATGTCTATGTAGTACATAATTTAATGTAACTTGTGAAAAGAGTAAGTACCTCCGTTTTACTCGCATTATCACATATCAGCTGATTTTATCTGGGTGCTGATCCACTGTAGTAAAAAAAATAATACTAGCAATGCGCAAAATGCCGTGCCAAAAACAAATCCAGAACGATTTTTTATTATACAACTGTGATTGCTAATTTGTTACTCTCTTAATTCTTACGACTGATAAAATTTTCTTGATGTAAGAACTGCTTTCAGTCTTAGATAATGCAGGTGGCCCGTGGGCAACGCCACATTACTCAGTCTCCCACCAACCCAATGGCTACTTAAACACGCAGTAAAAGTTACAAATCTAAAAATTAAGACCAGACCACACTGCCAAAGAAAGTAAATTAACGAGGTGCAACAAAGACGAGTACAGTCGCTGTACACATAAAAACCCTCGAAAGGACGGTGATCTAATCAAACCAGGCTGAAAGATCATGAAAGAAAGATACACGGCAAAGAATGCATTATCACAATGGCATAAAATCAACCATCTTTAGTACGAGAACCGTCTGAGATCACGCTGCGATTCGATTTCCCACTGGAAGAGGAACTGGCACCAGAGCTCTTCCTCGTGGCGTTATGCTTTTCGACCGCGTACGGAATCGGACCAGAATTAAAGGACTTCAATCGCTTCTTGGTCGAGATATTTTCCCCGTTTGGAGTGATTTCTGGTTGCTGCATCCCCATTCCGTTAGATGGGCTATTTGGATCGCTGTTTACTTTTCCGGACGAAGGTTCGGAATCCCCTTAAAAAGGAAGAAGAAGAATTTAGCGGTCATATCATGACAACGAATGTGGAACAATGCGAAAATTATTCAGGTCGTCTAATATGATGTAAATCAGAATTTAAGGTGTTGATCGGCACATACCTTCCGGCTTGTTAGGAAATGTCGCAAGATCAGTTTTCAGAACGGTAACACCATGGAGCAAAGCATTACGGGCTTTGGCGTTAACTATGCTCAATTCATGCCGGTACGTTTTGTTTTCCTCTCGCAGCTGTTTCACAAGCGCCTCCAACTAAAAATCGTCGTCTTTATTTTCACTACCACATGTCTGCCTTAATTCTATTATTTATTCGTAACTGCTTTCATGAACGGCAAACGCTAGTAAGTAAACCTATGCATGATAGCGTCTGAAGTAATTTACAAAAGTAATGAATTCACCTCTGCGATTCTTGAATCGTAGCGGTCTGCCAGCTGCTCACACACTTCTTCCGCCCGTTTCTGGCAAGCTTTCTCAATACGCTGTCGCCAGCGTTCCTGAACCAAACCACGCCAAGCACTCCACGCTCTCTGCACAATTCTTTGTCGATAATGTCGACTGGCTATCACTTTAAGGGATTGCTGCAACCATGAAATAGATTCTGCCTGCATAATTTGCCCAAATCAGACTTTTTAATGGAAACCAGGTAGACAATCATATCAGAAATCAATTTACTGATCAATAATCACGCATCGACCAGGGGTATGTACTGACTTCGCGTCGATTTTCTTCTCTTTCATTCCTCCAGGCGGTGAAGGAACGGGCCAGAACGACCTGCTCCTTTTGGCTGGCCAGTGCGTCGGCCAGATTAGCGATAGTTTTATCGCGCTGGTGAATACCTTTGCTGTAGGAGCGGCATAATCGATGCAGGGAATCGATATCGTTGTGTAAACGATCGACATCTTGCTGTTGACTAAGAAGACAATCAACGGCCGGCGTTTCAACGTATGGCATCGAGGATCAACCTACTTAAGCAGCACAGAAAAACGACACCTCACCTCTTCATCAGCTCGTTCATCGAGTTATTGAATTCTAATATTACGCGCTCCCGATTTGCAGAGTTCTCCGCCTGTAACCAGAAATTCCATTAATAACACCCGGGTCAAACATCCGGACTGTGCAATACAAGAAAACACAGAACGGATCAACGCAAAACACCAACAAGAATTACGTACAAGATCTTCATAACATTTAACAATTGTAAATACCGTTAGTGAATCAAAAGAAAACCATACCATTACAACCTCTTTTTAAATTCAACCCGAATTGTACATCGCAGCTGTTATTACCAGAATATCCATTATCGGCGAACGTTCGCTAATTCTCATTCAGATTGATACTTTAACTGTTAAGCAAGATTAGGGCCCCAAACAGCCATAGGAAGGTACATACTTAACTAAATATGTAATACATCCGCAAAACTTATTGAGAAAGGAGCAATTAAAGCTTTTGCTGACGTTTCGAGTGTATTAGTAATGGACCAAAAGGATGCGGATCAAAATTAAAAAATGTAACGCAGATATGACTACGCTTCGTCATATCTATATTTCTGTAGCAAATTCGATATAGTTTACGGTATTGCATAGTTATTTTATTTTACCCACGCCTCATTGCTGGCACTAGTTAAAAGCACCGGTCATAATTGCATAACAGCGCCGCCCAAAATCAAATAGTCTACCAGCACGGTGCAGTTGCAAACGAATTTATATTGATCCACTTCACAAAAATCCAATTTTCGTCAAGTACGACGGTAGAGTAAAATTAGAACGCAATAATCTCTTTTCAGCTTATAACAAAGCACGCACCTATTTGCAAATCCGTTCGTTCGCTAGCTACATTAGTATACTGGTTATAGTAGTCGATAGTATAATCCTTCGCACGTATCCAATATCTCTACCGCTCTTCGTATAAGTGGCCGTAGATATTGCTCAACTCATGAAAAGTCTTCATTCGTAGTTAAAAATTTTGCATATCGAATTCCAAAGTGTTACGGTCAAGGCCAGCTGCCAAGCAGAGTTTTGACCTCTTGGCCTCATGGAACAGACTTTTCCAGAAAAACGAAAGAATAATCGCAAAATTATTCATGTGGATTGCAGGCTGCTAAGACCACGAAACGAAAGCTGAATTCAAAATGATTAGAACCACATGAAACTTACCAGAAGAGCCTGTCGCAGCTCCGAATACCAGATATCCAGGATACTCTGCAGACGGTTAGCATCCAGATCGGAGGAGCTCCTAATGGACACAATTCTGCTGGGCATATCGCCCAGGAATCGCGGCCCATTACTGGGCGCTGACTGCACCAGCTTCTCGCGGAATCCACGTCCCGCCGCACGGCTCTTAGCGCGCAGTTCACTCTCCAAGGAGGCCGCTTCATCGGATTCGAAGATGACGTTGTAGGGATGATGACTACTGGCGCGCGAGTCTTTCCCGTCCACGGGTTGCGTTTTGGCTTTGATGGAGGCATTGTCTTTGGCGTGCAGCAACGGACTGGATGTCCGCGATAACTGTTCATCGGAATCGGAGTTCTCCGATGCCGTAACGGATTTGAGCTGATTGATCAGATGCGAGACGTGCTGCTGTTTTGATCGGGGAATATTGGACGAACTGGCCACCACGCTGTCAATGTTGTCCATGCTGGACCATTCCTTCAAAATGCGACCACTCTCGCCATCGAATGGACTCTCTGAATCCAGCAAGCCAATGCTTGATTTCAGATCCTGTTAACACAACAAAACTGCCAAGTTTGAAAACGTTCCTGCAGCTTTCCGTGTAAAATTTACCTCAAAGATTTAAACCAAAAAGAAAAAGCTTACGAAACTTTGGGAAAACCGAAATTTGCAGTTTACAGTTTACTGTTTGCAGTTTGCAACTTTGCATTCTTTAAACTCCGATGCAAATGAACATCACAATATTTTTGCTTGCGGATATTTGCTTCAAGCTGCAACCACACAGCGGTTAACACGGTCTGTGTTTGGAATGAGCACAGTGCAATCTGTACAGACTCCAGACTCCAGACACTGCTTTTTATAAAATTAATAATAACACATAATACTGCTTTAATGCCGTGATTAATTTTTTTAAGTTTATGGTGTAGAGCACATTCAAAAACTTAAGAACACATTCACCTGTTTGCACTGCTTTGGACGGCGCATGTTGTTGTATTTGTCGGCCGTGACTGACAAAATTGACACGAACAATAAAATTTTTCGTTCGTAGTTAGCTGATGTGCACATATTCGGGTTATTAATTCGTTAGTAAAAATAATTAGCCAGTAATTTAAATTATGTAGCTAAGTATGCTGCCTAGTGCCGACTGCAGTCTCGTAAATTGCTAATGTACGCTGTACGCACTGGTCTTAATAATTTCATCAGGTTCTGACGTCTTCTGAACAGTAAAAGACATACTGTACAGTATCTGTTGCATGATACGACCAGTTTATCATGTTGCTTAAAAAGCCTAGGGTATTATTTTAAATGTCGTAGCCGGCATCGCAAAATAAACACTGTGTTAACATACCCGCTCGATCGAATTTCCAGGATGCAGTCGTTGTGAGATCGACGATCGCGATTTATCGCCCGAGGAGCGATGACCAGTGTCCGCCACATCACGCTGGCCACCAGGGGCATTTTGCTGTGATTTGATTGATTCCGATGATTCTTTCCGGTTGGTCCTCAGTGTTCCAGGCGCCGACGAGGCTAACGGGCTAGACACAGTGGCACTGATTTTTCGTCTGCCGGCCACACTCTCACCGGCCGATCCCGGCACGGAATCTCTCCGCTCATCCACCGCACTTTTGCTGGACCGCCGCGACACGGCGTCGGACAGCTTGCCATCTACCTCATCGGTGACCACCGTGGGGTTGTGGCCAGTTGAAGCCACGCGCTGTGCCGATGACCGCCGGCGCTGGCTGGATGATCGCGTGCTGCGATCCGACAACACTTCCGGTTCGGAGCGGGGACGCGGTGGCGTATCATTGCGCACGACGGTGGGACTGTCTGGTGTAATATTTTCGTCGCTGCGCACTATAGTCTGGCTGCCGGGCATATCATCAGCGCTGCGCACCATGGTTTGACTGTCTGCTGCGTTATTATCATTACGCACCGCGGAAGCGCTAATGTTTTCCACATTAATATTTTCTACTTCATCACGCACGATGGTTCCCGCGTCGCTGTCCCGTGGGGAATTTCTCTCTTCTTTCACATTGATTTCAGGATTACCCCGGTGTTTTTCCTCATTATTGCTCGATGATCCGCTCCTCTCCGTGTTGGATTTTGGAGAGTGATTCTTTGTTGTTGATGGTGTTGCCATGTTCTCGCTGTCGTCTCGGACAACGGTTGGTTGATGAGCATTTTCATCACCGGATCCTTTTGGAGAATGATTAACCGTGGGCGAATGCGCGCTGTCGTCGCCCATCTCGATCCGAAAATAGTTCACATACAATGCTCATGGTAGCTCCACATTGGATGAATAAATGTCGGTAAATCAATTAATTAACAATCACCGCTCTTATTTTTTTCATCCCGTACACATTCCTGTGGTAGTTAACACATTCCAAATTTTCTATAAATTTTAGCGAATAAAAAAATGGCGCAACACGATTAACTGGCGGTATGAAGCACAATCGCCGGCACCGTAGCAAATTACATATCACAATATTGGAACACAGACATTTTACGCGTTGTTGAGCACGTCTCGGTGGCACTCGGCGCGCCGGCTACACGGATGTCAAGCCGAAGTAGATCATCGCTGCAGAGGACGGAATATAATGCGACCTGCTCTTCAGAAATCCTGTATGGAGCTTCCCCCGGTAGCCGGTGTAATATGGAAGAAGTAAGCGCATTATAATCGATGATTGCTCAGCAGAGATCCGTCTAGCCGGCTGCTGCAGGCTGTATTGTGCTGTTAAACGGGAGAGACACCTCCCATTGGTAGGTGCGTAAAGCCGGATAATGCTGAGATGTTTTTATACTTCTCGGTGCGCTTCCATGAATGGGCCCGTCCGTCGCGTGCGACGTACACCGGTTATATTAAATTATAAAAACCCACATATTACTTAACGCACAGAAGTGTAGCATATGGTCATGACATGGAGCAGTAAAGGCACATTATAAGGTATGTATGCTTGGCAGAGGAACGCACTGGGACCGACGCGTCAGACTTCACGAGCGGAATCGCGAAATGGGAAGGTTGTGGCAGCGACTGACAACCAGCGGGATAAGCTGCTCAAGTGGTTTAATGATCCCCCATTGCATTTTAATACGATGCAAATATCGTAGATCCCTACTGTTCTACACGGAATTCACGCGATATAGACGTAGACTCCAGACTACCAGTGTGATAACTGCACAATACACTATACGAGTACAATCAGTAACTGCATAGTTAATTTCAATGGAATACTGGTTTTCAAAACTATTCCGCTGCACGGCTGCATCTCACAATTTTAAATATGGTGTATTATATGTGGTAGAACATTTTATTTTAGCACATATAGTATGTGCTAAAATAAAATAACGTGTGCAAAAAGGTCACAATACGTTGAGCGGTGTGTATATGCATATATGAGATGAGTTGCATAACCCGATCTGTCTGTCAGGTTATTATCGTCTCTAATAAATTACAATAATAACTAATAAGTATGTGACAAAATGCAGAATACAGTCACACTAAAAAAAGCAATTTAAATATAAACAACACAATCAATACAATTGTACAATGCAAACCATCACACCACAATGCACACGATTTGCGTAGTACACGTCAACAGCTGATCAGTTTCACCATCTGATTTTTATTGTGCACACTTGTAGAGTGTCGATTTTTAGTTTTAATAACGAAGCGGTGTTGCACACTTGAAGAATTAAATTTTCGCTTAAAACTTAATGTTGAGCTAGCAGTTGTAAGGAATATGGATTCTGCCGTTGTGGTACTGTACTACAGAGTCCAGAGTATCTTTACTTTATGGGTGTGCTTTCATCTATAAATACTTCGAAGTAATGGTAGAAACTAGAAGTATGCCCATATAAATGTATTTGAGTATAGTTATCGATTGAGTTTCGGTGGATCGTTGGCGTAATAAAAGTAAATTAATCGATATGCATGTATGTAACGGCAGTAACGCTGATAGCACCCGCTGGTGAATTAGAGAACCGTCCGCGCGGTTCTCAGGGGCAATAAAGCAGCTGGTTGTACACATACTGTATATAAATATCCTTCATCCGTTAGCGCCTGCAATATATGAAGGGTCTCCCCGCAGAAGATTTACTGTCAGTGATATGCCGTAGAAGTTGTAGGCTAGGATCTGGGAACGAATTCGATTTTTTGTTGAAATTAGTTCGGTCTTTATGCAGCGCGTGTAGATGGAGTGATGGACGTAGAGCCGGAATAGTGCGACTGAGCATAATAACGGGGCGCCGGAAGTAGGAGGAGCCGCGATGACGTATGCAGTACTATGCACCGAGCATTCGGTAAGCAAAATAGTGCTTACGACTTTGTCAGCAAATAAAGAAATGCAAATTCAGAATTCTATCAGCCACTCTCAAACTGCATAATTTTGCAGTTAGTTCTGGACCTTTCTGCAGAAATTTCTCTAGAGAATAATGACAGAAGTTCTTGATCTTGATTAGATGCTTGTAAGAAGATTGTGGGCTTGTTACTGCGGAAAACCATGTGCGAATATTTTTCGTTTTACTTTACCAGGTTTGCTATCGCAGAAAATAAGGTGCAAATTAAGGGGACCGAGTGGCTACAAACCGCTTAACCAGGCCACAGTTGCAAGTTTGACATCCGTCATCAGTGCATGCTTTCGCGTTTCCAGCTGATCTTTAATGAATCAGGCATCATCTTCCAGCGCGACGGACAATGGGATACAAGCGAGCTGGTATCTGCTCGTGCACCATTGTACTGATTCTGATTGTGCTGCCAGCCGTGACGATCATCGGTGATGTGATCCTGCGCTGGTTATCTGGGGATGATTTTCCCTTGATCTTCCGGGCCTGCTTTGATTCTTCGGTGCACATCTGTCTGGGATGTCTGGCATGGAGTGTCACATTAGTGCAGCGCACCCATGCGGTGCATGTACGCAGAGAGATTCTCTACGCCGGAATCATGTCTGCGCTGATTGATGTTGATCATTTCATCAAAGCTCGATCTCTACATCTGCAGGTAAAATCCGATTAATAGTGTCGTATTTTTATTTCTTTATTTAATTAATGAAACAATAAATCGAAAATTTAATAAGCGAATTAAAAACTCTATCATGACGACAGATTTATAGTCATTATGATTTGTGTACGGTTATTAGTCTTTGTGATTTGGTAGCGTGTTCGGCTCTGTGTTTTACACAGAGCTCTGTATGTGACACAAAGCCCTGAAATTCATGTTTGTATGTTATACTGTTTTTTAAATATGTAAATAGATTTCACTTCATAATTTGGAAGTAACTTTTTGCGGTTTAGGACGCTCTGCATATGGAATCTCCACCGCCTATGCACGACATTGTCATACCATTGGTGCTGTTCATCATATCCATGATATTGTACTGCGTCAACTGGTACAGAAACTTCCGATATCGCCTTCTACAATTCTCCGTCCTACATGCTGTTCATCTCTTCCGCGATGCTGCACGGCGCGGACTGAATGGGGGATTTGTGCCGTCCGTGTTCCCTCCACATAGTCCATTCGGGATGTTCCCGTTTTTCATTCCGTTGTTTCCTCTGTTAGCACGATACATCGTGCTGCTGAACGAAGTTCCCATTGAGGAACGCGAACGTGATCCGCCGACACTAGTCATTACACATCCTTCGGAATCTGATGAAGAGGACGAATACGAGCGCACTTTATTTTACTAAAGCCACTGTTTATACGTTTACAGCAGCCTGGTATTTTAATTTTTAGCTTTTTTTAATTTTAATTAGAAAATTACGTCAGTATTACTGTTTTGCGAGATTGTGTATGTGGATATTAAATGTTTTTGGGTTTTCTAACCCTAAAAGAATTGTTTACGCTAGATTTCTAGTGTATTTTAATACGCTTTTGTGAATTTGCGTAGTGTTAGTTCTGAACAGTGAGTGCCAACTGTAAAGATATGTTCCGGTGCTCTGTTGCTAAAACGATTCCGGTCCGGTGTTCGCTTAGTCCAACAACAATAGCACTGCATTTTTTGAACATTTTTTGGCACCAGTTATCAGGCAAGAAAAATTATTCGTACGTTATAAAATTCTTTAGAAAATACAAGCCGAGAAATCAGCAACAGAAACCACTTCATCATACGCTACCGGTAAAAATCACATATATCCATAACCGGAGTCCCGAATTGAGTACAGCACAGGGCCCAGACGAGGTGTTAGAGTGAATAAAAATCTCAACGTCTACAAAGGAATAAATCAAATCTGTTCACAATAAAAAAATTCCGAATCAGAAGAGTTTTCCGAGGCAGACAAAGCAACTCACTGGCCAATTTCTAAGAGCCTGCTTGTGCGGAAGTCGTCTTTCTACAGTCAGAATGGTCTTGCCCTTGGGTAAACATAAGGGAACATCTGACGTTGATACGGGCGCATAAACGCGCCATGAGGGCGACTATAACTCCATTTGTGCGTAATATTTTCTGCTTGCATCCACAGACTCCTCGTATGTGTAACGTGGTGAATAATTCAGTACGCGCTCCGCTTTAGACCGATCAAAACTCACTCCCATTCTCAAAAACATTATCTGAGCTTTACTTGGCAGTTTAGTCCTCTTCACCGCATCCCAGTCAGGCCAAACCCGCAACAAGAGATTGAAGACGAATATAAAGGTCAACACCACGAAATATATCACAGAAATGGGAACACTGAATCTGGATAAACGCATCCGGCGATCTTCTAAAAACGGTCGCGCAAACTGGAAAGGACTGAGCATCGGAGTGTTATCGGTAATGAAATACGCTTGTCCAGCACAATCATCCGGATGTTCGATTAAACTCTTCAAGGCCTGCACATGCGCCCATGCGACATTCCCCACATACGTCTGCTGGATTTTAGCAGTATCATTATTCCCAAATTGCAGCAAATTATTTCCACCGTTCTGGGCCAGTTTCAACAAAACCGGCACGTTGATACGATCATTTTCTCCATAAAACACTGTTGGTCGCAGCGATATGGTCCTTAAACGCTGGCCATTGGCCAGAGGAAGATTATCGGCGTCTTTGACCATTTGTTCGGCAAACCATTTCGTTTCTCCGTATCCCTTGTACAGCCACTCCGAGGGTTTTGGACAATCATTTTCCGCAGCGTCGACAAGCGGGTTGACGCCTAGGACAGCGTTGACGGAACTCGTGAAGATGACGTACGAAACGTTGGCTTCGTAGCATGCTTCCAGAAGATCCTGCGTTCCTAACAACATAAAAAATGCAGAACGAAGTTAAAACTTTGTGAACGCACACATGAATATAATTTGGTGCTGTCGTTAGGTTTCTCTCTGATCAGTTAAAAATCATAATAATAATTTTATCTTAGGACAACGATATCGGGTGGTTCATTTATATACAGCTGAACGGCTGCAAGCGGCATTTAAGCAAAATTAGCTACAGATTTTCAACCGGACGCTACAAATGTTTTAACAATTGTGAAAGCGTCATCTTGAGCAGCTGAGATTTTTATAAATATTAACGAGCGCAATTGCACCATTGAACAAAGTGAGCGAATCTGCTATCACTGCTATCTCTAATTCTCTAATAAGATGCCTAATGCCGATATTATTATTCATCAAAATTCAACACTTTGTAATTACACGTAAATGTAAAGCGATTTTAAAACGAAATAAAAAATTTTGAAAATTAGATTTAAATATGGCAGTTATGTACTTTTTTCTGACAATTTCACATTCAAAATTTACGAAAATCGTAATTCTGGAAGAGTACGAACCTATTGGCAGAACAAAACATGTGCTGAAAGAAAATGTTAGATGAACGTGTAAAGCAAAAGATGACAAACCAAACCAAAGCAAAAGATGACAAAAGATGACAAACCATAATTACCTACCTCGACAATTGACAGCCCACATAAGATTTTCGCCGGGGAACATTGAGATATCCACAATTCCGGCTAAGTGGAATACACACTGCACATCTTTAACTGCTCGACGAACCGTTGATGCCTTTCGCACATCACCAGTGATGAACTCGATTTCGAAAGCATGATCGCTGCGTCCTGTTAAAACAATTTTGACACTTCGTTTCAATGATAAATGGCACAGCAACAGCAAACGATTACCGTATTATCTAGTTTCCGCATTCCGCATCTGAAAGCTTACCATATCGTTCCCTGAAGTAATCCTGCCCATCAGTAGAATTATCCAAAATTCTTATGATCTTCTTGGCCTCCGTGGTAGTTTTATCGAAGTGCTCTTGGAGAAGATCCACTAAAAATCGGCCTAAACAACCGTTTCCACCTGTGATCAAAACGGTACTCACATCCGATAGAGACATGATCATGATGTACGCAGATGTCCGCTATCAAGAACGACAGCAAACAAATTTGACAAATCACATCAGGAATCGCTAACAAATACAGCGGAATGAAAGCGGAAAATAAGCCCAAAAAGAAAAAATTCAAAAGAAGTTAGAAGTACTAATTTTTGCTTAACCCCACGGCGGTTTACGCTGACTGACAACTTCATACGGCAAAACAAAATCTTATTTGGCTCACAGCGCACTGTTTACAACTCTAGTCAGTCGTACCGGTACAGAGTCTGTACTACTTTGTACACCGGAAATCAAAAATTAATGTAATACCTCGTAATTACAGTTAACATTATTACGAGCAACAGGTATCTAATATCTATGTGCACGAGTGTCGTCTACATTTCGAGACACGTAGTCAAGCAAAATACAAATATAAATAATATGAATCTTATAATAATACAAGTACAAGAAAGACTTCCGCTTACGGAGGAGCCAGGTAATTTCACGTGAACTTAGCAAGAATAACGTTCCAAATTCCAAGCGCATAACATTGCCATAAAAAGTGCAGACAATAAATACAATTCACCGGAAACGGTACTTAGCTAGTTAATGAAGTTCTGTAACCATCAATTTGCAACTTTCTTTGAATGACAACAAGCGTATCGTATAGTAGTTTACTGTGGCTATCACGTATTTGTTTATAAAATTATGGTCTGCTGGACTATCATCCGCCTCACCCGTAATTGTTCGATTAAGTCAATAAACAGCGACAGATAAAAGCTGAAGACTATACTCGTAAGTTGTGAATGCTTTGTTTCCACGAATCAGAATACATTTTATTTTATACAGAAAGTAAAACACGAAGCATTTTCAAGACAAAAGCAACAATTGCACAGGCTTTTCAGATAGTAAAAGAAAACAAAGCCAAGAAAACATCAAAGAGTTAACAGAGTAAAATCTCCAGAATCAACCAGCATCAGGAGGCGAATAAAAGGGGACGACTATTACAGCAAATTAACTTCTCAAAAGAAAAAAAACTCTGCTCTCTACACCGGAGCAAGAATACCAGCCAGATCAAATGAAAACGGAAGAAACAAAATATGTTTCTCTGGCCGTTTTTCGAAAAATTCAGCAGCCAGCATTCTCGCCAAGGTATCAAAAAACATTGCCACCGAAAGTCGCGTATTCGGGACATTAAGCAAAAAAGAACATGGCTTCTCTCTAAACGCTAAAGATGATAAAATCGCTTAAAAAGGACACAGATAATAGAAAAACAAAGTGTGCGAATTGCTCCACCACCTGGCGATGCGACAGCGTCCGATGAAACACAATAACGAATAAGATATGTCCAAAATCCCAAAAGCAGTGCAAAAATGTCATGTCCATAGGTAAAATGACGGAAGATCCAAATGTCCCAAACAAAACATTCGTCCCCGCACAGCTGCGCCGGAACCGGCGTCCACGGCGACACAACGATAACGCAACAATAACCAGTGTGCATCAAATCGGATGAGGTTTAGTTAATGCGAGGGGAGAAAGAAAAAGGGAGTAAAACCGCGCGTAAATTACAGGCAAAATTTAAATATACACGAATTAACTACAAACTGTATACAAAGCTCTCTGTGTGTCTATCCGAAGATAAAATCTCTCTGTTAACTTTTCGCCGACAAGGATAGCGCGACGAACAACTGAAGAAATTTCTTTCCCCCGCGTTTTTGTCGATCCATCCAGTCGCAGCCGTCCACATTCCATTAGAAGAGACCAGAATTAAAATTCCATTTCAGGAGAACAAACAGCAAACACTTTCTCTGTATAGAAACTTTATGTCGAGAGAACTGTCGGGGTCACGTGATCCGTGCGGCACGCGGTTCAGGCTACGCGATCGCAGGGGAACAGCTCGCGGTGCAGCGGCGGGATCTGGATGTCGATGGCCGAGGTGTAGAGCCGCTTGAAATTGCTCAGCAGTACCAGATGCTCGTTGCTGAGATCACGGAGTGTCTCCAGCTTGTACGTCAGCCGCTCGTAATACGACTGCTCTTCGAAGCGCTTCGTGCGCAACAGTTCCGTCCGTAAGGCAGCAATGATTTGCTTGTGAAGGAAGTCGATTTCCGGCAGGTCCCGTAAACCTGGTCGATCTGTTAGCGAGAAAAAAAGGTCAACTTTTTAATTTGTCAGAAATCATTTGCGGCAAGCTGTGGCAAGGAGAAATCATACAGCATCAACCCTATTTCCACCCAGGTGTGTATATCGTGTAGAATTTTAGTTAAAAAAATATTACATCCGTTAATTTCTAATTATTTGGCAAATACCTGGCGACATGAGGACCGCCGCACTGAATAGTGCCAGCTCTGATTCCGTTAAGTTCATGTCAATAATTGACTTGGCAAATTCGAAGATCTTGGTAACAAACTGGAACTCTGCGCCCTCAGCTGTAAAACAAGAGATTGCACCCGTATAATTAACCTTTACAATGTAATTAATAAACGTAGTGTTTAGCACATACCACTGTGGTGGAAAATCTCAATGGGAACAAATGTGTCGCCGTAGAGGACAATATTGGCTGTCGGATCATAATAACGACTGACGCGCAGTACTGCTACTTCGAAACCACCTGCGATACCCAAATCGTAACGTTAATAACCGAATTATCTTATTAACACGAATCACTTATTTACCTGATTTCAGCAGGATAATCTGATCTTCTTGACGAAGGTTCATAAAGCCAGGCAGCAACTTGGCAAATTCGATAATTTGCTGCAGTACGTCGGTCAGTTTCGTGGCACAATCCAACCAGACTTGGAGACGCGACTGCAGAACAGAACATCATTTTCTAATTAGACTGTAAAAAAGTAAAATTAGTAGTATTTAGTTAGTGAAATTATTGTAGTTAATCATCTCAGACTTGTACCCAAAGGAACCCGCTTTGTGTAGTTAGAAAAGATCAGCATAACCAGACATTACCATATCTTGGAATGTATTGAATCCCTGACTATCCTTGCCATCCCACTCGGTGCGGCGCAGGATAACTTCCTGATTGGAGAACATACAGGTTTTGTGATGGGCATCCAAAACCACCCGTGTCAGTCGCTCTGTGAAATTCCGGGACGAATTGGGTAAAACCGATAATTGTACGATACTGTACATTCAACTGCAAAGCAGATTAAGTATACACACCTGTATTGAAAAGCATATGCGCTTCCGAAGGCAGCGTCAGGTGTCCCGGTGTACTGCTACCAACAATGTCCTGCTGTGGAGGTGAATGATGGCGGTCGATGGTGGTGCTGTCGGGACGTTCGCTGATATACGGGGCCATGTCCGAGAGATAGGTCATCGGCGGGTACGAGCTCATCACTCCGTTGGGTAGACCGAAATTGGGAGTGTACGGTGGCGGGCTAGACGACTCGGAAAATCTGCAACACACCGGCTCAAATTATCATGTTATTTAATTTTATTAAATGAAGAAATTTAATAATAATCATTCCAGTATACGTAAATTGTGATAAACACGTTAGCAATAAAGCACGATTGCATGTCCCATTACGCGAGTTGTTGTTTTTTTTATTATTTTACGGAAACTGCTTTGTATCTACATATTGATTGTGCCATCTACAATCTTGATAGCATAATTTAAATTAAAAAAGTCTGAATTATTTCCGCAAAAGGGAAATTCACAACCGTGCAGGTTTTCGCCGGGTCACTGTTTATCAGAGTTGTTCGTTACATCGATTTCCCTAAATTCAAGGTGCGTTTTCAGTAATTATCTTCTTTGGTATACTGTAGTTTTTATCAAATGAGGAACAGTGATTATTACTGATATAATTGCAGTGAACATCAGAAATTCAAGACAGCAGTCACTTTTAGCAAGATAAGTTAATGCTACTGAACAGCAGCTGTAGTACAGGATCTGGGTCAAAAGTTTACGTTGTCGCAACATGTCGTGCCCGGCTGATGCAGCTCGCTAATGATGAGCAATTCATACATTCTCACGCTCAACTTCCATTTACGAAAATTAACGAAACCTGTCCCAAAATCGTTAACCGCAGTGGAACATCGTTAGCGCTAAAAATAATTATCCTAATGACTGTATTTGATACTGCGATTGCTGGTTACCGTCACAATACAATCAACTACAGTACAAAGGAAAATTAATATTTTATCAGCAGAATATTACAAAAACTTATACTCTTTAACTCACCCAGAGGATATCGGCGTGGAGCTGGTCGGCTGATTGATATCATAAGTACTGTCCGGGATCGGATGACCGTTTCGAGACGCTTCGTTAGCTTGTGCCGTGCGCATGTTGTTCATGCGATGGAACGTCACTTCCGCCTCCACCTTCTCCCGTTGTTTCTTTGACATCCGCCCGAACTTGACCGCTACAAAAAACCAGATCCAAATGCACCTCCATTACAACAGAGTTTTCTGTACAATTTTTATACTGACGGTGAACAGCGCTTACCATCCCGCGACATGCCCAGTCTCATGCATTTCTGCAGGCGACAGTACTGGCAACGATTCCGATTCACGCGATCAACGATGCAATTCCGATTTCGAGGGCATTGGTAGTTGACTGTAAAACGGTCAAAAGAACTGGTTTTTATCGAATGCCTATGATGCAACAGATAACATAACTAATTGTAAGGACAACTACTGTACCTGTGGAGGACTGGCTGCGGCGAAAGAATCCCTACAACACAAAAAGTAGCAATCGATTGTCTGCTTTGTACATAGCCTGGTAAAATGTTTTAACGTCAAAATAATTTAAAATTCTGTAATATTGGTATCTGTATGCTCAAAGAAACTTGACACAATTGCCACAAAATTTTTTAGTTTGTAATAAGCGACATTTAATTATACCGATTACAGGCACCAGAATCATTTCCAATTTTGTTGCAATTTTATTAATTCAATATACTGTGCATAATGCCGTAATGCTTGTGTTAGTTGTGTACCGTAGTATAATTATTCATAAGGGTGTCATAAATGGGATACAACAGGTTGTTATCGTAGTAATAGTTTGTCAACAAAACGATACTTTACGTCGAACGTACCTTGCAGCCCTCGCAGGTGATCACCCCATAGTGGACGCCCGACGACTTATCACCGCAGACTTTACATGGAATAATCTCTATCTGAGCTGTAAACAGAAAGTTGGTTCACACATGGGAACTTGGAAGACGCGCATACGATAAGGACCGGCTACTGTAGTTGACCCATTAAACAATATTTATCAGTTAACCTCTGATTCGCAAATCAACAAAATATTACATTATTGAGGTCACAGATCTACGTAAGCCCCAACCGGAAATGTAAACCCATAGTTTCCTGTGGCGCCGCAGTACGACTATCAGAACTGTGTATGCAAATCCACAGTAAACCATGAAATTTTGAAAAACCGGAAGCATGCAATGCCATGACGTGACCCACATTTCCAACAGGTATTTTTTAGCTGCCTAATTGCAGCACACGAATTATCCGGCCATTGCGTTGAAGGTGTCAAAAGTGTTATGTCATCATATGACATATCGTGCATTGCCATAGGATGGAAAATGATAATTCGGACACACAACACACACAGACTCCGCTGCCGATGATGGTCAATGTGTAGCTGGGATGATCAGTATTACGAACGACATTAAATCATAAAAAAAACCGGTAGCTATTCACTACCGGCAGAGATCTCGCGTAATTTCTCTATATGATGGAAAACCACACACTAAGCGAACGGGTAGCTGCGTTGACTTCAGCTGGTACGCTGACACCAGCATGGCAGCACTAACCAACGAAAATGACTACTGCACACGAAATGGTCATGGTCTTGCACCAAAGTTGACCCACTAAACTACGTCCGCCTTTGCATCTTCGCTACTTATCTCTTCTACCAACTGCTACGACCATATATACATACTGCATACATAGTCCGTCCACAACGTAAGATGCAGTTTGTCACCAACTTCTGACTCCCCCAGAACACCCAGTCTCTGCTCTGCGTAGCGTAGTGCCTTTTGTTTGTAGTCTCAATGAACAAATCAGAAAAGAATCGCGGAGAGTACTGAGTGCTGCGTACAGTTCCGGTATGCTCCCTACTCATGAACTGACCACCACAGTCGCACTACCGGTATCCTCAAGAAAAAGGTCACCCGCGAACAGGCAGATCCGCTTAGACACTGCCGATCAACAGGAACTACTCGCCATTCTGCTAATATTTCATTCTTGACTTTAACGACTTGGTTTATTAAAAGAAGCATCTTTAATGTTTAAATTCAAATAATAATGCAATAGCTGTGTCGTTTTTGAAGTTCCACCTCGAAACCTGTAACGTAGATCATAACTCCTTACGCGTATGCAGGTTCATAATTCCTTACGCGTATATGTAGTTAATAATTATTGCGCTAATTTATTGTTAGTACCGCAGTTCCAGCCCTTCGAAGTATCATGAAAATCTAATCCACCGTTTTATGAAAATTATGTGGTGAACACACCCCTGAAACGAATCGTGTGGTACAAACTAAAGACAGTACAAAGAATATTTTTTCTGCAACTTATTACCGCATAGCTGCATTAGCAGACCGGATCTACACTTTGATGCGCCTGCATCCATCGTGCATGACCAATCGCCAACCATGGCATGCATCTTCATCAAGTATCTGAGCTCTAAACAATTAATAAGTACCTCAAGGAGAAGATTCTGCCATATTGCTTCACCACGATAAACGCCTCTTCTGTTTTGCTTCAGCCACTATGTCGACCCAGATTGTCCAAGCAGAACCGGCTACAAGTATTGCTCAGCTAATGGTATACGCAAACCCTCAAAATTTCACTAAATACTTTTCTATTTCGAAATCTAGCTAACAGTGATCAACTATATATTCGGCCAGCAACACGATTTCCAAGCCGACTACAATAGAAAAAACACTCCTCCAATTACGTAAGCCACGGCTGCTCAAAAATTGTTCATCAAAAATTCCGACAAACAGTCTCACTGACCCAGACCTCATTTCGCATCGAAACGATAAAAAATGCTATGAATAATGTACAGGCTAGATGCCTGAATTTACGCATGTGTAGCCTTCTTTCTCAGAAATATTTCCATGCATGACCACCGGGAAGTAATCCGATTCAAACAGAACATGCTGTACTTCTACTTTAATTGTGCAATTAACGCTGGCCACAACAATGCACAATACTGCATAATATTATTGCAGCATGCAAATATGCAGATGAACCGCGACAGTCACAGTGACAGTTTGTGTTAGAATTTTGGAAATTTAAATAATTCACGATTGAAAACTGACCACGAAGCAACATGCACGGATAAAAATGCAATCGTGAAACGGGAATATTCGTTATGGAAGCTGCACAAAGATGTCGTACCAAAAATTGACCAATCATTTAATTTCAGCGAAAAGTTGCACCATATTATGTTGCATATGCGGAAAAATAAAAACTACTGAACCAATAACATTAGTCACTGTTTTCAAGCTATCTTTACAACTGAGAATGTTCGTTGTTCTAAAAATTAAAAATGACAACAAGTTAAGACGAAGAAGGTGTTTTCTCGGATTACAACCTCATTTCAATGTCGTACCATCCAGTCAAGTGCAATAGACAAGCGAGATTCCTTCACAAATATACTAAGTACTAAGCAAGAAACACAAAATACGATAACGGTGCACACGAATATACACTAACAACTTAAATTTCCTTTATAAAACTACAAAAGGGAATACGTGGGGCAAGCGCAAATAATGGTAATATACAAGTATACATACTTCATAACAGATATATATAATAGTTATCAAGTGCCTATAGTATTCCAAAATTACCAATTATCACTCAATCCCTGCTTATCGGTTTCACGTTAAAGATGCAGTTACAGCCGCGTGTGCAATCAAATCAGGAAGAGCTCTTTTTTACATTGACCACCGCAATGTTGTCTGAAATGGCGGAACAAACTTCTAGTCGGTTGCATTTCCGGTATACTTGATTTTCATTTAGGCTCTGCTCCAACAAATGCGCCAAACACCACGAACCGTGTGTGTTTGTAAACACAAGTATCTCTACGGCATATTTATCCTGTTAGTACATACAAGTGACTGATGAAGGTAAAAATGCCGGGTCCTTTGGCATGCAGCATAGCGCTTACCCTAGCCGCATCATATAGCAATATTCAAAAATTTTTGTCGCTTGCCAAACCGCAACAGTCTGTCAAGCTTTTTCCGTTTGTACAGATTACTTTACATGGATTGCTTACGTCAGGGTTCAATGCCCTGTCCTGCCTGTGCCGACTGCAGAGCCATTTTGGCGTCGTATGAGTGTAGATCTATCTATATTTTGAAAAAGTCGATTTTTAAATTTAACAGCTTCTACTCCTGTCTTGGCGACCGAGCAGTCTGCGGATCGATAAAACTGGCATTATTGCACACATACGCCGGTGCCGCAGCCCGCCGTCGCCACTGGACAAGGATGAAAATTTGCGCCAGGGACTGCCGAAATGTCTTTCGCTATCTTTATAACACTATTTGAACACCCACTCGGGTCAACATCTCTCCATTAGTCGAAGATGTTCACACAACACTGCAGCCTTTTCTTATTTAAACGCTTTTTTAAAAATCTACAACATAGCATTTTTGGAGATAAGAGAAATACTATCGCTCAAAATCCAGTGCCAAAAAGACACAACTTTAGCAGTTCATAAGAATATTATTCATATTGTCACTGTTACTTATTATTCAAGTAAAACGGCGTTTACTGCATCCCACAGTTTTTGGAAACGTAATACTTAATGAAAAAAATCATTTTACTTTCCAAACATTTAAAATGAAATGCGCTGTTTTCCACCTTCCTGGTTAAAAAATCGTACTTCCGCTTCCCGAACTCGCACTCACAGTGGATGTGAAATTCGGTAGGCGCTCAGTTGTAACGAACTCGTAGAGTCGTAGTTCGTATATTAAGCTAACTGTAAAGTTTAATCAGTGCTAAACCCTACTTCCATTAATTTAGTCCTGTGGTCCACAAGCACAAAACACGTATTCGATGCTCAAGATAAATTTAATGTCAGGTTATCTCACTCTGGTATCTCGCGAGCATGCGAAATTTGGATCACTTTCTGAATAAAACAAACCAAAACTTTCAAGCTATGTTTGCCTATAGTTAGTAAATCTAGGGAATCTACTTGACGGCTGAAAAACTACCGTTTGTGACTGCCTCTGTATTCCAAAACCGACAAAGTCAACTAAAAAGTATTATAAAGCGACAAAACTAGCAATTGGTAGCTTTCTAAGCTAGGAACAATTATTTTATAGGAGTACTTCCGTACCTGCGCTGGTATACTTAACAGTGCTATCTATAATATCTACATATCTGGCGTTAAATTCTGCCGAGAAAGCATACTGAACAATAACTACTGAACAATAAATGGTTTAACAATAGCTGCTTTTAAAATGGTTAACAATATTGGCACCGCCTGCATACGTTTTCTGGTTTATACTTATTTTAGCGTAAGAATTAAAAACTTGCTCTAACTTGTAAGTTTTCAGTGACGGTAAACAAGGAAATGCTTAATGAATGAACATAAGCACCAATATTTGCCGGTAAATTTATTACCAGTGAGAGAACGGTACTTCGGCTATTTGACTGATTGCTGAAAGCGTACAAAAGTACTATACAGACCGGTAATATGACCGGGCGATAATCAGTGATACGAAACGAAATGCCCTTCACTGTACTCTAGGCTAGTGAAGCAGCAGCGACTGCATAATAAAAAATAAAAAATTACCAAATTAAGTAAGTTTTGAAATCTGCTAACAACGGCAGTGAAAGTAAAGGTTTTCTGTATACATATCGCTCACAAAGAGCTAAGGATCTAAAAAAATTAATATATGCATAATAATTTGGCCACACACTCCATAAATATTTCGAACATTCTCAAATTAATTTCCTGATTCAGTTAACATATTTATGATACGAAACAACCACAACGGCATTAGTACCTGTAGAGTTTTTCATTGTAGATTGCCCCTTCAGTTTGAAGACTTCGGCAAGAAACTGTGTCAAAGCATCTGATCCCATTCAAACTTGTGCCAGGAGTCAAGGACAACAAAATCACTAGGCGTTACGGAAAAACCTGACCGACAAGCGCCGTATTTCGTTCGCTAAACTTTGCAACACGGATGAACGTTAGCAGGCAAATTATTTACTACCGTTTGATTGTTCTGGTCTATTGAATCGCTTACCAAACATTACGAGACTACGATTTTAATACACGTGCTAACTCTAACCGAACGTTGTGTGTTGTGTTGTAAAACCTATTGGATTCGCCAATACCATCGTACTGCAGGAGCAATACCACCGGACGAGTACATTGCCCTTTCCGTCTACCATATATAACACACTACTGTCATATGGCACAAGCACACACATTCATTCCGCAATCGATTTATGTGTTGCACAACTGCGCCGATGCGCCTGTGAATATTGTAAGAGTCAATGGCCCGACGACTGGTGAAGTACTTGAAACGATCGATTTCTTGTCTTCCCGAACACTTCCACCGGCGCTAACGTCCAATAAGATAACGGAATTTATAGGCCCGACTGTTGTCATTGAGCAATACTGCGCTCGGCTCCAATGAAGAAATCGTGAGTTTATCGTATCACGCTGACTGTGCCGGTATTATAAACCGCAAAAACGTTTGCATGGAGTCCCTTCCCTGTGATTCAAATGTGGCGTAATATTTCTTACTAACAGAGAGCGCCTATCGGCCGCACCGATACAAGCCGGCACTCTCAGCTGATAAACGCCTTACGCGCGCCGAGGTCCCTGGCCTCCGGTAGCCGCAAGTCGTTGACCGAATTTGTCAACAAACAAATGAACTTGAACGTTTTCCAGATCGCTTCCTGTCATTCGGTATATTGTATACATCCTTCCTAACGTACGCAAATCCGTAGAAATGCTCAGCTCCCACCAATCAGAAGGCTTATTAAAAAGAGTCTATATTTACACAAGCAAAATGCCAGTGTTTCGCCAGAAAAGCGGGTCGGTCTAATATTTGACCCTGAATGTTGTACATTTTTTGTTGAGTCATTCGGGGTGAACAACCTGGTTGGGAAGATGCACCCAACAATGTGGTACCCAGCCGTTTTCTTACTTACATCAGTTTCGACTTTCGAGTGCCTTTTTGGCATCATGAATTGTTCAGAGCGAAAGTTCAGCAGATTATCGTAACAGATAGCAAAATTCTACTCTTCCTGAACGATTTCGTACCTTTGAAATTTGAACAACATCTACCGTTCTCACACGTAGCTATTAATTTTCAGAAGATTGCTAACAAAAGTATTTTTGTTGGCCAATATTATAAATTTTTCTCAGCCGTAAGCAGTTAAAATCGAACTTCTGTAAAAACACGTCAAGGCACTAGCAAATTTTCCAGAAAGCATTAAATGTTTTGAGTCTTAGGAATTTGGAGATCGACAGTAGTTCTAATCTTAATTCCAGAAGCAACATTTCTAGCGCTATAACAACATAAATAACGAAAATCAGTAATAGTAACTGCAGTCAGCATTCAGTAATGATTTTTTCAGTCAGTCGTAGCTGTATTTCACCATTCACCCCAATCTGCTGAATTCCTAAGTAGTCCTTGTCAAGCTGACCATACCGTGGCAGTGGCTGCGCCATAGACCCGTTTCATAAAATTGTTAATAACAACAATAGCAACCCGTAGGGTGTTTATGTTAAACGAGGTTAAAATTAATGTAAAATTTTTCAGTTGGCTTATTGTGACCGCTGATAGAGTAAGCAATTTTATTCGTGATGAAGTATTTACTGCACGTATTCATATATGGGTACCCAAAAACTTTTTGCAAAAACACGGTTGAAATTAAGAAATTAGTGCAGAAGAAGTTAGAACGAAAAAATTACTTAACATCTTTCTTAAGGTAATGTGTGCAAGTTCTTGTACAGGAGTAACGATGGGAAAAAGTTCACATGAGTGCAGCCCAGTTGTCTGGCTTGCTGACGTCACGCCTAAGTTCATTCCTCATTTGTTGCACTTGCGCGGGCATTGACCCACACCAACCACCACGTGCGTCTCGCATACATTGCATAGCCAATGTAAGTACTACTACAGCGTACACCGCACGACCGGGATGCCTGGCATTGCCCGAAATTATTCCCTAAACGTGCCACCCTTCCGGGACATCACGTACGCTGCCTGCTTGAATCTCTTCCTTATAGGCAGCGCCATGAGCTATGAGGAGCCGGCAATACGATATCCTATGTACGCCATGCGTATAGCTATAGTATAAAAATGACCAGCCTAAAGGAACGAAAGGTTATTGACACCTCCCGTAAGGCTGCAGTAATTCTCGTGGCGGGAGTGATTACTACCATATTCCCTTTGCGCTAGCCTGACAGGTAATCCCGATGCCGTTCGATATCGTTAACTTGGCTCACGGTATCTAGAGCACCCACCCGAACTGGCCTTTCCAAGCGCAAGACCAAGCTTTCATAATCTCCTATCTCATTGCACTATTATATGAATGATTTCATACACTCGCCAATATGTTTCGAAAAAACCATTGAAAAAATGTTATAGTATGCCGAATACCTGAAATTTTCCCACTAGGAACCAGACCATTGTAACTGCCAATACAAAAACGAGAGAATATAAAGTTACCGCGCCAACTACGCATTTATTATTTCAAAAATTTAAATTAAGTTATTTAATAATTTGCATCAGCTACCTTCGATCAGAATTAAATTACAACTGCAACGCGAAAACATATATTTATAATAATTACTAATGCAAATTCTGCATGGATTCGTGAAGCAGAAGCATGCCAAGTCTCAACGTGTCCCAACCAGAAAAGCACGGAAGTTCCAAAGTGTAACCCGGAAGTTATGTACCACGGCGCACTCTTATTAATTAAATCTAACATTATTTAACTTGTACAGTTGATACATATTACAGACGTATGAGAAACCTTATTGATGAAAATAATTGTATCCAAATTTCATCACAGATAAACCAAAAAACGCGCCTAACAAAGTGAGCATCAAGATCAAGGTACAAGCCAACGCTCTTGGTGCACACGTGAGGGCAATAACCCCTAGACTACGCACAACTACATTATGCGGTTGGCCCGGGTTGGGATGCTCGTACGCATGCAACAACGCCCAGCCCAACGTTCCGGCGTTCTCGCTCGCCGCTCGCGGACGTAAAATTTAATAGATAAAATTTAAAACTGCCGATAAAAATACTATGTAATAAATTTTCGTTTTGAGATACAAAATGCAGTTAAAGTAACTTAAAACCAAACAATGTCAAACATTTCCAGGTGTCGCTACAACACCAAACGCCGGATGCAAAAGCAAAAAACGACCGTGAGGCCGAAGAGAAGTGACCGCGCACCTGCACTTGCAATATTACGCCAGATCACCTCATGAACGAATGAGGCCATGTAGATATACTCGAATTCATGTTCTTACAATCGTAATATAACATAATTCTTTCTCGCAGCTTCTTTTGCCGTGGGCTAAATTTGAACCTCAACAAAGCCGACATTACGTTTTCCAAGCTAATAAATTTTTATTATTTTTTTGCAAAACCCTTGCTATAAAATTCTTTAGCTGGAATTATCGGAACACATTTCATAGTCAAATATCAACAGAAAAAAATTACCTTTAATATTCGTGGACATCACTGCATACATAAGTAATCCGCTTTTGACAATGATCACCGATGAACATGTTAAAACTACCGGTACAAGATCTCCAGATTTCGCATTGGGCAAGCAAATGTACGGCTCGAAACGCAAAAGAAAGGAAAACTTTTGAGATCAAGGCACAGAAAAAATTCTGCAAATTGTTATTAACGAAGAAGAGTTTAATGTTATAATGCTCGAAACATAAATGTCCGATGACAAGTACAGCCCAAAAACTGCACGGGAAACAGTGGGGCTGCAAAACGCTTTACGATTGGTCTAACGGGCTGGGTGGTCCAGGTCAGGATATACGCAACGGGTAGCTTAATAATGGATGGAACAAGTTCGTAGAGCTAGCCCGGATCGTAGAGCCGCTCGGCTACCGTGAGACGCCATCGTTCGATCTCAAAGAGGACACTAAGGGCACGTACTCGTACATACAGTACGCATTCAGAAATATCGCTGATAACGCTTTCGGTCATCAGTTTTGCTATGTGGAATATAGCACTCGAACTGCGCCGATAGGTGAAGTTACGTACGGTGAATCATCGGCTGTAAGGCCCGAACGGTGCAATACCAGCACACACACGTACCGCTCAAGCGCCCGCTCTGAATGGCTTTTTTGGTACTATAAGACATCCCGCCCATTAGACCTTATGCGTCAGTGCACACCCGGAAATGAGCGCACGTGGTTTAAAGTCGAGGTCATCCAATGAGTGACCAGCAGGCGGGTGGTGCTATATTATGCCAATTCTGGTACCGTACTCTTTGGCTGGTCTTCCTGAATAAGTTAAAAAAAGAGTACTCAACGAAGTTAAGTTAAGTCACGTTAACTAGTTATGTATTTATAACAGTTTAAAGTTTTAGTACAGTAACGCAGAAATGTATATTAAACTTTTTTTACCATGGTTTACTAGAATCTGTTAACACTATTAAAATCTCGAACTGTGCACAAAATATAAGGTTTCGAAAACTTTTATATTTAACTTTCGAAATAAATGTGGGCGATGGGCGTAATCGATGTCACAATGTGCATGCAGCATCAAGTTGTTACTAAATGTGCATCTGGACTTTGTAACATCTATATACTATATATATATCTGTTACGTGAATTAATACACTCACTACAGATAAGTTCAATAATACGATATTACGCTTAACTTGGCAATTTAATTGATTATAGTCGAAATTTAATAGTAGTAATAAAGTGTGGGAATTAACTTCTAATTTATTTTTCTATCAGAATCTGATGCCATTGACAGCGCCGTTTTCATTTTTCATTATCGTCCCGGGAGAATACGAGTACTTGTATATAGCGTCGTAATACGCGCCCGTTTGTCCACAAATCACGGCATTCGGGTGACCCTTAAATATGTGTAAATATAACCAAAGCAATATAAACTTTAAAGAAGAAAACTTAAAAGAAAAAAGTAAGAAGAGAAACTTTAAAGTAAAATAAATTAAATAATTGTTTAGTAAAGTTACTAAAGTACAGTACTCTATTGTAATACAGTAGTATCATTATCTACAGATACTGCTTACTTACTTGTTGTTATGCGCATGAAGGTGGTTTAACTTTTTTATTACGAACAGTAACGTCTTAGGTAAGTACTTACTTAATGTTGGCAAAAACATCTGATCTTAAACTAATTTACAAACCACGATTTACAATTATTGTAGTCCAGCCGTGGAAATACGCAAAAAAATGCTGCATAGCTACTGGTACCCATACTCCGCGGCATGGGGAATCGATACCAAGCAAAAGTTCTCTTGTCATAGAACCGGAAACCCTTTATGGCGGCTTTACGGTCGCGCTGGTGCGGCAAATGACTGGGGTTAACATGTAATTGCAAATTGAGTCTCCTGCGGCCTGTGCACTGAAGGAAATTAAACGATCCACAAAACACTTAAACTGTTAATTAAAGCTGTTCTCTAATGTCCCCAACCATGTTTAGAGAAAATTATGTTCAGATAACAATATGCATGCGACGATGCGACCGTCAACCGTGTATACGGTATTATAAATCTTAATAACAATGCTGCAATACCAATATAACAAGGAACAGTGTAGTTATACGATATTTATTGTTAAATGTTAGTGGTCTTGGTAAAACCACAGAGAAACCGACCAATGCTGCTGTTCGGTTCCTCTATGGTAAAACTCGTATTTAATATTAGGATTCCACTGACCTTTGCCTCTGGCGCTAAAGGCATTGATCTGGAGTGGTCCTTGCTTTTTCCCAACCCGAGTAAAACAGCTTGTAAAAAAACGTTAGCAAAGGTTATTTAAAGGCCCAAATTGAGACACATCCGTTCACCTATAGCGGTAGTTAGTAGTTACACGTTCAACTTACACGCTTTTTTCTAAGTTGTTTTACTCGGGAAAAGAGACAGAGGCATACATGTCCCTTCATTCGAAGGGACATTCAGGCATTCAAAAGGACAGGTCCCTTCATTCCCTTTGGCCTTCTTTCAAAGGTCACTGTTTACCGCCATTATATCCAAAGTAATAATTAAATTTTGTATATATATGATTATGAGTTCTATCGTAACTATAGCTATAGATGTACTTATACTCGTACATCTTTAACAGATTGTTGTTTTCGAAGTTTTTTTCGTTGACGGCGTCCAGCGCGTCCGTTATCCATGGCCTGGCGCTTATCTGTTCCGAATTTCCGATCCATTAATTCACAATCGGGTGAGATGGACATCAACTATACAATGAACTAATAATTATGATCTGTGTTTTCGTCGGCGCACCCGGAACACTAATGCATTATGCGACATTTAGTCGCGTAATAACTCGATACAACCCTTCTCGTATTCCTCCGTATAATTATTTAAAAACAGAAGTATCACTAGAAGTATAAACAAACAAACACGTAGGCATAACGTTAATTTATTTTAAATACCTAGGCACGAAAACGGATAGCAGCGCAGTACGCCCGAATTCGCTAATTGCTGTACATGCACCCAGCGGTGTCCATTGTCGACTGTATGACATCTAACGAAGTACTTATTTGTATTTACAGAATACAGCTATTTAAGTATTTTCCTCTTAGTTTTTATTGTTCACTGCTTTATGTATTAGCGTAGCAGTTCAGGGGAAAATTTGCACCGGCACGGTTGGGGAGGCACGGCTGAATAATAATTCATTATAATTGGAACATTTATTGGATTCCTTTCCCAAGTTTTGAACTTTTTTTAGTGCACCGCATCTCGAATGTCGTGTACTCATACAACAGACCAAAAACTAAATCTGAGATCTTCCAGCCCAAATAAATTATTTTTATGCAGATGAGACATCAAGTGGTCGCTAGACTACCTACGGGTAGAGTTGCTAGACACTACGTATACATTCAAAAGTACAAGCCAGCCGGCTACAACGATCAGGGTCGAGATTTCCGAAATCAAGTGTCGGCTAAATAATTCAAATAAAAAAAATCAGACAAAAGCTTTCATAGTTATAGTAGTATTACAATTTATCAGCCACTGCCGCCCAATGGCATTGTCCACAGCCATTGTCAACTACCGGTTGTGGCACTTTCACGAGCAAAACTCTTCCCACAATTTCACCACTGCTATCAATGTAGTGTAGCCCGTATCAAGCTTCTTGATCGATGCTGTAACTGCCAATAATTTGCCTTTAACATTTTGATCTGATGTCGGAAACCATGCCTTCGAAATTGCAGAATATGCTAATCAAGCAAGTAATCATTTTGATTAAACCGATTCACAAAGCCTCCATAATCCATATACGCCAGGGGCAGGCATTCTTTCCAGCCAAACTCTCCAGTCCCAGTGCTGTTTCAGCCTGTCTGTGCATCGCCATGAGAGTGTGATACGATAACTGATAATTGTGGTAAAATGTCGTGATTTTATCAAGTAGTCAAACATAAGGGGATGCTTGTGCAAACCAAAAACTCAATTACTTTATCAGGCTAAAGATCATGCATGCAGAGGACTGACTTTAAAAAACAAGATCCATTCAACTCAGCATCGACAGCTGATGGTCCGCCGTTGAGGAACGTTGCAAAACATGTACAAAACTAAAATACACAATAGACAATTTGGGCACTCTTCGACCGTAGCATTGGCCATAGCCATATCCTTTGGTCTTGGACCGATTGTCGGTCCGAATCGTCTTTAGCTACGGTTTCAAAGCTACGGCACGGTCAATGCAGAGCTGGCATTGACCGTAGAAAAGACAAACTACGGTCATCCTCTTTCTCCCTCTGCCTTCGCAGCTGAGTACAACTGCCTACGGGGAGCCAAAATCAGAAATGTTCAAAAAAGTATGCAGATTTTTCTGGGATGTTTAAGAATGTTAACAGTAATTGTTTTCTATTTTTAAAATGACTTCAAAACGAACCATCAGAAGATCATGAAATTTCCATTTGTAGCGCATCAACTCAACTCCCTGTAAAAATCGCATCGTGCCTCGCTTCCGATCTGGCACGAATTTCAAAATTCAAAATACCCGCTTTTTATGTAATTCGACAAACTTCGACATAGATTTGCAAGATTACAGTCCGTGCTACACTTTTATTCTCCACAAGGAAAGGATTTTTATTGTTAACAATAAAAATAACTTATCCTATCCAGCAGTAAAAAGACCCTGACTGGCGTAGAAGTTTCGCGTGTCTCCAGTTTGGCAGTTTGCATGGTGCAGATAGATTAATGCTGTGATGAATGCATTTAATAAAGTTGGTTAGAGAAGCAAAAGGATTCGAGACTAAGATGAAAATAAAGCTGCAACAATACTGAAATCACAGTTTTGAACCAGAGAGTTTTGAAGTTGTGGTTTTCAAGTTTCAGTTGACTTTTCTTCGGTTGACAAAGTAGACACTGGGCAGTTTTCGCTTTTGCAGTACGGCTGTACGTAGTGTACGAGTGCACAATATCAGATATTAAATTTTCTTAAAAAATCTCCTACCACACTTTCCATCAAAGGCTTTTTCTGAATACACCGTTGGATTCACCGTAAAATTCTAAACAAAATAGTTGAGGAAGATTTTTGAATTTCGCTTTCTCCCTAAAATCAACTGCACGGGCGGTCGCACCTAGGAGACCCGAGATTTTGGGGTATTGCCCCCTGAGCGCTGGGGCATTGGAGTGACTTGGGGGAAATCCCCCACAATCTCAGGTGTCGTATGGCCGACCGCCCGTGCAGTTGATTTTAGGGGGAAAGCGAAATTCAAAAATCTTCCTCAACTATTTTGTTTAGAATTTCAATCAACGTGTATTCAGAAAAATTCCTGATGGAAAGTGTGAAGTTCTTCGAAAATTCAACCGGGATCTCGCTACGGGCCTGCAGTGCCCTGCACAGTATTGATACCAGTATTGCTACTGCTTTCTCCAACGCCGGAGTTTGGGCAGCCAAGTAACCGGGCTGCAGTGCGTTTGGCCACAGCCGTGAGCACTG